CCCCTCTTTCGCCACACTTCCAATTGTGAGATCGGTCTGTCTGTCGGCTTCCAGCAAGAGTACCCAACTGTTGACGGCAATTGATACATATTCAAACCCCTCTTTGATATGAATCAAACTATACTGAAAACTATCAAAGGATTGCCCCAGTTCTCCAAATTTTCCCCTCGAAGTTCATTTCTAGTAGTGGCTTCGGAAGCAAAGGTGAGGCATTACGAGTGTACACTACCTTCTCATCTTGAGTTTTCTTTTTCTTGGGGTCACACAGTTGTGTTGTTGGCTACCCCATATTTTTCAAAACAATTGTTGGAAAATGCGGGCGGGGAGAGAAAGCTAGAGACAGCGGTATCGGCCTCGCTTTCTTTTTTATTTTTGATGCATTTGCATTTGCATTCATACTCAAAGACTAAAAAAATGTCATGAGACTTTCACACTGTTAAAACACAAAATGTATACTAAACTCTACTACAACGATGAATGAATGATGGGTATGTTTCATCTAAAGGAAAAAGAGGTAAAGGAAAGCAAAAAGGATCTAAAATTCCGTTTCGTTTCTCTTTACTCCACATTTCACGGTCAACCGGTTCAGGAAAGTTTATTGCTTGATTTGTATTTTGTACCCTTCTAAACAACCGGAGTAGCAAACATTTCTTTGAAAAAGGACTGGACTAGGTTACGTCACTCGAAAATAAAGAGGAGAAGAAGAAGATGACTTTTGCTCTACTGTGTGATGGCAGATGGCAAGAAAAGCTATGCTCTGACCGGCCCCCTCTACTTCATTTGTTGAGAAACGTCATACCAGGATATTATTTTACCCCAGATTTTACATTTCCTACTTTAGGAGAATGCATCAAGAGCCGGCACTCTCACTCTGACGTGTAGTCTAAGAAGTATTAGGATTCCCCCCAATCCGTTTTAACAAAAAAAATTATACACTTTAAACCACCAGGGCTTGTTCTCTAAAACATTCCTTTGCTCAGCAATTTCCTGTTTTACTGCCTCCAAGTCAACTTGTCGACGTCCCATGTCAACATTGATTTCATCAACATTCAACCACACTTTCGTCAAGGGGACGCCATTATACCAGTAATCATACACTTTATGCACCAAATAGCTGACAATCAATACAATACCACCCAAATAAATCTGGAAAAATGAAACCACATCAACGCCTCCACCAGGAGGCCACAATGCCGCCCAAAATTGTAGCACTAAAGTGACAACAATCGTTACTATACCATACCACGACACCCAATTTGGAGAAACATAAAGTAATTCATCACGAGCAACTCGTGCACGATGGCTCAAGGCAGCATGAAATCGAAGCTGCGATATATTTATCACCAAGTAGGTGAATAATGCACTCAATCCACTCAAACTCAATAGCCATTGGAAAATTGACAATGTTGTTGAGTAACCGGGGATGCACACGAGGTATGCAAGTAAACCACATACAAATTGAATCACAAGACATCCCATGGGTCGTCCTTTCTGATCGATGTAGTTGAGAAATTTGGGTCCTTGTTCTAGAGCACCAATGGCATTGAGGACTCTAGTGGATGCAAAAACTGATGCATTTCCAACAGAGATGACTGTGATTATCACTACCGCATTCATTATCGAAGGTAAAGCGTTGATATTGGCCAACTTGATGGCAATGACAAAGGGGGATGTGTTTGTATCGATGAGTCCATCAGTTGAACCTTCCAATTCAGGGTTTTTGTATGATACAAGAAACCCAATCATGACAATCGACAACAAGTAAAACACAATGATTCGATAAAAGATCTGTTTTCTTGACTTATTAATAGAAGTTTTTGGGGTTGCCGATTCAACTGCCGCCAAAGCAAATAGCTCAATCCCAGCAAATGCGAAAGATGCATTGGATATGATGAAACACATATTTTTGAATGGTGAGTGCTCATTGAACAATCCACCCTGTGGTTTATGCCAATTAGCACCTCCAATATATGGTTGTCCCGGTACACCACCGGCAACAATAATGATTCCACAAATGTTGAACCCAACAACAGCAACCACTTTGAGTAAACTTAGGAAACTTTCAATCTCCCCATACCCCTTGACACCAAACAAGTTGATAAGCACAATAACAACGTAGAAGATGGTGACAAATATGGCTGGATGAAGACGGTTATTCCAATACTGAATACTCAATGCTGCGGCAACAAGCTGCAATGGCATAGTCACCAACCATTGAAGAGCATAATTCCAAGCAATGGCGAACCCCACTGACTTGTCGATAAACAAGGTGGGGAATGTAACAAATGCACCACTCACTGGGAATGCAGTTGCTAGTTCAGATAAACTTGCCATGGTGGTGAATGCAAAACTGCCAATAAACATCCATACAAGTAGTAAACCCAATGGACCTGCATGTGCTAGTGATGAACCAGATGTAATAAACAATCCCAGCCCTATACTTGCTCCAAGTGATATCCATGTCAAATGTCGTGTACGTAGACGTTTACTTAGCGGACTCATTGATGTTATAATGGCGTCTTTTTCTAGTTGACTGAATGTCGAGTAATCAAAATCAGGGTGTGCTGGATGTAGATGTGCACCATCCCTTTCTTCCTTTCGCAGTCGAAATTGATTTGCTTCATTGTCCTGTAAACTCAGTATATATTCAACATCACCCTGGCGCTCTTGCCGTTCATCTAATTTGCGGAAATGTTCAAGGTAGACTGGTGGTAAAGTAGAATAATCAAATGGTCTGAATGAATTGATAAAATTGAAAACTAGGGTTTTTGGGTGGAGTGAATGTCGCGACAGTGATTGCTCCGATGCGGATGATGACTCAGTTGTACTCAATGGCGATAGTGTAGCCGAAGGTGGATGGCGAGGTGTATAGTACGGGTCAAATGCAGCCAACTCCTCTTCATTGATTTGTGACATTGGCAGTTTGTATTGTGACATAGCGTTGACTCAACACTGCCTATCACGAAAAAGGGCGTGTTTTGACACCTGTAGGATAAGTTTGCGTTTAGGTGATGTAGCTTGATTTTTCAACAACTTTGGCTAACGATTCGAATCTATCCCCGTGATCTGTATCCGTCTATATCTCAACAGCTTCTTCCGAGTCATCTTTTATCTTGGTACAGAATGAGAGATTTTTTTTTTTGGCGTCTGATTATATTACTCAAAACAAAAGGTCATTGTGCTAAGAGCCTATACAATTTTAAGTCATGTTGCATTTTCTTTTCTGTTCTCTATCTACATCCAATTAAACTTTTTGAGAGGTTTCCATTGCATCCGTGTAAATTATGGAAAGCGTATTTGAGCAGTTAGTAGTTACAGAGGGAGAGGACGGTATACCTGTGTTTAAAACTGTGATATCTGAACCAGATCAAGGACATTCGAAATGCGGATTTTTTATTAGACAGTAATGTATCCCGCCTCAGTTGCAATATTATAACCATTTCGTACTACATTGATCAACAAACTAATTTTGTGCACGGCGCTACCCTAATCGGCTACACGAAGACTGACCTCTTTCCAAAGCTGAGCCTCTATGGTCGGTAGAATCTGTAAGGAAGCAATGGTAAATTGTGGGGTAGTTGGCGAGTAGAGTGTGTTGCAGCAAGAGCATGTAGCCACAAGTGAGGTACCGAATCGGATCAAGATTTGCATCTTTTCTAATCTTCCCCTCCTTTTTTATAACACGTGCACCATCGCTTGAAGTACCTGAACTGGCATATAAGAGTGGCAGTATATCTAGTTCGTATTAGACCTTTCATTGGATGTGAACGTTTTAGCGGGATGGAAGTGGGATGAGTAGCTGACGAAATTTCTCTTTGTTGATGGTTTCAAGCGGGGTGTTTGACTCCACTAATTCCTGAAACAATCTTTCATAACAGTTCCTACTTGAGAATTAATGACAAGCCTAGAGTCAAAATGATGGCCCCCGCCTACCAAAAACAAAACCCACTTGAACGAAAAAATGGGGTGGGGGGAGCGAAAATGCATTGTTCACACAATTGTGGCTCCTACAATTTCACATTGGTAAAGGTCCTGACAATTTCGTAATTGAAAACGAGAAGACATACTGGAAATCACACGAGAGAGACTTCAATTAATCTCAACCCTAGAATCAATGTCTGAAAACATCAATATTCACATATGCGGATGCTGTGTCATCAACAGAGACTGTAATAACACTTGTGTCTCATTACACACAGAAAGTGCAGCAACTGTTCACTGAGCTCTCTGTCTTTGATTGACATCGTCCCAGTCATTTTGTATTTTTACCAGTCGGCACTTTGTTCTTCCGCATCCCCTGCCTTTTGCGCCCAGTCTCATGCTGTGCTGCGTCCATTAATGTCAAAATCCTTTCTCTTATAAATTAACTCAAAGTGACGTTTGCGAAGCTTGATCAATGCCTTCATACTTTTGACAACAGACCATATTTTGGTTCTCAATGAAGTTTGCCTGACTTTATGACAATTTTCTAATTGCAAGACCTGAAATGAGTGATTAATTCTGGAAAGATATGACAATACAATCCGACTCCACCAAACCTCTTATCACGTCTAGATGCTTGGTCATTATACGAGCCTGAAACTTAGTAGTTCATCACTTCTATTGTGTTGATGTTGTGGGGAGAGGAGTAGAAGATGGAACACACAATATTTAAATTTATTACAAAATTTCTGAAAATACGGGACTCCACTAGGCTGCGAAGCATAGGTTTTGAAACTATTCTACCATTACCGCTGAGATAAACCACCTTTCATTGCTTGGGCGACGAATGATTAACACAATCTTAAAGTTGTTCAATATTTGGTTTAACATTCAATGTCACGATAAGCTTATGGACCTCCCTTGAAGTCAGAGTATGCACAATTGTTAAAATACCCAAGAAACATACTTGCTGCTAAGAGTACCTGGAGAGGGTACCCCTGGCTATAGAGGTTAGGTGTCTTAAAATGAACATTTTTGAGCCCAGTTTTATTTCTTGACTGGTTACGAAATATACCAAATCATCTTCCTTCTTGCTTCATTTCTTCTGAATTTGTGCCCGAAGAACACTCCTTGGGCTCTATGGTAGCCGCTCTATTGTTACTCAACGTATTGAACCTCGTTAATGCAAATGGAAATGCCATCGACAACACCACGATCCAAGCAATTAATATGCCAATATTACGTCCTAAATTTCCCTTGTAAAGATCGAAAAAAATAACCTTGGTTGCTTCGTATCCGTTATACATTGGTGTAGCATAACCGTACCTGTAGAAATTGTTGGTTAAAGACATGGCATTGTAAGAAGGCGCAACATTAATGATGACCCAAAACACAAGCCAATATCCTAATAACGGTGGGTATATGGGGATGATCAACAAAGCCATAATCTCGTTTGCAAACCCAACTGCACACATTGTGAGGAATGTGATACCCCAATACACCAAAAATCCCGATTTTCCAAAAGTGCTGGTAAAGTCTGCCTGATAAGCTAATGAAACAAGCCCGAAAATTAGTGAAAAAAAGCAGAATGATAAGAGGGAAGAAATGTATCTGTAAACAACATAATGAGCTCTTTTTACTGGAGATTGGGCCACTTTCTGGTGCGGGCTTGCAAAAAAGTTGAATTGGAAAAATGAAACCATAATCAACTGAATAATGCCTATTTGTAAAGGAGCATTTAAAATGTATTGTGAGTACGGTGCTCCATCAAATACAGTAAACAGAAGTGGTTGCGTGAGCACCAACTTCTGTGCCTTGGATTGAATGGTGATGTCAACAATTCGGGCGGTTAGCACAGGAAGTTTGTTAAACCAAAGCTTTTCAATTTTCTGAATTTGTGGCAAAACATACAGTCCAATTATAGTACTATCACGACCAGTTTCATAATATACAGCCACAGTGTTGTCAGATGCATTATACTTTGTGTCTCCGTTGACTAATGCTTGGTGGTAGTTATAACTTGCATTGGGTTTGACATATATTGCTGCCCAGTACAATTGATGATGCACACGCCTGATAATTTCTCCTCTAATTGTGTTGTCATGATCTTCTGCTAGCTGTTTAAACTCGCTTTCTTTGAAAATATGCCAATCTCCACTTGCTTTCGACTGGGGACGTTGTAGTACTTCCTTCATAGCATTTCCAAAGGCTGAGGGTATTCCATCAATAGTGTTTTCATCACCAATCACCACCAACATTTTTAATTCTTTCATGTTGTCTTGAATCTCATAATATGACCCCCAATATATTGCAAGAAGAAGCAATGTTAACAAAGAAGTAACAAGATTAAGAAGTGTTAGTTTTGCATGGATTTTGTTCCGATGATTTTTGTAATCTGCGCTAAAGTAAGAAACATGCTGTTGTAACTGGTAATATTGTACTTGTTCACTCTTGCTTTCAGTGGACGATTGTGAGCAAGCAATCAACGCCGACAACATTTGAATGGTAGCTTGCTTTGGAAGGCTTTTCGTAGAACTAACCCCTGTCTTCATTATCGTAGTATTTACACCAGCTGTACTTGTTAGAGAGAAGAACAAATATTTTCTAAATTTCACATTTCAAATGGCATTTTGGGTTATTTTAGGTGTTGAATTACAGAGGTGGCTCATAGGGTTGTTGAAATTGATGTTCAGGCGGCTTTGTGATGATACCATGGGCTGCATTTGTGCATAATTTCCGTTTCTGGTTAATTCCCGTTAAAAAAGTTCGGGATTATTGAAGAAAAGGTTGTTCAAAACGTGCTTAGTCCGAACCTTATCATATAAAAATGGTTTCTTGCAAGCAAAGAGAGTTCGTCCAATGAAGTGGTTTCAATCTTATCTCGCTCATGTTTATCTCTACATCTTCATAATTTCGCTTGCTCTTCCAAGCGAATATGCTTTTGAAGATTATATTTGGAGTTGCGCTTCGGATATACCTTGTTTGGAATTTGCCGCAAAAAAATTTCCGAGCAATATTTTTAGGAACCGGTAGCATCAAGTCGGGCCCGACGAAAACAATCGAAATTGCTTTATATGGCAATGTGAAGTGCTTAGATGTTCGCTTGAATTTAGGGAGGCGCTAAAGGACCAAAAAAGTGTGTCAATACCTTTTCTACATTGAATGAAGCATAATCCGATGGACTAGAGGATAGTACCATGCTCGAATTGAATTTGACTACATTCATTTCACCACGCCAAATCTCAGTATACTCCATTACAAACATCTGTACCTCCCTTCTAAACTCCATTTAAGGCTCTACAAATTACGTGACACCCGCATTGGAAAGCTTGTTTGAAGAAATTAAACTGTCCTAAATGGTAGTGACAATCATTACTAATTGGCATCTTGTTCCTTCTCATCAACTGCCTTATGCGCCCAATCCTCATGCCATTTTAAGTCCACTAAATTCAAGAAAGTCTCTTTGGTACACCATCTGGAGGGCTCATAAATGTCTCTGCTTACTTAGCTGCTTCAACTTTGAAAGTATCAATCGGGAAATTCGTCTACCATGTACACCAGTTCTTTTCCTCTTCAGCTACATCCTTAATGCCAAGTCTTGTGCCCAGTCGAATCTCTTAATGTTGTTAACCCATCTCTTGTATACCAACAAGACTCCCTCCAACCCTTCATTGCCGCACTTGTCCTCCATATCCCACAACAAATTCATTGCCTCGTTGAGTGAGTCTGCATTATTCAATGGACCTTTATTACTATTTTTCCAATCATCGGGATTATCACCATATATATCAATGTAGCGTGGCACATATGTCAATATTGCATCAATAGTGTTCTTGCAATCGCTAGCAATAATGGTCTTAATACTTTCATAATCGAATCTTCTGAGGAGTTCGAGTATCAATTGCATTGCTTTGACAACACCCCAAAGATTAACACTTGGTGGGTGTAGAAATTGCTTCCGGACTCCACAGCCAGCATTCTGTATTGCTTGTTGAGTTCCTTCTATACCGAGCAAGCTATTCCAATCCCACCAAAGCCATCATAATTATCATTACAGTCTCTGTTGATGACACAGCATCCGCATATGTGAATATTGATGTTTTCAGACATTGATTCTAGGGTTGAGATTAATTGAAGTCTCTCTCGTGTGATTTCCAGTATGTCTTCTCGTTTTCAATTACGAAATTGTCAGGACCTTTACCAATGTGAAATTGTAGGAGCCACAATTGTGTGAACAATGCATTTTCGCTCCCCCCACCCCATTTTTTCGTTCAAGTGGGTTTTGTTTTTGGTAGGCGGGGGCCATCATTTTGACTCTAGGCTTGTCATTAATTCTCAAGTAGGAACTGTTATGAAAGATTGTTTCAGGAATTAGTGGAGTCAAACACCCCGCTTGAAACCATCAACAAAGAGAAATTTCGTCAGCTACTCATCCCACTTCCATCCCGCTAAAACGTTCACATCCAATGAAAGGTCTAATACGAACTAGATATACTGCCACTCTTATATGCCAGTTCAGGTACTTCAAGCGATGGTGCACGTGTTATAAAAAAGGAGGGGAAGATTAGAAAAGATGCAAATCTTGATCCGATTCGGTACCTCACTTGTGGCTACATGCTCTTGCTGCAACACACTCTACTCGCCAACTACCCCACAATTTACCATTGCTTCCTTACAGATTCTACCGACCATAGAGGCTCAGCTTTGGAAAGAGGTCAGTCTTCGTGTAGCCGATTAGGGTAGCGCCGTGCACAAAATTAGTTTGTTGATCAATGTAGTACGAAATGGTTATAATATTGCAACTGAGGCGGGATACATTACTGTCTAATAAAAAATCCGCATTTCGAATGTCCTTGATCTGGTTCAGATATCACAGTTTTAAACACAGGTATACCGTCCTCTCCCTCTGTAACTACTAACTGCTCAAATACGCTTTCCATAATTTACACGGATGCAATGGAAACCTCTCAAAAAGTTTAATTGGATGTAGATAGAGAACAGAAAAGAAAATGCAACATGACTTAAAATTGTATAGGCTCTTAGCACAATGACCTTTTGTTTTGAGTAATATAATCAGACGCCAAAAAAAAAAATCTCTCATTCTGTACCAAGATAAAAGATGACTCGGAAGAAGCTGTTGAGATATAGACGGATACAGATCACGGGGATAGATTCGAATCGTTAGCCAAAGTTGTTGAAAAATCAAGCTACATCACCTAAACGCAAACTTATCCTACAGGTGTCAAAACACGCCCTTTTTCGTGATAGGCAGTGTTGAGTCAACGCTATGTCACAATACAAACTGCCAATGTCACAAATCAATGAAGAGGAGTTGGCTGCATTTGACCCGTACTATACACCTCGCCATCCACCTTCGGCTACACTATCGCCATTGAGTACAACTGAGTCATCATCCGCATCGGAGCAATCACTGTCGCGACATTCACTCCACCCAAAAACCCTAGTTTTCAATTTTATCAATTCATTCAGACCATTTGATTATTCTACTTTACCACCAGTCTACCTTGAACATTTCCGCAAATTAGATGAACGGCAAGAGCGCCAGGGTGATGTTGAATATATACTGAGTTTACAGGACAATGAAGCAAATCAATTTCGACTGCGAAAGGAAGAAAGGGATGGTGCACATCTACATCCAGCACACCCTGATTTTGATTACTCGACATTCAGTCAACTAGAAAAAGACGCCATTATAACATCAATGAGTCCGCTAAGTAAACGTCTACGTACACGACATTTGACATGGATATCACTTGGAGCAAGTATAGGGCTGGGATTGTTTATTACATCTGGTTCATCACTAGCACATGCAGGTCCATTGGGTTTACTACTTGTATGGATGTTTATTGGCAGTTTTGCATTCACCACCATGGCAAGTTTATCTGAACTAGCAACTGCATTCCCAGTGAGTGGTGCATTTGTTACATTCCCCACCTTGTTTATCGACAAGTCAGTGGGGTTCGCCATTGCTTGGAATTATGCTCTTCAATGGTTGGTGACTATGCCATTGCAGCTTGTTGCCGCAGCATTGAGTATTCAGTATTGGAATAACCGTCTTCATCCAGCCATATTTGTCACCATCTTCTACGTTGTTATTGTGCTTATCAACTTGTTTGGTGTCAAGGGGTATGGGGAGATTGAAAGTTTCCTAAGTTTACTCAAAGTGGTTGCTGTTGTTGGGTTCAACATTTGTGGAATCATTATTGTTGCCGGTGGTGTACCGGGACAACCATATATTGGAGGTGCTAATTGGCATAAACCACAGGGTGGATTGTTCAATGAGCACTCACCATTCAAAAATATGTGTTTCATCATATCCAATGCATCTTTCGCATTTGCTGGGATTGAGCTATTTGCTTTGGCGGCAGTTGAATCGGCAACCCCAAAAACTTCTATTAATAAGTCAAGAAAACAGATCTTTTATCGAATCATTGTGTTTTACTTGTTGTCGATTGTCATGATTGGGTTTCTTGTATCATACAAAAACCCTGAATTGGAAGGTTCAACTGATGGACTCATCGATACAAACACATCCCCCTTTGTCATTGCCATCAAGTTGGCCAATATCAACGCTTTACCTTCGATAATGAATGCGGTAGTGATAATCACAGTCATCTCTGTTGGAAATGCATCAGTTTTTGCATCCACTAGAGTCCTCAATGCCATTGGTGCTCTAGAACAAGGACCCAAATTTCTCAACTACATCGATCAGAAAGGACGACCCATGGGATGTCTTGTGATTCAATTTGTATGTGGTTTACTTGCATACCTCGTGTGCATCCCCGGTTACTCAACAACATTGTCAATTTTCCAATGGCTATTGAGTTTGAGTGGATTGAGTGCATTATTCACCTACTTGGTGATAAATATATCGCAGCTTCGATTTCATGCTGCCTTGAGCCATCGTGCACGAGTTGCTCGTGATGAATTACTTTATGTTTCTCCAAATTGGGTGTCGTGGTATGGTATAGTAACGATTGTTGTCACTTTAGTGCTACAATTTTGGGCGGCATTGTGGCCTCCTGGTGGAGGCGTTGATGTGGTTTCATTTTTCCAGATTTATTTGGGTGGTATTGTATTGATTGTCAGCTATTTGGTGCATAAAGTGTATGATTACTGGTATAATGGCGTCCCCTTGACGAAAGTGTGGTTGAATGTTGATGAAATCAATGTTGACATGGGACGTCGACAAGTTGACTTGGAGGCAGTAAAACAGGAAATTGCTGAGCAAAGGAATGTTTTAGAGAACAAGCCCTGGTGGTTTAAAGTGTATAATTTTTTTTGTTAAAACGGATTGGGGGGAATCCTAATACTTCTTAGACTACACGTCAGAGTGAGAGTGCCGGCTCTTGATGCATTCTCCTAAAGTAGGAAATGTAAAATCTGGGGTAAAATAATATCCTGGTATGACGTTTCTCAACAAATGAAGTAGAGGGGGCCGGTCAGAGCATAGCTTTTCTTGCCATCTGCCATCACACAGTAGAGCAAAAGTCATCTTCTTCTTCTCCTCTTTATTTTCGAGTGACGTAACCTAGTCCAGTCCTTTTTCAAAGAAATGTTTGCTACTCCGGTTGTTTAGAAGGGTACAAAATACAAATCAAGCAATAAACTTTCCTGAACCGGTTGACCGTGAAATGTGGAGTAAAGAGAAACGAAACGGAATTTTAGATCCTTTTTGCTTTCCTTTACCTCTTTTTCCTTTAGATGAAACATACCCATCATTCATTCATCGTTGTAGTAGAGTTTAGTATACATTTTGTGTTTTAACAGTGTGAAAGTCTCATGACATTTTTTTAGTCTTTGAGTATGAATGCAAATGCAAATGCATCAAAAATAAAAAAGAAAGCGAGGCCGATACCGCTGTCTCTAGCTTTCTCTCCCCGCCCGCATTTTCCAACAATTGTTTTGAAAAATATGGGGTAGCCAACAACACAACTGTGTGACCCCAAGAAAAAGAAAACTCAAGATGAGAAGGTAGTGTACACTCGTAATGCCTCACCTTTGCTTCCGAAGCCACTACTAGAAATGAACTTCGAGGGGAAAATTTGGAGAACTGGGGCAATCCTTTGATAGTTTTCAGTATAGTTTGATTCATATCAAAGAGGGGTTTGAATATGTATCAATTGCCGTCAACAGTTGGGTACTCTTGCTGGAAGCCGACAGACAGACCGATCTCACAATTGGAAGTGTGGCGAAAGAGGGGTGTGTAAGATTCAATTTTTTGGTGTCTGAATTTTATTCATTTCACATTCGGAGTTGGTGCAAAAAGGAATTTAGACATAGCTCGTATAGCGCTAGAGGACTAACTGCTACTGCTACTATGATGGCACTATTAAACTCTAAACGTAAATGACAATCAGCAATCGTCGTATTACAACTATAAGAACTATAACCCTGAAAATAAACTCCTCCCAAAACAAAGATAAATGCAATATGTATAACCCAAAATATAACAGAAAAACACTCGACAGAACAACACTAAATGAGAAAGCCAGCTTTTCTCTATCTCTCTGCTTCTTCGGTCTTCCTCCTTACGAAAAATGAACCAACCATTTCCTGTAATTTATTTCAATCAACTCATTATTCTTGGTTATTAGATCTGGGATTGTGTTGCAGTTGTGTTGCGAACTGAATGTCTTTAAGTTCTCGTTGCAGTATGGACATTGATACAATAGCGAATCATCGGTAGCTTGGCTATATCTGTCGTGCTCAAACTCATCATCCATTTGGAAGATATCTTCTTGGTTATGCGTGTCAAAATGATCCATTGTATGCTGTTTGACTGGTATTCTAATTTGGTATATAGGGATATGACTTGGTTGAAAAGTGAATTGATGCTGAAGGGTGGTTGAAAAAGTGGAAAATAAATCTGGTGGATTCCTATCACCTTATATATATATATATATTTATTCAAAGTATGTCTGGTGTCTGTTGTCTATTTGCTGTGTAAATTACACAAAATGCACAGGAAACAAAAAAAAAATAAATAAAAATAAATTTTGTGTGTGTGTTGTGTCACACTGTGGTGGTTGTGGTTGTGGTTGTGGTTGTGAGAGTGTGTGTGAGTAATAGTTATGAGCAACGCACGTGATACCACGACATTGTGGAACTAACTGACTGACTCATAGTACTACTCCCTACACGGGCACCTGCTACACAGTATTCTAGATTCACACAGTTTTACATCTGTACACACAATTTGTCAACGATGTTGTTTCTATTGCAGTAGTAGAAAAGAGTAACTTGTACTGTGGTTGTGGTGTCAACAGATGCAGCAACAGCAGCAGTAGCAGCAGTAGTAGTAGTGGTGGTGGTGGCTCCTATTCCATTGCAGAAAATGTCTCATAGAATCTGCACATAGTTGCAGTCCCCTAGACTTGCTCTACCCAGTTCTATCTCTCTCTATGTACCTTGTCTACGTGGCTTTCCGTTGCTCCTATTATCACAAACACACAAACTCTCTATCTATCTCTCTATCTATCTCTCCTATCTCGGATCTTAAAGTGCGAGGAATCGGTATTGCCAACAATTTGTTTTTTTTTCTTTTTTTCTCTATTCCAGCCAGTGACGTATTTGCGCACTATTTCCGTGGTAGCAATCTTTGTGCGAAGCCCCGTATGAGCAACATTTTTATTACCGCAACACGGGGCGAGGATGCAATGCCGAGACAGAGAAAGAGAAAGAGAAAGAAAAACCATGATTGGGTCTCTTTTTTTGTTTGTTTCAAACGAGTCCATGGGCTAACAATACTAGTAGGAAGCCACACTATGGGTCTCTTATCTCTTGCTGCCTCCGTCTTTTTTCCTCTTTTCGTACATTCCTTCCCCCTTTATCTTGCGCTTAAATTCCATAATCGGAAATTGAGGATAAAGCAGAAAATGCAAAATAACCACGTGCAAACTTTTAGAAAACGTGCCAGTGAAAACCCCAAACTTTGAAAATTACCTATTTAGTGAAATTCATCAACTTTTGAACTTTGAAACAGCAAAGACACGACATTTCTCTCTTTCTATGCCTTACGTCACTACAAATTATATAGAAGAAAGTGTCTGACAGTTTGGGAAAGGGATGCCACCTAATTGTGGCTTGTCCCTTTTTGCCCAGTGCTTAGAGGCGATAAGGAGAGCATAGTACAACGAATCCTGTTTCATCTATGGCATTGACTCCTTTAGGTCCATCTTTAAGCTGCCAGAGCAAGGAGGTACTCTTGAAGTACTCTTGAGGTACTTTGTCTGTGCTGTCATCCCCTGTCCCCCCTCCCCCTCCTATTCCGTTTGTGGTTGTCTATTGCCGAGTAGAGGGGATGGTTTTATATGCAGTTTAACATCCCCTTCCATGTAAGATTTACGACTCTGCAACGAACAACACAAAATCTACAATATGTCCTACATACAACCAAATAGTCTAGAACCGTCCTGCGTTGCAACAAGATCCAGACCAGGCTCGGCCGGATATTTGTGCGTCCTGTCGCCCCCTGCAAGTATCAGCATCCAAACAGTCATGCCTAGATAGTGAACACTGCCGAGGATGTTTGTTTTTTCTTGCTTTTTGCTTTTTTTGCGGCAAAACTCTGGCAATTATGAACCCCCTTTTGAAATTGAACGGTTGACGAGAAACTTGAGAATCTCTTTGCTATTCTGGAAGCATGCTCTATGTACGGAAACACCAACACAGAGATGATTGTGTCAGAAAACAATCGTCAAATCCCGTAGATACAGTTAGAGCCTATTTGCAAGCAAGCAGGAAGCATCCGATAATGGACTTTAATGCAATGAACCTAGGCATTTATGTCGAAGTTCTATACGTCCATATCCATAATGAAACGATATTTTTTAAAACCAAACCCCACTTCCGCAACACACTTACATCACAGGTTGGACATTCATGTAGCTTAGATATGCTCCTCTTGCACTCTTTACATCACTCGTTAGTTGTGTTTCATGTTGCATTCGATAATGTGTATTCTGTAATTACAACACTGAATGTGACACACCATGTGGCAAAAAAAAGTCCTAGCTCAGGGCACTTCCGCATATCTCTTCTCCACTTAATCAATATGGTTGAAAATGCCAACGTCTACGTGTCGGGCATTTTCATCAATAGTCCTGGCAGAAATGATGACAGACGTGGATATGCTGGTGTTGCTATATCGTGCCCGGTTTATGGAAATTTTACGAATGTGAATTCAGAAGAGCCATTACAATTAAGCATATGGTCACCCCAGCAAGGGCCAAAATGTGATCTATAACTAGAGGAATGGAAGCTATCATTGATCGTTTCGCAAATCATGGGGCTGCAAGAGGTATGCAGTATACGCTTGTTTCTGATGACTTAAACGCGGTGAAAAATATTCTTGAGAGGGGACCCTCATCCAAGAGGAAATACGACAAGGACTTTCAAAAGTGGAGAAACAGTCGCAATGACGCAGTGTTGGACGCAGTGTTGGACGCAGTGTTGGACGCCGACTTGATACAAAAGGCGGTGGAATTGTACAAAGAGTGCATGGAAATAGTTGAAAGATGCGACGGCTTGCAAGAATATTTGAACTCGTTTACAAGCCGATGAATACTAGAGATTAGAGATTTTGGGTGCGGTATAGCGCATGATTTGGCTGAACAAGCAGCAACCGTTGAGCAAAGACGAGGGCAAGGCTTAGATGACTATCCTGAACCAGAAGACGAGTATTTTACTATCGATGGAGGTTTGATTGGAAAAACTACACTGGGGTACTGTTTTCTTTAGGTAAATATATATGGCGATTCTGCGTTTATGTTATTAACTCAAAAACTCTATTGAATTATTTAGTTTCTTGTAGTATTAGCACATGCCACATTGCATAGAGAGAAGGCCACATCCTTTGTTTTGTATCCTCTATAAACATCTATGGTTGGTGACGCGTGAGGAGAGGCAGTACTCATCAGCACATGCGATTGGGTGATCAATTTGGAATAGTGGCAGTTTAGTGTACTTTCCGCAATTCTCGATGAATTTACCCTGTAGGAGTGAGTTACTTTTGCAACCCCTCCAACATACTTAACTTGAATTCTTCGCACGAGTATAGAAGATTACTACACGAATGTTGAACAAACTACCTTTTCTATTAATTGGGTCAGTGACTGTAATAACTACCTTAAACTGGGTATGCGCTACCATCTTTTCCCAAGAAAAAGGTTTTGGTAAAAGTTTTGACCAAAATAATCCTTTCCCTTTGTATTAAAGTGGTATGGAATGTCAGATGGATTCGTCCCTATAGTCTCCATTTTTTATGCCGTGTTTCATCCTACGGAAGGTACAAAGATAGTTCACCAGTTCCCCGAGAACTTGATATCTACGAGCTCTACAATTAACAATGACGATAATAACTACTTGGATGACGACGTAACCACCGCAGGTTTATTCAATTTCGATACTGTGAAAAACTACGTTATTCCCAAACCACAACTATGCAATCAACTACTATCTTTTAAAATCAATAATTATAAGGTTATCGGATACCCCGTCAACATGGTCAATGATCACTATGCTCGAAACTCGTTTAATTTCAATTTTTGTTTTGTATTCAATTATGAATTGGGAGATGTAAGTCCTTATGAACCAGCTATTAAACGTATGGGACAAATGTTTCAAGTTTTGGAAGAACAGAATTTCATCTTGAGTAAATTGGACAAAGAGAATTCATTTTATAAAGACATGAGGAACAATGCTTCTGATTTGGATACGACAACGCTGAAAATCGATGAATACGACTTGGAATTGTATGCCAATAGGGGTCAGTCATCAATGGTGGAGAATGATGCCAGTGTCAATGCTCCTGGGCATTCCAAAACCAAAAAGATTACATTATCTTCAATCGAGTCATTGATTCAACAAATTTATCAGGATTTAAACAATTATTCCGAATGTTGTATCCCATTGGATAGTTCCAATTCAGTTGATATAAAATTGTTTCCATTGTTGCCAGCTCCCATAAATCTCAAAGCATTTCAAGTACCGATAGCCACCGTGAAGCTCAAATCGCTAGTTGATGTTAATTGGGATCCAACAATGGTGAAAATATTACCCTATATTGATGGAATCAATTCTGTTAAACGAATTAGTGAATTAGCCGATGCCAATTATCTCGTTACCAAGCAATGTATTCAACATTTGATGCATTACAAGTGTATTGAATTGATTGATATTTTCCAATTTAGCAATATTTACGCCCCCACTAATCGAATTGGTGAATTTTTAAAATCTGATGGACAAATGGCTGAACAATGTCAAGCATATGTTGTCACTAATGGATCAACTGATTCTTTAAGGTCTTCATCATTCACCAATACACCAGCACCAAATTCACCTAAGCCAACAACGGGTGGGGGTGAAAGTGGGCCATCACCACTGACAACGTTTAATTTTAATAAGCGTGTGATGCCATCTGGTGGTAGTACATCGCCGTTTATGAAGCAACAACAAAGTTTCTTATCACGATCACCAAAATTGTTCACCATGCAATATGCCAATGTCAAAGTCCCAGCAAAGACTAGTTTATTTTACTTGTATCGATCATTGAACCAAGGGCAAACTGTTAAAGAGTGGTATCTGCAACACAAGCACTTGTTGACAAATATTGATATACGGCGATTTATAAATTTTGGCGTATTGCGAGGTATAATATATCGCGTATACTCTTATCCTGTGCTCAATTTGGTTACACGTGCAATTGAACGTGGTGATTTACTTCAACCAGAACATATATTGAACAATGTTAAAAGGAAAACAAGACAGCAACAACAGCAACAGCAAGATCAGCAACGGAATAGATTAAAGTTTAGGCAGCTGAATGGCGATCGTGCATATGATGAGTTGTTGAGGACCAGAGTGCATGAACAAACCTTGAAAACGGAATCGAATCGTCGTGTAAGCTTTTCATCGCTAGATGATAGACAGCAACTGCCACTACAGCCGCAACATGAGGACTATGGTCCGTCTCGCAAGTTGAGTGTAATGAACGAAGTTTTGGAGGAAGATGATAGTTCAACTAGTGACGACTCTGAAAATGAGCCATCCAAGGTGAAACATGTCTCAAAAGAAAGAGCACACAGGACATCCAACTCTACAGTTAGTGGACTTAGTGTGAATGAAGATGCAGATGCAAATGCAATTGCAGATGCAGATGGAGTTGTTTCTACTCAAATGAGTGATGCGGAAGAAGACGAAATGATTTATTTGATAAAGATGTTGAAGGGGTTTCAGCATTTTGATTCCATTTGTACTGAATTACGGAAATCACGTACTGAGGTGGAGAAAATGATTGAAAAACTAGGTTCATTTAGTGTAATCAATTGCTAATGATGGCTTTATGTTTTGTTGTATATAGATTATCAAAGAGAAGTAGTGTAGAAATGATCAAAAGAAGAAAGATGCGCGGTTCTCAGTTTTCGGTCGTTTTGTTTACACTTTAAATAAACTCACAACAAACGTGAATTTCACAACCGAGACAAAAAAAAAAACTATAAACAAACAAATAACAGAAAAAAACAAAACAAAAAAACAAACTACTAGATACCATTTCTTTCTTTCTCAAAACGCCAAATACACACCCGTAACTAAAGTCAATGTCAGGAGGTAAAGGAAAAGTACACGGAGGTAAAGGTAAATCCTCAGAAATTGCCAGATCTTCAACATCTCATTCTGCAAGAGCAGGTTTACAATTTCCTGTTGGTAGAGTTAAGCGATACTTGAAGAAGAGTGCTCAAAACAAGATTCGTGTTGGTTCTAAAGCGGCAATTTATTTAACTGCAGTATTGGAGTATTTAACTGCTGAAGTATTGGAATTGGCAGGTAATGCTGCCAAGGATTTAAAAGTCAAGAGAATTACTCCTAGACATTTACAATTGGCCATTCGTGGTGATGAAGAATTGGATAATTTGATCAAGGCTACTATTGCCTATGGTGGTGTATTGCCACATATTAATAAAGCGTTATTGTTGAAAGTGGAGAAGAAAAAGAATAGCAAGTGAGTGGTGAGAAATAGAAGGGGATCATAATTGTATATTTGAATGGGAGATAATCTGGGGTTGAAAGTAGAGCATGGTTTCAAAGTGCGAGGGGAGGAGTGAAGGTGAAAGTGAAAGTGAAAGTGGAAGTGGTGGTATTGATATTGATGTTGATATTGATAATGATTTTGTTGATTCTTTTTCTTGAAATATGGTTGGGGTGATAAAATACCGTTGACTTGTTGTTGTTTTTTTTTTTGTATTATAATATATACTATATTCCGTGATTCCCTTTTTATAATTGTTTTAACTTGTTTCATACTTTGTACATGCTTTGTTTTGAGTGGTTGTAGATTTAGCCTCTCCAGTTTTGGTGTGAGTATATATATATACAAGTCTAGTTTAAATCTAATTGTTTTCTAGTTTGAGGTGTGGGCACACTATTTACAAGGTTGTGTGAATGCTGATGCAATGCTTGATTTGTTAGTGAGATGTAGGTGGAGTCGAAGTGGGCTGAGGCGGTGGCGGCTTTGATTGTGATGCTTGTGAACCCTGTTGGCTCGGCTGTTCCTCCCTCTGTAGTTGGTGTTGTGATTTTAGTTCCAGTGGTTTTGATGGTGGATTTAGTTGCAGTGGTGACTGTTGTGACTGTTGTTGGGTTGAATTTTCTTGTAAGCTGTTAATCTTGACATATTTTGGTTTATACCCTTCAGGTACTTTATAATCATCCAATTTAATATTCAAATCACTCAATTTAGTCTTTATGTACTCAATTTCATTTTGTAAAATTGTAATATCATCAGCCAATGCATCACGTTGATCACTTGCCTTTTTACGACTTCGATAAGCTTCATAAAAGATTAGGCCACCAGCAACACTAAAGATAAAAGTTTCCGATATAAATGCTGCACCTTGTTCAATAGCCTTGTTATCATTCAATGGTCTAACTCTAATCTTTTTCTCACCTAGTAAATTCATGCGTAATTTGACATCAGTCTTGTGAAGTTTATTGGCAAATGAAATGCAATATTTGCGGAACGTTTCATTGTTTTTGGCTTGAGTGGATATAGCTTTTGATATGGGTTTCAGAATAGTTCTGACTAGTAATGCTGTTAGTTTTAAAGCTATCCCACTCATTTAATTGGAGGGGAGGAAAGGAGGGTGGGGAGATACTGTAGTTTTGGAGGTGCGTCGTTGGTTGGTTGCACTGTACCTTTTATTTTCGGTGCGTCGAGAGGAGGGTTCACCAATTCTTTTGGTGTGCAATATGGCATAGGCCCCGAAACAAAATTTTTTTTTTTTTTTCTCTTTCTTCTTGCTTCTTTAGTGGGAGGGAGGAGGGAAGTTGGGTGCCGCGCATTGAAAAGCAATGTAGAAGAGAACATCTTAACTCTCCTGACGTCAGATAACAGTGAAGTGGAACACACACTATAGAACACCTGTGATAATGAGTGAACTTCTCTGCTGAGAATTTAGATTGTTGTTGGAATCGGATGAAAGAAAAACCACTTTTTTCCCCTAATGACGTATATTTTCCTTGTTAACTTTTGTGTTCGCAACATTCTTGGCAAGAAAATCACTAACTAGTAGTAGTGAGAAGAGGAAAATCTGTTTCTAATCGGACTTTTCTAAAAAGGGGTTTTAATTTATTTTGTAAAACTTCCTCGGGACAAAATAACAAAAGACGGAGAAGAAGAGAAGGTAATTTTATTTTAAAGACAATAGCTAGAAGTTAATGGAATCACCCATTCTCATTTTGCATCAAAATTGAAAGAAAATTCTTGCTCAACTAGGGTATATATACAACGGCACTCCGTTTGTCTAATTAGTAATTTGTGGGAGATGTAAGCCTTTTAGGTATGGGCAAATTGAGCTAAGGATACCCGGAGCACAATAGATATAAATAGATATATATATATATAGTTGTTGTTGTTGTTGTTTTCGATAAGTTTTGTTTTCTCTAATCAAATGAGAGGGAAAACAATGAAATACTGTTGGCTAATCAGTGCACGTGCTAACATGCAAAGTAGAATGGAATGTAATGGTGCACAAGTGGTGGTTTGTGGTAGTTTGTGGTGGTTTGTGGTGGTTATTGTATCTTATTGCATGTATTGCACATATCGTGTATTGTGTCATGATATACATGTATAAATAAGTATCATCCAATAAGATTGCGTCATTATTTTTCTTTTCAGTTTTTTTGTTTTTTCCCCAGATTTTCATGAGTTGTAATACAATATATGAGATGTTATGATAATAATAATAATAATAATAATAATTTGTATTGAGTATCTATTATCTATCTGTCTTTGTATATTAAAAATTAAAAAAAATTAAAAAAAATTAAAAAAAAGAAAACTCCGAGATTTTTCACAAAAATAAAATGAGCAATAAGTTAGTGCATGCTTAGTATGCACACTACAATACGAGACAACAAAGAAGAAGAAGAAGAAGAAGAAGAAGAAGAAAAAAAAAATCATTCAATTTTTTTAATTTTTTAATTTTTTTTAATTTTAATTTTTAATTTTTTAATTTTAATTTGTGGTGGTGGTGGTGGTGGTGGTGTTGGTGTCTGGTGTGTGTGTGTGATGGGAATTATTTACTTAATTCCTTTTTTTATTTTTATTTTTTTATTACATGGGGTGAATGGATATCAAGGTATTCTTAGTCTCCCTTCTACTTAAATATATATATATATATATATATATATATATTAACAAAGCACCCCACCATCTAATTCAAATTCAAATTCAAATTCAAATTCTTTAGCAACCACAAACACAACACTCACATAATACAACACTCACACAACACAACACAACACAATACTCACACAACACCTTTTTCGTTCTAGATGGCTACCATCACTGATTTCAACAACACCACTTTCCAATATGAAGCTCAATTGCCAGCTTTACCTGTACCACCATTGGCAACCACTGTACAACAACTATTGGCTGCTTTGAAACCAATATCTTCACCAGAAGAGTATGAACAATTGTTGTATGAAGCTAATGACTTTGTCAATAATGACATCATCAAGTTGATTCAATTGCATTTCGAAACATTGTACACAAATCATCCCGAACAAAACTATTTAAACATTGTCAATAATGATATGACTCCAGCCATATACGGAGAGATTAAATCTGACATTTTGCCAAGAAACCCCTATCTTATATTGGAAGATGATCCGTATGCAAAGACTATTCATCCACCAAATCAAGCTGAACGTACGGCAAATTTGGTCAATTCTACGTTGAAATTGATTGTAACATTGAGAAATTTCACGTTTAAACCAGATGTCACTCCTAAAAACAAGGTGCCCTTGACAATGCAATGTTTTTATCATTTATTTGGTTGTACTAGAATGCCCGATTTTGAAGGTGGTACTTCAGATATTAGTATGAAAAAGTACAAACACATTAATGATTCAAGACATATTATCATCCTTGCCAATAATCAATACTACTCTTTGGAAGTATTGACTGAATTTGACGACGACTTGTACAAGAAAACCAAAACCAAACATCAAATCTTGTTTCATGATCATGAATTGGAAGACATTTTCCAAGAAATTATTGATGAAACTGACAAGATCCCTGCTGAAGATTCGATAAATAATTGCATTGGTGCAATTACAACTCAACCTTTGAAAAACTGGAAAAAGGGAAGAGGCGAATTAAACAAGTCTAATCCCGACCAATTGAAACTTATTGATGATGCATTATTTGTTGTGGTGTTGGATTCTAATTCTCCCGAAACCGAACAAGAGAAAACTTCAGTTATATCTCATGGTTCATCGGTATTGTCGGAATCCAACATTCAATCTGGTACTTGTACCTCGAGGTGGTATGACAAATTGCAATTAATTGTCACTAGAAACTCAGTTGCTGGTATTGTTTGGGAATCATTGACTATGGATAGTACTGCCATTCTTCGTTTTATTAGTGATATTTACACTGATTCGGTTTTGAAACTTGCTAAAAACATTAATGGGTCAGAATACACTTTATTCGATGAAGCAGTGACTTTTGCTGATTCAACAATTCTTAAACCAAAACCAGAATTGATTAAATTTAATTTAACTGATCGTTTACAGTTTCTTATCCATTTATCGGAAACATCATTGGCTGATTTGATTAATCAACACGAGTATAAAACACACACGGTCAAATTAGAATCTCGGTTAGCAGAAGAGTTTGGTCTTTCAGTTGACTCTATTATGCAAATTTGTTTCCAAATTGCCAATTATTCATTATATGGAAGAGTCGTCAACACATTGGAGCCAATAATGACTCGTAAATTTAGAGATGCCAGAACTGAATTGATTCCCGTACAAAATGACTCAGTGGCCAACTTGTGTAAATTGTACATCACCAGTGCAAATACTGCAGAAAAATTTGCTGCTTTTAAAGAATGTTGTCAAATGCATAGAAAACAGTATCATGACGCAATGTTGGGAAAGGGATTTGAACGTCATTTTATGTCAATTGCCCAAGTGATTCACAAACCAGAAGCTGCTAGACGCTTAAACAACATCAATAGTGATTTACCTCCAATTCCAACATTTGATGATGATGATAAAGACGGTGACAATACCAATGAAATAAGAGCCAGATTACCTTTGTTGTTTAATACTTGTGTTGATAAGTTGCTGAACCCTGAGCTTCTCATTTCCAACTGTGGTAATCCAGCATTGCGATTATTTGGTATCCCACCAGCAATTGATCAAGGTTTCGGAATTGGATATATCATCCATAATGATAAAGTCATTATTACTGTTTGTTCCAAGCATCGTCAAACGGAAAGATTTTTGGGAACTTTCCACAAGGTGATTCATGATTTGAAAATCCTGCTTAAAAGACATGCCAGTTTTGTTATGCACCTTTCTGAATCAGAAAACCGCAAGATTGAATTTCAAAAATTACGGATTGAGAATGAACTTAGTCATGTTAGTCTTGAAGATCCATCTTTGAAACATCCAATTTCATTGACAGTTACTAGCAATAGTGAATCAGGTGCCGTGACACCAATGGAACGTCAACCATCTGATGAAACTACTACATCCACCGAAGATGGCGGAGATTCTGATTTTGAATTGCTTGGTGGGTACGGATACTTTGATTACGGCAACTTGGATCTTCGTTCTGAAGATGTTTCACGTACACAGTCGTATCTCAATAGTGGCACTCAATCAGCCATATCGAGTGCATTGAGTTCAAGACCTCATTCACAAACCAACTTGGGTAAATATGCCTTGACTCATGGATATGATATCAAGCATAAGCAAAACTTGACTGATCGGATAAGGGATAAATTGATGTCACCAAGTGAAGAAAGTATGCATGCACCAGGAAATACCGGCGGTGGAGCTACTGGCGGTGGAGCTACCGATAACGGAGTTACTACTCGTAGGAGTAATGTTACTTTTGATACTGGAGATGAGAGCTCGGATCAAGAAGAAGTGGTTGAGTTTGTGGGCGCCACCACCACTGCACGCAAAGGCTCAATTGGCAGGGAACTTGATCTCAGGTACCATTAGAAAAGGACGCTTATTCATTTACAATTTTTATTTATTTATTTATTTATCTATTTATTTATTTATTTATACATTATTGTTCATCTATTGTATTAGTGTGCTGTGCCAACTAACTTTGTAGCTTGATAAGGTAAGCTTTTGAACACCACTGGCGATTCGTATACGCAGTAGTACCATGAATGAAACTGTCTCTTCTTTTAATATGGGTCTTGAATGTATACTTCCCACTCAGCCTTACACGTTCCGGTCCACCCCATCTTTCCCCCTTCTCCCTTAGGATTGAGGTTGAAGTATTTAATCATTAAGCAGCAAATCAAAAATAAAAAAAAAAAAATAAAAATAAAAATACTGCCAATTGCAACAACTTACTAATACCGCTTTTCCACAATCCCCTCGTCTCCCGCACGATTCTATGCTCTCTCCGCACCACAATGAAGGTTCTTCAATCTGGTCTATCGCAACTACAGAAATCTTTAATATCAATACGTGGTCCCGACGCCACCAAATTCCTCAATGGATTACTAACATCACGATTACTTCCGCAAATCGTCAAAAAGAAACAACACACAATCAGTGCAAGTGAATCGAAACATGCTGATCTTGCGTCTGTCATTGATTCCATGACCAATTATGGGTTGATGCATGAAGATATTTATGATCCTGATTACAACATTTATGTCACTCGTGAGGGGATCAATTCAATGATTTTAAACTCAAAGGGGAGAGTCGTTACTGATTGTTTTTTGTATTGTGATCCATTCCATAACGTTGCACATGAGTTTGATGAAGAAATGCGTGAACCGGGGTTTTTGTTGGAAGTGGATACAGTCAATTGTAGCAAGTTGATGATGATGTTGAAATTACACAAATTGAGTGCAAATGTCGACATTGTTGCAAAGAAGTCGTTGAATTCGTATTATTATTACAACGACTCGGTTGAATTCGATTCGTGGTTGGAAATGGTTCAACAGCAATATTTCCGTACGATGGACCCTATAAATGCTTTACAAAATGCCAATTCATTTATCAAAAATCAAGTCATTTTTCAACAAGATTTTGCTTCAAAAGTGTTGGGGTTTGCCATTGATAATAGGATACCCAATTTTGGATTCAAATTTGTTACTAATGAGTTTATTGATGAATCATCCATAGATGATGTGTTTTCTTCTCAATTCACTCAACAGTTTGCAATACCATCGCTAATATCGGAATCCAACGTTACTGATCGTCGCTTCTACAATGGCATATTTGAGACAGCTGATGCATCTAATGGAGAATCGCTCCTACCATTTGAGTGTAATTTGGACTATACTAATGGATTGTCTTTGGATAAAGGATGTTATGTGGGGCAAGAATTGACGATAAGAACGTACAATAATGGAATCATCCGTAAACGAATTCATCCAGTACAGTTTTTCACCATTGATGATGATACAATTGACAATATAAACCAAGCTAATATAGATGATGATGTTGAAGTTGCATTTGCTTCTAGTTTAGATGTGGATAAAGTGCCGTCTTCGTCATTGAGCAAGTTGGAAATGTCGCTCATGATTGAGGAAGAGCACAAGGAAGATGGAGATGCTAATGCACAAGCTGCTGGAGGTGCCTCTCCATTCGGCTCGTCCTCGAAACCAGTACGTAAACGGAAAAGCTCTAGTGGGAAAGTGTTGGCAGTCAGAGGTGATGTGGGGCTTTGTTTACTAAGTATGTCTGAGGTGGCAAAATCACCATTCTTCAAACTTGAGATACCCTCGTTTGAAGATGGAAAGAAAATAGTTGGAGCTAGAGCAATCATACCCGATTGGTGGCCAGAGTAGATTGAGACAATACAAAACACTCGTATATATATATAAAGTACACCACCTCATTCCCCAGTCGCGTGATGCCAAATTGTAAATCACAAAAAAAGAAAAAAAAATTAAAAAAAAAAAAATTGGAACAATTCACAACAAGCTGGATATATCTCTGAACAATATATATAATTGCCCTTGCGTTGATCATGTCTGAACAAATCCCCGTTGAAGAGTACCTACAACTAATCCACAATGCTTCTGCAGTGATTGGGTCTAAATTAGACCCTCACCCCATCTTATCTCGTCCCAGAGTCATGATTATTTGTGGATCAGGATTAGGTGGAATTGCAAACACATTAGCTTCTGACCCCATAATTGAAATCCCATACTCATCAATCCCCGGTTTCAAAACATCTACAGTACAGGGCCACGCCGGGAAGTTAGTATTTGGGCTCATTGGCGACAACAAAGTCCCCGTCATGTGTATGGTTGGTCGTTTACATTTTTACGAAGGTTACAGTTTCCAACAAACGACATTCCCCGTTCGTGTAGCTTCGGAGTTGGGTGTTGGAACCGTTGTCGTTACCAATGCCGCCGGTGGTATCAATCAACTGTACAAACCGGGTGATTTAATGGTTATTGAAGATCATGTCAATTTTCCTGGCTTAGCGGGCTGGCATCCATTACGTGGTGCAAATTTAGAACAATTTGGCCCGCGATTCTTGCCATTATCGGATGCTTATGATCACTCATTACGCAAATTATTTGTTGAAAAAGCTCGGGAGTTGAATGTAACGAGACCAATTCATGAAGGAACATATTTCTTTGCTGCCGGCCCCACATTTGAAAGTCGTGCTGAAGTTCGTGCAATTAGGACATTGGGCGGGGATGCTGTTGGCATGTCAACTGTTCCTGAAGTTATTGTTGCTCGTCATTGTGGCTTGAGAGTGCTTGCATTGTCATTGATTACCAATGCTGGTGTCGGTGACAAACCACCAAGTGCATTGCATCCGAATCCTGTGGCGTTGGATGATGGAATGGCTAGTCATGCTGAAGTGTTGCAGGCTGCTGATGAGGCTTCAAAAGATGTTGAGAGGATAATTGAGGCAACTATAAATCAATTATAGAGAGAAAAACTCTACCTAGACAAACTGTATAAAGAGACGCATTTTTATAAAAAGAAGGAGATTACTTTATCACCAATTTTTATCCAATTTTATTGTTCCACTTCTCCAGCTGGTTCCCATTTACCCTTTAAGTTCTCTTTCCATAAAGTCACCTTATTGTCACCGCCAGAAACCGCCAAGATGTTTCCTGATAACGACCATGAACATCTCCAACACACATCGAGGAATTTTTCATCCGTCAATGGCTGCTTTTGCCACTTGCCGTCCTTGTCCTGCGTCCAAATCAATACAGTACGATCTTGAGATGCAGTAGCAATATACGGACGAATAACATTCGATGGTGACCAAGCTACATCCCTAACCCAATCAGTATGTCCTTCCAATTTCGCCTCTTCAATATAATTGTTAGTATTTGGATCATATTTCCAAATCTTGGTCAAATTATCCGATCCGCATGTAACAAACCGACGTTGTTGTTTCAAGCTAGCGGCATCTTTTGATGTCGATGACAATGTGGTGATTGGCGCCCAGGATGCTGAATTGACTCCAATTGCATGTGCATCGAAAATGACATGTGAAGTAGTTCCATCATCATTGAAATCAACTACAGATACTTTGCCATCGGATGATGAACACAACAATACCGCTCCCAATTCATGCGGAGCCCAGCTTACTGAATTGACACTGGCTTGATGTATAGTATGTTCAGCAATTATTGACCATTGTTGCGTTTCTGGTTGCTCTTTCCAAATCAAAGCTTTACCATCGTAGGAGCACGAGGCTAAAATCGAGCCAAATTTAGGATGAGCCCAAGCAACTTGCCAAACGGGGCCCTCGTGTCCAACTAAAGTTGTGATTAATTTGTAGTTGTCAGTGCCATCAATATCAAAAATCTTTATCGTTTTATCGGATGAACAAGTAGCCAATCGTTTGCCATAGTAATCTAATACGGCATCATGTATTAAATCCTCATGCGCATTGCCAATTGTCACCATGGTTGTCGAAAGAAGGTATTTGTGGGTCGTAGTTGCGTTATGTTGATCTAGTTTCAAGTGTTTTTTTTTTTTTTTTTTTTCAAATTGTTTTTGTTGTTTGTTGTGGACGTGTTAATTGCGAACAAAGCGTACATCGTTTATTCATCACCCGCAAATGAGTGAGAGGCCAGAGGATGAACTACTGGCATTATATACATTGACCACCTCGCTCACTGATAAAATAAATGAGTCAGATGACGCAATAACCAAAATTAATCAAATAGTGAAAGGTTTGGTACCGGAACAAGAGCACAGTCGATTGAGCCAAGACGAAGGAGAAGAAGCAACCACAACAACAACACACGCAAAAGACTCTGATGATGAGATGAAACAATTGCAACAACAACGATTACAATTAGTTATGGAACTTCAAAAACAGGACTACATTTCGAGTAAATTGCAAGAATTGGTTAAAGAGAATCAAGAACTATTGGATACCAAAAAAGATTATATTTCAAAGTAAGCAGCAGCACACCATATTTTACCCCCAAAAGAATCCGTACAAATATTGCATCACCTTCAGACTCATTGTTTCCACTTCTTTCCTACACTCGACAAAATTCTCGTCGCCCGTCAATTTGAAGGCAAATTCTTTACGTTGTTGCTCAGTAAAGATTACCTTCATATCAGGATGACTCAAGGTTTCACCAATCAATCTTTCCAATCGTTTTTCCGCTTCATTTTGCTTGCTGTTGTAAATTTTGAAGTTTTCTTCAAGCTCGTTAATTTTTTTGCTAACGATTCGAGTCTCGTAAGATAATCGATCAATGGTGTTTGTTAATGTATCAAGATTGTAGTTCAAGTGATCGGCGATCCCGGTTTCCAACACTCGATGTTTGTTGGTGTAGACTTGATTTTTGAGGTTTTTGACTTTTAACAAATCGATATTTAGCAATTGAAAGGATTTGCCCAATGTGGCATTTGATACACATTGGTGTTCATTTGCGTTTTCAAAATAGTAATCGCGAAGGTTCTCATACTTTATCAAATCATCAATTGTATCAAGATACATTTGTGATACTTTGGATATGGATCCGATGGAAGGGTCAGTTGCTGTTTCAATTGATGTTGTGCTGAAACTTCGCGGTTTTGTACGAGACACCTCGACCACTTCCGGATTGAGCACATTCTTGTCTTTCATGTGGACAAATGACGACAAATTCTCTTCATTCTTGTTGAGCAAAGTGGGCCACGAGTTTCTCCTATTCAAATCGCGCTTGAATTGTACTAATGGATCATTTGATTTATGCGCATCTTTAAAGCTCGAATGAACACTTAGACGACGATCATCAGCCAGACTGCTATCATCAAAGGAAGCTGAATCGTCACCAATTTGTAGAAAAGAATCCACCAACGACGACGATTGAAGAGACCGTTCACGACCACCACCAGTACGAGGACCTAGATGTGTTGAACTCATTCTTTCCTCCAGCATATTTTTTCGACTTTGTAAACCAAACCGTTTACTGAACCCTAGTGCATATCTTGAATTGTATGTTGACAATTGAATGTTGCTGTTTTGAATAATCTTGTCACGTAAACTTTCAAAAGTGTACAAATGGCTATCAACTTCATTTGCTCTGCTTCTCCTTTTTTCTTTCGACTTGGATTGATCGGCACTTTCATAGGGAGTGAATGCACCGCCTGCTTGAACTCCATAAAACAATTTGATCAATGTCTTTCCCACAAGGTAGTTTTTCACTAAATTATCCAAATCCAAGGTTTCCACATCAAGTGGACTCATAGTGTCGGCGAGTTTGGCAATTCGATTTCTAATGCCACCACTTTTGCCCTTAACATCATCGGGTTCCCTATTACTTGCTGCTGCAATTCGATCCTGAACTGATGTTTTCATGACATTGGTTAATTTTTTCAATTCCCTTTTCCCATACAGTCTCTTTGTAGTTGGTGACTTTTGTATTGGTGATGCCATTAGGTCGTATTCTTCAAGTCCTTCATTTCCGCTGTACGGCGAAAAATAATTTGAGCTTTTAGATGACATTAAACGGGAGTTGGTTGTGGTAAACAACTTATTCATTGTCTCCATATCCAATTTCCTTGTCTTTTCCAATTTATACTGCCTTTGAAACAGACCAACGGATAACATAAAGTTTTCAAAGTCAAAGGGATCTTTAGGTACATCCGAGATCCCCACAAGTTGTAATCGAAGTTTAATGCTAAGAATCAAACTGATTATTGCCGCCACTGTTCTCGCTGGAAGCACACCTGCCTTGATATTTGGTTTGGAATTGAAATGAGGTAATCCGATCAAATTCCACCAGCTGTTTATCGCTTCCTCGGTCTTCACGCAAAGCAAACCTGTACAATATCGTCCATCTAGTAGATCAAAATAAAACAAACAAGTCTGAACAACATTCACAAGCTCTCTGACGGCAAATTTCACGGGCTCTTTGAAATTGTAGATTTTGTACATTTGCCGAAACTTGTCTTCGCAAGCAGCTGATATTTTGTCTGTTGTTAGTGATACTGATCTACCAGTACATTGTAACCGCTTCAAATCAGAGTTGATAATGAACGGCGCTTCCATCTGTCTGGCGTCCCCGTTGGAAACCGGTATCAAGTTCAACTGAGGAGGAAGCGATGTCAAATTGGTAACAAAACAAACGTCATTCTTAATCTCACACTTTTCTTTTCTTGGAGGCTTGCTTGAGATTGTGTTTATGGTTAATAAATCGTGGTCACTATTGGCTCTTGTGGGAGTTGATTTCTCCACTGTCTTCATTCGTGAGTGGTTTTGGATCAACTCGGTAAGGTATTCTTGAAACCTAATTGGGTAATACTTTGTTGGCTTTTTGATGATGGTGAACTTGACTACTGCAATCTTGGACAGTTCATTTCCGGTGAAAGCAGTGACAATGGTACCAATGTGACGATTAATCACCCACTGCTCAACCAAGTACAATTCAAACCCCGTAACTTCAGATTCTTCAATAAGATAAAACTCATTAGAGTCTATGAAGTCCTTTTGAAAGTATTTAACTGCATTAAAGTCAGGAATGATGTATGTGATGAAATCGTTAGGATTATCTGACAAGTTCCCACTAGTCACAAAGTTTGTTGACGATACTGAATTCTTTTTGTATGGTTCATTGCTGTTCTGCGTAAGTTGTTTTGCTGCCTGTAGATTTTCAAATGAGCTACTCAATGACATAAAGTGGGAGGGAGGTGTGGAGCAAAAGAGTATGGATTGTCTTTAAGAGTTCTTTCGTTTTTTTTCTGTCTCCCTTTCCTTGAGAGTAAAGCCACAATAACTTCATGCAGGGAAAGATAATGGGGCCATACAAGAATGAAAATCTGGTTTAGTATGCTACTCTACACGACCTAATGGTGGAGTCAACATGGTTGTTATTGGCCTACGTACCCAATACTTGTTTATTTACATGGCCTTTTTGACAGTGTAAACAAAATACACGACTATCCGAGTAAAAGACTGTTTTGTATTGATTTGCAACCAATCCTAAAAATCTCCATGATGAAGCTCAAAGATAAGGTAGAAGATCTAGATGGTCATTCGAGTGCCCAAGGCACTTACTCTATTTGTTGGTTGTGTTTGTTCTAGTCCTTCATAATAATTTGGAAATCAATGTTATTGACATTCAGTGCGTTTTTTGGGCCGTGCTAATTCCATGTTCTGAGGGATTTCTAAGAGTTGATATGGGATGCAAAGTGAATGTCAAAACTAAAGGATTTGAGTGTGTTCGCATGGTCAAAACGAATTTAATAATGATTTTATGTAACCTGCTGAGTTCCTCGAAATTAGGTTCACCGGTATAAACGGTAATAAACATGCAGTTGATAGACTGTTCCTATTGAAATACAACATCTTCTACCAATCCTCGAATATTAAATCAGTTAATGGGTACCCTAAATTTTCAGGATTTACTTAAAGAGCAAAAATCAACCTTTACTCAGTTACATCCCTCCGTTTTTAGAAGTCGTAAACGACTCCTTATATGAATTACCCCCCTCGCATTATCTACACAATGGAATCCTAATCAAACATGCCATTTATATTGAAATCTATCATATTACTGAGCTATCAGAAACCATTGTTTATTGGGTCGCCGAAGATTTTGCAATTTTGAAAGATTAAAATGTGTCACAAAGATACAAGAAGTTCGGATATCGCCGCTTCACACAGATGGTCTTGGAGCAAAAACTAATTACAAAAGAGAGAAAAAAGAATTAAGTCCCTTTAATTGCATCTTTATGGCAATTTCTGTCTTGTGTGCCATGTTGGTGTGATGCAAGATGATATCATACATAGCCTCTACACACGGCGCTAAGTTTAGAATTGGAAAAGGGTCAGGCACTGAGACCAAATTGCTTTTAAGCATTGCTTTCTCCCCTCATTTGTTTTTTTTGTGATCACCTTGAAGAATTAATCTGTCGGGTTCTTTTGCGATTAGAAAAAATCACCTGTGAAAACAAAGGCAGTGAAGTAGTCAATTAAAACGTTCAGCGGCTATTGGACTGGTCAAAGAATGACGAACCCTCGAGGCGTTCATTCGCCGTTCAACCCTCGACTCACAATTGGATCTCTCTCACTGATAGACACAAAATAAAAAAGAAATTTTCAATCTCTTTTCTATCCAAATTTAGATAAGGGATAGAGATCCTGCATATAGGTGAAACCACAACAACAAAAAGGAAGCTTACGAATATTTGCAGTCACAAAGAACAGCAACCGACAAAGGAAGAAACAATTGTAGTTACTTGAAAACTGGTGAAAAATTAACAGTGTCGTATATATATATATATATGGAAGTGCGCCTTCTCTTCATCCCACTGATTAGTCCCCATTCTTTCATTCGATCTTCATCAATAATGACTAACATGTCCACCTTCAGTAGTGTCAAGAAAGTTCTCCTGAACGAACCTGTTAGATCACGATCAGTGTCAGATGAAGACAGCAGTGTTATTGAATCTGGCATTGACCAAAATGAACCAACAACTTGGTGGGGGAAGTTGATGAAGAAGCTAGAGGTGCAGCCAAAGGGGGATCTAACTACGGCGCAAATGTTTTTGTACAACCATGACTTGAGGCCAGTGGAGGAAGCAAGAAGACAATGGAGTTGGTACAATTATGTGTTTTTCTGGATTGCCGACTCGTTCAATATCAATACTTGGCAAATTGCCTCCACCGGAATGTAATCGCCCTCAAATATGAATTGGTGGATGACATGGTTATCAGTATGGCTCGGGTACTTCCTTTGCGGTATATTTGTGTCAATCGGTGCACGAGTTGGTATTCAGTATCACATATCGTTCCCAGTGGCAGTCAGGTCCTCGTTTGGAATCTATGGCTCCCTTTGGCCAGTCATAAATCGTGTTTTCATGTCTTGTGTGTGGTTTGCTGTACAAACTGCTGTCGCGGGCCCAACTTTCCTGTTAATGTTGCACTCCATCTTTGGTAAGAACTTGCCTGACAAAATTCCTGACCATATTAGCGACCCCGACTTGACCACGTATCAGTTTCTTGGAATTTTTTTATTTTGGTTGTTTCAATTGCCATTTATTTGGTTCCCACCACATAAGATTAGACACTTGTTCACAGTGAAAGCTTATGTTGCACCTGTGGCAGGATTTGGATTTTTGATTTGGACTTTGATTAAAACACATGGGTTAGGTGAAGTAATGAACAAGCCCAATGGGTTACACGGATCTGACCTCGCATGGGCTTTTGTCGAGTCGACTATGAATGCATTGGCTAATTTTGCCACATTGATTGTGAATTCTCCTGATTTCTCCAGATTTGCCAATAAACCATCCTTTGGAATGAAATACCTTGTTTACACAATTTCAATTCCAGTGTGTTTCTCGATCACGTCTTTGATTGGTATATTGGTTACATCAGGGGCACAAAATTTATATGGAGAGACATATTGGTCACCATTGGATGTGTTGGCAAGGTTTTTGGATAATTACACTTCTGGAAACAGAGCTGGCGTGTTTTTCATATCTGCGGCATTTGCGTTGGCACAATTAGGTACCAATATTTCGGCAAACTCGTTATCGTTTGGTACTGATTGCTCTGCAATACTTCCCAGATTTATCAATATTCGAAGGGGTGGTTACATTTGTGCATTCCTTGCATTAGCCATCAACCCGTGGAAATTGATATCCTCCTCGTCCAAATTCACCACTTACCTTTCTGCGTACTCGGTTTTCTTGTCATCAATTGCTGGTGTTGTTGCTTGTGATTACTATTATGTCCGTCGGGGATACCTCAAATTAACCCATTTGTACTCACCAACTGCTCCTGAAGATAAATCAGTCAAGTCAATGTATGCTTACAACAAGATTGGTTGCAACTGGCGTGCATATGCTGCTTATATTTGTGGGATCTTGCCAAACATTGTTGGTTTTGTTGGTGCTACAGAAACGCACAAAGTGCCCATTGGTGCAACAGAAGTTTACAGACTCAACTTTTTCATGGGTTTCTGTTCTGCTTGGATTGTGTACTCGGTGCTCAATTATATCTGGCCCGTGGAAACTGGTATTCCACCAACAAAGCCTTTTGAAAAAGGGTGGTATGAAGAATGGCAAGATGTAGAATCATTTGAGGAGGAAATGGTGGGTCGCGAAGTACATCATGGAATTGAAAGGTTTGAGGATGGTGATATGAGCTTAACTCAAAAGGGTAAAGAAGTGTAAAACTGGTTTTTATTTGCATACTTTCAGTTCTGTATAATGTTTGCTTTTGATTTAGATTCATTAGATTTAGTGTAATTGAGAACATTTATAGCCGATGTTTTTCTGAAGAGACCGCGGTTAGAAAATTTTCGATTTTTGATGGACCCAACTCACAACAATGTATGTACGAGCGGTGCGGTGGTTCTCCTTGAAGAACACCAGCAAGTATGTGTTGCCCAATGGGTATCAACCGCAGACATCAATCATCAAGTCTATACCATTTAAGGAGAGTTTGTCAATATGGTGGCGGTCGTTATCTCCAAATAGACTTGAGATATTGCAAAAAGCATTGGTGGAATTGATGGTGCCAAACATAGATGCAAACTCACATATAGAAAAGGGGGCCAAGAAAGTACCTATTGGGGAATCCGATCATATAAATGAGGTGCAATTTAAGATTATCAGCAATGAGTGCCTACCAACAAAACACATTGTTTTCATTCATGGGTATGGTGCATCATTGGGATGTTTTGCTCGAAACTTTCAGCTCATTGACAAGTTCAAAACAAGTAAAAAGTACAACTACCACGTCCACTATCTCGACAACATCACTTTCGGTTTATCATCGAATCCCAAAATCGACAATGAGCAAATCAGTTGGCGAATTCCCCCAACTGCCAAGATCAAGTTGATTGATAATGAACCAACTGATCCAAAGAAGTTGTATTGCAAGTACTACAAACTTATTGAAGGATTTCAGCTAGATCCAGAAAATTTTGCCCATTATCAGCAACATTTCAAACCAATTTTGCAAGATATGGAAAAGTTCTACACTTCTGCAATTGACAAATGGAGGGAGCTGTCGGGAATTGAAAAGATTGACTTTTTGGTAGGACATTCTTTTGGTGCATACTGGAGTGCTTCGTACTCATTGATGTACCCAGAAAGAGTGTCAAATTTAATCTTGTTATCTCCGGTTGGAGTAGAACGTCATGTGATGGCGTTAACCAATGATGATAAAATCACCACTGACGTTGTAAAACCAGTGTTGGATCCGACTTCGTACAAGTTTCTTAGTCGGTTCCCCATTTTATCCATGAATCACATATTGAATTGGTACTACAAGATCCCATTCTTACCGCGGGTGTTACCATTTTTGGGTCCCTGGGGTGTTCAATTGTATTTTAACATGTGGTTATCTAAATTATCCAAGATCAACAAATTGATACAAAAGCACGGTGGGCCAGAATGGATTTTCAACAACGTCAATGACTTGGTGTATGGTACCCCTAAAGAGATTAAGCTTATTGTGGAGTATCTATACAACTCAGTCTCCAATGGTACCAATAGTGACATCTATGTTAAGTACTTATTGACGCCAGCCACGGTAAGTAAATGGCCATTGTACGACAAGTTTATGGCCAAGATGAAGACAGACCCACAAGCATTCACGTTTAATACATATTTACTCTATGGACAGTACGACTTTATGAATTCAGAAGCGGGACAGAAGTTAGTTTCTAGATTGACCAAGGCAATACCTGCAAGCAAGTTTAGATATGATGAGATCGCTGAAGGTGGCCACAACCTATACATTGATAACCCGTTTGATACCAATAGAAAGATTTATGAGATTGCCATGGAGAACGAAGAGAGTGAATAACAATATAATTAGAACTATATATATAGACGTATACACGTGATCTGGTAGCTCCAATCTTTTCTAGCCAATTAAATATTTTATTTATCTCTATTACGCTAATTCTTACTTTCTCGCTACCAATGCTTATACCAACGAAAAAGTGAAAAGAAAAAAATTTAGAGCAAAAGCGTTAGCACAATTGACTGAGAAATCAAACGATTGGCACATATATATTTGGCTTACCAATTGGGGGAACTGTATTGCACCAATCTAAGAAGAAAACCATAGAGAATTGAAATGTCGTTCTTGAGAGATATATATGAAAGCATCATCCCAACTGCTTATGCTGATGAGGTATGTTAAAAAAACTGAAAAACGAGACAGAATGCACACTTTGCAAGTCCATATACTAACTATTTCTACAGCCAGCTGACGAGACTGAAGATGAAGTTGCCGATGACGAAGCTCCAGTTGAAACACCAGAAGACGCACCAGAGGAAGAACCAAAAGAAGAAGAAGTAGAAGATGGTGACGAAGATGAGGACGACGAAGACGAGGATGACGAGGATGAAGAGGAAAACGAAGACCCATTGGACAAGTTGAAAGAAGAGTGTGCCAAGACTGCTGCTTGTAAACCATTTGATCATCATTTCCATGAATGTATAGAAAGGGTTACTAAAGAACAAGAAGAGCCAGATTATGAACACAAACATTACAAGGAAGATTGCGTTGAGGAGTTTTTCCACTTGCAACACTGTATCAATGATTGTGTAGCACCTCGTATATTCAACAAGTTGAAGTAATGAGGGTGAAAGAGGAAGACAGAGTGAAAAGAGATCAAAGTTGAAACAATATCAATTATATATATAAATATTTGGCATCTTTTGTATTTAATAAAATTACGAATAAAGGAAGGGTGCAAAAGACGTCTACTGCAGTGACTTTACATAGCAGTGGAGGTTTAGAGAAGTAAGTGTGTAATTTCAGTGTTTATTGTCGCAAATACGTTTCTCACGACACTTGGTTGTAATTAATAAATGTCGTGAGATCATATGTTTTCTTTTTCAGTGGCAACCTAAAAAACCGACACACACTCACACACTCGCAAAGTCACCAAATTTTTTGAATTTTTTTTTCCATTCTCACACGTCAACCACAACCAACAAGCAAAAAACAACACATCACCAAAACTAGAGTACTTCTTATCTAGAGCACTTCTAATCAATCATCAAAATAAATAAAAAAAAAACACTCACAAATTGAGAACCATTGAATTGGGTATATAAGAGAGAAATCCTACTGAATTAAGAACAAAGCAAGAGAATTAGCAAAAAAAAAACCAAAATCATGTCTGAAGAAGTTAAAACTGTGAAACCAGTCATTGAAGATAGAGTCTACATTGGCAATGTCGACTACAAGGCTACTGAAGACGAATTGAAAGAATTGTTCAAGGATTTGAATGTGTATGTATATGCATGATAACCACCCAATGCTCTTGAATCATTTTGTACTAACTTTTTTTTTCTAGCATTGAAGTTGAAATTCCATTCAAGGAGATCACCAAGGGCGAGAGATCTTTCAAGAGACGCTTGGGATTTGCTTTTGTTCAATTTGCCTCAAGGGAAGATGCAGACAAAGCTGTCGCTGACTTTAATGGTCACAAGTTTAAGAGGTTAAACATTTTCCTTAAGAAGGCTGTCCCACCAGCAACCCCTGAAGAGAAAGAAGCCAAAATTGAAGCTTACAGAGCTCAAAGAAAGGCCAGAGAGGAAAAGAGAGAAGCTTTAAAGAAGCAAAGAGCTGAATCGCAAAATGCTTCCGATTCCACCACCACCACCAATGGTGGTGATGCTTCTTTATCGTCAGAAGGTAAAAGATCGGCCAATACCATTTTTGTCACCAATTTGGATTTCAAAGTCAATCCCAAGACTTTGAAACTGGAATTTGCTGAATTGGAACCGGTTTGGGTGCATATTCCAAGAAGTCGTGGAAGATCTAAAGGTATCGCTTTTGTCAGATTTAAGGATGAAGAAACCCAAAAAAGGGCTGTTGAATTATTTGACAAGAAGGATATCAATGGTAGAGAAATTACGGTTGATATCGCTATTGATTCTAAAAAGAAATCAGAGTAAATAGGCTGATAAAAATGAAAGTGAAAAGTGAGTTATAAAAATGCAAGGGTAGCAAATGTGTAGAATTGTAGAATCTCCGAAGCTTTTCGCTAATTTTTTGTTCCGAAACTGATGCAAAAAATAAAGAAATTGGAAGCAGCCTTCCCATTGTCCACTACTCTATGTGAATAGATTGCGCTCGTGGTTGGTGGCACATTACTGCTCCTCTATCGCAAAAAGAAAACAAGACTTTCGTTAAGAATAATAGAGCACTTTTTTATTTGCATTGTGGCGACGAATTGAGAATGGTTCACCTGTAGAACAAGCTTTTGAAGGGCTTCTGAGACCACATGAAAAAACAAGAGTATGACATCTTGACGCGTATTATTGATCAAGTTTACTTTATTACTTGCACCCTTTGCTTTAATCCATTGCTGGTACTTGGGATTCCTTCAGCCAATCGTAACTCTAATCATTTTCGGAATAACTTATAAATTAAAGTATGTTTGTGTAATAATTACTTTTTTTATTCAATACAAAAACACCAAAAAAAAGGACATTCCTTAGCCATAAGTATAACAGGTAAGGACCCGATTCAGTCGTGTCTGTATCTCATAATTAGCACACTGTTGACTAGAGCTGTGCTGCTCCAGTCGTGCATTGAATTGTGGCGTCAGACTTACTGGTCTTTGTACAAGTCGTGCCGTATAGGTATGGACCGCTTGAGCCAGCATTTTTCTCAGGCGCTTAAAAATATCAACTCAAAGGAGTATATTCTGCCCAACTTGCACAGAGTTGTTTCTTCTATTTACATTACAAAGAAGTCTCCTTCATCCCAAACACTGTTAAGTAGTACGACCATGTGAAGAAGTACTTCTTTATTCAATGGCCGCTTTACTGTTATATTAAACCACCCTATCTACACAAAAAAACATTCTGAGCGGGATTTTTATTTTATTTTTTTTGTAAAAAAATTCATTTTTAAGAATTATTATTTTTTTTCGTCTTCATCTTCGTCTTGTTCACAAGCTACTACTTCTTCAGTTCTTCTTATCCGAACTAGCTTTCAATAAGACAACTACTCTCAAAGACAGTCTTCGACTAATCATGTTGCATCAGCTGTCACGTAATGGCACTAGCAGTTGCCAATTCTGGGATTACGACGACATCACCAAATGTGCTAGACTAAGATTGGACTATTACCCACCACTACTATTGACTATCGTGTCGTTTGCTATACTATTCGCAAAGTCCCTTATATCATATAATAAGAAAAGACGAGGAGGTCAAATCAAGTTACCCGATGATTCTCGTCCACTTTTGGCAACTACCGATAACTATGGAGCTACAAACATATCCACAACTGATGATCAAAAACTCACTAAGGAGGATTTAAAAGTTTTGCATTTTGACCTTGCTCGATTGCCAGATACCAATATTGATGGAAGTTCACATGGGTACGTTAAGGAGGTTTTCAAAAATACGAGTGAAAGTTTAAGGGTTTCCGTTGAGTATGTATTGGTGATACTATCATTGGGATTACACTTGTCTCCCTTGATCAACCGAAAATTGGGCAAAGAGTTCAGAAACACTCATGTTGTGCTTGCCCAACTCATTTTTTGGGTGTACTTGTTCATCATTGTAACAATAAGAGTCATTAATATGAAAAGAGTTGCCATTAGATTACCAAATTTGTGGATACATACTACAGCACTCTATTTTTTCAATATATTCCCGGCATTATTGACCTTCAGGTCAGCCTTGATTACAACAACATTAAACAAAACCGGTCGAGAATACTATATTTTCCAATTTGTTATCGCTGCTTTATTATTGACATTAAACTTGACTGCTACCGTCGGTGACAAACCTTCTCAATTGTACATTGTTCCTGGTGTTGAGCCAAATCCTGAAAACATCTCAAGTATTGCGTCATTTATCTCCTATAGTTGGTTGGACAAAATGGTATGGAGTGCATACAAACAACCTTTAAAACTTCGTGATATTTGGGGGTTACGAGAGGATGATTATGCTTTATATGTATTAAAAGGATTTGAAGCGTCGAAAACTACCTTGAGGTTCACCTACAAGATTTTTTTCCATTTCAAATATCTTTTCGCAATTCAAGCCTTTTGGGCAATTGTCGAATCCATGCTTGTTTTTGGCCCATCAGTATTGTTGAAAAAAGTGTTGGAGTATGTTGCTGACCCAGACTCAATTTCAGCAAACTTGGCTTGGACTTTTGTATTTATGATGCCCATTGTTAAAATCTTGGATTCCATTTGTTCTGGTTGTTCATTGTTTCTTGGTAGAAGAGTTTGTGTTAGGATGAAGGCAGTTATAATTGGAGAAGTTTATGCCAAAGCCTTAAGGAGAAAAATAACTGTTACTGAAACTACTTCCGAAGATTCGTCTGTTGATGATAAGAAATCGTCAACGGATGAAGACAGTAGCGACGAAAAGGAGTCAAAAACTACAGCTGAGTTGGGTGCAATCATCAATCTTATGGCAATCGATGCATTTAAAGTATCAGAGATCTGTGGATACTTGCATTACTTTGTTGGTGCAATTTTGATGATCATCTTTTGTACTGTGTTGTTGTACAACTTATTAGGTTGGAGTGCCCTTGTTGGTTCCATGGCAATTGTGGTGTTGTTGCCAGTAAATTACCAGTTTGCTCAATGGTTAGGTAGATTACAGAAGCAAATGTTGGGAGTTACTGATAAGAGGATCCAAAAATTGAATGAAACATTTCAAAGCATCAGAATTATCAAGTTTTTTGCTTGGGAGGACAAATTCTTCCAAAGCGCAATGGATGTGAGAAATGAGGAATTAAAGTATTTGAAATATAGAGCTGCTGTTTGGTGTGCTGCATCATTTGTATGGTTTATCACTCCCACTTTGATTACATTACTTTCATTCTATTGTTACACGATCATCGAGGGTAACACGTTAACCGCACCAGTTGCATTTACTGCGTTGTCATTGTTTACCTTGTTGAGGTCACCATTGGACCAATTGGCCGATATGACATCGTTTGTTATCCAATCCAAAGTGTCGTTGGATAGAGTTGCTGATTTCTTGGATGAGGCTGAAACATCCAAGTATGATCAGTTGGCTCAAGAAAAGGGACCCAACTCTCCGGAAATTGGATTTGAAAAAGCCACATTGTCATGGAACGCACTGTCAAAATCTGATTTCAAATTGCGGGATTTGAATATAGCTTTCAAGCCGGGCAAATTGAATGTGATTATTGGCCCAACTGGTGCAGGTAAAACTTCGTTACTTTTGGCTCTTCTTGGTGAAATGGATTTACTTGGCGGTAAAGTGTTTTTACCTGGTATTATTCCCCGCGATGATGTGATCCCTGATGAGAATGGATTGACCGAATCAGTAGCTTATTGTTCACAATCAGCTTGGTTATTGAATGACACGATCAGAGGAAATATTACATTCGGTTCCCCGTTTAACCAAACACGTTATGATGAAGTCATTGAAGCTTGTGGATTGACACGGGACTTGCAAATCTTGAGTGCTGGTGATCAAACTGAAGTTGGTGAAAAGGGAATCACTTTGTCTGGTGGACAAAAACAAAGAGTTTCTCTTGCAAGAGCTTTGTACTCTAACTCGAGGCATTTGCTTCTTGATGATTGTTTGTCGGCAGTTGATTCACATACTGCTCTATGGATTTATGAAAATTGTATCACTGGACCTTTGATGCAAGGAAAAACGTGTATATTGGTATCGCATAATGTTGCATTGACAGCTCAACATGCTGAATGGATTGTCGTTATGGAAAATGGTAGAGTCAAGAATCAAGGTACGACTGAAGTTTTATTGGAATCAGGTGATTTAGGTGATGATGAATTGGTAAAATCATCAGTCTTGAACTCTAGAACGCAATCTTCTCAAAACTTGCAATCGCTTGATGACAAGAATGCTGAAATGAAGGCCAAAGCTGCCACGATTGAACAAAAATTGAAAAAGCTAAAGAGTAGCGAGGATGCAGAGGAGGAAGAGCCATTGATTAAAACTGATGGTAAATTGGTTGACGAAGAGAATAAAGCTGAAGGTGTGGTTAGCTCCAAGGTTTACCTCGATTATGCCAAAGTGTTGGGTGGCTGGAAAGTGTGGACTGCAATTTTCGTTACTTTTATCGCTTCGCAAATTGTGTATATGTATCAATCATGGTGGTTGCGAACCTGGTCGATTCATAGTGAAAATGACACTGCAATATTGAAGTCAGCAACCACATTAGTGGGACAAGTTATTGAGAGCTCTCATTTAGTTCAATTACCAGGAGTGCGCAATTTCATTGGTGCTGTTAAATACGTGCAATTCTCTGCCAACATGGTTGACCAAGTTGCTGAACAACATTCAACATTATATTACATTACAATTTACGGGATTATTGGATTTGCCTATGGTTTCACCGCATGTGTGAGAATTTTAGTAACATTTTTTTCCGGTATTCGGGCATCGAATCGAATTTTCAAAAGAGTGTTGTTGACAATTCTTCATGCAAAATTGAGATTCTTTGACAAGACGCCGTTAGGCCGTATAATGAATAGGTTTTCCAAGGATATTGAATCAGTAGATCAGGAAGTAACACCATTTGCTGAAGGGGTTTTCATTTGTGTTGTTCAATGTGTTTCAATCTTAATTTTGATTACATTCATTACTCCAGGGTTTCTTGTTTTTGCATTTGTTATTGCATTCTTGTACTACTTGGTGGGGTTTTTCTACTTGACTTTATCCAGAGAGTTGAAAAGATATGAATCCATTACCAAGTCTCCTATTCATCAGCATTTTTCCGAATCCTTGACTGGTGTTGCTACAATCAGAGCGTATGGAGTTGAATCGCGTTTCATGAAGCAAAACTTACAAGCAATTGATAATAACAATAGACCGTTTTTCTATTTGTGGGTTGCTAATAGATGGCTTTCTTTTAGAATCGATGTCGTTGGTTCATTGGTGATGTTCTTTGCAGGTATTTTTGTGTTGTTGTCAATTGGCAAAATTGATGCTGGTTTAGCTGGGTTATCGTTATCGTATGCAATTGCATTCAGCGAAAGTGCCCTTTGGGTTGTTCGTCTTTATGCAAACGTTGAAATGAATATGAATTCTGTTGAAAGATTGCAAGAGTACCTTGAAGTTGAACAGGAACCTCCTTATGAAGTGAAAGAAACCGAACCGCCCACAAATTGGCCGGAAAAGGGACAAATTTCGGTCAATGACGTTTCATTGAGATATTCTCCTGATTTGCCTCGTGTGATCAAGAATGTCACGTTTGATATTGAGCCTTGTAACAAGGTTGGAATTGTTGGAAGAACTGGTGCTGGTAAATCAACCATTATTACTGCATTTTTCCGATTCTTGGACCCTGAAAGTGGTTCGATCAAGATTGATGGTGTTGATATCACTAAAATAGGATTGAGAAATTTGCGTCAAGCAATCACGATTATTCCACAAGACCCCACTTTATTTGCGGGAACAATAAGATCCAACTTGGACCCCTTTGAACAATACACGGACGCCGATATCTTTGCTGCTTTGAAACGAGTCAATTTGATTAATTCTAACGAGCAAACACCATCATCATCATCATCATCAGCAGCAGCAGCCATGGCAGTTACTGAAGAGAATCAGAACAAATTTCATGATTTGGAGAATCCAATTACTGAAGGTGGAGGAAACTTATCGCAAGGAGAACGTCAATTAGTTTGTCTTGCTCGATCATTGCTCAAAAACCCCAAAATCATTTTACTTGACGAAGCTACGAGCTCGATTGATTATAAATCTGATGCATTAATCCAAAAGACAATTCGTGATGAATTTGGATCAAGTACGATCCTAACCATTGCTCATCGGTTGAGAACAATCATTGATTACGATAAAATCTTGGTTATGGATGCCGGTAAAGTTGTTGAATACGACAATCCATACGTCTTGATTTCTAACCAAGACTCGTTATTTTATTCAATGTGTGAGAATAGTGGTGAGCTCAATAGTTTGATTGCGTTGGCAAAGGAGTCATATGTGAAGAAGAAGAATCAGAAGCACCCAAAGTAAATAGAACGTTTTTTAATAGAGAGATTAATTACCATAACCCCTTGCATTGTAGGAATGTTCACACACATCGGAAAATACTGCCCACCTAGCGTAGCAGCAGAAAAATTCAATCTCGTAAAGTGACGTAGGTCTCTTCATACGGAAGCTCTTTTCTGGTTTTCTCATACTCAGGTGACGGAGTATTTGGAAATAAAACAATAACCAACCTCCATTTCCCCTATACTTCATATACCCCACGTAAATTAAGCAGCGAACAATGTAATATCCGTTTTTTATTATGTATTGCCAGATACGACGCGATCGCTTTTCAATGACATGCACCCCACTATTCGATATCGAGCGCGCAAAATGTTTTCTTTTTTTTTTTTTTTTTTTTTTTTTCACTCGAAATCACATATTTCCGTTCTTTCGGAAAATTTAAAGTGAGAGATACAGCTTTTGGGTATTTTATGTATCGGAGATTGAAAGCTCCATTAAAGCCGCCCTAGCAATTTTAATCCGTGATTGCAACAAAAAAATAAACCCTAAATACACAGGACAATACAACAATAAATTCATATGCTCCGTTGTTTTGATTGATATTAACAGTGGCGGAGAAATATGAAAATCTCTCATTATTTATAAAGAAGGTGGAATCCGCACAAGTCTACATCTTTACAGGATCCTACTAGTAAATAAGCACTTCACTACAATCAAGATGTCTACAATCACATTAACAAAAGATTCGCATGTTCACCCAGATAAGTATAGAATTAAATTGAAGGATTCTAATGGAGTTTTGAGTGGGGATGCAAAAGCTTTAAAAAACATTGATAACTCTAAACCAACAGTTCACACTTCATCAAATGTTGCAATCATTGGTGCTGGCTTCGGTGGAATGGCAAGTGCAATCAAGACTATGAACTCACTTAAAGAGAATGATGTAACCATTTTTGAAAGACATGACAATTATGGGGGAACCTGGTACGCTAATACATACCCAGGATGTGCTTCTGATATTCCAGCTGTTTGGTATTCCTTTTCGTTTGCATTGACTTCGAACTGGACCCGTGTTCAGCCTCCACAATACGAGATGGAGGAGTACATTTTGAGAGTTGCTGAGCAATTCAAATTGAGAGAAAAGACAAGATTCAAGACTTCAGTGGATGAGTGTGTATTCAATGAAGATACTGGTATTTGGACTTTGTACGCTCACGACATCACTACTGGTCAAAAAATTGAACACACCGCTAAAATCTTGTTATCTTGCACTGGTGTATTGATCCATCCTGCACATTTGAGAGAACCGGGTTTGGAAAATTTCAAAGGGGCATACATGCATTCTGCTCTTTGGGATCACTCAATTGACACGAGAGGTAAAAATGTTGTCGTGTTTGGAAATGGGTGCTCGGCAAACCAAGTCGTTCCAGCATTGTTAAATGATCCAAAGTATAGCGTCAATTCGTTAACCCAAATCGTTCGCTCAAAACACTATGTCATGCCTCCAGTGCCAAAAATTCTTATTTTCTTCTACAATTTGCTCAGAAATAGCTTTTTTGGTTTGCAGTTGGTGCGTTGGGTAACAATTACGTATGCCGAGCTTAGATTTCCATTATTCAAAGGAGAGAGTTTCTTGTCAAAATTGGTTCGTTGGGCACACAGATCCGCGTCAGTGAATTATATGAAGCAGGCTCCAAAAAAGTATTGGGATGCACTCATACCTGAGTATAAGGCTGGTTGCAAAAGGTTAATTTTCGATTACGGGTACATTCCTTCATTGAATGATTCAAGGATCGAACTTACTAATGAACGAGTTGACAGGATTGTGGCAGATGGAATCTACTTGAAAGATGGCAGATTTATTAAAGCAGATATAATTGTTGCCTGTACTGGATATGATGTGCCAAAAGCATTTGGTTTACCTGTCAAAACCAACAAGGGAGCTTCATTGCAAAAGATCTGGGCTGAGGAAGGTGTTGGCGCTTATCGTACGCTCTTGGTCAAGGACATTCCAAACTTCTTCTTGATTGATGGTCCTAACGCTGGTACTGGCCATGCATCAGTCGTTATGGCAATTGAGCATGGTATTGATTACTACATGAAAGTCGCAAAGCCTATTCTTCAAGGGAAAGAGAAATCCGTAGTGGTCAAACCAGAACCATACAATAATTGGTTCAAGTTGATGCAAGAGAAATTGCGCGAAAGTGTTTTTGGAACAGCATTTGGTGGTTGTTCTTCATGGTATGGAAATGGACAAGTCAATTTCACAACTTATCCATTCAGCCAAATTCACTACTGGTATATCACTCATTTTCCTAATTACAAGGATTTGATTTACAAACACAACGATAAGAAAAGAGTATAGAGGGTTATTTATAGTATTTAAAGAGTTTATAAAATGGAGTGATTTTGTATAAAAAGCAAAAAACCTGTTGTGGGCTTAATGGATGATAGAGTTGTAACATGATTGACTCTTTTGATTTGTTTCAATTTATAGGAGAATCCCCATAACGGAGAAATTTCCAAATTGGGAATATGAAGACAAAACGTCTGATTTCTGCTCTCTCCAAATTAGCTAATTTTTTAGTTGTGCCTTAAACTATCCCCCCACCACCACTTTGCAAAATGATTACTGGAAATCACTTTATCACATGCCTTCAATAACAGATATGGCGTGATGTGAGATCATACTTCGAAACATATATATATGATGGGTGATAACCTCTTGCAAAAGGTTGAAGATTATTGCTAGCCACTACTAGCTATCCTCTATGTCTACCATCACATTAACAAAAGATTCCCATTTGCATCCCGAAAAGTATAGAATCAACTTGAAGGAATGTACGGATGTGGTTGGCCCCAATCAGACAGCCTTGAAGAATTTCAACAATGACTTACCGACAATCCATACGTCTTCCAATATTGCTATTATCGGTGCTGGATTTGGTGGAATGGCAAGTGCAATCAAGACTATGAAATCACTTAAAGAGAATGATGTAACCATTTTTGAAAGACATGACAATTATGGGGGAACCTGGTACGCTAATACATACCCAGGATGTGCTTCTGATATTCCAGCTGTTTGGTATTCCTTTTCGTTTGCATTGACTTCGAACTGGACCCGTGTTCAGCCTCCACAATACGAGATGGAGGAGTACATTTTGAGAGTTGCTGAGCAATTCAAATTGAGAGAAAAGACAAGATTCAAGACTTCAGTGGATGAGTGTGTATTCAATGAAGATACTGGTATTTGGACTTTGTACGCTCACGACATCGCTACTGGTCAAAAAATTGAACACACCGCTAAAATCTTGTTATCTTGCACTGGTGTCTTGGTGCATCCTTTGCAATTAAAAGAACCGGGCTTGGAGAACTTTAAAGGAAAGTACATGCACTCAGCTCTCTGGGACCATTCAGTTGACTTCAAGAGTAAAAATGTTGTCGTGTTTGGAAATGGGTGCTCGGCAAACCAAGTTGTTCCAACATTATTGAATGGGAAAGAGTTTGATATTGCTTCACTAACCCAAATTGTTCGATCAAAGCATTATGTCATGCCTCCAGTGCCAAAAATTCTTGTTTTCTTTTACAATTTACTTCGATACAGTTTCCTCGGTTTGCAATTGGTGCGGTGGGTGACGATATTGGTGGCCGAATCAAGATTTCCTTTATTCAGAGGAGAGGGCCCTTTGTCGAAACTAGTTCGTTGGATCAATAGAGCCATGTCGGTCAACTATATGAAACAGGCACCAAAGAAGTACTGGGACGCACTTATTCCTAATTACAAGGTAGGTTGTAAAAGATTGATTTTTGATTACGGGTACATCCCTTCATTGAAGGACCCTAGACTCCATCTCACCAACGAGCGTGTTGACAAAATCGTGGCAGATGGAATATATTTGAAAGATGGTACATTTGTCAAGGCAGATATAATTATTGCCTGTACTGGTTACGACGTTCCCAAAGCTTTTACTTTACCGATTAAAACAAATAAGGGAGCTTCATTGAAAAAGATTTGGGATGAAGAAGGTGTTGGAGCTTATCGTACGATTTTGGTCAAGAGCATCCCAAATTTGTTTTTGATAGATGGTCCAAATGTTGGAACTGGTCATGCATCGGTTGTGATGGCAATCGAACACGGAATTGATTACTTTATTAAGATTGCCAAGCCAATTCTTCAAGGGAAAGAGAAGTCGGTCGTGGTCAAACCAGAACCATACAATAATTGGTTCAAGTTGATGCAAGAGAAATTGCGTGAAAGTGTTTTTGGAACAGCATTTGGTGGTTGTACATCTTGGTATGCCGATGGTAGAACCAATTTCACTACCTATCCGTTCAGCCAAATTCACTACTGGTATATCACTCATTTTCCTAATTACAAGGATTTGATTTACAAACACAACGATAAGAAAAATATTTAAACAAAACATCGGTATATAGTAACAACTATGTGTAGTGTAAAAGGGAGCGAAGTCAAACACATGTTTTTGTAAGACTTGACTTTGATCCATGTACCAAAAATGTTTGACCTCTCCTGCCGAACTGGTAGGGGGCCAACTTCTTGTGTGGCTCTTAAATTTTGTTTTTCCGCAATCGGGCGCGCGTATTGCCGTTACTCTCGCTCTTTACTATTTTCATTGTGGAAAGCCACACTAGAGATAAGGTTTGTCTCAAACCCAGAAATATTCATTGCTAATGCCACTGTTGTCAGAATCAAACAATACTGATGATAAAAGCTTTTCTACTTCAGTGCAGTCTACAGATCAACTTTGGGAACCAGAACTACCGCCTTATCCAATTGACACCCACCACATTCAACAAGAACACCTTTGCACCTGGCCAATCTCTAACAGTGTTGAAATGAACACCCTTGATAAACCTTACGATAGCAAAGCACCTGTATCAGAACTGTATGATGACTTGATTACAGAGGAGGAAGTTATTGCAGACTCAACTTCGTATCACCCTTCATCTCATCTCCAAACATTGGAGGATTTGCCTCAAGGCAGGCACTTGGGGCTATACTCGACGATAATTTTGTTCATCAGTAGGATCCTAGGAAGTGGGATTTTTAGTATCACATCGGGTATATACATTGATTGTGGACAAAGTCCATTCCTATTCTTTCTCGCATGGATCATTGCAGCAATCGCCTCATTTGGTGGCCTCTATGTGTTTCTCGAGATGGGGTCGTTGGTACCTCGAAGTGGTGGAGCTAAAGTTTTCCTAGAGTTCATATACACCACGCCCACGTTGTTGGCGACTGTTGCATTCTCCATATACCTGGTCATGTTTGGATTTACCATTAGTAATGTGTTGGTGTTTGGTGAGTACTTTATTCATGCGTTGGGGATTACCATTACCCCATGGAGGATCAGAATCTCTGGATTGTTGTTTCTATATGGTGCCGCTTTGATACATGGAGTCAGTGTCAATCATGGCGTCAAAGTTCAGAATGTCATCGGCGCATTAAAGTTGGTTCTTGTTGTAATTATGGTTGTGATGGGATTATATGTTACCATTCTTCTGCCTAACGTGACTAAATTGCAGAGCCATTTAGCATGGGATGATTTCTGGCAAGTAAAAGCCAAGACCAATTTATCATCCTTCTCCAGTGCTGTTATTAAAGCGAGTTTTGCATTCAGTGGTTGGAATTCGGTACATACTGTCTCTAATGAAATTCAAGATCCCATCAGGACGTTTAAAATTGCGGGTCCAGTCTCGCTTGCAATAATGGCAGTTACCTATGGTATCATCAACTTGGCGTACTTGATAGTCATACCTGGTCAAGAGATTGTCAATTCATCAACACTTGTTGGGTCCATTCTATTTGAAAGGATTTTGGGAAAGAGTCTCGGACGGCATTTCCTCACTTTTGCTATTGCTATATGTGCTGGAGGAAACATTTTTGTCGTCATCTACACGATATCCCGTGTTGATCAAGAGGTATTCCGTGAAGGTTACTTGCCATTTTCAAAATTCATGTCGTCCAATTGGCCATTCGGGGCACCACTTCGAATTCTCATCTTAAGCTGTGCCATCACAACGGTTATCATTTTGGGTTTTCATGAAGGTGATGTTTACAGTTACATGGTGTCATTAGAAGGATACCCACAACAAATTGCCATTGCGTTGATCGCAGTTGGTATATTCATCATTCGTAAGCGTTACCCAGATCTACATGCTCCGATCAGAGCAGGCTATTTTGGTACAATAGCGGTTTTATTAATCAGTATTTACTTGATTGTTGGCCCATTCATTTCATCTACTTCACCAAATCCTAAGGGGTTGGAGAGTTGGCCAAACTATGGACTTGTAGGACTGATATGTGTCTTTTTATGTGTATTGTATTGGGCATTTATGTTCAGGTTACTTCCGTGGTGGGGAAACTACGAATTGGTAGTTGAAGAGACAACTTTGAGCGATGGGCTAACGATCAAATCGTGGATAAAGGTTCCGTGCCCCTCCGATTCTCATCATGGCCCTTTACTCGGCGAATCCGTCGGATAGTTTATAGACAATAGAACAACAAGTCTTACAAAGAAGCTTTTTTAGTGCATTGCTTTCTATCACTATAAGACTCATGAGCTAATCATCAATATTAGGTTCAACATTAAGCTTTATGTATTCTTCAACATCATTAAGGTCAAACACCAATCCCATCAATTTATCTTTATGCTGGTCGACAAATGCATCATTGAACTTTAAAGTGTTTGTGATTACCATGTCCCTAGTCAATTGTGCTCCAGGCCCCTCTCCAGGTGTTGCAGCATTGCTCAATAAAAATTGAAACAAATCCCACACTTTTTCCACGTATCTGAAAAAATTATCTCTTGAACCGAAATATACATCGGTGATATACTTCCAATGTTCCGAATCGCACTCATTTTTCAAATGGTAAAGCAAGTCAGTCAAATCCTTGAATTCAAATGGAGGTTTATGATTTTGTGAGTTACCATCCAGTTGTCTTTGTACTGTAGTTGGTTCTTCATTGAGAACATGGTTGGCGTCAATCAAAAAATCGACATTAACGCGAAACACGGGGATGTACGTGTAGTATCCCTTCATTGCAGGGCTAACAATAAACTTATTCAATGTCATTTGAAATGATTCAAGAGTTTCACGATAAACTTTGTCTAAACGAATCTTGTAGGTAACGTTGTTCTCTCTTGTCTTTTGAAGAAGCACGTACTTCAAAAATATCAAAAACAATGACTGATACGTCAAGCATTGCAAGAATGCCTTTATGAAGTGTAACGAAAAGTTTTCAAGTATAAAGTCAACCAAATTGTCCCCTGCTCCTTTGCCCTTGTAAAATTTATCAAGTAGATTGAAATGATTATTCAAATTCATCATGGTTGTCAAAAACGACGAGTATCTCAAACTCGGAAAGTAGCTGGACTCAATTCGAATGAACGATAGCCACCTAACAAACAAGAGCAAAATTTGTTGGTTTTTGAGTAAAGTCTCCACATCCGTTTTTGTCACCTGCGGCTCCGAAACTCCTTCTACCACATCACAAAACTTCTCTTCCACTCGCTTCAAGTCATCTCTCAATAATATTGACGCATTGCTGTACAAACTCAAGTAGTCCTTGACTATACGTCTTATTGATGTGGATTGACCCGACCTCGTGTAATAAAGACTCCAAATGGCAATTTGGTGTCTTGTCAACGGAGAATTAGCAAAAGCCCCCTTAGGGCCATACATGCTATTCAATACGTCAGCATGAGGGACGATAGAGTTCTTTAATTGATTGGAAACCAACATTGAACCCTTGTATTGGAAGAATGTAAATTCCAATTCAATCATCCGTATTTGGATCCAATATTTGCCTAATAATCGAAACTCTCGAGTTCTAGGGTAACTTCTCTTCCTAACCTCCAGCAGAGGAGGTTGCGGACTATCTTCGGGACCCTGTACCTCCGCGTTAACGTCCTCAATCAAAGCAACAAAATCATTGTTCAACACGAGATAATTCAACAAGTTGTTGAACTCCAAATAATTCTCAATAATAACATTGTCATAGGTGTACAAATTTTTTATAATAAAGTACCAATCCATCAAATAAATCAAGTCTGTCAATGACTCATAGGACAATAGCTTTAGTTTGATAAACTTTGCAATTTTGACCCAATCCTGAATCAAATCGTGTTTATAAACTGTTCTCAAATCGAAAAGAAAATTACATGGTATATTCTCCTGTCTCTCAAACACAAATCCACTAGCAAGGATGAGGAAAACTAGAGATAAATTCCTCAATTCTACCACATTAAATTCAACGCTTTTGCTCAAATTCTTGACATTGTCATCGTCAATTGAAACTAATTTTTCGTAGACGGCCCGTCCCACTCGCATAATCTCGTCGTGATCCTGGATGTCCAAAAATACTGAGTTGATGGTGTTTAAGTATAACTGATAAATATGCTCAATAGCTTCAAATTTGCTGGGCAATAGTCTTTTAATCCTTTTGACATCCACCATGCTTAGCTCAATATTCTTTTGATAATCCTTTGCAAGCAAAGTTTCAATCAAATCACCCTGTGGCTGTTTATTCTCGACCGATGGCCTTGTTTCGACATCAAAATTTGACGTAATGTGCGAGATGGGGTGATGGGACATACCATTATTTGTTTCGGGTTGCAAGTTGGAAAAATGGGATTGGCGTATGTGCGCCAAGGTAAAGTTTTCACTACCCCCTTGTCGTTGCAGCTGTTGCTGTACGCCTTGGTCCAAATATGATCTCAGCTGTTGTTCCATAAGAATTTTGCTTGACTGAATCGATGAAAGTAATGACGGAATTGAGTTTTGGTTGTCATTAAATGCGTGCACAATATCATTCGAAGTTTTCAACCGTTTGTGCATCGTTCTTTTCTTTCGTTCTTTAATCTTGCTAAGCTCCTCTTGTGATGGAGGTTGCGGTGGTTGCAATAGGCATCTATTAACACGTTTGAACTTCTTGCATGAAGTGCAAGGGATCTGCAAATCGCACTTAATTTTCAACATCTTGCATGGCCCACAACTGTAACTCCGTCTCTGTCTCTTTGGCTTGTTTGGGTTATGCGGATCATGGTCGGAAATGTAACTATTGCTAGTTTCATCAATGTTGAAATGTCGGTGCTGTGTATTTGGGTAGTGGGACATTGGCATTGGCGATGGCGATTCCGTTGAGCCTTCGTTACTGGTCTTATCGTTTGCATTAGACAGTGGTGGATCGGGCTGTGGAGATTGTAGTGCCGCCGAATTGGCCAACAGTGTGTTTTGATTAGATGGTACATGCCGCTCCGAGTGTTCCACATTGTTAGATGTTGTTGCACTTGACTCTCTGGTCGACGTTTGTGGCTGTTGTGAGGAATCATCCATGATTGTACGAATATCCATAATTGACAGTCGTGGTGTACTTAATGGACTGGGAGAAATCTACCAACTTCTCGTGGAACTCGTTTCAATGCCTATCAACCTCTTTAAAAGACAAATTCAAGCCCTTAGAAGCGAAATAAAGTGTTTCTGAGTTTGCGTAAACTTCCAATAATTCTAATTTTCTGTTTCCTTGTTCTCTCTGTTGTGTTTTCTCTTCCTATAATTTTTTTTCCTTCTTTTTTATTTACTTTTCTTTTTCCTTTCCGGCGTTTGGCAGTTTATAAATTTTTAACAATCTTTTGTGTTTTCATGGAAATTATGCAACGCCCTTAATCCGTGACTATAATTGAAAATGCCTTTAAAGAGGTATAGCAGATCAGGTGGTAAAGGGTTGCAATTGAAGTGACACCCGTGTTCTTATATTCTATGACAGATAACTTGAACGGTTTTTGAGTTAGACGGATGCTTTGGCATGAGGAGCACTTTGCTGTCGACGGCTAGTAAATAATAAAGAGTAACATTAACAGAACCCGACTGATTGCGCAATTACTTGACATGCAACCTCCTCTTTTAATAATACCTCGGCAGATTGTGTGCTTAAAGCGCGGAAAGCATTCAAGACGGAGCCATTGGTTGTCATAACTCCGATCCGGTACAGACCATAATTCAAATATGTATAAGATCGAATCGAAGGCTACGTTTTGGCACCTCTTAATATTTGCAGAGTGACTGCACTACACATCCATATAAGTAGCAACTGAACGAACCTGCTTCGTGCGTTTAATTTTAGCCAAGAGAGATTTACTTTGGTGCAACATCGGATTTATAAAAAAATAAAAAAAATTCACATGTGCTTTGTGTCATAAATTCAGTGAGGCTTTTGACTCAATGGCGTTGTACAAGAATAATGGAGAAGGAAAATACGTACCTAACCAACAGAAGAACACACCAGAACAGACTTCTCTCTAACCGTGATGACCTATTCAAATACTTGGTTGGAGATAGATGCATACTGAAGAACAGACTAGTTCGAGCCACAGATCATTATAAAATCATATGATCGAATTAGGAGTATAGATCACGAACCCAGTTGCATATCCGGTTGCTTGTGAAACCCCTTGGCATCTGTAGTCAACACACTCGAGAACTCAAATCAATACGAACATATTTCTCCCTTACTGTTGATATTACCGAGGAAATGTACCTCTTGCAAGAGAATTTTGTAAAATCACGCAATTACAAGTTATTATTCCGATCGGGCGGAAATGTTTTGTCTCACTGATTATTGGTAAGTGCTTATATAATGAAGCTGAACGGTATTATGTAATACACGTTTCAATCCCAATTTTATAAGTAAGGCGTGGTAATAACATTATCATTACTTTGTTTGGGTATTCTATAAATCCAATTTGACTGCCAGCAAGCATTAATCATACCCAGCCAATGAGATACTCGTGCCACAGCTCTAAAAGTTTGTTTTTGTCTTGGGTACTGCTTTATGTAGCTTGAGAAATATCAGGAGGCTATAACACTTTCCACATGCTAGGGCATATTGATTGGAATTCAGTGAAAAAAATGGTATTTGTTTGTTTCGCAAGATCGCATGTCATCTCTTTGTTTATTTCATGTACGACCATTGGTAGTGGTGGAGGTTGCGCCTTAAAAAATATAGCAAAGGAATTCGTAATTTCAATTCGGTAAAGATAAATACGTACAAATAAACACTCAAAGCAGATAATCGGGGTGGACTTTTGATGGTCCTAATGACTTATAAGATAGCACGACCAATTCAGAATTCGAATACATTTTTTGAAGCTTAATATCAATTATTTTATCCCCATATAACACACATAAAGAATCCTTTCCTCCAACCCATTTTGCATCATCATTTTGATGATGGTATCCATCAGCCCCCGGAGGTAGATTTGGGCTAAAGATAGAAGCTATACCTAGAGATATTTGGCGAGCCAGAATACAGTCTCGCGAATGCCACCAGTTGATGCTAGCATTGTAAAATAGGTTACATAGGTGGGGAATATAGCTCTTTCAAACCGATCTCGGTTGCACCAAGAATAACAGCTGAAGTTTTGTACGGATGCTAAAACTTAAGGAGCGTGCAAGTGCTCTGAGATAACATTTATCCAGGTCGATATCTAGCTGAACAAGGTTTGCATAGACAGTGTCTAATGGGCGAGGGGAGAACAATCCGTCAACATTTGGTCCTAGATTGCCTTGAATAAATAGCTCCTTAAATCTTGAAATGTTGAGAAACTTGCTGATTATAAACTGGTTCAGTGGGGAAATGAAACCACACAAATATAACTTTTTTTATTTAAGCTTCGGACCAAAACCAAGATTCTCTCTAACAAATCTCCCAACTCGTAGATGTACAAGGTATTTAGATTGGGTAACAGGGCAATCATTTGAACAGTTTGAGCCTTGTGTAGATATTTAATTCTGAACTTTGAAATGTCTCGTTTAATCTTTTTCATAAGGCGCCAACTAAACCCATCAAGAATATAAAAGGTATTTAGCGTCGAATCGCCCATAATAGCTATTCCGACACATGAAAATAGACCTAAATCTTCAAAATATTCATTAGGCGCATTTGTGCAATCTGAATCAAACTCAAGGTTCTTTGTATTTTTAAAGTGCTTGAATAAGCAATCGAGCAATACAACGTAATGCTCCTTAACTTCGAAATGAATAATTTTTATATTTCCATCCATTCTTGCTAAGTAACGCTCAAATGTTTGTGACGAGATTATTGTGTAGCGATTACTTTTTAAGTTTTAATATTCCTAGGGTATCTGAAATTGCGTTTTTGCCCAGCATTTGCTTCACAGCTGATGCTACATACTTCTCCAACTCTATACACATAGATGTTTTTGTATAGCTTTCGCTTGGTCACATATTGCAATTTTGAATGCAAGGGTGCTAATGCCAAAACCTGATGTTGGTTTATTTTCTGAAAAATAACGTCTAGAGTCTTACAAGGTGAACATATCATAAATACCATCATATTGCATGACAAATTGTCCACAAACTTTGGGTGGGGTCAAATAGCATCTCATAGATATATATATATATATGCTCCGATGTACCCTCCTTTTCAATTGAGCCAAACTTCAGGAACTTATAAAGAGTGAGGTGCAAGACAATTACACAAAACGCAAGCCGCACCAACGAACAATCCATTTTGCTCGGTAGATTCGTAGCCAGTTTTGCGAATTATATCTCCCATATACTCGACGTCAAACAATTTGTTTGCATCATCACTATTGTCCTCATATCATTATCATCATGTGTGACTCGGCTAGGTTCAATCAAATATTCAATTTGTCCTCAGCAAATCACAGTACAGTACCTCCTGGTCTTTCTTCACTACGCACGTCAATCACACCATTTTTTTCATCAACATGAAAAACTGTGGCGCTGGCATATTATCATTGTCATCAATTGATTATAAAAAGGTATACAGTTTCCGGCACAATGATTTCTTTCCAATCTGAGTTACCGCATCATTTTCGCCGTATACAACCATGACAATTGAGAAAAAGAGACCAAATTTTCTAATCATCGTGGCTGATGACCTAGGATTCACTGATTTATCACCTTTTGGAGGTGAAATCAATACACCCAATTTACACAAGTTGGCTACTGAAAATGGAATCAGGTTAACTGATTTCCACACAGCTTCAGCTTGTTCCCCTACAAGATCTATGTTGTTGAGTGGTACCGATAACCACATTGCAGGTTTGGGCCAGATGGCTGAGTTTGCCTCACGTCAAGGTGACAAGTTTAAGGGTAAACCTGGCTATGAAGGGTACTTGAATGATAGGGTTGTTGCCTTGCCTGAGATTTTACAAGATAACGGCTATCACACGTTCATTTCGGGCAAGTGGCATTTGGGTTTGAAGGAACCTTATTGGCCAATCAAGAGAGGATTCAAGAGATCGTGGACTTTGTTGCCTGGTGCTGGTAATCATTACAAGTACATAACTCGTGACGAGACTGGAGAGCAGGCTCCATTCTTGCCCAACTATTATGTTGCCGATGACAAAGAGTTGAATCCAGAGAAGGATTTACCTGATGATTTTTATTCCACCACAAACTTTACCGATAAGGCAATTGAGTTTATTGATGAGACACCAGAAGATGAACCTTTTTTTGGCTTTGTCACTTACACTGCTCCGCATTGGCCATACCAGGCCCCACAAGAAAGAATTGCCAAATACAAAGGTGTGTACGACTCCGGTCCCGAGGAGTTGCGTAGAAAGAGATTGGCAAGAGCTTTAAAGTTGGGGATCATTGAGAAAGATATCAAGCCACACCCAATTACAACCATTCGTAAGGATTGGAAAGACTTGACTGAAGAAGAGAAAGCTGTTGAAACCAAAATTGTTCAGACATACGCTGCAATGGTTGAGATTTTGGACGAGGAAATTGGAAGATTGATTGACCATTTGAAGAAGAAAAATGAGTTGGATAATACTTTCATCTTGTTCATGTCTGATAATGGGGCTGAAGGTATGATAATGGAGGCATTGCCATTAACCAATAAGAGAATCCAATCGTTTGTTGAAAAATATTACGATAATTCTTTTGAAAACATCGGAAACTACAACTCTTTTACATTCTACGGAGATCAATGGGCACAGGCAGCTACTGCACCTCATTCGATGTACAAAGCGTGGTCGACTGAAGGGGCCATTGTTTGTCCCTTGATTGTTCATTACCCGCCATTGTTGAAGGATCAACACGGTAAAATTTTCAAACAATTTACAACGGTGATGGATATATTGCCTACTGTGTTGGATCTTGCTGGTATAAAACATCCTGGCTCAACCTACCGAGGAAGAGATGTTGCAATTCCACGTGGTAAATCATGGGCAAGTTACATTTCAGGAAAGGCATCCTTCGTGCATGATGAAAATACTGTAACTGGATGGGAATTGTTTGGTCAGCAAGCAATTAGAAAAGGCCAGTATAAAGCATTGTACATTCCCAAACCATTTGGTCCTGAAAAATGGCAATTGTTCAACATCATTGAAGATCCAGGTGAAACTGAAGATCTTACTGAGAAGAAGCCCGAAATTTTGAAAGAATTGACTGATCACTGGGCAGTGTATGCTGCGGAGACAGGGTTAATAGAGTTGGGACCCGACTTCTTCAAGGTGGAAAAGGGTGCTGGAGAAACGCCAGTTTATAGAACTATCGAAGATATTTAGGATGAATTTAATTATGTATTTTAAGAAGATTATTAACTAGAGCTTACGCCGCCGGGTTTCTTGTCTTTTCGTAGGTTGTAACAGTGTCCTTGGCTCCCTTTTCAGCGGACTGTGGGTTGGCACCGGTTACGAGTCTACCATCAATGACAGTGAACGAGTCCCAATCTCCTTTAGGCGGCACATATGTAGCTCCCTCTTTTTTGGCAACACCCTCCATTGTGAGCAAGTTGTGTTTTTTGATTGAGTTTGTGAGATGCAACTTTTTCTCTGCACTGTCAGTGAAACCAGTCACTCTTTTGCCTTTAATCAATGGTTCACCAGTTGCTGGATCAATAAGATTTTCAAAAATAGCACCACCATGACAAACTGCAGTCACAACGCCACCGTTATCATAAGTATCGGCAGCAATTTTCTGTAATGATTTAGCATTTGGGTAATCAAACAACGTAGCGTGACCTGCACTAGCGAAAAAGATGTCAAACTTTTCATCTTCTACATCTGATGCCTTTTTCACATTCCTCATTGCTTTACTAAATGCTGAACTTTTGTTGAGAAAAGCTGTGTAAATGTTCCCCAAGTGGAATGATAAACTTTCGAAAATTATACTATGGCCGTCCCAACCGTATGTCCCCGTTTCGGACGCAATTGTTACTTCATAACCTGCTTTGGTGAATTCCGTGTATGGCTCCAATACTTCGCTGAAATAAACTCCTGTTTTGGAACCCTCTGGATAAAATTTACCGTGGTATGAACTAATAGCAAGTAGTACTTTAACCATTGTTGAAGTTAATTGGAGGTGCCTGAAGAGATTAAAAAGAGACGCATGAAATTGTAGAGAGTATTTATAGGCTGTTAATAGTCATACATTGCTCTCTATTGCTTACAAATTTTGTGGATTATAAAAGGCTATACATGACATTGTTCTAGACGGATTTGCAAAACCACATCCGAAACAGGCAATATGTTCTACTTTTGTGTAAACAGACTCTACTTGACTTAGTAATGGAAACTCCATCGAATTGTTCTTTTCTCTTCGAATCCATTGGTATTGAGAAGCTCTGTCTGCATGTTGTGTCAGCGATGCGGTGCTGTTGATTTATTTCGTGTTAAGTATCACCCAGTACAACAGTATTGCTACAAGCTGCAACACGGAAAGCAAATCTTATTTTTTTTAGCCGTGCATTACTTTCCGTAACTTGACACAAAAAGTATTATCATTTTACGGTGGTGATGTTTCTTCTCCAATGAATATCTTGTATTTGTCACGTAACTCATTTGCTCTACCATCGCTTTTGTATTGAGACATTATGCCATAGTTAATCGTACAATATCGATAAGGAAGCAAGAGAGCGTCATTCCAAATTCTCATTTTTACATAACCCCCCCATTATATATACACCATTATCCCTCATTGCAACACTTCTTTTAAGTTTACTTCGCCTGTTCCTCTTTGCAACGGCTGGGGTTGCGTGTCACTCTTTTTCCAGCCAATCATGAAGATGATGTTGAACGTGGCAGGAAGTAGCACTTGCCCGTCAGGCTGTACTTCCCCATGCAAACTTTTGTAAATTTGATTAGCTGCCAACAACACGTCTTTGGGTAAGTTGTGTGCTCTAGATAAGACTGCGTTTTGCTCTCCCATAGCTTGTAAATCTTCGCATATGGAAACAATATCAGGAAATCCCCCTACAACGATATCCTCAGAATCAATTGTCAATATGCTAAAGCCAGCTTTATTCAAAAGGGACCCTACATCATTCAAACGAACCAATGGTGACATGCGAGGAGAGATTCCTCCTTTCCTTTCGAGCTCGGCCAATTGCAATGACGTGCGTAGTTCGTACAAGGTATCACCACCAAAGAGAGTGCCCATAAACAAGCCATCAGGTTTTAGTATCCTGTTGATGTTTGCTAAACTCTGTGGTAGGTCATTTATCCAGTGTAAACTTAAATTAGATACTACCAAGTCAAATACATCTGATTTTTTTAGTATTTCGTGATCGAATTTCTCCTCATCTCCAACAACCTTTGTCACTGTTCCTGGAAACTGAAAGTCTAATTTCTGGTCAATGTCTCGATCCAACAACTCCTTTGAAGAATCAAACAACACAAGGTCTTTGATCTTGGCTCGAACTAAATCTTTGTCTTTATTCAATTGGTCAATAATTTTTTCCTCAATCTCATCGCCTTCCAATTGTCGTGAAACATAACTCTTTGTACAAAGCTGTTTTAGCAAATTTCCACTATGACTGCCAAAATCTAAAGCTTTGTCGAATGGTCTAGTAATGAAGGCCAATCGCTCAATTGTCTCAATAGCAACTTCGTCTCTCAAGTATTCCTTCTTTCGTGATAATCCAGGATCAAGTTTCGGTGTCCTTGACCGCTGCAAAAGTTTAGCAGATCTGTCAAACACATTAAACTGGGGTTTTACCTTGGCTGCCGTTGCAAAGTTCCGAGAAATAGACGACATCGTTAGTGATATTGTTTTAATACCAATTTGGAGAGCAGGAGAGTAGGGAAGAGAGCAAGATAAAAAAAAAAAAAATTGGTTCTAGGACTGCTGTGCTCTACATGTTTGGCACAATTCATCGATGGAGATTCTTCAACATATCTTCCTTAACCTTTGACAAGTACCGGTCGCCTCAATTACGCCCAGTGGGTATGCTGAGCTGGCGCTTCAAGTTTCGTGCTACAATTTCCCACATACATTTGAGGCAGCATAGTATTGTGGTGCATAATCGGAGAGGTTCAATACCAGAGACTAGATTGCCCCAGCACTCCAATGAGTTACCGGTCAGCTCCAAAACCCTACAATCTTTGTCCGAAATTTATGATCGGGAGAGTTTCATTGTATTCGTTGATCAACTTCCAAATTCTGCATTCAGTACGTTCCTCAAAGACTGTGCTAAATGTGACTTCAATATCACCAACAACATGTATATGCTGGTTAGAAAGGCGCAAAAGAATATGAGAGCGAGGAACCTTGTAGATTGGGCATATGTCTACCAATTTCGATTCAACCAATCTCAAGTCGGAATTTTGAACTACAATCTCAATTGCAAAAAATTGCTCAAGAAAGAGTTTGTGCTGTTATACAATCTGAGCTACATTAGCTGGCTATTGAATACCAGTCAAGAAGAGAATGCTTCTCAATATGTGATTCAACTCCTCAAAGACTCGGAGATTCCGTTACCTTTAGTATTCGAGACGCTACTCAAGACCAGGGATACAACGAGGTTGCATACGGTGTTTGAACACTTTGCAAATGAGGAAGTTGACCTTTCAGATGAATTGTGGACACAAATTTTACAAGTTGGTTTAGAAGTAAATGATTATAAGATAGTAAAAGAAGTGTACTTGCGCTACATTATGAAGGGGTTTTCGGGTGGGAGGATCACCCTAGAAGAAGCTGTCTTGTCCTTGATTCCCAACTCAAATAAGATGCTCAACTCATTGACAAATACACTCTTAATGCATGTACTTCAAGTATTGGCCATGCATGGAGATACTACCCTGACGATTGATTTGATTGAAAGTCATTTCTTTCACAAAGTGGTTGCAGGGGGCTCAGCTTTGAATAAGGATCTTTGTGTCAGAATTATTGAAAGTCATTGTTATAGCATCGAAAGCAATGAATCATCTTTTGAAAATATTTTGGATTTGATTGATGTATTTGCGAAAAAGGAAATGAATGGCGATACGATTTCTGCCGATTTGTTCCAAGCAATGAATCACAAATTTGCAAGCTACAAATTGAATAACCAGATGTCCGAGGCTGATATCATAAACCCACAAAGCGATGGTCAAGCTCTTCCCCTAGCAAAGACTACTGTTCTTCATGACTTTGTTGTTCAAATCATGAGCTATGTCCAGCATCTACATCCAACAACAGCAAAGATTTTCATCGATTGTTTATTGAATTATGTGGCCACGTACTTGAACCACAGTGGGATGGTACAAACACTATCGGCAATACATTACGTATCCCCTGATAGCATAAAAGAATTGAATGAGCTATCTTTCAATCTGATCTTGTACTCCCTATCCAAGTCTTCTTCGAAACGGTGTGCATCACATTACCTTAACTATATGAAAAGTATTGGTTTTAAACCATCTCCGCAGATGTATTCATGGATGATAAATTGCGCATTGAGGGGCTATTACGAACCATCGGTGCTATATTTTTTAAAGCAATATTATAAAGACCATATCACTTTGCGAGGAGTTATGAAGCAAACTGTCCAAAACTTGCCAAACAAGGGAATCATTGGAAGATTAAAGCAACAACTAATCGAAAATGATAGCGTTGGCACGCAACTCAATCTACTTGGTGTTGATACAAATGAGGATATTTTTTTGGCTGTAACTGGCCCGAAACTTGACCGTAAGTATCATGCAACTTATGATTTGGACGACTTGGCCAAGTTGAAAGTAATTTTTCCTGTATATTGAATCATCATCCACTTATTGCGGCTCGAATCTCTTCTTCATTGATTTCAATTGTCTCTGGTACTTTGCCGTTTGAGTTTGCATTTTCCTCAAATGAGTCACTGTTGATATTTTGCAACGTTACTGAATTCATGGAACTCATCATTGTGGAATCGATGGCCATACGAAGTATATTGTTTGCATGGCAAGCAAGATCGTCGTCGACTTTACCCCTTCTGCGAGTTGGCGAGTTTTGTTCTGTCTGTCGTGAAGTAGTCCATGGTGACGTTTTTTGTTTGTCTTCAAAAATTGGGAAATTCGCCTTATTTTGAATAGCTGGTTGGTTGAGATTGTTCAAGGAAGCTTGTGGAAGCTCAATTTTGATTCTTGACAAAGTTCTCCGGCTATTGACTAAAATATCGTGTAATGGGTTTGTAAATTTTTTATCAGTGAAGATTTTACCCACGGGTTCGTCATTGTAGTCATAACTTGTTTGTGAGCCGGGGGAAGTCTTTGTATTGTGCTGCTGTTTTCGAGGCAGCTCATTCAGTATATTGTTCAATGGTCTCATAGTTGGTAATGGTGTCAATAACAGGTTGGTCAAGAGAAGAAGATTTTTTGAAATCCTATAAATTTGGATAGGTTTTATATAATTGCATCCAATATTTATCTTTTGGCTATATTGGGTAAAAATGCAATTTTTCAATTTTGTGTTCTCTCCTTTTTTTTTCGCAACTTCAGTGCCAATACGATTGAAAGCTGAAGCAGCCTTGTCATATCAAGGGGGAGGAGGTTTATGAAGCGTTCTTATTTGACATCAGATTGTTCACTCGTGTGGATACCGTTATCGAGAAAAAGCTCAAAAAAAGTGAATGATTCCGTATACGGTGAATTAGCAACTTTTTTTTTGACAAATCTCCCATAACATGGCGGAAGCGTAAAGTTCTTGGTGCAAAAAAGTTCCCAACTAGGGACCCTACCAACAGAGACAGCTAAATTTACAAATGCAACTTTTTTCATACATTGTCCTCATTGGTGTGGGGCGAACAATTGAAAGCATTACACAAGCGCGTGGCCCAACATGGTACCCTATCCGAAAATCTGATCTAAAAAGGTCTACTCGTGCGGGACTTTTGTAAAGTTGTTATTGTTGAGGCACGTGCCATCCGGAACAACCTGCAAACTTGAGCCTTGTACTGCTAAGTGTTTTCCAGTAACCAAAAGACACCACTATCAGACTACAGACACATCACCATTATTCCAATTCATTTTTATTTCCACTACGCGAAAGATCTTACGTTGGAGTACTAGGAAATAAACATATGTGTACTGTGTACTGATTAGAGTAAGCTCGTTCTCAACGCCACTTCGAACTCAATAAATCCATTCTTATGTCACAATGCCAAATCAAAAGAGTGTCAACAGCGTTGCAACGTGAATCGCAAAGCCAACAAATCCCTAACAAGCCCTATGTTTATTGTTGTGTCCTATTTACATATTTTTCTTGCTTTTGTAGCTTTTCATTTGTCTCACTATCATAGCGACTATCCACCGGACATGGTATGATTGAGTTAGCACCTACTAGCAAAAAACAAATACCAAAAGTAGTCGTGAAGAGCGATTGGGTTAGCCTATTTCGCTGACTTGCTTTAATATATGTGAACATTGTCAAATCTGTTTGGAATATAAGTAGAAAATGTGTTTAATAAATAAATTATTGTTTGATGTTGTATGTGTGTTAGTCCAGCAAATGTGATGCTATCTCAGATATGTTCTTTTCGTTGCTGATTTGTGTCAAACAATGGATTGTTAGAATAAATATGATGTCAACTGACTGGAGGTTTTTGAATGACTCGTAGTGCTAACAAGAATAGTAGAACTTGGGTTTAATCTTATGGTTGCATCAGATGTTATTTTTTTTTCAAATCTCTCAATTGGTTAGACCTCATTGTATTCTTTTTTTTTTTTTCAGTAATACATCAAAGCTATTATGCAGGAATAACTTTGAATACAACCAATCATAATCAATGTGATGATAAAAGAGCCCATGAAGTTCCCTTCATACTGAACTTCTGAAACAAAGAGATCAAACTTACAGTTTTAAAGTGTATATGACGATCCAGAATCCAATCTCCGATCCTTCGGTCGAACTCTATAATCTTTGATCGATTGATCTAACTATTTACAAATTATATCCTCTACTCATAAACTTTCCTCGTACCTTGTGGAATAACCTCATATCCACTTTTCCACTTTCGTTCACGATTTAATTCCTCCCTAGTCTTTTTCTCATTGGTGACTTCTATCTTCACAAGTTCTTTGACTTTTGCTAATGAATGAGCGGACGACACATCACATTTTGCATATACTGTTTGGTTTCTTCTTTTTAACCCCAAAGCTTCCAACGTGTGTCGTGTAGTTGGAGGCATACCTATTGAAGAACGTATCTGTGTGACTTTGTAGTATAGCTGCCTGGTGGATGACATTGTTAAAGAAAAGATTAGCTTATCCCTCTTGTTCCTAGGTCCAGCCGATGACTGTTCACTTTTCCTTTTCTTTTTTTTACTTTTTCGTATTATTTCACGAACACATTGGTAGTGTGCACTGTGTCAACAACGACCTTTTGACAAATGGATGACTTGAACATCCAGGTTATCAAAAAAAGCCCTCAATTACACGCGGAAATAAGCAATTTAATCGCTTCACTCAGGCATGCGTTGAAAGAATCAGAGAGTAACAGACGCGTCCTTTACCAATCATTGACGACTAAATTGGTCGCCATTATTAACGAATTCGAGCTACAGCCAAGATTGCTTGAAAAGCAGCTCGGATCTTATGTAAAGGAGTTAAGTGAATTATTTCTTGAAAATGTATTGATTGGTGAATTCATTGGGAATATAATATACGCGATTGCTAGAGTGTGCACTTTCAAAACTGTGGCATTGTTCTTTTCGAGTGATGTATATCTTTTTGATTGTCTACTCGAAAGGTGTCATGATTCAAGCGAGGCGGTGAGGTTTGTTTGCCTACTATGGTTATGCAATTTGGTCATAGTTCCTTTCCCAATAAAGACCATCAGAGTTGATTTACCTGAACTGTTGAAGAAAACTGCGCAAGTTTCATTAACGAGGTTTGCTAATATTTCAAGAACCCAGGTTGCTGCTCTGATCTTGTACTCGAGGCTACTATCTAGACCTGATTGCCTGGATATGCTTGATTCATTTTTGGATTCCATGGTAAATTATTGGCCGAAAGGGGGCTCTAGTCAAAAGTTAGGAACATTCTTGGTAGTGAACAAACTACTAAAGCGAGTTCAAATTAGTCAGTCGCATGTTACAGGGGTATACTCTTGCATTATAGGTGATCTTTTAGAATCGCAAATCTCAAATATGAGCTTAGTTTACTCCATTAAAATTTTGAGCAAGTTGACTGTAAGTCATATCACAGGAGGACTGTTTGTCAACGCGGCTGAATTGATAAACAACTTGGTAAATGACATATTATTGAGTGATGTGACTTTTGAAACCAACCTTCGCTATGCCATGGCTAAGGCATTATCCACCATTACCAAACAACTATCCTACACAGCTGTCAATTATCAAAATCAATTGATCCAGTTTATATTGGATTTAGTCGATCCCAAAGAAACGAATGTACCAAAATTGCACACCGTTTTGTTGTCCTTGGGGTATATCTCTTTGTCTAAGAATTTACCAGTACAGTTTCAAATAGATTGTATTGAGCTTGCTCGACAGCATCTTTTTTTCAAAGTTCCCAAGGGAACAATCTTGATAGGAAGTCAAATCAGAGATTCAGCTTGCTTTTTAATATGGTCTATTGTTCGAAACCTCAAGCACGCTGGGCCCACACTAGCTGAAGTATTTGCAGACTTGTTACAGATGTTGGTGTTTGACGAATTGTTGTTGAAAAGATGTAGCATTGCAGTTATACAAGAAATGTTAGGCAGAGTTGGCAAAGATCTTGTTCAAGCTACTGACAAGGGCGAGTTCATTGTAAATTTTGTCGCCAAGTTGGGCAATTTGCGTCTAGATCAGCACGTCAACTACCAATTCATTGATGTCCTCTATCACGATATTGATTTAAGTTTTCTCATTATACCACTAGTTGACTCGATATGTGAGGAGGATGGAGATGGTCACTACTTAAACAAGCTACTCAACCAACCCCCGGCATTAGAACTAGTTCCTAAAACGACAGCAAATTTTGACGAAATTCGATCCAAGTTAAAAATGGCAAACAAGTGGCACATTCTATTCCAGTTGGACGCATTTAATGAAGGTTACTGTGCGTTTGACAATTTCGTATTTGATGAATCAAAACTAGATATGGTAAAGGGGTACCTTTATTCTTTGAAATATAAGCAGTTGAGCGAGTTAGATTGGCACAATTTGTTGAAAATTCTGAAGTATGGCAACCTTGTTGGAGAGATGAGAGAGGTAGTTTCACACCAAAAGGAATTGCCCATGCGTGAAGTATTATACCACTTGCCTCATGATCGCAATCTTTCGTGTACGGTTTTCTACTTTCCAAATCTTGATCGTAATCAATACCAACTGCTTATAAGCATCATGAAAGATGAGCGCGTCGATGCTGTTGTTCGTGCAAATATGATCACTAACCTTGGTGAGAATTTGCCCACGTATTTCAAGCTTGAGGATATATATAGCCTATTTGACGACTACACAACCACTGATCAGGGTGACGTTGGTTCCAAGGTACGAATAGCTGCTATCAATTTGGTGCTGAAGATTGGGCTCTTGGATGAGAGTATCAAATTAAAATTGATACGATTGAGTGGTGAATTGATGGACAAAATTCGGCAACTTTCTTTCACAGTGTTGACAGGATTGGACTTTAGTTGGGCAAGGTTATTACAATATTACCACGGACTAGAGGATCAAGAGTCAAGAGTTCAATTCTGGAGAGGTATTACATTCACATGTGGTTCGTTTATTGGAAATATTAAAATCATCAATGAAGCGTTTTGTGAGCTATTGAGTTACAGACCCAAGGTGGGAGATTTTAACATCTTGCTCGGGTTCTTGAATCGAACTGAAAACGCCAGCAAACGAGATGTAAAACTTGTGTCTATGGTGTTGCAAATGATTTTAAAAATGTTTGACGCAAATTATCAATTTGAAAACAAGCCAAGTTACCAAGAGCTATTTGTGAAATGCTACAACTTACACATCAACACCAGAAACTTAACCAGAGTCAAGACGGTCTTGCAAATTTTTGTTCATATATCACAAAGGTGTCCAAAATTACGGTTGAGAGTGTACGATAGGTTTTTGTGGATTTTGAAACATCATCCTTCAAAGGAGCTCAGGGCATTTGTTGGTGAGACTATACTTTTTGAAGTTGTCGACAGTACTTCCTTTTCGCGTTATGAAATAGTTGACTGGTTTGATATTAACCATTCAGATTTGGAGTTTATAGAAGGTGTACTCAAAATACGAGCTTGATGTAAGCTTGGGTAGCGCGCACACATCTGTGGTTTTTTTTTTTTGCACTTTTTTAGATGATCATCACTCACTCACACAAGTGAAGAGTATTTGTAAAGCCAGACATGCCTAGGAAGAAGTCGGCGGCGAAGAAAGCCAAGGAGCAATTGTTAAAGCAATCAGACATTGAAGGCAACGTAACTGTTGAAAGCAATGCAACGGTTGATACAAGGGAAAACACACAACCATTTGACAATGAGCCACAAGCAGAATTCGATTCAGAATCATCTTCTTCAGAAAACGAGGAAGAAGATGAATACGGAGATTTAATCACAGATGAAGTAGAGCAAGGTATTAACCAGGTTTTGTCAAAAATTAGATCAGACCCTAAATCACTACTTGATCCAAACTTGAAATTTTTCAAAGACCCCGACTCAGATGAAGTGCTTGTCAAGAAACAAGGAGAGAAACCTATGTATTTAAAAGACTACCATCGTCAAAATTTGATTGACGGCTCTTACAAGGAATTCGACGAAAACGAAACAGTTGATGGCGTGAAGTCGTTCGCAACTGAGCAAAGAGAAGAGAGGGACAAATTGTTGAAGGATATAAACAGTGCTTTCAATGAAGAAGGCGAAGACGATGGGTTTTTGAAAAAGAAAGACAGGAGCGAAAAAGAGGAGGAGAACATTCAGAGCCTACCTGATCCCGAAAAGGATCAAAGTGCTTTCCTCTCGGCTTTCTTGGACCGAAAAGCATGGATACCTAAAAAGGGGGACAAAGTCATTGACCTTGATCAAATAGATAGAAACGATGAAGAAGATTTTGATGATGCAGTGGAAGATTTTGAGCATGCTTATAATTTTAGATTTGAGGATGCCAATTCGACGGAGATCATTTCATACGCAAGAAATCAAGCCACTTTGCGAAGGTCCAAGACCAACTCACGTAAAAGAGCAAGGGAAAAAGCCAATGAAGAAAAGAGAAAGGAAGAAGAACATAAGGCTGCATTGTTAAAGAAAAAGAAAACTGCAAAATTAAACAAGTTGGTTGATCGTTTATCAAAGATTAAGGAAGCGGTTGGGAATGAGGTGAGTGACGAGGTTATTCAAAAAGTATTTGGAGATTCACTATTGAATGACGATTTTGACGATGCTGATTGGGATAACAAAATGGCAGAAATTTTCAATGAGCAATACTATGGAGCTGAAGTTGAAAAGCCAACTTGGGATGACGATTTGATGGAGGGCATGGGTGAAGATTTCGGTGAGGGGGATAACGCCGACAATATTGATCTCGAGGGGGAACCACCGAAGAAGAAAGCAAAAAAGGAAAAATTAAAGGAGAAGAAGTCATCGAAGAAAGAAAAAGAGTCGTTACGAGCCAAAGCGCAAGAAATTATAGAATCGAATACTCTTAAATTGAAAGAGGAAGTTGAGGAGGAGAACGAGGAGCGTGGTCGCAAGAAGGATGCGGGTGAATTGAAATTCAAGTATCGAGAAGTTTCACCTGAATCGTTCGGGTTGTCCACGAGAGAAATATTACTTGCTGACGACAAGCAGTTGAATAATTTTATTGGTATCAAAAAATTTGCTCCATATCGTCCAAAGGAACTACGTCTCAAGGATAAACGTAAATACGCAAAGAAGAAACATTTACAAGAGTGGAAAAAAGAAGCTTTCAAGAACCTACATATCCCAGAAGAAGCAAAAGATGACGAAGTTTGGATTCCTGTTGGTGATGCGGCTATACCAAAATCATTTAAGCGCGGTCACAAATCTAAATAGTTTCAAATGAATAGAGTTTTCAACGAAATTTGATCTGTCATGTATCAGTTGTAATTTTATACACAGCTCCACCAAAGCAATGCGACCATTCCTGTAGTACCTCGGTAATTTCTACATCTCTCTCATAATAATCATGCTTCTGCAGAGGGAGTAAAAAATAGAGATTTCAATTTCAAAATTCAACAAAATTCACAACGCAGATTTACCCAACTTGGAAACGCACACAAAAAAGAGAAAAAAAAAAAAGGAAAATATCATGAGCCCAATCAAAAGATTTCAAACATTCACCCATCACCATTCCACACTCGCTAGTTTCTTCCCCACCCCTTTTGCACCACCACCACGTTCAAATGGCAGGCTCACTCTACCAAACGGTCAAGTTCTACTTGAAATCAGTTGTTTTCGGCACACTTATTGCCGGTTGTGCACTTTATGGGGTTATTGCATCGATAGTGTTGAGACTTGTGGGCAAAGTTGATTACGCACAATATACGGTCGCTAGAGCCTTCTTTTATTCTTTGAAACTCGTCCTCGGTATCAATATAAAGATCAAGAATGAACACTACTTGAAGGATTTGCCAGCGATTGTTGTTTCAAATCATCAGTCTGCATTGGATATTCAGGTATTGGGTAGAATTTTCCAACGTGGTTACACTGTGACAAGCAAGAAGTCATTAGCCTACGTACCTTTTTTGGGATGGTTCATGGCTCTTAGTGGCACTTTTTTCTTAGACAGGGCTAGATCGAGCAAAGCTAAAAAGGTTTTGGAAGGTGCATTACAAGTTTTGAAAAGACAACACCGTGCTTTATTCATGTTCCCAGAAGGTACCAGATCAGGTACCGAAACCTTGAGTATGTTGCCATTCAAGAAGGGAGCTTTCCATTTGGCAAGACAAGCTGGAATCCCTATTATACCGGTAGTAGTTTCAAACACCTCTACCATCTTTAATGCCAAAAGAAAAATCTTCAACACGGGGGAGATTCATATCGAGGTATTGCCCCCAGTGTCCACCAAGGATTTGGAAACGAGCGAAGATGTCACCAGATGTTGTGAAAAAGTTAGAAGTGACATGATTGAGACTTTGCAAAAGGTGGGGTATTCATATGCACCGGGTGTTAAGCCAAATGAGGATTTCCATCCACCAGTGCAAACAGTGCAAGACGTTGAAACTGATACAGAGGTTGAGGTGATCAGTGAAGAAACACCATTGATTTCTGGAGACTAGGTTTACATAATGATTATTTAAAATCCAAAGTCTATATATATAATGCATTTTCATCATTCAATTATTATCGCCTTTTTCTTAGTCTTTTTCTTCATTGGTTTCACTGTGATCACTGAGGAGTCAGTGGCGGAAGATTGCTTCGTCGATGGCCTTTCTTCCTCTTCCTTTTGTTCACCTTTGGTATCTACTGCTTCATTGGAGCCTACTAGCTGCTCTTTCTCACTCTTCTCGCTCTTTTTGACCTTTTTTTTCTTCTTTGGTTTCTCGATCGAAGTTTGTGATAATTTTGCTCGTAAAGCGTCTAGGTCAACGTCGTATTCCTCATTTGAAGAATTCACTGGCGCCGCTGAAAGAAGATCAAAATTATCCAATTTCGACGAGTCAATCTTTATGGCATTTTTCTTTCCTTTTCGCTTCGTGCTAGATTGATTATTCTGCTCATTAGCGGCTTCCACCTCACCTTCGACTGACTCCTCATCAAGTATGAGAACTTTTTCCTTCTTGATTTTCGAGGATTTTTTCTTTTTTGGTTTTGTTGGCTCCTCAATTCTTGAAGACAAACTAGCTGTTTTCGAGTTGAGCGAGTTCGTTTCATCCAGCATTCCCAAGGTTTTGCTTTTAATCTTGCTTTTCCTTTCTGGTTCAAGGTAAAAAGGATCCTCCTTCAAACGAAGTGCTCGTGCCTCTTTATTGGTACGGTTTTTGTTATCCGTTTCATTACTTGACAACTGGATCAAATCCTCCTCAAAGTTATCTGTGTCCGAAAGGAATAGTTCGTAAGTTTCATTGGTAGCAAGCTCTTCATCAGCATGAGGCATTTCATTGATTACCAGGTTCAAATCCAAATCCTCTGGGAGACCAATATGGCGTTGAGCATTTTTGGCAATCGGTTTCAACATGTAAACTTTGAAAAAAGATGGCAAAACATTACTCAATAATCCAGGAAGCTTTTTAGATGGGTTGTTTATTTCTGATTCTTGCTCCGTAAAGGGGTTCGGCTCAAAATCTGTAACAGGATTGGTTCTGGACGGTTTTTCATCGTCAGAAAAGATTAAATTTTCATATTCATCGCTGCCAGAGCTATCATCCGAGCTAGACTCTAACTCCAGTTCAGTGTCAGATATATCTTCCTCTTCAAGGTCACCTCTCGTAGTATTGTTTTCATAATGTGATACGTCCTTTGCTTCAAGTTTCTTTATCTCGGACAAATCCTCACCAATCATTGCCTCTTGGCAAAGCTTCAAAAATTCCAACCATGATAGAGCTCGTTCTTGGACCTCATAATTGTAATGCTTCTCCCAATTAGTCAAAAATTCAATTAATTTGTAAAGGTGATAACTCATTTCATAATACTTTGAGTCCGAAAACTCGCCATTGTTTGAATACACGCAAGTGTAATCGTAGATGATCCGATTAAAAAGCTTAACCAAAGCTTGGATCATGACAGACAACACTTGAGGCTCCTGTAGGGTTAGCAACATGGATGATATCTTGAAATGACCAGATGTTCCAAGTCCCAACTTTTTATCGATGTTATGATTAACCAATGTGTTGAAAATGCACAACTTCTTGTCCAAATTAACAACCAACTCTTTGTTTTCAACTTCCACCTCATCGTCATCATCCACGCCTGTTTGAAATTCATCAATGTACTCTCCTAAAACCCAGTAGACATCTTTCAAAATAAATGGACAGAATGCTATCACATTTTCATCCAAAACCACTTCAACCACAATTTTTTCCAACAAAACAGGTCGTATGGAGGGGACTTTGGTCGCAAGTACTCGAATTTCGTTGCCAATGTGAGTCGCAATCTCTTTCGACGCAGTTGTTGAAACAGGTGCAGAGGAGCCGGGCGCCACTGGCAATAAAGTAAGGTTCAATATATCTTTCAAGACGGCAACATACCACTTAAAATTGGGAATGTTATTGTAGTTGTCTTTCGATGCTATCTTCAATATGTTGGTCGTAACCTCCAATTTGAGCGAATCGTCCACATTATTACTATCTGGGACTAATTGAAGTAGCATCACCTTAATCACTTCAACAATATTGTCGTCGTTTACTAAGTAGCTTGAAACCTCTAGAGCTTTTTTCTTTATGATCAAATCAGGATCATTTAGACAGTCCATGATCACATCGGATACACCCTCTACACTATGCATGAAAACTGGGAATATCTTCAATATGTTGATCAAAGCAATCAATCCAACAAATTTCAAATTCGAGTCCTTGGTTTTGAAAAAATTCATCAACTGAAGGATGCATAGTTTGGCTGTTTGTTTGTCCTTGGAAGACTCCACTGACAACATCTGTCCGTTGACCGCACAATTTATACACTCATAGATGAGGGAAGATGCTTGAGTTCTTTGCATGAGATCCATTATGGCAGGTAATATTTTCTTCTTCATTCTTGGTTCTACTCTTGACAAACTTTGAAACAATTTCAAAATTCTAATAATCAACCAATTGTTTTTGGTTTCCTCCAAGATGGAAAATAACTTCGGTAGATAATTGAGAAACAATTTTGGGTTCTTTTTTGATAATTCGCAAATTACATTGACCGTAGCGCTGACAACTGCAACATCAGTGTCATCCAATTTCTCTATAATCCTGTGAAAATTTACTCTTAAGCTATCGGGGTACTGTAAGAAGATCTTGTACATTGCAAGGATGGCTTTTTTTCTGATGTAAGGCTTGGAGTGATTCAACTTCATTAATACATCATCATTGATATCCTTGGACAAACTAGGAGTTACAATTGTGGCGATTCCACTCAAAGCCAATCCCACTTCAACATGCAGCGATGAGTTGAGATCTTTCTTGAACTGGTTTGTTGCAAGAATGAGCAAATCTTGTTCGCTTTTGAAACTCTGAATTGCGGCTAAATAACCTATTCGCTTTTGCTGAAACTTGTTAGACGACATCACTTCAAGTATTTGAAAATTGCACCACGACATATCAAACCCATACATTTCCAAGTAAGCTAGCTTCAAAACTGCCATTGCCTTGGTCTCGAGATCAGTACTGTATAACTCAGTTTTGCATTCTTGAATGGCTGCATCCAAAAATTTTGCAAGACTCTCTGGTGAGTCCTTTGAGTGTGCTCGAATCCCTTTAATTAAATCATTGAGTGACTTCTCAAACAGAATTCCAAAAGGTTTTAGCCTCGCTAATACCTCGGAGTTTTGTAACTGGAAAGAAGACATGCTCTTCAAGTTGCCGACCAGTGTGGGTTTTTTGGTGTGTGTGATTTCTTGTTATCGCGAGGAAATATTTTCAGTGCTGTTTTTGATTTTTTTCTTGTTTTCCAAAACATTAAAATACACATGAGTGAAAGGGATACGAATTTAACTAATGAAGAGTTGAAGAATGCAAAGACAATAAGGGCAAACACCGAGGCGGACTCTATTGAAAACTCAAACGAAGTTTCGTCGGATGATGATTACGTTCTGAGTGATCAAGACAATTCTACAATCGACGGAACAAACAACAACCTCGATTCTCAGTTTCACGATCCAAGCAGTTTGAGTAATCATGCAAAATATTTTTCCAATACGATCCTACTGTCGCTAGACTCTAGTGATGTTGACAGGGCCCTAGTTCTTGAAGCACAAATTAGTGGGAACTTGAACAATGAGAATCAAAAGTTGCTTGACAAGACCAACCTTTTGCACGCAAAACTAGTGACGATTCAATCGTTGTGTGACACTTATTTTGCAGCCAAAGACAATTCAAAGTTGAGTAGAGTTGAAAGACTACGGAATGAAATAAGAGGGATTGAAAAACGATTACAGAGGTTGAAGCATGGTGATCGGAAATCGTTTCCGGCGTCCTTGATTAAAAGCCAGAAAAGTGGTGTTATTGAGGAATATCCAGTGGAGTATTTTCAAGCTAGAGATAAAGTTCTAGAGCGAATTCAAGAATGAGCACTATAGTTAAAACATTTGTGTCTAACTATTTGTCCTTCCGTAATCCAAGCATGTACTATTTATACGTATAGATTAACCCTAATCCGTCTAACCAACCTCCCAAATAGAAATACATACCAACTATCTCAGCATCCTTCGACGGCTTCATCAAAGACGACAAGTGGCCCCCTTGAGCGTTTCCAAACATTGGAGAGCTTCTATTTCTATTTGTCACAACTTGTATTCCATCAACCCAAGCACCATTTCTGATATTAAACCTCACAATCTCTTCACCGTTTTGTAATTCAAAGTCAGAATACGATCCCGTCTCCTTACCCACTAAAGACGAGCCATCCTTCACTTCGCCATTAACTTGTTGATGCTCTTCATGATGATGTTCGTCATGATGACCAAACACTTTTTTGAGGTAATTTCTCGGTGGCACCTTTGGTGCATGCCCAGTAGACACTCCACCAGTCTTGAAATAAAATCGAACACCATCTAGAGCTCGACCAGAATATACTCGAACCCTATAAACGGTTGCCAAATCAAAAGCAGCAACACGCATTTCACCCTTGGCACGTCCCAATAGTTCACTTTTGTATCCAGTCAATTCCCCACGACCAAAACCAAAATCGCTTTTCACCACATCCTGTTCCAGTGGTGAGCAGTGTTTTTTGAAGTTATTGATGAAGAGGTCACCGGCTAATGACATTACTCTGACTTTATACTCCTCCCCTGCATCCCTTTTAGCAGACCTCAATTTGGAAAGATATTCTGGATAATTTATCGTGCATTGGTGCACCACTCCATTACCGCCATATTCCAAAGGCAAATAAGGTTCATGGTACCGAGTCAAATCTCCATCAACAATCTCCACTATAAAAATTCCTGCATCCGACATCATAACAGCACCATTACCAGGCAGTGAATACAGCAGCGGAACTGCCAGATCTGTATACAGTGAATCTGGTTTCATTGTCGTACTGTGCACTTTTTGAAACTTGTCAACAGGTAACGAAAACAGGTCATGGTATAAAAATCTAATCAAATCTAGTCTGTTCCAGTGGCAAACTTTGGGCCACTGGCCATTCCTATCGATGAGCACCCCAGGGGAATGTGTTCTTAAGCATTCGAGCTCTCTAGTCATGAATGACCTATTCCACCATATATAATCTCTAAGCATTACCCCATCAACTTGATGTGGGCAGCCCAATAAGTGACCAATTTCATGCATGAAAGCTCCAAGACAAATATTCAAGCACTCCCAACTAGTGCCACACTCATTACAATCATTTGCTACCTCGTTCGTGGATAGTTTTGTGCTATCCAAGAAAGAGGGAGTGACTAATGGAAAGTTTTGCGGATAAGCGTGTAGTCCGTGAGACCCAAAAATAGCTAATTTAACCCCACTATCACCACCACCGAGTGCCGCATGTGTCAAAATCAAGTTGTTCTTTGTGTCATAAGTTGAGTCCAAGTACATCACAGCACATTGAATAGCTGTCCCTCTTTTTGAATCGTATATATCTGATTTCTTTATTAAATCTATTGCGTGGCTGAAAAGCCCACCCTTATCTTTAGCAGAAGGGTTCTGTTGAGCTAAATCGGGGCTCCGCAACTCAGCAACGCTTTTGGGACTTGTCAATACGTGAACTTTAACCTCTTGATGAGGTGTTGGCGACTGCACTTTATATCCAAATATTGTTTGATCCAGAGTCGTTTCCTCGACAAATTGAAAAGTCCTATTGCTAAACCCAACAGTTCTCATTTCGTCTTGTGTGTAGGCTTGCATTAACCGAGCAGCAACTTTCAATTTCTTCACTGCGTTCTCCAAGTTTGGCTGCTCACGTCGTGCCAATCGGTATTGTGGCATATCATATGTGTTTGGTGAATCCCGAGCTCTAATTAGACACATGTGCACTGGTTTGTTTTGAGGCAAAGGATTGAAGATAAGAATCAACTGTCCTCTGTCAACTATATTTGGTCTACCATTCTTGTACTCAGAGAAACCAAAGCTTGAAATTATTCCATTATCCATCACTTCAACGCGAAATTGGTTGGGTTCACCTGGCGAGACATGTACCAATGCTTTAAATTGGCCATTGTTGACTTCGAAATATTGAGGAGGAAACACCCGGTTGTCATTGTTTGTGAAGCATATAATTCCATTTTGGGTTCCCGAAGTTGTTGCACCGCTCACTATTACAGTTGGCGACGAGACGATTTCGTTGTCTCTGTAATTGAATTGAATTGTCATTTGCAGGGGGGTTTGGATGAGGGACCCTTTGGAAAGGAGCAATAGTGGCTGAGTTTGTGTTATTTTCCGAGCCGGTGCGACCAATTTATAAATCTCGTGGCATAAATTTGAGATTGTTAATACTAAACGAGAGCGGAGTTTTTCAATAGAAAGTGCATTGCCTTCACTAAGCTGAAAGGCGAAATTAACTCTTCGTCAATTTTGAGTGGCTTGACTGGAAGTATGTTGCGTTAGTTTATTGTAGGATTTTGGGGTACTTACCGCAAGAGTATAGGTGAAGAAGTTATCTCCGCTACTTTAGGGTAACCCTTAGTAGTGTGAGACCTCATACTCCAGAGTCAATGAATTAGTTCGATTTTGCGGCTCCTGCAAAATCTAAGCAAGAGCTTACCATGTTAATAAAGAGAAGGACTCTTGGCTTGTGCTTTTCAATTTTTTCGTCAAACACAATCTTTCACTCATTAGGGGGCGGGCCTAGAAGGGCAGTGAATTAGGTTACTTTGCACTCCTCCCCCCACCAAATGCGTCTCCAGCTTTTCTTTTTAATTTTTTTTTTTTGATCTTTTCTTCTTTGATGCTTAAAACTTGCCAAATTTGGATGAACAACTGAATTTCAATTGATCAATTCCACGTCCAACGCTTACCATCAAATGCAACATAGGTCAATACTGATTTCGTCCATTACTTATTGAATTGCAACTGGTTAGCCGTTTCTGCTCCATGGGTGAAAAGAGAAAATCTGATGCTTTCAAAGCAGCATCTGAACATTGGGCCAAAAGATTTAAAAACGAATCCGAACGAGTCCAAGATGATAGTGCGCACCACGAGGAAACAAAGCCATTAGGGAATAATTCAACAACAGTATCATGTTTCTCGTCTCAGATTAAGCTTTTGCATAATCCAAGTTATCCTGAACAAGACCTTACGCGTGTCAATCAGGATACAGTTCGAATTCATGACTTAATTGGATCGCTGGAATTGAAGGAAACATATCAGTTTAATTTTAATGTGGACCTCCCTTTCTTTCTATCGTTTTTGCATCCTACGTTTACAGCCAGGAAAAGAAAATTGGTTTTCATTACAGGGAATAAATTGTTAGACTCTGCTGACGAAGAGACAAAGTCAATTAAATCGAGCTACAATATTCTGGAAGTACAGGCAAATATACCGAGTAGGTTTGGTACTCATCATACAAAGATGATGATCAACTTTTTTCATGGCAATTCGGCTGAAGTGATTATCATGTCTTGCAACTTGACAAAGCTTGATTTTGGTGGTTTGACGCAAATGATTTGGCGATCGGGGCGATTGGCTCGTGGGAATACCACAGGGACAAAAAGTATAAAGTTTAAAAGCGATTTGATTGGGTATCTACGCACATATGAGAAGCCTCAAATAGATACTCTTGCTACAGCATTGGAAACATTTAGTTTTCTGGGAATTGACGTCGACTTAATTGCATCATCACCAGGACATTATGATCTAAACAATGAAGAACCTCATTATGGGTATGGAAGCCTATTTGATGCATGCAAGCGCAATGACCTCTTGATTGATAATAGGGATAAGTCTCACCATTTCAACGTTTTGGCTCAAACATCTGCAATTTCATATCCGTTTGCGGTTGAGAAGGGCGCCACCGCAGGGGTATTTACACATTTGCTTTGTCCAATGCTATTTTCAAAAAATGAAAAGTTTTGCTTGTTGGCTCCAGGTGCCCAAAGCTTGCGTCGTCATCAACTGAAACATAATTATACACCATCCATTGTCTTTCCCTCAGTTGATGAAGTTGCTGCTAGTACTGTTGGTTTTGCTGCCGGCCAAGCTATCCACTTCGATTACTCGCGATCTTATGTTCACAAGAATTATTATAACCAAGCAATCAAGCCTTATCATAAAAAATGGGATTCGGGCGATGTTAAAGTATTTACAGGAAGAGAAAGGGTGATGCCACATGTGAAACTATACATGTGCGATAATGGTGACAATTGGGAAACCATTAAATGGTGTTATATGGGAAGTCATAACTTGTCCAAGCAGGCTTGGGGTAGTAGAAAAGGTAACAAGTTTGTTAACAATGATCCCAGTCAGTATGAAGTAAATAGCTACGAGTTGGGTATTCTCGTAACACCTAGACCGAACACCAAGATGAAGCCGAGCTATCTTAGTGATGCAGGTACTGAAGGTGGAGTGACGTATATTCGAATGCCGTTCAAACTTCCACCAGCTGCTTATTCTGACAACGACAAGCCTTGGAGTGGGCACGTGTCATATGGCGAGTTGCAGGATAATAAAGGGAATACCTACAACCTAGTTTGAGATCCCTAAGTGATGCAACATGAAATTACCACTGGCTCTAGAATATAGATTTTGGCTTCTCTACTTGAGTTGGGCCAAGCTCCTCCTCGTCCTCAATCAATCTCCGTTTCAATGGTGGCTCATTAGTTTCCTCCTCTGAATCGCTATATTCAGTATCGTCGTTTCTTGCTGTTCCTAAGGAGCCTTGATTGTATGTGATAACATCTTCACTCATTTCCGAATTCATGCGACCTCTTGTTTGTTGTTGCGTCAATGTGGAGATTTCTACTTTATCGTTGCGATTACAAGGTAGTTTTCCAAACGCGAAACGAATAGATGGTTCTGGCGAAGAATTTTGTTGCGTTTCTTCTGCCTCTATATTAACCACCGCTTGCTTCTCGGTTACTGAATGGACGACAGGCACTTCCAACTCTAGTTTCCGTTTCAATCTTCGAGCATCAATTTCAACTTCATTCCCAACTTTTGTACTACTGTCACATGCAGTTATTTGTATGAATTGAACGTCAACATGTTGGCTGTTTTGCAAATCAAACAAGATGGGGTCACCGGGATTTCTGAAATAAATATGAAAGTAGTCACTGTTATTGCCAATATTTGCATACTCTTCATCAAATTGCTGCGATGTTGAGGAGGTCGCAAAAACTCCAGCTAGATTTAAAAAGTTTTTAAAATCTCGCATTCCAAAATTTAGCAACATTCGCAAAGGTGGTTCATCGGTATGTATAAGGTTACTGTCTGCTAACTCATCAAGACTTATAGTTACTGTCACGGCCATTGGTTGTTTTATGTAGTCGCGATCTTTGATGATCTCTTTAGTGTATCCACCAAACAGCACTTTTTCATTTTTGATATCGATTTTGAAATCTTCTGCTCCCGAGGGCACCATTTCAAGAAACTCTTTCGGGATGACTAAATCGATCATAATGTGGTGCGTTTTTGGTGTAGACTTTTTGCCACAGTTCTCTTGTTCATAAAAGGAATCCTTGTATTCCTTTGCAATATGGACACCCTTTCTTGCGATTGGTAGATAACCAGCTTGATACTTTTTCATAATCAACTTTTTGTTGAGTATCTCAATGAGTAGTTTGTATTTTAAATTGGATGTAGCTGGGTCACTCCACTCAATCCTCAACTTTACATATTTCATGTTGCCTGAGTCAAAATTTCGAAATAAAGCAGTGAGATGTTTTGAGTTAATCATGAATGAATACGACAGAGACAAATCGTTGCCAGAATCCCCCTTGTCAAACCCGCCCTGTACTATGTTTCTGAAATCTACTTCATAGTGACTGAAGAAGGATTGTTTGAATATAATCTCTCCGTGTGATGTGCGACTTGCATTTACCGATGATAGTGACAATCTGTCCTTCTTTATAGTGATATTAATAGATTCTGAAATAGCTGACAAAGCCGATATAGATCTACACCAGATTTGTTTGTGTTTGAACGTGTCTATCTGAGCTTCAAATCCCATGTTTTCAGGGATCTAAAGTGCACACGTTATCTCAGATTGCAATCTTTCAACCTCGATTCAATCTTTTTTTTTTTTTTACTTGTCAATAATACCACACCCTCAACTTCCTGTCTTCATCACAATGAAGATCTTGCTTGTGAACCCCAATAGCTCGGAGAAAGTCTCCCATAACATGAGGAGTGTTTTGACTCCACCACAGGGAGTTGAGTTGCAAATATACACTGCTCCGGATCTGGCTCCCCGTGAAATAACTGGTGTTGAAACATCCAAGAAATCGGAATCGGTCGTATTGGAGGATATAAAGTCACGCAATATTGCAGCTCTGTACGATGGGTTTATAGTATGCTGCTACTCAGATCACCCATTGATAAAAAGTTTAGCAGCCTTGAGCGGAAAGCCAGTAATCGGAATCATGCAAGCAACCCTTTTATATGCTCTTCTGAATCCCAATCTTCAAAAGCTGTTCATTCTCACAAGTACTAGTGGATGGGAGCCAATCCTTGATCAGGGAATTATCGACTTTCTAGGAGTTGATGAGTTTCCGACTAAGAAGTTTCAGAGAACGATAGGGTTGGATATTGCTGTCACAAATCTAGCGAATGAGGAGGAATATAGTAAAATCAGGGAGAAAGCCACTCACATTTTAAAGACTCAATACAAGGCGGACAACATTGATTGTGTTTTGTTGGGATGTGCTGGTATGGCGGGATTAAATAAAAAATTGTCTTCAGACTTTCCCGGAGTATTATTCATAGACAGTGTTGAGATTGCGTTGGAGTTACTAATAGGGCTTGTCCGGTTCTCCAATCATACTTAGACATACTATACTGCTACGAGTTGTTCAAAGAATTGAGGTGGGTCAGTTTAACTCTGTTTAAATGCGCCCTCTTCTCCGATCTATTTTTGTTCCACTTTGTAACTCTGGGGGGAAAAACAGCAAACGAAAATGATCCCGTAAATTCTTTTCTCTCTTGTACAAAATCGAAATCCACATAAAATAGAGCACTCTTTCTACCGATTTCGACGACACTATGTCTTTCTTACTCAGAAGATTCACATCGACCAGCGAGTCTGCTATAGACAATGCGGAGGAGCAGGACCAACAAGCAGAAAGAGAAGCAAACAAAGAAATCAATTCACAGAACATTGATCAGGAGGCGGAATTAAGTAATGAAAAGCTATCTGATTCGGAAAAGAAACCCAAAAAATCACGAACGACGTTCCTCAAAAGTTTGGTAGGGAGTTCGAGTAGAAACAATTCCTCGTCATCATTGACCTCTGCAAATTCGAGCAGCTCAAGTATTAACAGTGCCTTGCCACCACTACCCCCGATCGAGCTACTAGGATATGGTCCCACTGTGAGGCATAAATTGATGGACCCTGCTTTAGCCAGCGATATCCGAAACTTAATACCTGCAAGACTTCAACTTTTCGACAAGTGGTACTTGGTATATTCTCTGGAGCAGCATGGCATTTCTCTCAATTCATTGTACAGGAATTCAAACCCAGAGCATCAATTGATAGAGTATAAAAAGCGGAAGAAAGCTGATAAAGGTTTTGCTGAATCGGTTGTCAACAGGATGATGGCTAATGACACTCCAAATAATATATATGGGACAACACCAAAACGTCCACAGGGCTATGTGTTGGTGATCAAGGATAAACGTCTGTCGAGATTTGGAGCCTTTTTAAACGAATATTTAAAGCCAGTGGATCACAAGAGATATTACGGTAACGGGGAGTGCTTTTTGTGGAAATGCGAAAAGTATGATCCGTCAAAATTGAATCATGGCAACAATATGTCTTCCCTGAAATCAAAATCGGCATTCAGGTTCAAGGCATTTATGTACACTGGAATCAATGACAATGTAATATATTCCAATCATGACTTTATCGCAATCGGGTCGTCACAGGGTCAAAATGGTCTCTATATTGACAAGTCCTTGTGCAAAGGGGTGAGCTATCCGTGTGAAACTTTTGGTAACGAAATATTGTGTCAGAATAATTCATCTGACTCAAAATATGGACTGTTTGGCATACGAGGGTTGGAGGTTTGGAGGATAGGGGATCTCGAATAGTCTTAATCGTATATCTGCAACGAAATGAAATGTCGTATAGAGTCACACGTTCATCTTGAAGCTGTACACAGTGTAATATGGGAAATGTGTATCTTTGTTGGTAGGAATAAGCTACAATCGTAGTCTCTTGTCCTCTTCCTATACTTCTGAGAGGGTTTACCTTTGTCGCAAAGGAGAAAAAAATAAGAGTACACGACTTGCCCCGCCGATAAGATAAACAAAGATACGCAAAGAAAAAGAGCAAAATATATACACACTGATTATAGGAGAATAATAGAGTAATATCAACATTCGACTCAGCAACTCATTGACATATAGGCAACTCAAGCTTACACTTTTATTAAAAATTTGTTAGGATCTTCTTTTCGAGGGAATCCACGTTGATTACGCCACTGGTTGCTATGACCAACATAAACGGAACAAATAAGACTGTCAAAATTAATCGATTGTACGTTTTCCCCTTATTTCATATGTCATATTCGTAGCTCAATACTAACGCGTAAAGGCATACGAGTTCAAGTGGCAGTCACAACTACAATTCAGCGTTGGCAACATGGAAGAAACTAAAATCAGCTAAACTGGATCCGAAAATCAAGACTCAAGTAGACCCAGATGATGTTACTGAGCTGGATGCTACTCAAGAATTGGGGACGGGGCCGTATCTTGTTGAGAATGGCCCACAAGGTGAATTGTTTGTATTTTATTTGCAAGCGAAAGTCTTGGAAATCTGGGATTGGGGAAAGCCTAATCTGAGAGCGGATAGAGATACACTATACTTGCAATCCCGACTCAAGACAAGAAGCTCTTTTAACATACTATCGTTTAAGGTTTTAATGCGCAAAGAGGAGCTGTATATTGTGATAGCAGTGGTTTCGGAAAATGATGTTGACAACGTGTACATTTTATCCATCACTTCCGCCTTAATTGACGTTGCAAGTAGCATTGTACTCCCCTTTAGCTCAAAAAACTACTCCATCAAAGGAAATAGCACATTTGTTTGCATAGGGACTGACTCTGGAGCAATCCACGTTTACCGATTTGATGGTGAGAGTTTGGTTTTGAGGAGTGCCAACATAAATTCAGCTTTATCAAATATCAAAAGAAATTGCTGCAACATACCGGGAAGAACTGATGTTTGTGGGGATGAAAACCTCCTCTTGCAAACTAGTTGTAGCGATGGCTCAGCTATTTTTGACATCATTGAAGGCTGGCTCGTTTATTGTCCAACCAAATCTGAATACACTTATTTGAAAGATATAAAGAGAAACGATAATAATCGCAAGAAGACAAATACTTCAAAGAAAGACCAGTCACTCAATTATCAAGATCCCATTATCACTAACCTAACTAGCCAGTCGGTACGAAAGCAAAAAGCAAGCTTATTCACTCCCGTGAAATTATCTGGATCAACCCCCTTATACCATAAAGTCATGTCCTCTGTGTCAAAGACAACATTGGATGGAATCTTTAAAGTGTCGGAGTTATCTTCAGCAAAGTATAAGGAATACATGGAGAACAAGTTGGAGTTGAACAATATAGGCAAATCCATTGGCAAAACTCTATACACCAACCTACAAAAAAGTTCAGAATTTTTGAAACCTAACGACAACCAGATTCTTTCCATTGTTGACATAGTCAATGACCAGTTGCTTGCAACATTCAAACCACTGGGTGGTGTGTCGCTGGTTTCCTTTTCACAATATGATTTACAGCTAGCTACGTCAAATTTGCGAGGAGACCTGCTATACGTATGGGATTTATATCGTTTGCCAACTGAAATCTCCTTAGTTGGTAAGTTCTGTCGCGGTAATACCTCCGCCATCGTCAAGAACATATTCTGGTTCAACACCGAAGATGACAACCATGATACACATTCTGGGTTGGGCTGTATCACTAAAGCAACAGGATCTGTGCACTGGTACGATACAAACAGCTTATTAGGGGAAAGTAAAGCCGGCGACATCAATAAAAAGGCAAAAAGATCGAGAAAGGGTAGTAGGGAGCTGCCGAAGAATGATTGGACGCTATCTGCGTTTGAGGGAGACAAATTTTTGAATGTGCTAGACAAACAAATTGCTGTTTTAACAAAAACGGGGCGCTTGAAAATGATCAATCCGGCGAATGGGCATCACTACTATGAGTTCAAAATCCCTCACCAACCAACAGCCGCAGTGTTTTCCAATCCTGATGTTTTCCCATCTTGGAAGTCAGGAGATCAAACAAGACCGAGAAATCCACTAGCGCAAGCGGAGATAGAAACATGTGCCCCATATTTGAACTTGATCAATTGTAAGAATGTTGAATTTGCCACCTATCAGTATGAGCACGAAACTTTTAATGAGTTCGGGAACGATATGGCATTTGACAGCTTGAATGTTCGATCAATGCCGCCAGCGAAAACTGACCACTTTCCTGAAAGGGATGCAGAAAAGGTCACCTCAAATATAAGCGCATTGAGCAAAATTTATATAGATCAAGGAGATGAGGACGAGTTGTAGAAGTTTGTATAGAGAAATTTCACAGTAATTAGAGGTTAGCTCTTGAGAAAAATGGAGAGCTACCATGTATATTTCTATCAATGGAATGATTTTTGGTTCCACTGAAAATTTTGGTTTATAAAGCCCATACGCGACTGGGTTTTTTGGATGCAAAAGGTGTTTTCATTAATATTTTGAGATTACTATGTTGAGAACCAGTGTGGTGAATACCAGCCGGAGAAGGCTATTTGGTAAGATCACTGAGAGAATACGATGCGGGAGATTCAATTTGTTACTCGAGCTGCTCGTCACATCACGGAGATCATCATCTTCACTATCTTACTTTAATTGGATTTTCCATCCTGTTAAACTGTTTCTCAAGCATGGCCAAAATGATATCAAAGAACCAAAGACCGACACAATGAGTGTAATTGAAAAGCAAAAATTAGATGAGCTTATTGAGCAGTGTGATTATACCAGAATCATCCAATTAAGAGACACGATGAGTCCACAAGGATTGAGCTATGTTATAAGGCGACTTACTGCGCCGCTACCCCATGATTTAACCGCAGCTGGAAGTCTACCGTATGATTTTTACAAAGATTTAGAGCCAAAGCCTCCACACTGGGATTCGGTAACGTTGATATTTCCTGTCTTGGAACAGCTTGTACATAACTCAACAGCAACATCAGATGAATTGCATATACAAAAGGTTTACATCTACTACCATACGAACCAATTGGATAAAATTATAAAAGCATTTACATCAATAGCTCATCCCGATGAAAACACCATTGCATATTTTCTCCATTCATTCATTGTAAATTACGAATTGGAAGCATTTAAAGTTTATTTCTCCAAACAAGTTATAAATAGTGACACCAAATTATCACCTCAGCTTTTTGAATTTTTAGTTGATCAGTTGATACCAAGGTATTTTTTGTTTGAAAACTTGTTTTATTGTTACCAAGTATGGGTAAACTCCCCAAAATGCGAGGATCCAACTCCCAAACTGGTTAGCTTAATTCTTGGTCAATTTTACAAGTTTGGAACAGCGCCTGAAATCAAAGAGTTTAAACGAATGATTAATAAAAAGTATGGTTCGCATTACTTGGTACAAAGTGTTGTTTTGCAAAATGAAATCATCAATAGGGAATACTTGTCGTTTAAAAAGGCATTGAGTGATGGGGACTTTGAATTGATTGAATCACTTGTTCCGGAGAAAGAAGTTGAGGAGTTCTGTTGCTCGTGGCTTGCCTTTATGATTAGATACTCCAATATGGAAGGAGCAAACCGAATCATCAAGTTATACAAAGATAGAACGGGCCAGGGCATTCCACCACGGTTCTTTGTATTGTTGATGGAATTTTATGAAAGACATGACCAGTTTGACTCGTTGATCAAATTGATAGAGAGTGGTAAATTGTCGATCCCTTACAGTGATGAATATTTGCCATCAATTACCAAAACTTTCATCTTCTCATATTCTCGTTTTGCGCCAATATTTGTTGATGCTGTCAATCATTGGTTAGGTAAACCGCATTATTTCCAATTGCACAAACTCGCGTCACAATTTTATCCATATCATTTGGTGCAGCCGTTCAACTATAGAAAGTACAAAGGATGGTCGGAGTTAAAGTATAAGGGCAACGAAAGACAAAACAAAAATCAAGTGCGTTTCAGAATAGAGCAAGGGTTTCCAGATTTGCTTGGACGGGGTTTGGCTCCTGATTTTAAAGAGGTTTTGAACACATTTAGAATGGGCGATTTGAATGACAGGTTGTACTTGAAAAGTGTTCTTTCAAAAACAAGACAGTACAATTTAAAAAATCAAAAAACGCTTGAGCTAAGATCATTAAAGCATTTTTCATTGACTAGGGAGGATTTGTCTCGATATTTTCGCTCAAACAAGGATTGCTTGAATGATAGTCAGAAGTTCTATTTTGTGAGAATGTTGTTAAACTTTGGGTTGCTCAAGGAGGCCGACTATATGTTATTTTCAATAGATTCAACAAACTTGAATGATAAAAACAGGATGTTGAAACTTATATTGGAAATGAGGTTATGTTCAAAGCGGAAACAATTTGATGAAATGATGTCACTCATGGGAGATTTCCCGTTATCGAAAATCTATGCAAGTCCCTATTTATTGATGCAATGTATCTACCTCGAGAACCTGTTGGCAAATTCCACCACCGCACGCTCCTCGCTATCAAAAAAGCAAGTTGAGAGCCTAGGTGCTTGTTTACGAAAATTAAGAACCTTCATTGGTGACATTAGGATGATTTTGAAGAAGGACGAAAAAGAGGTCCCCGTTTTGATTGAAAAGACTATTCAAATCTTGGATGAGTGGAAGAAGAGTACTGAAAATAGTTAGATCTTGTAAATAAGGAAATAAGTAAAGTTCAACTCAAAACGTAAACAATTGCGTATAGTACACGTTTTTACCTTTGCGCGACTGGTAGCAGTGGCGGCCGAGAAAAAAAAGCTGTGGACTCCACACTGACCCCTTCTGTTCATTTGGAAACCGTCTCAATATTAAGTACAAGTGGAGTGTGGAGAAGTCCTATTCTAAAGGACGAAATAGAAAAAGAATCCAAAAAAATTATACATCAACCATGGGTGATCATGTTCTGGAAATTGCATGGGACAAAGTAGTATGTAATTGTGCACCAACACTAACATTTTTTCCAGAAATTGTATACTAACACATGTACCCTTTACCCAGGATTCAGCACTAACATCAAACCTATTATCGAAAATAACAAACAGTTTGGAATGTTCAATATGCTCGGAGATTATGCTTGCTCCAATGACTACTGAATGTGGCCACTCTTTTTGTTACGAGTGTCTACATCAATGGTTTCAAAACAAAATCAATTGCCCCACATGTCGACATGAAATACAAACAAAGCCAGCATTGAATATGAAATTGAATGATGTTTCCAAGAGTTTGGCTGAACTTATAATTGATGCACGGTTGGATCCCAATGTCGACTCCTTTCGGGCTCGAAAAAAGGATGCAATGTCAAAGTATGAATCACATGCTAAGAAGAAGAGAGTATTTGGAGAGCTTTTTTGTGGGTATTCCCTAGCATTGATTGATGATTCGGACGGTGTGCCTAGGTGCGGCAACTGTCTTTGGGAAGCTCATGGTACCGTATGTTTACATTGTGGATCTAGGTTTAGAAATACCGATTTGATACGAGGTGGTGGTCATGATGATGATGACGATGACGATGAAGATGAAGAAGAGTTTTACCAAGATGTACCACCAGCGGAAGATCATTACGATTCAGATGATAGCTTTGTTGACTCGAGGACAGCTGAAGAGCTTCTAGAAGAAATACATGATAATGGACCCGAGGACAATAATGATGATCAGCCAAATGCGACATCCTCTGACGAGGATGATGATGATGGTGCTGCAAGCTTTCGAAATTGGTTGTCTGGAAGTCAACCAAGACTGCATATCATATACGTGGATGATACCGACAGCGAGTTTGAATATAATCCTCGGATCTATAGCGATTCAGATGAGGATAGCCCGCAACAAATACATTTTGGAGGTGGTCCTGGTGGTCATGTCATAATAGATTTAGATGCCGATGAAGATGGAAATGATTCAGAGTTGATTGATGCGCTTGCTGACTTTCAGCATGGTGTTAGCGAAGATGAAGCAAATGAAGACTTTCGCAGTCTACATGAGGATCATGAGAATGATTATTACGACCGAAGTGATGATGATGAAGGGGGTGAAGAGGATGAAGATGGGCATGGAAGTCACAGCGATCCAGACCCCGATGAGTATTACGATGATTATGAGGCTGAAGATCACGACATCGATCAGGATGATGTTGATGTTGATGTCGATCAAAATGAGTATGAGGACTACGACGACAATTATAATGATAATGATGACTATGATGATGGCCAAGAGACTGATGGTAACTGGTGATCGAGTAAAGGAAATTTAGTAGCAAGCTAATTGTAAATGATGAAGTAGAGGATTGTTTCAAAGAGTATGATACTCAGCGAGTGGTGTAGAATGACTTAGGCACTATGCTCTTTGTCTTTCCCCCCATGAATCCGATCACAATGGTGAATGGTGTAAATGTCATCGCACCTTTGGTGTCCTTCAATCTCCCATTTAGCGTATTGGTTTGTAAGAGGTTAAAGTCGAGTGTACATTTAAGCGTACTTTGCTGTTAAAGCGCACACTTGTAACACCTATCCACCTCTTCTCTTGAACATAAGCAAATAAAGTAAAACTTTGTTTATTAAACTAAACTGATTCTGATAATCTCCTTAAAGCTACTCATAAATACATCTCGTGGGTTCTTCTTTTGTATAAATAAAAGAAAAAAGACTACTCTTCTTGATTTGCACACAGTCAAGAGCCCTTAAGACTTCTCTTTAATACCACAAATAGCTCTTCCAGCGTAAAACAATGGGACGGCGGTGCTAACGGCAAAAAGGGCGTAAAATGGGTACACCAACATAGCTGATTTAGCTCCTCTCAAATACAATGGTTTTGGAGTAGTTTGGTATCTCTTTTGAAGTTCAATAATTCTTTGTGGGTTCCTATAGTATAGTAGTGTTAGTAAAACAAGTGTGCTTTCATGTGATTACGGCTTAGTCCCAATTGATATCTCTATCTTTACATACATCTTTGGTAAAGTTGAAATGATTTCTCTCAATTAATGTTGTAATTGTAAATTTAAACTGTCGTGGTTTTTATTGGTTAAATTTTTTTTCCTCTGTTACTGTTTCGAGCTTAGTTTGAAAATCGCATGACAAATACTGCATATAGATTATACACTACTATACTATATTTTGCATACATATATGTGTGTAGTGAAGTATGTATAAGCTCATGGTGTATTCCTGACTATACACGGTAAAGAGATTGATCTGTGTGTAAGACTAATTCTGAGATTAAGCAGAAAAGAAGTTGCATCAGAGAGATGAGTTGGTACAATGGTCTTCTTCAACTTTCGACCCGCATGAAAGCGCTAGATTTATATAGGAATGTCTTTGCAGCCAGTTGTCTCTAAATACAAGAGCCGTAAATGATCTGAGTGCTAAGGTAAATTAATGCATTAAACAGTTGAGGAATGTAGAGTGTATTAGATGTATAATCTTAGTCATGAATATAGAAAAGCTGCAAAAAAATTGTACCAAAGTTGATGCAAAATTGATCCAAAGAATTTGTGGCATCAAATTTTTAAAAACGTCTCATTATCGGAACGATCCTAGCTGTTAATCGTAAAAGGTTTATCCATGTTCGTGCCAATAGTTTGATGTAGTTGAATACTCGTATTTGTGTAGTGGACGTACTTTTTGTTGTGTGACGCGACATAGTTGAATGTCGCATTGTTGTTGTTGTTGTTGTTTTCTTATTTTGTTGTTTTCTTATTTTGTTGTTCATTGAAAAACAGCACAGGCGGTTTTTTTTTTAATCAGACCAAACAGCATACCCATCTTGATCTTAGGGATAGTTCATCTTTAATACTGTACTCATTGGTGGAAGACTCTTACATTGCCACTAACACTTCCTTCATTCCCGCAAATACCCTTGTCTCAAATCAAGGAAGAACTTTATACTATAATCTGTCTTCATTGATTCACAATGAATATCAACAAAAAAACCATCAATAAAAACTTGATCAAACTCAATAGCGTTGTTGAGCGCCGATTGAGGAAGTTTTTGCTGGGTCCAAAGAAGGGAGAAACATTTGAACTTCGAAATGGATTGGTGTCCCAATACAAACATGAACGTAAAGATGCCATTCAACGGGTTATTCAAGCAATGACAGTGGGCAAGGATGTGTCTTCGTTGTTCCCCGACGTGTTAAAAAACATTGCTACTTACGATTTGGAACAAAAAAAGTTGGTTTATTTGTATTTGATGAACTATGCAAAGACCAACCCTGAATTATGTATATTAGCTGTCAACACATTTGTACAAGATACTGAAGATCCAAATCCGTTGATTAGGGCCCTAGCTATTAGAACTATGGGTTGTGTGAGGGTTAGTAAAATGGTTGACTACATGGAAATACCATTGACAAGAACTTTGAAAGATGACAATCCATACGTTAGAAAGACTGCAGCAATTTGTGTCGCCAAGTTGTTTGATTTGAATCCAAATGTTTGTGTTGAATTGGGATTTTTGGATGACTTGCAGAACTTGCTCAAAGACCCAAATCCCATGGTTGTGGCCAATTCGATCAATGCGTTGCATGAAATCAGAGATATGAATGAAGACCCAAACTTGACTGTTTTGGAAATAAATGCCGAAGTGATTAAAAATTTATTGTTGTGTTTAAACGAGTGTACCGAATGGGGTAGAATTACAATTTTGACGACATTATCTGAATACAACACTCGTGGTAAAGTTGAAGAAGCAAATCATATCATTGAAAGAGTTATACCACAATTGCAACATGCAAACCCATCAGTTGTTTTGAGTTCCATAAGAGCAATCATTTGCCATGTGGAGAATATACCTGTAACTGCTCAAAGACAATCGATTTTGAGGAAACTATCGGCTCCCTTAGTGTCATTGGTTAGCTCTTCCATACCTGAAGCTCAATACGTGGGGTTGAAAAATATCAGAATTATCCTAGAAAATTATCCTCACATATTATCCAAAGAGTTGAGAGTTTTCTTTATCAAATACTCTGATCCTTTGTACTTGAAGTTGGAAAAGTTGGATATTATGATTAGATTGGCCAATGAAAGCAATTCAGATTTGTTACTAGGAGAATTGAGAGAGTATGCAATGGAATTTGAGCCTGCTTTGGTGACAAAAGCAATCAAATCGATTGGAGCTGTTGCCATCCAGTTGAGTGGGTCAGTCATCAAAGCGGTCAATCTTTTGAATGATATCATTGACCAAAGAGGTGGTGAATTGATCATTAATGAGTCAACTATTGAATTGACAAATATACTAAGAAGATACCCAGGCAAGAGTGATCTTGCGTCTTTGATCATACCAATCATTTCTAATCACACTACCGAGTTGGATAAACCAGAAGCATTGGCTGATTACGTGTGGGTCTTGGGTGAATTTCCCAAGTATTTTTCCAATTTACATGAAAAACTTGAATCCTTGGTCAAGGGGTTTTTGGAGTTTGATACACTTTTACAGTTGAACATCTTGACAACAATTGTTAAAATCAATGCATCGATTCCTGGCAACAAAAAATATTCATCTTTGCTTCAACAGATTTTGGAACTCGCCACAAAGGAATGTGAGAATGCCGACGTTAGGGACAAGGCATACATCTACTGGCGATTGTTGTCATCTTCGACGAGTGACTCTTTACAAAAGAAGATTATTTTGGCCAAATTGCCCCCAATTGAGTCGACAATTTCTACATTCAGTCCTCATTTATTAGAGCAATTGCTTAAAGAATTGTCAACCCTAAGTTCAGTTTATCATAAACCAGCCAAGACATTTATTGATCCATCAGCCTATTCAAGAGCTCCTATTGGGTCTAATGAGGAAAATGTGGAAAGTTTGAAAAATTTGGCCAAGCAAGAAATTATTGATAACTCACGTAATGAAGATCTTTTGAATTTTGATGACGATGATGAAGATGAAGCTAATGGTCTTTCTGTATCTAATGGAGATGGCAAAGATAACTCTTCTGGTGTTGGTGACCTTCTTAGTGAATTGAATGATTTGTTTACACCAACGCCAAGCAAGAGCAGTCAACAAACACATTCAACCACAAATACCGATATTCTTGAACTTTTCAATTCGACCCCGCAAAATAGTGCAAACACCGTCACTAATGGTATTGAGAATTTACATGTTGGTTCAACATCAACTACAAAGGAAAACAAGGGAGTAAATAATGATTTATTAGATTTATTTTAAGTGGTGGTGGGGAACATGCGTTTAATTTCTTTTTCTTTAGTCGTCTCTAAACATGCAATAGAAGTTGCGACACTATTTGATCCTTTTCTTTACTTCCATCGTAATCACTCACTACTTTCTCATCATTTTCATCCGCATTCATATCAACATCATCCTCACTCATTTTCCTAATCTGTGATTTGACATCCTCACAAACAGATCCTATTTGTTCAATTTCATCCCTTTTGGCTTGTATTTGTCTTTTCAATAACATAATCAAACTCTCTCTACTTTGATGTGGTCTATATGTGTTTAAAATATGATTGAAATTAATCAATAATAAACTCATATCTTGAACTTTTGATTCAAATTGTTGTGGATCAATACTCAAGATATTGATCAACTCAACAAAATTGAGCAACAAGGAGTCCATCATCTTGTGCAACTCTTTAATTTTGGTCTCTGATGTTAAATTAGCATCGTCATAAAGTTGTGTCCATTGAGTATCTTTTAAATTCGGTAGTTTGTCTTTGAAAGACCATATGTTTCCATAACCTCTATATTGAGTTCCCGATGGAATATTTGGAGGTACTAGGAACTTGAGTTCACCTTTTATGTGGTCCTCATTGGCATCATCGTTGTTATTGTCGTTACCTTCGTGTTGTTTAGACGTTGTTGTTTTACGAACTTCCTCTAGTTTGGACAAATTTTCGGCAGTGAAAAATCTCACAAATGGTGGTGGCGGAGGGTATAGTGACGATATTAGATCCTCAGTGTTAGCAGTTGACATTGTGACAGTTTGCTTACTTGGTGAGATTGGTGCTGTTGATGATGCTGTGTCGTGTGAGTGCTCTCTTTGCTAAAAAAGCATCAGATGGTTCAAACAGTGGGATACTCACTCAATGTCACAAAAGCTCTAGTGTCGATAATCTGTTGAAGAAACGCGACACTAAACACACATACGCCAAAGAAAAACCTTTATAGTTGCACACTCGCCATTCCTTTATCGGATCCATTTTTTTTTGAAAACGTCACAGATCACAACTCAACAGGTAATTTTAATCATGGCAGAAGAGGATCGAATGGATATAGATGGTATGTGAGAATCCACCACCAACAACCCAGTTAACGAACTGATTACTAACATGAAAACAAGATTCTGAATCAATCAAAGAAATAACGAAATCAAGCAAACCCAAATTCGAAGTAAAAAAATGGACAGCAGTTGCCTTTTGGTCATGGGGTATGTACTTTTTCATCTAGTCTCCTATTCCATTTAAAGAGAGTTATTTTACTAACCACCTTTACTATTTTAGATATACAGATTGAAAATTGTGCCATTTGCAGGAATCATTTAATGGAGCCATGTATCGAATGTCAGCCAAATTCATTAGCCAACGGTGGAGAAGAATGCATTGCTGCTTGGGGAATGTGTAATCATGCTTTCCATTTACATTGTATAAAGAGATGGCTAAAAACCAGAAATGCATGTCCGTTGGATAATACCGAATGGGTATATCAAAAATTTGGTAAATAGAGATGAAGAGGGAGAGAGAAATAGAGTTAGAAATGGGTATGAATTGATACATTGGGTATTTTGTTTAGTTTCATTATTTTTATATTTTGAATGTACATTAGTCTTTTACTCTTTTTCGGGCGTCTGACTAAACCTCCAATTGCGATTAAATTCACCCAAGATTGCAACATCTCGACACAACTTTTGAATACTCTTGAGCACTTCACTGTTTATTTTGCCCACAGTTTCAACGAAAAACACATACTGCCAAGGTTGTAAATTTGCAGGTCGTGAGCTGATTGATGTCAAATTGATTCCATTTTCTTTGAATTGAACAAGTACATCACATAAGGCACCGGGGTCATCATGAGGGAGTGTAAACATCAATGACGTAACTTTTTCAACCTCTTTGTTGTTCGTGTCATGCGCTGGTGGTTCCTTGTATCCCAAGATTAGAAACCTAGTGGTATTGCTCACATTATCCTCAATATTGGCCTTGAGAATTGGCAAATTGTATAGTTTTGAGCTCATTAATGAAGAAATGGCAGCCGACTTATTTGTCTTGTCCTCGCTGACTAATTCTGCTGCTTTTGACGTTGACCCCACATCGATTCGAGTGATACTCTTTGGCAACGTGGACAAGTACCCGCAAACTTGGGTCCATACCTGTGGGTGCGAATATATCGTGTTGATACTATCCAACGAACCATTGCTCAACAAATTGTGATGAATTGATACAAACTGCTCACCCACAATTTTGAACTGGCATTGCTTCTCTTGCAGTAGAAACCAATCTCGAAGTAAGTCATAAGTAAAAACAACTTGTCCATTAGTTGAATTCTCAAATGGAACAACAGCAAAGTCAACGAAATTAGTGTTGATAGCTTGAAAACAGTCACCAATTGTTTGTTGTGGAGATATTTCGATATCGTTACTTCCAAATTGCTGTAAAACGGCCTAAGAGCAAAAATGTTAGCCTTGTGAACTTTTGAAGGGGGTTGTTGAATTCAACATACTTGATGGGTGTAGGTACCTTCTGGTCCTAGAAACGCCACTTTCGTCGTCATGTTGTGATTTGTTGATGTAATGTAACACATTCGACACTCTGAAAATTTTTTGATATTGTGTCAATTTTGGCAATACCTGCGCAGAGTTTAGAAACAAAGCTAGCTTCTAAAGCTCACCACTACGAAACAAATCACCCACTTCAAAGCATCATCGCCACACAATGATGATTCGATTCAGATAATTTGATTCGATCGATGAACATGTAACGAGCATAAAGTAAAGAATAGAGTTGATCGCAAGATAGAGAGGAAAAAGTGTGTGATCGTAAGTGGCTCTTTATTTCATTAAGCTCTGTAACGATCCACGTGAAAAATTAATGATAATGATCCATTTTCCTTGATCATTGTGTGGTGGTGGTGTACCAGTAATTAATTCTGAACCCTGTTAAAAAAAATTAATCTAACAAATAATACCCATGAAGCAAACAAACATGCTATTTAAAATCAATCATAATGATACAAAAAATGGTTGTAAAGTTGTTGGTGATGTTGGATTTACCTAATCGTTAGCAACTTTGACACAATTAGATATCTTGAACAATGGTTCCTCTCTCGGAAACATAGATACCATCCAAGAACTTACGGATATCCTTGTTTCTGACACGACAGATTTGTTGGATATCAGCACAGTTTTGTGAAACGGCTTCCAATGAGTTACCAGTGACAACCAATTCATCCTTTTGGGTAGAGGACAATTCCATAGTGACACCTTCTTGAATCTTGATGTGTCTAACTCTCTTTTCACCCAAAAAGTTTCTGATTTCAACAAATTTAGCACCATCTTTGTCAATAATGTTGACATTGATTGGGAAATGCGCATAGACAAATCTCATCTTGTATTTGTAACCCTTAGTGACACCAGTGATTAAGTTGGCAATCAAAGATTTGACAGTTCTCAAAGCAGCAACGTGTTTTCTGTCACCATTGTGGACAGTGATCTTGATGGCTCTGTTGGAGATCTTGTTGAAGGTAACGTCAATGTGTTTCAAGTCCTTAGTCAATTCACCTCTTGGACCGGTGACTTTAACAACTCTAGCCTTGATGTCAACGGTAACATCTTCTGGGATGTCTAAGATTTGATCAGTTTGGACGTACTTCATTGTAGTTGGTGCTAGTGATTTGGCGTGCTAAGAAAGAGGGGTGTAAAGATGACTGAAAAATTTTTGGATAGAAAAGGTTTTTGTAATTTTAATTTGGCCAGAGTGCGGTAGCGCTAGACCAATTACGAAACCAAATTTGGAGAAAAAAGCGGAACACGGTAGCTCCACATGACATAGGTCTATAACCCTACTACTGCAAAGTAATAAAGCTGCAAAAAAAAGAGGCAGCTTGTTGCAATTGCTCCGGCTCTACTTTTATTAAAATAAATACTTCTTTCTTTTACATATTTAGTTTGGCACTGTTTGCTCATGTAAGGTCTTAAACTCCAACGGTTTGTTATCTTCAGGAAACTCTATTCCCTTTTCCAACAACTTCGAATAAGCATCAGCGAAATCTTTGAACCACAAATCAACATCCTTTGCGTATTCTTTTACATACTTGAAAAAATTGCCATCTTCTTTCAAAGACATATCTGTTGGCAACATCATGTACAAATTCGTTGCATCATCTTCATACTGCTTTCTACCGTCCCAATTCTTGATATGCCAATTACCCATCAATCTTTCAAAAAAATCATTGGTGAAATTGTTTGAGTCGTCTCCCCAAGGGCCATCGTATCCAGAAACATGTCTATGACATCTTCCCAACACGTGTGCACCAATCAAGGCCACGGTTTCCCTATCGTTAAATCCCATTCTCGAAAAGAAATCTCTCACATATCGAGCATCTCCATCACCATCAGGTATTCTACCAGCTGGTGCGGCTTTTGTACCAGTATTATCATCAAGTCTTCCTGGTCTCCACTTAATCTTGGGGCCATTACATTCCTGAACTCCAGCAACCCCGGCTAAAGTCCACAAATCACCTCTCGAAATCCATGGGTTCTGTACGTGGATAGATGACAAGAAGCTTCTAGCAATTGCAGTGCCTTTATTTTGGAAATCAAACTCCTCTGGCTCAAAAATCATGGTTCCATAATAGGATCCACCGGAGTTATCAGCAGCGGCGTATGTAGCTGAAGCGTGCCATGCATTCCTCACCAATTGTGCAAAATATCCGTCGCCTTTATCATAATCCAAATGTTCCGAAATCTTGGTCGCAATTTCATTATAAACACGTTGATAATCTTCGTAGGTCTTGTCTTCCGGAACTTTGGCGCGCTTTATATTCAAACCGGCGCCAGCTCCGAAAGCTGCATTCTCGGTGGTGGCGGTAGAACTATTGTGTCTCTTTACCTCACTGGTGTTGGCGTTTCTATTTGCTACATCAATATTGGTTAGTATGGTGTCGGACTTTTGAAAAAACATAAAACGCAGCAATTTTATTATAAAAAGAATTGAACATTACCGGTTAGTCGTCCAAGAAATGGTTTGTAAATAAACCTTAGCTTGGATGGGTTTGAGCAAAGAAACTTACCCGCGGATGAAGCAACTGAAGTCATGACTTATCTCTGTCGTTTGAGTGTTGAAGGTATTAAGCTTCTTCTTTTTCTAGCAGGTTAAGTTTCAATACGGAAAGCAAGCGTAATTATATACAATTGAGATCCAGAGAAAGATAGAATGCAAGGCAGGCTGGGATGATTATGTAATTTGTGCATTGTGTGTGGATTAAAACAAAGCATGGCGGCATTAATTATTGTGTATTGGTTATCTAAAATTCACGTCAAAAGCTTCCACCTCGTTCCATCGCATACACAGAAACTTGTGCAGTTAAAAAAAAAACAATTTGGTCTATAGAAGTATACCACGACATGACGTTTGCTACTGCACTAGTAATGTTGAATACTAGATTTGCCATTTGAAATCTCCTCCCGTGAGCGTTGCTGAAAGGACGAGACGGTGCCGTTTCGTTGCACGAAAGGTAGTTGCTATCAAGTAGAATTACCAAAGCACATGTAAAGCCCCTTCCTCTTGCTCAAACCCAACGTTTGCAAACCACTATCAATGCATCCACCATATAGCAGCTTGTCATTCTACCAACAGGGACTATTAGAATCACGGAGGGATAGGTGGTTGAAAAGAGGTTTCTTTTGCAACAAAAAGGCTTCTCTATGATGTACCTGCATATAATTACAAGAGTGTTTATATAAGCAACTATATTCACAACATGATTGGGTGTCATCCGAGAGTCACACAAACCTAAAAGTCTTTTTGCATCCCTTTCTAGAGCGGTTAAAATTCTAACGTTCAATACCCGATCAGTGAAATCTTACATTGTAGTAAATTGAAAAGAGTATACATTCGAAGACAAATACAGATTATCAAAACTTCTCCTATCTTCATTCAATAGCAGCACACTTTCTTTTCCATCAACCGAATCTTGATGCAATCAAATTCTCGATTACCGTGGCATCAGTGTATACAAAAGATTCTTCCTCATTGTATGTCTTTGCATTCAAGCACATTTGTTTTAAATCAGCAGCAAAATCATCCAAGGATGCATATTCCTCATTCTTTATCTTCTTTTTGATTTGATTGATCGAGATTGGCGTTTTTATGATTGAGTAGTAATCGGGATACTGTTTTCTTGAGGGCAATGTTAAGAAAATGTCACTGATTTTGTGTCCATCAGATTCATCAGTCAATTGTAAAATATCATCCAACACTGCAAGACATTGCGATTCTAATCCATCAGACACCACATTTCCATTAGTTTCCACGTCATTCATCTCAACGTCTTGGTCTTCTTCAGCATCTGAACCATCTTCATCATTTTCTGCCTGTTCTTTCTTGACTGAATTGGCTATTGGAGTTCTCGAACGGCGTTGTCTCTTTCTTGGTTGAGCAGCAGCTTCAAATTCTTCATCGTCTTCTTCACCAACTTCATCATCGTTTATATCTTCAACCAAAAGTCCTTCCCTTATCGCTTTATTTCTCTTTCTTGCATTGATACGAGACATACGACGCTTGATGGCATCCTCAACACTATCATCGTCATCATCCATTGCCTTCAACCATTGAGCTTCACTCAATCCATCGTCATACATCACCTTCTTCTTTTCTCTCATTCGACTAAGTTCTTGTACGTTCTTTTCGAAATGATGAGAAATATCTTCGGTGAAAATCTTTGGCAATTCATCCTTTTCAATCAACCTGTGCTCACCATATGGATCATATTGTTTCCTCTCATCATCCATGTTGGCAAATAATGTCTTTTCCTCATCTGACCTGGCCAAAATTTCATTCAACTCTTCATCATCAAGTGAATCGTTTTCGTCATTGTCACCCCCGGTGGCATCAGCCTCCAACAATCGTTTTAAAAACTCTTCTTGCTCTTCAGCAGTTGACTTGTTGTCGAATTTACCTGCTTGAATAACCTTCCCATCAATATCCAATTTTTGGTGAGCTCTTTCCAAAATTACTTCTTCAACCGAGTCATTGGTGATTAATCGCAAAATACGTACTTCATTCTTTTGACCAATTCTATGAGCACGATCTTGTGCTTGTAAATCTTGATGAGGATTCCAATCGGTATCAAAAATGATCACCGTATCTGCAGTTTGCAAGTTTAAACCTAAACCACCTGCACGTGTCGACAAAAGAAAACAAAAGTAGTCGGAGTTAGGGGCATTGAAAACCTTCAACATATCTTGACGTTCATCAGCCTTTGTGGACCCATCCAATCTCAAATACTTCAAGTCTCTAAATCGAAGAAAATCCTCCATGATATCCATAATTTGTGTCATTTGGAAAAACATCAAGACACGATGGCCACTCTTTTTGAATTTGGGCAAGATACGATCCAACAATTCAAACTTACCACTTGTTCGCCAAATCAAGTCGTTTGTCAATTTCAGTGAATCCAACACTGTTTCAACTTCCTCAAATACAAACGGATGGTTACAAATCTTTCTCAATTGCATAATCTTGTTGTTCAACCCTTTGATTCCACTCTTGGCACCACCCACTTCGGCTCCGACAAATAATGCATTGTGTTTCAACATTTGTTGATAAAGCACATATTGCAATCCCGACAAATTGCATTTCAATACTTTTTCAACTTTATCGGGCAAATCCTTTTCGACATCTTTCTTCAATCTTCTCAAAAGAAATGGCCGCAAGACTTTATGCAATCTTCGAATAACCAATAAAGATTCTTCTTCTGTTAACTCAATCTTTTCCTGAGCTCCAGTATTGGCAAAAGGGGTGTTGAACCATTCGTCAAATGACTTCACCGAATTAAAGATCTTGGGCAAAACAAAGTTGAGCAACGCCCATAATTCAGGCAAGTTGTTCTGCAATGGAGTACCAGTCAAAATCAACCTATTTTTTGTCTTGTAATATTGTCTCAAAGTTTGCGAAAGCTTGGAGTTTGCATTCTTCATTCTGTGCCCTTCATCAATAATCATATGTGAGTAGTGAAATTTGGCCAACAATGGACGTTCACGAATAACGTACTCATAAGTGGTGAGCATCACTTGGAAATTACCATACCTTATATCTGATTGCATTGATCTTCTCTGCTGTTGTGAACCCTTGTACACTATAACCTTGACAGATGGAGCCCATTTCTCAAACTCCAATGTCCAATTTGTTATAGTTGAAAGTGGAACAATAACCAAAAATTTGGACTCGTGCTTCTTTTCGATAAGGTATGTTATCAATGATATCGATTGAATTGTTTTACCCAATCCCATCTCATCGGCCAAGATACCATTAAGGTGGTTATTATAAAGTGAAACCATCCATTCCAAACCTTTGATTTGATACTCTTTTAATTTACCACCAACTAAGATAGTTGGTTGTTCTTCAATTTTCTCCTTTACTTTATGAGCAACTTCGTAGTAATCAGTCTTTTCACGCAATTCTTCCTTGCTGTCAACAAGTACTCCGCCGGTACCGTCTTCTGTGATTGCAGGAGTAGTTCCCATAACTTCTGGACTGGCACTTCTTGGTGTACCCAAATTTCCATTTGCCTCGTCTTGTTGTGCCCTCACTTGCTCGGTCAAAGAGTCCAAAAACTGATTGGTTTGCTTCAAAAGATGGGTAATTCTATGGTCCTTTGTTTCATCCAATAGTTTGAGATACGCTTCTTCATCATTGGCTTTCAAAGCTTGCAATCTTTGTTTAGCATTCTTTTCAAGTTTCTTGCTCTCCTCTTTTTCAGTTATTTGATGGAAATTGTTCAATTGTTTCACCAAAAGGTAGTTTCTATAATTACTGAAAACAGTCTTTTTATCATTTCTTTCAAGAGTACTTTCAAGTATTTGGTCAACTTTGGCAATGTGCAACTGACGTTTCAATTCTCTAGCTTCTTCCTTTTTCAACTGCTCTAACTGTACTGCCAACAATTGAGGATTTTGCTGCTCAACTTTAGACCTTAGACTAAAAGACCTTTTTTCCAGCAAACAAATAGGAAGATTTTTGAGGTGAGGGTGAGTGTACTTGACCTGTTGCGACTCATGAGATATTATTGCGTGCTTGAGCTGTTTCTGTTTGCTTAATACACGAAGTCCCTTTAGCTCAATCAAAGCTTTGATTTTGATATCGTCGAGTCCATTACCACCAAATGTGCCGATATTAGCAGGCAAATTCTCGAGCTCCCTCAATCTCTGTGCAATCTTATTGGCTACAATCTTTTCAATGTAAAGATTACCCAATGGAGCGTATTTGGGTACCGGAGCCGTCAATGGTGAGCTTGCCTCAATTCCGTTTTCTTTGGCTCTGGTCTCAAAATCCACATTTATATTAGTAAGCTCGGTAACAAGGTCATCCACAAACTTGTTCTCCATTTGCGGTGTATCCTTGGCAAACTGTCGTTGTAAGCTTTCCGGAAGATCATAATCCTTGGACAATAACGAGAATCCTGCAATTTGTTTCCCAAACAATTCAAAATCAAGACCTCCTTGACCGGTAGTATCAACACTCAACAATTGACTCATAAACTCTGATTCTTCAGCTTCAAATTTACTTTGCTGCTTGTCAACTTTCGACAAGATTGATTCAATTTCAAGCTTTTCTTTAGCATAGGGATCATTAGGTCGTGATTCTGCTTCACCTTTCACCACTGATTCCTCTGCATTCAATTTTTTGGTATCAACCAACAAGCGATAATACAGGGTTAGAATGCTGGTCAACTCTTCCTTTGTTTGAGGGACGCTATACTTGTTTATTTCCCTTTCCATTGTGTTTAGCTCTGTTTGATTTAAGCCACCGTTTGTATTATTCGTATTGACTGTAGTGATACTTCCTTCCATATCGTCTCCACTTCAAGCGTTGTCTAATTGCGTAGTTGTGTTGATTACTTTCCACAGGGTAGTTTGATTAAAGAGCGTATTGGTTGTGAAATTTTTCAGGTATTTGGCAATTGATTGTCCAAAAAAGTCAACTAGATATGGCAATTATGGAAATGTGGAAATGTGTGAAGCAGTCTTTTTTTATCGAAGGTGTATGCCTAATAGAGTTGTCCTCAGTCTCCTAATTATATTGTAGTTCTATTACTACTGTTGATCTTTCGATGGATAGGATTGATTGATTTTGATACCGAAAACTGATTAACTTTTTCCTTCAACAAAGTCGTCTTCCGTCTGTGAAGAGAAAACAAAACATTCAACCAAGACACATTCAAAAACAAAAAGAAAAAGATTTTTTCTTTCTCTCTTACACACACACACACACACTCTCTCTCTCTCTCTCACTCTCACTCTTTTCAATTTTTGAACATAATACACTACTCTGATTTGATATCACGTTTACAACTGGCATGTTTTTGGTGTGAGAACTTGGTGATAGAGATTATGTAGAATTACTTGGTGGTGTATACGAAGCTGCTTCGGAACTCTCTGTGTGTACCGCGGAAGATGACACTATTCCCCTTGTTTCTTTTCAATGACTTGTTGACAAAAGTCGTGTGTGTGGTAAAACGAGGTTGCAATAGTAGTAGTTCGGGTGGCACACTGAACTTTGTGTACTTCTATGCTCTTTTGAAAGTGTACTTGCTTGTCCAGTAGACGGTCTCCCTGCTTTGTAATGAAGCTACATCCGCGTTCTTCCATCATACTTACTACTATAGTACACAAGTAAAAGTATCTTTGTCATTTTGCAACATTAATCCGAGAAGGTGTTAGAGACAGACAGGAGAAGAACAAAATAAAAAAAGAAGAAAAAAAAAAAAAAAAGATTACGAAAGGATGAAATGATTTTTCCAAAAATCACAGTAGGCCTCAAGAGCATCCAAAATTATTCATTAAACAACACCAGAACAATAAGCATGTTGACCCTAGGAATTTACAGAAGAGCACTCACTAGAAGCCTACCAAGGGTGAGATTTAATTCAACCTCGTCATCAACTAATGGATTATCATGGGTCGAGTACTTTCAATTGAAGAAGCAAAATAATAGAATCAATGCCGTTAGTGGAATTTTCACCGGTTTAGGGGGAGCAATGTTGACCCTCACTTATTTAGGAAACATTGAAATTGATCTTGAAAAGCCAATGTTTGGGTTTGATCCACTCATGGTTATGGGAGGTGGAGTAATTGCTGGTGGTCTACTTGGTTATTTGTTGGGACCAGTGGTGGGACAAGTTGTATTCAAAACGTTAAACAGATCAAAGTTGAAAGCATTTGATGTGAGAAATAGTCAATTTTTGTCAAGGTTGAAGGTGAAAAGGCCCGATCCCTCGAGTCAAAGTTTTTCGAATCCTATCCCTGATTACTATGGTGAAAGGATTTACTCATTGAAGGACTATAGGCAATGGTTGAGGGATTGTAATGCTTTTAGAAGAAAAGCTAAAGAATTTATTTGATTCATAAGGGGTGATATTTGTACATAGTCGATGGGACGGGAAAGCAAAATGACGCAAGTACGACGAGAAAATCTTTACAGCATATTCATACAGTTTCTGTGTAATGATTGTAGTTTGTTTTAATTGTAGCCATCGAAGAGACCCTATTTGCGAGGTTGGAGAGAAGTCATCAAACCAGTGGAAGATGTATTGACATCAACATAGTGGAAACGGAAGCTACAAGGTGGATATCCGCTTGCAACAGTTGGTCAAAGCTACGTTATAGTTCACGTGGGTTGTGAATGCCAACGAATGATTGTTGCAGATTTTCTTTCACGGTGCTTTATTTACCACATTTGGATTCTTTTAGATCGTAGGTAGTTGGGGGTTTTTTTTTTTTTTTTTGCATCCATTTGTTTGGTTAAAAAGATTATCCTCGGAATAAAAAGCGGGTTCAATGACAATACACGTCAAAGTGTGACCGCTTCAAACACAATTTTACCAACGAGACTCTTTTAGAGACATGAATTACACTCACTACTGTAATTTGCCACATCATCCAAGACAAGTCTAGTGACATCATCTTCAGTAAAAATCTTTACGCCGTCGCACCTTGTAAACTTCCTTCAAAGTCCGAGATCCATGCATAAGTAATACCCGGTGGTCACGGAGTTGTTTTTTCTTTTTATTATTTTTGATTTAGTGGTTCAAGAAAAATTTTCTCCGAATGTTTTTTTTTAGTCCCGACATCCCCTTAGGCGAAAATTCTGTTATGTTTTAAGTTTTACTGAAGAAATGATAATTAAGAAGATTCGTATATGGGGATAATGCTATCTCTTAAAGAGGTAGTGAACGGCCAACACTTCTGGCATATAATATCCTCCTTTGTGTTGTTGTTGTTGTTGTTGTTGTTAGAGTTGATGGATAAACTTTTACTGGTTCACCCCCGGAGTAAATCGTGATTGTGCATGACTGTTCTCGGTTACAAAATGTGGTCTTTTTTTGGCACACACACGCACAAACATACATACACATTGTCTTTCTCTCCTTCTCTCTTTCTCTCTCTCTCTTTTAATGTATGTGTACATATATATATATATATATATATATATATATATATAAACCAATAATACACAAGAGTTACATACAAATTATAAAACCAAACGAGTTCTCCACTGAAAATTTCAATTGTCTCATTTTTTTTTTTTTATTTATTTTAAAAAAAAAATTCCTTTTAAAATTTTTTTTGTCTTTCTTTGAAGAATAGCAAAAATAAAAAAATAAAAAATAAAAAAAAAAAAACCCAAATTAACCCACCATCAATTGGACTCCTCTTTTCTTTCTTTGCTTTTAAAGAGAACCACTTCAGGATCATACACGAGACAGCGGGAGAAGGAAAAACAAGCAACGCAACAAAAGAAGAGGTTGTTACCACGAAATATTCTTCAAACTCATACACATACACATATACACAGACACCCCGAGATAAAAATCTACAATCATGCTTAGAGCTTTCAAACGTGCTATTCCACCACGTACACAAATTCTTAGAGCCAATGTTCCATCATTGAGGTATAATTTCACCAGATTTCAAACAAGATGTTTAGCTACAGCTACCGATACATTTTTGCAAGGCAATGATGCCAACTATGTTGATGAAATGTACCAACAATGGAGACAAGATCCAGCAAGTGTACATTCATCTTGGAATGCTTATTTCACCAACATTGAAAAGGATGGAGTATCGCCATCAAAGGCTTTTCAAGCACCACCAACTTTGGTTCCAACTGTGTCTGGTGGTACCGCTGGTTTTTATCCACAACAATCAAATGTCAATGAAGATGTTGTTGTTCACTTGAAGGTTCAATTGTTGGTTAGAGCTTATCAAGTTAGAGGCCATCAAAAGGCACAAATTGATCCATTGGGAATTAGTTTTGGTAGCCATGCCAAAGTTCCAAAAGAATTAACATTGGACTATTATCAATTCACCGACAAGGATTTGGATAAGGAAATTACTTTGGGTCCTGGTATTTTGCCAAGATTTGCTACTGAAGGTAAAAAGTCCATGACCTTGAGAGAAATTATCAAAACATGCGAGGATTTGTACTGTTCCTCATATGGTGTTGAATATGTTCACATTCCTTCCAAAGAACAATGTGATTGGTTGAGAGAACGAATTGAAATTCCGCAACCATTCAAGTACTCACAAGACCAAAAGAGACAAATTTTGGATCGTTTGATTTGGGCCACTTCTTTTGAAACATTTTTGTCAACCAAGTTCCCCAATGACAAGAGATTTGGTTTAGAAGGTCTTGAGTCTGTTGTTCCAGCCATGAAGGCTATGATTGATACTTCTGTTGAAGAAGGTATTGAAGATGTTGTTATTGGTATGCCACACAGAGGTAGATTGAACATGTTGTCAAATGTTGTCCGTAAACCAAATGAATCGATTTTTTCGGAATTTACCGGATCGAGAGAGTTTGACGAAGGTTCTGGTGATGTTAAATACCACTTGGGTATGAACTACAAGAGACCAACCACTTCCGGTAAACACGTCAACTTGTCATTGGTTGCTAACCCATCACATTTGGAATCTGAAGATGGGGTGGTTCTTGGTAAGACACGTGCTATCCAACAATACAAGAATGATATTGGTGAATTTAAAAAGGCAATGTCAATCTTGTTGCACGGTGATGCTGCATTTGCTGCTCAAGGTGTTGTTTACGAAACCATGGGATTTGCCAACTTGCCTGCTTACTCAACTGGTGGTACCATCCACATCATTATCAATAACCAAATTGGTTTCACTACTGATCCAAGATTTGCAAGATCCACTTTATACCCATCTGATATCGCCAAGAGTATCAATGCACCAATTTTCCACGTAAATGCTGATGATGTTGAGGCTTGTACTTTTGTGTTCAACTTGGCTGCTGAATGGAGAGCTACATACCACACTGACTGTATCATTGATCTCGTTGGTTACAGAAAGCATGGTCATAATGAAACTGATCAACCATCATTCACTCAACCCCTCATGTATCAAGAAATTGCCAAAAAGAAGTCCGTTATTGATATTTACACTGAGCAATTGGTCAAAGAGGGCACCTTCACTAGAGAAGATATTGATGAGCACAAGAAATGGGTTTGGAACTTGTTGGAGGAATCATTCTCCAAGGCCAAGGATTATCAACCAACTTCAAGAGAGTGGTTGACCACCCCATGGGAAGATTTCAAATCACCAAAGGAATTGGCTACTGAAGTGTTGCCACATTTCCCAACTGGTGTTGATGCCGACATTTTGAAAAAGATTGGTGATGCCATCTCCGAAGCACCAGAAGGATTTGAAATACATAGAAACTTGAAGCGTATTTTGAATCAAAGGAAAAAGGCTGTTGAAACTGGTGAAGGTATCGACTATTCCACTGGTGAAGCATTGGCTTATGGATCATTAGCTTTGGAAGGATACCATGTTAGAGTTTCAGGACAAGATGTTGAAAGAGGTACCTTTTCACAAAGACACGCTGTTTTACACGATCAAAAATCAGAAAAGACTTGGACCCCATTGGCCAACTTGAGTGAAGATCAAGGTGTTTTCAGCATATCCAACTCATCCTTGTCAGAATATGGTGTCTTGGGTTTCGAATATGGTTATTCATTAACTTCACCAGATGCCTTGGTTGAATGGGAAGCACAATTTGGTGATTTCGCCAACACTGCTCAAGTTATCATTGATCAGTTTGTTTCCGGAGCTGAATCGAAATGGATGCAAAGATCAGGTGTTGTTTTGTCATTACCTCATGGTTACGATGGTCAGGGTCCAGAACATTCTTCTGGTAGAATTGAAAGATATTTGCAATTGTGTAATGAAGATCCTCGTTACTTCCCATCTCCTGAAAAGTTGGAACGTCAACATCAAGACTGTAACATGCAGGTTGCTTATCCAACCACACCAGCCAACGTTTTCCACTTGTTGCGTCGTCAAATGCATAGACAATTTAGAAAGCCATTGATTTTGTTCTTTTCCAAGTCCTTGTTGCGTCATCCATTGGCCAGATCCAACTTGTCTGATTTTACCGGTGATTCTCAATTCCAATGGATTATTGAAGATGTTGTTGGTGATAAATCTGAAGTTAAGAGACTTGTATTGTGTACCGGTCAAATACATGCTGCTATGCACAAGAGAAGGGAGCAAACCAATGACAAGTCAACTGCTTTCATCAAGATTGAACAATTGAATCCATTCCCATTTGCTCAATTGCGTGATGCATTGAACACTTATCCAAACATTGAAGATTTAGTTTGGGCCCAAGAAGAACCATTGAATATGGGTGCTTGGTCTTTTATTGAACCAAGAGTTAACGTTGTGCTTGACAAGACTGATAAGCATGGTGGCTTGAACATCAGATACGCTGGTAGAGATCCAAGTGCTTCTATTGCTGCCGGTACCAAGGCCAAGCATTTGGCTGAAGAAGAAGAAGTTTTGAACGAAGTATTTCAACAATAGAGCACAATCAGACAAGGACGAAGAGGGAGAGACATTATTTTTCAAAGTGAAGAGAAAAAGTAGAGCATAAGTTGGAAACAATTGAACAAAGTGTTGTTGTTGCTACTAGGGGAAGAGCTTGGTGACGCTATAGATTGAATAAAGTTGAATTTTAGAAGCAAAAAAAAAAAATTTAAGATCATATAAGATGTATAGTATAAAGTACTATTATTATTAGTATCGCACCGGTAGAATGAGCTCAGTCGAGAGATGGATTCTCACGAGCGCATCTTAGTGTACCTAGTTCTGCGTGTTGCGTTGACTGTAGCTTTCCCTACCCCCTCCCCTCCCTCACCCCTCCTATATGCAAGTTGTGGGTATACTTTTTCGGGTATTTGTTTTTCCAGTCATCAAGTACGCATTTAGTTTTCCACACCATATGACGCATAAGATTTTTGCAACCTTTTTTCAATGGAGACGTCGGTCGAATTTTGAGAGCTTTCAGAAAGGAGGAGTAGGGGGTTAAAGACGATACCAAGAATAATGGTGTTTCAGACGAACTCGTCTAAATGTGGAGAGAGTCAGAAGTCATGATCTCAAATGAGAATGTGGAGGTGTATGCATCGAGAGAAAGATAGGGGGAGTGTAGAGCTGTCACAGTAAAGCGAAAAAAAAAAAACGTTTGACGAAGTTATCTAGCATCTGGCAAAGCCTTGATGGAAGCGCATCGGCGGCAAAAAGTTGTTGGTATAAGCAAAGAGCCGATTTGATTGCAATATCTTCTTTCGTCTACTACTCCTATATATACATTCCTAGGGGTGACGTTCTCCACTCTGTGGCGTGGGACACTGTTTTCTTTGTTTATCCTTTTGAAAGAGGGGACAATGGTTAGATAGAAGCTAAGGATCTCATTGTCTTTTGTAGCGAATAGTTGTTGAGATATTTGTGTTTACGGTAAAAACTTTATCCGACTGCAAAATTTTTAACGTGTAAACATTTTTTTTTTTCTCCACAAAATCTTAGTTGCTACCATTTATAAATTTAGGGCCGATTTTGAAAAGACAAATTCGGCAAGAGTTTGGAAGAAGAAAAAATCTTGGTGGTTTTTACTCCTTAGTTGAAGTTTTTCTATGTCAGTATTAGATGTGGAGTTAAGGTGGCTTACCATGAACGTAACGTTATTTGGCAGTCTTCATCACTTTTGCTAAGATGTTACACTGCTTTGATTTTGTGTGATTATGTTTCACAACTTTCTTTTTTTTTAGTTTTTTTTTTTTTGATTCTTCGGAGTTTTAAATTTGCACTCCATTAAATGGTAATTCCATTTACCTGACTAAAATACACGAAAAAACAAGTGTGGGAGGGGGTTGCATAATAAAATCGGATGGACTAAATATTATGACTACTTGAAGAATGTATGAATAAAAAGTTTCAAATTATGGGGTAAATAAAGTTTTTCAACGTGGGGGAAAGAAACCGATTTTCTCGTTCCACTAAAAACCCTATTTCCATTTATAATAATTTCCGGCAAGTTGAAAACAGTGATAGAAAAAAACCCAAAAATATCTCAAATAGTGCTGGGGTATATTATCTAAAAGCAGTTTGACTTTGAACGGATTTATTATTAGGTTTTTTGAAAAGATATATAAATGTGTATAGATTCTTCCACAACTTGACTGGAGTTGGAGATATACTTCTATTTTGCAACCAGAATCTTCTGTACTTTCACGAATCAAACAATATACAACAAGTACACACCAGAGAAATGGCAGTTCAAGCACCATCAAAAACTTATGGTTTCCAAAAGGCTCCAATACAACTTACATTTGTCGTTGTAGGTGCCGGTCTCGGGGGAGTCGCCGCTAGTATTTGCCTCAGATTGGCAGGCCACAGAGTCATTTTATTAGAAGCAGCTACTGAATTGGGTGAAGTTGGAGCTGGTATTCAAATTCCACCACCATCAACCAAGATTTTAAAAGCAATTGGCGTATTGGATGCAGTTGATAAAGTCTCGATTCATCCACATGATATCTTGGTCAAGAAATATAAAGGTGAACTTTTATCTACGCAAAACTTGGTGCCTTATGTTCTGGAGAAATACGATGGAATGTATTTACATATTCACAGGGCTGATTATCATAAAGTATTGGTTGATAGAGCCGAAGAATTGGGGGTTGAAATCCATACAAATTCAAGAGTTGTTGATATTGATTTTGAAAAAGCAACTGTCACTACTGCAACTGGAAAACAATACAGTGGTGATGTCATTGTAGGGTATGATGGAGTCAGATCACAAACCAGAGCTTTATTAACTGGTGACTCTTCTGGAGCTTACGATACTGGTGATTTAGCATACCGTGCATTGATTAAAGTTGAAGATATGAAGAAAGTTCCTGGATTGGAGAAATTTTACGCCAACCCAAACATCAACTTCTGGTGGGGTCCCACCATGCACATTGTCATGTATTTCTTGCACGAAGGTGAAATCTGTAATGTTGTTGCCTTGTGCCCTGACACATTACCAAAAGGAGTTTTGAAACAAGATGCATCACAAGAGGAATTATTAGACTTGGTTAAAGGTTGGGATCAAGACCTCACCACTGTTTTCAAATTGATTACATCAGTGAGTAAATGGCGTTTACAAGACTCACGTGAATTGAAAACGTGGGTCAATTCCAAAACTGGCAATTTTATAATCTTGGGTGATGCTTCCCATTCAACCTTGCCTTATTTGGCCAGTGGTGCATCGCAAGCAGTTGAGGATGGTGCTGTTCTTGCTGGATTATTCTCCAAGATCGAACTGCGTGACCAAATCCCTCAACTTTTACAAATGACGGAGAATTTGCGTAAATGGAGAAGTTCTCAAGTGGTTAGAGGATCTCATCAATGTCAAGATATTTATCATTTACCCGATGGTGAATTACAAGAAATTAGAGATTCTTATTTGTATGATAAACAACCGGAATTGGGATGTCCCAATAGATTTGCTGATCCAGTTTTCCAAGATTTTCTTTGGGGATATAATGCTTTTGATGAAGTTGAAAGAGCTTGGAAGGAGTTTAAGGCTGGTGGTAATCCAACTTATACTTATCCTAACTTGTATAAACCAAAGAGTAGTGGTGAGAAGGATGTGTCAGGTGGAGGAGCAGCAGCAACCCTTGCTGCTGGTAATACCCCAGCTGCTCCATTAAGTGCATCAGGCTAAGGGCATGTGCGGGATGGATATCTTATGTAGTTTAAATTGTATTTGAAGTTATTTACATCTTTTTGCACCAATTGCAGTCGAGACTCCTGCCATCATGTGACAGGATAGCTTTACTCTCTACTCTAGGTTTAGATTTATTTGATAAAAAACACAAACTATATAAATAAGTTGAGCTGGGAACCTATTCCTTTGAGCAATCTCTTCCAAACAAATAAACCTTCATCCAGTCCAAGATGACAAGACATTGGTTCTTTACAGAAAGACACATGTAGATATAAGCTGATCTCCAAAACAAAAACGTGAAATTACCTCCACTAGTGATGTTTGACCAGTCACCCCAAACCAAATCAGCAACTGCCTTTTCGGATCCAATGTACGCCAATGAACCTTGATAGTTGTATTGGAATTTAGGTAAGCTCTTTTCAGCTCTAGCTAATTTCTTACCCAAAGTGTCGACGTTTTGCTTTGGTGTTGGATGTTGGATTTGGTATTGAAGACTTTCAACTTGATGTAATTTTTCAAAGTATTTGGCCAAGTATTCACCTTCTTGGAATGCAACTTGTGCGGTTGGTGGATACTTGGTAAATGTACAATCACCCAAGGCAAAAATGTTGGAAGTACCATCAACTTTCAAACACTCATCAACCAATAATCCACGTTTAGCATTCTTTTGCTCCTCAATTTTCGACATTAAATCACGAGTGAATCCTCTGGCAGCATTACCGGTAGCCCAAATTAAAACACCATATGGAATTTCAACAGTCTTTGTTGATCCATCAGGTTGTTTTTGCGAAGCAGTGAGAACCTTGTCACCGACTTTCTTGATCATGGTATTTGTCATTAAATTAATGTTGGTGTCTTTAAATACTTCTTTGGTGTAGTCAATCAACTTTTTGTTAAAAGTGTTCAATACATTTGGCAAAGCTTCAACTAAAGTAACTTTCAATTCACCTTCCAATTCAGGAACCCATTTGTGTAAATCTTGGTCAATGTAATCTTGGATTTCACCGGCAGCTTCAACACCAGTTGGGCCACCTCCACAAACAACAATTTGTAGCAATCTCTTACGTTCTGGGTCACTCTTTGGCAAAATATTAGCGGCTTCAATAACATCCATTAATCTTCTTCTGATAGTTGATGCATCACTAACCTCTTTCAAAAATGTGGAATGTTCAGCAACTCCGGGAATACCAAAAGTGGAAGGTTGAGCACCAACTCCAACAACCAAATAATCATAATTCAATGTGGTTGAAATTTCCTCGACTCCAGTATATTCAGAAACAGTGGATTTACTTGATGAGGTATCCTTACCTGAGTGACCAGAATGAACAGTGGTACTCTGCTTCAAGTAAAGTTGGTTCTTTTGAGGATCAATACCAGTGGCTTCAGCTTCCAAGTAAATGACCTCACCCGGACATCTTCTGGTAATAGCTCTAACTGGTTCAATAATGGATCTCAATTCAACGGTACCGGTTGGGACACTTGGCAACAATGGAGTAAACAAAAAGTAATTTCTTGGTGAGACAACAACGACATTGTACAAGGTAGTATCCAAATTCTTCAACAATGGAATTGATCCCCAACCCGAGCCCAAGATAACCAAAGTCTTTTTCTTTTGACCATCAGGGAAGAAAGGGGTTTGTTTTTGTTGTTTTGCTGGCTTGGATTCTTCGTAAATCTTGTACGCGACAACACCAGCACCACCTAAAACACCAAGTACTGCTGCACCCAATGTATACTTGAACACTTTTCCCAACACTGATGCTTGCAAAACTTCAACATTACGTGGTGGAATTGTTGATGTTTTGGTTGCTCTCGGTGGTTTAATCTTGTTCAATGGTTTAAATGAGGTGGAAAAGAACCTCCTATTGGCGATCCCTTTAAACATGTTTGACTATTAACCACTGTATATCTTCAACTATGGTAAGTGCCTAAATTTAAGCCAGTACGATCAGCGGAATCCGATTATAGATGATGTGTCTTTGGAATGAATATTTATGACGACTTTGACCCGGCGAAAGATAAAATGTCAATTAGGTTAGTCAATATATGTGAAAGTAGGTATTGACTGCAGTGATGAATAGCTAATATTCCTCCGTATATATATATATATGTATATATATATACTCTTCTAATTCAATGAACAATGAAATTCTCTGCAAAACTGCTTTTTTCAAGATGGAAAGATTATCAAAGAACTTTATTGGAAGGATTTTTTGTAGTTCATCACACAAAGTCAAGCAAAGATTGCGGACTTTTTAAAGCCGAGACAATTTCCGGATTGAAGGGACGCATACACGCATACATCCTATACATAACTCCATAACCATAAGATACATCTTTACCCAGTAGACCTAATAGCGAAGTCATACATATACGCACAATTAGTATCCTATCGTGCATCCCGCGCTCTTTCCAACGTAGGAAGAATTAGGGTCAGTATATAATAGAATAAAACCAGAGTGAAATGGATAGTAGTGTACATGATAACAATTAAGCATCCCCACACTTAATATAACAAAAGAACGAGCTCATAGCAATCGTACCAGGAAGAGCCAAATGACCCAACAACATTTCCCTCCCTGACTTTGAAAAGGAAGGGAGGGGGGGGGGGGGGGGGGTCTATAGGGCAGATGACTTTTACGTGCTCATTGCGCACAGTCTACACAAATTTTCTACACATTGCAGAAGCAGAGAAACTCATAGAATAACAACGATAAGAAACTATAATGATACACCAACGCTCTCTGTACGATATACACAAAGTGCAATTCACTCATCACCTTCGATACCCCCTTCTGTAAAAATACATGCAAGTCACGCAAATTGAAAGTAGCGCGGTAATATAGTTGGTACAATCACGTATCGTATCATCCACTGACCCTTTGTTCTTCCCAACGATTAAGTTTTTCTTTTTTGAAATGGTATGTCTTTCTACTCTGTTTAAACAGCTCTAAAGTATCTACCAATTGCTCATCAGTGACCTCACTTGAATTGATATTCTTGACCAAATCTCTACTCTCCTCGTCGTTCCGTTCAATCAATTTCCTAAACTTGTGCTTCAAAAGCTCTTCATTGAATGTAGATGACATAGTTTGATACTGAATAGTCTCCAAGTTCAAAAACTCATTGTGAAGTTGCGTGAGAGTTTTGATTCGTTGATTGATCTTGTTACTCACGTCTTGATATTGCGGAATCAAGGTGTCATTGATCTCAGATTGGAGCAAAGATGATGCTTGACTCGCACGTTCTTGTAGCTCCTTTAATTTCAGTTTGTAAGCTTCGAGCTGGTGGATATAACCTTGAATTAATTCTTCATTGTTGACAAATTCTTCAAATGTTTTCGTAGGTAGTGATTCTAGCTGTTTGGGTAGGGGAAAGAAATTTAGCTCTTGAGCGGAAAGAGGTGACACAGTTTGCGGTAGGGGTATTTGTGGAGTTTCGGACGACATGGCGTTGGATGGCAATTATAAAGGAGTGATATTATTGAGATTGATCATATTTGAGGTAAATGTCCAGCTACCAATTTAGCTCAAAATTATGGACGGAGTGCCACCAACAACCAACTACAAGCAACGTACCTTCTATGATGCCAATATTATTACAAAACTGCTAAATGAAATAAAATCTAATAAATCTATCCATAAGAAATGAACCGAATAATCCTATTCGTAATGCAAAAATGGGCCCCTTACACCATACAACCATCATCACCATTCTTTCTCTTCAATCTCTCCAAATTCTTTTGATCCCTCCTTTGTTGTTTAATCTCAAACTTCCTATTGTACGACTCTCTCAACTTTTCACCGTACAAGTAGCAGAATATTGGAAATGGAACTCCCAACAAGATTCCAATGAAAGCACACATTGTGTTTGCCCAACCATACCCCAAAGCACTGTACATTTTCCTAGCAAATAACGGGAATGTGTATCCAAACAAACTACGAAACAATGCAGCGGCAGCAACCGAACTAGCAGCAAATCGAACATTCATATCAATCAAATAGTTTTGAATAGTCTGGAAAACACAAACCAATCCAAATGCAAAAATTGCCGAACCGATACCAGGCATAATCCAATGCAATTCCTTCTGTGCTGACCAGCCAAACCAGATTAGCCCAACTGGTATGAACACAGCACAAGCAATTAAGCAAGGCAATCTGAATTCCGGTTTGGCTACTCCACCATTGGCAATCGTCAATTTTTTGTACACTCTACCAACCATAAACGTCCAAAATACCACTCCTAAAATGAACCCACAACCCATGGGGAGATACATCAATCCAGTAATGCTTTTGCTAAACCCATACTGCTTTTCGAAAATTTGTGGGAATGTCACAATTAAAAGGTACATGAACCCGTAAGTGAATGCCATAAATGAACCCAATCCAATAACCATTGGATGGGTTAAAAGTAAATTCACAGGACGAACAATACACAACCACAATCTGCCAAATGTTGATTCACTGGCATTTGTGATTTCATAAATTGTGTGTAGACTAGTGTTGCCAGTATTTTTCCTCAATCTTTGTGCTTTACGTTTCAACAATGTTGGTGCATAGGTCTCTTTGAAGAACAAAGTGGCAGCAACGGCAACAGCCCCATTGAACATGCACAAAACATAAAAGCACCATCTCCATTGCATATGATCAACGATGAACCCAGCAATCAATGGGGCAATAACTGGTCCCAATAACGGGACCAAAGAATAACCAGCCAAGGCAGCGTTTCTCAGGTTGGCGTCAAACAAGTCAGATATGACCCCAGCACATACATTCATAGGCACACAACCAAATAATCCACCAATGAACCGACACACCATCATTTGTGCTGTATTTTGTGAAAATGCACAACCCAAGTTGAAAAACAATGACATCCAACACGATACATCCAAAACTAATTTCCTGCCAATATTGTCGTATTCTGACAATGGGGCAATAATCAATGGTCCAAATGCCCATGCCAAGATTTGAATTGATACAACCATGGCTTGAACAACTTCAGATGTGATGCCAAATGCAACACTGATTTCACTCATTGCTGGTGATAATATACTTGATGACATTGGTGCAACTAAAGCATATAGGGAAACAAAGCCCAAAAGGAAAATTTTCAACGAAGCTGACCAATTTCTTGGATCCTCTGGATCTTCAGTCCCATTCCAAGTAATCAATTCAGGGTCAATTTTGATGAAATCCTCACCGTGTTGAGTAACAGGTAGTACTTGGTCTTCAATCACTCCATCATCCAACTCTTTTTCATTCAATTCTTCATTGTTAACTTCATCAGCTATCTTGTGTTCAATCTCACCCAAGATACTTCTCCTTGTGGCTATTCGTTGAAGTTCAATCTCCTCACTATTTAAATCACCATAGATTTGGTGTACTGAGTACTGCTTGTCGTTTAAATCAGTGTCGTTATATGATTGGTCTCCTTGTAAACTTTTCCGTACTTGATCTATCGACTTTTTTGATAGTGAGGCGATACTTTCTGATCGCGATTTCTTTTCATGACTATTGTTGTTGAACCCGTTGTCGTTTGGGTAGTAAACTGCTGGTTCATTGTATGAATTTTCAGTGCTGTTTGTAGAAGAAGCTATCAAGTTACGTTGATTTATCTCCAACGAGCTCTTTTTAATATCAGACATGTATAACGTTCTTTGCTTACCACAATTTTAGAAAATACCTTTCTCCATCTGGCACGGAAAGAGCGTATATCATTGTACTTATATAAACTGGTACTTTCACTTCTTGGTCATTAATTTTGTAACACAAACGCCTAAATAACCACTTGGTTCCAGATTCATCATTTCGCAACTTCAATTTTAGCAGTAAAAAATTTTTCATCTACCAAATCTCGGTTATTGGAGGGGCAAAAAATTATGGTAGCGTATGCGTTTTACATGAAACGGCTTTTTTTTTCCGTCAGCTGTGGTATAAGCCTTTTCGATTTGTTCTATTATATATCTTCGGGCATCGGATAAATTAGGTTATCACGGTTATGGAAGGTTTCTTTTTTTTTTCAGTTCAACCTTTTAGAACCTCCTATTTCCAAACAGTCTAGGTATCTATAGATATAATCATTACATCATTTTAACAAAATATAAATCGATTCTAAGTTGTGTGACTAGCCTGAATAAGGGTCCTCCTCCTCTTCTTCGAGTATACCATTCTTCAATGCCACTTGTTTGCAATACTCCTTACTCGCTTTCATTGCACATTTGTAATTCCAATCTGACCCACGAATGTTGAACTGGTCACGATTGTAAACTGCTGTAGATTCATCAAATAAGCTGGGCAATTTGATAATGTAGTTTAATAACCCACGTAAATGAACAATGGAAACGTCTTGATCAGCAGCTGATAATGTAACGCCCATGTAATCATTTATCGAAACGGAATCAAGAGACGTCAATTGGTCAAAATTCTTCAAAGTCTTTCCATCTCGAGTTACACTTTCAATGTCCCAATAAGCGATGGAATTGGGTATGAGCACGTTTCTTCCTTCACAAGGTAGTGGCTCCGCTTCAATCAACTGACCCAGTTTTGGATCGATTTTCGGAGATACCCATGGTGGTACATATGCACCAAAATCTATGTAATCTGAAACATCACCCAATTTGTAATAATACTTGCCAGTTTCTTCATTGTAATCCTCAATCAATATAATCATATTGGGTCTATACATTGACTCACCACAACCACATTTGTTGAGATGTGCTCTTGCCCAGCCTAGAAACACATTACGGTTGGCGGGAATATGAAGCAGATCGCGCACAGCAGTCGGGAGCTTGTCTAATGGTAATGAGACTAATTGGGTACCTCCTCTTAGTGCCCCGACAAAATTCTTTTTCTTCTTTTTCGGATTTTGAAGAAAGTCACACACAGCCGTATCGATTTCACACACCAAAACTTCCAAAGGTACGATTGAATAAATAAAATTAAGTTTGTTTTGTGACTTCTGATTGGGACTTATAAAAGGTGTCCAGTTTTTCTCAATTTTGGCATACTTGTCGGTCCTTTTCTTCAACAAGTTTAATGTTTTTGAAAATGGTAAATACAAAAACATGATACGTTTTACGATTTTCAACTCTTTCATGTTAAATACAATCAATGGCTCTTCAAATCCCAATGGGTTTTCTCTCAATATAATTCTTGGATCTTCGGGACCATAATAGTACTTTTCATTTTCAGTTTGCATTGCATAATCGATAGGAATGGGTAAAATATGTGGAAATTCGACCCGTTTGTAACGCAATTGCGGATCGCCTCGTATCGTAGTTACAGACCCGTCTAGGTTCATCCAATTGGTGGAGTCGGATTTTTCAAAAGGTATAGTCAAATTAGTCCCCTTTGGTAGTTCCTTCCAATCTTGGTCGAATAGTTGTACATACAAAAACGAAACATACGCTTTGTTGGCAATACCCAGGGGAGAATACAATACTCGACTCACCATATAATGAACTTTGAATTGAGATAGCCAAACACTTGAGCCTCCGAACCTGAACCATTGTTTATGTTCTGGAATCACTGGCTTAAATTTGGCTTTTGCTTTTTTCAATAATTTGGCATACTCTTTTATTTGTTTGAACTTGGTCATAAAGTATTCAAAATCAGAGTCGAGATATGCCTGTTTAGTAACATCAAACGCATCTTCGTATTCCAACTCAGAGCACATAAACCCCTCGTCAAACGTATAATCTTCAGGTTTTCCCACAATCAATGGGTGTGGGTCAGTGAAAGCTTTGAGTGAAATGGAACTAAACTCATTGCTAGTTAGAAACTGATTGGATAATGGAAATGACTCCTGGGTGGTATCTTGTGTAGAAATTGCTAGTTCCGCATTTGAAATGATCTTGGAGTTCACAGCATTAGGGTGCAATCGAAATGTCTTTAAAGGGTTAAAATAGAAGTCGTAGATGTTGTACATAATGCAAGCAATTAGCCCAAACAATGCAAGCAATCTCGCTAGTCTCCTCCCTGTACTGCTATATAGCAGATTTTTGATAAACGAAATTAGTCGTACAAGGGATTGTCTTAATCCTTTCAGTAGTCTCCCCACTGACAACATGATAATGCAAGTTTAATAATTAAATAAAGTAGAAAAACAAATGCACGTGTGAAAGGGAACTTGATGGAAATGTTTGATTTGATGGTGCTTTTGTATTTATATCCCTTGACTAGCCATTCAATAAGTTGTGATGTGATATGGTTATGTCCCCTTAAATCCTGTGGCTGAGTGCCTGAAATCTCTGTGTATCTCTGAAATTTTCGTTCTCTACTAAAAGAACGAAAAAGTGAAATTTGATTGTGCCTGCGCAACCCTAGACGCGCACAAAATAGTTCAAGCAATCAATGCAAGATTGCAAAGTGATTTTCTACATTGTATCAATCAATTAAAAGTAATAATACAAATTATATTGAACACTTACACATGTCCTATGAAACAAAAAAACCAGTCCAAAACTTACCAAAGTCACCTATTTTTCAACAAACTTTGCTCAATCAGATCTATATTGTTTTCAATTTCATCAAATCTCATCCCACAACTCAAGGAGATAAGCTTGCAATATTTAATTAACTTATTGTTTGCGTCAGAAGCATACTGTTCAATAATTGGTTTTGAAGTATCCGTACGATCCGTCAAAGGAGGAACATCTTTAGCAAGATCCACAATTTTATCCACCAACTTCCTCTTTTTCAAAATTTCAAGTTGAACAAGATTCGCTAGCTCGAATTGTGACTCGTCACCATACTGAAGATCATTCTTAAATGACGCCTTTTCCAACTCTTTTCTGAGTACAAACTCTTTAAAGTTTTTCAACTTTTTCAATACTTGCTTCACCTCCTCTTGCTTGTGTAATAGCTGATACATCAAATCATTCACCAAACGATTTATTTCTTCTTGAACGATTTGATCTCGCCTATGGTTCAGTTCAAAGTTGTCATAGTCTGTCTCAAGTACATTTGACTCTTGGCTTGACGGATCCATTTTTTCCTTTTTTGGTCCTTCATCCAAATCATCAATCAAATGGTCTAATTTGAAAATTGATAGTATAGCTCTTTGCGTCGATAGCTTGATTTCATTGACTCTCTCCAATGTCTTAAAGTAGCCTAGCACTACATTGTCTTTTTCCTTTAATTCTTGATTGATAATGTATGACAATTCGGCCATCTTTTCTGTGAGGATGTTAGCGGTGGTATTATACAAATTTATTGCCATTTTCGAGTTGTAAAGTTGTGCATCAAACGATTGTCCAAGCGAGTTTGCTTCTTCTATCATATCATGTCTTTGATTGTTTATTAGTGCTGCGTTTTCCTCATTTAAATTCTCTTCGCCATCACTCCCAACATCAAGACGAAGAACGTAATTGTGTGACTCCAAGTAATCCTCAACTGTGCAGGTAACCAAATTCCTTAAACTGAAATTAATAAATTTGTGGTAATCAATAAATACTTTTATCAATTTTTTGTTTAAATTGTAAGCAGCTATGTGAAATGCTGTATTTCCGTCAGAATCTTGATGGTTGATAAATTTTGTAATCAATTCAAACCTTTCCTCAGTGATATTGTCTATGCCATCATTAGATTTTTCTTTGTCATGAACAAGACTCTTTAACAAAATGTCCAAATAATAAGCCGCAACTTTTTCCTTTTTATACTCCACTATGTGATGCAAAACAGTTTTACCACTAGAATCGACAAGTATAAGCGACTCAAATAAAACTTCCAATACCTCCTTAAAACTATTTGAATTGAAGCAATTACTAAACTTTACCATAAACATCAAGGGTGTCTCCCCATTGTTGTTTCGTATGTCAAGCCTAATCTCTTTATCAAATTTCTCAATCAAAAACTTTATAAGCGTCAAATAACCCAACGAGCAAAGCCAATGAAAAATGGTATTCCCTTCGTTATCGATACTGTGGTTAATGTGGATCTTGGAAACCGGTTGCGGAGGATTCAAAAGCTTTTCTGGCAAAACACTTTCCGGTGTTGCATTCGCCTGACCTTTGTTCCCTTCATCATCCAAAAAGAATGTTACAAAGTTGGCAAAGTAATCGGCGTAGATTTGATTGTCTTGTGAAAGATTGATACTAGGTTGATGATACGGCGTGATCAAATCTGCTTGTGGCCCATTGATATTGTGCGCATTTTTTTCAAATGTATTTCGTGAAACACCAAACAACTCCTTACTGGTAAGCAAGTCAACATTAGTGTCAAAATCACCATTACGCATCGATAGTCCGTTACTCCTTTTGCTTCTTTTCAAAGTTGCGCCACCATTTTTCCCATAATGGTCGTCATCATCGTCTTCATCTGTGTCTACAGAAGCCAAATCCTCTTGTCTCAAATTCATATTCGATGCCATCATATGTAGAGCATCTTGTTCGGTATTTTGTCGCATCATTCTAGGGATGGGGGCAGCAAAAGAGCTGTCTCTGCTGTAACCACCTACCATACTTCCTAATGGTACAGTGTCTGAATGCTGTAGACTCGGAGTAGAGCTCAATGTTGAGCCTTTAGGTCTTCCGCGTTTCTTTGGCTCATCCCCAGATTTTTTAACTTTGGGTTGCTTTGTTTGCTTCGCTTGTAGCTCTTTCTTCTGTAAAGATGCTTGTCGTTTTGCTATATTCAATGCGCTCGCATGATTGTGCTTGGGTGCAGGTGGTGGTGTTTCAGTTTTACCTTCAATGTACTCAAAATCAAATATTGGCTTCAATGTGTCATACACATTGTAATTGCGTGCAATCACTTCACCCAATTTCAATGGTACATAAGTCCCTTGATACTTACCATAACCACCCTGTACTTTTTCGTGTATTCCAGTCTGTACATCTTTTTCGAGTATCCTCGTCCTCTTTGCCTTGGGCAACTTTGCTATTTTCAAAATGTGCGTCGCGTTGATCCAGGAATCCCCTTTACGGCGCATTATTGGGCCCTCGGATGTTACATACTCAAAAACTGGAACATTTGAATACGTGGCGGAATATATTTGCGTGTTTCCTTCTGACATTTTTTGATAATTGAATGTCACGAGGGGAGTGTTGGAATTGTTACTCGAGGCCTAGCTAAAATCTTTGGTAACTAAGTGGTATGACAGTGCCTGTGATTAAATGTGAATAATGAGCTGAGGTAGCGGCGATTGTATGTTTGCGTTGTGAATTGTTGATGATGCTTAGAATGAGCCAAATCGTTGATGTTTTATAAGAGAGCGTTGATAAATTGAGATTTTGTAACGAAATAAAAGTTTTGAATTTTTTCTGCGTGGAATCTGGATCCATTCTATACACAGAAACAACAACACTAAGTGAAAAGTAGCTTTTGGTATGAGGACGAACATAGCATCTGCGAATTAACGGAGGGATGTTTTGGTGTAAACAAATGCAAAATTTATTCTTTAAGAGGGAGAATACATTAAAGTAGAACAAGATCAGGGTATCATGGTAACAACTCTATTCGACAGTGTGATACCAATGTGACCATAATGTTTTCACCGTGTGGCTCCCATATACCTGGCTAGCTACCTGTGATGACCCTAATTAATCTATAAAGGATGATTGCAACCAAACCTACCAAGACCATCACAATATACGTCAATGCTTTGCCAAAAGACGTCATTGGATTATCGTCGGAGGTTCTTTCTTCTGAAAGTGGGATGCTGACCACGTGTTCTGACGCTTGATAACAAACCTCTCTTCTTTTTATCAAATAGCAGTCTTCCTCTTCAATGGTACGTTTTAGTATCGCTTTTCCTAATAATAGATCTGTGTAATGCCTTAATGAACCTTCAAATTTGCAAAACGAGGCATGGAGCTTTGCTGACTCTCGTTCAATATCGCTGGTGATGTCTTCAATCCTCATCAACTGTAACCAAATCCATGAATCAAATCCAAATGGTATATCATCCACAATCAAAGAAGTTTGAAATAGATTCTGTCCATATTCAATTGCCCGTAGTACTCGACTACAATCCATCTTGAGAAACGGAACTAATAACTTTTTCAAATTACTATGCGATGTGAAGAATACTTCAATGCAGTGGAGAATTTTATTAATCAACTCAAATGTTGACAAAGTTGATTGCAAAATTAAATTGACCGATGGTCTAATGGTCTGTTCGTATGGCACCAACTCAATTCGTCGGAAGTTTATTGACATTGAGAAATTACCACCATTGTTATCAAGATCTGATTCTTGTAAAGTATCCTTACCCAAAATATCATTGAAATCGTTCTCCAACTGTAGGATATTATTCTTGCAGTCATTGGTCATAACAGTTATATCCTCATACTGTGGAATCTTTTTTAGCAACGTTGAGTATATTGTCAACACATCGGCATATAAATGCACAATCGTTTTCAAGCTGATGAGATACTTGAGAACAGCTTTGTTTAAGCAATATCTGAAAACCTGTGAGTTTTCGAGGATCAAAATTTGATCTTCTTTGGACAAGTCAAGTGTAACTTTTAATTTTCGATCACCTATGGTGTATGGCATGCTAAGAGTGATTTTTCAGGACTTTGTTGGTGATTAGTTATGACTTGGCCATCATTGGATTTGTACAAAATGAGTAAGAAAAAATAAATAAAAAAAAACAAAAATTTTAATAAAAAGAAAATACAGAGTTAATCTTAGCATAATATGACCCTATATATATTGCAATTGTGTTTAATAGAAGTGGCTTTTGGGCGCCTGAGGGGAGCATGAAAGGATACCCATGGTAAGATAAACCACGCCGTTTCTTGTAAGTGGCTTAATGGGTAGTAAACTCATTATTGCTTCGGTTTTGTGTGTGAGTCGTTGTATAATACGACATTTTATTGGGTCTCCGTGGTCATCACGACATTTATTGGAGACGAAAAGTGGGAACGACATTCGTCAAGATGTCAATGACGCAAATCTTGCGACACATCGATTTTTAAGACATTTGCTTTTTGTCACATATCAAATAATATGAAACTTCGTGGCGTTGTTTGAATCACTCACTCCCGTTCTTTCAAATCAGCAAACATACCATCAACATCACTCACTCGCTCACTTTGTTTTGGTATTATGGGTGTGTTTGATATCTTTGGCAGCAAGCATGGCTTTGATCCAAATAAATTTGAAAAAGAGTTTAGTCAGTTGACGGGGAATATCAACAAAACAAAACAGCAACTTGCAAGGTTGACACAACGCAAACGGAAGTTGAATGCAAAATTAGAAGCATTCGTATCAATTGGGTACATACTCATTTTCCTGTACTGTTACTTTTCCATTCCCAATGATGTCCGAGCCACCAATCGTGTACAACAGTTTATTAAGGGTCAAACAAAGCAAAACTTATATGTCCTTATTGGCTATCCATTAATTTCCATAGTAGTTATCAAATTCATAAATTACGCTTTCAATTATCTCATCAGACGGCATGATCGTTTTTTGGCCAAGTTGCAGGCCAAGCATAAAGCCAAAATGGACGAGTTGAAAAAGATTACAAATTTCAATGCCACAAATGAATTGATCAACAAGTATGGTGAAAAGCAGTTACCTCAGCAAATTCCACTTGCTCAGAAGAGCTCCGCTAACAAGAAGTCCACAAAACAAGACAATTTGAGGGCTCAAGCGTTGAAAGAGTTGCATTTGAGCGATAAGCAACTTTCTCAGAATGAAAATTCGGGCACAGCAACTACACAGGATAACTCAGGAAAGCTGCAACAACCCAAGGCTGCTACTGCAACTCCACGCACGTTTCAGGATCGTCTATTAGATTTGTTTGTAGGGTCTGACAATTCCGAGTCGGTGGAGCAACGATACGCTTTGATTTGCTCGCATTGTTTTGCACATAATGGATTGGCACCCCCGCATTGTGAAGATCCTCTGTTAGTTAAGTATCAGTGTTGGAAGTGTGGTGCATTGAATGGGAAGGGAATGTTGTTTGGAAATTCAGGTCCAGATGAACAACACTTAGAGGATTCAGCATCAACTTTCGACAAGAATATAGTTCCAAGTGATGTAGCTGGTGAAGGTCATATTGAAAGCGGGCCCATTAACGTTACAGACGACATCAAGGCTAATGCCCTTACTGAGAAAGCAGATACACCTTCTAATGCATCACTGGAAGCCAAAATAGATTCAGATACCAAAAAGGAGAGCCAGGTATCAAACTGAGGCTGCCTTTCTTTTTTTTTTGGCACTGTTGTATGTAGAGCTTTTTTAATATACATGAACATTATGAATTCACCTTATGTACATTTACAATCTATACAGAGTAACTAAGACAACTCCATAAGTGCATTGACCATGTCACCATTGTGGTTCTTCAACGCCTTTACTGCCTTGGATCTAGAAACGTGGGTTTGTTCAACAATCAATGCGATATCTTTTGGATCAAACTCAGATTCATCAACTTCTTCATCATCATCATCAACTTCTTCAACCTTGTTTTCAGACAAGCTTGCTTTTTCCATATCAGCAGTAATAGCTTCTGGTGACTTGTCTTCGGTAGCAGTTGAAGCATCTGGAGCAGCACCAGCAGCATTGGACAAAGCTTCTTGTTGAGCTTGTTGAGCTTGAGCTTCAGCAATTCTTTGGTTCATGTCGTCGACCTTGGCTTCACCAAAAACAACATAAGTACCAGCAGCTGATCTGTAGACATCTGGGTTGTCAATTGCGTAAATCAAGTTACCTTTTTGCTTAAAAGTAACTCTGGAAATACCTTTAATTTGTTTCAAGTTCAATTTCTTGATCAATTCTCTGGCTTTCTTTTCGTTTTTATTTGAAATGATGTTGACATCAGCACCTTGTGGGATTTCTTCGGTAGACATTGTGTATTGTTTGCGGTAATTGGTTTAATAAAGTTTCTTATATCAACGTGTTTTCAATTGAAAAATTTCTCCCTCTACGCTTGTCGAATTTTCGTTGGCAAATTATAGAGTAGTGTAACTTGACAAAATAACAATAAAAGGAAAGGAGTGAAAAAATTTTCTCCAATTCATCTACCAATTTACACGACCTCCAATTTTTTGCAACACTATATAAACCCCATCGAATCATCAAATTTTTTTTACAATTTTTTTCCCCTTTTCTTTTTCTTTTCTCTGTCGACGTACTTCATAGGATCATTTCTATAGTAGACGTCCCTCTTTGACTCTTCAAAAGAGCCACTGAATCCAACTTGGATGATGAGGTCTTGTCACCAGTCCATAAAGTGAGAACCAATTTTGCTTGACTATGGTTTCTTATAGCCTAGTCATCAATTTGTTTTTTTGCCTCGTTAATCATTGCAATTCTGTTTCTTCGGGAACTTTTTGCAATGTAGAGGAGCGATGATCTTGATCCTATTTCTTTATACCCTTTCGGGGGGAATCGATTTGGGGTGGACTGTTGGCTGACTGACAAGTTTATAAAAACATGTAGTATCAATGTGTGTTGATGCTCGAAACTGATTCAGTGTAGAGCCTCCCGGATATTGGCTTATTAGCTGAGACGTGTCGGAACACCCGCTAGCTCTCATTCGTACGAGATCACGGCATATATTGAAAAGTTTTCTCGTATTTGCTATGCATATGGTAGCGCGTAAAGAAATGTACAATATTAGGGTGGTGTCCTTTTAAAACAGTACAAAGCAGCTGTTGTGTGAATACCGAGAGGTTAGACGAATGAACAAGTTTGGCTAGCGTTTGGCTAAATTTGTCGTTCCGCAAAATAAACTCGTAAAGAAGCAGTTCATTGCATCGCTATCTTTCATTTCTACACGTGACTCGTTAACACTTTTTTCTCTAACTAAAAATCGCTTGTTACACAAATGTGGCTACAGAACAATTTTATCGGAACAACCGGCCAAACTTAAAGCCGTTGCATAAGTTTTCGGTGCCTGAATTGACACTTTAGTTCAACAGTAACAAACAAGCTACATCTACTAGCTCCTCCACTGTCACACGAAGTCATAAACCCGATAGATTAACTCTCTGTTAGCAGAAACTCTTCCCCACCTTTTTGCGGCCTTCTTTGAAGTCGGCTCCAATATTTAATTCCCGCAATTTCTCTTTGAGTGTTCCTTTGCCATACACACCAACTACTGAAGGAACGTAGGACTTGAGTTGTTTTAGCATGCACGTGTAGGGTAACTCGAACCTCTTACCAAACGCCTACTGGATCTGATTGAGTTTATGAAAAACAAGTAATCAAAGGAAGTAGATTTTGCGACATATTAGACCAAACTTTTAAAAGATACGTAGTCGTTCCAAAAACAAATATTGAATGAGAGATATTCAAACCCAACAAAGGTCTCTTCTACCGAAAGCCATAGGAAAAGCACTCAGTAAATTGATAGCTATTCCGCAGTGTGTATGTTTATTTTGATGTTACAAAATTTACGGCCACGAGGGTGAGAGATCTGACACATATTCGGCACATGGAAAACGTAAGAGAGAGAAAAAAATTAAACAAAGTGAGGTTACAAAATGAAACAAAACAAAACAATACAAAAACAATCAATCGAAAAAATATCGCAGAATTTGACAAAAGACGGAAAAAGGTGGTCATAGCAATTACAACAGACAGGCTTGTATTCCTAGATCTCACTATATTACAAAATATCCCCTTCAATTTACCGTATCACTTGATAACTGAAGTAGTGTGTGTGTGTTTGTCATGTCAGAGATTCATGATAACTCCCCCAACACTTCATTGAAAGAAGAAGCAGGGAAGGATTCCAGGGAGATTGAGTCGTCCTCTGGCTCTCAAAACGATGGCAGTGTAAACAATAAACAATCCACTAGAGCAACTGCCCAAGATTTGCTCAATACTCGTCCACCCACATTCAAGGATAGAATACAGAGGTTTTTTTTCTTACGTGGGTTAGGGGATAGACCGCAGTATATGCAAGAAATATACAACAATATCCCACGGACAATCTTTTTCAACTACGATCTACCCCCAGATATGAAAGATGACAAGGGCCATCCGATTATTGAATACCCAAGAAACAAGATAAGAACCACAAAATACACACCTATAACTTTTTTACCTAAAAATTTACTTTTGCAATTTACTAATGTTGCCAACACCTATTTTTTAATCTTGGTTATACTAAGTGCTTTCCAAGTGTTTGGTGTGCCGTCGCCTGGGTTGGCTGCAGTTCCATTAATTGTTATTGTATGTATCACAGCAGCCAAAGATGCTTTCGAAGATTATCGAAGGGTAGTGAGTGATATGGAGTTGAACAATAGTCCGATACATTTACTATGTGGTGTACAAAATCCTAATGTGGAAAAGGACTTTGTTGGACCATGGAGAAGGTTCAAAAAAGCATGTACAAGAGGTAGTATCAAAATGTTTAAAGGTGTCAAGAAGGGTTGTATATACGTCTTTGGTAACAAACGTCAAAAGCAAGACTTTATTCGTGAGCAAGCTCATCAGGAAGATTTGGCATTGCACAGGGTAAGCACGGTTGTGTCTGATTATTCGTACCATTCCCTGCACCGCAACAGCGCCTATTCACCAAGAATCAGTACACAGTCTAGGAATAGAAAATCTACCCAGTCAAGGCATCCACCGACAAAAGCCCTTCCGGACTCGTTGCTTAACCCAGTATTGAAAGAAGAAAATGCCCATCATCCAGATATGAACAGAGCTTCGTTTAAAAACCGGTATTGGAAAGACGTAAATGTTGGAGACATGATCAGGATCAGAGCAGATGAAGAAGTACCAGCAGATGTTGTCATTGTCTCCACTTCCGATCCAGAAGGGAACTGTTATGTCGAGACCAAAAATTTGGATGGTGAAACAAACTTAAAGACAAGAACAGCGTTAAAATGTGGGGGAAACAACAACTTGAAACACTCTGACGACTTGAGTGATACAAAGTTCTGGCTCGAGTGTGATGCCCCCAATCCTGATCTATACTCGTTCAGGGGGACCATCCATTATGAAAACTTTGATGCTAATGGAAATTTGGTCAACCCGGACGAAAAAGAAGTGATCACTCCGGAAAATGTGCTTTTGAGAGGTTGCATTTTGAGAAATACTAAATGGATCATTGGACTATGTGTTTACACCGGTCGTGAAACTAAGATTATGTTGAATGCTGGAATAACTCCTACAAAAATTTCTCGTATTTCACGAGAGCTCAACTTGTCTGTTATCATCAACTTCGTATTGTTGTTTGTTTTGTGTTTTATTTCGGGTTTAGTCAACGGGCTATTTTACAGAGTCCAAGATAACTCTCGTGTTTATTTTGACTTCCATCCATATGGTTCCACAAACGCAGCACGTGGTGTTATTGCATTCTTTGTTGCATTAATTATTTATCAATCCTTGGTGCCAATTTCATTGTATATTTCCATTGAAATCATCAAAACTTTGCAGGCATTTTTCATTCACTCAGATGTCAAAATGTACTATGCAAAGTTGGATTTCCCCTGTATACCAAAAGCGTGGAATATTTCCGATGACTTGGGTCAAATTGAGTACGTCTTCAGTGACAAAACCGGGACATTGACTCAAAATGTTATGGAGTTCAGAAAGTGCACCATAAATGGAAAATCCTACGGTTTGGCGTATACTGAAGCAAAGCAAGGATTGGACAAGAGGCGTGGGTTAGATGTTGTTGAAGAGGCTGCCAAGTGGAAGCAGAGAATAGCCGACGATAAGCAGCTCATGTTGGACAATTTATACAAGTATTCAAACAATGACCAGCTCCGGGCTGACAATATCGCTTTCGTTTCTAACAAGTATGTGGAGGACACTTTAATGGCCAAGCCGGATGATCCGCAACGAATTGCCAATGAGAAATTTATGTTTGCTTTGGCTTTGTGCCATACTGTGGTAACTGAGCAGAATAAAGATGATCCTGAGCTACGTGATTTCAAAGCAGAATCTCCCGATGAAGCAGCCCTTGTTTCAGTTGCAAAAGATTTGGGTATTGTCTTCAAGACAAAATTGAGACAATCATTGATACTACTGGTTTATGGTAAAGATGAGGAATACCAGATGCTCAACATCATTCCATTTACGTCGGCAAGGAAAAGAATGTCGTGTATTGTCAAGGCACCAAATGGGGGAATTATATTGTATACCAAAGGAGCCGATAGTGTGATATTTCAGAGGTTAGATTCTGAAAAGAACTCGCATGAAGTAGTGAGTAAAACTGCTTTGTATCTTGAAGACTATGCAAACGAAGGTTTACGAACTTTGTGTATTGCATCTAGAACACTTGATCCAAAACATTACGAAAGTTGGGCACAAAGATACCATGAAGCTATTGTATCCATCGAGGATAACAGAGATGTTTTGATTGATGAGTTGAATGATGCTATTGAGAGGGATTTGATATTGTTAGGAGGAACCGCCATTGAAGATAGATTGCAACTGGGTGTACCAGACTCAATTGCTATTTTGGGACAAGCGGGTATAAAGTTGTGGGTTCTTACTGGAGACAGAATTGAAACTGCCATCAACATTGGGTTCTCATGTGACTTGTTGGAAAATAATATGAAATTGTTGGTTGTACGACCAGATGAAAATAACCCCACGAACGTTGAATATATCGACGAGTTAATTTCGAAACATTTGTCAGAAAATTTTCAGATTGATACGGCAAGTCCTGAAGCGGTAGAGACTTTGATCACGGAAGCACGAAAAGACCACTCACCACCTAGCTCTAAATTTGCCTTGATCATCGATGGAGCAGCTTTGGGGTTAATTTTTCAAGATTTGGATGCCAATGCAGATATTGATATGAAGTTGCTCAAAGACAAGTTTCTTTTGCTCGGAAAGCAATGTAAATCTGTCATGTGTTGTCGTGTGTCGCCTGCTCAAAAGGCAGAGGTGGTTAGAATAGTCAAGAATCGTTTGAAGGTCATGACATTGGCAATAGGTGATGGAGCTAATGACGTTGCCATGATTCAGACGGCAAATGTTGGAGTTGGAATTGCTGGTGAAGAAGGTCGTCAAGCGGCCAATTCATCGGATTATGCTATCGGTCAGTTTAGGTACTTGACTCGGTTGTTACTAGTGCATGGACGTTGGTCGTACAAGAGATTAGCTGAAATGGTTCCGTGTTTCTTTTATAAGAATGTTGTCTTTTCGTTTACATTTTTTTGGTACGGAATCTATAACAACTACGATGGGTCGTATCTTTATGAATATACCTATCTTATGTTTTACAACTTGGCATTTACTTCACTCCCGGTCATTGTTTTGGGAGTGTTGGATCAAGATGTGTCCGATACAGTTTCATTGTTGGTACCGCAATTGTACATTAATGGTATTCTAAGTCAGGACTGGTCGCAATACAAGTTTGTGATGTACATGGTTGACGGATTATATCAATCGGTTATTTCGTTTTTTTTCCCTTACTTGTTGTTTTACAAGGCATTCCAGAACCCGCAAGGCATGACCATTGATCATAGATTTTATGTCGGAATTGTTGCTGCATGTATCTCGGTGACTGCGTGCGATCTTTACGTGTTGTTGCGCCAATATCGATGGGATTGGCTTTCATTGTTGATTGATATCATATCAATTCTTCTCGTCTTCTTTTGGACCGGTGTTTGGAGTGTGAACAAAAATTATTCAGGGGAGTTTTATCGAGCTGGTGCTCAAACTTTGGGAACTTTGGGTGTTTGGTGCTGTTTCTTTGTAGCAGTGATTGCATGCTTATTGCCTAGGTTCACACTTGATTTTTTGCGCACAAACTTTAAACCGACAGATGTTGACATCATTAGGGAGCAAGTGCGTCAAGGTAAATACGATAATTACCCCGAGGGATACGATCCAACCGATGCTGAAGATGTTGAGAGGCACAGGTTACTCACAGAAATTATCAAACAGGATCCAGAATTGTTTGACAAGATGGAAAAGGAATACGAAGAGGACAAATTTGATCATGAGAATAAATTGGAACGAACCCTCAAGTCTATCAAGCGCAAGACTACTCTCACTGGGTCAAGGTCAAGAAAAAATTCACAAAGGCTTAGAAAAAACACCATCAATAGTCAGTTCCACAAGCCAATTTCAATTGATGAATTGAGACAGCAAATGATCCAGACGGGTGAGTACAATACCGCAAGGAACTCGTTGGAGAGGATAAGCACTTCCCATGCAGTACCTGGACTAACACAAGCTGAAACCTTATTATCCTATCATACTAGAAATAGTATCAACTTGAATCGCAACCCAGCTTCTTGATGTTGATTTTGTTCATGCTATTTATATAAATCGTTGTTTTCTTCTTCTTTTATAATATAACACAATGTTTCAGAAATTTTCGGTTTTTGATTCTCTTTTTTCTATCTTCCCTTTTCGCAACCAAGATGCAATCTCATGTGCCAGAGGGAGTTAGGATTGCACAACCGTCATGAGGAAAACAACCAACTACTCCTGAGATACCATTAGTCTAGTTGGGTTTTGGCTCACCACATTTTCCTTTTCCCTGTACCATACTATGATATCGCTTGTTCATTTATCCTTCAGCTTGATAACACTAGCTTGCGGACTTTATAGGTGCTATACTACAAAAGGCTAGTATTGTAATTATCGTTGTTGTCACTGATACTTTTGTATTATTACACGTGATCTATGCGCACATGACCCAAGCTTTGATGCTGTTTTGTTTACTCTACTCCCTTCGGCGTGTCTCATTATATATTGCAGGATTCTCACGAACTTTGGAGAAATTGGAACTAGAAATTGTGGTGTAGTGGTTGAAAGAGGTTAAAATGTAGGTTAATTTTCGTAAACAAATTTAAATACAGATTCTCTATATATGTAAAAAGGATTTAGTATCTTAAAAAGCTACTGATGTTACAGTGTTCTTCTTTAATCTTTTTATATTTATTACCCTGTTGTTCGACTTAATTTTTTCTTTACATTCTACTTATGCGGCATTCGACATATTTGTTTGTCAGGTTTTCCTGTTCTGCGACACCTATGTATTTTTCTCCGACACTTTAAGTTGTCGTTATTTTATTCTTCTTCTCTTTCTTTCAACTTTGATTATTTTCCAATTAATTTCATATTCGGTAAAACAGGGGATCTGGTGTACTTTATGTTCACATTCTCGTTACTAACCCCAAGTGAGGGTGATCATGCCTTCAAGGCGTCACTTCTTACATTTGACAATGAACTGCGAGTACTTGCAGACCCTTCATGGAATGGAGTTGATGCCAAAGCGGCACAATTCATGGAATCACATTTACAACAAACAGATGCAATTATCATTTCCCATTCGACAGATGAGTTTATAAGTGGGTATATTCTACTTTGTATAACATTTCCAAATATCATGTCCAATATGCCGGTTTATTCAACATTGCCAGTTAATCAATTGGGAAGAATTTCGACAGTGGAATATTACAGATCTCAAGGTATTCTTGGGCCATTGTTGTCGAATCTTATAGAGTTGGATGAAATTGATAATTGGTTTGACAAGTTTACCATTGTAAAATATCAGCAAAATGTGACAATTTGCGATCGAAAAATAACCATGACTCCGTACAATTCTGGCCATTCTCTAGGGGGGACGTTTTGGTTATTCGTGAAGAGGATTGATCGTATTGTTTATGCACCTAGTTGGAATCACTCGAAGGATGCATTTTTGAACGGTGCAAACTTTATCAACTCCACCCTGGGTAATCCACATGTGTCGCTTCTTCGACCAACTGCTTTTATTACGGCTACAGACTTGGGATCAGCAATGTCGCATAAAAAACGTTGTGAAAAGTTTTTGCAGTTGGTGGATGCTACTTTGGCCAATGGAGGCTCGGCTATAATACCAACATCAATATCTGGTAGGTTCTTGGAGGTTTTCCATTTGGTTGATGAGCATTTAAAAGGAGCGCCAATTCCAGTTTATTTTATATCATACTCTGGGACCAAAGTTTTAAGCTATGCGTCAAGCTTGATGGATTGGATGTCGCTGGATTTTAACAAAACTTGGAACACTGATGGTGGAAACAATAGTCTACTACCTTTTAATCCTAGTAAAGTTGATTTGCTTTTGGACCCATCGGAGTTAACGCAAACTCCAGGAGCCAAGATTATTTTCTGTGCTGGTTTAGATTTGAAAAACGGTGACCTTTCAAGTAAAGTGTTTCTGTATCTATGTAATGATGAAAGAACAACTGTTATCTTGACTGAGAAGCCATCATCCGCAAATGTAGAAGCAGAAGGTTCAGGGTTAAGTGGTGACTTGTACCAAGAATGGGTCAAATTATCTAGGGAAAGGACGGGTAAAGTTGTTGACGGTACGCCTGTTCCGTTAGAGAAAATTATCAATTTGGATAGTTGGTTGCAAGAAGAAGAGGTTGAAGGTCGCGAGTCCATTACGTTTGTGAACAAAATTACCCAAAAAAGGAAAGAAAAATTGATGGCAAAAGTACGGGACCAAAAGCGACAGAATTTATTGAGTACTGATGTTTTGGATGTTGAGGACTCGTCCGACGATGACGAAGATGAAGAAGAGGAGGCCGATAAGAAAGTTGGGGAGATGTTCGATGCGAAGGTGAAAAAGGAGAGGACTCGCATACCATCAACCAAAGAAGTTGATGAATTGATACAGCATGAAGCATTTGTCATGGATAACATAAAGCACAATATGGAAAACCACTTGCCAATTGATATCAAGATAACACACAAATTGAAACCACGTCAAGCCATGTTTCCCTATTTCCCACCAAAAGCAGCGTTTGACGATTATGGTCAAGTTATAAATGCAAAAGATTTCGAAAGAACCGATTTGGTGTCTCACAACAAGATCATTATGGAAGGTAAAAAGAAATTCGACGAAAAGAAACAGAAATGGAATAAGAATGACAAGAATGAAAAGAAGAAAAGTCAACAGGCGAATAAGTTGACGCCACAAGAGCAAGTCAATCAGCAGCTATTGCAGAAATACTTGGACACTTTGTATAAGCCGTTGAAAAGGGTTCAGTCAGGACAGAGAACGTCGGCGAGTACACAATTGAGAGTAAGATGCGGTTTAGCTTTCGTGGACTTATCGGGGTTGGTAGATTTGCGATCCTTGGGTATCATTGTGCAAGCATTGAAACCATACAATTTGATTCTTTTGCCTGATGAAAGAGTAAGTGATCAACGAGGACTTGAGCAAGTTGAGAGATTTTTCGAACAACAACAAAATGAACAAGCAATAGAAAATACGAAGAAGCAAATGGTTAACTCGTCGAGATATTTGTCGTTGACGGCTATTCGTGATGGTCTATCTACCTCCATATCGCCCTACTCTAGTGGAAAGCTAAATGTGTTTGTTGCTAAATATGACAAGGCCATCAAGATTGGAGTTGACTCTGAAAACGGTGTTATTGGATTACGAAATTTTGAAATCAATTTGGACGACGCATTAGTATCAACTTTGAAATGGCAATCAGTCGGTGATAACTACAAAGTTGCAAAGATGTATGGTGAATTGGAGTTGATTAATGAACAACCATCATCGGAGGAGCCATTGCAAAAGAAGCAGAAAACATTGCAAGATTTTATCAATTCAAATACTCAATTTTCACTAAAGCCAATTGAATCTGATGAAGCATTAATTAAACAAAGAAATAACAACATCCTTGACAAGACCAATGATCCGAAATTGTTGATGGTGATTGCAAATGCCCCTAAATTAGCTATTGGTAACATTAGATTACCCGACTTGAAAAATAAATTGACGTCGCTTAATTTGAATGTCGAGTTCAAGGGTGAAGGTACCTTGGTCGTTAATAATGCTTTGGCGATACGCAAAGTTGCTTATGGATCATTAGAAAGCGATGATAGCGGTGATATTGTTATTGATGGTAATGCGGGACCCTTGTATTACAAAGTAAAAGAGTGTATAAGAGGTATGTTGGCGTATGTATAAATGAATTTCGGCTAGACTACTAAGATACAAAAGTCGTATCGCCTCGATCTACTTGATTGTGGCTTCATGTATGTGTACAACCATTGCATGATTCTACAGCCACGGTACTTTTCAACCTCAAAATCACCAGAACGCACCGAAGTTACCTTGACGGTGGCGGCGGTGGTGGCGGTGGCTGTGCTGGGCGAGAAGGTGGAGCTGACGGTGGAGGTGGCTTCCCTGAACCAGACGCAGTCTTTTTATTTGCCGGTGGTGCTGGAGGTGGTGGAGTGGGCTTTAGTGTTCCAGGAGGTGGGGGTTTGACAGTTGAAACACTCAGTTGATTGGGAATGGGTGGTAAGTTTGGTTCACGCCTTGTTGGTGGTGGTGGTGGTAGTGGATGGTGGCTAGGTATTGAAGGTGGTGGAGGAAGATGACCCAAGCTGGCAACCGATGGAGGTGGTATAGGACCAGTTGCTTTGTTGGGATTAGATGCCTGCCATGGGGGTAGAGGTGGCTCTATTTTTTGCTTCTTTTGCGATGGTTCTGAGAACTCTTGATTTGAACTCGAACCTGGGGCATAAGAGTCAACAGCAGTATGTTTATAATTGTCTCCGGAGTTGTGAGGTTTTTGATTACAATCCCTTGCGTAGTGGCCCACTTTGCCACATATTTTACAAACAATTCTTGTAATATCAAATGATCTCTGTTGTCTCTTTTGGTAGGCTTCTGGGTCGAAAGGTTTGGTTTCGCGTAGTGTACCATTCAAAACTGCTAATTCTTTCAATTGCTCCCTCTTCAACTCGTTTTGGCCCACGGGTGAAAACACCAATTTCTCAATAACTTCATTGGCCAATTTAACTGCTTTGGCAATTTTTTGTTGTGAGTCGGAGGTAATCAAAACATGCAAATCATCTTCAGTAGAGTCTGCCCCTGTTGATGATTGGTCTTCAATCGTCATTTGTGTTGATTTACCTTCTTTAACTGAACCTTTACCACGTATTTGTAGTCGTGCTCCACTTTCATCTTGCAATCGCTTTAATGTTCTTCCTCTAGGGCCAATCAAGAAACCAACGAAATTGATATCAGGATAGTCCTTGACAGGTATGTACAATTTCTCAAACGTCTTTGCTGGCTTGCGATAATCAGAAGGAGCAATGTAATTCTTGATACTTGATGCGGCCAACTCAACCAACTCATGCCTTTCCTTTTCCAATGCCTCTCGTACCCGTTGTTCTCTTGTGTTGATCCTATTACCCTGTTTGTCATACTTTGGCGGTGGCGATGGATCTCTCCTATAATTACTTCCTGGCTCCACGTGAGACGATGGCAAAAATTCGAGCAACAGTTTGTGTTGCTGTTGCGATTTCCTTAGTATTTCGGAAATCTCTTCAATTCTAAACACTTGTTGGTAAGCATCAAGTTGTTCTTGAGTTAAATGGCCAGTGATGACAGTTTCCAATTTCACTTGACTAAATTGCTTGGATCTTGAAGGTTTTCCAGACCACCTCGTCTCTCTTGTGTTTGGACTTGACTCTGATCTACCTCTGTCGTTCATGGTGAGGTAATACGATGAAGAAGCAGTTTACGATGCCCTCGATTTTGTTTTGTTCGATTTACTTTTTTAAGAGCTTTACATTTTTGCGACAATGGAGCTTCGATGGGTGATTGATTCTATTGTTTGCAGCTATTTGCAATTACGTTTCAGAAATGAAGAGGTTGAAAGGCCTAGGCTACATTGATTATACAGCAGAGATGGGGTCGTTGTTTTGTTCGGTTCGAATGGACTTTTCAGCACCTATAAAGTAAACGGCATACCTTTTCAACATGTTACTCCGTTCGATCCACCTCGTTACTGTAGTCTTACTTACCCTGCAAATAATCTTCAAGTTCGTTATGAGTTACAATTTCGCAAAGCGTAATATCGTCAACACCTCCCAACCAGCTTTTCTATTGATTATAACATCAACCTTCCAACCTCTTTGCCTCATTTTATCCGCCACAGAATCAGGTTTATTCCTAGCACAAAATAAGATATATGCAACGCCATCACCAGTTAATATCTCTTCCAAGTTGTTCAATACTTTCCACGTGATCATCATGCCATCCTCACCCCCTAATAATGCCAAATCTAGCCATTTCACATCCTCGTTTGTAATTGGTATGTCAGGGACTTCTGTTGCTGGTACATATGGAGGATTGAATACTAGCATATCGACAGTGTTGGGTCGGATGGCTGTAGTTAGGTCCATTTGGGAAGAATCGACTAGATGAGCTCGTGACGGGCAATTGTATCGCACTGTCTGGAGTACGCTCTTACATGCATTAGGATTGATGTCGGTAGTCAAATATATTCCATCAGGTAATATATTTTGTAGTATAAACGTGGTGACTATACCTGAACCAGTTCCAATCTCTGTAACAAACGGCACCTTAGTCTTGAATCTGGTCTCGAGGTATTCCTTTTCTTCCTCAAAACAGTCGAGCAAGTAAAACGAATCCTCCGATGGTTCGTATACCTTTTCATAATCTATGTCTTTCGTAATAGGCGTGGACAACATCCAAAAGATAAAAACTAGGAGTCAGATTAACTCTCCTTAAAAAAAAAGAGAAATCAAATCAACTGGAATCGAAAAGAAAACATATCCACCAATCCACACTTATCTTAACCCAAATTAATATACATCCCTTCCCGTTATGCAAGTGAAAGTGAAAACGTTAACAGGCAGGAATATCTTAGTTGATATTGAACCTCAAGATAAAATAATAAGAATCAAAGAAATGATGGAAGAAAAGGAAGGTATTTCACCAGCACAACAACGTTTAATTTTTAATGGTTCACAGTTGGATGACGACAAAACTGTCCAGGAATCAGGAATACAGGAAGGAGCTTCATTACATTTGGTGTTGACATTGAGAGGTGGTTATCATTGATTTACATGAGGGAATGGTTTGGAAGTAGATGTCTTATATATACTCGTCCCCTAATAAATGTACCGGGGTGTGCCTTTTTTTCATTGCTTATTGCTCTCAGCCCATTTCTTAGCATTTGCCAAAAACTTGTTGATGGAGGGAGTTGGTTGTGAGGGATTTATTAGTTCAACAGGGTCATTTGGAAACTCCCACACGAAGTATTCTTCCTCAATTCCATCCACTGTTCGTCTCTTTTTCACGCGTTTAGGAAGTTTTTGCTGTACCTCAGCCATGCTGGTTTCATCTCCATTGACTTCTTCATACTGCTTCCATGCCCCTAGAACTGCTTTCCTTCCTTCGATATCATTCAAGTTCTTGAAGTGATTTTCTGCCTTTCTGAACACATCTCTTGATTTGCCAATTTGTTCTTCTCCTACTTCGACTTCAAGTAATTCATTATCTGATTGTAGAAATCGTTCCAATTGCTCCACGGTGGGGATTGTGGACTCAAAAAGTGCAAATGATATCCAGTTATCTGCCGAAGGCGCAGTGAGAACCAAATTTTTGTACAACTTTCTAATCTCATCGTACTTCATTTCGTCAGTATAGAAGGACACAGCCATCTTGAAGAGCTCCTTCTGGTTAAAGCATGACACAACATCCTCATTCTTTATCAACTCAAATGCCATTTGGTATAAAGATTCACACCTCCTTGTTTCTCCAAGCGATGACTCAAATTCCAAATACTCTTTAAAGATGCCATCACAATTGAGTCTAAACACTAATGCACATTCAAGCCATTTCTGATAAATTTGACGAACCCGATCCCATTCGGCAAGTTTCTTTTCAGTTGCAATATAATGTTGTAAAATGTTTTTCTTGGGTCCAAGCTTGTTCATTTGACCCAATGCTCTTCCCATCACTTTGCGAAACTTTGCCAACCCGTCTTCATCCGTATTATTTCTTAGTTCAAAATCTGCAAGGCCAACCCATGCTTTACCCAGAATGAATTGTTTATGCGGAATAATACTCAAGCATTCATTCCATATGTTTCGAGCAGCATTGATATCACCATTGTCAAACTCTTCCCAAAATGCAAACTTAACCCATATCATGATGAATTTTCTCCATTTACCACTTTTGTAAGTGTCTTGTGGTACCCTAAGACAAGCATCTTTGAAGATTTGTCGTAAATTGTCTATTTCATGACTTTGTTCAATTAGGTCTATATAAGCCCACCACGAGTCGTAATTTGTCTCGTCCTTTTCAATATCATTCTTATACTTTGCTTTCCTTTGAAGAGTTATACTTTCTTCAATAGATCCTTTATCACCAATCTGTTTTTCCACTTCACTGATTGCATTGAGCAAAGCAATCTGTATACCTGTAGAGAATGTAAACTTTGATTCGTTGAGTAAGAGTCTCCGTATTGCTTGAACTCGTTGATATTCCATGCACTTTACTTCCCAATATAACCACTTGGCTACTATGTCGGGAAATGTTTCATCACTCTTATCCAACAATGAATCCACAGCTGATTCAAATACTGCCCTCGTGTGCTCCACGTCATTTTCGTTGTTTTGCAATTCATAATTGATCCACTTCAACCAAACTTCCCCACTTGGAAACAATTGGACATATCGTTGGTATATTGCCCTCACGTTCCCCACCTCATCATACCTCGTTTCAAAAGAAATGTATGCGTCCCATGCACTCTCATTAGGGTGCCAAGTCAACCATTTCTCAAAAATTTGTCTCACCATTTGGTAATTTTGAAACATTTCCTCCGTTTGTACATACAAAAACCACAACTTGCTCACTTTCGGTAGTGCTGCCGTGGCTCTTTCCAACAAGTTTCGAGCGTGATTGACATTTTTATGTATCAATTCAAATTGTATATATTGCGTCCAAAATGGTATATGTTCAATATTAACATCTAGTGCCCTCTCCATTATGGACCTCGCTCTTGCAAAATCGTGATTGTGGTCAAGTTCCCATCTTGCGTATCGTAGCCATTGGCCATAATTCAATCTATTCTTGTTCAATTGTTGTTCAAATTCTTTTCTTTTAGTTTGTTGGTAAAAGCGTAACTCTTCTAAATCCTGAATGGCTTGCTTCGGTCGTGAGAGCTTGGTTGTTGTATCTTCAAAAATGAGCTGATACTTCGGCTCCGTCTTAGTTGAATCCATGGCTGATGTGGTGTATGACATGGCAGTGATTTTGATTTTTGATGATGATGTTTCAATTCGCGCGTTTTGATCTCGAGAAGAGATTAAAACCAATTTCGCAACCACTTGTTCAAAAGAACACCATCAGAATGGTCTTGCCGGAGACGATAGAAACGCTTGGGAAATACAAATGTTACACCGATGCTTTTTTCATGTTGTAATAACGACGAAAAGTTTCGAAAAAGAGAGATTCAGAGTAAATAAGAGAGCATTTTTCCACACATCATTGGCCAGTCGTTTCCATGAACAGACTACCCAAGAGATGGCAAAGCCTACACTAAACTCGACAGCTGCGTCTGATACCATTCCCCTTCATAACTCGAATACTACAATACACGCCTTCGAATCATGTAACGTTTCGATCTGTTATATTGCAACCACAAATCTATGTAATGAAAACATTGAATACTTTACAACACATACCAATGCATATCTTATTTCCCGTTAGCATCCTCCGTCTTTTACTCCTTCTTGATCAAGTTTAAATTCTCATAAATTTGATTATCTTTCTTATACAATTCATTAGCAGTGACCCCCTTACCAGTCTTGGCATTCTCATCAAGTTGATTTATCAATGTTCTTACTTTCTCTCTTTCTTTCAACCCATGTAAGCATTCATTATAATCCTCAAATTTAGGTAAACATTGTTTTTTCGATTTGGTATCGGCTGATGTATGACAATCAACTAATAATTGGAATTCGTAGAAGCATCTCCTCGTTCCTCCGAATCGTGAATATGGCTGCATTTGTGATTGTGGTGCTGTGTATCTATTGCAGTTGTGCCCTATTGATGAAGTATGCGGGATTCACACGTTCTTAGTGCTTGGTGTTGCGACGCTTAACATTTTCAATTTTTTCATTGGTTCAGAGAATCAAAACTAAATTGAAACACATACACGACCTTTACAAAGATAGACGACGATTACTTCTCTTTGTGTGTGTGTGTGTGTGTGTGTGTGTGTGTGAACCACCGCCTTCAACTCGCCCTCTTACATAATTAGCCTTCTATGAGGGCCGGTTATCAAAAAAACCGTTGAAGATCTACTTTTAAATAATCTATAAAAACTGAAAATAAAAAAAAACTGAATAAAATGAGACAAAAGCAACAGATAAGTGAAACCCCACTAAAGTATCTGAATGACTGTTGCCATGATAAAAAACGTAAAAAGCCAGGCACGGTATTGTAAATTGTTGAAATGAAATAAGCAAAGTTTCTATGCAATGTTGAAATAAACATAATGAGTATTTTTTTCGTGGTTCGTACAAGTGTAAAATTCGTTGAGGATTCATTAAAGTTAGTAAAGTTTGAAAATGAATGTGGGTGTGAATGTGTATGTATAATAGTGTGTAGGTGTGTGTGTGTGTGTTTATGTTGAATAGTATCAAAGACAAATGAGAAAAGCAACTGATGTTGAAAGTTACGTTTTCTCTAGAAAGTGGAAAACGCAAGACCTTGTTGAAGTGTCATGCTGTTTCCAAATGTCTGGCATTGACGGAGTAGTAGCTATGCATGATAAAGGGTGGGAAGTGTTCCGTCATGTCACAGTAAGACTTTTTCTCTCATTATGGCAACTCAGGCAAGTTCAAATCATAAATCAAACTAAACAAAGTCGAGTTTGAATCAATGAAATCATTATTGACTAAATTACACAAGACAAATTCATGCCCAACTTCATTCATCAAACGAGTAAAATTGCTTAATTTAGATTCATCATCAATATCAACTAAGTTTGACGATAAGACTTTATTCCACTCGGAAAATAATCGATAAACTTCATCTTTCCAAGCCAAAAATGATGTTTGTTCAACAATGGTTGGTTGTAAAATCTCTTCACCTGGAAAAACACCCCATGTTACGGCATTGATATCATCAGGTTTGCAATTGGTTTGTAACTTTCCTGACAAGTCAACAGCATAATATGAAATGATTGAACTTGATGCATCACCTTGCAGTTTGTTGAAATCTTGAATACGAGTCAAGAGCTTATCAACTATATCTCGATGACAAATAAACTCCAAGTACTGCTTTTGATAAACATATCCATTCTTGGGCCCCCACCCAAATACTTTTTCTGATGATTTTATTGAATTTAAAGCTGGTTGTGAGTTCATAGTTAATAGTCCACGCTTGTTCAAATTAATCAAGTCATCAACAATGATTTTCGTATCTTCACCAACGGCCCCATCGGACCATGGCAAGGATTTTAACTCACCTGACAAGTATGACACAACCAAATCACTCAATTGTTTCAAGTTTTGTGGTACTCCCCATAATTCCAATGCTCGTTTAGGTGATTGTCTCAACAACTCCGATGCACAAAGATCAATATCACCAAATGCAGGTGAACGAGAATCACCCCATCTACCATTGGGGAATTCATCCCAGGTTGCCGTTCGTGAAATGTAGGAGTATTTTCTATTTTGCCAGAAAATAGGACGAATAGATTCTTTGGATCTTTCTGGATGTAATGATTTTCTCCAAGGCAATTCAGCACCTCCAACAACCTCATGTGATTTGATCGCTTCAACAAGATTGAGTTTCTCTAATGCCATAACTGTAGATTTTTCCAAGTTCATGGTGTAAAAATGTAAATGGTTAACATAACCCGATTCGATAAGTTTGTTACACATTTCACTAACCAATTCAGTCCCCTTTTCTCTTACTAAATAGTCATCATCTTTGATGGGGTCCAATGCATCAAGAAAATGTTGTGGGATCTTGATTTGTGACCAATTGGCTCTTCTTATAAATGCAGCATAAGTTGAAATCGGCATGATACCAGGAATAATGGGAATGTCAATACCAATTTTACGCAATTTGCCGCACCAAGTGATGAAATTATCAACATCGTAAAACATTTGCGTAATGATAAAATCAGCCCCTTCATCGCATTTTTCTTTCAAGTACTGCAAAGTCTTTGATTCATCCTCTTCTTCTGGTTGCCCTTCAGGGTAAGCAGCTACTCCAATATTGAAATGGTTACCATATTTTTGGCGAATATACTTGACCAAGTCTTTGGCATACTTGAAATCCCCAGTGGATTCACTACCATCCAAAGGAGGATCACCTCTCAATGCCAAAATGTTTTGACACCCTGATTTATAAGCTTTATCCAAAGCTTCATCAATCAATTCAACCTTCATGTTAGTACATGTCAAATGCATACACGTTTCTAAACCCAAGGTGCTCTGAGCAGTATACACCATTTCATTAGTCAAAGTTGAAGAGCGACCACCAGCATTCCAAGTGATGTCAATAAATATAGGGTTCAAATCGTACATTCTATCCATTCTGTCGTACAAGTTCTGCACACCCTGTGCTGTCTTGGGAACGAAAAATTCAAATGAAAATGTTGCTGGCGGTGGGTTGGATATCCCCACATGAGCCTGGTTTAGCTTCTCTGTGATCTTCATTTAGGAGAATGGTGGAGGAAGATTGGGCAGAGTAGTGTGTGATTCGGTAATGTTGGTAAAAAGAAAAACTAAACAACGTGTTGTAAATTGGTTTAGGGCCTCGTATAGGTTTTGAAAAAAAAAAATTGAAAAATGGAAAAAAATAACAAAAATATAATATGACTTAATAATTGCACAAAAGCATGGTATATGTTGAAAGTTGATGGATAAACACAACCAGATGTGAGGAGAAGACTCAAGATCAGATCTACACATTTGTGTTCAAAGTAAAGACAGTACCTGATCACACAGGATCCGTTTAAATTATGTCCGTGTGATGTTCTAAACCGCAACCCAACGTCCAGAGATTGCCGCCCGCTCGCCGTTTTTCCGGTTCAGGAAATAAAAAAAAAACTAAAAATTATGTTAGTCATAACTACAAAAGGATTCACGTGCATATGCCATTATGTTCCACTCTTTCAATCACTTGTACATTCCTTGAAATGGGTCAGGTCGCTCACAGCTCACAAACTCTAGCATTATACACCCTATACAATTCACTTTCCACCTATAACAAACAAAGTATACTTTATAGATCACGGGGTATGATGCAAGAGAAGGTTCATTCATCCCAAAGAAGCACAAAGCACTGGAGTTGCACAAAAATGATCGTCGTTGCCCAACAAATATAATTATCAAGAATTTTGCAACCTTTCTTTAATGTTGCACCAGTCCTTTAATAAATCAACTATTCTTTTCCATAATTTTATCCAATCGCTTAACAAAATCTCTAAACTGAACCAGTTGACATTGTCTATGAATTAATGCATTTAGTTGAGAGTCTGACAAAGTCTCCAACTCGACCAAATCATTGATGGTGATATTAGGAACTTGATTGGTAGAGCTTGTTGAAGTGTCTAAGGCATGAGTTGGATTTTGGGGCTCCTGTACGTAAAACTGACTCTGCTGTAGCACCCTATGCTGTTGTAATTCTGGCGGTGATTGCGACAAGTTATACGACTCGATTGGAAAAGCACAATGTAGCGGCGATTGAGGCAAAACCCGGTAACCATGGCTTTGCTGTACAAGATTCTGTTGCCATTTTAAAAATTGTTGTTGTAATTGTTGTAACGTCAATGGGTTCTGCATTTGCGGTTCTTGTTGCGATGTACCTATCTCTTGAGCTTGCCATGTATTCTGAGATTGTATTGCGGTTTGAGAACCCTGAATGTTTTGAGGAGATAACTCAGCAAGTCTTTGCGTCTGTTTTTGCTCCAGTTGGTGAAGTGAAACCTGAGGCTGAGATTGCTTTTGAGAAAGTATTTGCAGTTGCAAGTCAAACATTGACTCCTCATTTCCAATTGCAACTGGTGCTGGTTGCGAGAACAGTACTATATTGAGCAATTGCTCACTGGCCAAACTGTTGATGGTATTGGAACTGAAAGATGCCAACTGCTTCATCTCCTGTCTAACTTGACTGGATATATCCTGTACCTGTCGAGTAGAGCCATCAATTGTATTGAGACCGCTTGTTTGTTGGAACTTACTTTGTAAAAATTGCCTACACTTTTCAAACTCGGCATCATCAACAAGACTAATTTGGAACCGAAGGATTAGATTGTCAGTGCTCACAATACACTGTTTGACACCAATGTTGGGGCTTTTTACGAGAACTGATGTTTTCACTTTATCGGTCAAGAATAAAGTAAACTTGTCAATACTTGATCCTTTCCAGTGTACAATTACGTCTACATCCTTGTTGTTGATGGTGGCTGTTTCAATAAACGTGATGGATAAATCTGTGCGATATGGCTGATGAATCCATTTATCGTGATCAAACTTTGAGTACTTTTTTAATGTGAAGTTGTGAATCACTGGAGTAGTGATTGCAGTCATGGCAGTAATTTAGTGTGGAAGAAGATACAGTGATGGTGTTGAGTTTGGTTGCCTGATCTGAATTTTGCAACAAAAAGCACCCCGCTGGCAAACAAAATTAACTACATTCGCAGAGAAAGGAGAACGCTACCGTTGTGCGGTAACTTGATGTTTATGAATATTTATGCCTTCTGAAGGTTTCGTGTAACACGTCGTGGTATATAGAGTAGGGGTTTTGTAAGCGAGCACTTGGTATGAAGGTGTCTTACCAAAACACGGCTTAAGGTCTGGTGCTGGGTTCTTAAATCAGATAAGGCAAACTATGTGATACCAACAGCGACAACAACTGATCAACATCTCCCTTTCTATTTTCTTTAGTGTTCAGAGATTCTAGTCGATTTCAAAGATTAAGGCTCGTGGGAAGGACGTTTTGTGTAAGTTCAAACACGTACAAAGTTGTTACTAAAAATAAATCAACCAATCGTCTTGTACTAAAGGTGAGTAGTCCTCCGACATGGTAGGCTTAGAGAGTATCAAAAAGTAGGTGCTGGAAAGTATGCTTTCAAAAACATTAGTAGAGGTGAGCTCAGTCTAAATTGAGTTTTATAGTGTATCAAGATTGATATGCATAGATAGGTAAGTTCCAAAGATCCAGATCGGGAAAAAGTTAAAGTAAAGGGGAATGCAGGAGGCAGGGAGTGTGTTTTACTAGGGGTACAGTGGCGCAATGTAGGTTTTATAGGTATTCAAATGAGGGGTGGTTAATACTAATGATTGTGACCAAAGGCGCAGCACGACAGATTCGAATGATGATAATGAATTGCACATCCTTTAGTCGGTTATAATAGTCTTTTCGGATATATAATATATATTTTAACTATTGGAGACATTCATTTTCTTTTTATGTGCGAACCGAGAAAAAAAAAAACGAACCACATGACGACGATGTACAGTACCTGAGCCTACATTTCTTACAGTCATAAAACACAGTACAGTCTTGGTTTACTTGGCAGAGAAGTGGAGTGGAGTGGGGGGTGGGCGTATGGACTATGTTGATTTGTAAGTCATTAGTAAAAATGAATGGACTTAAAATCTGTGATAGCAAATTGTCTGATGCTTTGCAACTAAAAACAAAGATTTCTAATGCTAAGAAATTTGTTCAGAGTTTGTATTTTTGTAGTAGTTGAAAAAGTATGACGTAAGTACAATGGCTTAGACTGAAGTACAGTTTTTTGAAGTAGCAAAGAAAAACAGGGGTGGTTGAACGAGTCGTGCTTGTAACCTCTTTATACTTCGTGGTCATTACAGAGGATACACCCTTCACCATCAGCAACTTCTATTTTAATAGAGGAATCTTATGATTTCACAGTGTACACACTATTCTGATTTTGTGTTTCCTTCTTTGCTTTCCATAAAAAAATTTTAAATTGAACAAACAACAAACAACAACGGTCTATTATTTTTGCTCTTCTATTTGTTCGCTTTTGCTTTTTTTTCTTACCGAAGCTCATGTATATCTGAGAATTTCATTTCATATTTATATATATATATACAACAAGAAAAGGCTTCAATTCCCATTTTGTCAAACACTTTCATTATTCAATCACACTTCCTCTTTTAGGCTTTATTATACTATTGCATCCCATTTGCATTTTTGCTATTTCTTATAGTCTGACATTGTACCTCATAACAGATGAAGTTTATATATAATGTTTCGCTCACAGCCACGTTGCTATCTTTGATACCCATTGCATCGTCTGCCACTGTTGCCGCTGCTGCTCCAGCAAACGCTTCACCACCACAGGGAAGTTTTAAAATAGATTTCAATGTCAGAAGAGGCTCATCAAAGGAGAATTTGTCCCCCATTGATGATCAAAAACCACGATTTGTCAAGCGTGCCGATGAAGATGGCTCATTCAACATGGAGTTGATAAATGAACAGACTTTTTACTTGGCCGAATTACATATTGGCTCCAATAAAGACAAGAATGACGTACTTGTTGACACTGGAAGTTCAGATTTATGGGTAATGTCACATGATCTTAATTGTGTCAGTGCTAGTAGCAGCAGCGGTTCATCGAAGAGGAGAAAGAGAGATCCCAAGAATGTATTTGGTCACATCTCTGGTACCGGAGTAAAATTTCCCTTTGAAGCTGAACAAGAAGATACAAAGAAAGAAAGAGAAGACCAAACTGAGCAAGAACAAACTCAACAAGAACAAAAGAGAGAAACTCCATCAAAATCAGAAGATGTTGTTGAGGATGCCAACAAACGAGCTGACAGCTATTACACTACAATCTACTTATCCGAAATGCCCGATGGAACTAATTTACCGGCACCAGGCGGTGGCATAGGTTCCGGTTCAAGCTCTTCTAGGGGATCTGGCTCAGGCTCAAACACCTGTACGTCTTATGGCTCATTCAATACGGGGAACTCTGACACTTTTAAACGCAATGACACTGGCTCATTCCAAATTCAATACGCTGATGGTACTTTTGCCACTGGTATTTGGGGGCACGACACTGTTCGCATAGGTGATATCTCAGTACCGGATTTGAGTTTTGCCATTGCTAATGAAACTTCGAGTGATATTGGTGTTTTGGGTATTGGATTACCTGGTTTGGAAACCACCACTTCGTTTGGATACATGTATGAAAACTTGCCAATGAAGATGAAATCTGATGGTGTTATTAAACGTGTTTTGTACTCATTGTATTTGGATCAAGCTGATGCTGATAGTGGATCACTTTTGTTTGGAGCTATTGACCATGCTAAATACGAAGGTACTTTGGAAACTGTCCCCATGTTGAAAACTTATAGACAAATCGATTATCCCGTTAGATTTGAAGTTGAAGTTGGCAACATTACATTGAACAATAACCAGGGAGTTACCGCCAATGTAATGACTGACTCTGTTGGTGCGGTATTGGATTCAGGATCCACATTATCGTACTTGTATTCGGAACAAATTGAAGCTGTTGGTGAGGCACTTCATGGTAGATATTCAAGTAGTGCTGGTGCATACATTGTTGATTGTCGATTCTTGAATACAAACTCAACATTGGATATTCAATTTGGTGGTAAGACAATTAAAGTCCCCGTTTCAGATTTGGTTTTACAAGCAAGTAGATCAACTTGTTATTTGGGTCTTTTTGAACAATCATCGAGTTCTTCGTACATTTTATTTGGTGATAATGTATTGAGAAGCGCTTATATTGTTTATGATTTGGAGGAATACGAAGTCCACATTGGACAAGTTTATTATACTGATGATGAAGATATCGAAGTTGTAGATGGAAGTGTATCTACCGGTGGGGGTCAAAATTCAACTAGAGTAGGGGGAGGTAGTGGATCAGGTTCTTCCTCCTCCTCTTCCTCATCATCATCATCATCTGCAGGTAACAAGAACGGCGCCTCGTCGATGTTTAGCTTGTCTTGGGCATGCGTTTTTGCTGGAGTAATGGTTTCCGTGGTTAGTACATTATAGACGTGGACATTTAACCTTCTATGTTTCTGTTGTATAAGACAATTTTTTTTGCATTTTTTAGTAAATCATGCATGTAGAAATTTACTTATTAGGAGGTATCGATGTTCGTTTACGTGGATGAGAATTGACTTGTCATATGGTACAGTAAAGTATTGATGCGACAGAGCAGGGACAACACGTGCACTTGAAAACTGGTTGGTTTTTCTTGCAGTGGTAAGCCCGTATAGATTTTGGATTATTGTAATCACAAACTTGGCAACAACAGTTGGATTTGCAAATAAAACTTTACTTGCAAAGCGCTGGTAACACCCTCGTTCAAACTATAGGGTTCTTTCATGGTTGTTCAGAATCCAAAAATAGCCCATAATTTTTCGAGAATATTTCGAATATTCACCCCTCTATATCAAGTTTGAGCGGAGAACATCTGACGAAAATCTTGGCAAGATCCTAGATGCCCCTTCGAAGTAAGGGGAAGGATGGAACACAATATTCCTTTTCTAGATTCAACGATTTGAAAGGGAAACGTTTGCCAAACAAATTCATGAAGAATTGTACCAACGATCAGTGAAAGGTCACTCTATTCATTCCTTTCTCAACATCGTTCGCTGGTTAAATAGGCTGCCAAATCGAGTAATACTAGCTCCTTCAACAAGGTTCAAAATAAAGTGCTTCAATCGATCTCGAGTTTCGCCTATTGTGTTTGTTCCTGGATAGTTCTAAAAATGACCCCTTTTTTATATGTACAACTCGTATTTTCTAGTTCCAAAGAAACAGGCACCATCTATAATCAGAAGAAACATGCGGTGGAGTAATTGAACTCAGGTACATGTGTATTTTGTACTACATATTAAAGCACTATCTAAATCTTAGAGCCACAAAACTTTGGGTTTGTGTTATCTCCGTAGATTGAAAATAAAAATACACTATAAATTGGGGAACTAAAACAAAAATCAATTCGATCTAGATCAAATGATGAAAGAGGCACTTCGAAGTGTACAAACCACTTTCGTAGTAATGGGGACATAGCTGAAGAATTGATAATATATAAGGGCAAAGCATAGCCCATTGCACCAAATATCAGATACGATTCCTGGTCTTTACAAGGACTATTTTCACAAGCCAATATGATGGTGTTTAAAGTTTTATTCGTGACTTCATTGTCGTCATGGTTGTTAGCTTTGGCAGCTGCAGCTGCATTTGTGGACACAGCTGCCTCGAAACACAATCTCAAAATTAACTTTCAAGTCAGAAGAGGTTCAGACAAGAGTCTTTTATCGCCAACTGAAGATTCAGAGCCTAAATTGGTCAAACGCGATAAAAATGACCATGACAGTGATGAAACTGACGTCGAAGATGGGTCCCTTGAAATTGAATTAATCAATGAAAAAACATTCTACTTTGCTGATTTATTAGTTGGATCAAACAAAGAAAAAAATCAAGTGCTTATTGATACTGGAAGCTCGGATCTTTGGGTTATGTCAAATGAGGTTGATTGCAATATATATGGTACATACAGTCGGAAACGAGATGCAAAGAATGTCTTTGATAGTTTGCTGTTTGGAAAGGAGAGCAGCGGCGATGAAGACATGACAAAAGAACGGAATATAGAGAATAAAGACTGGTTTAAACGTGATATGAACCCCGATTCAATCATCACTGGGCTTTCAGAAAGTACCCAATTATCAACACTTGATAGCGGAGAGCGAGATCGTCTTGATTCCAGCAGTGCTAGCAGTAGTAGCAGCTACGATCATGCACGCAAGTGTACATCGTACGGTTCATTCAACACCGGTGAGTCAGACACATTTGTGCAAAATGATACTACTCCATTCAATGTAACCTACGCTGATGGTTCGTATGCAAGAGGAGTTTACGGCCATGATACAGTTGAAATAGAAGGGGGAGTTACCATACCTGATGTTAGCTTTGCCATTGTTAATAAATCATCTAGTGAAATTGGTGTTTTGGGAATTGGGTTACCGGGATTAGAATCTACAAATATCAATAATGGTGGTAAACGATATATGTATGAGAACTTGCCCATGAAGATGAAATCAGAGGGAATTATCAACAAAACGATTTACTCATTATACTTGGATCAATCCAATGCTAAATCAGGTACCATATTGTTTGGAGCTGTTGATCATGCAAAATACCTGGGCACATTGGAAACTTTACCATTGGTCAGAATAGATTCGAAGTACAACTACCCACTCAAGTTCGATGTTATCGTGGAAAAAATTGATGTCAATAACGATGGTGACAAGGTTAGTGCGCTAACATCGAAAGAAACTGCTGTATTAGATTCCGGCTCAACTTTATCATATTTACGCTCGTCTCAAATCGAAGAGATTGCTCAGGCACTCGGTGCAAAGTATATTTCTGGCTTGGGCGCCTACAGGATTGATTGTGATTACCTCAAATCTGATGCGACTTTAGATATAAGTTTTGGAAGCAAGATAATCAAGGTCCCAGTGTCAGAATTGATTATGAAAACATATTCAGGTAAACAATGCCACTTGGGAATTTTCAGAGTTGCTCTGGATTTTCCTTATATTATACTTGGAGATAATGTATTGAGAAGTGCATATGTTGTCTACGATGTGGAAAACTACAAGGTGCATATTGGACAAGTGTACTATACTAATGATGAAAATATTGAGGTAGTTGAAGGTGATGTCCCTACTAGTGGTGGTCAAACCTCAACAAGAGTATGGACTGGAAGTGGTAGAGCAGGGTCGGGCACTAGTTTGGAAGATTATGGCAACCTGGGAGTAAGAGATGGAATCTCGACTCAGAATAAATTGCTTTTCTTGTGGTTTGTTATATTTAGCTGGGTATTGTAGATATTAAACAATTTTGTAACCGTTGGAATCATCACAATTGTTCAATGAAACAACATCCTAAAAAGATGTAAGATTTTTTGACTGAAGCACATAGTGAAAAAGCTGTACTGTAAGTTGATATGCAAAGGCGGTTTCATTTGTGTCATCATGGCAGTACACTAATTCATCGGGGTCTCAATCATTGATGGCCAATTGCATTTGCGTGAATTGCAAGACTGGTAGAGACGGAGATAGAGATACAATTTGAATGACCTAATTTAGATGGTAACAACTAGTACCACACTCTAGTAGAATCCACAACCTAAGACCTTTGCCGGCTCGAAGGGGGGTGAGGTGTTACGATCGTCCATGCATATTGCAGATCCCAAGCAACAGTATCACAAAAAGAACTGGCGTTTAAGAGTTTTCTTTGTCCAAATAAATTGAAACGTTTTGTGATGTATGCGTTTTCCCCCTTCTCCGCAGATGCTTCGAATAGATAAGTTCCATGAGATTTTAGCTAATTTTGATAGCGCCGTGGGTCATCCATTTCTCTGTTGGGTGCACAGGTATGCACGGAAACGCCCCAATATTTTATTCTTGAGGGGTTACCTTGGTTACTCTTGCGCTATTACAACTACACTTTATGCAAACTTTGAGCCTTCAAATCTGGCTCAATATTGTACTAATGCGGCAATTTAGTATAAAGCTTGTAATGCACAATCTGCGTCCAAACCAAACTCAAAGAAGCCACCATAACTAACTTTATCAATAACGCATTGATTGTGTAGGCTGTTAGTCACTGTATTTCGAATAATCGCATTTACTACAATAAAATACTTAAAAATGATTGTTTTGTGCTATATTAAATGCATAGATGAAACACAATATTGAAGAGACACGGCTTCGGAAAACGTGTTGGAACAAGTTGTGGGCGTTAGGAAAAGTTCGTCACCAACAAGTTCTGAGCTCAGCTGTATAGGTATATATATAAGGAAATGATATTGTTATTCACTCACACCACGTCAAACTAGTTTCACCAATTGTCATTTGTCAATTGTTGTAATCAGCATGAAATGCATCAATACAGTTGTGCTTGCTTTCGGTTGGTTGTTGCCATTGGTGTCATCAAAAGCCAAAGATGTTTCCCCAGCTAGTTTCAAAGTCGAGTTCAGCATTCGAAGAGGCTCGGCTAGAGATGTTTTATCTCCAGTTGGAAATTCACGCCCTAAATTTGTGAAACGTGATGAAGATGGGTCACAAGAAATTGAGTTGATTAATGAACAGACATTTTACCTTGCTAATTTGTACATTGGATCAAATGAAGATAAGAACCAAGTGCTTGTTGATACTGGAAGTTCCGATCTCTGGGTCATGTCTCATGATCTTGAGTGCTATGCAAGTAGTTACGGCAAAAGAAAAAGAGATGCCAAGAATGTGTTCAATGTCGGTTCTGGACTCAAGTTTGTTGAAGAGAATGAAGTAAACAATAGACCAACAAAATCGAGAAACAACAAAGCGATAGTGAAAAAAGCGGAAACGAGTGCATACAACAGCTTTACGTACCTCACTGACAGCCCGGAAGCTAGTGAATATCCAGAGCCTTCGTACAATCCATACAGTTATTATAGCTACGAATCATATTATGGAGGGGCAGCCACCTGTACATATTACGGTACATTCAACACTGAGAACTCTGATTCATTTGTTCGGAATGATACTGACTCGTTTGATATTAGTTATGCTGATAATACTTTTGCATCTGGGATTTGGGGTCACGATACTGTTAGAATTGGGAATTTAAGTGTCAAAGATTTGAGTTTTGCTGTTGCCAATGAATCATCCAGTGATGTCGGTGTATTGGGTATCGGGTTGCCAGGATTGGAAGTGACAAATGACGCGAGTGGCTACACCTATGAAAACTTGCCCCTCAAGATGAAGTCAGATGGCGTTATCAACAAAGCGTTATACTCTTTGTATTTGGACATAATTGAAGCTGAGGCAGGAACTATTTTATTTGGTGCTGTTGATCATGCAAAGTACGAGGGAACGTTAGAGACTTTGAAGTTGAGAAACACATATGAAGAGTACGACTACCCAGTCAAATTTGACGTTCCGGTTGACAAGATTGCCGTCAACAAGGACGGAAAGACGTCCACTGTTTTGTCATCTACTGAGGGTGTTGTGTTGGACTCAGGATCCACCTTGTCTTATTTACGCTCTGAACAAATTGAGAAAGTGGCTGATGCGCTTGATGGTGTTTACAGGTCAGACGTAATGGCATATAAAGTGAGCTGTGACTATCAAGATGACAAATCGATAACATTGGACATCACCTTTGGAAGTAAAACGATCAAGGTTCCAATTTCAGATTTGATATTGGAAGCAGAATATGGCTCGCCATGTTATTTAGGGCTCTTCCCAATGTCTCCATCCTCCACCTACATTTTGTTTGGTGATAATGTGTTGAGAAGTGCTTATGTTGTTTATGACTTGGAAGACAAAGAGGTTCATATTGGTCAAGCTTACTACACTGACGATGAAGATATTGAAGTTGTAGAGCAAAATGTACCTACTGAGGGTGGTCAGAATCCAACTTCCACTGATGAATCCACGACAGAGACTGAATCTGTCAATGGTAGAAGCAGTACTTCTGAAACTGAGGGTGGAAGAAGTACCGTGTCCGATACTGATGCTGTAACAAGCAGTGCAACGAGGGTGAGGTCAGTAACAAGCAGTGAGTCGGACTTAAGTCTGGAAACCAGCACTGAATCCACAACAACCTCCTCGTCTTCATCTTCAACCACGGCCACAGATGGTGACTCAAATGGTGGCTTATGCTTGTATTCCTCTTCATGGAGCTGCACCCTTGCAAGTATGTTGGCTTCACTCCCTTTCTTGATTTGATTTTATAATTACTTTTAAATAGTAGAATGTGATAAATTATAATTGTTGTAGTTTTTGTACTCTATCCCATGGCACTTACAAGATACGCATGACAATAGCGTATAGCGAATGATGCATTTACGCTAAAGATAAAGCTTAGCACTGTATTTAAGGAAGTTCTTTGGTGTAGATTTGACAGTGTGATTATCAGAGGCAATGAATACTAGTGTTCCTAATTTCAATCCACCAGCAATCTCATTTAAAAAAAACGAATCGTATATTGAACTGAACTGTTTATAATCCAACGAGCTAGAAAAGGAACTTTTCTCTTCTTCTCTTAAACGGCAGAAATGCTCGAGTCTGTAGTGTACTTGACTTGAGCGATTGAGATTGTGTTTGCATCCAAGTTGTAAAGGAGGTAAGCATGTCTCAAAAAGTTGTCACCTAAAATAGTATCGTCTGATGGTTGGATACCCCAAAGACAAGTACCATCACCATTTTGATAAACGTACTCTGTGTTTGGAACGGTAATCTTTGCCCCATTTCCAAAGTTAAACACCGTTGTGCCAGATGTATCGGTGTTACAATCAATAAAGTACAAGTATTGGTCTCTAGCCACTTGAACAAGACGAGCACCAGCTTTATCAGCAAGTTGTGCGGCAAAGTCACTTGGGAAGTAAGTGAGTGTCGTTCCAGAGTCCAACAAAGCACCATCTCCAAATGAAAATGATGAACCTTTCAAATTGACGGAAGCAAGCGAAATAGTCAACGCTTGTGACAGGGTAACTTGCTCGGCAACCAACTTGCCAGAGTACTTGGCATTATCAACACCACCAAAGATGATTGTACCAGTCTCAGCTGAAGGAGAGTTCAAATATAATGAGTAAGCATTGGTTCTGATCTTTCCTTGCTTTTTCAAAGTCACGGGAACGTTGTCGTAGTTTGGAGTGGTTTGACGACCACTCGTGTCGTAAACTGCTTCATTGCTGGTGTAGCCAATACCCAATATACCTTGATCAACTGATGTTTGAGTGACATCTGCAATTTGTTGTCCAGTGATTGAGACTCCATTGATTGTGACGGTATCTTTACCCCATGTACCTTGCGATGTAGATCCATCCCCATATCGAATAGTGAAAGCAGCTCCTAAATTCTTGTATGAAGAAGACGATGATGGGGTAAAGGTCCCTGAGCTCTTGCAATCAACACCTTTTCCACATTGGGCATTTGAATCCACTACCCAAAAGTCACTCGAACCAGTATCAATAATGACGGTTTGCTGCTGTTTGTTTGAACCGACTGAAACTTTAGATGCATATGATGGACCTTCATTGATCAACGACAACGAAATGGAGTCTCTCTTTTCACGGAGAAGCGCCTCGGTCAAGTTCAATGGTTTCCTAAGCACATCAAAGTCCAAGGCAACAAACCCAGGATTGTCGTCTCTTTTAGCAGCCTCCTCTGGAATAGCTGCACCTTGTGCAAACAAAGCGAGCGCGATGGTGAGTAAAACTTGACGAGTTAAGGTAACAATGGCAACCATTTGTATGGATAGCGTTTTTTATTTGGCAATGGATGGGAATGACCAGTGGATGAAAAAGAGAAGGCACATGGGGTATTTATATTCACTGAATTTGTAATTGGTGTTTGTCAGCTTTGGTGCCGTACGAGCCCATGAGGCACGAAGCTGATTCCGTTTAGTCATTATCTGGTATATGTGGCGGCTTAAGCCACAGCCCGTGAATCCATTGTCTTGTGATTTGTATCACTTCAGCAGTCTTATCATTGCCAGTTCAAATTGTAAACCTGAAACAGACAATTAGAGCCGTGGGACGGGAAAGTGTGGGAAGTGCATTTTTTGATTTTGTGTTCCATTTGCGAGCTGCGTTCCTGCGCTGGAGGAATCTGTCAAAATTAAGAATCTGTCAAGGCTTGTCTTGGCACCATGGCCTGAGCAATGTGGAAGCACTATCAATGCTTTGATTTGTTCTATTGTTTCTATAGGTGCAATGACGAAGGTCGAATCAAGGCAACGGGGCATCTGCGTGTGTGTGTGTGTGTAGACCTCCTCGGTACGTCGAATCAATTGGCCAATAACCATAGTTTTTTGTGTGTCTTGCTCTACGCTTCTTATTGTTCTCGTAGAGTGGATACTTTCTGTTTCGGAAAATAGGAGTAAACACAACAATGGAAGTTTAATTTTCTCACGTCGATTGTTCTGGTGTTTGTTTCTATTTGTTCAAATTAAAACTCATAGCACTTGTGGTAGGGTGAAGACACGCTCATTTTAGAAGTTGGCATCCACCAAATTCAGGCGTGCCTCATAGATCCCAATGCTACTATAGTAGACAGGTGGACACCAGCGCATGTCGCGTTTGAGTTGATGTTGATTGTATCAAATTTTATCACAACTTGCGTAAGGAGTAAAATGTGAAACGGGTCACTGTTTTGTGTGATTGATGTGGGCACATTATTGGTGGAGGAATTTGTCCCAATCAAATTCGTGCCGTAGTCCCATGTCAAGAAGGCTAAAGCGATGCGGGTGTCATCGACGTTTCAATTTATTTCAATTTGATGTGTTGAGTTAGTGAACAGTTTTCAACAATGCTCATAACCTACTAGTTGATGGAGAGGCAATTTTTATAAGCTGACATTCGAAAAGTGTGGCGACCAATCATATTACATTTGGTTCGGTCCACAGGGTATGCGCATCTCGACGAGTCAAAGTGTCGTTGGATACTGACTCTGTATCTCTTTCCTTTGTGGTCAAGGAAGTCAACCAATTGAGTTGCATAATTACATTGATAATAATCTTTAAGTTGCATTGCAGACTGATTTTGTGTCGTAATTACACCACCATTCATCAATTGTAGCAATTATCATAACCCGTTTGCTTTGGGTTGGCAATGGTTGTTTACTGTCCTTTGGATTGCATTGTTTATCATAAAACACAAACCTATGTCAAAATGTGATTGCTTTAGAGTGTTTTATTGTGGATATTGACTAAAGTCGGAGCCTTGCTCGTAATTCCGGATTACAAATCAAGAAGTCATGCCATCGACGAGAACTATTGTCTAAACCACCACTGGCCAGTCAACCATACGGCATCAAATGCTATTTTTAGATCCGATTTCAATGTGAAGAATAGATCTTACATTACAGTCGATGATGACGCAAGCCTTCCAAAGTAAAAATTTGCAGATATTCTTCATTTGGGCTCATTGTGTATTGGGAGAGCACTCTTCATGCTTGAGATACTTCCACCATGCCTGTAAAATTCTTCATTCACGGGGGAGCTGAACCCGCTGTAGGATTTCTCAATAGAAGTTGATTGAGATTGAAACCGACTTCAATGTTACACAAGTACAATCTTCAACACAAGAAGCCATATTGTTGACAGAAGCAACCACGAGGGGTCAGGGCTCATAATCGCTCAAGTCGGTATGTGTTGTTGATCGTTCCCATGTACTTCTTCACTAATCACAATAATTTCAATGCAAATGTAGACTTATAGAGATGTGCGAATTTGCAAGATTAGAGTAATTCTAATCCATGTTGGATCTTCAGATATTGTTGGCAGAATCGGTTTTCAAGTATCAAGATACAGCGAGCTGATTAAAAATGTCTGACACATTCTACTAGTCTACTCGTACTTAGCAAAAGCGCAAAACAAGACCCAATATTAATCCAATCGATGAGGTCGTGAAAGGTACAGAGAGTGTTAGAGAATTCTTGAATAGACACATCTACCAGTGGGCGCTGGGCTGTTTTTGGCACAGGTGGGGTAGCAACCATTTCAAATTACCTTGAACCACGTTGTTTGTGCTTGTTTTACAACTTCCTCGGAGGAGCTCCTTCCATTCTCATAACCACTTCTTTGGCTGAATTTTGGCCCATGCGCATATCCATTTGAATAATTGAGCCAATCAAGTGAACAACCGAAGGAGAGTGGAAAGAAATGCCTTTGCAGGAGTCAATTATGGCAGTGAAACTCCTTTCTGCCAGAGTCTCATTGGCCCACGTTGGTGTTTACACCGGTGCCCTTGGAAACATTATAAATAGGGAAGCAAATCCCCAAGATTGGGTGAGTTAAATGTCAAGTCACCAACTATCAATTACTCCAATGACTACAATTGCCATCTTTACTAAAAACGTTTTGCTTGCCATTGCTTTTGCTTTGTTTGCCCAAGGTGCTGCTATTCCAGACCCCGCTAAAAGAGATGATAACCCTGGTTTTGTTGCTTTGGATTTTGAAGTTACAAGAAAGCCTCTCGATGTGAATGCTACTTCAGAACTTTCTAAAAGATCTTCTCCATCATCACCATTGTACTTTGAGGGACCTTCATATGGTATTCGTGTTTCAGTTGGTTCCAACAAACAAGAACAACAAGTGGTTCTTGACACCGGTTCTAGTGACTTTTGGGTCGTTGATTCCTCTGCATCTTGTCAAAAAGGTAATTGTAAGCAATATGGAACTTTTGACCCACATAGCTCAACCTCATTCAAGTCATTAGGCTCCAGTTTCAGCATTGGTTATGGGGACAAGAGTTCTTCGATTGGAACTTGGGGGCAAGATACAATTTATCTTGGTGGTACTTCCATTACCAATCAACGCTTTGCTGATGTTACCAGCACCTCGGTCAATCAAGGAATATTAGGTGTTGGACGTGTGGAAACTGAGAGTGCAAATCCCCCATATGACAACGTCCCTATCACTTTGAAAAAGCAAGGAAAAATCAAGACCAATGCTTACTCATTGTATTTGAACTCACCAGGTGCAGCTACTGGTACGATTATTTTTGGTGGTGTTGATAATGCCAAGTATTCTGGAAAACTCATTGAGGAGCCATTGGTTCTGGACCGATACTTGGCTGTAAACTTGAAATCCCTTAACTACAATGGCGATAACTCCAACGCGGGTTTTGGTGTTGTTGTGGATTCCGGAACCACAATTAGTTACTTGCCTGACAGCATCGTTGACGATCTCGCCAACAAGGTTGGTGCATACTTGGAGCCAGTTGGTTTGGGAAACGAGCTTTACTTTATTGATTGTAATGCCAATCCTCAAGGTAGTGCTTCTTTCACCTTCGACAATGGTGCTAAGATTACTGTTCCATTATCTGAATTTGTCCTTCAAAGTACTGCCAATGCTTGCGTCTGGGGTTTACAAAGTTCCGATAGACAAAATGTTCCTCCAATCTTGGGTGATAATTTTTTGAGACACGCTTATGTCGTTTTCAATTTGGATAAAGAGACCGTTTCTCTCGCTCAGGTGAAGTACACTTCTGCCTCAAGTGTTTCAGCAATTTAGAAACTTCCATTGTTTGGAAACCTTTTTTTACAATCGTTATATTCAATAAATTGTGTTGTTATGAGACAAATCTGTAGTGTAATTTGTGGCAATTGTTGTGCATGAAGAGCGGCGATAAGGAACAAATTTGATAGCGAATATCACATGCTTGCGTTTTCTTCTACAGTGTTACTTCAATAGGTAAATTGGTTTGATTCCATAAAATCATACAGCTGCTGATATATTTTAATATACAACAATAACGAGAAACCAGCACTAAGAAGAATCGGGTTTGCAAACAAGCGGTACCAGGACTAGACGCACAATCCATTTCTCTAATCACAATTTTTCATTTCTCAAGATTGATCCTTCCTGATACATTCTATCCAAATTCTTTTGGAAGAATTTTGTGCAAAGAGGTCTTCTGATCTTTTGCGTTGGTGTAACAACTTCTCTTTCAACTGTTAATGGCTCAAAGTAAATCTCCACATTGTGCAATCTTTCAAAACCTTGCAATTGATCCTTCACAGCAGCATTGAGATCCAAAAGAAACGCTTTTTTGTTTGAAGGATCATTCAAAAAGTGAAGTATATCTGCCCTGTCATTGATTTCGTCCTTGAATCTAATTCTCAAATAATCTCCAATTGACGTTGGGTCCAAACCAACAATACCAACGAGATAAGACTCAAGTGAATTTCCATGGACAAAAATTTGTTGAATTTGTGGACACGTTGCCAAGTAAGCAAGCTCGATTTTCTCTGGAGTGACAAATTCTCCTTGTGCCAACTTGAAAAAGTTTTTGACCCTGTCAATGACGTACATTTGGTTGTTGCGTCTAGAATCAATGCGTGCAACATCTCCTGAACAGAACCATCCATCTTTGTCAAACGATTCAGCTGTGGCTTCTGGATTTTTGTAGTATTCTTTGAAAATCTGTGGTCCTCTTAGCAATAATTCGCCTCTTGGTCCTCCCTCATCTTTCGACGTGTAGTTCATTTCCGGAATGTCCCTCAACCTGCATTCAGCACTTACTCCAATTGCACCAATGGAACCCGGATCGTAATCAAATTGCCTACTACACAAAAATCCAGCAAACGACTCGGTTGAGCCGTACCCGTTAGAAACTCCAACATTCAATGCCGCTTTAATAAATCTAATCGTTTCCGGGTTGACAGGTGACGAACCGGTTGCTATCATTTTAACACTTCCTAAACCCATCCTTTTCCTAAATGCATCAAGCAATTTGTCATATACCAAATGATTAGGATTAACATCATCATCCAGAGGTTGTGCTTGGAGCTTCAATTTCTCAGTGATGGCTCTTGTATAGATGTACCTAATCCATGGGTGTTCACTCTGGATTGTTTGAGACTTTATGGTTGCTTCCAACTTTGACAATACTCGAGGCACAGTTGATAATGTGGTTGGTTGCAACTCTCTAACGTCATCAAGCATTGTTGATGCTGACTTGCTTTGAGGGAAACCAATCTCCGCGCCAATGCAAACTCCATATAAAAGATTGGCTCTTTCCAAAATGTGAGCAGCTGGTAGGTAAGAGTACAATCTTGTGGCTCCTGGTCTGAAAGCTCTACCATATTTGAACACCAAACCAGAAACTGCACTCTCATGAGTTAAAACAACTCCCTTTGGCATAGCCCCGGTAGTTCCTGAAGTGAAGCATATGGTGAATTTGGTATTTGAGGTTGGTGGAATTGGTGCTAATGGGTTTGACTCTCCAAGCTTTTCAATGTGGTCATAATCAAACAACGTGATACGATTTTCTGCTGCAAAATACTTCAACCTAGCATCTTCCGGACCTTCCAACTTGTCCATAGACACAATCACAATCAAGTTGTCCATTTTGTCACTTTCCTTCTTCAACTCGATCAACTTGGCTATCTTCTCTTTGGAGCACAAAACAATTGGCGATCCCGTCAATTCTAAAATATATTTGCTGGCATTTGGACCTAAAGTGTCATACAATGCCGTGTTAGTGATGGAATAGGCAATGGTGGCCATGTCAGCCAAAACCCATTCTGGTCGGTTGCCGCTGAATATAGTCAACACAAACGAATCATCTTTCCTTGTTGGATTGTAGTTTATGTTGCGATGGACTTCACTGTCAGTTCTGAAAGGATTGTTTTCCAACACAAAGAATACACCAGAAGCCAAATTGTTTCTTCTTCGTCTAACGGTGTGATAATCTTGCCAATGGTATCTTCCAAATGATCCATCAGGTAATTTTTCTCTTACTCCAAATGCATTTTGATCTCCAGAGAATTTGTAACCAAACTCAAACAAGGCATACAATGTGTCTAATGAATTATGCAACTTGGTAATCAACCCATCGGGATTGTATTGGTTTCTGTAAATTGGCGAGTACCCTTCTTCTTCTGTATCGGGTATGGGAATAGCTTTTGCAATCGACCGTGGGTTGAGTGGCAACTTTTCCTTTAGCGCTTCATATATACGCTCTGGTGACTCTTGAATCAACGACATGGTCCTTATTTGTGTTTAGCTGAGTCTGAATGGTGGAGCTTCTGAAAAAGTGCCTGAAGTCATTTGCTGAACAAGGATAATACCATATCAATTTATACTTTTCGACATGTGTCCCTCCTTTACCCCAAATTTCCTTCTTTTAATAGTTAAGTTACCCCAACCATACCTATCCGGAGTTCTCAAAACCAAAAACAACAAAGTAAATATTTTATATCGTTTTTGCCCCTTCTGTATCGCTCGCCCAATTTAGGAGGCTTTGTTGTGGTTAACTTTAATGCAAGCACATATTATTTTTATTTTTTTTTTTCTTTTTTTTTTTTACTTCATTCCAAATTTGGTATTCAAGTTTTTGCGGGGGAAAGATCATCAGGTGTCTTACAGTTCAAAATCGCAACAAGTATAGAAGGCAAGGTGGGGAGAGGAGTTGAGGGAAGGGTGGGGTATACAGCTCTAACTTAAACCGTTCATTATCATGTCTACGCTGTACCACCATACCTTATTTCGTAGATGTGGACTAGATAATGTAATTGAATGCAAGATAGATATCATATCTCCGATCTTTAGTTATCGCCGACGAGATATTGAAGTTACACAAACTATGTGGTTAGAGAAGCATTGTGATAGTCACCCCTCCAAATTGTGGCTCTCTTGTCGAAACGCTTGCACCACTTCCTCCTCTCTCTATAAGACCTTTTTATGACCACTTTTCGTGAACAGAATAAGTGGGGAAAAGTGGAGGTGACATACAAAAGTCACATTTACCGCTTGCAAATTTATTATCTAGATACCAATGGCTGAAGAGTGATTGGTTTAGAGACTGTGTGCTAACGATGACATACTATTCTAAAATGTCCTCTGCACAACCAATCCTTTTTCAACTTGTACACCCTATTTGAGTAGGTCTTCTTACACGAATGTCAAACGTACTGGGTGCAAGTTGTCCTTTTGTGGGTCAAACTTCAGTGGAAACCACGTGGATATGTGGGGAATGTAGTCCCAAATTTGTCACTTGAAATTATACAACTTTGCGATAAAATCGATAACACAAAAATACAAGCTTACAATACCCCTCATTTGTGTCAAATAGAATAGGTCATTATATCATTTGTATCAAAAAAGAATTCTATACCATAGTTGTATAATATCTAAACACTGTATAAAAAGTCTATAATTTCTCATTTCTCAAAATGGATCCTTCCTGATACATCTTGTTCAAATTTTCTTCAAAAAATTTGGTGCAAATAGGTCTTCTAATTTTTTGCGTTGGTGTAACAACTTCTCTTTCAACTGTTAATGGCTCAAAGTAAATCTCCACATTGTGCAATCTTTCAAAACCTTGCAATTGATCCTTCACAGCAGCATTGAGATCCAAAAGAAACGTTTTTTTGTTTCTTGAGTCATTCAAGAAACGGAGAATATCATTCCTGTCGGTAATCTCGTCATGGAATCTAGCTTTCAAGTAGCCACCAATTGTTACTGGATCCAAACCAACAATACCAACGAGATAAGACTCAAGTGAATTTCCATGGACAAAAATTTGTTGTATGTGGGGGTTCGCTGCCAAATAGGTGTTTTCGATTTTTTCAGGAGTAACAAACTCTCCTTGTGCCAACTTGAAAAAGTTCTTTACACGATCAATAACATACAATTGATTGTTGCGTGTTGTGTCAATTCTTGCAACATCCCCAGTACAGAACCATCCATCTTTGTCAAATGCTTCCGCAGTGGCTTCTGGGTTCTTGTAGTATTCTTTGAAGATTTGCGGTCCACGCAATAACAATTCCCCTCTTGGACCTCCCTCATCTTTCGACGTGTAGTTCATCTCCGGAATGTCCCTCAACCTGCACTCGGCAGTTATTCCAATCACACCAATGGATCCAGGGTTGTGATCAAACTGTTTACTACTCACGAACCCGGCAAACGACTCAGTTGATCCATAACCATTGGAGATTCCAACATTCAATGCTGCTTTCACAAACCTGATTGTTTCTGGACTAACTGGCGATGACCCAGTGGACATCACTTTAACACTTCCCAAACCCATCTTCTTTCTCAACGCATTGAGCAACACATCGTAAAACAAATGACTAGCATTGGCATCCTTCTCGCTTGCTTGTGATTGAAGCCTTAATTTCTCACTAATTGCCTTAGTGTAAAGATATTTGACTATGGGTTTTTCATCGTTGTTGATTGTATTTGCTTTGATTCCAGCTTCTAGTTTTGACAAAATTCGTGGCACGGTTGCAAGGGACGTTGGTTGCAATTCTCTGACATCATCAAGCATGGTCAACGGCGACTTTCCCTGTGGAAAACCAATTTCGGCTCCAGCACTCAATGCAAATTGGATATTAGCTCTTTCGTAAATATGAGCCATTGGTAAAAAAGAATACAATCTTGTTCCTCCAGGGTTGAAACCTCTACCATATCTGAAAACTAATCCCGACACGGCATTTTCATGAGTCAACACAACTCCCTTTGGATTAGCTCCAGTGGTTCCCGAGGTGAATGATATTGTGAATTTGGTGTCTGGAGTGGGTGGGATAGGTGCCAATGGGTTGGCTTCTCCAAGCTTTTCAACGTGCTCGATGTCAAACAATGCAATTTGATTCGCAGCTGCAAGGTTTTTTAACCTAGCATTTTCTGGACCTTCCAACTTATCCATAGAAATGATCACAATCAAATTCACCAAATTGGTGCTTCCCTTTTTCAATTCAATCAATTTGGCAATTTTCTCTTTGGAGCACAAAACAATTGGCGATTCAGTCAACTCCAAGATGTATTGACTTGTGGTTGGACCCAATGTGTCATACAAAGCTGTATTGGTGATGGAGTAGGCAATGGATGTTAAATCGGCTAAAGCCCATTCTGGTCGGTTGTGACTGAATATACTCAAAATGAATGAATCGCCTTCTCTAGCTGGATTATAGTCTAAATTCTGATGAACCTCACTATTGGTTCTGAATGGGTTGTTTTCTAATACAAAAAAGATGCCTGAACCCAAATTGTTTCTTCTTTGTCTAATTGTGTGGTAGTCTTGCCATTGGTATTTGCCAAATTTCCCATCAGGCAATTTCTCTCTTACTCCAAAAGCATTCTGGTGCTTGCTAAAATTGTAACCAAACTCAAACAACGAATACAAGGTATCCAAAGAAGGGTGTAATTTGGTAATTAAATGATCAGAACTGTACTTGTTTCTGTAAATTGGTGAATAACCCTTCTCCAGTGTATTAGGAAGTGCAACCGCCTTGTCAATCAATTGCGAATCAAGGGGCAACTTTTCTTTGAACATATCAAAGATACGCTCAGGTGTCTCGAGTATCAATGACATGATATGTGTGTGTGTGTTTGTTTGTTTGTTAAGTGATAGTTGGAGAGAGTTGAGACCAAATACATGTATACTGCTTGAAAAGTGAAGGCGGATTTGCATTCAATTTATAGTTGCAGCTTAGAGTCAATCCCTGAAATGGCCCCCTTCCCCCCCTTCCTCCCCCACCCATCAATTCAAATAATAAAATTAGTTTGCAGGATCTCTCTTTCCCCAACAAAGGAAAAATGTATTTGAACCGATGGAAATAGTGCAACGTCTTTTTATTATTATGCCCTTGGTATTATTATTATTATTATTTTTGCACAAGAGGTAAAAGAAGCTTGAAAATATTTCACAAGTAAAATCTTTCTGTATATTTCATATGGGGCTCTATGCTGTTTGTGTTTCACACAACCACACTATTCACATTGTATTTGAACTTAAAGTCTGCTCATTATCTTGAAGTTTCTTTGTGCTATCTTTTCTCTTTTTTGGTGGATTTTGATTTTGCGGGGTCTTCGAATATTTTCTACGATTGAAGGTGGGTTCGGATTTAACGATAAATCATCCATTCTTTTACGATAGTAGAAGTGGTGGCACTACTGAAGGCGTATAATCACACACATGACAAGAGGGTGGCTCATATGAATACATCGTTGTGCTTTTAGAACAGAAAGTTAGTTGTAAACGAAAGCTTTTAAAGTGCAACGCATGGTAAAAAAATGCCACGTCTTGTGTTTATAAATCCGGTGGGTGGGGATTGCTTATCGCCGGTTTGTGTTACAACCCACAAATCGAAGCGATTCGAACATCTTCGTAAAGAAAGACATCAAATTTGGCATGCTTTGCTCCTTTTATTTTTTTGGTAGCATGATGAAGAAGACAAATCCAGTCGAACCCTTATATTTTATTCTTTTTTTGACGTAATTTGGGTGGGGCTAATAACCCCGTCCCGGTGGCTGTACTCCCCTAGGGCGATTTTGGTACGTTCCAGCTCCCTGTTCTACATAGAAGCAGAGTAAAGAAGAGCCATCTATTGTACTTTGCTGCTGATGTAAACAAAGTTTCCTTCACATTCACCAATGAAAGTAGGCTTTGGTGTTTTTCACATTGCATAAAAAGAGGGGTATAGGTAATATGCAGGATGATATATTTGCGCATGAAATTTCGCATCAATTACTTAGACCCTCAAGGATCCCACCTATGCATAAAAAGACAAGTTCTACTACGATCATTCAAAAATTCTAATTCACTTCAACACAAGTTCAACTAAAAAGTACACGAAATCTATAATTTATCATTCCTGATAAGTGATCCCTCGTCATACAATTTGTCCAAAGTATCTTTAAAGTATTTGGTACAAATTGGTCTCTTGATCTTCATGGTTGGTGTGATCAAGTTCTTTTCCACCGATAAGGGCTCAACATCAACTTCAATGTTGTGTAATTTTTCAAACCCTTGAAGTTTGTTACCGAGCGATGTATTCATATCAATCAACAATTCACGTTTACGTTTGGCATCCTGGAAGAATCTAACCAAATCAGCCGGATCATTGATAGTCTCTCCATGTCTGTGCTTAATGTACAGCGTGATGGATACGGGATCTACTCCAACAACACCAACCAAGTGGGTCCTCAAAGAATCACCGTGAACAAATAATTGAGCAATGTATGGAAAACAACTCAAATATGTATTTTCAATTCTCTCTGGAGTAACATATTCACCTTGAGCCAATTTGAAAAAGTTCTTGACTCTATCGATGATAAAAGTACGCCCAGTTTTGGCATCGATACGAGCAACATCACCAGTGTAAAACCAACCATCTTCATCAAAACACTTGGCAGTTTCCTCTGGGTTCTTGAAATACTCTGGGAAGATTTGTGGCCCACGAACTAACAATTCACCTCTTGGTCCACCTTCATCTTTTGAAGTGTAGCCCATTGCCGGCAAATCTCTAGTTCTACATTCAGTAGTGACACAAATTGGACCACATGAACTGGCTTCGGTCTCAAACATGGAGCTACCCATGATACCAGCAAAAGTCTCACTCATACCGTAACCTTGTCCAACACCGGTATTCAAAGATGCTTTCAAAAATTTAAGAGTTTCTGGACTAATTGGTGCCGATCCCGACATTACCACTTTAAGGTTCTTCATTCCCAATTTTTTACGCAACAATCCCAATACTCTGTCATATAATAAATGTGGAGGGTTTGTGTTTTCATTAGCAGGGTCGGATTGTAATGCCAACTTGGCTTTAATAGCTCTTGTGAACAAGCTCTTCAAAATGGGCTTTTCATCATTGTTGACAGTTTGAGCCTTGATACCAGCTTCCAACTTGGTCAATACTCTTGGAACTAATGCCAAAAAATCTGGTTCTAAATATTGAATATCTTCCAATAGAGTTAATGGAGAAGGACCTTGTGGGTATCCAATGGCAGCACCATAAGCTGTAGCAAAGTGCAACCCTTGCCTTTCATAGATATGAGCCAATGGCAAGAAGGAGTAAAAAACGGCATCTTGCTTTGGTAATCCCATCCCAGCAAAAACAAAAGTAACACCGGCAACTGCATTTTCATGTGTTAAAAGAACACCTTTTGGATTTGCACCTGTGGTTCCTGAAGTGAAAGTGATACTAAACTTGGTTTCGGGTTTTGGAGGGATTGGATCCAATGGGTTGATTTCACCCAATTTCTCAACTTGTCTGTAGTCAAATAACGAAATGTTGTGATCGTGGCAATAATTCTTCAACAAAGCATCTTCAGTGGTCAAATCATCCATAGATACTATACAGATTAAGTTACTCAAATCTTCTGGGTTTTGCTCTTTTAGTTCAACCAAGCCTCTAATCTTGTCTTTGGAGCACAACACAATTGGACATTCGGTAAGATTCAAGATGTATTTACTAGTATCGGGACCTAAAGTGTCATACAACGCAGTGTTTGTGATTGAATAAGCAGCGCAAGTCACATCAGCAAGAGCCCATTCAGGTCTGTTGTGAGCAAAAATAGTCAAAATGAATGAATCATCACTCAATGGGTCATACTTTAACTTCTTGTGTGCTTCGCTATCAGTCTTGTAGGGATTATTTTGTAGAATAAAAAATAAACCAGAACCCAAGTTATTTCTCCTTCTCTTGACGGTATTATAATCTTCCCAAACATATTCACCATAAGTGCCATCATCTTTTTTAACCCTGTGACCAAAAGCACGCTTGTGTCCATTGTTTGCAACTGAAAGCTCAAACGTTTCATACAAAGTGTTGATTCCAGGATAAGGGATTGCTTTCAACTCTTTTTGAGCGTACGCATTTCTGTAAACTGGCGAAAATCCTGGTTCTTCTGTGTTTGGAAGTGGAAGTGCTGTGTCGTTCAAACTTTTATCAAAGGGGAAATTATCCGTAATGGTTTTCCAAATATGTTTTGGTTGTTCTTGAAATAAAGGTGCCATGATAACCGGAGTTTTTGAGAATAATAAAAGTTTTTATTGGAAGTACTTCTTCAGAATAATGTTAGCTTTTCCTTCCTTGCAAAGATAACTTATTATCAGAACGTTGGGATCGAAAGGAATGAAAATTTTTTTTTAGAATGGGAAAGAAATGGGCGCCGGATTTGTATATAAATACCTCTCTCTTTTTCTGGGGGGAGTTTCTGATTCTGATGCGTATCAATACACACGACTGATTTTCCATTTTCCATCTGTTTTTGTGTTTGTTTTGTGGAGACAAATAATCTTTTTTTTAGTGAGAAAAATGCTTTCTTTTAACTTCCTCGGCAAAGAAACAGGCCCAATGCTCACTGCTCATAACCAACGATTCATTGTAAAAGACGGCCCACATATTATTATTGTACAAGAAAGACGATTTAAACACTAAATTTAAATTAGTCCGAAGATTATGAAGCTCGGTAGAAATGCTATATGCAGTATACAATACATACATCTAGGATGGCAAATATCGATGACAAGATCCATTCTCACCTAACAAATTTTCTTCCAAATAGTCATCTCCACACTTTGGCTCTTCTCTCTTTGATCGAACAATTGTCTTCAGCAGAGCCAGTTGTGGTCGTCTGTAAGCAACCACAACCACAAGGTTTGGGGGATTGAAAGGCGGAGGTATATCACGTATATCTCCGCTATTTATGTAAAAAGAGATTACAAATAAAACCCCTCTACCCCTCAGTTGCTACATCTGGGGTTCCTTTGCTCCACTACGTATTATTGTTTGCACGCAAGAAACGTTTATTCAGTTTATTCTTCTTTTTGTTCGGTAAATATCGGCGCCAATTTTAATTTGATTTTGCGAAATCAACCGTATAACATCCGACATCCGACACCTTGAGATACTACATCTTAGAACAGAGATGTTGACTTGAATTTGAGCTAAGCTTTTGGGGGGGATGGACGTAACACATTGTAGAGTCTGGTGCCCGTAGTCAAGCACCTCATCCTCTATTGGCCGTCTTAGTTTATGCTCGGCCCAGGTCAAAGAACGCGTTAGAAAGTTACATCTTTTTTGTGTAATTTGACCCCACAAATGCTATATTGCCACATTCTGAACTTAAATAAGGAGTTCTATACCAACTTGAACTTGACAGTTCGCGTGATTCTGAGCCAAATGAATGTCTTGAGATTCATATTTTACACGATTATATATACTTGTAGGGATTCATAATTCCGGCTGGATCGTAATGTTGTTTGATTTGCTTCAACAAAGCAATTTCAGTTGGATTCTTTGAGTACCCAATGTAATTCTTCTTTTGGAATCCCAAACCGTGTTCAGCTGAAATTGAACCCTTCTTTGAAGAAACCCACTCGTAAACAAATGGCTCTAATACGGACTCCACTTCAGGGGTGTACTTACGAACGCAAACATTGAGATGCAAGTTCCCGTCACCAATGTGACCATATCCAACTGCCGACACAACTGGTTTAGCACCATCTTCGAAATCAACTAAATTGGCCTCTGCTAATTTCTCGTTGGCAGCTTCAACCAATCCATACAAGTCTTTTAACGGGATTGAGACATCGTACTTGTAAACACCTCCATTCATTGCACTTGCCTCAGGAATGCTTTCTCTCCAGCTCCATAAACTTTGTACTTGGGACTCATCTTGAGCAACAATACCATCTTCAACCAACCCATTCTCCATTGCATTTCCCAAAAAATTTTCCAATTTCTCGTCATCGTGATCCTTGTTTGATCCAGATGTTTCAATCAAAGCGTAAAATGGGTACTCGCCACTTTCAATAGGGTGGTCAAGACCCAAGTGCTGTTTCGTCAATTGTTGTGACTTTAAATCCATGAACTCAAATGCTGACAAGATTTCCCCCAACTCTTTTCTCGATTCCACAAACACTTTTTGAACAGTTTCATAATCCTTTACGGCGAGAAAGGCGACATTTGTAGCCTGTGGTCTTGCCGGGCAAAGAATAGAAACACCAGTGATAATACCTAAAGTACCTTCGGACCCGATAAACAATTGTTTCAAATCGTAACCAGTGTTGTCTTTGCGTAGAGAATGCATCGAATCGTAAATTGTACCATCTGGTAACACCACCTCTAATCCCAACACACTGCCATGTAATGATCCATATCTCAATAATCTTAAACCTCCAGCATTGCATGCAACATTACCGCCAATCTCGCATGAGCCCTTGGCTCCCAAATCCAACGGGAAAATGTATCCTTGCTCCAGTAAGTATTGATCAGCATTTTCCAAAATTACACCAGCATCAACTTTTAAAATACCACTAACTGGATCAAATGATCTAATCTTATTCAAGGATGATAATGAAATGATGATTTCATCAAAAATAGGGTTTGATCCACCAACCAATCCAGTATTACCACCTTGAGGCACAACGGCTAAATTTTTCTCATTGCAATGTTTCAAAATGTCGGCAACTTGAGCGGTAGTCTTTGGCTTAAGTAGTAAGTTTGATTGTCCACGATACTTCCTCATCCAATCTTCATTGTAAAATAATAAGTCGTCAGCATCGGTGATGATGCTGTTTTCCGGTAAAATGGATTTAAAGTAGTCCAAATCGGAAGAGTCGAGTTTCTTGTATTTTGGATCTCGTTGAACCTTGGAGGAGTATGTATCGGCGGTAAATGGAACTGACTTAACAGTAGAGTAATGAGCAATCGGTGACGACCAACGAAGGAAAATTGAGGGAGCCCTCAATCTTTTTGATAGCAGGTTAGATACAGTGTATAGTAATCTCCTCTGCATGGCCTGTAGTGGTGATTTTATAAAAGAAAGGCTCTTTGCCAATGATTTACCGTAGCACGAGTCAGAAAAGTTACGTAATTTTTTCAAAGGTCAAAAGAAGTAAAAGATTTTTTTTTGTTATATGCAGGTTGGCAATTAGTCATTTTTGCAATGGGTGCAAACCCATAGCTTTTTAGCAGTGTGCCACTAGACTAAGCACATACAGAATGCTGTCAGTTATATCACGGTAAGATAGAGAAGAAGATATAATTTTTTGAGCAGAAATAGGACAAGGAAAATTGTCGATTTTGTGATGGTGATAAAGAACCAAAAGTCTCATGTCAAGCCTATCATTAGTCGATGAGGAGCACCTTACACAGTACAGTGTTCTTGCTACTGGGGCGGAGAGCTACTGAAGTAACAAGATGTTTGAATGAAAAAACCTGCAAGGTTGATCTGATATCCCCGGGAGTAATGTCCAATAAACCCTAGTCTTTCATATCTTGCTACTACTTTGGGTGTGGTCGTGCTCACTCCATGACAGATTGACTACAGTTTCTACTGACCATTCTCATACATCCATACATGTGCTTTAAATATGTAAAGTTCTTGCTAACTTATTGTTTTTTTCTTGTACACATAGCAATGGTAAAGTGAACGTTTTCTTTATCTATACAAATTGGACAAAAGAGGAGAAAAAAGAAGTTGTAATCATCCATTATCAATGTGAAAATTTAATCCATTATAAATTCCCTTCATTAACGAGTACATCAAGAATCGATACAGATTCATTCAACTCTCCGAATCATAGCAAGCACGCTCACTGTGTCAACTTCAAAAACTGCATACACAAGATGAAATTGTTAGTACCAGCTTTTCTCCTACTATTGACGGTTTGGTCTTTTCAACTCCCATTTTCTATTCCAGATTTGCTTAGTGTACTGCAGCATCAACATACCCACTACACCAAGCTTGACCCTAAGGATCAACCCATTGATTTGTTGCAGTATAAAGATGATGTAGTTATCAGAGTATCACTTGCCAATTCTCCTGCCTTGAAAGAATTTCTCACAAGAAAGGACATACAGTTCAACAAATGGGGTAAGAACAATAACCAGCAGACAGTCGATATTCAAATCAATGAGGAAGAACTTATGAAGTTGATTGAAAAGTTTCCCTCTTTGGAGTACCATACCATAATCGAGGATTTACCACAGCGTATCTATGAGACTTTCCCCTTGCAAGAACAGCCAGTTCTCACAAAGGATGAGGACTTTCATGCACAATCAGAGTTATTCTTCAGAGAGTACCGTGAGCTATCCACAATCAATGCATGGTTGGACTTGTTACAATCCACTTACCCTGATGTTGTCAAACTTGAGGACATTGGTGACACTTTTGAACATAGAAAGCTCAATGTTGTTCACTTTTCAGTACCAAATGATGATATTGAACACAGTGATAAAAAAACCATTGTAATCACAGGCGGAGTCCATGCTCGTGAATGGATTTCGGTGTCAAGCACTTTGTACTTGATTTATCAATTAATTAAGCTATACAACACATGGCCCAACTCAAAGATCTTGACTCAATTAGACTTTCTATTCATTCCGGTGACTAATCCTGATGGATATGAATACACATGGACAACCGACAGATTGTGGCGCAAAAATCGTCAAGAAACCCCAATTCCAAAATGTTTTGGTATTGATATTGACCATTCATATGGTTACCATTGGACCAAATCGTCAGATTGGGCCTGTGGTGAAGAATATAGTGGAGAATTCCCATTTGAAGCGTTTGAGTCGCGCTTATGGGATGAATACTTGAACAACACCAACAAAGATCACAGTATTTATGGTTACATTGACTTACATTCTTATTCGCAGGAGATTTTGTACCCTTACGCTTACTCATGCAATCAGCAGCCAAGAGACGAGGAAAATTTGATTGAATTGGCTTGGGGTATTGCCAAATCAATCAGAATGAAGCTGGGCACAAACTACAATGTCTTACCTGCATGTATTGATAAGGACTCAGATTTGTTGCCCGATTTGGGCTCTGGATCTGGATTGGATTACATGTATCATAATCGAGCCTTTTGGGCATATCAGTTTAAGTTGCGTGATACTGGTGGCCATGGTTTTTTGTTGCCAGCCAAGTACATTGAGCCAGTTGGTGATGAAATGGTTGCTGCTATTTTGTACTTTTGTAAGTTTATACTTAGTGATGATCGGTAAATGGATTGTTTGATTGAGAGAAGCGATAGTTATTTTTTGTGAATTTTCTTTGTATTGTACTATAAGAGCTATACATAATGAACGATGATGGATCTCGAAAATGTGGGACATCAATAAAAAAGCGGCATCAGTGACGTAAATTAGACAATAGTGCACATGGAACCAACGAATCCACCTGGAACTTTTCTGACCCAGTTGTCCTTACCTGCATCCTTCTTATTGGCGGATGAAGCAGTTTGAGCGTTGTTGTTAGTTTGTTGAGCAGCCATTTTTTTTTTAGTTGGTTAGTTAGTTGATTGTTTTTGTTTGATGAGAAAAAGTAGAAGTAAAACTTTTGAAATAGAGGATCAATTGATCTCCTTTTATATTCTTTTGAAACAGGGCCGCAAAGCTAGTTGAGTTAGAATTTAACACGATTGTTTTGCATACATTTTGGTTCTAATGACTAAAGAGTGTTTGATGTCGGAGAAGAGAATCAGCGCAATAAAGCACCCATCCTGTATCCATCTGTTTCAGAATTGCTGTTAACTATTTTGAAACTCCCTGGGTATTATATTGAAGGCGGTTTCACATGTCACAGACACTCCGATGGTCAGAAGAAGATATTTTTACAAGTTTATTTTCGCAACTAAATTTTCTTTTTTTTGCAACATCTTTTTTTCAGAATTATTGCCCGATTGAGACATGACAATGACGAACATTGCATACATGAGGGGAGTTGCTACTGTTCCGAGAAATTCTTGACTACCGCTGACATTAACCTGTGTTGAACTAAAGTTTAAAAAGAGTTGTTGGGAGCTTTTTATGCTTTCACCCCCACTTGTGGCGTTTGAGATTAATTTGTAGGTATTACCGGATGACAGACATGATTATTGAGTTTTTTGCTTTACCTTTTTTTTTTTCAAGAACAAAACATAGTTGGTTTCTGAAATCTAGTGGCTTTTTCCAGCATCCTTTATTTCACTGTCCCTTCCAAATGAGGTAGAAAAATGGAAACATTTTGTTGAAGAATCTTGTTTCATGATGAGTCGCAATTGGTAAATTAGGATTGTGGAGTAACTTTTTGAAACTGAGAATGCAAAGAAACTGTCAGGTTGAGTGAAATGGAGTGGTCTTTGCCTGTCTAATTTCAATCGTCCCTCCTCCCCACTGCTCATGTTAAATTTCAACTCAAAAAATTTATCAAGACTCATCGCAAACTCATACCGAACCAAATCTACTATAAATATGTGCCAATTTCTACTAAGAATGGCTTTCGATCTCTCTCCTCATCATCAAATAAAAATAACTAACCAACCAACTTAAAAATGGCTGCTCAACAAACTAACAACAACGCTCAAACTGCTTCATCCGCCAATAAGAAGGACGCTGGTAAGGACAACTGGGTCAGAAAAGTTCCAGGTGGATTCGTTGGCTCCATGTGCACTATTGTCTAATTTACGTCACTGATGTTTCCCATTGCGATTGTGTTTTCTGAGAATTCTTTCGCCTACGTTGCTCCTTATTCTGCTTTTTTTACTTTTATCACGAGTGTATTGGACTATATTGAAACATTGAGGCGCCTTTTGAATGGGTATATAGGTTTAAATGCATGCTTTTATATCCTACAAAAGCTAATCTTTGTAGAGTTGATAATGGCCTCCACTTTTCTGATTCGAAATCCGGAGAAACATGGCGCAAAAATCGATCCGGTGATTTTTAATGTGCTCGTGCGACGCTTTGTTGAAAAAAGAAAAACTTGGAACAATTGTTCAGCATACCCGCTCTGAAAACCTCTTACAAAATATGAGAGTTGTTGTACAAAAGGTCAAAAATGCCTCGGTCACAGTTGATGACAAGTTAATATCATCGTATGTATAATATCGAGAGACGGAGTTAAAAAGCCCACTTTACTAACCCAACTCTTTCAGAATCGGAAAGGGTCTCATGGTGCTTGTTGGTATTTCAACATCTGACACCAAAGACGACGTATTGAAACTAAGCAAGAAACTTCTTTCATTACGTGTATTCGAGGACATGACACAACCAGCAGAGACAACTACCAAGTGGTATGGCAAACCATGGAGCAAATCTGTTGTTGATATTCAAGGTGAAATATTATCGGTATCACAATTCACATTGTATGGGACTGTGAAAAAGGGAACAAAACCTGACTTCCACAAAGCTGCCAAAGGCGAAGGTGCCAAGGAACTATACAATATATTGTTGGAAGAATTGAGGAAAGGCTTGGGTCAAGAGAAGGTGAGGGATGGAGAATTTGGCGCAATGATGGATGTGGCGTTGGTCAATGACGGGCCAGTTACCATTGTTTGGGACACACAAGAAAACACTTTATAGACAATAGAATTAGATTTGAGAGGGGGATTGCAAGCCTTTAATTGAGTTTCGTGTCACATGTGAGCTTAACTTTGAAAGCGTCCTTCCTCAACATGCTGAATCAAGGTGATCCGTGCACATATTTGTAAATATCACATACCATAAGGAAGATACTGCAGGCTGGCAAGATAACTCATGTAACTCTTTAAAAAGAGTGGGAGCAAGATTACTGATTTAAATTCTTCAGAAGTTTATATATTGAGCTCCAAAACTATAAAGCTATAGCAAGACCATTCACAACGTGGATTTATAGAAGTAAATTAGCGTCACCAACTTTAGAAGAGAACACCGTTTAGACGATAGTGCACATGGAACCAACGAATCCACCTGGAACTTTTCTGACCCAGTTGTCCTTACCAGCGTCCTTCTTATTGGCGGATGAAGCAGTTTGAGCGTTGTTGTTAGTTTGTTGAGCAGCCATTTTTAAGTTGATTGGTTAGTTATTTTTGTTTGATGAAGAAACAATTGTTGGTTGTCATCAGATGAAGGGGAATTTCTCTCACTTACATATTCTGCTGTACACACTTTAAATTTCGATTGAAGATTGTCGTTGTAAAGTGGTGAAGCTCCTTCTTCTGTCCAATATATGTTTGTTACTTGAACAAATCTCAAACATATGATGCCCATTTTGATGACCGCTCTCATTGTATTTCTTGAATCTTTTTGTAGCAGGTGCAGTTGATAAATCTTACGGATGTCGCCATTATGCGAGAGTGAGTCATGCGTTTGAATTATGATTTCTAAAATGAGACTTTATAATGAAAAGAAAGTACCTGAAATCCCCATCTTGCGTTTCATGTTGTTGTTGTGAAACACGTCGAGTACCCGTGGGAAGAATACTCGAAATGGAGTGATTTAATTGTTACGAAGTGTGTCTCTAAGTCATGACTCCTCTTCTGGCATGTAGAAACAGCTAACCTACTATTGGCTTTCAGGCTCTATGACTTTTTGAATAAAAAGCTTGAATTGCAAAATCATTGAGCTATTTACAAATTGAACTCCATTGTGGTATCCTTATCTCTGGTAAATAATAATCAACAATTGTTGCAAAAAAAAAAAAGAAACAAAAATTACCCGTTGCGATCGCATAGCTATGTTAAAGGGCATCCACAATCAACGCAAGCTCACTCGTTTCAGATGCCTAGCATACTTTCCTCTTGTTGGTTTCTTGTTTCGAATGTCAGTTGCTTGCACTAAAAGTCTTGGCAAGTGACGTTCACACTAATTCAAGGTGTAAAAGAAAGTGGCAACATTTCAGATGTAGTGTAACTGATGTTTATAAATGAAGGACGAACTCGCCATTTATCTCAACTCATCCTTCTCTCCCACATCAAACTGCTTCCAATCACTAAAAATAGCCGCTCAACAAACAAACAAACAAACAAACAAAAATGCAAATACTGCTTCAACTTTTAGCAAACAAGATGCTGGAAAGGACAACCGGGTCAGAAAAGCTCAAAGAGTTCGTGGGATCTATGTGCACCATCATCTAAAGTATTCATCACCACTTTGACCCGTTACTATTTCTGAGAATGATGTCCCTGAGTTTTTAAATAAATCACTGTGTAAGATCTGAATAAATGTTTTTTCTACATCAAGGAGAACCATAGCTTTATCTTCTAGTTTCAATTATATTACAATACGTACTTCTAGTCATTACAAACCATTACTAACACACGAAAATGGTTTTCCATATAAACTTGCCTCATAAGACCATATAATACTTTGAACAGTAGCATACAAACCGGGACCTAGAATATAAAATCCCAAGGCAAATATTATGACATTCAAAACATACTCTACCTTTTGTACTATGCTTGATCTGGTAAACAATTCAACCAAGCTTATACGTACACCTTCTTGTTTGTAGTAGTACAATTTTCTCAATTTGAAGTAAGCCAATGCCCAGAAGATGAACCCGAAAAAGCAATCAAATAGCGATGACATCAAACTCAATAAGTCGCTGAAAAATGGAATCACTTCAGCAATGACAAAAGCAATGACCCATAACACACCATTGAGTCCAGCCCAGACACCCCATCCCAACAATGTGTTTTCATTTCTATGTATACTTCCCTTGCTAAAAATCTCTTGAAACAAAAACTGCGAAGAAACGTTACTGTACAATGAGCCAAGAAACAAAATTGTTGGTAATGCAAAACTGAATGAAATCTTTTTGAAATTTCCCACCAATGATCCAAATGCTGGTGCAACCATGTAAGCATTTCCAACATAAACATAAACAATAGAACCCGCCAAAGCAAAAGTGATCAACTCACAAATTGTAACAACAATCAATGCTTTACGGAAATCTCTTGGTTGCTTCATTTGTGAGATAAATGATGGATACGTGATTTGTCCAACAAATGTATAGACAATGTTCAAGACAGCTGACATAATATTGACATATTTTTCGCCCTTTTGTGGCCATGCATGCCAGACCACTGGAGTTGAGGGATCGTATCCATTTGGATGGCTTTGTACTCCAGCAAAAATCATTGCCAATACAACAGCAATAAACATAGTAATGGCTGAAAAGTAACCAACTCCCGATAAATGACTAAATGTTCTTGGTAACGAAAGCAAAAAACAAATAATTGCAGTCACAACTCCGAAGACAACTGAACAGATGGTGGTATTATCACTTATGGTGTTCCAATATTTGGCACCCACCAACACATGCAATGCCTGAATTAAGGTGTTGTTTAGCAAAAATGCAATGGCTGTGGCATACCACACCCATTTCTTGCCAAATATCAAATGTTGACCAATATCACAAACATTGGTTAAATGAGGATAAGCTGCACAATAGTCACTAATGATCAAACCAGTGTATAAACACAACAATGAAACAATAACGGTGACAATTAATCCCAACCCCAACCCCAATACGGAATATGACCAAGGGAACGACATAATCGCAAGACAAATGTACTCGCTGAATAATAGTCCCGCGGTCTTTTGCCATGAACAATTACGATAATTGATTGAATGTTCACTCTCTTCTGCAATTTGCTTTTTCAAAAAGGCATCTGGGTCAAATGAGGAGATATCAGAATTCTCCTCAAACTCCGTCTTCAAGTGAGAAGACTCTTTTGGTGACAAAGACATGGATGGTAGAACTCAATTAAAGAAACAAGTGGACAACACGTGAAGATGGCAAACGACCGATTCTGTTGTGTGGGGGAGGGATAGAGACTAGCTTTTATATACTTATAAAAAGATCTCTACCGTTTAAACCATCTCTATTGTGTCTCATCGCCTCTCCTACTACGAAAGAACAATCAAGTTTTGCTCAATCTTTTTGCCTAGCTTTATTTAAGGGACCATGCATGAGAGAAGAGAACAATAGAAACAGGCTCCATATAGAGAGAGCAAGTGAAACTGCATATTGATAAAAAAAAAGTGGAAAAATGTTTTACAATTTAAGGGCTTTGTGTTTTAATTGAAAAAAGTTCTTTTTTTTCATTTCGTATAGGGCGTTTCATTTTATTTTCGAAGTATAGAGATAGAAGACCATGAAAATGTTCCCTAACCACTTTGATGGTTGAAATATGTTTCAAATGGGTTGCACCAACAGCCGGAAGACCACAATGAAATTGAGTAATTATTCAGAAAGCCGCATGAAAGATATACTTTACCTGCAAAGTCTATGATTGTTTGTACTTACAATTTGGTTCGGCGTTTAGCGATTGAATTCTGTTTATTGATGAATGTAGGTTCTGTTAATGACGTGATCGTCCAAGAACCGCCCCTCCCCCACTCAAAAGAAAAAAAAAAAAAAAAAAAGAATGCCACACTTTTTTGCAATCAATTAGCAATGAGACGAAATAAAGTTTCTTTTTTTGGTCACTTGTGGCTCACATAAAGTTTAACAGTCCATGCATGTAAGATCATAACCAAGAATTTCATGTTTGGAACAATAACAATATGAAAAGAAATGGGAATACGATTATGCAAGAGCAATGTTAACGACCTAATAGGAATAGATGTACGATTAATGGGAAAACGACATCTTCTTCGCTTTCTATTTTCTTGGTGCTGTCATTCAGTCTCTTTTTTTTTTTTTCTTGGGACAAAGTTTGTCGCCGAAGTCGATAAACCCGAGATTACTAAGAAGCTGTTAAGCCTTTTTTTTTTCTGTCTTTAAGTGAGAGGTGATATTTGGGGCGATAATGGAAATACTATATTGAAGCTAATCATACCTTGTTTAAGGCTTTGTGCATATTCTCAAAATCAGGTTCTCCTCTTTATTATTGATTAGTCAAGTGTGTAACTTCTACTTTGGTTCTGCATTTCCCGTAAACCGGAACATTTAAAGAGAATTGAAGCGGACAATAGGTTTGTGGTCTACTTCCACTTGATTAAACATTAATTGATTATCAACTGTGGCTCAGCCAAAACTGATTGCAAATTTGAAATTCGATTTACGATATCGTAAAAGGATACAAATTAGACGCAGCAACGTAGAAGATATGCAGTAGAGGGTATTGGGGTTGTAGAATCTACTACGCTATCTTTAACTGAATCAATGAATCGGTAATAATAGTGGATCAATGAAAATGTATCTCCTCCCCAAATTCAGAGCCTCTTCTCCCATTAAGCAACTGTTTTGTTGAAAATATATCACACTGAATTGACTGGCCTTAATGATTGTCCAAATAAAGCAACTCCTAGTCCCTTGACAGTCTGAGAGTGCTTTCCAATGATGACGAATTATCATTTCCATCAGCCTAGTACGTTCATTAAATCAACTGGTAGCTCTGTCCATTATTACTACTCGCAAAAATTTCATTGGTTGAAAAAGTAAGCCAATTGGGCAAGTGCGCACTACCAAAGACAATAAATAAGAAAAAATCAATTCTTTCAAACGTCAAAAGTCATTGGCTAGCTAGGATACACCGGTCTAACATAACGAGAACGCGCCACATTTAGCCATGTCAGGAGGTCCGGTACCAGTATGGAAGAAATACACCAGTAGACCAAGAGGAATATGGGAGAAATTGAGGGAACTTTTGGTATTAGCACCAAATAGATCATCAGGAAATATGTTTGTCCCATTGTACAGAAACCCACCACCAGGCTCAAGAATAGCCGAAGCCAAGGCATATAAAGATCCAATAACAATTCCAGCGGGTGACATAAAAGGAAATCCATATTTTAAACGAGATTTCAGAAGAAACTACCCACAAGTGCACGGATTTAATCAGACTAAATTGTCGGGTTTGTTGCAATTGGGTAACAGCGAGCATCCAAGAATATCTGTCGGTGAAAAGGGTACCAAAGAGTTGAGCACATTTGAAGGAGGCAATGTGGTTAGTTTAACTTCAACTTTGAGCAACTTGCCAGAAAATGTAATTAAGGGAGAGATTTTGGGTAAACAAGGTGAACCTATTGTGGCTCCAAGTTTGAATAAATTTAAATGGGAAATATTGCCTGAGAGTGTTCATGGAATGTACACTGAAGAGTACCCATGTCGTATATTTACTGATACAAAGGTGAAAACCGTGTCTTCATCGGCGTGAGTATATTTTAAATAAATTTCACTTTGTTAAGAATACACAACAGGTCTTATTGAAAACTGCGGAAAGATTGCTGGTAGACCGTATAATCCGAACCAGCAAGTCAAGTATGTGACGAAGGGGTTGTAGTTGCAGTCTTTTGTTGTTGAATCCTGACTTGACATATGCGTGTGTAAACTCTGCGATGTCTCACAAGGATGAATTTGAAACCAAGGTTGATGTAGTAAGTGATGGTCGATTATTGAAATGTCAACTATTTTATTCATTGCTAGGTGTGATAATTCCTTTAGTGATGTATCTAGTTCAACAACGTCAAAGTTAAGTCTGTCGTTCACATATATCCTGAAGCAAAAGACTGGCACTTGATAAAATTCATCATAAGATATGGTAAACTCTAGTCGCACCTCATCTTCGACAGCGATGCATCCAAATAAGTAGTTTTCTTCGTTCACTTGTTTCACGCTAGCAGCAACAGCCTTGAACCTGATCATACACTGCAAATTATCGAAAAGGACATCCTTGAATTGTCCAATAGCTTCGTTAAATTGCTGACTGGTTAAAGCCTTCATCTCGCAATTGTGATGATAAGCACTCAACAAGTGGGAACTCTAAGCGTTGACTTTAACAATTCACTTTTCGAAACAAAAATCTTTATCAATGTTGTCTACAATTGAATTTTAGTTAATTACATTTATCAACAAAACGCCTATACAAACTAACTGTACAAAATAAAATCAAACCATCTCCCAATTGAATACTCCTGTCTGCTGGTCTTCATCACTCAAACCTCCAGTTTCACATCAGTCACTCATTTGTTACTCTCTTCCTTTGCCTTCTTTAACCCATCGCTTGGCTTCGGTGTGCTCTCGTTTAAAAGTCCACTTTTACCATTGGCAAATATTTGCGCATTACTGGCACTTATACTGTTCCTCACTGACATTTCCTTCATCCTTTCAGCACTCGGATGCCTCGAAGGAATACCTTCACCGATGCCACTACCTAAACCTGAAATATTCTTTAATGCACCGCCCTTCTGCTTCTGCATAGCATAATCTCCGCTATCGAAATACTTTTTATCATGGAATTTCGAGCTCAAAATTTGTTGTGTTGTTGGCAACTTCCCATACATTCTATAAATCTTCAACTCTTGAGGTGATAATTTAGATAGATCAAGATGTTGGGTGTTTTCTGGCTCGGCCAATGGGTCACCTTCTGCGTATTTCTCAGTCATGTCTAGTCGCTTTAGTAAGGGTAGATTGTTGAGTTGATTAAAAGGGATCTTCTTTTATCAGGAGGATGTAATACACGCAGGCGTTCGTATTTTGTTTCGCAGAAAATCACTTACATAGCAACGACACATAAATGTACTGGTGTATGGATGTCTGTGGGGGAGAGAACAAAAAAAAATTTGGTAGAGATTGATTTCAAACTCCTTTGGGTTTGCGACTGGCTTTGTAGGCAGAATATAGAGAGGTGAAAGACGCTGAAAAGGAGAGCCGTTGATAGAAGTCAGACCTTCATACATAATTCATGTATGACTGTCTTCTACTTTAGAGGGAGTTGCAATATATATAGCTAGGCTCAGAGAAGTATCGGCATTTGAAAACACTAAAACACCTGCAAGCTGCACGAGTGAATCTTGAAAAAGATTTCAAGACAACCCTTTGTGGATTCTCAGATCAGAAAGGTCTTCAATCGTTGCCGAACACACCTTATTAAGGAGTCTCCATTTTACGACCGTACGGAAATATAATACACTATCCCTGTTTCGAACGAGACAAAAACAATCATATATTTTTTGAAGAAGAGACCAATCCGAAATCTCCTATCAATGTCTGGAGCCTCATTTACAACAGTTTTAGAGGCCAATTGTGACCGAAGTTGCAAAATGTGTTTATAAACCAAAATCACTGGGTAAACTCTACTTTTTGAACACGATACACGACAGCGTTGTGACGCAGTGGAAGCGTGCAGGGCTCATAACCCTGAAGTCCCCGGATCGAAACCGGGCAACGCTACTTGGGTAACTTCAATACCATTTTTTTTTTTTTTTGATTCCTCTAGTAGTTAAAGTGATCATCAGCTTGTTGAGACATACTTCCATAAAGTTTCTATTACTTTATCGTCATTTAATTGATTTTAAAATTGAGTTCAAAATGATCCACAACTACACCGTTCCGAATATGTACTCAAACTCAATATATCCACTTTACTCTCACATGTTTTTAGATCACTATACAATTTCGCAACTTTTTGCAACAAAATCAATGCAAATTAATCGGAAGCCATGTCTATGATTCCCCTAGGCTTGTAAATACATGATATATCCGCACGTAAAAGTTCCCTTTTCTAAACGCATTACATTTAACTTGAAGAGCTGAAATCCATTTCATATTTCAGCACTGCTCTTCCTCGTAAATTGCAGCTATACAATGGTAGCGCTGACGCAGTAACAAAATTCTTTTCTGACGTGGTCTCTTGCAGAAGAAAAACTGAAAATAAAAACACGGTCTCCACGTATAACAATAAAAAAAAACCCTTGATTCACTATTTCTTCAGCTACGAGTCAAACATTTTATACAATATCAACCAACAATGGTATGTTCAATAGGGGTGTTTTATCAAGCACACTCTTGCCCACTTTCGTTTTCAAACTTGTATACTAACTTAATAGGCTTTGCAAACACCAAAACAAAGAGCGGCTAACGCCAAGTTTGAAAAAAAAGTAACAAAGCATTGGGGAAAACCTAAATCGGATAAAGAAAAAGTGGAGTATCCAGTGTCAAAAACATGGTTGTTTGTGTTGTTGTTTTTAGTAGCCGGCGGAGCTGTTTTAGAATTGATTCGAATGCTTTTTTAGAGGGTACAAATGTGATAAAAAGCAAACTGAAAGAGAGCAAAGGTAGATAATCGACCTCACAGAGGGGAGAATGTATTTCAATGCATATTGTAATAAAAAGCAATTTGGGGGTTTGCAGGCATTCTTTTTTTGTATTATTAGAGGATATCATGGTGACTCAAATCTTGGTAATGGTATTGAAAGTGAATTGAAAATGTTTATTAAATCAGAAAAATCACTAATTCTACTTAGCTTGACAAACTAAATGAGACACACAATTTTGGAAACTATTTACTCTTTCTCAGAGGTACGCGAATGGACCTCAATAATAAATCACTCACAACGATATCATTGTAGTGAGTAACAACCAACTGATGGAATACATCCACGATGCGTAGTTTAGTATCGTAGCTTCATTGTTCTTTGACGATGAAGATGAGCCTCCACTACCACTACTTGCGCTAGTGACATTCTGGCCGCCCCCTGTGGGTACGTAATGTTCAACAATTTCAACATCTTCATCGTCAGTCAAATACACTTGACCAAGATGTATTTCGTGAGCTTCTAGGTCGTACACAACGTAAGCATTCCGTAACACATTGTCACCTAACAAGACATACAACGAGCCAACGGAAACATCAAAGACTCCCAAGTAGCATGTTGAATTCAAGGTGGACTCAACGACCAAGTCAGATACTGGTACTCTAATGGTCTTGTTTGTGAATGTGATATCAAAGGTCAATTCTGAATTCTTGTACTTGCAATCTATGACATAAGCACCAACGTAGCTAGAAAATTGACCACCAAGTGTTATCACAATGTCTCGAATTTGTGACCTGCGAAAATAAGAAAACGTAGAGCTTGGATCTAGCACAACATAATCAGGTCCGACCAAGATATCAAGAGACAGACTTTCATTATTGATCGTTAATTGATTGATCATCACTTGAAACCTGGTTATGTATTCATCATCATCGAAGGTCTTTCTCATTGGTAAGGTCTCTAAAGTTCCTTCATACTTGGAATGGTCCACCGCGCCAAACAATACACAACCGGAATCAGCTCCATGTAAATAAAAAGAGTACAAAGCTTTATTGATAATGCCCTCTGATTTCAATTTCATAGGTAGGTTCTCATACTGCTCATTAGACTGTTCCCAAAGCGCTAACCCAAGCCCTAGGACCCCAATTCCATTCGATGACTCATTAGCTACCCCAAAGCTCAAATTTGGTACAGAAATGTTGCCAATCGTAATCGTGTCGTGTCCCCAAGTACCTTTAGCGAACGAGTCATCCAGGTACTTAATTTCGAATGGTCCAGTTTCATTATACATGAATGTATTCGAATTCTCTGTGTCGAATGAGCCATCTAATGTACACCCGTTCGTATAATTATAAGCAGTAGGGGATGATCCGGTGAACTGTAATGTTTCTCGTTTCCAAACGTTTGCTTCTTGAAGAGCTACGAGATTTCCAGTATTTGAACCATCGCGCTTGTTCAACTCGCCTTCATTCGTGTTGAAAGCGTAGTGATATTGAAAATATCCGTCCTTCTCGTTTCCTCTCGCTTTATCTTCCTCAGCATCTTTCAAGACGTTGCCAGTGTCGAGCCCAATATCGAAAACTTTTCCAGTTTCTCGTTTTTTGATTGATGCAAAACAATCAACATCTGACGACATAACCCAAAGATCCGAGCTCCCAGTATCCACAAGTACCTGATTCTCCTCTTCATTAGATCCAATGAGTAATTTAGCAATGTAGCGGGTTCTTTCAATTTTCAATCCCATGCGCATCCCGCCTTCCTCGCCAGGTTGTTTTATAACTTCACGACTAGGCGGTGTCGATGACGATTTTCCAAATGAATCTCTGCTAACATTGAACGTCAATTTCAAGCTACCTGGAGATGGTAACAACTCCGCAATATCATCTGCTTGCACCAACCGCCATACGCAACCCACTGCGATGAAGGATGTGAAAACGAGCATCATTGGTTTCTAAATTGGGTGACGACACGAAAGGTCACCCATAGCTGATTTCGATCGTTATATAAACGTTTGCAATTTCAAGACAAGTTTAAATTATGATTAACATCTACTGTGTGTTTCTTTGATTATGAAATCATAAAAATTTCTTGTCAATGAAACAACTTCCTTTTTGTGTTGACTTCGATTACGACAAGCAATAAAATACGAGAAAGTAACTAACTAAGTTACCATTTCCTTTGTTTATCAAAGGTGAAAAGAGTTCACCGTACTATCAAGCTCAATCTTGGAATATCGGGCGCAACACAGACAAAATCAATTTGCGACAAAGATTAATTGCTACGTAGTATTGTGTGAGTAAAATTTCTTTTGCATATTTATTGTTCAGCCAAGATTGAAATTACTATATATGAGTGCGATCGACGGTATTTTTACTGATCTTTTGCTTTCCCTTATCGGGAATTTCACCCAAAGGGTCGTTGACATTGAGTAAATTTTATACTCTTGACCTTTTACTCGGGAAACAAAAAGCGCTTTACAGATTTCAGCCTACAATTCCTTCTGTATCGCATTTTACAACTAAGCCCAGCATAGTTTTGGAAAAGTTCCTTGACCATCTGGATCGTCCCTTTTTATTTGCTCGATACACAAAAATCAATTAAACATATAGCATATATTATAAAACTATAACGGAGCACAAAACCCAAACACAACACATAAAGACCATTCTCATCTTCAAATTGCCGAAACACTTGATTCGGAAGTATACTTCACTTGGGCAAGAGAAATGGTATCTTTTTCTAAATTGTAGACCACATAAGCGTGTCTCAAGAAATTATCACCCAAGATTGGAGTACCGCCCAGTGTGTCAGAACTTTGCAAGCCCCAAGGGCAAAATTCATTGGTACTTTGAGTGACAAATTCAGTTAATGGAACTGAAATTTCGGCACCATTGTCAAAAGTGAATGTAGCGTTACCCTCAGGTTTGGCATCACAATCGATAAAATAAAAGTCTCCGGTCAATCCGGCTGGTACCGCCCTTGCACCAGCCTTTTCAGCAAGATCAGCAACGATTCTATCTGGTAAGTAGCTGATTGTACTTCCGGAATCTAGCAAAACGCCAACACCTGCTGATTCTTTATTGCCATCATAATTGAGAGATTGCAAGTTGATTGAAAAATGTTGATCCAGAACCACAGACTCTTCAATGAGCTTTCCAGAATACTTTGCATTATCAACACCACCAAAAATAATCGTACCAGTAGCTGCACCTGGTGAGTTCAAATACAAAGAGTAAGCATTGGTCTTGATTTTACCCTGTTTTTTCAATGTTACAGGGACACTATCAAACCTAGCATTGGGACTGTCAGGTTGGGGGCGTGAAAGACCCATGACCCCTTGAATTGCCGAAGTTAAAGAAACATCTGCAAAACTTTGGTTAGTAAGCGTAATATCACCAATCTGAACTGTATCCTCTGCCCAGAGACCTATCGAAGAAGTTTTATCACCGAATACAATTGCAAAAAGGAAGCCAAGGTAATTGAATGAGGTTGAGGTGTCTGGATCGAATGTACCATATTTTTTGCACTCAGTGCCCTCTTTTGTGCAAGATGAATTTGCATCAATGACCCAGAAATCACTGGAACCAGTGTCGAGAACCACTTGTTGTTCTTGCCTATTTGAACCAACTGAAATACGGATACCATAAGCAGGTCCTTCGAAGTACAATGGAGATGATACTGAATCTCTTTTGGCCCTTTCTAATGTGGAATTCACATCAACGGGCTTTCTAGTAACCTCAAAGTCCAAAGCAACAAAACCGGGGTTATCATCTCTTTTAGCTGGGTCTGGAATAGCAGCACCTTGAGCAAACACAACAAAAGCAATGAAAGCTAAAAAATTTCCAGTGAAGACAGCAATTATAGTCATTTGAGTAGTTGATTGGTGACGACTTTGTAAGTGCTTTCTTACTTGTGGTATTATTCTTTTCTATTTATAATGTTCCAAAAATACATTGGTGATGACAGCAACGTGGGCCATTTTGACTCTCGTTGCTTATCATCATCTTCCATATTTGACTTCATTTAACGCATCGCTGTCATAACTACTGAGGACAATGATTTGATTCGTTGAATTATCAAAATGGTTATGCGCGTGGCCAAGAATTGTTTGCCATATACATGGTTATGAGAATGGTGGAAACTCTCTCGGGGCAGTTGCAAAACAAGCACAAACAACGTGGTTCAAGGTGACCTGACATAATTGCTACCCCTCTCGTCGATTAGCCGAGGCATTCGGCCGATTAATAAGTGAAAAAGGACAAGCGCCACCTCTACTATCAATACATTATCAGTTGAATAGTGTGCACTTTTGGTGGTTGATTGCAGCACGGAGAACGTACTCTTGATATGACAGGCTGTCGAGATTGCCTCACTGATATAAGAACGGAAGTTTCGATTTAGGCAATAGCATCATTAAATTCCGGAATCCTTTCTTTCGAATAAATACCGGCCTTTTCTTGATTTCACTTGTTTGTATTATATTATTGTGAATATTGAACTTGCATATTTAAACAGTTAACAGCACTTTCCAACATCAAAGTTATGAGCCCTACTTCGTAGTGCTTAGTTCTAAAAACATTATTTGATACATTATTCAATAATCCTTGTGACTTACCATTTCCAGAGCAGTGAGTGTCCCAATGTTCTATGGGCTCAATAACAATCAGACTGAGCAGTAATGGTTAAGATGGTGAATCTAATGAGATTCATTATCTTAATGATTTTGAATTGTGACAAGTCACGTCATTTAAAATTTCAGGTCCTTCGAATTGAAATCGGATCTAAAAATAGCATTTGATGCCGTATGGTTGACTGGCCAGTGGTGGTTTAGACAATAGTTCTCGTCGATGGCATGACTTCTTGATTTGTAATCCGGAATTACGAGCAAGGCTCCGACTTTAGTCAATATCCACAATAAAACACTCTAAAGCAATCACATTTTGACATAGGTTTGTGTTTTATGATAAACAATGCAATCCAAAGGACAGTAAACAACCATTGCCAACCCAAAGCAAACGGGTTATGATAATTGCTACAATTGATGAATGGTGGTGTAATTACGACACAAAATCAGTCTGCAATGCAACTTAAAGATTATTATCAATGTAATTATGCAACTCAATTGGTTGACTTCCTTGACCACAAAGGAAAGAGATACAGAGTCAGTATCCAACGACACTTTGACTCGTCGAGATGCGCATACCCTGTGGACCGAACCAAATGTAATATGATTGGTCGCCACACTTTTCGAATGTCAGCTTATAAAAATTGCCTCTCCATCAACTAGTAGGTTATGAGCATTGTTGAAAACTGTTCACTAACTCAACACATCAAATTGAAATAAATTGAAACGTCGATGACACCCGCATCGCTTTAGCCTTCTTGACATGGGACTACGGCACGAATTTGATTGGGACAAATTCCTCCACCAATAATGTGCCCACATCAATCACACAAAACAGTGACCCGTTTCACATTTTACTCCTTACGCAAGTTGTGATAAAATTTGATACAATCAACATCAACTCAAACGCGACATGCGCTGGTGTCCACCTGTCTACTATAGTAGCATTGGGATCTATGAGGCACGCCTGAATTTGGTGGATGCCAACTTCTAAAATGAGCGTGTCTTCACCCTACCACAAGTGCTATGAGTTTTAATTTGAACAAATAGAAACAAACACCAGAACAATCGACGTGAGAAAATTAAACTTCCATTGTTGTGTTTACTCCTATTTTCCGAAACAGAAAGTATCCACTCTACGAGAACAATAAGAAGCGTAGAGCAAGACACACAAAAAACTATGGTTATTGGCCAATTGATTCGACGTACCGAGGAGGTCTACACACACACACACACGCAGATGCCCCGTTGCCTTGATTCGACCTTCGTCATTGCACCTATAGAAACAATAGAACAAATCAAAGCATTGATAGTGCTTCCACATTGCTCAGGCCATGGTGCCAAGACAAGCCTTGACAGATTCTTAATTTTGACAGATTCCTCCAGCGCAGGAACGCAGCTCGCAAATGGAACACAAAATCAAAAAATGCACTTCCCACACTTTCCCGTCCCACGGCTCTAATTGTCTGTTTCAGGTTTACAATTTGAACTGGCAATGATAAGACTGCTGAAGTGATACAAATCACAAGACAATGGATTCACGGGCTGTGGCTTAAGCCGCCACATATACCAGATAATGACTAAACGGAATCAGCTTCGTGCCTCATGGGCTCGTACGGCACCAAAGCTGACAAACACCAATTACAAATTCAGTGAATATAAATACCCCATGTGCCTTCTCTTTTTCATCCACTGGTCATTCCCATCCATTGCCAAATAAAAAACGCTATCCATACAAATGGTTGCCATTGTTACCTTAACTCGTCAAGTTTTACTCACCATCGCGCTCGCTTTGTTTGCACAAGGTGCAGCTATTCCAGAGGAGGCTGCTAAAAGAGACGACAATCCTGGGTTTGTTGCCTTGGACTTTGATGTGCTTAGGAAACCATTGAACTTGACCGAGGCGCTTCTCCGTGAAAAGAGAGACTCCATTTCGTTGTCGTTGATCAATGAAGGTCCATCATATGCATCTAAAGTTTCAGTCGGTTCAAACAAACAGCAGCAAACCGTCATTATTGATACTGGTTCGAGTGACTTTTGGGTAGTGGATTCAAATGCCCAATGTGGAAAAGGTGTTGATTGCAAGAGCTCAGGGACCTTTACCCCATCATCGTCTTCTTCATACAAGAATTTAGGAGCTGCTTTCACTATTCGATATGGGGATGGATCTACATCGCAAGGTACATGGGGTAAAGATACCGTCACAATCAATGGAGTCTCAATCACTGGACAACAAATTGCAGATGTCACTCAAACATCAGTTGATCAAGGTATATTGGGTATTGGCTACACCAGCAATGAAGCAGTTTACGACACGAGTGGTCGTCAAACCACTCCAAACTACGACAACGTTCCCGTGACTTTGAAAAAGCAAGGAAAGATCAGAACCAATGCTTACTCATTATATTTGAACTCTCCTTCAGCTGAGACTGGTACAATCATCTTTGGTGGTGTTGATAATGCCAAGTACTCTGGCAAGTTGGTTGCCGAGCAAGTTACCCTGTCACAAGCGTTGACTATTTCGCTTGCTTCCGTCAATTTGAAAGGTTCATCATTTTCATTTGGAGATGGTGCTTTGTTGGACTCTGGAACGACACTCACTTACTTCCCAAGTGACTTTGCCGCACAACTTGCTGATAAAGCTGGTGCTCGTCTTGTTCAAGTGGCTAGAGACCAATACTTGTACTTTATTGATTGTAACACCGATACATCTGGCACAACGGTGTTTAACTTTGGAAATGGGGCAAAGATTACCGTTCCAAACACAGAGTACGTTTATCAAAATGGTGATGGTACTTGTCTTTGGGGTATCCAACCATCAGACGATACTATTTTAGGTGACAACTTTTTGAGACATGCTTACCTCCTTTACAACTTGGATGCAAACACAATCTCAATCGCTCAAGTCAAGTACACCACAGACTCGAGCATTTCTGCCGTTTAAGAGAAGAAGAGAAAAGTTCCTTTTCTAGCTCGTTGGATTATAAACAGTTCAGTTCAATATACGATTCGTTTAATTCGGAACATTGCCTCACTCACAACGCACTTTGATATTGAGATGCACCAAAACAATCCTTCGCTAACTATTACGGCAATGCATGAATTTGCAACTCAAATCTCTAATATACGCTTAAATCCGTTCGAGAAGTTGTTAATTCTCTAAACCAGTTGCGTACTCTGCTAAAACAATAGTATTGCCACACAAATCTAGTTTCTACAGATATACAAGGTACAGAGTTTCTAATAACAAATCACTTCATTCAAATAAACTAAAACATAAATAACAAAATTTAAATAATTGACACAATGGAAGCTAAAACCACTCCGAAAAAGTGATTTAATGAAACTGAATACACGGGCAAAGCAGCATTTGTCTTTCCACCCGAATCAGTGGAGGAAGAAGCAGCTGATGAAGATGATTGCGATCCGGATCCATTGCTACTTCCTCTTGAAGAATCGGTTTCACTTGACGATTGTGGTTTGGTAGAAGTACTATCTTGTCCTCCACCAGTTGGAACAGTATTCTCAACAATTTCGATATCTTCATCATCAGTATAGTAAGCTTGACCAATATGAACCTCATTGTCTTCCAAGTCGTACACAACATAAGCATTTCTCAACACATTGTCACCAAATAAGATGTATGAGGAGTTAGATGATTGTTCAAAAAGTCCCAAATAGCAAGTTGTGCCGTAAGTGGACTCGAGAACCAAGTCTGACAAAGGAACATTTATGATTTTCTTGCCAAAACTAATTTGCAAAGTCGATGTAGTATCATTTTGATAATCACAGTCAATAACGTAAGCGTCAGCAATGTAGGAGTAAACACCATCAAGAGCGTCAGCAATCCCTTCAATTTGGTCAGAACGTAAATAAGACAAGGTTGATCCTGAGTCCAACACAGCTCCGTCAGTAGATGACAAAACAGTGGACGTCTTTCCGTCCTTGTTGACGGCAATCTTGTCAACCGGAACGTCAAATTTGACTGGGTAGTCGTACTCTTCATATGTGTTTCTCAACTTCAATGTTTCTAAAGTTCCAATGTACTTGGCATGATCAACAGCACCAAACAATATGGAGCCCGCTTCGGCATCAGCTTTATCCAAATACAACGAGTACAATGCTTTGTTGATAACACCATCGGACTTCATCCTCAAAGGTAAATTCTCATACGTGTAGCCACTCGCGTCATTTGTTACTTCCAATCCTGGCAACCCGATACCCAAGACACCAATGTCACTAGATGACTCATTAGCAACAGCAAAACTCAAATCTTCAACTAACAAATCACCAATTCTAACAGTATCGTGACCCCAGATTCCAATTGCAAAAGAATTATCAGCATAACTAATCATAAACGGATCAGTGTCATTTTGGACAAATGAATCGGAATTCTCGGTATTGAATGTACCATATGATGTGCACGTGTTTGATCCTCCGTAGTAGGATTCATAACTGTAGTAGCTGTATGTGTCATACGAAGGCTCTGGATCTTCACTAGCCTCCGGGCTATCAGTGAGGTACGTAAAGCTGTTGTATGCACTCCCTTCTGCTTTGTTCACGGGAACTTTGTTGGTGTTTCTCGACTTTGTTGGTCTATCGTTGACTTCATTCTCTTCGATAAATTTGGGTCCATTACCAAAGCTTACCACATTTTTAGCATCCCGTTTCTTTTTGCGGTAACCATACCCGTAACACTCAAGGTCATGAGACATGACCCAGAGATCTGAGCTTCCAGTATCAACAAGTACTTGGTTCTTGTCTTCATTTGATCCAATGTACAAATTAGCAAGGTAAAAAGTTTTCTCGTTAACTAATTCCATCTCTGAAGACCCATCATTATCACGTTTGACAAATTTAGGTTTCGAATCTTCACTTGGGGATAAAAGATCCCTAGCAGAACCCCTTCTAACGTTGAAGTTGACTTTGAAACTGGTTGGAGAAACATTTTTGGTCTTTGATGAGACCAATGGCAACCACAAAATCAATATAGCAGCAAAGCACATATTATTAAGGACTCTCATGTTGTATATATAACAGTTGGGGTGTTAATTTGATGATGATGGATTCATAGTTCCGACAGAAGGGGAAAATTGCAACCCTTTATATATTGTTGGTAAATGTTAAGGCATCAATAACAAAATACGAACTTTCACTCGATTTGCAATTTCATTTCAATATGTCCCCCCTTAATTAAGGCCGACTTGACTCTCATTATTGTTCCTTGATGCTGCACCGAATGTAGTACAAAATCACCGAGTCGTTTAAAATGGTTTCTGTATTGTTTGGAAATCAGTGAGCAATAGCTTAGGCATTATTTGAGGCATTGTTGAGAACAATAGGGCTCTGGAGGCTTCGTTGATGTTAGTATCAATTTACGAACTTTTCCATAAAAAGGCGTATGCTAAACCCCAGATATTTCTCGTTACCAACGAGCCCCACGTTGTGTGTTGCAAATCGCAAATCAAAGTGGTTTGTGTAACCGATTTGTCTCTAATAGTCCATGGTGGCTGTAGTTCACTCCTTGAGTACCTTGCTTGACGTAATATTTTAAAAGTGAGAACCAAAACGAATGATCTATTTTGAATTTCGTATTTGATTAATTCGATCCTCCACTTTATTCATTTCTATAGGAATCACAAAACCAAATAAGTTAATCAAGGACAAGAAAAAAATATAGCCGCTAATGTTTCTTTCAGATTTCGTACTTGAACTAAATAGCTTAGATTGTACTCAAACTGACTATTGGTCTTGTTGTCGACTATTGACTACTTGAGTATGAATGAATTATTCGACTGGGATTACGGCAATGCTTCATTCAAAAATTTCATTGCAAGTCATGCACTCTCAATTGTTATCTCCGATAGTTTACATAAGCATTTGTGCAAAATTCTACCTCAAAAGCATGATACCACGAGTCTCATAAACCCATATACTTATCAGTAAGCTTTACCACAGCCTCCGCTTTTATACCATACATGCTTCAACCAAGAAAGCCTTAAAATGACCGATTCTTTCTTTAAGTCAAGATGGATCGCTGTTACTTCATCAAATCTGCGCCCCTAACACACTCAATAAAGCCCCTTGTCAATGTGGGTCTCCACATACGCATAAGTTGCAGTTTCTTCCAAGTTCTTGAGTGTCAATCGTATACAAACCCCGGATGCGGAAGATAATCGAGATTTACAAATATTTTTTATGACATCATTGGCATTTGCTGTAATTGATCCGCAATGAGCCAGCTTCAACAGATACGAATTATCACAACCGAGCTTTAGCTATGCTTGCGTCATTCGTCTTCACGCACCATACATTGACGCTAGAAGGTTCAGGCACTTTCTGTGCATCAAAATAATACACAAGTAGATCGTTTCTGTTACACAAAACACTCTGAGAGCCGCACCGGCTTTAATACTTTATTTGGACTGCAGTAATCTCCTTAACACAAAAGGGTAAATACATGATTGGCTTGCGGATAAAATTTGGTTATCTAATGATTCTATTGGTGGATAATTCCGGTCTTATCAAACGTAGCTGCATCTCACCCACCTAAATCCGGTTGTACCTCAAGAGAAACAAAGCCGAAATCTTATTTTATGCAGCACGATTTTGCCTCGAGAAAGTAAAATAATCATTAGTTGTGATAATGCGGCAATAGACGGCTCAGTACTTTGGATTTAAAATACGAACTTTCATTTTTTGAAGATGTCTGTGATTTGAACCGATGAATGACCATTTGGTCATAAGGAACCTTTATCAACCTCGTGCTGTATGCAATATCCATGTTTCTCTGATTAGCACGAATATGTTCCATCGGAACGTTAGATACACAGTCGATGATAACAATACGATTGAAGCACGAAATGTGGGAGCTAAAAGAGGATACTGTGACTCAAGTTTCTGATATCAGGGGCAATGCCAGCTTCACAAATCCGACCAGTTTTATTCGGAATTCACGAGCGTAGATAGTGATCCCTACCTTGAATCTTGAAGCCGATATCTCCTTTCTGGTATTCCCCAGTGTCCAATTCATTAAAACTAAAGTCATGGAGAGACAATAACAATATGTTAATGATAACAGAGGATTTAGTGGCTTTAGATAGGTGGTTTAGATGCGAGAATCATTGAATAAGCTCAGATTTATATTTTGAAAAAGAAACCTTTGCTATCCAGTAGTGATATGGATGAACGTAAGAAGGAACACGGAGGTACGCCGTCGAACAAAAATCGGCTTATTTTTACTGCGCAATTTTGACCTTCCAAAATCTTTACCATTTGAGCTAGACTTGCTGTCGTATCCCTTTCAAAGTCAATTTTCAGTACTTGATTCAACAAACATTTACATTTCACATCTGACTTGCTGCTAGTTTGCTTGCTTGTTGCTGCTTTGTTTTATGCATGCATTAACTTCGAGTATGTACTTCAACTCAATGAGTAATAGCAATCCTCAATCCTTTAGAAGCATTACAATCGTCCCGTTTATAAACGGCTAGGGACACTCTTCACTCTATCATGGTTTGGTCTCCACTCTAATCAACAACCAAGCAAGAAACTTTATTTGAGTAATGACCAAAATGAGCAAATCAACCAAGTAAATCACAAAGTCGTATAGTTCCAATGGTATAGGAATCATCTTGAACGGGAGTTTGCTAACAAACAATTGGAATTTGACCTCATCGTTATGGCGTAAAAATTTTGCTTCATTATAGGTTACTCCAAAGAATTGATAGTCAATCCGAAGGTATAAATCAAAGTGGTTCTTATTTAAAGCGTTTGCATCATCGATTATCTCTTTTGTCTTGATATACTCATGCGAAAGCTTGAAATCAAAAGGCAGTGTAGCTGGCCAACATAGTTTGATGTTTAGTAAATCTTTATTCTGCAATAGTGTGTCATTATAGTTGTTCAATCGTACCAAAATTGTCCTTTGTGGTCGTGCAATACTATCATATGGTAATGTCACCACGTTTGAGTGAGTCTTACTGGTTAATAGCTCATCACTAATTGATGCAATTGGGTAGTCAAGTAGTACAGATAGACTTGAGTTTATACGATGCCAATTGCGCTGTAATCGATCAATTACGTGTATGGGTTCAGGGTGTGGTGGTATGTCATAGTATTGAGGTATTTCGAGTAGGTGGGTTTCGGTATTGGCAAGACAAATGGGGATCATGTATAGTAGAACTAGCCAAAGCATTGTTCTCCTAGGGGAAGATGTCAAACCACATGTTACCTGGATTTTTATTTTTTTGGATGCGTTTTTTTTCACCAAAATATCCACCCCTTTTCCTATTTCAAATCTACACAATTTTTCAAAATGGGAGAGGAAGACCATTTCCTCAATTACAGGCTTGCTCGTGTTTTAAAAAATTCACAAGATGACAAGCATTTGCATCACAACGTTGCAGCTAGTTAGTGGAACGTCTGTGAATCAACTTCGTCCACGAGAAGGCATGGTGCATTTTCAAGGACAATAGCACATGAAAACATTGGGCTTTTAACCAAATCAGAAGAGCTGGTTGTGATAGGATGAATAATCTTTCATGACAGTAACGGATATCCCCCTTCGCATTCTCAAATCAGAGCTATCGTCGAAGCAATTTTGGATGAAAAAGGTGACATTAATCCCCTTGGAAAGAATTACGTGTCAAAATTTTTACAGAGACACCAAAGATCACGAATCAGCCAGGGTCAAGCTTACCCAGAACCCGCTTCAACTTATCTGATTCGCGGAATATAAAGAAGTATTTTGACAGGTTAGATCTCGCTATGCGGACCCTAAATATCAAGAAAGGAAACACCTATAATTTTGACGAAACGGGTTTCCAAATCGGTCTTATAGATAATTCAAGATATGCTACACTCAATACTAATAGGTGTGCATAACAAACATGTAATGGTAACCGTCAGAATGTAACAATTATTGAGTGTATACCGGGCATTGGTAAGTGCTTACCCCCTGCGGCCATTTTCAAAGGGAAAGCTTTACGTACAGAATGGTTTAGACTTGATCACATTCCAGACTGGCTTTTTGCTGCCTCTGAGAATGGCTGCAAAGACAATGAGCTTGGTGTGGATTGGTTCAAGAACAGTTCCTCGAGACCCTAAAGAATGGAGATTGATTATCTGCGATGAACGCGCTACTCATTGTTTTGAGAAGTTCCAATTACTTTTCTTTGCTAATAAAGTTCATGTGGTGTATTTCTCGGCACATATATTACAGCCTTTGGATCTCGTTATCTTCTATACTTTGGAAAGCAGCTATTCACAGCAATGGCTGAGTTATGCAAAGTCTTTGATTCACGGGCCATTGACAAACCACATTTTATTGAAGCCTACGAAAGAGTACATGAGGGAGCATTTTCTCGGGACCATAGCGAGAAAGCGTGGGAAGTGGCAGGGGTATTTCCATTCGACCTTGATGGAGTTCATCAATAGTAGTTTGGTTAAGAAGTGTGCTGACTTACAGGAGCTTTTTAGTATTCATATAACACCTCCGACGAGCCCGATTCAAAGTGAGGCGTTCTGACGGTCTCAGCACTCCTGAGAGGAATAAGGTGTTGGAAAATACTAAAGACGATTTAATTGTTTATTTTAAAAGGCTCTCTGAAAAAACTTGGGTCAGAGTTGGCACAAGAAAAAAGGGCTCACAATGACACCAAGAAGAAGATTTCTACAGGTAAGAAAACCGAAAGGAACAAAGCTATCAAGGAGAGTGGCAATCACAAGTTTTTTGAAAAAAGTCGAATTGCAAGTAGTGTGGAAGAAAGTACCAAAGAGGACGGTACTCCACACAAAAAAACAAAAACTCAAGCTATCAGTAGCCAACCTCAACCAAGATTGGTTCAAATCTTCCAAATAGTCGTAGAGTTATGTGTACTCTTATATCACTAATCCAAGTTGATTTTTTAACAAATTTCGTGTCAAAATCCAGGTAACAGGTGGTTTGACTTATCTAAGATAGTTTTCTGTGTGCGATATCCTCTGAAGCCACCCAGAGGCATCTTCTCCACAACACATTCGATACTATATCTAAATAATTTACTCGTTATCCACTATAAATCAAACCTCGTTACTCTTTTCCCAACTCACGAAGACTTAGTCTCACTTTGATCCAAGGACACATTTCTTTACACCATTGTTTGACCACTCCAGTATTGATCCCTGATCCGAAACTACTAACAACATCAAACTCGATCATTTTTAAGTCTTGTTTACTTTGCAAAATTTCAACCAATCGATGCCAATAAAAGATACAATTAACTCTCCATCCTTTAAGAACCAACAGCCTTAACTCAGGTAAGCCATTTCCACTTAGTACTCGCTTCAAAAAAGATTCATCAACTGTCAATTGTCCACATTGATGTTGAGATTCTGTCCTTACGTTGTGAATTAGCTCTAGCGACGCAATACTCTCAAGACCTTTGTCTTGGCCAATATTGAAAATAAAATCACGAAATCGTTCCGAGTACAAAAAAGTGGATCCGCCTTTGAAATAAAGACCCAAGTGCGTCAATGTATTATTGTAGTTGAAATTTTTGAGTTGAAAAGGGTAATCCCAATGACAATCAACTAGTGACAACGATTCTAATGTCAAAACAGGAAACACAATAGAATCCGGATCCCAAGACAAGTGGTAACCTTCAAGTTTTAATTTTTGAATCATTTTGAAATTGCCCAAATGCTCAATATTGAACATCTTGATTGAATGCACACTTGGACTCGGCGTTACTATGCCTTTACTGTTATGCTCAAATCGTGATTGAGTATCTCTGATAGAAGTATCAGTGTACAATGTCAACTGAGTGATTGTGTCATTTGATCGGTATCGAAGCCAACCAGATGAATTAACGGTGTTGATGAGTAAATGCTGTAGCTTTGGTAATTGATACAAAGCATCTTGGAAAATGTCAACTTGCCACTCACCATATGGAAAAGCATCGGCAATTCGTAGTTGATGAATGATATACTTGTATTGCTTCAAAAAGGAAGACTTTGCTTCACCTTCATCAAGTAACTTATACCACTGTGTTGTAACTCGTGAGAGCAAAAACGGAACCATGAGCTGTCTAAATTGCTTGTTCAATATGGACAAGTTTTTCAAGTCCGGTGTCGTTATATACGAAAAGATGATTTGTATAATGTCATTTGGTAAATTTGGTAGGGATAGACTTTGTTTCAACACTGATTTGGTCATTTGGTATACATCATGGTCCTGAGCACGATGTTCCCAGTATTCAACGCCTTTCATTCCTACCACCTTATCCTAACTTGATTTAATGGTACTACCATGGATTGTGAAGATTGTCGTTTTTGCTTTCTTTGTATGAATTGTAAATGACGTCTTTCTCTTTGTTCCCCTCTCTTGCCCCCTTTCTTCACTTTAGGATCTAACTTTTTCTTGCGCTTATCAGCACAAGGGAAAAAGAGAAAAAAACAGTGTCAGATCTTTAATGTCACAACAATATTTTGTACGACATTACGAGGAACAATTGTGACTAAAGCAGGTGATGAAAATACACCACATCTACTGCCACCACCTCCACCACTACCGCCACCACCACCGGAACTCACCCTTGTACAGGCAAGAAATATACTCATGCTACTTTTCACAACCACAAGATAGCTAGTTAAGTTTCAACAGCAGCAGTTACACGCAAGAGCTACACTTAAGAATTAAATCATGGTGAGTTGGTTACAATTATTCCCTCTCATATTTGAAAACATCAAGCAAGACTTTGTTGCAAACTTTGTCAAGCGATTACCACTACTATTAGTTATAGATCCAGACTCATTTGAGCCTCCATTCACCAACGGATTGAATGACTTTCTCGACATGGTCAACTTAACTTCTATTGCTGATTTACAACATTTAAACATTACAGTGAGTAATAAAGATTTGATATACTACACAATCATTGAATATGGAATCCTCCTACTATCTATTGTATTTGCTGGGTTTGATATATTGTACAGCATGCTACGACTTTGCATTAGTGCAGTTGTGATTGGAGGTTTAGTCTCTGTGATTGGGTTTTGTACCATTTGGTTGATTGTCACATTAAATAGAAGATGGAAGTTAATTGCCATGATTATTAGAGATAACGAGTTTGAAGGAGTGTGGTAGAAGTTAATAGATATTACAGGGTAATAATGGTGATGAATTTATTTCTATTGCTTTTTATGTTCGAGTTATACTATTTATGTTGTGTCCTTCCGAAGTGGGCCACAGAATGACCTCGGAACTAAACCCAGAAACAGACATGTGGGTGCATAATTCTCAGGACACTCTCCGACAAAACATGGGGTGCGACTCAGTAGACATCAGCATGTGTGGATAATCGATAGCAGTCTAGTTTGAGTGTTATTACCATAGTCATTAAGTAGGCGTATTGAAAAATGGTTCTGCTCTAAGAGATCCATCCACTCAATTATGAATTATAAAATAGGGTTCATTGATTTGTCTCTCCTTATTTTGTGTCTATAAGCTTACTAAGACAACATAATACTAATAATACTACTATTATTATTATTTTTAATCAAACAATCAAAATATTTATTGCTGTGTGATAGATATACACAATTCTCTTCTCTTAGTAGTACTTCTTTGTCTATATGTCTACTAGTTCAGAGATAATTGACTTATACAACAATACATCATTATCACCTACATCTGATTCAAACATAAATAACCCATCGGAATCACTGTCATCGTCCGCTTTTGCTAGTCATTCCCAATCCAAGTCACGCGAGCTGCAGCCAAACTTTTTTAAGCGATTTACTAAATCATTAAATTTATTCCAGCAACCACAACAACCAAAACCACAACTGGAATTTGCCACCGAGTCTATTGGCCAGAACAACGCATCAAATTCACCACCAACAGGTATAAAGAGAATATTCAAGGGGCTATTTGGTAAAAAAGATTATTACTCAGGCGATATCACTCAGAACAAGATGGATAGTGGTGACAGAGATAGAGGTGGAGATAGAGCAGGTGGGGATAGGCCTGCTGAAAACAGAGAACAACCGCCGAATAGAGGGCTAAACGAACTCAGTAATCCATCCGGAGATGATGAACTGGACTTTGAATCAAGGATGGCTGAATTTTTCCCTGATTCTCTGTATCGAGATTCTCAGCATAACAGAATTCAAGCAGAGGAAACAACCCCGTCGAATGCAGAGGCAAGTTTAGAACAAACACAATCAGAGAATCAAAACGTACAATCTACTACGACTCCTCCTGGTAACCAATCTACAACTACCTCCGCTGCTGAAAACATTGATACAAGCAACAACAGTAACAGCAACAACGTTAATAATATTGAAAACAGCGAAACTACCACAAACACAAATAACGACACGTCAGAATCTCAACCAAACGGAGGCGACCCTTTGTCGGGCTCCAACAACAGCAACAACAACAGGGACACCGATAGTAGCAGCCGCAACAACAATTTTCCTATTCCTGGCCCTAACGATAGAGCAATTGTAATCACTGTCAACTACTTATTCTCCGACCAAAACCGTCCTGAGAATCCAAATCGATCTGGTTCACTTGTACTTTCCTTACCCAATAATTCCAACAATCGTGACCCTGGATCAATACAAGAGTTTATTAGAATTGCAACGCAAATGGCATACACTTTGGTCATGAATGGTTTACATAATCAACCAAAAGGAATCACGTTGAGTAAATTTGAACTGTTTGAAAAAGTGAAAGCTCGTCATTTCACTGAAGATGATTCCAAAGTTTGTTCGATATGCTTTGAAGAATTTGATGATTTAATTGCAGAGGAAGATGATATTGATGACGAAGAGGAGGGGGAAACCGGTGAGGAGCACGCATCAGTTGTTGAAGAGGGAGCAGATGGGAAGGATGCGGGAAATAATGAGCAGGACAAAGAGGGGTATGTGGTGCGCAAGAGAAGAAGGTTGGTTGACAAGACATCAAGACTATTGAGAAGATTTTCACGATCACATACTGAGGCAATGGAGGATGGAGAAAGACGAGCTCCAAATTTGTCAGAATCTAGCTCAATCAATGACTATGTGACGCCTATTGCATCGAACAGCTCGTCCGCAAGAAACACTGTGGGAACAGGAGCGTCTTCAAATTATACACCACTAGGTACAAATGGAATTCAGTCATCTTCGCAAGCATCGACAAGAACACGGGCACAATCTCAACCTTTACCTCACACACAACCTCAACCACAAACACAGCCACAAACACAATCCCAATCGGCTCAAGATTCCTCACAACCTGTTTATTTAATTGATGTCAAGGAACCGTTTGACCATTCTCCGATAAAGATGCCATGCAACCACATTTTTGGTCAAGATTGTTTGAGTGAATGGTTGAAACAGCATTCGACATGTCCATTGTGTAGGCATTCCGTTGGTGAACCAATGGCTGCCGGGGGAGAAGGGAATGGTGGATCATCACCACAAGCAGGCGTTCGTGCAGGTGCAGGTGCAGGTGCAGGTGTAGGTGCAGGTGCAGGTGCCAGTCCCTTCCCAGGTCTTTTTCGAGGCGCAAGACTACCTCAACCACAACATCAACAAATCAATGGACAGAATTATACTTTTTATACTATACCTCATGAATCCGTACCTGACCTTGGTAATCATATGAATACAACTGGGGATGATGCAGAGAGTGTGACGCAAACAAACTTTACCAATCGGTTAGCGCTGTTGTTGGGACCAGCATTGATGCGAGAGACCACGGATGTAGGTCGCGGAAGAAGAGGAGTCGGACTTGGTCGTGGACGTAATGATGGAGCTAACGATGCAGCTACCGATGATTTGAGCAACTCATCCATTGATGTAATTCCGGAAATGATTGATTCACTAGAGAGAGATTTTATGAGAAGAAATGAAGCCACTGATGAGCCTCATGAATACTTTGCGAGATCAAGGTTGACTTCACAACCACAACCTGCCTCCTATATTCAAACATTGCGTCGTACTGTTGGTGAACAACCATTTTCTCGGCTTCGAGATACATCTCCTGGTTTAGATGGGACCATGACACCTATTAGAAGAAGTGGATCACAAGGCGATGTATCAACAACAAGATCAAGAAGTAATTTTGGCGCCAGTTTAAGAGAAAGAATGAGAAGGAGAAGTTCGCATAATGACGCTGATGCTGATGGCGATAGTGATGGCGATGGCGATGGCAACGGCGATGAAGTTGGAAACGGAAATGGAAATGACAATCATGAGCAGCAACGCTCTTCCTCTAGATCGCTTTTACCTGGCTATACCGAAATCATGAATTATATTAGAAATGGATTTTCAGGATTGAGAAATGTACCAAATCGATTCAATGGAGACGATCAAACACGTGAAGGATCAAATAATGATGATACAAGGCAAATGAATTTTAATGAATTGAGACGTCGTGAAATGACTTTACATCCCAATGGCTTGTTTAGTATGCGTACAGCTAATGGTGAGGTTGAAACTTATACTGGTGAGGAAGTTTATCGGTTGGTTGATCGATTAGATTCTCGTATTGATGGGGATCCGGCACTGATGCGATCGCGAGATGGAAATAATGCTAATCGTGGCGGTCGTGGTGCTGTTGCTGCTGCTGGTACTGCTACTTCCGCTGCTACTTCTGCTGGTAATGATAATCGAACTGCTGATGATGAACTTTCTTTGGGTATTGATGGTGATGATGATCATGAAGATGAAAATGAAAATGAGCTAGAGGAAAGGAGAAGGAATTCACTTGATTCGTTATCTTATCATCGTCGAAATTATCGTTGAGGGGATGTACTTTACGCATGTATCTTTGTTTTTTTTTTGTATTGTATGTTATTGCTAGGTTAAATATATAGATTGAGTTTTGTTTTCGATGTGTGGTAAATGCTGTAGAAAGTGGAAAACGACGTAGTAGATGGAGCATGGTGAAAAACCATTTGAAAACAAGTGTAAAAGTAAAGACAAGTTTTGTAAAATTATGATTTATATTAAAAGGCTATAGAAATTGCATTTGTGAGCTATAAAGTATAAATTAAAGTTCAACACACACATACACACATTAAAGTAAGAATTAAAAAAATGAAACAAGCGAGTTAAAACAATGCTTTGGATCCAAACATGATCCGTCTATAAACGAAAAACCCTCTCCAAATGAATATTAAAAAACTGATAATTAAAGTAAAATATGATGTGTGTGTGTGTGTGTGTGTGTGTGTGTGTGTGTGTGTGTGTGTGTGTGTACCTAAAGAAACCTCCTAGCTGTTAGCAACCGTTGCATGATTATGCCTGTTTTCTCAAAACAAGTCAGCAAATTCAGCAACGTGAGGATGAACCAAATCAACATACCGCCACGATTCTTCATCTTGATCTATTTGCTTAGCATCAATCCTACTTGAGTTCAAGCTAGATGATGTCGCTCCACAACTTGATGCGTTACTAACACCAGCTTGATTAGTGTATGTAGCACCAGCACCGGCACCACCGACCAGTTTCTTCAGTTGAAAATAGCGAAGGTAACTGTATCGACTACTTTCCTCTTGTGCTTGATGTTGTTGTTGGTTGTTGCTATGGTATTGAGGTTGGGTCAAGATATAAGATTGACTGAATTGATGTTTTTGGCAAGCAACTATTGATCTTTTTAATGGTTGTTGACAAGTTGTGGTTCTAGAAAGCATCTTTGATATAGGAATTGATTGTGTAGTGAGCGAGTTGCGTATGGTGATGAATTGTAAACTAGGAACTTCTTTTTCTTATTCTGATCCTTGAAAAGAGGGAGGTTATATGGTTAGGTATTTATACTTCCAAAATATATAGGAGTTTGTTTCAAAATGTCAATTGTCGTGTTTTGCTCGTATAGAAAAATTGTTGCAAAAAACGAAAGCCAGATGAAAATACCCCTCCCTTGTGCTTCTTATATACTCAAGTTAAGTGTATCAAAAAAAAAAAAAAAATAAAAAAGAGTAGGATTGAGTCAGTGTCGCAAAATAACTCCTCCTTTCAAATGACACACTGAAATAAGATTGTTGAACTGCCAGTGTCGTGTCGCAAAAAAGTTGCTAATTATTTTCTGTTGTTGTTTTTGTTCTGGAACAAATGTTATCGACCAGCAGAGAAAAGAAAAGGAGGGGAGGGGAATGCTACGCCACACTGCACAATGTGCCCTCTGACTTTTCCATTTTTTACTCAACAGAAAAAAAATTTGGGTAAAATACAATTTGGTAGCAGTGTAATCTAAAAAAGAACGTGTCAAATTCTATTGAAGGGAGGGGAAGGAGATTAAGCAAAAGTAGAAGATGGCTGTACTAGGAGAACATAAACAAGGTGAGTTCTGGCAACCAATTTTCTTTCATTCAAAGCTCCCCCTTTCAACATATCACTGAGATAGATAGGGGGAGGGATCAACAAGGAAGCTAAAGGAGTCAAATATTGACTTACATCCTTTGAACCGGATAATCGGATAGATAAGCGATTACGAAGATAGGTTAATTTTTAAATCTACTTTAGAAACACGTGTTACACTGAATCTATTCAGAATTACCTCCTCCTTTTAAGATATCCTTGGCTATGTGCAATAAAGGAGTGGAATCGCTAAGGCATTAAAGTCATTTTGTAGTCAGAAAGATCTAGAACAAAGATTATACTCTCTATAAAGTTCATCACATTCGCCCCTTTCTCTATTGTAACTTATTTGCAATCCGCCTTCCGTGTGGTGTCAGTTTAATCTCAGGCAACAACGGAACCAACATCTCACGCAATTTAGTCATTTGATCCAATTGAGCCACGTCCAAACACGTTTGTAATACATAATTACCAAATGAATCATTCAATACTGTTGAAAACTGATCCAGGGACAATTTCAACAACTCATCAATAAGACTAGCACTCCTTGTAGAAGAGTTATTCTCTTCCTCATTTTCCTTCTTCCCCTTTTGTTCTAATCGTAATGATTTTTCCAAAACATTGGATCCGAATTTATGGATTGATAACTGATAGAAATGATCACGTAAATATGCAAATATCGTATCAATACTTTGTGAGTCACCATGACTGAGAACATATTGTACAACATAGTTTCCATATGGATCGGTCGTGAAAACACCCAACTTTGTAGTAACCTCATGGCTTAAAGTTTCAACTTGTCGGTCGTTGCCATAATCCAAGCATCGTTGTATTACACAACATCCATGACGATGACATGCAACCACTTCACAATTGGACGTTATTGTATCATAAATCACTTGATTCACTTTATTTGACAAATTAATGAGACATTTTTGCACAACGTGATTACCATTCAAGTCTCGTGATAATAAAACTATACTAGGTTCCAAACTTTTGATAATTAAACTAGCACTGTCATTCTCGTCAACAACTTCTTCTTGATTGTCATGCAGTGCACCAACACATTCAATCAATTTCTGCAATGCTCTAGTACCATGTGAATCCAAAGCTATACGGTTAAACTGAGAACTTGAGTATTTAATCAACTCCAACCTTTGCTCATTGGAAACACATTCAACCAACTTTTGGATCAAATAATTACCAAATGGATCAAGCATAAGATTGACAACTTCATCATGCAATTCATTAAAGATCATGGTAGAAACTGATTCATCCTTAATCTCTCCATCCCCCTTTGAACCATCAGACTTGTTATCGTCCCGCTTTAACAAACAATCTTGCTCTTTTGCCAATTCGCGTTGCAAAAACCGACATCCATGCTGATCACTACACAAATCCAATATGTGACCGCGATAGTCTTGGATCTTGGCGTTTTGATACTTGTTGGCATCCTCTCCTTTGCGTTGACGATATGGCGCCCCTCCGTTATTACCACCACTAAAGTGTGTCATGCCATAATTATGACCGTAATTTTGATAGTGATGTACATGTTTGTTATTCCTACGATTGTTGGAGTGACCTCGATTGTAGTGATTGTGTTGCATAAATGGAGCACCACCATTCCCACCACCTTGAAACTGCAACGGATGATGCATATGTTGTTGGTATTGCTGATGCTGGTGCTGGTGCTGGTGCTGTTGGTGGAGAGGATGGTGTGGCATCAGTGGTGCCTGTTGTTGGTGTTGATGATGATTTAAAGGATACGGTGGGTTACCAATATGAGGGGGTACTGGTTGTTGCACCCCGCCTCTGGTAATACTCTCTGACGGTTGTGAATTCCACACTGTGCCGCTGTATTGAGCCAAATTTGGTGGACTTGGCCCGGCGTTAATGTGAGGTGCCAGTGCAGGAGGTAACGGTCCTTGTACATTCGCCTTCGCATCAAAAGTTTGAAAGTTCCGACTGTTAGGTTGTTGATGGTGAGGTGGAAACGGTGGCGGATAATTGTATGGCATCATTGGGGATGGAACCCCGGGAGGTACACCAGGTCCTATAGGATGATTCATTGACATGGGAGAAAATGGATTGAAAGGTGGAGTTGGCGGTAAATTCACATGCTGCGGCGTCATTCCACCACCAGTTGGTGTCTTATGGTCCAATTGCTTTCTCGAATCATCATCATTTTTATTCTTCAACGTATCCTTATTTGAATCTTGTTCATCACTGGTGACAATTGTGCTTGATTCTCCATCCTGAGACAAACTCAATCCATTCAGTTGTTTACTTTGTGCATCGTCTTTTGATTCGGAAAATTCAAGTGGCTTTATAAATGGGACATTAGTTCCGTCACGGTTTTGACCCAAGGGTGGTTCAGAAACTGGAACGTATCCTTGATGACTAATTGCTCCGAATTGGCTATCAAGTCCACCACCAGGATGACCATTCCATCCAGAAGCATAATTGGCTGGTGGTGCGATACCATTGTCTGTTTTCAACTGCTGTTGAGAAGTATCCGAGCCTTGATAGGGTGCAAAGTAGTATGGACTTTGAGGGTGGGGTGGGTACATGGGAAAACCAAAATTGGTTGCTTCTGGGGCGTAATTGTGGCTGGCATCAACGATTGAATCCTTTTGGTTTTTATCTTCATTCTGACTCGAGCTCGTATTTTTCTTTTCCAGTTCCTCCGCTTCCTGCTCATCTTCTTCATCTAACTTTAAATTGTTAATGGCTCCAACGATATCGATACTTGTACCCAATTCAGCATCCGCATTGGAACCGCTAACCTCATTACTTCCTTCTCTTGTGTTATCAAAATAGCTTGAGCTAACCAGAGCACTTCTCACTCCACCACTCGACTTGTTCTTTGCATTCTGAGAAGACAAGTCTGCATTCGATATAGATAATGATCGTGACATTGCCAAAAAAAGAAAAAAGATCGAGCTTTGAATAATCTATTGTATAGTGATTATGAACTGATGTTAAATGAATAATATCCCTGAAAATGATTGGATCTAGTGTACAAAAGTTGAATTGAATGAAGAAATTAATAGTGTACAGTTGATTTGAAATAAAGTACGGGGTCGTAGTCTGAACTATTGTGAAGCAGTGTTCATGTATAATGGTCTATGGTTGAGAGTTATGAAATGGTCTTGTTCGTTGATATCCACCGTTGATTGTTTTTCAGTTGTTGTTTTTTCTTGGAGGTGTGGTTTTTTCTTTGTGTTTCTCGCATTTTCTATACAGAGTTACTTATTTCTTTATCAACGAAATACCACCCAGTAGTAGATCTATCAAAGTTAAAGTGATAGTTCCTTTATCCTGTATCCTTTACAGAACAGCTCCTTCGTATGTTTCGCTCACTTCAAGTTGTGTGTGGAAAATTACTCTCTTTTATGTGAGCCAAAGAAAACTTCACGACCTCTCTGGTCTCCACTGTGTGATAGTGTATCTTCTAGGTGGTATCTGACATCGTACCAACACAATCACCAGTAAACATGACATCAACCAATGAAAAACCGAGTTTATCTGCATCGTAATTTGGCAAAGTGAAAAGTTTATGAAACGTTTTTTAACAATTCCTAATTCATCCGCCCGCCTCGGTAATTTCGAAAAAAAACCCATCTCCAGTATAAAACATCTCAATTATCCAGTACCAACCATTGCATACTAACTGGTAGTATCCATACTACTCTGTTTTCGGTAGACCCCATCGCCACTCTCGAGGATACCTAATACGTCATCAACTGCAACAGTACACACTACGACACCCACCTCATTCACTTCCCTCCGACCAGTCATCACCAGTGAAACATTGACTGAACATATTCGCACACCTCAACAATGGTTGCTTTACCCACCTTGAAATACCAGCGACCAACATGGTATAGATTAGCCGGTTATGATTTACTACTTTGGGCATTATCAATTGTCATGGACTGTTTCTTTCGAGAGATCAGACCGAGAGGTGCATTCAAGATCCCTCGAGAAGGTCCCGTTATATTTGTCGCTGCACCACATCATAATCAATTCGTTGACCCAATCATCCTCTCGGGACAAATCAAGAAGGAAGCCAACCGAAGAATATCATTTTTAATCGCTGCCAAATCATATCATATGAATTTCGTGGGACACATGGCTAAATGTCAGTTGAGTATCCCCGTGGTTAGACCTCAAGATAATTTAACAAAGGGATCAGGTAAGATATTTGTTGATAAGAATGATCCCTGCCATATTTTGGGAAAAGGTACAAAGTTTACTCAAGAATGTATGGTTAGAGGTTTACTTGCTTTGCCACAATCGCTTGGGGCCAACGAAATATCAGAAATAAAATCGGATAATGAATTGTATATCAGGAAGCCCTTCAAACAAACTAACCAAATCAATGAGTTGTTATCTCAAGGTACTTCATTTAAAAAAGCCGACAAGATTGATCAAAAACAAGTTTATCAAATGGTGTTTGACCATTTACTAGATAATGGAAGCATTGGTATTTTCCCCGAAGGTGGATCACACGACCGTACTGACTTGTTACCTTTGAAAGCCGGTGTGGCAGTGATGGCTTTAGGAGCCATGGAAAACAACCCTGATTGTAACGTCAAAGTAGTCCCTTGTGGTATGAATTATTTCCATGCTCACAGGTTTAGATCGAGAGCAGTTGTTGAATTTGGCGATCCAATTACAATCCCCAAAGAGTTGGTTAAAAAGTATGCCAATCCAGAAACTACTGCCGAAGCCGTCAAGGATTTATTGGCTTTGATCACTTCAGGGTTGAAAGCGGTGACAGTCACTTGTCAAGATTACGAGACTTTGATGTTAATTCAGGCTGGCAGGAGATTATATGCCGGTAACTTTGCTCAACAGTTGCCATTGCCATTGATTGTGGAAATGAACAGACGCTTGGTTATTGGATATGAACATTATAAAGATGAACCAAAAGTTCAAGAGATTAAAAAAAGAGTCCTTGAGTATAACAACTTGTTGAAAACTTTGCATTTACCCGATCATCACGTTGAAGATTGTCAAGATGAGGGATACAAGGCTAAACTTTTGCCCATTTTAGTGTTTAGGATCTTCAAGTTGATTATTTTATTTACATTAGCATTACCAGGAGCAACACTCTTCTCCCCTGTTTTTGTTTCATCGAAAATCATATCACGCAAAAAGGCAAAAGAAGCATTGGCTAATTCAGTAGTCAAGATTCAAGCAAATGATGTTATTGCAACTTGGAAAATCTTGGTTGCTATGGGCATTGCACCGATCGTATACTCATTCTATGCATCAGTTGGTACTTATTATTGTTCCACCCATGGGCTCTTATCATCATTTGGCTTGTTTTGGTTATGGATATTTTTGTACCTTTGTGGTGTGTTTGTCACTTATAGTGCATTGTTAACTGGTGAGCAAGGAATGGACTTGTTCAAATCAGTTAGACCATTATACCTTTCCATCACTTCAGGATCTGCCATCAAACGATTGAAAAAGATGCGACGTGAATTGAGTGAAGAAATTACAGAAGTTGTCAATACTTATGGACCAGAGTTATTCCCCAAAGATTTCAATTTATTAGAATTGAAATCCTCATTGCGAATTTCTGATGATGTCGAGTACGTTGATTCGGATGAAGAAGAAGAGAAAAAGACTCAAGAAATGAGAAACAGGCGCAATTTAAGACGCAAGGCTGAACGGAAATTACACGTTAATGAAGATGTTTCCAAATCGGATGATGCTACAACTGAAATGAGCGAAAGTTTATCACATTCATCATCCATGTCTGATGGTATTTCGTTACTCAATACCGAAGCTAATTCATACACAAACTTGCCCATTTTCAGTGATTATAGTTTACACAAGAACGTCACTAATAAGAACCTTGATTTGGATCCACAATCAAATTTCAATTCCAGTGCTACATTGTACGATGATCACAAGCAACATATTGATCAACAACAACTGCGTCATGCATATGTCTCCTCGCCATTACGTGGAAGACCTAGTTTATCAAAGAATCCATCCGAAGAACAATTCGAATTGAATTTTTCCAAAAAGTCGTCATTGAAGGACAAGATATTTGATAAAATGAAGCAGAAAAGAACTCAATCGTAAACGTTATTTACACAACTTAATATAATAAAAACTGTCATTTCTTTGTTTTTTTTTTTTCTTCAATTTCCCTGTACGTGGGCTTGCCGTTCATAAAATTCGGCAATCTCAGTAGAGCTAGTTGCATCTTCAATCCCCTTATCATCTCTAATTCGTATAAACCGAGGGAATCTCAAACTGATTCCCTTTCCATATTCATTATGAGCCGCTTTGTATATCGGACTCAAGGACAAATCAGCTGTCAATACTTCAAACAACATTGTTGGTTCAAACCACACATCAGGTACCGCATTGGAATTTGTCTTGTCATAAACAAAATATTCTTTAGGTTTGGCGATTTCCAGTGGATGCAATTTTTGATACAATTGAGTCAACATTTCATCACTGAAACCAGTACCAATCTTGCATGTCGTCTCTAAATCACCAGTATCTTGATTGTACGAAGCTAGCAAGAATCCTCCATATGTTCCTGTACGCTTACCCTTTCCATTGTACGCACCAATGACAACAAGATCCAAAGAATCGCCAACACCAGCCAAATAATCTTTTTTCAATTTCAACCAATTGCGTGATCTTTTGGATGGTTCATAATAAGACTCATTACCTTCAAGCATCTTCACCATTAGCCCCTCGCATGAATCATGGACACTTTGATCAAGAAAATGTTGGAGTACTTCCAATGATGTTGAATCCTTCGAAGTGGCAAATTGAAATTTCCCTTCCAATGGATGGAGATGGGCAAACATGATTGATCTTCGTTCCAGTAATGATCGCGTCAATAAGGATTCGTTATTATAGTAAAGCAAGTCAAACGCAAAAAGACAAATGTGAACAGTAATATCCAGCTCATTAACATCTTTTCTTTTCCTTGTTGAAAGAACCTGAAATGGTAAAATTTTTTTGTTGACTCTATCCCAGGCCACTGCTTCACAATCTAAAATCAATGATGTATGTTCTTGAGATTTGCTAAACTCTTTGATGATCGAAATCAAGTCAGGATATCGTTGAGACATATCTTCCGAGTTTCTTGAATAAATACGCACATCACCATTAGGTAACAAATGGATTTGAGCTCTTTCTCCATCATACTTATACTCGCAAGTGAATTTTTCATCTTGGAAACGGTCCAATACTTCACTCATTGACTTGGTAGGTTTTGCCAACATTGGTTTCAAAGGGATCCCAGGAGTCAATTTACAATGTTCCAACAAGTTGAATACACCGTACTTGTAGGCATTTTCAATCAAGATTTGATAATTGGGGATTCTCGTGTAGGCTTCTTTTACAATGTCTTCAGCCTCGGCTAACTTCTCGGGACTTACTTTCTTTGGCTTTTCCAATTTCAGATTTTCATAATTCACAAATGCTTGCGCCAACCCAACCAAAATTGTAGGCCCAGCTAATCCAATTCTCAATTTATTCTCCAATGAACGTATAAGAAATTTGGCTTCATTATGCTTAGCATCACATGCTGTCAACATCTTGTTTATGATACCAATCTTTTTCGATTGTGAGTCTTTACCTGTCGATTTGGCAATTTTGGTCAAGTTATCAAACACCGTGTCAATATCCAAACTAGTTGGTTTAAACATTGTTCGTTGTCCACTACGTGATTTTTGAGCCACGACTCCCAAATCTCCATACTCTTTCAAGTCCTGTTTTATCTTTGCTGGTGTACGTCCGTACCCTTCACTAATAGCTTTCACCAATAGTGTTTCTCCCAACCCCAATTCCAAGTCTGGTTCATAATCGGGACCCAATCTGTTGATGAATAAGTACACAATTTTCACCAATTTCGAAACATCTCCTTGTTGCTGAAGAATGTCGAGAAAGTATTGTGATATGATTGCTGTGATTTTCAATCGTGATGACTCAGATTCAATCTTTTCCATAATGTCAGTTAGCGATGAGTAAGGGATCTTCAGTGACGATAAATTAGGTGCATCTTGTTTGCTTTGATTCTGTTGAGACTCACTCAATTCAATCAACTTTTTTGCCTCTGTTTCAGAAGCGTGTTTGTTATTTAATTCTGAATCGGAAGCGGACCCACTTCTGCTTTCATTGTCATCTTTGCTCTCGTTGTCATTCAACTTTTGTTTTTTCAGCTTCGGTGATGAATCTGGTGGAGTAATTGGATCAGATCTTTTGAAACTCTTTGGCGAAACAGTGTTTTCCTTTTGCGTAGGAGGTGGACTCGTGGTTTTCTCCTTCCCAGCTGCATTTAAGGAAGCTGATCCACTAAAGAAACGTGCTATTGATTGTTGTTGCGCCATTGATCTGTATGGACTAATTCCCCTCTTGATTAACGTTGATGCTATATTTGTTGGACCCGATCTCAAATAATTCATCAATTGGAGAACAAGTGACCGCGTATTGACGTTTGTAATAGCTCACCTTTGATGGTGAAAACATCGTCCCGCTTTTGTTCTTTTTTCTTCATTTTACGCGTTCCAAATAATACAAAAAAAATGATTCACGTGTGTGTGTCTGTCACTAATACTACAATATCGAGTTTGCCTCTAAATACTTACATCCCAAATACTTTGTGGACCTCTTTCTTCATACATGTCACTACCAACAAACAACTCCTTATTATGATGGTGCGAACCTCCTGAGAAAATTTGTTTGGCGTAAATTTCACCACCAAGGAAAAAACAATCATGCCATGACCCACCTTTCTCCTTAGGCTTTTTCCATTCAGGGAAGTAATCGGGAACTTTAGCAAATCTGATACGGTAGGGCACTTGGCTCATAGCCAGTTGTGAATCGCCCTCTTGTGCATCGTCGGTTTGTTGATATTTGGCAATGGTAGAGTTGATATTGTTTTGTGAGTTTGCGGCGCCATTGGTAGTGGCTGGTTCTTTAACCAAATATTCATGAAGCAAGTAGGCGTAAATTTTTTGTTTTAATCCTGGGACCTGAGCTGATGACCCAACAAGAATAATATTGTCATAACAATCTTGCCTCTTGTCAAGATCATTGATTTTAAGCAAGGTCTTGTAGATTCCATCTCCAACGATACTGATCAATCCCGAGTCAGTTGTAAATCGTTCTTTACCAATCCATACTTTCTCTTGTGTTGCGGTATCAATGAAGTAATTTTTCTCTAATTCTTTATTCGATTTCACTTGTGTTTCATCTGCATCTTCCTTCTTGTCTCCATTCTCATCAGTCAAAACTTTTGCGACATCGAATTCATTGGCGTCTTCAACATCCATATCTGCATCTGGGTTTATCTCACCAATTGATTCTTCTCCTTCGAGCAAAAACTCAAATATACCACTAGATTTCAAATCCTCAATTTGTTGTGGAGTGAAATTCGGAAATTTAGCATTCATTTCTTCATTCAATGTCACGCCACCTTTTCCTGGGATATACTCACCAGCAAATTTAACACTTTGGAATCCTATAACTGGCACAATTTGAATATTATCATCAGCAATATTCACCACAACTGAGTTGACAGTATTGGCAAAACTGAAAGTAGCACCAAGACTCAAATCCAAAACATTGAAAGCTGTAATTTCTAAATTTTCAAAAACAAACTTGGTAATGTGTTCGAGTTGTTTCCTTGACCAAGTTAACGAAGGTGCAATAAGTAATAATGGTATTTGATTGATGGTTAGAATGGGGTGTTGTTGGATTACACTCGATAAGATGATTTGAATTAATGCATTAAATGCATCCAAATCAGCTATTTTGCCATGTCTGATTGGGCGAATCTCCGTCGAAGTATCACTCGCGGTGGCTAAATACTGGTTAGTGTCTTGTTCTTTATATACTATGGTTGGAATTTTAAATTGTGGTGGCGATAGGGAATCCTTCAACCCAAAGGTGAAAAGAGTGTATTTTGACCCGGGCTGTACTATAAGAAAGTTATCCTCCTTGTATAATGGCATTTTCCTTTTTTCTTTTTTCCTCGTGAGGTGTTTGAAGCTTCAGGTGGTTGGTAGACTCTGTTGATACTTTTCACCGATTTTTTCTTTCTTTCTCTTAAGTCAGAAACGGTATGCTACCAAATGCTTAACATATATGAAGCAGATGTTTATTTCGGGCAGTCAAATGCAATTAGTGTATTCAATGATTTACGTTGGCTATAAACTTTTCATAATTTGCAGTGGTTCCCAAAATTGATTGCTGTCTAGTTGGAGAGCTACCTCTTCTGGTAATAGGTCCACCTCCAATCAGTGAAGAAACATTATCGCGGTCGTGCTCTAACGAGTCAATAAGTTTGACTTCATTAATGAATGGAAGATCATCGGATGGTAAAGATGGCAAATTTTTTGTAGAGTTGGTAGATTGGACAGAATCAAACCGAGGTCTTCTGGAGGTATGTACAGGATATGGTGGCGATGGCAGGTTACGTCTGCTCTTGGGAACTTGTGTTGGCTCAGTGTTGATTCTGTTCAATGCTGGAATGTTGCGCAATGGATCATGTGAGTCAGTTGCAAAATTAGGGGTGCTATTGTTACCCAAGGTATAGTCTTGTTTTACTTGGCGACTGGACTTGACATTTTCAAATGAAGAACTTGGCGATTCTGCCATCCTATCATATCTGTATGGTGCAACTTTAATATTCGATAGGCGACGTTTGGCCGTTGCTGGTTGGTGCTCCCGACTGCCAAGACTAGGAGTAAGCGACTCCCTGGACTTGCGTCGTCCACTATCCCCTGTATAATGCTGAATTATATCACTCACATCATCTCTCCTATCATATACTTTGCTCAGTACCTCTGTTGATAGTTGTGATTCTTGAAAATAGGTTTTAAATAGATCAAGAATCTTTACATCCTCTGGCTTAACGAATCCCAAATAAAGTGAAGCTGAAATCCCGCAAACGACGAGAAGTAACAATGCAATTGCACAAATAATCAATCCAAGGGTAATTCGCGTTAGTTGGTCCTTAAATGTAGCAACAACGACTGTTAATACCACTCCAAATGCAAAACTTGGTGCATTAAATGACTTGGCATGGTGCTGAGTTCGTTTCAAGTGGGCCATTCTAGGGGAAAACAGTAGCAGCTGGGATTTATTCAAAGATGCCACGCTATTGTTCGTGCTTGTTGATGAGGAGTACGTGGGTGTTGTTGTGGCTGATGTTGCAGGCACTGATTTTGCTCTTGTTTTGCTGGTGTGCGGCTTTGCCTTTTTTTCGGTTTGTTTACAATCATTTGATATATTACCCGATTTGGAATCGGTATCATTCGAAGCTGATTTCGATCTCGGTCTTGATTGTAAGGTAGTAGAAGTGGTACCAGAAGAGCCACTTTCAACGGTATATGAACAATCCATCAATTCATTGAGATAACTGTCCACTTTTGCTCTTCTTCGCAGTAGTTCGTCACTACTGATTGATATATTATCATTTTTATTGTCATCAACTTTCTTCAATCTAAATACACCATCTGAATCTTGCTTGTAGACTAGCTTTGTCTTTTTTCTGGTTGCTATTGAAGTGGCCATCTGTAAAGTTGTTAGCTAAATGAAATCTGGACAAATCTTGAATGGAAAATTCCCAGATCTTAAATGCAAATGCAAGTGAAGAAATCTCAAGGATTTCAATTCTTCCCAGTGTGATTTTGATGCTCAGCGTAGATCGTTGCACGCAGTATATTTTATTTTCATTGGCGAAACTTGTTGAGATGGTAGTGTATCGGCCACAAAACTGTACTAAGTATCTGACATGGTAGTGTAATGGTGAACAAGAGTATCAAGCTGGACAATAGTACTAGACTATGATGTAACTATAAATGAGGCTATGCTATGAGGGTTGGTACTGCTGAAATCTTATGGTATAAATATAGTGTTGAACTCCTCTAATGATTGTGTTTGTTTAATATAATAACCAACTGTTGTGTGACAAAATCAGACTACCTTACTACTACTACAAGCAAATCTTATTAGAACTCACTCAGATTTGGCTTGTGAAAAAGTTTCATACTGATAGATTGGCTGAGCGACTTTCAGTCCGAACAATTTGTAGGAACTCCAAGCGAGTGGGTGGAGTGAGAGTGTTTACACTATTGTAGAAGGTACCCAGTCCATTCGAAAACCGTGTTGGTCCCCAGACTTTAAGCATCCAAAAACAAGGCCTTGGAAGAACATTAAATGAAACATATCATTGTTCATTGAAATAGTCCATTTCTTGTAAAGCGGGACTGTGTGAAATCAAAAGGGTAATGCTTGCCCAGATGCGACAGTATTACGCTGTACCGAGGACACGCCTCGTGTGCACTCAAAAAAATTCCTTCGCGTCCTTTTGCATTCCATCACAATCGAAGCGTACAAAGCAAACCCTACTCACGACTCTTTAGCACCCTACACTTCCCCTCGAAACTATATTACACTAATATTAAAAGTACATACAATTTTTGCAACAATTTTGATCCAAAACAATGCAATAATAAAACATATCAAAAAATCTATGAAAAAAAATGAATATCTGTACTAGCACCTCCGCTAGCTGCTCACGCCATAAAGAGAGCCCATCCCTTAGATAGTATACCTGCCTCTTAATCTCCTTGCCAATTGCATATCCTTTTGCATGATTGTAACTCGTTTGGCATGAATGGCACATAAATTAGTATCTTCCAAAAGATGAACCAAATAAGTTTCCAGTGCCTCTTGTAATGCTAAAATTGCATTCAGTTGCCACCTTAATCCGTATTCAGGACCAACAAAATCCAATGAAATTTCCCTAATTAACCTCGCAAACGGCAATTTACGAATCAACAAATCAGTTGATTTTTGAAAATGACGAATTTCTCGAAGTGCCAACGTACCGGGTCTATATCTCTTTTTCACACGTGGTGCCGTCCTTGTGCGCTGGGATTGTAATCGAGACTGTGACTGCAGCTGAGAAGCTAAAGTTGCCGATGGACGAGGTCGTTGTCGTAAATTGGACGAAGTCGAAGCTGAAGTTGTCGATGCACCTGCTTGTGCTCTCCTTGTCGATGTTGTTGCGGGTGGACCCGGCACAGTTTTACGTCCAGTGGTTCCCGTAACTCGTCTTGGCTCTCCTGCTGGGGATCCCGCCGCTGTCGTCGAGAATGAAGTCTGTGGTCTCCTTGATGATGATGGTGGTGGTAATTGCGCACTAGATCCAGCAATAGGTGGAGAAGGCACACGTCTTGGTGGAGAAGCGGGGGGTAAATTTGAGCCTCCACCTCCGCCAGCTGACAAAAGTGGTGGTGCAGGTGGCGATTGTTCTGTCCTTACTTCTCGCCTTATTGAAGTCGAAGTTGATCTAATGGTATCACCAAAACGTTCTTCCACTCGGCTAGCTCTTCGTACTGATGTCAATGATTCCGCTATATCAGCACCCGGCCTTGGCGAAGGTCTGGCAGCTCCGCCAGTACCACCCGGGCGTGGTACCAATCCCTCTCCTCTATTTATCCTTTGTATACTCTCTGGTTGAGCAGGTGTAGGTCGCTGTTGTTGTTGATCCCTAGTTCGAGCAAATGGTGACTGAAACGGCGATCTCATTGCGCCTGTTGCTGTACCTTCTGCTTGTGCTCTTCGAGCAAACGGTGATTGAGCTAGTGTTGGTGAACCTGCTCCTCCAGCAGTTGCACCTGCCCATGCTGAACCTTGTTGTTGGGCACGTTGTTGCGCCCGTTGTTGTTGTTGACGCCTTAGTTCTTGTCTTTGTCTTCTCAATTCTTGTAGTTGGCGTTCTTGAGGTGTTAATTCTCCTACACCTCTTGTGGTGTTACCCGCCGCATTGGTAGTGCTTGGATTTGTGGCATTTGTTGGTTGATCAGCCATAATTTGTCAATGCTTGCATGTGTGGGATGAGAAAGGACTGGGGAGGTGGAAATTCCTGTTAGAACAATTGACAATTACTGTTTTCAAAAACGATTGTATAGTTTGTAGATGCAATTGGTGGTGAAGCACAATCAAAGTTGTATGTGTTTCCGTATAGAAAGAAAAGATGGATATAAAAAAATAACATAAAAAATTTGTGTATTCTTCTTCATATTCCTAAAAGGGTTAAATTAAATTCACTTATATTTTTTGTTATGAAATTAAAAAAAAAAAAAAACAGTTTACCAGCCATCTTTTTTTTTTTCCGCATCAAAATTATTTGCAACAATTTCAAGTAAAAATTAAAATGCTGTTCAAGAGATGAATCCAAGGGCTTCACAGGCGTAAAATGTCTAAGTAAACGCAGTCAAGATGAGGTTTAAAATTTTCAAGAGCGCTGAAAATGATATAGGAAGGGCACTGTGCAAACTGGGCATCTCGGTCTCCCAAGCTTAGCAAAAGATATTGTTGATTAGGTGTTCTTGAAACACGCTGTAAAATTCCGTAGATTGTTTGTTGATACCTTCTTGTTATCTCTTGGGTCCGGATGTGTTTACCCTCTTTTGAGTGCAATTGATTAAAGATAGCTGCTTCTTGAGACTGGTTTACGACATGACATTGATTGGTTTAGACGACAATGATGAACTAGTATTACGTAATACACATAGTAAGTTTTTGGCACTACCTAATTAGTCAACGTTTTAACCTAAATAGGAAACAAAATAAACAAAAGTAGTCATGTGACTTATATGCAGTACTTTTGAATTTTTGTTCGAAATTACACAAGTTGTTCATCAATCATTCGTATTGCTTGATGACGTAAAAGGAAAAAGGAATGCAATGGTGTGTCTGACTTTCCACAACAGGGGTGTAAAGTAAACTTGAAATCAAAAGGTAAGTTTACAGAACCTTGGTTACAGTACACCAAGATATTGTGCGGCTTTTCTTTTATGCACCAAACGCTCATCAAAAAGCGACATTTAAGATGCTCCTACACAGGTCCTTTATAAATCCCGATTGAAACCACGCAAAATGACTACATTGTAGTTGACTGTTTAGTTTTGGTACCGACTTCTTTTTCCGTCACTAATGTCATATTCATCGATATGGGCGAGCCTTCTTTCTCTCTAATCAAGAAATGTTTCCTCGCTCTAATACCATTTTTGTGTCTTTGTAAAATTGCTATGTTTGCTACAAGGGAAGCTTAACACAAAGGTGTCTTTGACTCTCACATTGCATAGCTTCACTTAACTAACTTGCAAACTTTATTTTATGGCTCATAGCAATGTTTGCAGAAACTAAGGTGCATTGAGGGCAATTTGAGATTTATTGCCGTCGAAAAACATGATGAAATTATGTCTTCCATTCTTTAAGCATCCTCTCCTTCTTCTTCTTCTTCTTCTTCTTTATGCCCTTTGACTTTCCATTGGTTTTGTGTAAAATGTGGGAGTGTACTATTGTTTTAATCGTATTGCCATTGTTCTCTTCTGAATAGCATAGTTATTGTATGGGCGTTAACTATAACTATATTTCAGTTTATTATTGTCAACTTTTCAATTGTCAACAAAAACCTAAAATTCTACTTTTTCCCTATTCTTCTTTTTTTTTTTAAATGACTTTCTTTCTCAACATAAGAAAACCAGTCTGTTTCCCTTCGTTTTAAACTTCTTTACAACTGATTGCATATATAACGTTTGTTGTATTCAATAGTGTTAACAAAGTTATACCTTTAATTGCAATTGAAGCATCGTCATCCACATAAATTAAGTTGTCTCCTTCATCATAGCAACAATCAAAAAAAAGAAACATGTCTCATTCAGTTTACCAAACTTCAGGTAAGCCATTGTCCAAAGAGGCATTGTACCATCAAAGATTGAAGCAAGGTATTTTCCAGTCTCCTAGTGGAACGATTGTTGGTGTCAATAGCAATGCTTCAGATACTGCCGCCTTGTTAGCCGCCTCGTCAGACTTGTCTGTCAAACCATCATATGAACGTACTGTTGCACCTGAAGCACAAACCGCAGCTTTGGTTGCCAAGCCTCGTGAAGTCAACATATGGAAGAGAAACAAGGAAGATACCGATGCCGCTGATGCCGCTTTATCAAGTCACTCCAAGACTGATTCCTTGACCAGTCAATCAAGTCAGCAACCACATACAGTTGTCAAAGTTGGCATTCCGTCAGCTTTGAACAAGTCTTCTATTTACAAAGTTGCTCAGGAAAAATCAACTAGTACAATGACTTCAAGAATTGATCCAATTAGAGATGTTTCAAGATCAGGTATTCAATCCAAATATGGTACACAATCTTTGAATATCAGCAAAATTAATCAAGTGGCAACGAAAAAGTCTAGTAGCACTTTGAATTCCAGATTCAATCCCGAATTGGATTATAGATCTGGTTTGAAGAAGGACAAACCAGCAGAGTTTTTGAACCAAGAAGAAGAGGATTTGGCAGCATCTGGTGCAAATGCTTCCTTGTACAAGACTCCTTCAGTCCCTGATTATGCTTCACAAACTAGATCCACTACTTTCAAAGCTCAAGATGTTGTTAATTCCACCTTGTTGGCTGCTGCTGCTGCTAAAGCCAATGATCGTTTAAGTACATTGAATGCTAATACTCCGCAATCATTAAAGGCTCAAGCTCAATTGTATGCTAATGCATTGGCAGTTGCGCAAAAGAATAGTGATGAGAGAGCCAAGAATAGAGTTGCCGGTGTTATTAATTTGGGTGGTGGCTTAACTATTACTCAAGCTGAATTGAATCAATTGGCTGCAACTTATGTTCAACCAGTTATTGATGATATTGAACAAAAAGCTGACTCAAAGAGGGAAATTGAATTGTCTAAGAAGCAAAGAAAGGCAGAATTGAAAGCGGCTCATGAAAGAGCTAAGCAAGAACAACAAGCAGCTAAAGCTAAAGAAAAGCAAGATATTGAAAGAGCCAAACAAGAGAGAATTGCCGCTAATGAAAAATCAAAGAAAGCTGAGGATGAGAAATTGAAGGAACACGAAAAGACAAGGAATTCTGAAGTTGATGCTAAGCAACTCGAGTATGAAGAGTTGGAAAAGAAGCATGCTGAAGAGAAAGAACAACTTCTTGCCGAAAAGAAGGAGAAGCAAGATGAAATTGATGCAGAAGAAACTGCCAAGAAGGAAGAGAGACAACAGGAATTGGATGATTTACAAGCTGAAAAGGATGAAATTGTGCAACCGGTTTTGGATGAATTGGAAGTGGAAAATTCTAAGTTGAAAGAAATCACCGATGAAAGAGATGCATTGGCTGAAGAAGTTGATGGTATTGAACAAGAAAAGAATCAACGTGAACAACAAGTTGAAGAATTGAATAATGAACTTGAAGAAACCCAGCTTGCAATTGACAAATTGGTCGAAGAATTGCGTCAAGCATCTGAAAAACATGAAACTACAGATAAGGAATTAGCTGATCTCAAGAGTAAGGAAGCACAAGCTAAAGATGAACATGCCAACGAAACTTCAAGATTAGATGGAGAAATTGCTGACTTACAAAAGGAGAAGGAAGCCAAGACTGAAGAAAAAGCCAACAAGAAGCAAGAAATTTTGAGTGCCATTGACGAAAAAGTCAAGTTTGAAAAGAAATTCAATGAAGAATTACCACCCCATTTGAAACGTGATATCGACGAGGATAAACTTAGAGATACTGGATCGTTATTTGCTGAAGATGAAAAGCCAAAAGTAAAAGAGTCAAAGCCAGTAGTGTCTGAAGCTAAAGAGTCTAAACCGGTTGCGTCTGAGGTCAAAGAGTCCAAACCTGTTGCAACTGAAGTAAAGGATGATAGCAAACCTGCAAACACAACAAAGTCATCTACTGGTGGTGGTAAAGTTGCTGATGGCGAAATCAAGTCAGTTCCATTGATTGCCGTTGCTGAAAAACATGATACTCCTAAAGCTACTACTGAAGCGGAGAAGCCAAAGAAGAAGGAAGCTGAAAAAGCAACTGAAAAGAAGGAATCTTCAACCACCGCTAGTAAGGCTGGTGCGTCGAGTTCCACAAAGCCAACAGTAAAGAAACCAGCTGCTGCTTCCACAACCACTTCTACAACTGCTTCAAGTCCAACAAAGAAGGAGAAAAGCTCGTTTTCAAGGAGGTTGAGTAATTTTTTCAAAGACCAATCTAAAGCACCCGCACCCGCTAAATCTACTCCAGCTAAACCCGCTACGACCAAATCTACTCCAGCCAAGACTACTCCAGCTAAATCTACTCCTGCAAGAGCGGCCACTACATCCAAAGATGAATCCAAGCCCAAAACCAAAACCACTGAATCAAAAGCTGCTTCTAGTGCTGCTGCCCCTACTGCTGCTGATGCAACCAAGACAACAGCAACAACAACAACAACCACGAAGCAACCAGCAGCTAAAGACGCAGAAAAGGAAGCCAAGTCATTGGACCCCAAAAAGCCAAATTCAACCACCACTAGTAATCCAAAGCGTGCCAACACTTCTGAAACCAAGGATTCTGAAGATGGTGATTTTGGTGATTACGATGATGTTGATGATGAGCTTTCCTTGAATAACAAGAAACAGAATGAAGGTGGCTTGTTTAAGGAAGATGTATTGTAAAGGAGAAGCATCAGTGAAGACGAGATTGATAGGTGGTAATTTTACTTTTTGAATTTTATTAATTGATATTTTTTCAAAAGAATGTTGTTGAATTTTGTACTTCTTTGTTTAGTTTAGCTTAGGTGAGCTAGTTACTTTATTAATAATCATACTTTCATATTCCAATAATTTAGACAAATAAGATGAATTGTAGATTGAAGATGGCTCAAAACTGCGATGGCTGCGAATGTCCGTGGAGAAACGAACCTCGAAAAAAAAAATATTCAAATCGGTGATGATCAAACCGATAAAACTATTCACCGCAAACACAGCAAAATGACGGATTTACTTCATAAACTAAATTTCAAAATAGCAGATGCATCTCCAGAATACAAAACAAGACGTAAATACCAAATGGCTCGTTTTTTCGCCTTTTCGGCCTTGTCAATCTTCACATTACGCTTGATACACAAACAAACAATAATTCGACAATATATCCCCACCTTATTTCAACAAAACCATCAACCACCAACATCGTACAATTTTACTACTGATGCAGCAGTTGCAGTTGGTGCTGGTACCTTGGCATGTGGGTCGATTACGGGAATGATTATGATGGGGACGGCATGGATTTTAGATGTGAGTAATTTTAAAGAGTTTGGGTATAGGATGAAAGGATTGATGGGTGGATATGAAAGGGAAAGGGAATTGAGTGAGATGGAGGTTGATGAGGAGACCAGGATGATACAGGATGGTTTGAATGATTTACTTGAGGGGAAATATGATGATGACGAAAGCAAGTGAGAAAGGAAGCGAGTAGAGAAGAGGTTCAGTGAGGTTTATCTGTTGGTGAAAGTGGTGATGGGCTTGTATATAAACGATGATAGTGTATATGTAAATATATGGAAATGATCTTGTCGATACTTCTAATCGTTAACTGTGAAGCTAAAGAGTACCTTGGGTGTATAAATTCCAAATGGACTATTCTTTCTCACAACCAAAGCATACAGACGTCCAGGTATCAGCATTGGTTTCACAATGATATCTGTTGAAGAGCTAGTACATACATAGAGAACTCTGCATCAATTTCAAAATCAAATTATACCGAGGATGTAACGCTACCTTGTACATTTTTGCATTTGTTCAAACGCAACAGCATAACAAACTACTCTTGTATGCATGTGATACGCGAAAACTTGGTAAACCAGAGAAAGGAAGGTATTTGATAGGTGGCAAGGCATAGAGTGGAGGCAGGAAGTAGCAACCCTTTATTATATAAACATTGTAGATTATATCTCCCTCAGGTTGAGTTGAAAATAAGAACGGAGATATGAGTACATCAACATAACCACCCCCCTTTTTCCGATTATATCAATTTTGAATGACATTCGTATTTCCATGTGAAGAGGGTGTAGATAATAAATCTTAATCACCAGTACTACCCCTAGTGTACTTTGTCCTGTTTCTCATAATAATTTTGTTATGGGATTATGATGATGGTGGCAAAAAAAAAATATTCAACTCCCCACACACACACACACACACACACACACACACACACTGTATCTCCACCATATACTAACTAATTGCACAAAGTAAGTATAGTATATATAAATATATATATATATCCGCACAAAAAAATCATTCGACATAAATATATATCCCCTTTATCTTTACTCAACTTTACATTTACTTTTCTTTTCCATCTGGACTCTGACTGATACCAATCAAGAGGAGAGAATTATTCAAACTATCCACAGCGCATCTGTTTACTTTTACTTTGATTGTTGAGCAAAACCATACCGCCAAACTTGTTTCCCTAATTTCACGTGCAAAAAACTGGATCTCCAAAAAATGGCTAGATACTCCAAATCATCCAAATCAAGAGGAACCTCACAACTGCTTGTGTTGCCAACTTATCAATTAGACTCAAATTTGGTATTGTTACCAGGTATTATCTACAATGTTACATTTTCTCGTTTCAAAGCTGCTGCTTTATTATACAGATTCAAAAACGTTGTATCCCGTGTTTCCATAATAAACAATTTGTTGGCAGAATACAACTTTGATGGCAACAATAGCAATAGCAGTAGCGCTAGCCACAATACTAAATCTACCGGTGCAGATGGTGACGCCATTAACCCGACCGTTATTTCACAAGATGCAGTTGATGGCATTACCCAGTTTTACAAATTGGAATCGGTAGTTAATGAAGGTAAGGAAGATGATTCATTGTCAGGACCTATAAACGACTTTGATTGGTTGACGTTTTCTATAACTCCAAACTTGGATAAGATCTTGGAGTCGAGAAACAAAGATACGACTGATTTTGCCAATGTTGTTACAATAGTTCGAGTTGTTGGTATTGTTGATGACTCAACAAATATTAAACTCACTTTGCAAGCACTTACTCGTGGGGTTAAAGTTTCAGATTCACGTGCCACCATGCGTCCAAATGAAACTAAAGTCGTTATTGATTGGAACACAGAAGTGCCCGATATAGTTAATAGGTTTAAGACTTTGAGATCAAACTACAAAAAGCTATTCAATTCGATTGAAAAGTTTCTCATTATGTATCGTGAAGCTTTAAAGGATAATGCAGCTATGGGGAACAATAACCTTTCACTTACGAAAGCTAATTTAGAAGATGAAAAGAAACAAGCTAATCAGGATCCAGTTAAACAAAATTTGTTGACATTGAATCCGTTGGCTAATGCTTTGTACATGCAATTGGCAGGCTCAAAGGACTTCAGCAAAGCATTTATGAGCTTGCAACGTTTGTATTCACAAATCCGTACTACATCTTCTTCATCTGACGATGCAAAAGTTGATGCCAAGACTTATTTGAGGTTGATTGATTTGACAACTGCAATTTTACCATTCCCCAACCATGAGAAGTTGCGAATGTTGAACACGTACAAGATTGATGAAAGATCGGATGCAATCAATGAAATGATGTTGCTATTGAATGATGTATTTGAAGCATTGAAGCAAAATAATTCATTTGCCAATAATTGGTTCCATAATGAAGCTTCAAATGTTCAACGTGCAGCTGTTGTATCGAACCAACTTAAATCGATACGAGTATTACTTGAAGGCATGAGTAAGAGGAATCGAGCTGCACAAAAGCAATCGCAATCCAACCAGCGGAGCAAACCTTTGAATGGAGCAAACCTGAGACATTCACGTGCAAATGGCCCTAGCGAAGGTGGTGTTGGTGGAGGAAGCTTTGAAGAAGGTGATGATGACGAAGATGAGTTGCGAGTTATTGCAGATTTTGTCAAGAACAAATTGCCTACAATCACTTCTTTATCTCCCGATTCCAAGAGGTTGATTGCTAAAGACTTCAAGAGGATTAAATCAGCTGCCAATGCACCTGGAGGCGGAGGAAATGCTGATTTTCATGTCATAAGAAACTATTTGGAGATTGTTATGGATATACCATGGGACAAGTATGTCAGTAAATTCAAGACCAACAAGGAGATTGATTTGAAAGCTGCTAAAGCTCAATTGGACAAGGATCATTATGGTTTAGAACATGTAAAAAGAAGACTTATCCAGTACTTGGTGGTGTTGAAATTGTTGGGTATTAATGCAGCAAAGACTATAGATGAGAATAAGAGCAAGTGTTCTGAAAAGAATGCGGCAAATAAAAAGGATGCCACTGCTGGTGAACAAAATGGAATTCTTATTGCTAATGGAGATGAGACTTATCGTGCTAAACAAAAGGCACAAGATCAAGTTGACAAGTCAATGGAAGATTCTCAGTTTGAAGAAGGTGCTCTTGAAGCCATCAGAGTCACCAAGAGCAACAAATCACCAATCATTGCCCTTGCTGGACCCCCGGGTATAGGTAAGACCTCAATAGCCAAATCAATTGCCACTTCATTAGGTAGAAATTTCCAAAGATTGTCATTGGGTGGTATCAAAGATGAAAGTGAGATTCGAGGACATAGAAGGACATATGTTGGTGCAATGCCGGGACTTATCATTCAAGCATTACGAAAAGCTGGTTGTATGAATCCGGTTATATTATTGGATGAAATTGATAAAGTTGTTGGTGGTAACTCTGGTGCTACTAAATACAATGGTGATCCATCAGCGGCATTGTTGGAAGTGTTAGATCCAGAGCAAAATAGCACTTTTATTGATCACTATTTGGGTTTCCCAGTTGACTTGTCACAAGTCATATTCATTTGTACTGCTAATGATCCATATAACATGACAAGACCACTTTTGGACAGGTTGGAATTGATTGAAATGGGTGCGTATGACTATAATGAAAAGATGATTATTGGAGAGAGATATCTTTTACCAAGACAAGTGAAACGTAATGGGTTCCCTGTATCTAGTGAACACAAGGTTGAAGAGTTTGTCAATATTGACAAGACTGCATTGAAGAAAATTATTATCGACTACACTAGAGAGGCTGGAGTCAGAAACTTTGAACGGAAGTTAGGTACATTGTGTCGTTTCAAAGCTGTTGAGTATTGTGAACAGCTAAACGATGTTTCAAAACGTTACAATCCCCACATTGATGAAAACGATTTATCCATCTACCTTGGCGTTCCATTTGCCAATGGTGATTTCACTGCTAATGAAGCTACATCTATCGGAAACTCGAGAATTGGTGTTGTTAATGGCTTATCGTATAATTCAGAAGGTTCTGGTTCTGTTTTGGTGTTTGAAAGTATTGGATTTGATCGAAGAACCGGAAACGACGGCAATACGTCAGGAACTGGAACTGGTGCCAGCTTGCACATGACTGGTCGTTTAGGTGAAGTGTTGATGGAGAGTGGTAAAATTGGCCTTACATTTATCAAACTGATGATTTACAAGGATTTGATCAAATATGAAGATGAACAAGGGAAACAAAATACCTCAGCCTTGCTCAACAAATTCAATAATTTGGATATTCACATGCATGTACCTATGGGAGGTATACCCAAAGATGGACCATCAGCTGGTGTTACTATGGCTTTGCTGTTTTTATCGGTGTTGTTGGATAGACCTGTCCCCACTGATATTGCCATGACTGGAGAAATCACTCTACGCGGATTGGTTTTACCCATTGGTGGAGTTAAAGAGAAGTTACTTGGTGCTCATCTAAGCCACGGAATTAAGCGTATGATTGTTCCAAGGGAAAACCGTAAGGATTTGATTGAGGAGTATTCAAAGAGTATAATGGAGGAGAAGCACGAAGGTAAAATTGCTAGTTCTTCTTCTTCTTCTAAATCACGAGATGATCATGATGATTTAAATTTCCTCAATCAATTGTTGAAGGATAATGAAGATGTTGATTTCAAAATGAATAATGTTGAAGAGTTTTATTTACAAAAATATGGTATTCAATTGCACTATGCTCGTGAGTTTTATGATGTCATTAAAATTGTTTGGAATGAGGATGAGGTTCTTTTGAAAGAGGAGTCGAATCATAAGAAATTACTCGAGTATCGTATTTAGGGCAACTGGGAGGTGTAAAAGGGACATAGTAAAATGGTGTATTCTTATTGAGTGATTCAACGTAGTGACTGACGGGAGTTTGTTTTCTTTGTGGCTTCCTTTCTCTAATAAAAGATGTATGAGTAAATTGTCAAGTGTCTGTTACACCGGTAGACGGGAGCAATGGCCACGCGTAACCTCGATATGGCGCTATCAGTCTCGTTTTGCAGCACTGCCAACACTCCTTTACAAACAATGAGTAGGATAGAAAGTAAGTTCAGAAATTCATTAGGCCAGGAACTACGTATTTCCCTCTATTTATCTTCTTCTTTTACCTCCTCCTCCATTACCCTCTTCTGAACCAAGTCTTCTCTTTTTACCTTCCTTGGCAAAATACTCCTTCTTTCTCTCTTTTTCCTTCTCCTTTCTCAACTCCTCATTTTTGACAATTTTCTTCAATTTTTCTTTAAACTTTTCATCCTTTTTGGTTTTCCGCTTAACATCCTTTTCCTTACGAATAGTGGCAATCTTTTGCATCAAATCTCTTGCCTTCTTTTCTTCACCACCCAATACAACAGCTCGTTTATTCATATAACTTTGTTTCTTTTGTGGTTTCATTTTATGGATTTGTGACTTGAATGGTAAATCAGCTTGAATCGATTTCGGCACTCTCAATGGATTGAAATGTCTCTCTACTCTTTCGATTTTCTTGTATTGTGAGTCATCTTGTAATGGAGTAGGGATATTGTTTTCAGCACGCACTTGTCCTGTCAATCGCATACCTTTCCATTCAGAATGATGATTAAGTAACAACGATGTGACGGGGTTGTAGAATTTCTTGATTTTGATGGGGTACCATGTCTTGAGGAAGATCGTATCCGACATCAAAATCTTGTCTTCAAAAGTGGCTCGAAAACACCCCTCTGGCTTCGATAATGCTCGTTTGATCTCTCCTCGAATACCACTAACTGTCCTAATTTGGGCTCCTTCGAATTTAGCCACTTCCAAAGCATTGGAAAACATATCCTTGATAAATGCAGTGTTTCGATAAATCTTGTATGGGTGACCAACCAATTTCAATTTTTTCACAATCTCAACTGATGAATTGACATCTTCAACAATACCAGTGGCTGCTACTCTAAACGATCCTGTGGTTGATTTATTGTCAACAATGTTGAACCCAACAAATGTCGTGTTGGGAGCCACCAAGGGACCGTAAAATGATGCAAAGCAATATGCATGTTCAGGAGTATATTTCAACATTCTATTTCTAGTTCGTGAATCTGATGTCGTGTATATGGGTAAAGTTTGGAATCGACGCCAACCTAATGACAAAATCAATGGATCTTGTGATTTCAAAATTTTCTTGTGCCATCTATGTCTTCTAATTCTTGAATTCATGATACCAAATCTCATTTCAGTGGCTAGTAACCCACCAAGAACTAAAGGATACTCGGGCGTGAAATTTTCCACAAATTCACAGGGCAATGAATTAAACACAATTTTTACATAGGAACCGGCACGATATCCTTCAATTTTGATCCTTTGCTGTTGATCCATTTCTTCATATTGAGCCTTGTTGATTTCCAATTGCTTGGCCATCTTGTTCTTTTGAAACTCGTACCATGTTTCAGCCTCAGTGTCACCTTCGGGATCATCAGCTCCAAATTCACGATCTTCTTCTTCTTCAAATTGGGTTTTCAATTTAGCCTTTTTGGCAGCGTTTAATTGACGTTTCTGTTCAACTGTGAGGTTTTCATCTTCAATGAGTGCATTGTCTTCTCCTTCAGCGCGTTCTTCGGCATCAAAGTCGGCAAAATCGTCACCTTCATCATCTTCATCATCATCTTCTGTTTCTTCTTTCCCATCACTGGTATTTACCTTTCCATTTGACTGACCTCCTTCTTCAGCTTCTAAGTCTTCAAAATCGCCATACAATTCTTCATCGTCGTCGCCTTCACCAACATCATCTGCTCCATCATTTTGTTCTTCTTCACCATCATTCAATTTTGGAGCGGTCAACAATCTTTTTTTCAAAATAGCGTACCCATTCTCGTACTCCTCATCACTATCATCAACATTGTCTGCTGAAAACCTCTTTCTCAATTGCTCAACAGGTGGAAACATTGGCTTTGAATTATCCAAATCCTCGCTCAACTCCTTTACATCCTTCTTTTTGAAGAAATCCTCTTCTTCTTGTTCAATATCCTCTTCTTCCTCTTCGTCGTCATCATCAACTTCACCCATCCATCTTTTGATGGCATCAACAGGGTCAATATTTGTCATGTAGATCAATTTGTTGATATCCCATTTCCTCTTGCTAGACCCTTTCAATCTGGAAGCCGCTGATTTGTACAGATTGTCATTGTCATCTTCATCGGAAGAAAGTGCTGAATCTTCAACATATTCCAATTCTTTGTCATTATACTTGTTATCAAAATCAACTTCGACCAATCTGGCTTTTCTTTGATCTTCTTCGTAGTCATCCTCATCGTCGTCGTTGGACTCAGCATCATCAAATTCATCATCTTCCGACACTGATTTCCCGTAAACTCTTGCTTTTCTCATTGATGTCCTTCCAGTATCAACAATGGTTTCTTCGTCATCTTCTACATCAGACAAAAGTCCATGTTCTTCTTCACTCTCTTCCGCGTCTTGTGACACCTCATTCCGCAAAGCACTTGAATTTGAAAACAATTGCAATCCAGGGCCTTCTTCAAATCGCTCAGCCATGGTTTTGGCAACATCTTGTAAATTTGTAACCATAGTTTCTCCTTCTCCTTTGATTTCTCCATCATCACCATTGGCATTGAAACTTTCTTTATCACCAACATCAATATACACGGCATCTTTGTCAACAAGAACCCCACCAACATCAGACATTGGAGCATAAATAATCTTTTGCTTATCTTCTAATCTTTTCCTTCTTCTGGTAGTCTTGGCCAATGGTTCGCCCAGTGCAGCTGCAGCTTTGATCCTCTCTCTTTCCAATTCCTCCAATCGTTGTTCGTAATATGGTGTGGGACAAGGGTCGGGCAACTTCTCCACTGATGACACAATGTAATCGCCAACTCCAGCAATGTGTACATTGGCATCTTGATAGGGTAATGGTGTACCATGAAGATATCCATAAATTGCCACTTTTCGATCACATTTGGGATTTTCAGCAATCAATTGCGGATGTGTTAAATCAGTAATTCGATCACCCAACAAATAAGGGTGTTCATTTCTCCACTTTAATGGTCTAAACTTCATCACCGATATGAACCTGCTCAAATTCAAAATTTCTCTATCAGGGTATCGCCCATTGATGACTCCGGAAAGATAAAATAATTTGGCACCTTGATAAACTTCAGTCCAAAATCTATGTTTTAATCTCTTTTTCGATGTTCTTAAAGTAGACTGCGATTTGAAAAGGTCCAAGTGAGTGGCCACCCCCAATACTCTAGGCATACCATGATGTTGTGCAATGTTTAAAAACTCCATTGTTTCCATTTCTAATCCATAATTTCCATCAATTAAAAGAAGTACTAAATCAGCAATCTTGGCTACATCAATCATGGAATTCAAGTCATTATTGACTTCAATAAATGTCAATCGTCTTCTTTTCCCACTGACAACGGTTATTGGTCCTTTAATTTCAGTTAAAGTAGTCTTGGTCAATCGTCTGATCAATGATTTGATCAAGGTTGATTTTCCGGTACCTGGTGGCCCAACAACGGCAACTATTACTGGTGGAGGATCATCATCAGGGGTACGATCAACCATAGGTACATGCAATTTACGTTCATTGACATCGTGTGATCGTCTTGCCATTCGTTCCAATTTCCGAGGTGCCGCTACGGCAAATGCCTTTTTATTCTGACCATTTTGATGTAGTTTCTTTTTTGCTCCTGTTTTCTTGGTGGCTCCTCTATGAGCCTTGTTTGACTGTTGTTCCATTACGGAGGATGGTGTTGGGAGAGATAAAAGAAAGTGTACCACAGAGAAGGAGGTTTCTATTTGTAAGTTTTTTTTTTTTTTTTTTATTTGTCTTAGCTTTTCCTCATCGCATTGGGAAAGATTTGATCTTTGTGTCATGAAACTGGCAAAATACGAAATGCTTCATCTTTTTGCAACATTACAAACAAATATGGATCACGATACACTGGGACCACTTATCTCTCAGCACTCACAGCCACCGCTATTTCTGAATGAGACATCCTTTTGAAGCCAGCCGTCTACAATTTGTTCTACTCCTACTACTACTATTTTCCCTGAGACAAGTACACTGTATTTGGTATTTCAATTCTCACAAAATATGTAATCCAACATCATCAACACAAACACCGTTTACTGGTTTTAAAATCATCCGTCAATATAAAATATCCGGTTACAATCCACCAGTATCTATGCATTTCCTAACTATTGCTCACTGCAATCGAGGTCAGGTGGATTATAAAAAGGTGTTGCGGACCGAAAGTAATAAATTCATTGATTGGGATGTACCGTTTTGCTTATTGAAACCGAAAGTTAGTGAGAATGTAGTTGGATGGAATGATCAGGCAATAGTACTGAGGAGACAAGGTCAAGGGAATACGAATGATGCTAATATGGGGGACCTTGATCAGAAAAAAAGGATGAGTTCTGGAGACTGGAAGTACTCGAACTATTCACATGTGGCACGAGCAGAAGCAAAAGCAGCAACGAAAAAAACTCCCATTGGGAGCTTGGCACATACATTCAAGCATAAATCTAGTCAAGTAAACCAATTAATACGTAAAAAGTTTGATTTAACAATGGAGAGATTTACAAATGGAAACTGGATTGAGTATAGTGGCAAGAACAAAAACGTCAAATTTGAAAACCACCAACAAAGCACCTCTGGCGAATACATTAAACTTGATGGATCTTCCAATCAACAACACCATCAACAACAACAACAGTTGCAGCAGCAACAGCCGAATACTTCACCATTAGAGGTGTCCCCATTCCATACAGCACTTACTCAAGAAATTAACAATCTAATCTGTTTCAAAATGGCAAGACGTAAACGATTTGCTAAACGCAAAATATCATTCTTTATGCCATACACATTTGTTGGTGGATTATTTGAGTGTTTGGTACCACTTGATCAAAAGCATCAAATTGTAAGATTACTCCTCAATGATAGCCACAACGAAAAGGAAAGCACAGAAAGCAATGTGTACAACGGCATAGATTCAAGAAGACTATTCCAGTTGGATCAACAATTCTTTATGGTGCTGCAAAATTTCCCAATCAAATGTGATTCTCATCTCTCGAGACCAATAGCACCTTTGATTGCCGAAGATTCAACCAAGCAATGGTTTGAAAACAAGTTTCATCACTTTTTGAACCCAAAATTTGTACAAACTATACCCTACTTAACAACAACCACCACCACAACAACAGCATCAGCCTCACTCTCCCTGTCTTCGTCGTGGCTTTCAAAACCATTGCATCTTGTCACCAAACCATTAAAATACATTGGATTTCCACTTGCCTCAAAACACTCAAGTGATGACAATCAAATCTACTCTTTGGCACTATCAATGAGTAACGATGCTGTTTCTTCATGGGCTAGCAAAATTATGGTCAATGAAGATTACAATTACAATGAGATTGATTTACATTGGATTAGTAAAATGGTGGCGTACCTGGCCAATATCTTAAATCAATTGATTGCCCCCTTGGATTTCAACAAGTTGGTTAAGGGGTATAATCGAGCTAATGTGAATGAAAGAGATGCATTCTCTTCATCATCATCAGGTGAGTCTGAGAACACGAAGATGCAACATCTTGGTGCTGACCTTGAAATGAACAGTCTGTTTGCTGGTGCATTATCATGGGACCAAAAAGTAAGTTTATGGTTGGCTTCATTTAGTGACAAGTACACTAAACAAATCTTGTTCCAAATTGAATCGAAATGGGATAAATTGAACCTAGACTAAACTGAGAGCTAAAGATTTATAAAAAAAACTACGACCAAAGATTCTCCTTTGTAAATGTTTCTTTTTTTATACTTTAACGAATGTGAAAAAATCTCCCCCTCTATCTTCTCTTGTCTGTCCTATGAAAATCATTGATATATCTAATAATACAATAAAAATGAAAAAATAAATTTTGTCCTTCTTTTGGGATTATAAGTCTTTTGAGTAAATAATGGGCAAAGTACCATATTCAATCAAACAAAGATGTGCCTCGAGTCCAAAAAGAAGAGCCAAAACAACGTTGATATGTAAACCGTTCCCCCTTCTTCGTATCTATCTCCACCTCCTAATGCCATTTTGCTTTATACAATATTCAATTTATTTGTGGGATTCGATCTGACTAGATTTGAAGTAGTACTCCCATTACGTGCATGTCCATTAGCTGCCTCGTCACTGTCATCACGTACAGGATTAGGTCTTTGGAATTGTTGTTGTTGGTGAGTGCTTGGTGTGAAATCTAATTTATCATTTGAATCCTCCTCATCAAAGTCATCATCGAAATGTAATGTGTCACTGATTCTAGTCATATTGACCTCATCACTACTTCCACTATTATGTTTTCTGTTGACGCTCTTTTTCTTGGATAATTTCCTGGCAAGTTTGCTCTTCCATTCACCAAAAGTTGATGTTGCGCCTGTTGTTCCATCTGCACCTGCACCTGCATTATGATGATGTTCATCAGAATACACCGATTCCGACTCAATTATATCATCACTGTTACCGTTAACTCTATGGTTAGGTCTGATATGGTCAGGTGTAGTACTCGACGAAACATCCTCATTTGATACATCATGCAATTTATACATTTGTGATTCCCAATCAGCCGAATGGTCTTGTGCAGCAATACCCAATGCTGCCAACTCGTTACCTCCAGCATTACCACTCTTTTCGGTGAAATATGTAGATTGACGATTGTTTTTATCCTTGATAGATGACTTCCTTTGAAATGAAAAACGATCATCTTTAGCTGGAGCAAATCTGGCATCAGGATTTTTACTCAATACTGAAAACAACGAAAGGGCAATAATGAAGATCAACAATACAAATGAAAATGCCGCATTCAAGATGAAGAAAACCCATCCCATAATGGAAGCAACTTGTGCTGGTTGGCCAAAGATATCGGAAAAGAATAGAAACAAAAAGGAATTGATGGTGGTGACAATGGCAATCATATAGTTTAAGATATTTGTCGGTTTGTTCAAAAATGGTTTGAGCCAAAATAATACAATGGTGTATGCTAGATCAGCAATGAAAATTGGCCAAACTGAAACCTTGCCACCAATTGATCCTTGACAAAAGGCAATGAAAATACCCTTGAATACATTGTATCCTAGTAAAACCATACCAAACCAATAGTATTCTGCATGAAACATTGTATAACAGAATCCATACTTTTCCAAAGTTTTTTGTTCACCATACAACAATGCAGCTGGGTTATTAAATTTGCGACGTGATAATTGTCCAATACGCAAGACGTTGTAGAAGCTCCAACCAAATACAATAATCATCAAAAGGAGAAACAATACTGCCAATACAACAACAGCACCAGAATCAACTCTAGTAAACTCCCATAATGAGAAAATTGTCAATTGTGTTGATCCAATCCAAATATATCTCAATAATGACCCTTTAACAACACTACTGAAATTTGATCTAAACATGGAAAAACTGCGTGGGTTTAATTTGCCAGATCTTGTTAATAAAACAACAATTGATTTGGAGAAAATCAATAAAGCGACAAGCAAATATCCAATAAGAATAAACCAAGTATATCCAGTGGGGACAATTGATGTTGATTCAATGTGTGAATTATGTCCAATTCTCTTGATACCACGTAAAACAATCAAGTATGTATTTGAATGCAATGAATAATCCAATCCACGTTTAGCATAATCAATCACTTTTTTACCCAAATAAAATGATTCATATTCTAATGAACGTTTACTCTTTTGCACCAATATTTGTTCTGTTTCACCAATGAAATAGGTTGTTGGTGTACCACCAGTCAGTTGAACATACCATCTAAAAATTTGTTGCATAAACTTGATTCGAATCAATCCCATTGACCAAGCTAAATTCTCAGCCCATGCACTAGCAATTGGTGGCATTCTCTCCACTGCTTGCATTGAAACAACAACAACACTTTGGAAATAAAGGAAAAGGGAAACTGCATTGGCAGCAATGTGGGAAGCAGCATTGGAATTTCCAAAAGTCGACAACATGGCAGCAATAAGTAAACCTAAACCAGCAATAACAGCAGTAGCCCATTTAACACCAGTTTGACTAACAGTTTTACCATTGGTAAAACTAGCCTGAAGACATGAAACTTGTTCACCAGTTGATTGGTCACGAACAATAACTTTAACAACAGCGTCAATATCAGGAACTTGGTAAGCAATACCAGGTATTTCCTTGGTATATGTTGAACTGATATATTGAACTGAATCAACTTTCAATTGTCCAGGGTAAAGAGGACAAAATTGTTTCCAACCAATATCACATAAATCAACATCCTTTTCAATAATCATGAACCCATAAGCATAAACTTGAACATGAGCAATTACTTTACCCGAGATTTCTGTGTTTAGATCCAAAGTATATCGTAAAGAACGATCATCTGGGTTGAAAGTGACATTAAAAGTTTGTGGAGAAATTTGTGAATTCTCCATACATGTAACTAATGAAGAAGCAGACAATTTTCTTCTAGCATGGGCTGGTGTGATGAATAGACATAATATCGATGTGATTAGGACAAGAAATTGATTATGTAGCATTTTTGAATAGTATTAAGGGTGGTGGTTGTAAAACCGAGTCTTGGAAGTTGGTGTTCTTAGATGATATTATATCTTGGCTGAGAAAGGGATGAAAAATCTCTTGGTTATAATACTTCACAAGAGAAGAGGAAAAAGAACAGGGGTGTTGATGATGGTGACGATGGTGATGGCGACGATGGACGGTATGCTATAGCGAGTGGAACGTGGTGTGTGTGAGTCTGTGTTTGTTTGGATGATATGTTCAAGATGATGTTGTGTTGAGTGTTGTGTTGTGGGTTTGTTGGTTGTAAAACTTTTGTAAAAAGGAAAGATCAAATGTGAAAAAGGGGAGAGGGTAGTGTGCGCAGCCCAATAAACAATAAAAAAATTAAAAAAATTAAAAAAATTAAAAAATTTCTCTTTAAAATAGTCGTGTATTAGTTGTAAATTGTTATAATACAACCCAACAATACCGCTTTACACAGCCATTATTTAAAACACCCACTTCTCTTAAAGCATACACATACGAAGCTATACATTGTATGTAAAAAAGTTTGGAACTACAACTCATTCATATTACTGACTCAACCATTGTAAAAGTAAATAATGTAAAAGAGTATGTGTATGTGTATGTGTATAAGTTTATGTCTATGCTATGCTAAATTTAGCTAGTTATGTGAAACACATAACAAAAATAAGAATAAGCAAACAAACGTAAAAACCGCTTTTAGGTTTATACTGATCTAAGGGGTGCAAGTTCAGCTGCAGATATAAACACATAAAAACATACGGACATCATGTAACGTCGTTTTTGATCTATCAACAGAGTTGCGTAGTACGACGTATAGGTTTCGATATTGCGTAAGTGTAAGACGTAGATGAATCAAATAGGAATGAGCGGTGGATACACATCGGCTCGATCGGGGGATGCGACAAAAGCAACTGGTTTATATTAGTGTTTTTAGCTTTTGATTAAAGCACAAAACTCAGTACAGTCGTGTAAAAATGGCGATACTTTTTTCTTGATTTTGTGGTGTACACGTGCAAAAGAAGGTATCATCTACACTTTTACTGTACGCGCATAAACAAAAAAATATCAAAATATCAAAACACTAAACAAAACAGTAAAGTAATCAGCCACACTGTAGACACAAAACATAGACACAAAAGGCTACAAAGATATATATATTGCTTCGAATTGCACATCTCCATTCTGCATTGCACATCCATCCGATGATGACAATGCAAACGTATTATTGTTGAAACTAGATCTTCTAAAGTAACACAGACACGTTTATTGTATAACAGAATATCCCAACATGAATGAAAACACAAGCTATTTATTACGTATATGTAGATGCGAGACAACATTTCCAAACCATAGACATCTCTATCAATCTCTAGTGTGCTAATCACCACATATAGAGAGACCTAGTATTACTGTATGGGTTACACTTCAAGAGTCGTGCGCATCATTACGATTTTGGGAAGCGCAAAATTTTAAAGTTTTGCATTTCTGGTTTTTTTTTTGTTATGCAATTTACACTACAGCTTCAATGCTTGATTGGTGTGAGAGTGTGTATCAAATGCTACATGGCTCTCAGTGAATACCACCTGCTTCACAATTCTCTCGATTCTTGTCATGTAACGATAGGTTGGAGTTAGAGTGGAGCACATTAAATGCCAATACGATCGCAGCAAACCAAAGACTGAAAGTAAGACATTGCAATAGTACACTACCACCTCCATAAAAGAAAAACTTGTGCACCACAAACAAACAAAATAAAAAATCATCACTTAACATTTGAGCTTTATTCATTCTTGTACAATCAGTCATTCAATCAGTCACATTACTTGAACTACTTTAGTATCCCATCTACTAGTACTAGTGCCTCATGTATATGTGTCAACTGTCATACCATCACAACCTACTTTGATACGAGCTTTTACCATTTGACAGAGAGATTTAGTCAGACGAATAGAGTTTTACAACCAACATACTTTTTATAAATTGGAAACAGATACAAGCATATCTATACGCACCATTGACAGATGACGAATTACATCAAAGACATTGAAGAGATACCGAACTTGAAGCCACCACAAGAAACATTTGTTGATGATCCAACTTCATTACAAGATATTCATCTTGATGAATTGACATTTGATTTGTTGAATGGTTTGAAAACTGTAAGCAATTTGCACATTTTTCATGTTGTTTACATTTATGCTCTGTTTATCAAATTCATGATCAAATTGCAACAACATCCACATCTTTATGACAAATTTAGACAACAACAATTGAATCAATTGGAAGAAGAGGCTGATTCTGTATCAGCACAACAGAAAGAGAGCTTAAACAATGGAAGAGACACTATTAATTCTTCATCTACTGATTCCTCTTTGTCACCTATGTCACCACCAATTTCCAACTCAAGTTCAACATCAACTACAAATGCAAATAGTTTAGATTCTTCTACATCAACGCTAAGTACTGAAGAACCTAGTGACAAATCAACTACTCCGCCTGTTGCAACCACAACTGTTGAAATAGACGATGGAAACACAATTGTTTGTGATTATACAAATGCAAATGGAATATCGGATGAAATACTTGACAAATATGATGATGATGAGGTCTTATTCAATAGTGAAAATATAGACAATGTCAATTTCAATTACAATGACAATGATAATCAAGGAGACACAAACGGTGGTTCGTTTTCTCCAGGTAAGTACATACCTATTGAGACACTACTTGAACAATTTAAATTGAGTGAGCACAACTCATCGCAAGACGATATCACTTCATCCAAAAAAAGTGTACCCGTCCTTGAATCCAATTTTGCAAAATCGGTTGTCTCCGAAATTGAATATGCACAAACAATCAACCGAAATCTGAACCATTCCACACAATTGAGTAAAGTATTTCAATTGATTAAAACTCCAAATTTACCCATTGATCAATTCCTTTTGCGGATAAAACAATACTCACCTTCGATTTCTATTCCAGCATACCTTCATTCAATTTTTATGTTGTTCAAATTGACTATTTTGCTTTCACTGATTCAACTTACAACAAACAATTCATATCGATTCATAGTTGGCGCTTTAAGAACATGCACCAAGCTTCTTGATGATGTTTATCAAAAACAGCTGAATTTTACTCATGTTGTTGGCGTTAATTTACGTGATTTATCCAAGATTGAGGTTAATTTTTGTTATTTGATCAATTTTAATTTCAATTTGCAATGTTTAGATCAGCAATTGGCTCGGTTTTTGAAATATGAGTTTGTTGAATTATGTCAGTTTATCAAATTGGAGTTAAATGAGTTTTACAATGAAGTTGTTGATAGTTTAGCAAGTTGAGAAAGGAAGAAAGGGGAGTGGGAGTGGGGAGGGGGAGGGACTATGTTGAAAGTGGATTATCGATGCATTTACAATCATTTATTTTTATTTGAGTTACCCATTTGACACTTTACTTTAATGACTTTCAAACTTTATGAGGACTATGAATTACAAAACTAATACATAAAACCTAGACCTCATATCAATACAATGAGAATAATGTCTTAGTTAGACCAAAGTTGATGTAGATTTGAAACAAAAAGAAAAAAAGAGGGAGATGACCGTATACTTTCTCTAGTTTTAAAGGGGCCCAAAAAAATAGAAAAAAAGGCATGCGGCTTCTGTGGCTCGAACACAGTACCTCCAGATCTTCAGTCTGACGCTCTCCCAGGTGAGCTAAAGCCGCAAAATAATAATTTGTAAATTTTACAAAACCCACGCCGGGATTCGAACCCGGAATCCTTTGATTAGAAGTCAAAAGCGATAACCATTTCGCCACGCAGGCTATTCGATGTGCATGAAAATCCCTCTTTTTAACCTACCCTTTTAATTTTGGTCATATGATATATAGTTTAGAACAGTATGTTATCTTTTCTATAGCTTTCAACTTTTCCTACGAATGGTGGTAGAAAGCTGATATAACTCTATCTATCTCTATGATTACTTCAAAATCCAGTGGGTGGCCTTCCAAAGATGTGAAATATTGTATTGTCTGTCTATCGCAAAAGGGTATCTAATATGTGAGATCTTTGAATTCAATTTTGCATAAGTGAACCCCTATTCAAAAGCTTGATCGAAATGGGTCCAGTGAAGGTTTTTGGGAGGATGCTACGTGCAAACGGAAACGACAATTTCAACAATTGTTGTTTGTATTCTTTTTTTGAAAATTTGGTTGCAAAAAGATTAATATAGAAAAACAATATAGTTTGAACCCAGCAAAAGGGTCAACGCAATACTAGAATTGATTATTAACGAAAGCAATGAATAATTACGTCATCTTATGTGAACTATAAACAGTTAGTTGGGGCGATCAAAGCTAGCCCTCGTCTCGTGTGTTTCAACTTCTTACAGAAACTCAGCTCACACAAGGAAACACCTATTATTAGCAAAAACTCACTCAATCGTATAAACTCGTATGAGAAGTATTGCTCATTTGATTACCCCATTTTACCATACCACTTTTCTTGAGTCTTTTCTGTTCTGTGGGTACATTTGAGTGTGAAAGTTTGAAAAAAGAGTAAAAGAGTCATACATTATAATCGCGTCAGCAAAAATGACATGCACTAGACTGCACAACAAAATCTGCTTTCATGACTCATTCCACTGTTGATGTACTCTACCAAAAAATAAAATGTGTCATTTAGCGTCAACTAAGTGTACATGTAATTGTTTTCAAATGTGTCATTAATTTAGTATGTCTCCGCACGACCTCTTGTTTGTTATCTTATCTATTGAATATATATATGTATTTTTTTTTTTGACAGTGGAAGGAGAGTAAAGGTTTTGGCACAAGTCTATTTGTTTTATGATAGTTGAACTGCCATCTGAAGTTATAGAGAAAACCAGTAGTAGCTATGGTGGCGACGAATTCACTGTTTAAAGCAAACGTAGTGTGGTTTTCTCTTTATCAATGCGAAAATGACCCTTTTGTTTACAATTAGATTTTGTGTAACTTTAGTAGACAAAAAACCCACGGGGGGTATGACAGCAAAATATTTGTTTACAGTTTTACACCTCATGTCTCTACTACTTTTCTTTCCCCTTTGAGATCCGTTGATTACTCATAACTACTTCCGCTGGGAAACAAATCAACATTAAATAAGTACTCACCTGCCTGATTCCATTCTTTATACCAATTATTTTATCTTCCGCCTTCCCCGCATGTTAACTACAAGACTTCGACCAATACCTAAACCCTCATCTACAATGAGAAGAAGCAGGAATAAGGCTGTACTAAACAACAGTACGCTGGACATAGCTACAGAAGATAATATTACAAATACAGACGCAGCTTCTTCTGATTACCGTCGCCACATACACACTTCATCACCCCACCATCTTCATCATTCAAAACATGCAATCCTAATACCCAGCCCATTGAACGCGTTGCTTCATTCCGATAGACACATAAAGTACCATTTTTACAACCTCGGTGGTGACTTCATTAGACTTTCAGCCTACCGTCGTTTCAAGCAACTATTCCGAGTTGGAGGCGGGTCCTTGATCAAGGAGATTGTATTTGATTTATCAACATTTTTGAAACGCGAGGTAAATGATGAGAAATCGGGTGTTCACTCAGAGTTTAAAAACTATCTTACTTCGAATAGCAACATTTTGAAAAAACGAGAATCTAGTTGGTGTCTTTGTGATCATCAGTTTGGATTACGAAATTGGTTATTCATTGTGTTTGGATACATGTTGCAGAATTATAAAGAAGAGGAAGTGCATGAGTGTTTGGATGATGTTATCAAGATGTACTTGAATGCAAGAAAGAATCGACTTGATCCTGATAACGTTAGAATCATACGTGACGAGCGTGACAACTTTACATTGTCTACGTTTCAGAACTACATCAATACAGTGGAGATTCAGGAGGATTTATTATTTGGAGATAATGGACCCACTAGATTTGTCACGATATCATCGGCATACAACCAGAAAATTTATCTTCCACCTTTGCCAAGGCTACATGATCGTGATTTATTAGTTAAAGCATTGATGCACAAGGAATTTTATCGATTATTGCTAGACCCACGTCACAATTTTGCTCAAATTATGAAGTCTCACAACTATGATTTATCATTCAGTGAATATGGTCTAATTCGTAAAGAGATTTCATTCCTCGATGGATTAGGCGATTTCTTCTTAGCTCAGGAAACTTCAAGACTTATATTTGACTTGTGCCGCAATTCCAACACCACTACCACCACTAACCTCAATGAGGGCGATGACACCTCCACACTCGACCCCAATGTCAGTTCCCAGACGTACAACTTACTCAAAATGATTCTTGCTACAAACACTCTCATGTCAAAATTAACCAAATGTTACAACTTATACCAGGGTCTCAATGACCCCATAATCAACACGCGAATAGCTGATGAATGGATCCCATACACCACAACTGGTAAATTACCACCCGGGAAAGATGCTAAAGAAGTACGCATTTATGAAGAGGAGTTTTTAGGTGATTTTTTTGAAAGCTATATGGCAGCATTGTTGATTGAACAGCCCCAGGTTGCCAAATCATTCATTAGAGAAATATATAAACGGTTGATTTCAATAATGACAAAGACATTGCCTCCTGAAGTGACGTATCAGAACTGGACTATGAATATCTTGGGAAGAAATATTTATGGTAATAAAGAAGTTGTTTAGAACTATTCACTCTATTGGCTTATTTAGATATACATTTGAATACAATTTTACACAGCAAAGTTAACAATACAAAACAATGCAATAAACAAGGTTGAATACCCGAATCGCCCCTATTGATCACACCCCCCGCGCCTCCTCCTCATATATCACCTTGAAAATAAATTTTTCTTTGCTCTAACACTCTTTTTATACTTTTTATCATCAAGGGTTGAGCTAGACAAAAACAATTGACTTCCAGTTCCGTTTTCATTTTCATCACTAGAGGAAGACAGAGAGTCATCGTCATCATCGTCATCATCGTCATCATCATCGTCATCACCACCAACGACTGATTCCTCTTCATCGAAATTGGAATCGGAACTAATATTTCCATCATTAGCATCCTTTTTATCTCCTTTGTATAACCTCAATTCATCAATTTCCTTGACTTCAGGCACACCACGACTCCTCAATTCGGTCAATGTGGGCAATACTGGTTTTCTCGCTGAAGTGGCAAGTGCAATACCTGAAGGTAAAGATCCACTTGAACTTGCTGGTGGTAGCCCAGTAGCAGAATTACCCATTGAAGAAGCATTCTTCTCGCTAACATTACCAGATTCGTGCATATGGATACCCTTCTTTAGATCTGTTTCACCATTCGGATAATCTACTTGAGTCGGCTCTTCTCCTCCAAATTTGGCATCGCTTTTGCTATCAATATGTTCAGCATCTCCATTCGAACGGTTACTGGAATCTTTCTGCACACCAGTAGATGTCAATAAACGTAATGTCAGAAGCAATCCCAATCCATTCTTGTTGGTACTGTTTTGATGATCAACATTTGGTGAAACACTTCTCTTCACAGGCTCCGATGCAACTAATCTCTTTGGCACATTGCTTTCCTCAATTTTTTCCTCTTCCACCTCACCAACAATCGATTCAACATCACTTGATCCTGAAGATGACGAGTTTTGCTCTTCCACTTGCTGACCATACAATTGAAGACTTGGAGAACCAGTTTCATGATGAGAACTAGCCAACGAAGCAGGAATATCACGCAAGGGGAACTTGGGCGACGTCGTCACTATCCCATTAGTCACTCGTGCTGCAGAAGTAATGGCTCCAATTCCTGTACCCTTGGGGGTAGTTGTACCATCTTGAAGTTGCAGTTGCTCTTGTTGTTGGTTATTGGCGTCTTTAATAAATGCATCACCAGCTCCAAAAGTCGATTTATCAGCTCTTTTCAAAACCGATGGGTCGGCCGAGCCTGATTGTAAATGCATTTGTATATCCGGACTTGGCTGGTTTTCAACCTCTGGTTTGCGCTCACCATAAAACAAACTATTCAAAGCGTCCTCAGTAATTCGTTTCAGGTTAGTATATAATGAACTGAAGCAAGATGACGATTGTTGTTGACGTTCGCGATCAAAGTCCAGATCTTCATTTTCTTGACCCTGTGTAGGATTGTGCCTCGACTTTAGACCCCCTAGATTATTCTCAAGTGGATTTCCATTCTCAATTTCGGCTTGGTTAGGAATCTCCATTTTCTCTTTGGGAAACCAATTATTCAAAGCTTCAAACTTAGATTTCGGGCTCAATGGCCTTGCTCCGACTTCATCATACGAATCATCATCAGAATTCTTTTTTACAGGCTCTTGTTGTTTCTTCTTCCTGATCCTCGATGTTGCCTTTTTCGGTGTCATCTTTGGTGATACTGGAGTTTTTGAGTTGGCACCTCCTTCATTTGGTTTGACGCCTCCATCTTTCGATCTAGCATCAGATTCCTTCGAGTTCTTACTCTTAGACTTGGAATATCTGTTTGGATCATTAATTACATGCCCATCCAGAATAGCACTACCATTGTGACCCATTGCACGTGGCGATTTTGATAAAGGTCCGCGTGTGCTTGGTCTAATCAGTGACGCAACCGAAGAGGTTACGTTTGACTTTGTTGGAAACTTGCGCTTTGGTGTTCCAATTTCCTCTTCTTCCTCTGGCTCATGCATATCCTCGTCATCTTCATTGTCATCATCATAGTCTGGACCACTGGAATTTTCAACTACTTCAGTCACTTCGTACTCTTCATCATCAAATTCATTACCACCAATTGAGTTCTTCTTCCCCAATATCGTATTCTTTGAGTTATTTTCCTTTTCAAACTCAGTTTTACTTTTGACACTATAGGGAAGCGGTCCTCCATAATTCAGTTCGCCAGAAAGATCAAATCTAAAATCAACTACTGGGTCGGTGTATACTGATTCACAAGAATAAGCACTAACAGCGAAATGTTTGGGGACCTTTTTAAATACTCCATCGGTTTTGTACTTGAACACCTGGTCGCTCAAATGATTCAAATTGAAATCTATACTGTCTAGAACATTCATCTTTCTTGTATCATCATAAATTCTCTCAATTGGGCCCAGAGAAGCTGAAATACTATACGGAATTTTCTTTGCGGAAGCTTTTTCTTTACTTTTATTGGTTGTAGTGCCAGCTTGCAGTGCTCTCGTAGTCTGTGTTGTGTCTTGTGTGGCGTTAAGTTTTTGCGCCGACATCCTCGTGATCCTAAGCGGTCTGCCCCTTGTTTTCCTCGGAGTTTCAATTCCAGTGGCAGGAGCTGAGTCGCTCTTCTCTTTATAGGAGAGGGTGACGTTAGCTCCAGCGGGGTATGAACTCGGCTGTTCCTGTGGCACTTTTGATTGTGGAGTTTGTCTGTGTGCTGATGGTGTCGATGTCACTGAAATTGTGTTTGTTGCATCTCTGTTCTTGGTCGATGTTAGATGAGCTAATGATTCTGATTCAGCACCACTAGCCAGAAGATACGGGTGTCCTTCATTTGTGTCGATTTGCAACGACTTTGTGATTGAGTCAATTTTAGGTACTGACTTCTTCACACTTCTAGATTGCTTCTTCATTATATTCATCAAATCGGACTTCCTTATTCGCGGGGTGGACTTCTTGATGATTGGCACGTCGTCTTCAGAAAATGATTTCCCCATGTCTTTGACATCAAGGAGTGAAATATTATCATCGTCTGAATTGTTAGCCAGTGCACTGGGAGAGGCAGTGGGAGGTTTCATCAACATGCCTGAGGTAATTCTTTGGCTTGCTTTAGCTCCAGGACTCTCATTCATTTTTTTCTTGGGAATCTTTGTCAGTGATGAAGTTTGTGGTGGAGCTAAAGACACAGGTGAAGATACTGGTTGTAAATAGTTTCTAGTTGGTGTTGTTGAGTTCTCTGCAGTTATAAGACCTTCCATTTCTTCTCGTGATCGTTTGTATATGGCTGGAGGTCCTTCTAATCCCAAATTTTCATTGAAGTACAAATTATCAACAATGACTCTAACTTCATCATTCAGCTCAAATACATCCTCCACTTGGTAGTCTTTATCCAAATCACATTGATTTTTGTCTTGACACTTGACGACATTAATAGCAGGTTCCTCAGGGTAAAGTCTCTGAAATTGTGCTACAACAGCATCAAGTAATTCACCAATTTGTTTCACAGGATCAATCAAGTGAAGAAATTTCTTGGCTATAAGCGACTCAATCTTTGCTGTTGGTAAGGATGCACATTCCGCTGGAATCAAAAGTATCTGAAGCTTCAATTTTACCATGATTGAGAAAACAATGTAGGATGGTGATGTATATAATGAAATGACAGACTTGAGGTTAGGAAATATCGATTAAGTGGTGCATAGGTAAAATATTGAAGCGCAACAATGTAGTGGTATCTTCTTCCCACCAATGAAATGAGATGTATGAGACTGTGTGATGTTGGATTGGGTTGACTCTCCCAATAGTTTGTTGTTATTCGCCTGCACAGTTGTGGGTGTGTATTAGTTTGTGTTTGTGTTTTGCGTCTGTGTCTTTGGTTTTTTTTTTCGTCTTCACACTACTAATTATTTATAGTGTACTGCATATTACTTAAAAAGAACAAACAAAAATTTAAACCGTCTCTTTACATAATTATACAGAAATCTATAATAAGGGTCCTTATCTTTAATACTCCATCGATTTTTTCAATTCTTGTGCTTTTAATGCCAATGTATGTTTTCTCAACAATACCTCATCAACATCCACTCCAAGATGCGTTTCTCTTTCCATAATATCAACAACTTCTTCCGGATCTACTGTATCCCAAAATGGTTTCCAACACAAAATCTCACCATCAACAGTTCCACAATAATAGGTAGCAGTAAAAGGTCCACCATTACACATGGAACACGTTCTTCCCACGTTTTTGGTCCCTCTTCTAATCAATCGATTGACCAATTTGCCATCGATTGTTCTAAAAATCAAAACCTCACCGCTTTCGGAGGGGAAAAGAAGATATTGTAATTCAGTTTCACCGCTGGGGTTGAGCAAGATTGGCGTTGTTTGTGGATATTTGTTTCTGGTTAATGGTCCAAAATTAATCAATTTGTTTACTGGTGGATAAGGTGTACTGATCATATCCCAAACTCTAATCTTGTCATCATTACCAGCAGTGAACAAAGAAGATCCCGCTTCATCCCAAATTAAACCATTAACAGGTCCCAGGTGAGCTTTAACTGATTGTTGAGTCAAGTTGGCTTCCACAACTGAAGATGGAGATGATGATGATGTCGATGTATTGGTTGTAAGCATATCCAATCGACACAACAAATTTCGACTTTGTCTTATATCCCATATGCGTACTTCTCCATCATAACCACCTGAAGCTAGCAAATTTTGGTTAACGGGATGCCATTTCACACTGAGCGTTTTACCCTTGTGTCCTTTCAATGTATGTGCACTTGAGGTTGATCGCATATCCAATAATCTTATAAACGGCTGATCACTAGCAGTAGCAATTAATGAATTTTCTCCACTTACATCAATCGAATAAACTCGATTATTCAAGTTAAAAGAGTAAACTGGGACCAATTCACTGGTGTCCCATACTTTAACTGAATGATCAAATGATGAAGATACAAACAATCCAGTATCAAACGGCCACCATTCAAGTGCAGAAACACCAAACTTGTGAAACTCACGTGCTGGCATAATTGCAACATTGGCAAAAGCAGTCACTGGATTATCGTAATCGAAAGTGTCAAATCTGCGAGGGTGATGGATTTTATTTAGCTTTGCATCAACTTCATTTTCAGTACGTATTTGTTCTTGTTGATGTAAATCCCACAACTTGATTGAAGAATCACCTGAACCACTAAGCAAAAACCGATAGTCTACCGATTCCAATGAAAGACAATTGACCAGAGCATTTTTATGACAGTTTGAGGGAAACACATCGTATTTTGCTGTTTGATAAAGCTGTGATGAATAGTAGTTGTCAGTGATTATATTGGCAAACTTTAAGGGTGTAATATTACCCAACTTTGTTTCTAGCAAAAGCGATTGCATATCATTGTCGGGAATAAAAGAAAAAGTAGAAAGGTTCCTTCTTACTTGCCCTACGTGGGAATATCAGCCTGTGATGAAGAATGAAGATGGAGCAACAATTTGGTGGTACTAATATAGGAAGTGTATTTTAGTTTTGCGCTTGGAGGCGCGCCTACGCTACCATCATCTTTTGCAAAACTGCAATCATAAATTGGACGAAATCTTTGTAGTTTCCATAATCGAGTTCAGTTTTATTTAACTGATGCAGTACGCAACAATTGAAACAAGGAGTTTGAAAAAACTGGCATGGGGATGACGCTTTTACATTTCAAGTTCGACACTCAAGCTTTGAACCAAAATAACTTCAGTGACTTGCTTCGACCACAATGAAGGCGAATAACATTGAACCATTATCAATTGTATTTACATTTTACCCTTGTGATGCCCTAGATTGGATAGTGTTTAACGTAAGATTGGCCAAATTACTCCCGCTTTTGTGTCAAAGTGGACAACGATTCCTTTAGTTGCATCCGAACTTGAAACAAGCAATTTGCAACTTGATTGAACAAAAATCATTTATAAAATTTAGAAATTTGGATACAGACTCAAACGACCCTGAATTTCATCCACAAAAGTACAAGTACTATCCCAATTTTGATCTTTGTGGAAAGAGTGATTTCAAATCCACTAACGAATTCAAGATGGTAGACACTTTTTGTATTGATGAAAAAATCAATATTGAGTCCCATGTGGTGTACGGTATTCACTCAATTACGGATTTTTTTGATTTTACCGAATTCGTAGTTGATTTAAGACCGAGCAAAATAGTGAAATTGAGACTTCGTGTCAATGTTGGATTGGCTGTCGTCGATTACTTGATGCTCCATATTGATCGAAATCGAAAGTACAATTTTATTTATCACTTGCAAAATCGTTTGGTTGCAATTTCATCAAACGTAGTCCAAGTCTTTGGCTCATACAATGAATTACATCTAGACCAGTTTAAGGAGGTGGAAAAGTTTGGTTTTAGGGATCTCAATATCTGTGGTTCGTTTTCAAATTTTCAAAGATTGAAAATACTTCAAATAGTAGGAATTAAATCCCTGGTTGGCAATTGGCCCTTTTCAGTTGATATTCGCGATTTTCTTATAACTTTCAAAACGCCTGAATTGATAGGCTGTGAATATATCCATATTATTCGAGTAGATGAAGCCGATGCACAATCAATGCAAATTCCTGTATTGGATGATATTTCCTTTAAATATGCCAGTATGTATTTACCTTTGTGTTGAAGATGTATTACGAATGATGACATATTCAGGTACAGCCAGGATAAAAGTAAGAGGATGGCAAAGAGCTCTTGACGGAAACTATGGTGTTCAGGCCACGTTGTTGGATGTGGCGAAAGAAAGTGAATTTGTTTTGGAAAGCTTTGTCGAGATTAAGTTTTATGTTGCAACTGTCTTGCTATGTCCTACAAAGGAACTCATAGTGTCTGGGCAGCTTCTTGAATTTCCTATCTCACAAGTGAAATTGACGTCCAGTTTGACTAAATTGTGTTTATCCTGCACTCTGCTCAGATCCACCGATGAGCTTTTAGAACGGAATCTTTCACACTTGGAATTTTGAACTTGAAGGGCAACCTTGAAATAAATTGGAGAGCATCAAATTTAAGTTGTTCACCACGTTTTCTAAAGTTGAAGGAACTTTACTTGGGCTATTGTAAAATCGGTATGTCGATTGAGTATTTCAAGTTTCCTGACTCAATTGAAAAGTTGATGTTGGAATCAAAAGGAATCAAAGTGTCATTTCCGACGAGTCTAAAGCATTTGGATCTATCGTTTAATACAATACAGAGTAAGAATAACTACATGGGCTTGAACGGTTCATTCTGTGTTGTATTTGGAGATACATTGAAGAAGAGTAACAGAGAGCAAAACTATTGAAACGGAAGTATAAACGCATCTCAATTTTTAGCACATTCTCGACACTTTGTACGTCTGAGCGCAGTGAAGGAATTTTCGTGTTCCGTAATGTTTGGACGACGACGGCAAGTGGTCCAAATTAGGACAAGTATACCCAAATGAGGAAGTGAGGAAGCCAAGGTGTGTTGCTGAGAGAATACTATTAAAAAAAAAAAACTACAAAAGTGTTGCAAAAAATTTAAAATGATTTGTGTGTGATGCTGTTTAGTTCCCGACACAGAAAACATGAACTAACAGAAACCAATACAGAAGAAGCTCTACAACGGGTTATGACTGCATTACAATTGAATAGGGCTTGTGAGCGAATAAAGGAATATTTCAGGCACATTTCAAGTGATACAATACCATCGTCGACAGTGTTATTGGGTGACGATATCCATCCGAATTGACCACATATGAAGCGACTTTGGTTCTTTCAATTCAATTTTTCTTTGATCCTTGATTGGAGCTATTGAACTTACGTTTAACGAGGGAGGATAGAACCTTTGGCAAGGATGGCAAAGCCATATTTGATATCGTGATCTCAATTGGATACAGTATTGTCATAGAAGCAAAAAACTGGCCAATTAAACCTTTTTTCACAAATTCACAAGCGAATTCTGCGCTTCAAATCAAGTACTTAAATATATCCTTGTTCGTGGCATCTCTGAAAACAAGCTGGAAAGGATTTACATAACAGATACTGATTCGGTTATCAAAACTACAATGAAAATCGTTAGTAGCACATGGAAGTTGGGAGTTGACTGAAAAGTAATTGAAATATCTTACTTGACTCATGATTACTTAAATTCAACAACTTACGGGCTTTTTGCATTCCTTAGTGTTTTGGTACAAGATACACCCCTTCCGTGCAAATTGCGTGCATTGGTTGCAAAGTCTATTTGCGAAAAGTACGCACCGAGGAGCCCAGAGGGAGGAGAAGAAGAAGAATGAGTTGTTTTTGCTCTTGGATCTATCTGACTGTCATTATCGTTTCGTAATCTGTTTTTATTTTTATCTTTTATACTTTCGCTAGGTTTCTAGGGTTACATAATTTAAGTGCGGTAGCTGTTTGAGAAGATGTGACTTGTATTCTTGGTGAAGCACTTGGTAATGATCTCCTTCTTTTGTTTATTAAAAGACAAGCATTTCAAGTATCTTACTACACAGAAAAAAACACGCTTCCGTCATTTTGCGAATTTGAAAGTTGGGTTGATTATAGCTAAGACAACCTCACTCGAGAAAAATGCTTGATGTTTGTGCACAAATTCAGCCACAGTGTTTGACGAAACGCTAATCACATTTGGACTCAAAGAGCCTTGTGACGTATTTGTTGCAACTGGTATCAAGTGTATTCTTAGTAGATTTTGAGTCGCAAACAGTCGTGTTTAACTTTACAAATGAAAAAGTGAGGCTACATAGGGGAGAGAAGAAAAAATTTTTTTTTTCAGAGATACATACATAACATATAACAGTTTAATCGATCATTCTAAACCATGTTGGACATTAACGCATTCATTGTTGAGAAGGGAGGAGATCCAGAAAAGATCAAGATCTCACAGAAGAAAAGAGGTGCACCAGTAGAACTAGTTGATGAAATTATTAGCGACTACAAGGACTGGGTCAAGATTAGATTTGATTTGGATGAACACAATAAGAAATTAAATGCCATTCAAAAACAAATTGGTCAAAAATTCAAGGCTAAAGAAGATCCAGCTGAGTTGTTAAAGGAGAAGGAGCAATTGACCGAGGAGAAGAAACAACTCATAGAACGTGAAGCCAATACAGATAAAGAATTGAGAAACAAGGTTAATCAAGTGGGGAATTTAGTTCATGAGTCAGTGGTTGATTCCATGGATGAAGCAAACAATGAATTGATCAAGACTTGGGTACCTGAAGGTTACAAAGAACCAGCACAAGTTGCCGCTGGAACCAATGCGCCAGCTAATTTATCTCATCATGAAGTCTTGTTACGTTTGGATGGGTATGATCCAGAAAGAGGTGTTCGAATTGTTGGACATAGAGGTTATTTTTTGAGAAACTATGGTGTATTTCTTAATCAAGCATTGATCAACTATGGTCTTTCATTTTTGGCAAAAAAGGGTTATGTTCCATTACAAGCACCAGTAATGATGAATAAGGAAGTTATGGCCAAAACAGCACAATTGTCACAATTTGATGAAGAACTCTATAAAGTTATTGATGGTGAAGATGAGAAATATCTTATTGCCACTTCAGAACAACCAATTAGTGCCTATCATGCCGGAGAATGGTTTGAAAAACCACAAGAACAATTGCCAATCAGATATGCCGGTTATTCGTCATGTTTCAGAAGAGAAGCCGGATCTCATGGAAAAGATGCTTGGGGTATTTTCCGAGTTCATGCATTTGAGAAGATTGAACAATTTGTCTTGACTGAACCTGAGAAGTCATGGGAAGAATTTGATAGAATGATTGGTGCATCGGAAGAGTTTTATCAATCATTGGGATTGCCATATAGAGTAGTTGGTATCGTTTCAGGTGAATTAAACAATGCGGCTGCTAAAAAGTTTGATTTGGAAGCATGGTTCCCATTTCAAAAGGAATACAAGGAATTGGTGTCATGTTCCAACTGTACTGATTATCAATCAAGAAATTTGGAGATTAGATGTGGTATAAAGCAACAAAATCAAACGGAAAAGAAGTACGTTCATTGTCTTAATTCTACTTTAAGTGCAACTGAACGAACCATTTGTTGTATATTGGAAAATTATCAACGTGAAGATGGATTGGTTGTGCCTGAAGTATTGAGAAAGTACATCCCTGGTGAGCCAGAGTTTATACCATATGTTAAAGAATTGCCAAAGAATTCAACTTCTCAAAAGAGGAAGTAAATAGAAAAGAATGCTTTATATAAGTTATACAATAGCGTCGACAATGTTGTACCTTTTTTCTGTCTTAGCCTTAGTCTCTGTACCATTTCTCATTTTTTTTTTTTTGTATGACATCATTTACAATTGAGAAAATAAACAAAATCATTAATGGAAAACCCTTTCTATTGAAGAAAAGCTTAGTCGTTATCGATTGAAGTTTATACATGTATCATGGCAACTCCTGTGTATTCATCTAAAGAGCCACCACAGTATACTCAACATGACAATGGAACAGACATACAACAACAGAATTTTGAACACGAACAACTACCTGCATACACTCATGGACCTAATGCGCCAAGATCTTCCACCACTCCCATTTCCACTTCTGCGTCTTCGATATCAGATCAAGAATCAGACATAGTTCTGAATTTCCCTGAAAACAGACCAAAGCAAAATGAATGCAAAGTATGTTGTCAAGATTTATTTTGTGGTGGATGTTTTGGATGTTGTACTGGCCCTGCGAATATGCCAAATAGTGATCGCAATCTAATGGGTAGTATTGTGGTCGTCCTATGTTGTGGCGCTGGTATTGAAGCCGGTGTGAGTTAGAAGGAGCTTGTCTCTGTAGCTGTTGATGCCTTACTTCCATGTAGCTTCCTCAGTTAGGGTAATTGCATAGCATAGGTGAGTATGTTCAATAGACAATAAACACTGAGTAGTTGACTCGCCACACTTTGTTGTTTCTGACAGTTTGATTTGGAGGTATGCCATGTGAAATAAGGGCATGATTAACTCCGATGGTCATAATATGTTAATTCCTGTTTTGTTAGACAAATTAAAATTTCAGTTGCAGCAACGCGCAAACGTTAAAAAAAACAAGCAAGGTATGGAAATAAGTAACACAAAAATGGAACCACTTACTTTTCCCACTCCCAACTTGAAAACCATCATAAAAGAGAGTGGAGAATCGCACCAGATGCCACAATTTTAGCGACCTCATAACCAACATGGGGGAAAAGTGTTGCTACGCAAAAACGATATAAATACAGGTCAATTATTCTCTTCTTTTATTTTCCTCAACTACTTCAACCATTCCAATCTCCATTAAACAATGTCTTCCATCTCATTAGCTCCACAACATCAAATCAAAGGTCAAACTGCCATAATCACTGGTGGCACCAAAAACTTGGGTGCGGAAACTGCCACTGAATTGGCAAAATTAGGCACTAATTTGTTCTTGCACTATAGATCCAACCCAGAAGAAGCTCAAAAATTTCAAGCTGAGTTGACCAAACAGTATAATGACATCAAAGTTGAAATTTATCAAGGTGATTTAACAAAAGCACAAGATATTACTGATTTATTCAAGGCTGCTAAAAATGCGTTCCCCAAGGGTATTGATATTGCCATCAATAATATTGGACAAGTGATCAAGAAGCCAATTACTGAATTCACTGAAGATGAATTTGATTCATTGGATTTGAAGAATAATAAAGTGGCATTCTTTTTCATCAAGGAAGCAGGATTGAACTTGAATGATAATGGTAGAATTGTGTCATTAACGACATCGTTATTGGCTGCTTATACCGAGTATTATGGTGGGTATCAAGGAACAAAAGCTGGAGTTGAGTTTTATTCTAAAGCAGCATCAAAGGAGTTGCACTCGAGGGGTATTACTTCCAATTGTGTTAGTCCTGGCCCCATGGAAACTCCATTCTTGATCAATTCTGAGCAAAAGGAGAGTGTTGAGTTTTTCAAAACTGTTGGGTTACATGGTAAATTGACTCAAACCGGTGATATTGTCCCCATTATTAGGTTTTTGGTGACCGAGGGCACTTGGATTACGGGACAAAATATCTTTGCTTCTGGTGGTTTTACTGCTCGTTAAGAAGAAAGGAGAGAAGAAATAGTTTTATATAGTTTGTCCAGGGTATATGTTGTTTACTTTTAGTACAATCTGTGTGACAATACAACACTTCAATAAAAAGCTCCCCTTGTGTTTCTTGATCGTTATTTTCCTTCTTTATTATTATTATACAAAATCCTTGCCTCTATTTTACATACACAACATCTCCAAACAATCTTCCGCACAGCAACAACAAATTATCGCAGCGCAGCATCCACAGAATGATGAACAGCATCCACCACCTCCTCTTTGTGGTTGTTGTTGGACATACATTGGCTGTTGTTGTTGATAGTATCCTTGTGGTGGTGGTGGACCTTGTTGGTAGTAACCTCCTTGTGGTGGACCTTGTTGATAGTAATTGGACTAGATAGTAGACGTCTGTTAGTATCTTGAGTCAAAGTTGGAGCTGCTGAGGAGAAGAGTAAAATCGGCCATATTGATTGCTCATGAGTCATTAAGGTTATAGTGTTCCCATTGTTTATCGTTGTACAAGACAGAGCTGGTCATTTATAGTTTGGAAACCATTGGCATCCTTCTCCATCTCTGATTCAAACACGTCTAGTTAAGTCCCCCTGATCGTCTTACACCCACAAACACCAACAACTCATGCAGAAACATAGAGCCAACTCTCTGCTAATTGGTTTGATATACATACCATTGTTCTAGTGTGTATGTGCGTATCTTTCTATTAGTATGCTTTGATGCGAAGCAAAAAGAAAAGGGACAGTTTAGGTATTTTATATGTCTATAGAATGATTTGTTTCCGCTTTTGATGAAAAGAATTTCAGAAAAAAGAATAAGAAAATAAAAATAAAATAAAATATGACAATTACGTAATATAAGTTGTCAACCACAAAGAAGTTAAGTACAACTCAGCCTTGTAAAGAGAGAGAGAGAGAAGAAAAGTGACACTGTATATAGTTTTAAAGCTATCAAGAAAAGTAAAACGATTTAGTATTGACCCAAAGAGGGGGAGGGGGCTCTAACTATGCGTGATGCTCTATCAGCAACGTGGGGTGCTGGCCTCCTTTATCATAAAAGCTGTAAAAAAATCATGAGTAGCTTTTCCCAAACAGTCCAACTATATGAAATCTCATTCCAAATTTTAAGCCTCTTTCGTTTCATAACCATATGAAATGACACGCAAGAATACACGGGGGATGTACTATGTTGCATCCCCGCTGTATACAATACTCATGACCTTATACAATCACATTTGTTTGGCTAAGGAGGCCGATTGTAACCTAGGACCCGACCATCGGTTGCAACTTTACTATTCTTTTATTTTTCTATATTTAGAACAAGCTAACAATGTCACATAAAACGCTGAAAAAAATTGTTTGTCTCATAACACGTCATTGGTTAGAGGAGTTAGTCGTGCGCAAAGCTCATTTATTATATATTGTCGCAATTTGGTCTATTGTCGTAACTTTTCCACTTAAGACACAAGCTTATTTGAGAGACTCATTGATGCCCATGAATCAAGAGATTACTCACAAAGCAGTACCATAGCAAAAGGAGCTTATATAAGCTATAGATCTAACTAGTGCAAACTGCTAGCTATGCTGGATAAGTGAATGCAACAGTAATTATTTGAATATTAAACCTTACCAGTAAGCATCTAGTATTTCTTGAATCAATCGAACACCAACTGCCTGATGTAAGCTTTTAGTTTGTCTCTTCCATTACAGCGTCCTTCAATTACCCCAAAAAAAGCAAAACAAGGCCTAACCACGCGTAAACAACGCGTGTAAGCATTGACAAAACATGTTAAAACTCTTAATACCATCTTGTCCTCCTCACTTCAATGCCAAGTACTCAGTAATTGTCCTCATACTAGTCTGTTCCATTTTATTTTGTCTCTTTTGCTCATTAGCTCTACGCCTTTTATCCCTCATGGCATTCAACTTCATCTTTATTGAACTAGTTGTTGAGGCTATTGTTGATGTGGTTGATTTTATTGAAACGTTGCTTGATTCCACTTTTTTCAAATTTGACATTTTGTGATGATGTTCTGTTTGACTATTGGTGAGTGAAGAGGAGTCGTTATCAACTAGAAGGAGAATTGTTGTGCCATTTTATATTGACTTTTACCTCAATATTGATGTTTATGAATTAGTAAGCTTCAATCAAGTGAGTCACAATCGCAATTGCGAAATAACAACCAATCAGCTCCATGTACAGATCCAAACTAACCTAACTTCAATTTATCATAACTTGAACAATACGATCAGCGCTTTCTTTATTGTGTTCTTTGATGACTAATTTATACAGAAAACCCCCCTTGTACATACAATAACAACTTGGTAGCATTACAATTTCTCTCGTAAATTAACAATTAACTCCATACTTTTTTCTCCCTTATGCGCGGCTGATAAATTTTCTCGTAAATTCAAAAAAACTCTTAACTCCTAACGCCTTTTTCTATGATATGTATTCTAGAATTACCAACCTCCAAATTTATTACTTTTCCTTCCCCCCTCTCCCACTCTATAGTTAGCTGCTCACTCGCCCTTCAACAAAATTCATAGCTTCTTCCTTGTCGATTCCAACAATACTACTCACTTTATTATTAAAGGCAACCCCATAAAACTTGTTACCAGCCAATGACAACAACTCCGATCGGAAAGTTGTACATATAAATTGGGCATTGGCACTTAGTGAGTGAATCAATGATGCCACTGATGTACGATACTGGGTATCCAAATTTGAGTCGATTTCATCAAACAAGTAAAAAGGTGCTGGATCACAATGTTGAATGGCAAAGATGAGGGCGATTGCACATAGTGACTTTTGTCCACCAGATAATTGCTCAATCTTTTGTTGTTCATCATTTTTGGAATTGAATGATACTGAGATGGAAACACCGGTGTAATTGTCTATTGAGTCATCAACATCATTATTAGAACTCTCCTCTTCATCATCTTCGTCATTTTGGTGTCGTTGCGTTTGAGTTTGAGTTTGAGTATCAGTTCTCTTCTTCTTTTGCAATTCTAAATACCCCACCCCCTGAGGCACCAATTTCTCAAATATTTCGTGAAAAGCATGGGCAACTTGTTTAAAGCTATTCATAATTGCATCCTTTTTTTGTTGTTGCAATTCACAAATCAAATCTTCAATTGATTTCTTCGATTCATCCAATTCATCCTTTCGTGAATTCAAATCATCTCGTTGTTTGGTGAACTGATTGTATTGTTCCATGGCCTTTTTATTAATATGGGAATATTTCGTTAATTGTTTATTAATCTTGTTCAATTGAGTTACTAGATCATTGGAATTAAACTTGTCAAATTTTTCAGGTTGGAATGCTTCTTCGGGCAACATACCCAATTCTCTAATTTTCTTATTCACTTCATCTCTAGTTTGTTCTTTAATAAGTTTTTGATTGAGCAATTTCGTGGCTGATTTGGAGAATTTTTCAAAATCTTTCAATGTGGCAATTTGTTGTTCATTGGCTGTTTTCAAACTCTTTTCATTTTCATTGATTTCCTCAACTATTTGGGAATAATTTTCACTAGCTTGGTCATTATGGGATTGAGCTGTGTCGAGTTGCATTTGTAATGATTCCAATTCTTGATTGAGTTCGTTGAATTCTTGTTGTAATGATGATTTATCGCCTAGTGACAGTTTCTCTTGCACCAACATGTTCAAACTTAATCTTAAACTTTCAGCATCATTCTCCAATTCACTTATTCCAGTATCCCATTCCAATGCAGAAGTCACAACGTCATCCAATTCACGTTCAATTTCAACAAGTTTGTGATTAAAAGACTCTAGCTGCTCAACTTCTTCCTCACTCAAAGATTGGGTGAAATCAGAATTCAATTCCCTCTCAAATTGCTTCAAATTGGTAGTCAAAATTGACTTTGCTGATTGCAACGAGTCCGAATTTGACTTCAATACAGAAATTTCCTCATCAATGTTGAACCTCTTAGCCTTTACTTGTGACATCTCAATTTCCATTGGTTCTTTAGCACCTTCCAATTTATCCAAATCACGAATACTCAATTGCAACTCATTGTTCAAATTTGTCATTTCTTGATTGAGATTGGATATCTCTTGACCAACTTTAGTCAATTCAGCTTCAGTCTTGGCCAATTCGTTCCTTTTTTTCGTTTGCAACTTCATTGCATCAATTCGAGATGTTTTGTAATCACGGTAACCACCTGATAATACACCCTTGGTGTCAACTCTATCACCATCTAATGTGATACATGTCAACTTAAACCTCCGTGAAAGTTCAGCTCCTCTTTGCAATTCATTAACCACTAATGCTTTGCCGAAAATTTGATTCATTGCTTTACCAACAGTTTCTTGATTATATTTGAGTTTGGAAATCAATGGCAAACACTGATTCTCTTGTGAATCAGGGTACTCCGACACCGACGTATCCTCAATACGATTCAAAGGTATAAATGTTACCCTTCCTGCCTTTGTGCGAATCAATTCCTCGATAAGCAACGCAGCAGTGGCATCAGTATCAACAACAACATGAAATAACGACGTTCCTGCTATGACTTCAGTAGCAATCTTGTATTTATCGTTAACATGAAATAACTCAGCAACAGTTCCATAAACATTTTTTTCAAGATTCAATTTCTTGGTAATTGATTTAACAGCAGCAATCCCTTGAGCTTGAGCACGGTCCATGGTTCGATTAACAAGATCACTGGCATTGCTGTAGTCATTGGTGACCGAGTCAAACACACTTTTCAAACGAATTTCATCTCTCCATAAACTTTTTCTTTGATCAACGCATTGGTTTATTTTAAGTTTTAATGATTGAATACGATTCTTCAATGACGCAATCTGAGCAGTGTGTGTTTCGTCATGCAAAAGTGTCTCCAATTCAGTGATTCTTTCTGAACAACTTGCTGCATCACTTGCTTTACGTTTAAGTTCATTTGTTATCTGTTTCAAGTCTTGTTCCTTCTCTTTGACCCGTTTCTTCAACTTTGAAATCTCGTTAGTCAACCATGAATCACGTTTTTCTCTATTTTCAAACTTCAGGAACCTATGTTGCTTCGAGTAAAGAGCCCTCTGTTTTGAGTGGAGCTCAGACATCTGTTGTTTCAATTCTGACTCCCGTTTTTGCAACTCAATCAAACGAGGTTTGTCCTTGGCAACTAAATCCAATTGCTGCTTGATTTGTGCCTTATGTGTCTCAATCTGATCATCGATATCAGTCGATTTGTCATCTACTGTGTCCAATTTGGCTCTCAATTCATTAATCTTAATCTCCTTTTCGGCAATACTTTTCAACAATTGATTACAATCCAAATCTGTTTGCTCTTTTTCCAATTTTAAAACTTTCAATGACACTTTCAACTCATTGATAGATGTTTGCAATTGCAGACACAATTTTTCTCTTTGCTCCATTTCATTCAAATCCTTTTGTGAATCAGTCATCAATTGTTGATGCCTATTTTCTAATTCGCTAATTGAATCATTCAATTCGTTGAACTCCCTATCAAATATATTGTACTCCAACACTTTCTTTTGTTTCTCCAATGTTTGAAACTCCTTCAAATCGTCACTTTCAATTTGCAAATCACTAATCTTTTCATTTATACTATCCAATGCCTCATCGATCCTTTGTCTCTTCAATGTAGACTGGTTCATTTCCTTCATTGACTCTTTCAACTTACTCTCAAACACGGTAGCACCACTCACTTCCTTCAACAATGACAATCTCTCATGATCTTTTGAATTAGTTAAACTGGTGATTCTTCCCTGTGGGACGATATAGTATGGATTTGATCTTGAAAATCCAGCACTTTCCAACAAGTTCATAATATCCGACCTAGTAGCTGATTTCCCATCCAATGAATAATCATCCTTCTTCATACCAATAGTCCTTCTAATGGATATTTCAGATTTAGCAAGGGGGAAACGTCCATCAGTGTTATCAAAAACAATCTCAACATAAGCAGACATAACAGTACCAGATCCATCATGTATTAGTGCTTGTCTTTCTTCTCTTGTCATATGTGTGTACGCGTCACTAAGCACAAATCGAATTGCAGCAAAAAAGTTGGATTTACCTGATCCATTTCTCCCCACAACAACGTTACAATGGGGACTCAAATCATCAATAACAGTGGCATTCTTGTAAGTCTTGAAGCCCTGTATGGCTATCTTTTTAATGTGCATTGAGTGTGGAATGAGTAAGTTTAGTCTGTGTGTGGTATCTGTTGTTTACAATTTTTCTTATGCTTCAAGACCGCAAAAGAAAAATCTTAATCTCTCAGACGCGTAATACTAGACTTTTTTTTTTTTCCATTTGAACAACCGCAAAATGTCTCTCTACACACATGACAAACCAAAAACAGTTGAAGCCACAAAGGTGGATCACGAGCTGTGAGTGCTGTATTAGTTTCGATTCAGATGTTACTGCTGGTATTGATGTTAACGGGTCATGGGTTCCGAGAGTGTGAGACAGCCGGGCTATTTTGTATGCGGAAGCTACATTTATATACTTTGAATTCACCACAAGCATCACAATTGGATGCTGTTGGCAGCATCGGACGTTGGCTGAGAAGCTCATCTCTTGATTAATTTCCGATGGATATGGCTTTTGTCTGCCAAGAGGAGATCAGTTTTAAAGTTGAGACCGAAGTCTCAAAGTGTTAGGCCAATTAGGAAGTATGCGCTTGTTGGCACCCATCCAAGCTATTGTAATTGGCACAAACAAGAAAATAATTGGAATATTATCAATTACTCGAATGTGGAGACAAGCATCCAGGCACAACAAAATTCCCCCTCCTTCAGACGGTTGTGGATAATTCTCACCGAGAAGAATGATTTAGCACGTCTAAAGTGGACCTCCAAACCAGTATGTGCCAGCATGCATGAGAATGCATAGATCGGTTCGAAAATCTAACTCCATTGCTGAAAAAAAGCCTTCATAATCAAGATTTCATTGAGTGGAGCTGGTCATGATCTCTTTAGCGGGGAGAGAATTTCATTATGTCACGGTCAGTTTGTGGAAGTTTTGCAAACCGGAACTCTAATCCCACTCGACAATTTTTTAGAATGAAATTGACTACATATATAAATGAGTTAAAATGAACTGGTCTGATGTTATACCTCCCTTTAATTCAAAGCTAATCAAAGATGAGTTTGTCTTCCAGGTTAAGTGAGGATGTTGAAAAAGATCATGGCCATCACCTTTTAGAAGCAATTCCTGAGGGACAAATTAGTTCGATCAATAAGACTGGGTTGGAACTTTACGAGAAAGCCCAAGATGTTTCCGAAGAGGAAGACTATGAAATGTACAAGAAGATTGTACGAAAATTGGATTTTCGAATTGTTCCATTATTGTGCTTTACCTATATGCTTCAATTTTTGGATAAATTGTCATTGAATTACGCATCTGCCTACACATTGATTGAAGATTTGGGTTTGGAGGGGCAAAGGTATTCATGGGTTGCAGCTGTGTTCAATTTTGGATATTTATTTTGGGCCTATCCTGGAAACTACATTATTCAAAAATTACCTGTGGCTAAATATACATCATTCATGCTCTTTTCATGGTCAATCATATTGGTTGGCCACGTCGGATTAAAGAATTACCCTGGTGCATTGGTTATTAGGTTCTTGTTGGGCATGTTTGAAGCCGGTATTAGTCCTTCTTGTATGATGATTTGTGGTTCATTTTACACCATTCAGCAACAACCTATTAGAATGTGTTTGTTTTTGTCATTTAATGGTATTGCAACAATGTTGGGTGCATTATTAGCATTTGGGTTGGGACACGTTGAGAACGCCACAGTCACTCAGTGGCAATTGATTTTTCTTGTCATTGGATTAATCAATTTCGTTTGGTCAATCATCTTTTTTTGGTTTTGTCCTGATTCGCCCCTGGGTGCCAAGTTTTTGACTGAACAGGAGAGATCTATCTTGATCAAGCATATTGCAAAGAATAATCAAGGTGTCAAGGATCAAAAGTTCCAAAAGCATCAAGCTGTTGAAGCAATCAAGGATACAACAGTGTTGATGTTGGGTGCTATTGGATTAGCGTGTGGTGTTATCAACGGCGGATCATCAAATTTCATCTCAGCATTGATTAGAGGATTTGGTTTTACTGGGATTGAAGCTACGGCCTTGCAATTACCATTGGGTGCAATTGAATTAGTTTTTGTTCTTGTTGGTGGCATTATTGCATTAAAGGTTAAAAACACTAGATGTATCGTGCTTTTCGTATTTTGCATTGCTCCACTAGGTGGATTGATTGGTATTCAAACAATACCCTTGGAACGAAGATGGGATTTGGTTGGATGTTCATTCTTACAATATATCATTGGAGGTCCAATCATCATGTGTTGGACGTTATTGAATGCCAATGTCTCGGGTAGTTCAAAAAAGACTGCAGCCAATGGGTTATGGTTTTTGATGTATGCAGCAGGAAATATTACAGGAGCCAATATCTTTTACGCCAATCAAGCACCAAAGTATAGATCTGGTATCATGGGGATGTTGACAAGTTACTGTGGAATAATGGCGTTGGCAATTTTGATTCGATTGGTTTATATGAGAAGAAATAGTTTGAGGGACAAGGAATTGGGTGAACAAACCGAAGAACAAGCAGAGCAAGCGGTATTGAATGGGTTTATGGGAATGACTGATTTTGAAAACAAAGGTTTCAGGTATTCACTATGATGGGGGAAGGGGAGCTAGAGCTGAGTATGAACTGTATATGACATGTTTATTCTTACTTTCGATGTAAATTTTTGAATCATTGTACAATGGATATGGTTGCAAAAGAGACCTGCATATAATGAAATCACCAAATTGGACGAAAAAAGAAAAAAAAGAACAGACTTGAATCTCGTAAATGATCAGAATTTTTTGTCGTACTCTAGTGCATTGAGGGTTAATGGCGAGAACGAGAAATGGGTCCAAGAAGACCTCAGCAAAGGAGGATATAACGTTGAGATCTACTGCTTCGATATTCAAGCATGCCGATCCAACGCTTCTTGAAGAAGAGGACAAGCAGAAGAAGAAACAGACGAAGGATAAGGCAGTTGAAGTCGGCACTGATAGCGAACCTTTAGGAAGTGCCCAAGATGATATTGACAATGCAGGATTTCCGTTCAATTACCTTTACAAGTTTCAGGATTTCTTAAACGAACACGTTAATCTTTTGAAAGGGGTGCAATTGCTTCTTATTGGGTTTTTTATGCAATTGATTTACTTGAAACAGGACCATTTTGACCATTTGAAACTGACATTACCAATGATTTGTTTTAATTGTATTGGGATGGTTGCATGCACGGTGCTTAGTATAGTCAAGAGCAAACTGGAAAAACTACACGTTCCCGATTTTGATTATTTTTATTGCGTATTGATTCCATCATTGATTGGTATTGTTCATTTTGATCGTAATTGGATTATTGTCAATTGTGCGCTCAATTATTTCATTGTTGATCAAATGAATCCTATTTTTAACATGATTTCTAGTGTTGTATTTTTTGAGATTTATAAAGAGGACTCGAAAGCTACTATGGATACGTTTCAGTTTATTCAAATTGCTGCAGCACACTTTTTCCTCAGCTATGCATTGAATCATATTAATGATATCAATGTTCACAATGTGGCGGATGAAGATGCCGTAGAAGGTAAGAGATCATTGAAAAAGTCAGAGATACAACTTGTATGCTTGTTAGTTGTGAATATATTATTCAACCATAGCTTAATTGCTCAAGCTTTGCCATTGCAGATTTTCCAAAAATTGTTGGTTAGCTTTATTGTGACTGGGCTTTTTGCATACCCTGTTTACAAATTTATACCAGGGTTGATTAACATTGCTTTGTTTGGAGGTGTGTTTTGCTACTTGACCATATATCAATTGAATCGCGTTGTTGGCAAAAATGCATTGATTTGGTTGTATGAGTATGTTGAAAACGATGTGGAAAAGATTTACTTGGTAAAAGTGTGGGTGAGTCTGGCCATAATTGTAATCCCCTTGGTGTTTCTCCTTGCCAACTCATTCAGTTTGAATGTAAGGAGAAAAATCTGGCACTTGTATGTGATCTTCGCCTTGACGTTTTCGCCTGAGATATTATTTAGTGAAGCTCAATTCACCTTGCTTGCATTACTAGGTATGATTATTGTGTTTTTGATAATCGAGGTGCTCAGGCTCAATCAAGTCAGCTTCATTGGTAAATACTTGTTCCAGGTGCTTGACAAATTTCAAGATCTGAAAGATAAACAGGGACCAATGAATTTGTCGTATATTTATTTACTAGTTGGAGTCACTACCCCAGTTGTTTATGACTATCTCGTTAATGGAGAAAAGACAAGTGTGATTAGATACATTGGACCTATCACATTGGGAGTTGGTGACACTTTAGCTTCCGTCATTGGTAGAAAGTTTGGCTCAATCAAATGGAAGGGAAGTGAAAAGTCAGCACAAGGTACAATTGCATTCATCGTTGGATCATTGATAGCAATCAATGTTGTGGAATACGTCAACGCTGACAATAAGAACTACTTGCCAGTTGCTAATTGGGAAAACTTGTTTGTTTCGATTATACTAGCAGGCTTACTAGAAGGTACGTCTGACCTCAATGATAACTACTTGATCCCCATTTTCCTCCCAGCTGCATATGAATTGTTAAATAGATGCTACTAGACGTTTTGGAGACTTTAATGCACTTTTATTAGACCTTTTTTGAGCGCGTCTCTTGCCAAGTCCTTCTTCTTTCTTTTACAGTAGCTATTGTATGCTTCTCGTTTACATGTATAAGGTGATACTCGTATACGATCTTCCCCAATCACCTGTTTTTTTTTTTTTCTTTCGGTATAATGTGTGTGTCCCCTATAAAATCTAGACCCATAAACAAACCCTTTTCTCCATCAACAGAAAAAAAAAAAAAAAAAAATTAAATATACCCAAAAGTCCACATATCAAAGTTTACACTTTTGGTTCTTATTTTTTTTTTTTTTTTGACACATTAACTTGCAGTCAAACGATCTTTCACGAGATTCAATCATCATAATGGTATCACAAAGGACGCCAAAGATCCTATCACGGAACAATGTGATTGATCTCCTAGCCGAAGGGAAAGTTATAGTAATCTACGAAAGACTGGTTTTAAATTTAACTTCGTGGATATCGAGACATCCAGGTGGAGACAAAGCGGTTTATCATATGGTTGGTAGAGATGCCACTGATGAAATGAATGCCTATCATGATCCTCTGACGTTGAAGTTGTTTAAGAATTTCAAAATTGGTGAAATTGATCATGCTTGGGAGAATCTTTTACCACCTATTCAAGGGGCTGTGTATGAAAAGGGGCGATATGTTGGAATCAAGGGTGTTGATTTGGATTCCAAATTGGATAATAACTTGTCGGAAAGTGGATCGGATTTGGATTTGCAAAGCTTACCAAGCACGATATCGGATAAACTGGATGAACTTCCATCAACATCAAAGGGGAATGGACCAAAGGGATGTGACTCTGACCCCAAACTTGTTAAACCGGTTGTGCCACAAAATGTATTGGTAACTGAATCAAATAAAGATTTGTTGTTTCCAGTACTGCATTCGCCTATTGTTGATCCAAAACTTCTCATGACAAACTATGATAACCAATTGTCTCAACAGGATATACTGTCGGTCCCATCGTTGGATTACAAGACCCAAAGACATTTGAGAGATGAGTATAATGAGTTGCATGAATTTCTCATTAGTCACAATTTCTATCAATGTGATTACTGGGCATACGTGAGAGAAGTTGTTAAAATTACATCACTTTTCTTGTACTCGTTGTCATTTTTCAAATTGAAATGGCTTATCACCAGTGCTTTTTTCATGGGAATGGCTTGGCATCAAGCCACATTTATCGCCCATGATGCGGGACATGTTTCAATCACTCACAATTATCAATTTGACAATCTTTTTGGAATGATTATAGCTGATTGGTTTGGTGGTTTGAGTTTAGGTTGGTGGAAACGGAACCACAATGTTCATCATTTAATCACCAATGATCCGGTTCATGATCCTGATATTCAGCATTTGCCATTCTTTGCCGTTAGTGTAAGATTGTTTGATAATGTTTATTCAACATATTATGAAAAAATATTGTACTTTGATGCCTTTGCGAAAGTGTTGGTTCCATTGCAACAGTATCTTTATTATCCCATCTTGTGTTTTGGAAGATTCAATCTTTATAGATTGTCATGGACGCATCTTTTGCTTGGATTGGGCCCCAGAAGAGGCAAAGCGGCATGGTTTAGATACTTTGAACTAGCCGGATTGAGTTTTTTCTTTTATTGGTTCTTTTACTTGTTGGTATTTAAGTCGATTGATGGTGGATGGAATAGATTCAATTATATAATGGTTAGTCATATTGCCACCATGTTGGTCCATGTTCAAATCACATTGTCGCACTTTGCAATGTCAACGGCCGATTTGGGGGTTAGTGAGTCATTCCCATCAAGACAACTTAGAACCACCATGGATGTTGATTGTCCTGAATGGTTGGATTTCTTACACGGAGGATTACAATTCCAAGCTATTCATCATTTGTTCCCACGGTTGCCACGTCACAATTTCAGACGGGTGCAACCTCATGTGATTGATTTTTGTAATAAAGTTGGACTTCCTTATTCGATTTATGGGTTTGGTGAAGGTAATGGTGTTGTTATTAGTAAGTTGGCTGATATTGGGAAACAATGTACAATTTTATTAGATGCAACAAAGAAATACGATGGTGATTTATATTAGGGATAGATTTTTTGGGGGGGGGAAGGTTTAGGTTGTGGGTATTTATTTAGGGATAGATATTGAAGGACGTTCAAGAGTCGAAAGAAGACACTGTAAATCCTATGCTATTTAAACTCTGATCATCACTCTTTCTTCATGACATTATGATCAATCAACCCTTTATCATCAAGATACTTGATGAAATCAATAACTAAACTATTTTCATTCTTTATTTGATCCTGAGTGATTAAATGCTTGAAGAGGGATGATTTTGACGTTGCCGTATTTTCCGTTCGATTTGAATACAATTTAGGCACGAGAATAGTAACACCATTCAATTTCCTCTTGTAATGAGTTAAACTATTATTGAATTTAGTGGCAATGGGGTTTGGATCATCACGAGGGTTGGACGCTTCATGAATGTTTTTGCACTTGTTTCCATATTTGCATTTGCCGTATTGTTGGAAAAATCGACAAATGGATTTACTTTGCTTATTCTCGGGGAAAGTTGCTTCGCTTTCATCGATTGGCCGTTTTTGTCTCGTGTTTTGTTGGTTTGATTGTTGTTGGTGTGTTTTAAGTTTTTCCTCCTTGAGTTGTTGTTTTCGTTCAACATTGGCTCTGGTGGGCCAGTTTTTCTTTCTCTCTTCTATCCATTTGGCTATATCTTCTTCCGTTTGCAATGTGATGTTGGTTCCGGGTATGGCGATAGCCTTTGTGGTGGTGATGGTGGTGGTGGTAGTGGTGGTGGTGGGCATTGGGATTGGCGCTGGTGGTGATAAATCTTGAGTCTCTTTTGTGTCCGGTACGCTTTCGCTACCTATCGATGGCTGCAAGTCATTGTGGGCTGATGTATTCGGTGTTTCATTTGGTAAATGTGTCGGTAGATCAAGTAGAAAGTCCATTGTTGAAGATTCGTACGTTGTGGAGTGATGCTCGTTTTAGATTTCTCTTATCGCGTTATTTTTCCGATGAGTATAAAAGAGGCGAACTTGAGAGGTTTGCACACAATGAAATTGCCGGAGTTAAAAAAAAAAAAAAAAAACGGAAACTCAGATTGCTGGAAATAGTCATTATAAGAACATGGTTGAATTCGTTCTCTTTTGAGACGATTGGTGAACTCATAAAGATCTTGAGGCTGTAGTTTTGGTTGACACTCTTTGAATATTTTGGTAATTGCCCCTTAAAGCCCTCCACGTTCTAGTTGTCTTTGTTTGTCATAACATTTAAAATTGCCGATTGGTTTTTTCTTGTAGTTGTGGTTTTGTTGAATTTATTGTCTTTATATATTGGATTGGGTGCAAAATACAAATTATTTGGTGGTTCAATAATCAATGTTTTTTTGTAGCTTGGTCCTAAATTGTGACCAACCTGCAATTTGTTTCTCTAGGCTTTCTCTGAATAGCTTGATCGACTCAATTATTGTATTGTACATCTCATAAGAGGTCAATCTTGTCACCTTAGACAATTAAAAAAGGTACTGTTAACGTGACTCACTACAACCTTACTGCTCCCTGATTTTGAGTAACAAATTCAACAATTAGGACGATTGGTGTAGTGGTAACATAATTGCCTTCCAAGCAATTGCCGTGGGTTCGATTCCCGCATCGTTCAAAATTAATTCTATTTTTTTAAAAAAAAAATTTCTTTTTTTGTTTTGCCAAACATCAATTGACCTTATTCTTTAAAACCACTTGAGCCTAGGAGTTCAAAAACGCAAATTCTCTTGCATTTTTTTTTTTTTTTTTTTGACACAAATGATTGGTTTGTTGTATTCAATATAGGTGGGTCATATCATACCTTGTTTTGTTGGTATAAACTTCTTTTTTTTTTTTGCAACAAAATCCACACAAAACGTGATTTTTTTTTTTTTTTTCATTAATTTGACAAGAAAGAAGGAATGAAAAATCGCAATTAGTTTTGAAGCCAAGGTTTGATAGTTTTGAGTAAATTGTCAATCCTATTTCTGGGTTCATAAATGCGATTTTTACTTTATGATGGGTTGCATAAAAGTGATTGCCTTGAATACCAAGAAGACGGTATCATTTTACCAAAATAAAAGTTTGTTCTTTCTTTTTGTCATGGAGAATACAAAAACTATATTCAGTCTTGCTTACAAGAGGGATGCTTTACAATTGTTGATGATACAACATACCTATTCCGAGGGTGGATTATGTCTTTGTTGTTAGAATGATATTTAATCAAAGGCAAGTGCCGGGTAAGTTTGAGAAACGTCAAAAAAAAAAATTTAAAGTTGAGCTATCAGATGTTGGTTTTATGTATAACACATATTTTGCAAAGAGATTGATGTTAGGGGGGGAGTGGAAGATTATTCCCATGCAATTGTTATTGTCCTCCAGTAGTGTTCAAGTAATACAAGTATACACATTGCGTTGAGTGCATTGTACATTGTTTGCGATGGAATTCCATTTGTGTATGGGGTTTCTTCTTTTCTTTTGCAATTTCAGTTGAACTAGTTTTTGAGTTTTAAAGTTTTAGGAGTTGAGTCTTTTTAAACTGAAACCAATCTGTCCAATTTTACTTTTGTGTAGTAAAATAAATTAAATTATAGCTGAAATCCGGTTTGTATTAAATTCTTCTTCTTCTTCTTCTTCTTCTTCTTCTTCTTTAATTTTGTAGAAAATCCTCGGTAACTTTAAAGAAAACCAGAAAAATAGTACAGTTGTTGATTTTATGTTTGCTGTGCCCACCCCTACCCCCCCTTCTCAGCGGATTGATTCCTCTTCATATGAGATTGCTATTGATTATGTTCCTTTGAAAAATTCATTGACTACTGTGTATGTACAAGTGTTACTCTAGTAGTAGAGAGTAGACAGACTTATACTATACTCTAGAGATTACGAATGATGCACCAAGATATACAAAAGCAAGTCTGTAAACCATTCTATTTCTGTTCGTCTAAATCCAGTGTGACGTAATAATATAGTTAATTTAATTTATCATGTGATAAGATTAGACTAAGAGCCCAGTACTTGCTAGTTATGTTCAATAGTGTGTATATGTGTGTGTGTGTGTGTAAAGTGGAGTTCCGTTTTGTTTAGGTTTCTATATATTGTTCTTTTATATTTCTTCTCTTCATTATTCTGGTGGGGGGGGTATAATTGGTAGTGTACTTTGGGATAATATAATATAATATAATATAATATTTTTATTTTTATTTTTCTTTCGAGGGCAACGGACTTCGCATAGTATTTTTTGTTGTCTCAATTTTGTCTCATTTTTGTCTCAAAAGAATGCAATGACACATATTGATACACCACAGTACACAGATATAAAGAGACAAAAAGAAAGAGGCAGATAATACTCAGTTGACAAGAAGAAACGTACCATCAGGGTACTGTGTAATACAAGTATGTATAACACATACTCGATACCATGGAAGATGACGACGAAAACGAAGAGTATACAAGAGAGTTAGGGGGATCCTATTCGATGCATTCTTATTTCAAATTCCCCAAGAAACAAAATCTGAAAAAAAAAAAAAATTCTGAAAAAAAAAAAAAAAAGGTGATGATATGGTTTCTTCTTAGTGTTGAAGTCCGTTTTCTTTTAAAATGTACACCACTATTATTGACTGGTTGTAGCTACAGTCATATACAGTAGTAATAGTAGTAATAGTAGTAGTAGTAGTAGTAGTAGTGGTCATTATTATTACTACTACTACTACTGTCTAATATAGTTGCTGTATGTTGATTTAACTTTGAGAAATAACCTAGACTGTCCACTCACCCAACTATGGTCATTTGTATTTGTCTTTTCATTTACGTTTTGTGTAACGGACTTCACAAAAAAAAAATAAAATGTAAAAAAAAATTAAATACAAATACAAATACAAATACAAATACAAATACAAGTGATATATGATATATACATCAAATATATATATACATCAAATATATATAAAGACAAGTAAGTATTTATTTATACAACATTGAATGCTCATTTTCTTTTCCCCAACAAAAAGAATAAACAGTTTGTTATATACATATTCAACATCCATCTAGACACACACAGAAACATAGAGAAAGACAGAATTCTTCTATATACAACTATTGCAAACTACTGTCAACACTTTTTTAGACATTGACATTTTGCTTTGTTTTTACAACCAGCCTGTGTTTTTTCACTGTACGTACCCAACTTTGGAGCATATATATACACATACACATACATTGTGCAGCACATGATAGACACTGGAGTTTGCTAAAGTATTACTACAAATAACAACCAAGAAACAACTTTATACATTGGAAGACAAAGCTTCCTTTCCACTGCTTTAAATAACCTCAATCCATCCATCCATCCATCACATTACACAGTACATACACTAGAGTGTACTACTACAATTTAAATTTTTTTTTTTTTTCTTATTTTTATTTTTTTGTTATGGGACAATACAATAGACTCACAACTGCTAATGCAAGTGAAAACAATGGCAACAACAACAACAACAACAACAACAACAACACCGGCAGCGGCAGCGGCAGTGGCAACACCGGCAGTTACAATAGCAATCCATACTACAGCAACAACACTAATGGTCACAATTACGGCAATACCAACAAGCATCATTACAGATCAACTTCAGACATTGCTGCAAATATAAATTTGGGAACACCAAATGGAGGTACTTTCCATCAAAGTTTATACCAATCGTCTCCTCCGCCTGCTTTACATGCTACACCTATTCCACAACCCCCACAGCATCCACTCATGTCTTTACCACCACCAATTACTTCTGCTATGAATAGTCAAGCTAAGCCTCCGCATGCTTCAATCGGAAATGTCTATAACACTAACCACAATCAGAGCTCTAATGGCAATCATTACCACAATGACCATAACAACAACATAAACGATAGCTTTACGCTGAGAGCTAGTCCACATTTCCAGATGTTGGAACATAACAGAACTCAAAGTTACAGAAGTGGACCCCAGGATTATACACATCCTCCTCAGTATGGAGGTGGAACTGATGCTGCTTTTGACCATGTACCACAATCTCATGTCAATGGGCTTCCATTGAGTCAACCAAAGCCAACTTTGCCTTTACCTACACATCACCAAGCGCAACCACAGCAACAACAACCACCTCAGCAACAACAACCACAACAACAACAATTACAGCAGCACTATCATGCTTCTTCCACTTTTCAACAACAACCCTCTTCGGGCAGATTTGATTCACTGCTGTACCATATGGGTCAGCAATCACAATCAAGTTCGCAATTTGTACGTCAATTCCTGCACCATCTTAACCCAAACCATGCCGTTAATCTCAAATTTATCAAAGATTTAAACTCAATGATTGAGAATTGGACTGAAGATGAAGTTAAAGCCAGAAGAAGATTGGTCAAGTTTGATGTTCTGCATGGCGATGACAACAACAACAACAACAACAACAACAACAACAGCACTATGCAAATGATAAACTTTGAAGCAATAAAATCGGTTGATTATGGTGTGACTCAAGCTGTCATTTCATGCATTTACTGGCAAGAGAAGAAGAGATTTATTTGCACATCTGTTGACATTATCTTGCTACTCGAATACTTGGTTCATCAAAGTTTTGGAATTGAAGAAAAGAATCGTATTAGACGAAACTTGCAAAGTTTGAAACCAACAACGGTATCAAGATCAAACAAGAATGATCGTGAGTTTTTCAGTTTGATTATGAGTATGGAGAATCCTCGTCCAAGAAATATCGAAAAGGATTTGAAAGTGTTTAATTGGAGTGATTTGGGGAAAGCCATTGCCAAAGTAATGTCAAAGTATTATGTTGTATCTTCACCATCACCAGGGTCATCGACACAACCATGGAGCAATGGTGCTGGTGGTGGTAGCAGCCAACAACTACAATATGTACCCTTGGCAGGGTCACCAACATCGCAAGAAGGAGGTGCCGACCCACCACTAGACTCGTCCAATGCGAGGCATAGACAAGTAACGTATAATCACAACGCGCCATATCAAGGTAGCCCACCCCCTCCTCCATCATCATCATCATCATCATCATCATCATCATTGAGCAAACCGAGCTTGCCCCCTTTGGCTCTGGTGGCACCAATTTCTGGATCATCAACACCGATTCAACCTCAATTCCGTACAACTTCATCATCATCGTATGGAGATTTGACTCGCAGTGCAGGTTCTGCTCCTAATTTACAAAAGATTAATTACCCTGGAGATCCAAATCGGCGCACTGACAATGCCGTTTCCCCATTGATTGCTCAAAATAGTGGTACCTCTTTGGAAAGCTCAAATGTGTGTAGCCAAGTAACACCTACATACCATCGTACGCTAGAGTCAAATCAACAAGATCATCATCGTTATTATTCGCCACCGGCTGGCTTCCCTGTACCATTACCACCGCCTAGACTACACCCTACAAGAAGTAAGTTTGCCTTCTCGAGAGGAGGAGGAGGAGCCTTGCGGGGAGGATCTTCACCAACAACACAATTTCAACCCACTTACTCGCAGCACTCACCACAGCTCAATGCAACCAATCACAACTCATCAACGGCTAATGGTGGATTGCATACAGCACCACATGGTTTTTCCTTTTCAAGTAAGGAGGAACTGCTGCTGGATAGTGATAAGTATGCAAACAGATTGGGCTCGTCTAGAGATTCAGCGCCTTCAACTGGGGAGCATCCACCGTCAACCAATTTTTCAGAAAGTCCATCACCTGGAAAGGAAACTGAGGGTGATACTAGCTCGAGCTCAGAACGATGCTCTTCAAGTAACGATGGCGAGGATGATGTTGGTAGTGCTTTGTCAAGAAACTCCAAGGCAAGTGGTGAACATTCTGATGATAGTGGACAATCAAACAAGAGCAATGAATTATCAAATAGTGCTGGGTCACTCAGCAGTGGCTCAAAAGACTCGTCAAGTTTGTTATCTTTACATCGTGATTCTGGTAATTCAAGTGAAGATTCAACAAGAGCGAATTCTGCTCCTGGAAGTGGTAAATTTGCTCCATTGAGTTTTAGCAATAACAATGACAGCAGTGTGAGTTTGCTTGGATCTAATGGTGGTGGTGGTGGTGCCTCTAGCTCACACGGTTCTTCTTTCTCGGCTTCATCAAAGAGTAACTTGCGCACCTTGATTGACCCACAACAGTCGCCTATAGTGGAACATCAAGTGGAGGAAGCAGGGGAACCCGAAGAAGATGATGGGGTTAAAGATGAAGATGAATCGATGGAGGATGAACAAGATGATACTGAGGAAGAAAAGACCAATCCTAATAATGGTGTTGCAGGTTCTTCACCACAACCACCACCACCACTACTTTCGAAAAAAAGAAAGAGAAGATCACATAGGAAAATGAGCAATGTACGTGCGCAACACCAGGTGCAAAATAATGCAACGTCACAGTATTTTGATAACAATAGAGACAAAAAATACATGTCGTCGCTGGCACCCGCGACAAAGCCACAGTTGCCACCAATTTCGCAAATCCTCAACTCGGAGTTGTATTCTTCAAGTGATGGACTACCACCACCACCTCCTCACCTGGTGGTTTCTGAAGACCCTTTGATTAGGAAAGTTCAAAATTGGAAAGATTATTGATCAGTATCAACAAGGGGTTGAGTTTATTTTAGTTCGTTTTATATATGTGTGTATTTAGAGATGATGTAGCTGTTTTTTTATTTAATAGAGTAATAAAGACACAAATTTGAGATTTAATAATCCCTCCATCTATATCATTTTCTATGTAAAGCAATTACTTTAGTTTTGTTTACGTTCAATTTCATCAACTGTTTGTTTGAAATTGGGTGTGTTTGCAAAAACAGCACCCTTTTCAGGGTCAATTGTAACATAACTTAAATAATCCTTGGGATTCTTTTTCGATGGTAATGAGACAGCGACATATTCATGAGTATCGGATGGCAACAATTGCAATTTCTTCAGTTGGTAAATCCCCCCATGTTGTTGCTGTCTTTGGTTTGGTGTATGAAAACTAGACTGAACGAGTACATTCCTTGGTCCTACAATTTTAACAAAATCATTGGTTCCTAGTGTGAAAATTGTCCATTTTGTGCGTAATTTCAAATAAGTTTTGTGGATGGATGATATGAGTGATTTGGTCCCATGGGAGATTTTTGACGTGTAGTATTTGAATTGGTGGTATATTTGTGAAGCTGTAGGTGAAGCTGTAGGTGAAGTTGTTGGTGAAGCTGTGGTGGGTGGAGCTTTAGTAGTAGTCGTACTGATTGTATTTGTAGTGTGGTTGGCAACTTGGTTATTGGATCTTTTGATTAGCAGCAGCAACAGTAACCGTGACCACCACGACGACAATGGGGATGATGTTACTGATGATGACAATGCCGCTGATGGCGCAGATGTCACCGAAAGTTGACTTTGCTGTGATATAGTTGACGTATCCTTTATTACACAATTTTCCAAATCAAACGGTCCATTCACAGTTATCGCCAACAATGCCCATTTGTTAATCAAAATCTCTTCGTGTTCACCAATATCCAATTGATATATGCCTCCATTACCCACAAGTCCAACTTGTCCTCGACCACTTAGTAAAGTATATCCCCGGTTCCATAAGCTTCGTAAACCCGTTTCAACCCGCGTTCCCTTGGATCCGCTGCTGTTTTGGGTTCCATTATTCATTTGTTTGGCCAATTTTTTGGAAATGTAGCGTGGTAAACTATGTAATGAAACCAGTAATGAGTTTCCGGTGTAGACTTGAATGGCATTCTTGTTTAAAATTGCCCAGTCATTCAGTCCATCTAGTATCACATTGACAAATGATGATGATGTCGTGATTGCTTTGTGGCCGGATGATTTGTTCTTGCTACTGATTAATAACGATATGGGAATTGTTGAAATCAATTTTTGGAAACTTTGAAATTTACCAAACAATAATAAACGTTTCCATAAATGCGGATATTCTATAGTGTTACGTATTATTGGTCCGTCGTCAACAAAAGTTCCAGTCTTGTCACTGTTGTTATTGCTGTTGGCGGTCGATTTCAATCCGTATATTGACAACAACGATCCACGACGCAAGTAAATGGGCACAGAAGGTGGTGAATGAATCGACAAGATGGTGGGAGGAGTTCCCAAACTTTCAAATTTGGCTGTTTCTAAAGTCTGATACGGCTTCAATTGGGTCACTTGGCCAATGTTTTCGGAATCCGTTACTGTCTTGTTCAACAATGTATCGCTACTGTCGTTTGCATCAGACGATGATAATGATGTTGCTTCTTGAGGTACAGATCTATGATTGATTGATATGCAACGAGTGGCAACTTTCAGGTGTAATTGTGATGCTTTTTGCGTGATCGAATGTCGCCATGAAGCTATACCTCGTACCATTGTTGTTGTGGAAGAGGTGAACTTTTTGTCTTTCTGAAAAGCTTCTGTATATTTCGAAGTGTCTTTGGTTCTTTTTTTTTTTCTCTCTCCTTTTTGCGGGAACCGAGAGAGATTTACTAAAATGGTTGGTTCCCATTTGACAGGACTTCTGTACGTCAAAAAAAGAATAAACGCTGGGTCCACACTAGACGATGAAGTTTTGCAATTGTTCACATTTTGGGAACAGACCGATGTTACTTCGATACAAGTGAAGGGTTAGTTGGTGCTGTGTTTCGGTCACACTGATGTCATGATCTTCAAGTCATGCCACTGGAAAAAAAGAGCTGAATCGAACTCAGAAAGTGCGTCGATGATCGACAGGGTTGCTCCTTCTGTTTGAGATACATCAGTGGTGCTCGTGTTGGAGTAGCTCTTGCAATTATAGTGCTAGAGTAAAACTCCAGTAAAATAATTGATAACGTGAAGTAAAAGTCTTAAGTATATGTCATGTGATGTTTTTTTTTATCAACTTATTGTTCCTAAGTTTTTATTTGTTCGTATTATCTTCGGATAGTACATTTGTCAAATTTAACAATACAGAGAAGATTAGCATTGTCCTTGCATAAAGATGACACGCTTTACAAAGAGATTTACCATTTTTTTTTGCCATTTTGATTCTGAGATACTTACATCATTGCCAGTGGGGGAATGGGTTCGCAAGCTGGTGCACAAGTGGCTCTACAGAGAGAATGTGTGCCAGGTTCGAACAGGGTACATTTGACGATGAAAATGTTCCAACTATTTGTTTTGTCACTCAATACACGACTTTTTTCTTCATATTCTTGTTGCAAATGAAGTGTCTCTAACTTTTTTTTTTGTTTTTTTCTTCTGTGTTTCCATTTCACCCAATTGCATTTCTTCAAATTTGACTTACAAATATTGAAATATTGTAGTGTGCAGAGAAACTACTAATCCTATCAGTACACACACCATTAATAGGATACAACCTTGCAATTAGATCCCTCTGTAGACACTATTAAATCCTGTTTGCACACCTGCAAGCAATCTACTCTACATCAACCTCATTGTTTTGAGTAATTGGCTCATATCCTTCAAAAGACCAAATTTTGCGTTTTCAATAAAAACAGAAAAAAAGAATTAAAAAATTTCGATACCTCTATAAGCTTCACTCTACAAACACACAACACTTTCAAACAGTAGAGAGCCCATTTGTGGATACTCATTCATCACCGCAACCACTAACCTCCCCTTGTCTTTACATCTGTTACCACTTGTACATTATTTATTTATTCAACTCCCCTTTACAACTATAAGAGTTACCCCAAATATGCTTCCTTCGTCAATACTCAAAAGAACGGTCCAAAGGGCTCCAAGGTTCCTCCTCACACCAAAGTCTTTACCCGTTAGATCATTCACACAATCTACAGTGAAATATATTGCTCATGAGGAAGACCTTGTGGATCTCAAAACATTACCAAGAAAAGAAGAACCAGAAATTTATGTTCCCTTAATAAACCCAACTGAAAAGTATAAAGTACAAATTGAAGAATTGCACAAGTTTGGTACTTATATTATGGCATGTTTACCTAAATTTGTTCAACAATTCTCTGTATGGAAGGATGAATTGACAATTTATGTTGCTCCTTCCGCATTGAGACCAGTCATGTCATTTTTAAAATATCACACTTCAGCTCAATTCAAAGCATGCATGGATGTTACTGCAGCTGATTACCCATCAAGAACTAATAGATTTGACGTTGTTTACAACTTGTTGTCAGTCAGACACAATTCAAGAATAAGAGTCAAGACATATGCCAGTGAAACCAGTCCTGTTCCTTCGGTTACACCATTATTCAACGGTGCAAATTGGTTTGAAAGAGAAACTTATGACTTGTTTGGTGTTTTCTTTACTGGACATCCAGATTTGAGAAGAATCATGACTGATTATGGATTCGAAGGTCACCCATTGAGAAAAGATTTCCCTACAACTGGTTACACTGAAGTTAGATACGATGAAGAAAAGAAAAGAGTTGTTTATGAACCATTGGAATTGACTCAAGCATGGAGAAATTTTACTGTTGGTTCATCAGTTTGGGAACCAGTTGGCGATGGACAAGACTTCACTCCAGAAAATTTCAAGTTGCCAACTCCAGAACTGGAACCAGAGAATAAAGAAGAGAAAAAGTAAATGGAAATATAGTCTCTATTAGAAAAATGGGATCAACAAAAAGCACCACCATTGTAGCATCTAATGTTGTAGTGATGCTATCTCTTGATTCAATCTAGCCAATTCTTGGCTTCGTGAATCCAAATATTCTTGTAATGACTCGGCTTGTGTTTCGAGATCTTTAATATCATTTTCGACCTTCAGTAAATCGTCTTGTCCACTGCCCGATTGTTGTCTATTGTACTGATCCTGTTTGTATTTCAACAATTGCTCAAACTCATACTTTATCATTCGTTGTTCTTCAGACTCCTTTTCATCAGCTTTTGATCTATTCTGCACTTCGGAGAGCAACTTTTCCAAATTTGCCAATTCTCTCTTTAATCTCACCTCTTCCCAATCTGTTCCCTCAGTGGCCGAAAAGTCTGTTCCCTTTTCCGCATTACCATTACTTCCGTGACCAATCTTGCTTAAATAGCTTTCAGCAAACGAACGTTTAGAAGCCTGTGTCTTTGTTGTTTCGAGTGGTTTTGCTTGTGCACTCAAATCATAGCTAGGTACTTCTTTTGAAAACGTAGCTCTCAAACTAGCTGGCACACCACGAGGCACTCGTTTACCATTTTCCCTCTGGTTCAATATGTGCAAAAACACCAATGTCTGATCCTTATCTATAGTTTCAAATGATTTGGGATTCACCAAGTTCCATGCTGAGGATATATCACTTGATGGGACATTGGTCAACGTCGAGTACAACGAATTCAATGAATCAAATCTTATTCTGCCAAACTGATCATTTTTCGATTGGTATATCGTTTCATAAGTTGATTTGTCACTGGGGGATATATACCAATCAAAATCATCACTTAGGCCATCTTCATCATCTTCGTAATCCAATCCAACATTTCTCCCCTGACTTACTGCTTGATTAGCTTGAATCAAAGCTGCTTTAGACGATGGAATCAACCACGAAGGCAATTGATCAGGAACTTCGGGTATTGATCCATTTACCAAATCAAAAATCAATCGCATGGTTATACAAAACTCCTCAAAGTCCAAACTTCCATCATTGTCGATATCACTAAGATCCCAAATTGCTGATAATTGTTGTTGTGGTAATCGAGAGTTTTTCAAAACAGGAGCAACGCTATCACCGGAGAGTTTATTGTCAACTGGTTTTAATCCTTGAAAAATTTGCCAATATTTTTTGATCTCGGCATCTTCTAATCGTGGCATATTTACGGGGTGACGTGGATGGGGGATAAAAGGTGGTGTATGAGGTTATTCTGTTCCGAGCTTTTTTGGTTCGAGAGTGGGTATAATTTTGTCGATCACGGAAATTACTTTGTGCTTCATCTTGGTTTTTTTTTTTTGTTGTTGCCAAGTTGATATGCACAAGAAGCAACCATTTTTGCATAATGTGTTTACACGTGAAGGGACCTCCTTGGTGGGAGTTAACGGTAGAAAGTCACTATTTACAGCTCACAGAGTACTTGCCATCCCGAAAAGCAATCATAGGTTTATTATAAGTTTACAGTTCCGATAACATTTTACAGATCAAACACAAATTAGCAACCCCTTTTTTCAAAGTTTGACCAAATGCTACACCACGATCATGCTCTCGCCTGTTGCGAACTTGATACGACTATATCAGGGCACGAATTAAACCACCCGTCTCCCTCTTGGAAAAGTCAACGTTAAGAGTAAAGTTAGAATCCGAGCGTCAGGATTTTGAAATGAGGGGGTTGAGAAAGTAAACTATACAAAGGGTTGGCAAAGTTTGGAAGATTGAAGCTTGCTGCATAAGTGATGCATTGTCAGATTTTGAGCTTTAGTTGATGGGCTTGACTTTTGATTTTGTTGGCGAAATCTTTAGCGACACTTTTGAGAAGTTGTATTGATTGTGGAAAAGATATAAGAAAATAAGGATTTTGATTTGTGACAACTGCTACGATTTGACACCTTTTGGAATATGCGTTTCCAAGAGACCCAAGAAACACCACGGAAGTATTAGTATTCGGAATTTGGATGTATAAATCATTGATGCAACTGACGTGATTCTATTAAATTGATTTGCTGTGACTTACTACTGACAGGGTTTCCCAGCTACTAAATGTAATAATGCCACGATACTGCAATGGCTCAAGCTGGATAAACTTGGAGAAAAATGTGGTTGACAAAGGAAAGATGGTTTCAGAAAAAACGTCACTGGAATAGTATGGGCCAGCAACAAAACATTTGACATTGTACCTACTTCAATTTGTAATTGATTAGAAACCCTGGTGTTGAATTTTGGTTTCACTCGTGGGATTTGCGTTTGGAGAGTTATCTGAAGCTTCGGTGATGATTTGTCCCAACGAGCAATATGGATGCGTTACGATTTGAAGCGAAAGCTTTATAGTCAATAAACAGTTAAAGGAACATTAAAGATCTCGTTGTTCAAAAATTGATAATTCGTTAGCTCAGTCAAATGATTCCAAGAAATAAGCGCCAGTGCATGAAAGATTAGAATGACATTTTTTTATAATTGGTTAATGGTTTGATGCCGTGCATGCAAGTGGGATCTTTCCCGTGCAGTAAGTTGTTATTGTTGCTTAATTTTCTGGCAGACTTCGCATAATGGTGGCCATATGTCAAGCAGTGTCTATTGACCAAAGGGGCCCAAATCACTGCATATGGATGTTCGAATAAGTGAGCTTTTTATACTAGGAGACAAATTCGCATAGTGGTGGTCATGACTGATTTCTCGATAAAGTTTATTTTCGATTATGCATCACAAACAAGAGGACAAAAGCCTTTCATTTTACGTCACATTTACGAGAATAACAATGACAACGCTTACATTTAATTTCAAAGTGTTCAACCAGAATGAACAAAAAGGTGAAGGTGCTGCATCAAAATGAGGACACAGTGAACGGGCAATGGCTTATACGTTGTTATAAAAACTGGCCTTGAGCTGATAACTCATGCACGGCATACTTTTTTTTTTTTTTTCGTCAGACTATGTTCAATTGATATGCATCACAAAACAATTCTTATTTTTGTTGTGGTTTTGAATTTAGCGCATTTTGAACTTTTAGACTTTGGATCATTTATTGTCCAATTGGAGGCATGAAGATTATAAAAACATGGACGATTGCTCTTGACTGTGACTAAAAGGTATACTTTTTACTTTTCGGGGTCACAAGTTGATATATCACACCATGATTAACTTAATAGATAAACTCAACCTCACCAAAGTTCTTATAATATTGGGTCTTTTTATCGACTTGGTATTCGCTCTTTCATTGAATCCACGATGCTCGACTAAACGGGATGATGACTTCAAGTTCGAACTTCTTCAATCCGATGGTGGTGAAGTAGTTCACAATTTTGCCTTTACCGACGATGCCCTTGACTATGCAGAGCATTTGTACCTTAATGGAGATGATGTCACTCAATACAAGGCATACTGTAATGATACAAGAATAAATTTGGAGGAATTCGACATTTTTCAAGAGGGGTGGGCCAAGAGATGGAAGTGTTCCAATGCACCTTTGGGGACACGTTTTACGCAAAGGCGCACTGTACAACATGGCAAAAAATTCTCCGAATGGGACCAAGTTAAATGCGAGTTTAATAACTCCATCAGCTCCAAGCCTCTCAGAGCAACGCCAAAGCCATGGAAGTATTCCAAATTCAAAAAGGTTGCAAAAGGGTTTAATGTTGGATCAGCTAAGAAGTTGGCAAATTCATCTGGTTTGAGTATTGTTGACAAAGTGTCTTTCAATAATGATAAGGAGGGGGTGTCGTGTGCAAGTAAGCTTGGGGAGTTTGCTTCCTCATCAATACGAGTGCCAATGTTTTACGCAAAACAACAAACTCAGAAATGTGTCCGCAAAAAGTACGGCAAACATGGATGCAAATGTAGCAAGTGGTCAAAAGTCAAGTACGGCGAGTTTCCAGTCAAGAACAAAGCCCCTGAATATCGTTGTCTTTCTCAAAAGAAATCATGCAAATAAGGAGTGATATCAAATGATAGAAATGGGATTCCATTTTCAATTCAAACTTGAAAATGGGCTTTCTATTGGAGGTCGAGGCAAAGGTTAAAACGTGGACTGAAGGTTGGTGTTGACATCCCATGCACGAGTTTTTTGCTTCTTGAAGAGATTATTGTTGATTAAAGCTTCACCCTTTTTAAAGTAGAGAATGTACAGTTTTTCTGATTGATTGAAATGTAATCCTTGTCTGTGTCTCCCAATATGGTAAATCGTGGCTCAAGAACGATAGTGCCTTGTATGTAAATCTCTCTCAATGGCCATTAAATATATGTGTAAGTCGTATTTGTTTGATCAATTGGTTGCGAAAAAAAATTATTGCTTCAAGATGATGTAGTACAATGTGCACGAAACGAACCATTTTACAGATTGATGTAGTCTATAGTGTCTAGCGTTTTAGTAAAGCTCATGAAGCTGCCAAGGTTTTATGATAAGTTTAAATAGACTGATCTAGTATCATTGAACCTAGTATTGTTGATTTGCGTCAACAACAGCAACTACAACTTCTCTGGATACTGAACTTGATAACAAGTACCTCTTACTCAAACACAGTATTACAGAGCTGCTTGTCTCTCAGTAAACTAAAATGTTTTGCCATTTTTAAAAATCATTTTGATATGCGTCGAAATTATGCTTTACACAAATACATTTCTTTTCAAACATTTCAAAGTATACTTCCATATTATGGATGAATAAGGCGTTGACAAGTTATGGTTGACTCCACTGATAGACCAGCAAGTTATAAACAGAGCTATAAGTTAATATTTGAAGATGTTGATGATTTTACTCTTGTTTATAATCGAAGGACAAACACAGACGTTTTACCAACACTATCCATCAACGCCACTGATGAAAAGCAGGTTGGGGTAGTTGATGATAAGAAGTGGCAAGTTGACTCCAGAATTGATTGTGAAACAGTTACCACAAAAGTTACCAACACTGTGAATAGCAGAACAATGAATGAATTTTGTCAATTAGATGATTTTTTTACCCCTTCAGGTTCAATCAAACGCAAAAGGAGTTTTAGTGCTCAAGTTGAAAAGGACACTTTGGCTCAAAAGTTTGCTATGCACCTTAACAACTTGCATGTGATGGAGGAAAGATGCAACTGTCAAATTGGAACTAGTAACGATAAACACAAGTGGAAAATCAAGAATTCAAACACAGAGGTGAACTATGGAAAGTTGACTGCCACACAAGTTGAGAATGATACATTGGAAACCCTGGATGGGAAAGATTATTATATTCCAAGTTTGGTGATAATTGAAAGCGGCAGTGTTGGTAGACATAAAGAGCCAATGCGGTCTGGATCAAGTCAATCCGGAGTCGATTACGAAGAAAAAGACGAAGTTAGTTGCAAAATCGATGGAGCTGAAATATTCGACCTCAAGTGGCCTCTCAATAAGGAAACACCGGATGATCTGGACTTCAAAACACCCATCCCGCAGCATGATAGTGAGAGACATAGTCTTGATCACTTGTCTAGCGGTGAGTCTCTCGAGACTAACTCAAAACAACTAGAAACTCGAGAGGCATTAGAGGAAATCTCAAATTGTACTGATAAATTAAGCAACGTGGGAGGAAAAAAGGGAAAAAAAGTAGCTAAAATTAATTGTTGCAATGACGTGGTTGATGCAGTGCACTTGTCAAAAGGTGGTATGGGTGTTGATGAAACAGTTCAAAAGGAAGCAAATGATTTGGCTAGAGTAGCTTATGGTTGGGCTAGAGACGCATTTAGATTTCCAAAAGTAAAGGATTATGTGGCCAGTTATGAAATGAGGTAATATAACAATGATACGCTAATATTAGGCAATCAGTGAACCGCTAATGAATGAGTGATTGGTGAGAGATGCCAACAAAGAAACTAAACATTCAAGATTCGAGCAACCAAGTATAAATAAAGGTAAATAGGTAGTCTGTTGAGTTTCATATTGATGAAAAGTTAACTTCTGTCAACAAGCTAAAGTGAATGAGAGCTCAGTGTTTTTTGCCAATTTTGGTGCTATCACAAGTTTGGCTTTAGACGGGTTTACGACCAATAGTCTTAAATGAAGTTCCGATCAATTTGTGATTACAATGTATGCATCTGTTAGAGGGGGTGAAGAGCAATCTTATGGTTTTAAAAGAGAAGCACGCTTCCGAGATGCCTTTTAGAGCTTTGCCACAACAACAACAAGCAGCTCTGCATTTGTTTTTGGTTTCAGGTTTCAAAAAAAAAAAAAAAGCTACGAAACACAAACGGCTTAGAAGCTTTGGAGGTCTCAGATGAAGAGGCGAAGAAAAGAAAAAATAATACTCGTAATTAGGACGTTGTACAGGAATGAGAAAAAATGCAGTGTCACTAAAACGATGGGATGTATTTTGTGTTTGATGATAGATAAAGGCGGATAGAAGACAAATAGTCATTAACACCAAAATTGGAATAAAGAGTGGGGAGATAGTGAAAAAGGAATTGCATGACATGGGGATTGAAGTTTGAAGGACGTGAACATCTGATCACACTATGATTTCTAGCAGTTGTATAGTAGAAGGTTCCAGATTTTTCTTTGTACTTAGTTACTGCAAAAGAATACTAATAATAATATGAGTAGTGTACTTATGACAATGTTTGCAATCTAAAAAAATTGCGATTGGGTGTGACCAAAAAAAAAAAAGAGAATTACACCCCCCTCTCCTATACACCCTTGCGGGCATTTAAAAAGGAAGTTTCAGTTCAGACCGATGTAAGTCTTTGTTGATATTACTCTCAATGACTGTCCAATTGTTAACCTACAAGATAACATATGATTTCTTTACATTTGTGGTCATATATTGTGCTCATTTACACGACCCAGCTCTAGAGGAAAAGAAATTAATAAAGAACCTTCTTTGCATGACACTAACTTCAACAAAAACATAGAAATAAAGAAACAAAGTATCACACAAAACACAAAAGTAAATTATAGTAAGGTCGTGCATTTGATACCATTATGTGTAACGTCTTGTATTGATGTGTTTGCTAATCTTACAAAAAGGGTGTCAGAAAAAAAGAAAAGAATACTCCGTGTATACATAGGATTGACTAGAGGTATATTTGCATAATTGCATGGGTAAAGCAGGTGGTGTAATGGGTTTGGGATAAGTAAACCTCTAAAATTGTGTTGAATGTAGGGAAAGGAGGGGGTGTAAAAGAAGTGTTTTGTAATTATACACAATGCGGAATGCGCAAAAAAATAATAGAAAACAATTTAGAATTGATTTCCGTGAAATCAACGGAAATTTAAGAGCAGTATAGCATGGGAACAAGAAGATTCATAGGGAGGTGTATTAGGTATTCCACAACACATCCGCCAAAGCTGTCAACAGTTAAAGGGTAAGTGAAAAATTGAATGTACTTGCGTGTTTAGGCTGTTCTTTGTGACGACTTAGCAATTAAAGCTTTTGTTTGTTGATTTACTATTTTCCAATTCGCCACAATACAGAATTTCATATCGATTGGAACCAATAGAGAACTCGACGACATACACAACACTCAAATACACCAATGTTTGACCACTTTCGAAATAAGCATACAACTTCAGCGACTTTGGTGACGGTGAGCGACTGATTTTTTTCAACTTCTCGGCGATTTAGACAATTTCGGATATTTTCTTATTACTATAGCGAATATGCTGAACATGCACAACATAATGAGTCAAATTTGAGCTATAATCTCTACTATATATATATATATAAGACCATGTGCTTTACTACGTTTGATATTTTCTCGTCGTCCTATTCGTCTGCTTCCGTTATGGCGTTTATCATGGGGTGCATCATATATACTATAAGTACGAGCAATCAAACACAGCTTGCAAATACCACTCTGTTTACAAATGTGCTGTAAGTGACAGAGGTTAACGGTTTGGGTTCCTGTATAATCCAAACGAAGTGATTGGTGTGGTTTCAAAAGGACATTGTGGTTTCAAAATAGATATTTGGTTGAGAAATCTAAGACACTGTTTCTCGTTTACGATTGAATTATTATTTTTTCTAAAGAAGAAAAAGTTAAACTGGGGGTGTAAAACATTATGTCTCACTCCTGCATATAGTAATTACTTCACAATACTTAGTGTGTGTTCCATGACAATTAAAATTTTTTAGAAAGAAAGTATATATAATGAAAAAGGAAGAAAAGTAAAGCTTTTTCTTTGACTGATTCAAAAAAGCATCATATATATAAACTTCGTTACATGATCACATACTTCAACCTTATACCTTAAAATATTCACGTATATATATATATATATACACCAACTACAAACTACCATATCATCAACCATTGCAACTACCACTACAAACATTACGAATTTCAGAAGCAAAACTAAAAGCAAAGAACAAAAGATATAGCAAGTCATATCACCCAAACCAAATATAACACACTACTACTACAATATCAACAACACTTTACAGTTTTCCAAACTACAAATCAGGAGATTCACCAAGAAAGAGTATGTACAAACATTTTTACTAACAAAATTGGAGAGATTTAAGCTGTTTTCATTCATTACCAGACCAATGCCTCCGCAGCCTATCTACCACATCTATGCCTAATAATGAGACGCAGTGTAATCATAACATTATCCCCTTATCCAATCCATCAGGGCCATTCCAACTTTAGATATCAGAGATGAGAGAGAATTAGATTTACAGATTTTGCCACACAATTTGAGAGTTACAGGACAGGGAAAAAAGTACGCCATTCGACAAGTTCAACCATTCCTATACGTAATGCCTAATGAGCTATTTCAACAACGGTTCATACGTGTATCAATATTAAGGGAACAAGGTAGTGGCAAATTACCAAAAATGAGCATCATTTTGATGATTGCCATGTTCAATATCATCACCTACACACACATTACAACCACTACACCTTTAACTGAGTTTGGGGCACACAAATGGATCCTCGTCATTAACCACAACCATTTTGTCTTTCCAGTCAAAATACAGCCATTGTCATTAAATTATCACACACCACTTTATTCCGACAAAAATCAGTTTTTTCGTTATGCGTGACAAGTGACCAAATTGGAACACTGAAGAGAAAAAAAATCTACACCCTACACCCCATTTTAATGACCATTCTTTTGCACCCCTGCTTCACAAACCAACCTCAATCAATTAAATACTATACACTGGGGAAACGCTATTGATACACTGGACAGTGTTACCAGGATAAGATGATAATGATTGATGGATTGACTGCTTGGTTGATTGATTGGTTGACGGATTGATGTGGTTAATTTTACAACACAAATAGAATTGGGGATAAAATAGTACAAGAAATAATCGACAAATTCATTTCATGAAGAGCACAACTACTGCATCTCAACTAAAGGGCTTTATGATGAACACACGGACTGCAGTATGAATGAAACAGTTATCTCCCTTTTGCACCAATATTTCCGTATACTAACAATTGTTTTAGATTATAGTTCAATTAAACTATCGCAATGTCTGATATATTACCAATTTCCTGCGTTTCTTGCAGGAGGAGGAAGATCAAGTGTAACAAAAAGAAACCATGTGATCAATGTATAAAGAGAAGTGTTGAATGTGAGTTCCCAGGGACATTTAGAAACATCAAGTTATCGGAAGATGGAACAAAAGAAGGTAGAGTTACCGATAACATTAAGTCGAAGGAAGAGCCACAGCCCGTGGAGGAGTTGCAACAAGACAAGAATATTGAACTACTACAGCAACAACATGCTCAACTTCAACTAAACCAAGAGCAAATCAATCTTCAACAGCAACAATTACACAATCAGCAACTTCAACAAACAATAATGGAGCAACAATCTCAACAACAACAACAACGTCAGGAAATACGACCTACTCGTATACCACTTCAAACTTTGAATGAAACAGGGAGTGTCAAGAGTAGCACTGGCGCAAGTTCAAACTCATTGCTTACCTCCACATCAGCTCAGAGCTCACTAGCTACTGACCCACCATCTGTCAGTGATTCTACAGGAGCGGAAAGTTCTGCAAAGTTTATTTCACGCGACGTAAAGTTGAATAACAACATTTCTGGGCAATCTGGAGAATCTGGATCAGAATACTCAGGAGAGCTGGCAAGAATGCACGCTTATCCAAGACAAATCGGTTCAAGTGATGTCGATGACATGTCCATAATGAGGGAAAATTTCAATATGATGAGAGCGGCCAATCAACAATTGTTGGATGAGAATCGAAATTTGACTCAGAGGTTGGAGGAAATTTTACTGAAGATTTCTGTTTCAGATACTACCCCAGGATCCACATCTTCATCTTCCTCGTCAGCAGCTCCAACAAACGCTCCCACAGATACGCCAGGAGTTTCTCAAGTTAAAAAGACGCCATCTTCCAGTACCGCTACGTCAAACTCTAGTACCAAACGAGATAGAACAGCTGACTCATCGTCAGAAGATCTTCCAAATAAAAAGGAGAAAGTTGGTTTCTTTGGCCATTCCAAGGCTAGTTTTCCTAATGACTCAGCAAGCGCAAACCAAGGAATGTACTCGACAAATGTACCATTTGCAGGAACTGTACCACCAAAGGAATCATCATCATCCGGCGGAAGTAGTGGTGATGAAGTTGGCCAGCGAGCTGACTCAACAGATATGCAATCAGCATCAAGGGATGTTAAAGCTACGCCACCTACAAGGAAAGTGCACAAGTTGAAACGTAATAAATCCGGTGGAAGTGATGGGTCAAACAATTGGGAGGTAGATATTGATGCTTATCAAGCGCATGAATCTGTCAAATCTAATCGGATGGTGGAGAGAAGTGGTAAAAAAAAGAAACTTCCGATCTTACCATCATACTTGTTGAAATATGAGGATCCGGATATCAGTACTGATTCAGATACTAATCGTGATGTTTTTCGATTAAACTTTGAAGTGATTATGAATTTGGTGTACAAGTTTTTTGAAAGAAGTCCGTACTATAGAACATTCATCTCGGCATCTCATGTGTTTGGATTTTTGAACAATTACGAAAATATTAACGATAGAGATTGGAATAATGATGACGATATGATGTTGATCTATATGATTTTGAGTTTATCTGTTCAAAGACTCAGCTCAAAGGATTTTGTTGATTTGAATTTGTTACCAGCTGGATCTGTCAACACTTGCACAAAGTACAGAAAGTATTTGACCAGAAACGTTTTGCACAGAGGTTTTGAAAGATTGAGACACAACTTGGTAAAAGAGTCTTTGTTGTCGATTCAATCATACATTTTGTGCACCGAGTGGTACTTTTTGGAACAAAAGTATGAAGAGTGCTGGACAATGATGTTTCATGCTTGCTCAATTTCTTATTCTATCGGTTTACACATTATGGGCAACTACAATTTACAAGAAGTCAAACCTGGCAAACAGTTTAAGAACTTGATCAGTGCCACCGCTGAAGATTCAGATGTGAGTGACAAAAAGGAGTCTTCAGGATCAGAAGAAGACGACAAGGGTCAAGATGAAGGATTGGATGTCACACGTTACAGATTATGGTTTGCATTGAAATATTATGTGTCGCTGATTTGTTCGATTTTTGGAAGACCAAACCCAATTTCAGTTCAAGTCGGTATGAATGGGTCTAATAGTGGATTAGGTTCAGATATCCCTAATGAAAGAGCTCATATTTTGTTCAAAGTAGGTGTTTGCGAATCGTTGAGGTTATCAAATTTGATGTTGATTGAAAATTTCATGATTGACTTTACGTTGCCAGATTTACTTGATTTATCACACAAATTTGATCGCGAAATTGAAATATTGAATCGTGCTTATGCATCACTGATAAATGAGAGTATCACAGCTGAAGCAATGTTGGGACCTACCAACGTGATTGAACACTTGATGATTGATGACTTTACCGGACGCCCATTGCATTTTACAAGTTTGGAATTATTGGCCGACCTCATCATCTTGCACATCAACAATGCCAAATTGTATGAACCTTTTATTTGCAAGTTTGAGAATTTGAAGGGCTATGATCAAATTGTGACACACCAAACTGAATCAGTGGCCAAGTTTTTGGTATTGTTAAACACATTCATTGAAGGGTTTTTGAAACATTGTGTTGATGAAAATTTCCAAGAAGGGGGATTTGCCGGAGGAGTCGACTCTAATGATGAATCGATGTTTAATGGTCCTGTCAAATTTGGTAAGCTTTTCAAGTCATATTTCCCATTTTTGAACTCGTTTATATGTCAGGGAGTTATTGTTGTTTTCACCTTGTTGCACTACAAGTCCAAAGATTTTGTTGCCAATGATAATGATTCGGTATTGAACAATGACTTTCTTGGTTTGGTTGAAAGTAATTTGAATTCGTTGATACATTTTGAGCAAAGGATGTCTACAAAGTATATTACAACTTCAAGAATGTGGTCATCCAACATGGTTTACTTGATAAACCGAGTGTTGAATTTGATCAAGTTGCTTTATGAGAAGCAAGAGGATAGCACTGTTGCTGAAGAAGTTAGGAGACAAAAGCAGTTGGTTGGAACATACTCATCATCGCCAGAGAACAACAACAATAGTAACAACATCAGTAATTCCAATTTACCAATCACCACTGCTAGAGGTAATTTGTCATACTTGCTCAATACCAATCCATTTGGTGACCCATCGCAATTTGAATACTTGAATGGATTTCATTTGAATGATCCATTTTGGTTAACTGAATCTGATGGCGCGATGCAGTATTATGTTGACGACGAAACCAGACAGAATAAGACCCTTGCTGGATTTAAACAATATGCACCTTTGAATGACAACCAGGATACTGGAATTGGCAATGACGATAAAAGAAACTCAAACACTTCCATTACAACTGGTGGCGATTCAAATGATATTACTCCATCCAACCAGGCGCCTTTATTTGGAGCTAGTAGTACTAGACCATTCATGTCTCGACCACCATCGGATTTATTTGGGTTTAGTTCAAATTTCGGCAATTGGAATGATGTTGGCAATATGCAAGGTATGAGACAAACGCCAAATAGTGGTGCCAATTCTGCAGCAGGTACACCAAATATTGGAGCCGGATTGAATTTTGGTGGTCGTAGACCAATGTCATCGAGTTTGCCTCCACCTATTCCAACACCTACATTACAACAACAACAACAGCAACAGCAGCAGCAGCAGCAATTGCCTCCACTTTCACAGATGCAACAACAACAACAACAACAACAACAACAACAACAACAACAACAACAACAACAACAACAACAACAACAACAACAACAACAACAACAACAACAACAACAACAACAACATCTAATTCCCACATCACAACCACAACCACAACACCCCACGCCAAATTTTATGGGTGGTGGATACATGTTCCCACAACCATTAGGATTCAACCAACAACAATTCCCTAGCGATCAAGTTCGTTTCAGTCAAGGAGACAAGCAGCCACCAACCCAGGATAAGAATTAAAGTTTTGCTTTTTGAGAGTGATTGATTTATGAGAGAGAGATATTTTTTACGATAATTTATGATTTCAAAGTCTTTGTTTTATTTTATTTTTGATAGATGGGGTCCTTTTTACTGTGTGTAGATGATTTTAATACAGTTTACATATGGCTTAAAGGTAGAGATACGTAGGCAATGTGTGAAAGGAGATGTGCAACATAGTTTGAGTTGAACACCAGTCGTACTGTTTAGTCGTGTTGTTGACAATCTTTCGTAATAGCAATACTCTGAGTGGTTTATTTTTTTATCACCGTTTTATTTTTAAATTTGTTGGGGAAAAAAATTGTCTCACTTTGCAACCGAGAGGTTTGAGTGGAGGTTGCGTGGGGGGGTGACAATTGACGCCCCACCCCGACAAGAGACTTGGAGCAATCGATGGATAAACCAAACTCAAAAACGAACCACCTATTCAAATATGGGCCAAATGACGGACGCACAACTGGGGCACTTTGGTGGATACATTTGGGTGCCCTTGCCACACATTTGGTGGTCTTCTCTCATGCAGGATTGCATATCGGAGTTACAAAGTGTGTCTCTCACTTTTTTACGCTGCTACCCGCTAAAAAGCAAGGACTGCAGAGACTGCAGAAAAAAAAAAAAAGAGAAAAAACTCACCAACGAAACAAAAACTACCAATCTCATTTTTGAGTATATATCATATAAAGCACGTAACGAGAGTATAGTCACCTGGCTTAAGCTTACTTCGCAATCGATATACAATTACACATACATATTCCTCAAGATCTGTCACTTGAACCCATTCACGACTCCAACTGCAGATACATCGAAGCCGAGTTCCCCACTTTCAAATTTATTAGCTAAAAAGTTGAAAACTAATCCACATAGGAATTAAGCAAGCACCTACTACTACTGCAACAACTTCTACACTGAACCATGTCTACATTCAAAAAATTTGCCGATAGTCTTTTCTCCAAAAAGACATTGAAATACATGTGCACCACCCATTTCTGGGGTCCAGTATCAAATTTCGGTATCCCTATTGCTGCCATAATGGATTTGAAAAAAGATCCTGAAGTCATTAGTGGTCCAATGACCGGATCATTGATTTTGTACAGTTTGGTATTTATGAGGTATTCGTTGGCAGTTATTCCCAAGAATTACTTATTGTTTGGATGTCATTTTGTTAATGAGTTGGCGCAATTGGGTCAAGGGTTTAGGTGGACCAAGTATCATTATTTTGATAAAGAAGCTAATGCTGAGAAAAAGGCTATAAAGAATTAAAAGGGGCCGCGTACGCGGTGACGGGATGAAGTTAAGTTTTGGTGCACCGTTTTTATTCGATAAATAGATTAATGTTCATGAAATAAATTTATTTAAGGATTGATGTAGTGGAGGTTTGAGGGAACGGAAACAGTTATGGCAATTCAAGTTGATATTAACCTGCGTGGTAAGCTAAGGAAGTTCCCAAAATTTCAGGCAACTTGGTAGCAACCACTGGTGATAAAAGTGCCGCAGACTGAAAATTTGCCGTTGATTACTAAGAGCTTTACACTGTCGATAATAGCAGCTCAATGAGGGGAATAACGCTCTTACTATTCACACTAATTTCGTTAGCCTTAGCGTATTCCCCATCCAATGTAATACAAGCAAACGATAAAAATTTCCAACAAATAGTCACAGCATCGGGGAAATTCACCTTTGTCGATTTCTATGCCGATTGGTGTCGTCATTGCAAAAAACTATCACCGGTAGTTGATCAACTACTGACTTTATTTGCAGACTATCCTCAGATCCAAGTGGTCAAGATAAATGGCGACAAGGATGGTAAAAAGATGAGCAAGAAGTATGTTGAAATTGGGTATCCTACATTGCTAATGTTTGATGATCAAGGAAAACACGTTGAATTTGATGGAATTAGAGATATTGAAGCATTTAGTAATTTCATTCAACAATTCAGTGGTGTAAGGTTGGATAAATCACGACAAGATGAGGTTGAAGAAGTTGTGCAACAAGAGGAGGAAATTGGAGACGCAATTGTGTCGTTGAAACCGAATCTGTTTGAACAACAACTTCAAGGTACTCCATATGCAATTGTATCAGCTGAAGGAAGTTGGTGTTCATTTTGTAAAGACTTTGCTGGTATTTTCAATAGAATCGCAAACACTGTTTATGCTAGGAACAAAAATATCTTGTTTGCCACATTGACTGTTGATGAACAAGGTAGTGGACAAGAAGTGCTTGACAAGTATGGAGTCAATAGATTACCGGCATTATTGCTTGTTAAAGATGGTAATTTGGACAATGCTGTTGTGTATGAAGGAGACTTGAGACGAATTGATAAAGTGATTGACTTGATTAATGATTTTACTGGTACGTTGCGTGATAGCACGGGAGATTTGAAAGAAGGAGCCGGCGTGATTTCAGAAATTAGTCAATTGATTGCCGGGGCAAATGGCGATTACACAGAGGTGATTACCAAGTTGCATGAAGTTAGCGGCGACACTGTTGATTTTTACAAGTCTGTTGTTGAGAGTTTATTGATAAACCCCAATGCAATAAATTTGGAGTACAATAGAATCGGGTCAATTTTGAATAAAGATGTTGATAAGTTGAGTGGGGTTACGATTGACTCATTGAAACAGAGATTGAATGTCTTGAATCTGTTGCGGATATAGACCCGAGTATAGACAATAAACGAGACGTAGATGCAGAATGTGGAGGCTTCAAGATGCAAAGAGATCAATATAAATGCCATAGATTCTCTATCAATTCAGTGGTGAGCGGTTTGCTTCTTTATAATTTTCCATTGTGCACGATATATACAAGTTCTCTTTCAAATCACCACTCTATTGGATTGAATTTTTGAACTAATCTCACCTTATCCGGCCATACTTTACCTCCATGCAAAATACATTCATCAATAATTGGTCTTACATTGTTAGGCTTGCACAACGCTAACCAAATGTTTCTCCCCGACAGTTTTAAATAAATAATAACATTGGCAGCATATTTGTGGCCACCAATATGGTTTATAAACCCAACATTTACTCCACCAGGTGATGTATCACACATGTCACGATACAAATCCAACTCTCTTAGATACATTTCCATTTCTCGTTTCATTATTGGTGCGGTGATTCCACATCTCTTGTCTCTTGTACGGTGGGAACATAGAAGAATGTATGCCTTGTTAACGTCAGGAATTATTTGTGGGATTTGAGCTTGAATATCGCTCACTTGTAGTTTATCATGGTCAGTGGATGATAAAATGCTGACCAATTTTGTCAAGACTTTATCAACTTCAGATACTTTCAATCCTTTTATCCATAGAAAGTATGGAAGCACCAATACATCACCAGTTTGCTCAGTGATGTAATCTTCATCAGTGAACATTTCGTCACTAGCAAAGGATGAACACGTAACTTTGATGGTGCCTATTGGGGTGTCACCGTGCTTAGAAGCCCATGATGCTACTGCATGAGACAATGTCCCCGATGTACCAGTTGCATCGTGCGGCCAATCAGTTCTTCCTGTTGACACGTTCAAATGCAACCCATATGGTTTTGTAGACTGCCAAAGCTTGTCTGATTCTTCAAATGATAATGATTTAGGGAACTTGGAAGTACAATCGTCGCATGTTTCTGGACAGGTGCTGATTTCGAATCCTAAATGTTTGATTTGTTCTTCAGTTGATTGTTGACCTGATTTGCCAAAAAACTTGTTGAGAATCGTCATCGTGATGGGAAATGTATAAGGATGCACAAAGTATCAGCGACTATTCTTTTAGGTCGTTTCTTGTCAATTTATAAGGATGGTGATATGTGTGAAGAAAGGAATTAGTAAAATTATTAATTTAAATTCAATCAGATTAAGCCGTCTAAACGACATACAAAAAAAAAAAGTGCGAGAGAGAGAGAGAGAGAGAGACAGAGACAATGCACGCACGAGAGCCACAGTGTTAACTCCTTGTTAACTCCGTGTGTGTGTGTTGTTGTTGTTGTTGTTGTTGTTGCGGTAGCTTCCGTATATGGATGTATTGAATATGTACTTATTTGTGATATACGGCACTAAATCCTAATTACAAGAAACAATGCCAAAAATGAAGTAATATACACATATTCCGATGAGAAGAGACAAACAAAATTGGATGAAATATCGGATAGATATAAAGCAACCGGTCCGAGACAATGTAAAAAAAAAATACACGCGACCCAAAACTGAAAAAGAACAAACTATTGTTCTAGAAGCCCATAAGGGTTGTACGGCGTTATCAGTTATTGATCCTCCAGGTGGAGAGGAGGGTTACACGTCTAACAAAAATACACACAAACTCACAAGACCAAATGGTGACTACTTTAAATACTTCACACGAATACAAAAATGACATGAAAATAATCTCACAATCTTTATCTACATATATATAGAACAAATCATTCATATTGCGTATTTTATACTGACTGTATTGTAACTGAAACCTTTATTGCACAGCATTCGCATCAGCTTTACAAATACAACTTAGTTTCGCCGTATAATATTATGGCCAATGTCTTTCAAAGCATCAACAACTAGACCCTCAACAATAGGCTCGTGGACTATGAGACGCATCGTGTAGCCTCCTCACTTGCCTAAGATTAACCGTGAAGACCACTAATTCCCATGACAATGTAGCTGGTTACAATCTCCATTCCACAAATAGCATTTTCCAACCATTTTACAATTAGCTTGAATGGTTCCACTGATTCCATTAATGTAATCACGTGTTTAAACTCCATGATCCTTCTCCAAATCAGCAACACATCAAGTGTAAATACGGCCTCGAAAGGTGTCGCAATCGCGTAGTTGATTTCAAGATCTTCTCAATCACCAAGTTGTTGTGGGGCCCTATAGACAGTAGGCTCGACATTGTATTTGTGGGGATACCCTTGCAACAACTCCTACTAGTTTCCCCAACATTTACACTTTCTTTTGTTTGAAGACTAATAGTCCCAACTCAGTGTACAATTTGTAAAGACGCGTAGCAGTATCTTTGGTTGATGAACACAAATCGCATCAACGAATAACAAGGTTTATCCCAACCAATGTAGAGAGGATTAATCTCTCACATCTCAATAAGCTTTGATGCCCCTTCTGCCTTTCCAATGGCTTTTCAGAACTATGACGCGTTTGAAACGCCTTGTGCAAAAAGTTGTACCTCCTCCCACCCCTTTCGGGCATAAGCAATAATTGAAAAATGGACATCAGTGTTGTATGCCACTAAGTATTCTATTCAATCAAATACAGGAGTATTCTCAATGTGCCCTGTGGTGTAATCATATTGGTTATTACTACTGTGTTGTAGCAAAGTGTTTATTCAAGTCCAATGATTATAACACGGTGTTGTTGATTGGCATAACATAAAACTTGAAACTCTCTTCTAGATTTACAGTACAATACACCCTTTTTGACGATAAATAGTGTAGTGCTTAACTTTGTGTAATGCAAGTAAAAAAAATTATATTTTTTTTCTTCATTTTCTATTCAAGCCATCATTTTCAAAGCGTATACAACAGCAACAAGACTACACTTTGAGTTGTTTAGTTATATTAACTACCTACTATATCCTTGGCAATAACAAACCTTGTACCGTGCTATCTAAGCTGGTAAACAGAGCTCAACACAAGTTTGCTTATTTGACCAATACGACATAAACATACACACACAACATACTACTACTACTACTTTGTACAATCCGCTCATTCTGATCATCGTCAACAAAAAAAAAATAGACTGAGGAAAGAAGAAGGAAAATAGAGTACTAGAGTGTACAAAATATCCCTTTTACAACCAGCAACTGTCATTTCATCTTACCAGCATCAACATGTTGCATGTATCCACTGAAGTTGATTTGAATGATTATCATCTTCATACACCAGGATACAAAAGCAAATCAAAAAATAGCATGTCACATGAAACAATACTACAGTCAAACCATGAGTCCCCAGCTAATTCTGACGATTTGTCAGAAAGTAGAAACACTCATGCTACTTCACCGCCGTCATTTGACTACTACTTTGACAACAAGCACAAAGATGATGAAGTGGAGACTCACTTGTCACCAAAATTGAATGATTTGATGACATTTTCCGACATTATTGAATCGGATCCAATAACAATACCCAAGGATTATCATCACCGGCAAAGCAGTGACACAAAATGGGTGTTTAAAGGAGACGAGATAGTAAAATCGATATCTCAACCTCACCCCCAACCGGTGACTTCTCAGAATATACCGCAATCATTATTACCTAAGGAATTGGAAGATACGCGAAAGGAATCGATTGTAAGTACCAACGATGCTCTCCAAACACATCATCAACAACAGCAACAACAACAACGTGCTGGACTTCCAAGATCAACAACCACGGATTCAATTCAGATGGAGCAATCCAATGTGCATCAAAAGAGAGTTTTACAGATTAAGAATCTTGAGGAGCAGGCAACCAGCAGAGCAGAAGGAGAGACATACAAGGTACTTTACTGTATGTTGACGGGAATCAGAGTTGCAGTTAGTTATAAAGCAATGGGTGTTCACAAGTTGACATCAGCTGATTTCAGTCAAGTACAAAAATTTACTTTCCAGGATAATGATACCATTACTCCAGCCCTGAATTATGATTTTCGTTTTTATGATTATGCCCCTCAAGTTTTCCGCTGGCTTCGAGACCAATTCAATATCGATCAAGCAAATTACCTTATATCTATAACGGGCCAATTAATTGTATCGCAAATCAAATCAGAGGGTAAATCAGGTTCATTGTTTTATTTCAGCAAGGATAACGTCTATATCATCAAGACACTAAGGTATAACGAATTTAAATTTTTACAAAAGATTTTGGAATCATATGTTGATCATGTGGGCAAGAATAAGAATACATTGATTAGTCAATTTTATGGATTACATCGAGTAAAAGTGAGAACAAGTACCGGGAAGTCAAGAACTCATCATTTTGTCATTATGAATAATCTTTTCCCACCCAATGCCATATTGAGTCAGACTTTTGATTTGAAAGGGAGCACAGCTGGGAGATATACTCCAATCACGAAGGGGAAAAAGTCAACATTAAAGGATAACAATTTCCTAGAATCGAAAATAAAGATTGCATTTGGTCCAGAGATTCGCGAGCAATTTTTCAAGCAATTGCAGCTGGATGTTCAATTTTTAATCAAAAATGGAATAATGGACTATTCATTACTATTGGGGATTTGCAATTCTAAAACTGGTCATAGCAATTGGGAACATTATGAAGAAGATTCATCTCCCACTGAACGGTTGAATTATTTTTATCGACAAGATGGTGGCATACAAGCAACAAATGAACGTGACCAACCGTTACCAGAAATATATTATCTTGGGATAATTGATTGTTTGACTTATTATTCAGTGAGGAAACGATTGGAGACATTTTTCCGATCGTTTGGCCAATCACGAAGTACTATCTCTGCAATACCTCCAAAGGAGTATGGTGTGAGGTTTCTCAAGTTTATTCAAAACGGAACCACTCAAGGGAAATTCAAGACGGAATAAGAAGAAGAAAGAGAAGGGGAGACTTTTAGTAGAAGGAAAAATGAAAGGAGAGCAGGGCGGAGCTTGGGTAACGCTGACATGTGCATTGCAATAGATCTAAATATTCAGGTTATAGCATCAAAAGTTTTAGGTTTGGCTAATCAAACTCTCTTGTTTTACTCTGAGATTTGTAGACTTCGATGGGTACAAGCACTATTTGGTTGGTTCAACGACCAAGCGCTCCAACGGTTATTCTTCTCTACTCTGTGGGATAATGCAACTAAACTATTGTCATTCTTCTCTACAATACGCGATAATGCAATTTAACTAATTGTTGTTTCCTTACCAGCGAAAGAAGAACTATTTCTTGTATGTTAAAACATCAACAATGATGTTGACAATGCTCACCAAAACTTCAACCCCAACAAGAACAATGACGATAAACTCCAAATTCTCCTCATGCGAGTGACCCAATTGCTCCTTCAACAACTGCAACAAATCCGATATAACTTCCAATCTTTGATTCAACAATTCAACACGTTGATTAATTTCGAGGTAGCCTCTAGTGGCTTGATAAATTGGTTCCAAATGAGGTTCAGCCCACATAAGTTCTGGTGAATCCAATACTGAACCGTGTAAATTGATGTTGATCCTTAAAATGAACAATTCTCCAATAGACTTCATGATTTCGTCCCTTGACATTTCCACTTTACCGGTATGGGCAATCTGTTGAGGGATATCTTGAGTATCTTCAATGGTATTGTCGACCAATTCTTCAAATAAAGATATTTTAACTGATTGGGCAAGTGCATGAGATATCGATAGTTTCAACATGTAGTTTTCGTCATCTTTCAATGTAATGAAATCATTGTATATCCTTGGTTGATAAGATTTAGTAATGTAGTAGTTAAACTCCTCAATTTGAATGTCTTCGGCCGATAGTTTTTCACTTTCAAACTTGGCCAAATCCTCCAAGAATGCAGCTTCTTCTTTTTGAGTGAATCCCCACATGATGACAACACCATATTCAAATACAAATAAATCAGACCTTTTACCCATGTCGATTTCACCACCTTCGTCAGCTAACCTAATCAATTTATGTCCATTGCCATCCTCATCATTACCATTGCTATTGCTGTTGCTATCACTTCTCCAGTCCTTATACGTAAATGGGGTATACAAACATTCATCAAACAATTTAGGACTGGTATTGTGAATTCTCTTCCTATCCTTTAACCATCTTAACAAATCCTTCATTCTGTACGATGCACAAGTACAATACGCCGTGACTCTGGGCAATAAATCCCTATGCAGTTTTCCCAAAGTCTCAGCATCCTTACGAGCAAACGCGTTGGTGATTCGTTTTACTTGAGAATAAACTCTTGTTGGTCGTGTTGCAAAAATATCATCTCCTTCGTCATCGTCGTCATCGTCATCGTCATCACCAGAAGTTACTTGTCCCTTGGTAATGTCATCCAAATTAGGGTCCTCTGGTAATAGTTTTAGTTTCTGTGACGTTCTACTTGTTCTTTGTAATCCTATTTTGTTTGATTTAGACATTTTGGAGTGTGCTTTTGTAGTTGTGCCTAATGATACAGTGGGAGTACTTGTACCTTGCTTCTTCTTCGCCAATGACACATCCGTTGTATTCGTGTTTGTGTTTGGTTTCGTGTTCGATGAGCTGGATGTTGCTAGAATTAAGGGATTCTCTGGAGCATCATTGTGTGATAGTAGTGGTGTGGTATCATCACCATCTGGTTGCGACATTGTTTCTATTGTCGATTAAACGGCAATGGTAGAATTGTAGAAACAGCTTATACAGTCAATATTCCAATTATACTTGTATTTGGTAAAGTGTAACCTGAACAGGTGTGCAAATGATTATGTATGTATTTGGATTTGTGTGGTATGTTCCTCTTGATGAAAACATGTGGGTTGTTTGTTCTCTATTGACCGGGATTCGCATGATCTCAATTGGTAGCAACCTGTCTCTCATTCACTCTCACTCTCACTCTCACTCTCTTTTCTGTCTAGTTTTTCTATTGTTTTTTTTTTTTGTTTGAGATGCTCTTCGGTTTTTCTTCAATTTTTTACAACCAAATTGGTCATACAGACACTACTACTCATTTTCTACTTACACTTGTACTTGTACCATATACTTTTACTTTCGTTGTTCAGATTAGCTTCCAAAGGATGCCGAAGAACAAGACTACTGAGTCAGGGAGACGACATGCTTTCATTTCATTTCGAGAAAGAGTCGATTCCATCAAGATTGAACCAAACAAACGACTCGATAAAAGAGTTCACGATGAAGTAGAATCATCTCATTTGTTGACGACACTTGAACACTGGAATGAACTTAATCTATCGGGTACATTCACTGATTTATCATCAAGCATTGAAAATTATTGTCAGTCCTTGCCGCAAGTGCTACATCACAAACAGAGGATTTATGAAGAAATTTATCAAGCGATTCACAAGAACGACATCCACTCACTTCAACCCAGTTTGGAACTATTGAGTCAATTTATACATGATTTGGGACCGGATTTTATGCCTTTTTACGAAAAAACATTGGGTTTGTTAGTCGAGGTGGTTTTGATGCAAAGTCCAAATGACATACAAAATAATAGGAATACATCCAATGCTTTGAATTGGATTTTCACCACATTGGCATTTGCATTCAAGTACTTGGTAAAGATATTGACTCAAGATTTGCATCCAACATTCTCTGGACTTTTCCCGCTATTGACGTTGACAAATAGGTCCTATATATCGAGGTTTTGCGCAGAAGCGCTTTCATATCTTGTTCGAAAACTGAATGCCGACGTTCTCAGAAGGTTTATTCACCATGCCATTTATGACAACGTTGAAACAGTGGAGTCCAATGAGCACTACCTGGAATCGTTAAAAATTTTGTTTAGTGAGTCCATGAAGAGCACGAGAGGGTCATTCCACACAAAGTCTAAAACAATTTTGACGATATTAATGGAATGTATTATTTCCGAAATCAAACAGGAGTATCAGCCTCAAGTTACATCATTGGTATCGGATATATTGTTGGATGTTTTGCATCATGGAGAGCAAAATTCGTGTCAGGAGTTTTACAAGTTGGTATCGGGGGCCGTGAGCGATGTAGTCCAATCTAGTTGCAGTGACCTCACGCTATTAATGTCAAGCCAGCTTCTTTCATCATTATGTTTTGTTGATTCTGGAAGAAAAGTCAGTGACTGGAGCTGTGTGTTGGATGTGGTCGATGAGATCCTTGAGGTTGTCAAGAATATACAGGATCCTTCGATTGAACTCACTGAGTTGCTCGTTTATATGATGAGCATAATCTTCAGAAATGTTAGTATTCCGTCCCTCATGTCACGCCACAGACGATACTTAGATGCAATGTACAACTTGAATCAAGGATTGAGTTTCCTTCCTTTCGCATACGCTGGACTAACTGTTGCTGGTGAGAAATTGAAAAACTTTGGAATAACCAAGTACATTCAGACGTATATCAACAATGCAAATACAGTCGAAAAGATGCAACGTGTAGTTTTGTTTTTGGAGAAACAAGGCAAGCGATTCAATTTTACTATACCAGATCAACTATTGGATGCACAAACACAACATATTGCGGCAGATTTAGAGCTGGACGGTTTTGAAGACATTTATTGGAGATTACTACTTGTGAAGCACTCCACTGGAAAAAGTTTTGACGTATCAATCCTAGTACAGTTGGCAAAAACAGCCCCAGACTCGATTATTGGCAGAGAGGTAGTTACTTTGGCTATTGAGTTGTTAGCACCAAAATTGGAAAAGTCATCACCTATAGCTCAAGACTTGACTTTGTTCATTTTGGAGAGATTTGATAAATTTAGTCGATCGTTGAACTTTTTGCCGGCAATGACCCAATTTATAAAGATTGTTGATGATCCACAAATTTTTTTGGATCCCGCATTAGTGTGTTTACTTTTACCAAGTCACGACACCAGATCCCATGCTATCGATCTCATCGAGTCGATTCTCGCGATACAACAAATACCCACCTCGCCCGTGTTTCAACAAATCAAATTGATTGAGCAAATACCGTTAACAATTGATACTGGACGTGATATCATGCTTAGGGTTCGTAATTTAGGAACAGAACTTCTGAAGCAGGTGAAACCAACCCAATTTGACAAAATTACGACAGTTAATTTCTTATTTGGGTTACTATCGAACAAATTTCAACCGAGTTGGAAAGCTGTTTTTGAAGCAATTCCATTAATTGCGAGTACCTGCAAGAGCGAGATTTGGAAATGCTCATTTGAGTTTTTATTAATGGATTATCAGTCGAGAGATGATTTGGAAGAAATGTTGCCAGGGGTGGATTCAAATTTGATACTGTGGCAACCAAAGAACTATAGACTACACCAAAATTTTGAACAATTTGAAAACAACTATTTGGTGTACTTTAGAAGCATTGAAAATTCAATCAATGGGTTGGCAAAGAGTAGCTTTCAACAGAATGAATTTGAGGGACTCGTTCGTACCAATACACTACAAGCTCTTCAGAATGCCCCTTCTGTTGTTGACGTTTCAAAACTTGTTGATTTTTTACTTGATGCAAACCAGCACATGATTTACCAAAAATGGTCCAAGAATGACAAGAACGAATATTTGACACTATTGTCAAAGGTGAAGAATTTGAGAAAGATTAGTGGCAGTGAGAATTTATTCAATTACATGTTGGACTTGTTGACAAGCACGTACACCAAAGTGCAACAACTAGCACTTGATGTCATCTTTGCATTCAATGACCAGATTATCAATAAACACAGAGACGTGTTGAGAAACTTTTTGGATGATGTTACATTCAGTGACGAATTGTCAAAGTTCACATCCATCGATTGCCCAATTGAATATAATGACAAGCAACATATTATGCCATTGGTGATAAGGATACTATTTGGCAAGTTTCAAGGAAAGCTAGCAAGTAAGAGTAAACAGGGTGGTAAGAATGCGGTGCTTTTGTCGTTACCCAGCTTCTCAGATGAGGAAATAGCCTCTTTTATTGGGATAGGAGCGAGCAAGTTAAATTACAAAGATTATTTTGGAAAAAGAATGTCAACAGCAGGCTTGGGATTCGATTATGGTGAGTTGAAAAAAATCACTGGGTTCATCAGTTTACTCCAACAAGTTTATGAGGTCTTTAAGAAAAATCATGCTTCGGTTTTGGCCACCACCATTGAACCTCTCTTATATTCACTTTTATGTGCCCAGAACAGAATTGATTGTGAAAGTGATGAAGAGGATCCTGTTTCAGATAAAATGGCGAGACATATCAGACTGAGTGGAATGAGAAGCTTGAAGGAGCTTTTCCACATCCTTGGCCCAGAGTTTGATTGGACACCGTATGTTGGAGTGGTAACTAACGAATTGATTGCACCAAGATTGCCTAAATTTGCCAATGAAAACTTACAGCAGCCCCTGGCCGTACTATCTTTGATGTGTTTCTGGATTCGACTGCCAAACACTTTACCCTTTTTGTTCGCCAGTGATTTTGATGCAGTGAAATCCATTTTGTCACTTTTGGAAAAACAAGACGCGAAGGAGTCTGTTATATCAGTAGTGTTGGACTTTGCCGTTACAGCTTTGGAAAAGAGGAACGATACAGAGGAGAGCTATTTCACATTGTTAGCTATAGTGGTTGATTCATTGCTTCAAACGTTGTCGTCGATTATTAATAGGATAACTAATCCTGAAGTGGGGTCGAAGGTGATCAAAACGCTCCTTCTTATGATACAGGGGGACTATATCGATACAAAGGAGACGAAATCTGCCTTGATACAGTCATTAACTTTTGCGCTTGAGCGTAATAACCAACAAATTGATGTCAATGATAAATCAAACATTCTTGTTGCTCTATCATCTTTGTTGGCAAGTTACGAATGCTCATTTGAGAAAATTTTGCCGTTGTATCAAGCTTGTTCTAAACTTCTTCGGGTGATATCCACAAAAGACGTTCGTGAGACATTGGCAACATTGTTTGGTGTACTTGGGTCTAAGTTTGAGCGTTTGCAAATAGTGTCACAAGTTGTAATTGGATTGAATGCCTACATCTCAAGAATGGGCGAGTATGATTTCGAAAACAGACTTGACGCATATCGATTGGTGAATGAGGAGTTGTATCTATCATTGGATCCCATTCAATGGTCTCCTCTATTGAGTAATGCATTGTTCAATATCAATGATCCAACGGAGTTGGCAATACGTGTAAATGCTGGGTACCTATTGAAAAGATTCGTTGATTGTTATACGTCCAAGCCGTCAGCAGGGGAGGCTCAGCCATACATTCACTTGTTGAAAGATATGATTCTTCCATTGGTGCGTATTGGTATAAGAAAGGAAAACGAGGATGTTCAAAATGAGTACGTGGCTGTTTTGGAGTATATTATCAAACATGACAAGTATTTCCCAGACTTGAGGGACTTGCAAGTGTTGATCGGAACTGAAGATGACGAGGAGCTGCAATTTTTCCGCAATATAAATCACATTCAATTGCACTTGCGTCAAAGAAGTATTCGAAGATTGAGTACGGTTGCCGACTCTATAAATGGCAGCAATGTTTCACATTATATATTGCCATTATTAGAGAGATATACCATTTCAAACGAAGAGAGGTATAGAAACATTGGACTTGAAGCTTTGGAATCAATCAAGATTCTTGTTCGCTCGATTAGTTGGAATCAATATAAGGCCATTTTCAAACGTTATTTGGCTGGTCTCAAAATGGATTCAGAAGTATTGAGACAACGAGTAAACTTGGTGGTGGCAATCTCTGCTGTATTGAAAGATCACAAAGATGACGGCACGTTGTTGAATGTTGGGTCCCAAGATGATATAGATGGGTTTTTGCAAACAGAAGTCTTACCTCAAATCACGAAGATATTGCAAGTTAGAGATGATGATACCATTGTGGCACGTGCTCCATTGGCTGAAGCTGCAATTAACTTGATTTTGTCGCTCTCAGATGATAAAGTGGAGGGCGCCTTACCTTCGGTTTTAACAAGTTTGTGCCAAGTGATGAGATCCAGGTCGGAAGAATTGAGAGATGCAGTGAGGAAAACATTGGGGAAGATAACCGTTGCGTTGGGAGCAAATTATTTCTCATTTATCGTTAGAGAATTGAAAACGGCATTATCAAGGGGTTCACAAATACACGTTCTCAGTTATACTGTTCATTACCTTTTGCAATGTTTGGCACATGTGTTGCAACATGGTGATTTAAATGAGTCCATTTCGTTGACAATTGATATTGCAATGGAGGACATCTTTGGAGCAGCAGGTCAAGAAAAGGACGCTGATGGTTACACGAGCAAGATGAAGGAAGTGAAGTTTAAAAAGAGTTTTGACACCTGTGAGATTTTAGCGTCAAATATATCTCTTGACCATTTTGGTGAGTTGATTAATCCAATCAAACTTTTACTTCAAGAAACAATCAATCACAAAGTTCAAGTTCAATTGGATGAAGTACTTCGGAAACTTTCACTTGGGTTAAACCACAATACCGAAGCTTCGAATCAAGCTATATTGCATTTGTGTTTTGAGATCTTTTCAATGTCAAACGAAGCTGACCCGAATCAAAAAATAACTAAACTTAGCGAATCGGAACAGCATTTCTTGACAACTCTAAGCAGAAAGACAAAGAGTCATGTTGATCGTCTGCCATATAGGCAGACAATGCAAAAGCTTTCTCTTGAATTGTTGAGGACGGCTATTTCAAGACACGAGAATTTGCTCCTCACTTCCAATTTGAATGGATTTGTCCCATTATTGGCTACAGCAATCAACTCTGAAGCTGAAGGTGTTGTATTAGCTTCATTGAAGGTCTTGATCATTGTTGTTCGTTTACCATTTGATGAAGAAAGTCAAGGAATTTTAAAGTCGTGTGTGAGGAAAGCTTTGGTTTTGATTAAAGATTCGCCAACAACAAATCTGGATGTATGTCAGGCAGCCCTTAAATTTTTGGCAACTACTATCAAGCATAATCCAACAGTGGTGATAAAAGATTCTGCCATAAGTTATGTATTGACAAGGGTTCAACCAGACTTGGAGGAACCCAACAGACAAGGTTTGGCATTTCAATTTTTGAAGGCCGTTGTCTCTCAACATTTGCTTTTGCCAGAGATCTACGATGTAATGGATAGTGTTGCCAAATTAATGATTGTTAACCACTCAAAAGAAATTCGTGACATGTCAAGGTCAATCTATTTTCAATTTTTGATGGAGTACGATCAAGGAAAAGGTAAATTGGAGAAGCTGTTTAAGTTTTTGGTCAATAATTTGACATATCCCACTGAAGAAGGTCGCCAATCGGTAATGGAGCTTATCCATTTGATTATATTAAAAGCTGGACCGGAGTTGTTGGACAAATTGGCCTCGTCATTTTTCATAGCGTTAGCAAATATCCTCGTTTCTGATGATTCCTCAAGATCTAGAGAAATGGCCAATGTATTGTTGACAAGCATGATGAAGAAACTTAGCGAGGTAGATTTCATTGAGAAATATTGTACTGCATGGTTACAGCAATCATCAAATGTGTTGTTGAAAAGATGTGGATTTCAAGTTTACAAAATGTTGACAACTGTGTTTGGTATGAAGGTGTATCCGAGTTTGAATAAATTGGCATTGGAAAATATATCAAAAATTCTTGCCGATTCAAAGTTCAACGAGGAGGGAAACAGCGTTGATTGGGAACTTGTGTACTCCAGTTTATCCGTTTTTGGAGCCATTGTTTCTTGCTTGAAAGATCAAATCTATGAACAAAAATACATTTCACTTTGGGACTCAGTAATCGATTGTTTGTTGTATCCACATTCATGGATTAGATTAATCACTTGCCGTTTGGTTTCAGTACTACTTTCAAACCTTGATAAGAGCAAGTTGGATAACTCTAAATTAGAGTTGATTGCCACAAAGCTCATTCACCAATTGCGAACTCCGTCATTATCGGATGAATTGGGTACAATGTGTATCAAGAATTTAACATTTATTGCTGTCAAGTGGGAAGATACCCGTGCACAGTTGAAAACCGGCGATGGTGATGAGATGCAATACGCAAATGATTTCTTGATTAAAAGAGTATGTGGTATCATCAAACAGGAGAATCAAACAAGCCTTGCCAAAAAGATTTCAATTAAATTTTTGATCTTGTTCATTCAGTTGACCAAAGAGGACCGTATGATTGAAGTTTCAGAGAAAATTATTGATTCATTATACAACTTTACAGATGAAGAATATAGTCGATCATTGTCCGACGAAGAATTGATAAACATTAGTTTACAAGCATTGAATATGGTTCAGGAAAAGATTGGAACAACTGAGTATACTCGATTGTTTGCCAAAATTAGGCACCAGGTTGATACCAGAAGAAAGAGTCGTAAAGCCAAGAGATCACAAATGGCAGTTACTGCACCCGATATTGCTGCTAAACGTAAATTCAAAAAGCACGAAAGGGTAAGAGAAAAGAGAAAGCATGAAAAGGATGAAAATGGGTATTATAAACCAAAGAAAAAGAGGGTTAGATAGAGGTGGTTGTTTACAAGGACAATGCATATGTATAAATATACAATAGCGATGATATCATTGCGCTTCTTATTCTCCCGATTCCTCTTTTATGTCACTTTTGGGAATTCCGTGATGTTCTGTTTCACTACCAACAATACTGTCATCCGTCTTTTGTCGTTTCGTTTCTCTTTCATCTTCATTGTTGTTTTCCAGTTCTTCCACGGCTCGTTCATCCTCTTCCTCATTGGCATCAGTTCCACCACCACCTGTAAGTATTGACCCATCATCAGCTCTGACTATACCCAATTCTGCATCTTTTTTCTTTGTATATTCTACCATCTCCTTTTGATATCTGATTCGATCTTCTTCATACAATTTATAAAATGGTTGTTTATCTTCTTCACTTAGCTTTTTCCAAGCTTCAGTCATGGCTTTGGATAAATCCCGAGTGTTATTTTCTGGATCTTCTTGTTGTTGTTGTCTTAATCGTTCCTTTTCTTGTTCGCAGAATAAAAGATACGCATTGGTTGGCCTTTTGGGTAAATCAGGGTCCCTGTGTTTAGCGGATTTGGCCAAAGCTGGATTGACGGGTATGGTAGAGGCATGATCAGCTGAAGAAGTTGTAGCATTGCTAGCGATATGCAACGAGTTTTTCGCACCAGCACCAGCTGGTGATGACGAGGGATTTACAGCAACTTTACCAGTAGATGGCTTCTTGTTCGACTTCTTGTTCGTGCCATTTTTGGACGTTTTGACCAAACTTTCATCTAGTATACTCGGCGTTGGTGGACCTGCCATTTCTTCGAAATTGGTAACCCCATCAGGTAGATGATGAGCTCTCTCCTCTAGCCTTTCAATCAATACGGCGTATTCAAGTCTCAATCTTCGTATTGAAGCTTGGGTCCTACTCAATGCTATAGTAGCAACTTCATTAGTTTGTTCCACTTCAAGCACTCTTTTTTTCAACTCCTTGCATTTTTGTCTGAATCTTTCCTCTAAAATGGGGAAGAAGTTAGTATCTAGTATTGTTTCAAAACAGATAATTTCTTGGTAACACACCTTCACTTTCGGGAACTGAGTCTTTCCATTGGGTCTTCATATTGTATTAACCTGGGTGTGGATGGCGCTGAATCGAGAGGTAGTTGTTGAAAGTGCTGAATTTTTTTCTTTCCTCTTTTTTCTTTTTTCACAGTGTTTGACGGTCGGTGCAAGAATAAAGCATCGGTGACAAATGGCAAGGGATTAACAAGATTATGAAGATTGTCGACTCAATGGAGTGGACTTCTTTAATTCATTTTTTGTTCTGTAGTGGGGCTTTACAGCATCACGATATACCTAAGCTTCGAATCATGGCAAGATACATTTATCTTCGTAACTTACTAGATAATCTGACCTTTGGCCCCCTCGAAATTTTGTAATTGAGAGCTCTACACTGGATGTATAGATACAAGAAAGTATTCCCTAGAGGCCATCCAATGCCAGTGAATGTTCTTTCAATTAAAACTTTCTTACAGTTCTCCGCGGCCATAGCAGTCGCTTCGTGGTAACGTGAGCTACGATTACAATCAAGGCAGTCAATCTTTACTTTGTCAAGGATTGATAAGACAACTCTGAGCCACTGCTCTATTGTGTTGGAAAGTGTTATCACTAATAGTAGCTGCAGAGATATACAATGATGAAGTTAATGTCGAACTAATTGTATGTGGCACCCCGACGGAACAAATGATTTTTGGAGTGTTGATAAATGACTTTTATTTTGTATAACGATCCGAAGTATAAATATACCACCACATCACATCTTGTTTTACCACACAACTGAGTCCCAAGTAGAACGTTTTGCACTGAGCAGATTCAAAGATCTGAACAATCAATTATTTACTGTCAATAACAACAACCAGAAAACGAATTATTCTCAAACATATAATGACTCAAGAAGTTAAGACTGTATGTGTGTTTTGTGGATCCTCATTTGGTAACAAACCTGAATACGCCGAAGAAGCCTCGAGGTTAGGTGCAGAATTAGCCAAGAAATCATGGGGATTGGTTTACGGAGGTGGATCCACTGGATTGATGGGTGCAGTTGCACGCGGGTGCGCTACTAATGGAGGTTATGTCCACGGAATCATCCCTGAGGCCTTAATTTCGCGTGAGAGAAGACCCGATGGTGATAAATTGGGAAACCAGGGTGGCGCCACCAGTGGTGAAGTCACTGGATCTCCAGGGTCTACTTCCGATGAAGAAGCATTTAATGCTAAATTGAAAGAATCTATCGACAATCACGATGGCTCAACACCAATACCTGACTCCAAAGAATATGGCAAAACCACATTGGTCAAGGATATGCATACACGTAAAAAGTTAATGGGACAGGAAGCAAGTTCATTTGTTGCATTGCCAGGGGGGTATGGAACTATAGAAGAGTTGATGGAGGTTGTAACTTGGCAACAATTGAATATTCACAACAAGCCAATTGTTATATTTAACATGGATGGATTTTATGATAATTTTTTACAATTCATCAAAGATGCTATTAAAAATGAATTTGTTTCTGCTAAAAATGGCGAGATTATTAAAGTTGCCCACACCGTGGAGGAAGTCTTACTGGCTATTGAGAATTATACAGTTCCTGAGGGGAGATTCAACTTAAACTGGGAAAGCACTTAAGGGAGTAAGAGAATTAAAAGTTGGTTAGCGAAGGAGATAAATGTATAGAGTTGATGGTGAAAGTGCCATTGTATATATGGTATCTAGAAAAAGCATATAAAAGTTTTGCTCAAACGACTTCACATGGACGACGACAGCGTTGTTATATGGTGGTTCATTGCTAGATTTTGAAGGGGAAATGCTATACAGATTTCGACTTCCTTTGAGTGTTGTTCCCTTATCAGGCATTCCTTATCAGGCATTCCTTATCACATTTGTACTCTTTCACACAAACACAAACATCATGCAAAATGCGTTCTACTTTGCAAGTTACAACAAAACATCCTTCTAGCTAATTCAATCAACGTAGTCACCACTTTCATCAATCTCTGCCGCTGAGGTAGACTTTGTTATCAAATCAAATAGATCATAAAAACTGTGGCTTAAATTAAAGAACAAAGACAGACGCACCATTTGTATTCATCTTTCACGATACATTTGCTAATAAGCAACTCAAAGTCCAACCATCGCAATCAATTAGTCTTTTACAAAAATCCAACTACTGATCAAAGAAATGCGATGAAGTTTGTTTCATTAGTTAATGTTGTCACCCTATATGGTTTAGTTTGCGCTCATTTGTGGACATACCAAATATCGCCACCAAGTCAAATCATTGATGGGTATCGCAAGATTCTTAACCATTTGGGATTATTCAAAGCTACAAGTAGCATAGACTCTACAGCACAGCAGCATTTGACTGTATACACACAAGCAACAACCTCTTCGGATACGTCACCACCTAAGTTTGAAGCATGGCTAGAAATACAACAGAATACATCATTTCATGCAATTTTACAAAACATCAACAACAATGGAGTCATTGTTGCTTCGCCATCCAAACATGACCCCAACTACTATTACCAATGGATCCGAGATTCTGCAATCACAGTGCGGACTTTAATTTCATACCTTGAAGATCATTTTGACAATGACAATGCTAAAACATCACATTTGCACAATCATGTGGCTAATTTGATTGAGTTGTACATTTTGAATAACTACCGATTACAGAGGACGCCTAACAAACTGGGCAAATTCACCACTTTAGCGGGACTAGCTGAACCTAAATTTAATGTTGATATGACGGCATTCAATGAACCATGGGGAAGACCACAACGCGATGGACCTGGGTTACGAGCAATGACTATTATTCAATATATTGATTACTTGAATCGAACTGAAAGCCAAGTGAACCATCCTGAGTTGCAAAACTTGAAGTATATCTATACAGAGATTATCATACCCGATTTGCAATATATTTGTCGATATTGGAATAACTCGGGGTTTGATTTATGGGAGGAAGTCGACTCGATTCACTTCTTCACGTCTATGGTTCAGTTGAAAGCGTTGCAAATGGGTGTCAAATGGTCGAGATATTTCAAGGACAATGAAGAATTTACAACTCAATTGCTTGACTCGTTCTACACTTTAAAACGACATATTGAAAGCGATTTTGGCTTTGCCTCACTTGGATTTGATCATGTTATTGAAAGTCCACAATTGCTAGAATCAGGTGAGCGGCTGGGATTGGATATAGCTACAATTTTAGCAGTGATTTACGCCCATGAGAATGACGACAAAGAGCAACAATCTGAGGATCCACAATCGAATACAGTTCCGTTCAATGTGTTTAACCCTCATGTACTTAATTCAATAAGTGGGTTAATTATTGACATGAGACAACGGTATCCCATAAACAAGAATCGATTTGGTGTTGCATTGGGGAGGTATCCAGAAGATGTGTACGATGGTATTGGCACTTCTGAAGGTAATCCATGGTTCATCTCCACTTCCACAGCTAGCGAATTCATTTACCAATTCATCTACAATCTCCAATCTCAAAAATCCAACTGGGTGATTGATAATTCCAACCGTCAATTTTTCCAACCGTTGATAAATATCACAGGAACTGAATATACTCTCGTGTATAATTCGTCGGATTTCAACTTCTTGATTGAAAAGCTAACCGCATATGCTGATTCTTTTCTTGACGTTGTTCGCACCCACACCGATTCACAAGGTCGGATGTCGGAACAATTCAACAAGAACACGGGGTTTATGCAAGGAGCGAAAGAATTGACGTGGAGTTATAGTGCGGTTTGGAATGCAATCCGATGGAGAAAGAGGGCTCTTGCTATATAGCGTATTGGTTTAGTACGATAAAATAAAAGGGATGCTTCAAACTTTCTATTTATCTAGATTATTTGTAGTTTCGAAAATGGTTATATTGTTGAATTTGGAATCGTCAGTGTTTTGATAACAAGCTTCAGATCTGTCTAGCAACTCTTGCAATTCAGCTTTGGTGATTGGTTGATCTTGTGGCGAAGTAGCATTTCGTGATGAATCGCTATGATTGAAATTATGTTTACTCCATTCAAATAATTCCTTCATACTGGCGTCCAAATCCTTCCCACTATTTTCCATCATTTGTTTCATCTTGTTGAATTTGAACTCCCCCATTTGAATCACCAATTTTTCAAGAAATCGTTTTGAACTCGATTTACTGATCAATATCTCTTCAATTGAGTCACGCACGATAAAACGGAAAATCTTTACCGGTTTATCTTGGCCAATGCGGTGCACTCGATCAATTGCTTGCAAATCCACTTGCGGATTCCAATCACTATCAAATAAAAAAACGGTATCAGCTGCAGTCAAATTAATTCCTAGCCCACCCGCTCTAGTTGATAGTAAAAACACCTTGTACGGGGAGCGGCTATCATTGAACAGTGCGATTTGTTCTTCTCTCTCACTTTGGGGTGTAGATCCGTCTAAACGACATACATCAATGTTTTGAAAGTGAAGCCAATCTTGAATCAAATCCATAACTTTGGTAAACTGGGAAAAGATCAAACACTTGTGTTCGGATTCAATCAAAGGTGGTAATATTTGATTGAGAGCTTGAAATTTCGTCAGATTCTCCACAAGCTTTCCGATAAATTGCTCGTCGTGTTCTCCGTCAATCGGGAATGGTTCATAATACAAATACGGCGAATTGCAAATGTTTCTTAATTGGATCATCTTTAATGCTTGCAATTTCAAATGCTTGATATGAGATACGATATCTGTGTATAATGCTTTCAATATTGCTGATTGCTTATCGCTTTTAGTCTTGAAAGTTGCAAATTTGCTCACCACCTCTTCATACGAGGGAGTGTAATTTTTCTCCACGTCAACTAATCCTTCGTCATAGTCCACCACTTCAAATTCGTCATCAGAGCCAGCTTCCTGGTATGATTTGTTAACATCCCTTGGTGACTTTTCCTTGATGACAGAATCGACATTTTCCAAAAACGAGTCAATATCATAGTTTTTAAATAGTTCTTGGTGATTATACTTGATAAATTCTTTCAAATTCGACTCCACTAATCCCTTTTGAAGTTGACCATTCAATGCATCACGGTAAATTTTACGCTGCAATTCAGTTAATGATATATGAATCAAATATTCCTTCTTTGGAGGTAAATCCTGGATGGCATCTTTTTTCAATCTCCTCAAAATGAAGGGCTTCAAGATTGTGTGTAGGTTTTTGACTAACGTTTCCTGGATATTAAGTTTGATCAAATTTTTGGTCTCCTCATCTTCGACATTCTGTTCAAAATTTGCCAATTGATCGAAATCAAACCATTGTTGAAACAACTCCAAATCATGAAAGATATCCGGCAAGATAAAGTTGAGTAAAGACCATAATTCATTCAAGTTGTTTTGGAGTGGCGTACCAGTTAGTAGCAATCGATTTGTCACATCAAGTTTTTTCAAAATCTTTATCAACAAACATTGGCTGTTTTTTAAACGATGTCCTTCATCCACAATCAAATACTGCCATGACATATCGGCAAACTTTTTGAAATCCTTGATTGAAATCTCATAAGTTGTAAGAACGATGTTGAACTTTTTGTTATTGAAATGCAATTTTGCTCTTTCTTGCTTGGATCCGGAATATTTCAACACCTCAATCTTTGGTGCAAATCTTTGAAATTCGTTGTACCAATTGGACAAGGTCAGCAAGGGAACGACAATCAAAAATGGGCCATTTATACCATTTTCTATCAAGTAACCCAAAAACGAAATGCATTGCAACGTCTTACCCAACCCCATTTCGTCAGCCAATATACCATTGAGACCATTTTCGTACAATGTCACCAACCACTCCAATCCATCCAACTGGTAATCTTTCAATGTACCTCCTGATATTATTTTTGGCTGTGCCATGGTATGCGCGGTTTGAGATTTCTCAATTGCCTGTCTTGTAGCTACTGTGCTATCTGAGATATCAGTCTTTAACATTGATACCACATCTTGCCCTTTCTTTGCGGTCTTTTTGTTGGTTTTCCTCTTTTTCCGTACTGGCAGGCTTTTGTTTGATGATTGCTGAGCGTCGGAGTTTCTAACATCATCATTACTCTCGTAATTAGTACTGTCTTTTTTGCTCAATACTGATTGTAAGATGTTGTCTGCAATAATCTTTGAATAGATTTGTGATTTTTCAATTAAGTTGTTTAATCGATCTAGTTTGTTTTCTTTAGATAGATGGTTGAACTCGTCTTGTTCAGAAGCTACTACCGAGCCCAGATCACCATTTAAATGTTGTTGTGCAATCAATTTTTTCAAATCGGTCTCGCTAATGAGTGAAACTTCAGTGTCATCTTCCTCTTCTGAGAAGCTATCAACGGGAGACGTGGTCATTTGTGTGAGTAATTAAATGAAATTTGAAGCTGTGGTTGTGACGATGAGAGCAAATTTAGTCTCTATTGGTTATTAAACTAGTAATAACGATGATGATGCTTGTATCAGTTCTGGTTGCTAAAATTCTGAAGATACGCGCAGAATTTGAAATTAGATTTTGGTAATACGCGTGTGAAAGCGTGACTTGCGCGTGACTTAATCTCCTTTAGTGGCACCGGAAATGTTAAAAGTCGGATATCACCATAATTATGTTGCCTTGGTTTAACTATTGATGTCATGTCGAATGATAATGTCATGTTGACTTGACTATTATTGTCTCACTAGGGTACGAATAAGAATTGAAACACACGTTGCATAATTTACACCTTACATTATGTACGTCAATTTCAGGAAACAATAACTAACAATAATAAGTAAATTTTAGGAAAGAATAAATTCAACTACATAATCAGTGGTGATGCTATTGAAATCATACAAACATTGTAGGACTTATTTCTTTTTTTTATATGAATGTTCCCTTGTGTGCACATCTCTGAGTTAGAATATATCACCAGCTGTATATATAAAATCTTGTATAAAGTGGATGAACCACCCTTTCGGAATTATCACGTGCAAAGTGTTGTAATGTTGCTGTAGATTATTAAGTCTTTTATGGCTTGTTACAATATAGGTGGGCATACCAAAAAGGCAAGTTTCTGGTGTCAGGAGGGGTAGTAGTAGTAGTAATAGTGGTTCTTTTGTTCTTTTTTTTGCGTTAGAGTCTAGAATTTATGAAAAAGAGTGTAGTTTTAAGTAATAAATTATATGTATAGAACTACAATAAAAACAAATAAGCAGGAAGACAAGGGTAGATAAAGAATGATGAATGCTTGCCTATGGGTGGGGGCAAGGATTGAGTTGGAAGTTGTATTATTGCGGGTGAATGGGCTATAGTTGGGGGGGGGTAGCTTTTATATGCTCTTGATCTTCTGCTAGCTGTATCCTATAGGATATAGTTTGCTAATAGAGGGGTAGCATTCCAAAGTTTTTTTTTTTTTTATTTTATCTTTCGCAACCGAAAAATACGTCAAAAGCTTGCAAATGTAAGGGGGAAATCAAACTTTTAAAATTCAGTTTTGTACCATTCGTTGCCTATCATATCATGAACATGATGTACTTGTTATGCGCTCTTAACCACAGTCCAACAAAGTATTGCGGACATCATGATTTTGATATACTATACTTTAGAAATCATATAAAATGCGATTGAAACCACGATAGTTGTATTCTCTCTAAATGATTCTCTTGTCTCCATACACATCTTTACCCTTCCACTCACACTTGAACTCAAGAACTACGAACTAAACTTAATTTTACGAACTGCATTTATACTTAATTTTACAAACTACATTTACACCTAAGTTTAAATAATGCTTACTACCACCACCGTCATCACCAGACCCATCACCGAAGGTCAACTTTACCGCATTTTGGAATTATTGCATCCTACCGATGAGTTGAGCAGAGATGTCAGGTTTTACAAAGATGGCGACAAAGTTGTTGTTGTTCATTTCACCCACATTTTACAAGTTACTACTGGATCAGGGGCAAACACCGAAACAAAAACCATTGTTTATGAAAGAAAATTGGTCATCAACGATTTGTGTGATATTTCTCATCAGGCAGGAATTGAGGAGGACAGGGAAAACATTGATCGGATCAAGCAGTTGTATCAGACATTCAGGTTGAAGAATGAACAACGGAAAGCTGCAAAAGCTGCAGCAGAAAGATTGGCTTCAATTGGGAATAAGAAGGAATCAAATGTTGGAAGTCCCAATTTGAATGAGAATTGTGGTCACATTGGTCATGAAGGTAATGAAAATGATGACAATGAATTGGAAACTTCACCATCGAGATACATCACAAATGCAATTGAATCAAATAACAATGCCATCGATAAAACCAAGTTGTCAGTACTGATTAAAGAACAAGACAATTCAAGACCGGTTAGTTTGAATAACCACGAAACTGAGACAAATGGTGATAGCCAAACCAGTGATTCAAATGTTGATTCTGAAATTGAAACTCCACCAACTACTGAATTACCACCAACTCAACAACAACAACAACAACAACAACAACCGAAATTCAGCTTGAGATCATTACGTGGTTATTATGAAGGCGCTAATTCACCCATGCACACCAATCCAACCAGCGAGTTTATTGATTTGACAAACAACCAAGAAAAGAAGGAATTTGTCCAACAACGTTATGGCACCAACTACATGGGATTTGATGAGCCTGAATATATCCCCAAACTGAATAACCTGAAAAGCCGCAAACGTGATGTGTTGAAGAAACCATTCAAATCAATCAAAACAGCCTTCAAGAAGTTGATGAAAAAGGAAGAAACTTCTGTTATTTGTGAACCACCGAAATTAGCTCCAAGATCAAGCCTTATGACCAAGGAAGAAAAACTTGAACAGATAGAACGATTGGTTGACCATTTAAGAAACAAATATACTCATGATGAAATAATGAAAAGAGTTCACTTGAGACTGGGAAAAAATAAGCAGTCACCGAGTCAATAAAATGAAGGGATATTGAATGGCTTGAATGGTACAGTGGGCAATAATTTGGAACACAAATTTACTGGTATGGACGGAAAAGAAAATTAGAATGAAGCAAAGATTGAAAACATAGTGACGGACCCGCAATGACAAAGATGCTGCGTCATTGAGAGTGAGAACGATACGTCGTTTCTTGCAGAAATAGTTGGCAAACATGGGGTATTGCTTGCAAGACTCACTCTCGGTAAAGTCACAATTTGAAAACATCAAATATCCAATTCCACACCAATACATGAAACCACATCAAGAAGTGTTTCACATTTGAAATTGCCAACAATTTGAAAAGCATTCAATTCACTGAGAGCCAATGTATCAAATAAGGAAATCCCACTAAAGGGTCTCAATAACATCACCAGAGTATGGTCCATCATCGAGTCAATGAGAAGAGGTTCCTGAAGAATAGATGATTCGTTGTGGTTGGAAGGTTTTTTCGGAAACATGGTGCTAGGATTGGCCACTCTAGTATCCGGAATGCCAAGAAGCTGGAAAACGCAGTTGATGATTCTAGTGTTGAATTCACAATAAGGATGCTCCCCTTCCCCCTGAAGTTGATTGCACTAAATCGTTAGTGTTGTTCATCACCATTTACCACCCCCTGATCACACATTTGTTATGATTTTTTTTTCGTTTTGTTTTATAACACTTTATGAATTTGAATGTCTATTTTTGTCTTTTTGTGGTTTATACTGTCCTATGGCACTTGTAGAGTGGTTGAATCTGTTCTTTGATCTCTTTGAAAGTTTTCGAAATCTCTCCTTCAGCAACAATTCCACTCAATTTCTGAGGAGTAAATTTTAGCCATGTGAAACAACCTCCAAATCGACGGAGTTGCACTTCTCTTAATGCATATTCCTTTTGCCCTCTTATTTCCTCGTGTTTACACGTAATGTTCTAACATCTTGAGCCATATGCGTCGCATATAGGTTCACACTCCTAAAAGGGACCATACTCACAAATCTATACTCAGCTTCCAAAACCAATTAAAATTTGTAGTTTCTTGTACTACTTTCTCCAATGACCAAATGTAAATTTTCATATCTTGCTCCAAAGGGTGTGACTGGACGATCCTCAAACAAGATGAAATGGTGTCTCTGACTTGAAAAATAGCATATTAAATGGTATTAAGCTAAATGATTGATCGATGAAGCATCAGTTGCGTTGACAAGTGCCAGAAATTGTTCATTCATTTGCTTTTTGGAAGCGGTGGATCGATTGACACCCAGATTTGATTGCAAAAATATGTAATCCTGAGTACACGTGATAATCACATGCTTTGCAATTTGTTGGGTGACTGTTTACACAAAGTTAGCAATAATGTTGTGATATATATGCAGGTGGTGATGTAAGATTTAAACTATTATTATTATTACGTAATACACGACAGTGACATCACCAGTATTACATACAATATTATACCACAGTTTTAAAGGCAAACACGTGACTCAATCAATTGGCTCTCCTTCGTGATAAACCATACAAATTGAGTTTTATTTAGGCTATGGAATAGAGTCGTATTAACCTAAAGATCACCCCTACTTGTCTAACGCCACTATTCTAATACATATATATATATATATGTGTATATGTATATATGTATGGTCCTTTGCAAATAAGGTAATAATTCTATTCTTCTCTTCTTTTTTGCAACTCAAAGTTGTATCAACAAAAAAAGAGAAGAGATTAGACGCGGATTACACCCATTATATACCACAAAATGCACATCAAAAATAGGACTCATCGGAAATGTTTCTTTGTTGTTCTTGCGTATCTCTCCGAAATCACAAATCCATAACCGCCCATTCGATAATACACAGAATCAACTGGTTCTTTTAAATAAAACAGTTCAACAAAAAACTTTTTCAATTTCCAACTCAACAAAAAACTATTGAAAAGGATATACAAAATACGAGGAGACTTATATATATATCCACAGTTTTTTCTCATTCATTTGTTTCATTATAAATTTACCCTTTTGCAATCGTGTGGCGTTCTATTAACAAACTTCGGTTTAATAAAACCACACATATAACCAGACAATACACCCCTTCAGTTGTTTTCAAATACACTGATTTATCACATTTTCCACAGCTTCCATTGCGACCTCATAACTATTCACCGTCCACTTTGAGTACCGCATCATCACTTATCACCAAGAGATCCTTTACCACCTCTTCATTCACAATGGGTAGAGAAAACATCTTACATTACTTACAGGAACACAATGAAACCGATAAGGAACTAGAATTTGATGCCAAGAATGGCTCACAACAGTCAAAAAATGAGATAGAAATACCTCAATTCAAACGTAAAGTCACTAGCCATTCCAACTTCCCATTCACATTGTCACCAGATTCAACAATTACTGATTATTTAAACAATAACAAATTCTATGTTGATTCAATAAAGCATAATCATGGTGATCAGATATTTGAGTTAAATGGTAAGGGCCAATCACCTCACACGTTGTGGATTGGATGTAGTGATTCAAGAGCTGGTGAACAATGCTTGGCCACATTACCAGGTGAAATATTTGTCCACAGAAACATTGCAAACATTGTCAATTCGAATGATTTCAGTTCTCAGGGAGTTATTCAATTTGCAATTGATGTATTAAAAGTGAAGAAAATCATCGTGTGTGGTCATACTGATTGTGGTGGTATATGGGCTTCATTATCATCCAAAAAAATTGGTGGTGTTTTGGACTTGTGGTTGAATCCAGTTAGACATATTCGTGCTCAAAATTTGAAACTACTTGAACAATATAATCATGAACCTAAATTGAAGGCAAGAAAATTGGCTGAGTTGAATGTCATTGCTTCTGTTATTGCTTTAAAGAGGCACCCGAGTGCTAGCACTGCTTTGAAGCAGGGAAAAATCGAAGTTTGGGGTATGATTTATGATGTTGCATCAGGTTATTTATCTGAATTGGAAATCCCTCAAGATGAATTTCATGAGTTGTTTCATGTACTGGATGAAGAAGATGCTTCAGCTCATAATGCACATTAGGGTAACCGTAATGGATGGAACGCTGGGAGAATATTGTACTTGGAGAGGCTAACTTCATAGAATGGGGTGTATTGAGATATAGAGAGGGGAGAGTTGAACACTCACGTGTTGAAGTGTTTATTTATATTTATAGATGGGGACCCAATATACATTTAATAGAAAGAACTAACGATCTCATCACTACAAACACTATATGAAAGGATACACACCTACATTCGATTGTAATATGAGAACAAACTACTGCAGCAGAAACGTAATAGCAGAATAGATCTTTTTTTCAAACAAAGCTATTTATTGACCTGTTTCCAAAATTCAAGCTCTTGAAACTTTTTCTTGCACTAAACACTGGACGCGGTTGACTATCAATACGTGCATTCATCCTCTTCATCCACAAATTTGCAAAAACAACACTCAACCCCAACAAGAGTAACAACACGCCGAGTATTCCATAAAACCAAGCGATATGGGAATCTTGTCCAGGGACCTTCACATTCATTCCAAATAAACCTGTGACTAAATTCAATGGAACCAACATTGTACCAATGATTGTCACTTTAGAAAACATTTGAGTAACTTTATTATTTTCGCCCAAACTTTCACATTGCAACTGTGCCAAGTAGTTGGAATGAGAACGAGAAAATATCTTTTCATACGCTGTCAAGTTTTGAAACATGGTGATTATATGATCTTGAATGTCACCCAAATACAAAGCAATCTCTGCACGGGGACGAGCATTGCCAAAATTGTGTTGCTTTTGGATATCACCAGCTTGCATATTGGTATAAACCCTTGATCCGCTGGATAATGTCGAATATGAAACATCATTTTCATTAAACCTTCCTCGTGCTCCTTTATATTCAAAATTAGCATCGTCTTGACACCTTTTGGCAAACATCTTGATAACGTCAGCTTTTCCAGAAAGTAGTCTCATCAACGTCATTACTTTTCTTCGTGACTCTCCGATCCTTTGCAACATACGACTGAAATCAGATTCTCTTGATGTGAAAACTGCGTCCTCAATCACATCCGCCTCATATTCGATAGCTTGGATGGCAGGGGCAAAACTATCAGTGATGTCATCAATCATTGCATAGCATAGCCAATCAGCAGTAACGTCGACATAATCTCTCAATTGCCTCACTCTTCTTCTAACACTTGCTGGATGTGTCAATGGAGAGAAATGGAAGGTGAGTATACCATCGCGGAAAACAACAATATAGACATTAATTGGTTCAAGATAATCTTCAGATTCCTTGTCTGCTTCAAAAGTGTGGAAACAAACAAAATAATAACTTTTAAACAACTCCACTTTTTCTCGTGTTTCCTGCATTCGGATATCCTCGGCTGTCAAAGGGTGAATTCCAAACGCCTTGGCAAGCATTTTCATCTCGGCATCAGTAGGACATGTACAATCCAACCACCAAGTTTCTTCTCCATTGTGGAAAAGCTCTTGTATTGATTCGCCATTGGGAACAAGTGAAGGAATATCAGGTGCATGCACAGTTTCTTCAGACTCAGAATGGAAGAAAGAAAACCGGTTGAATGTGGCGTCGCCATAGGTACCTGTCACGCGAGCATCGCCAAATTTAACCTCCTCTGCTGAATTCGAATCACCTGAATCGGAATCAGTTTTTTGTTCTTCATCAACAGAAGGCAACTGTAAATCAGTTTTTACTTGTCTATCCACGCTTGAACGTTGAAAAATCAGCTTCAAAGTCTCTATTGGTGTGTACTTTCTCGCAGCTATGCTTTGCAAATGAAAAGGGGTAGCTGCGGCGTTTGATGTTGCGTAATTGGAACAAGTATCGCTGCGGTTGCGACTCCTCTTTGTTGCAGCTTGTTCTTGTAAATCGCGTTGTCTTTCTTCCTTAATGAATTCATTTATAATACCAAAATCAATGTCATTAATCTTCACTTGCTCTCTTTCCATTGGAAGACAAACATCTTCCGCGGTTTCTTTGGAGTCTCTGGACCTAATAGAATCACCATCACTGGCCACCGATTCACGAGAGGCTACCTTTTCAGTGATATTCCCATCATTCACCGTAGCACCATACGCATTTACTGTTGCACGGTTCTCGATCGACCTGGATGTATCAGTCTTGAGACCCAACTTCTTACCAACAGAGGAAGAAAGTTTTGTCATTGAGGCAGCTCTTGGTCTTTCAACAAAGGACCCTCTTCTGCTTGTTCGATTTTTAACTTTGGCGTTTGCATCACCGCTAACAGGCTTTACAGCCGGAGCGTGATAAGTTCCTTCGCCGTCATTCTTTGGTGAATCATCCACAGCCCTACCTTTTCTATCGACTATATGATTTCTGTGATCATTCAAGTCGTCAGTGAAATGTGAGACCACAGATTCTGCCTCACTGGATTGCTCAAATTTTTCACTCAACATTTGCTTCTGTAATTATGTTATTAATTGCCGGCTTTGTTTCGAGAAATACCCTTCACTTTCGTTCCTCAGTTCTGTTACTTGTCTTCCGTACCCTATTAGTCTCCAAAACCCTCTTAATTTCTCATCAATATGTTAGTGGATTTTGATACTTGTGCGAGTGAAACTTGATCAAAGTCAGTCATGTATGAATAATCCAAAAGCTTTTGGTCTTATGTGGGAAGCTAATCACTCGTTGAGTCTAGATATGAACTTGAAATGAAGTCCAATATGAAAATGTGTGATGATGTCTCATAATAAGATACCCTGATCGATATGGAAATCATAAAGATTACCTTGACTATTTATATTCAAAATTCCTTTTCTAGTGCATCACAGAAAGCTGAGTCTAAAAATAAAGCAGCTTTGTATTCACAGACGTTGTATTGTTATACCATATATGCAAGTAAATTCATAATGATGAAGAATCATTTTTGGACAAGAAATTTATATGCAATCGACATCCTCGGCACAACGTATGACTGGGTGGGGCTATGTTGACTCGTGGGACAATACACTACAAGTGCAGGAAACTTGATTTCGCTGGTGGTTATGGAGAAGTGCCAATCGATTGAGATGAGATGAGCATGGTTTAACTCCGTCTTAGGTTATATTGTATTAAGAATCCCTTCATCGTGAAATAGCGATTCTATTTTTAGTTCTGTGAATCTTTTTGTTCTTTTCTTTTTTTTCTTCCACTTCTAATTTTATCAATACCGTTTCGTGCCAAGCAAACTGAGATGATTGAGTAATTGTTTGTGTCTTATCGCAACGCAGAGCCACTCGCAAAGGGCGGACAGTGTATCAAATACATAACCCAGGCTGTGAAATGGGCGATGGATGCGTAACGAGAAGAATCGTTCGCCTTGTAAGTTGTGCTCACAGGTAAGTATGCAGATATTCTCGAAAAGTTCGACGAGAAAACGACTAATATTTTGACATATTTTGCAGGCACTTTTGTGCAAAATTTTCATAAAGGATACTTCAAACTGTAGGATGAATAAATTTAAAAACGCGGACATAAGTCAGTAATGGCGTGAGAACTCAGTTAAAAATAGACTATGCAAAGCAGGTTAAGAAAGTGTTGGACTTGAATTGCACTCCTCGCCTCTGCCTTGACATTTGACAAACGAACGAAATTGTCTTCTGTTACTATACAAAAATCTAGCTAATATACAAAATAGGGAAGCGAGTGCAACGTGCAACGAGATTGTCCGCTTTTAAAATATCCAATGCATGATTCCTTTCCATTTACTCTTATTCTCATCCTGACTGCTTTCCTCCAATTGTGCATAAAACTCAGCTTCATGAGCTTCAATTTCGTCAAGACCAGTTGTCAAATCAGCATCAATAGGTTTGATAAATTTCGTCCTCTTTACAACTTTCCAAACAATGAAAACCGCCAATGAAACGAAAATCATCACATAACTGAATAAAAAGTCATCAACTGTCCACATTCCTGGTAAGAATACTTGGTATCCCAAGATTCCAATAATGCACCAGTAGATGACGGCAGTGAAGTAAATGGAATATGGTTGGAACCATGACCTGTATGGGAATTTTGAGCGATCAATTCCTTGTGCCTTGACAGCATGGTAGAATCCAATGTAAATTATTGACATGAATCCATAATTGAGAACTTGTGCTCCAGTACATAAATTGACCATATAGTTCAATGCTTTACTTCCTGATTTACCCAATTGCAAAAGTGACAACAAGGCAAAACAACAGGACACGAAAACACAATAGACTGGAATACCACGCTTGGTACAAATGCGGAAAAATTTGGGAACGAAACCCTTTATCGCCAAACTGTACAAGCATCGGGAAGATGTGTAAGTGTACGAACAACCAGCGGAAAAGGCCGAAGTTAGCACCACGGCATTGACAATGTGCGGTAGTACTTGAATCCCTAAATTTTGCATAGCCACAACGTATGGCGAAGAAGCAGCACTGGAAGTGTCAGATGTCAAGGCAACGTATTTGGGATCATTGTAAGCAATCAAGATGGACACTGATAATGCACCTCCAATGTAAAAAGCCACCAAACGATACAATACGGTTCTAAAAGCAATGGGCATATTGACTCTAGGGTTGACACACTCACCAGCGGTCATACTAAGATACTCACTACCAACACAGGTGAATGTACTGGATAATCTGAGCGATGCCAAAAATCCTTGAAATCTCCCCAAATTACCAGTGGTGTACTTCATTCCAATGGGACCACCAGCAACATTCCAATTTCTAAAACCAAAGGCATCATGTTGTGGGTTCCCACCACACATGGTGACCAATGTGAAAAACATTAGTCCTATACAAAGAATCAACTTTGCCAATGAAAACCAAAACTCACATTCACCAAATACTCTTACTGCATACAAGTTGATAGCAGCATATATGGCAATTTGAATAACAAATGTAATTGCTGGTGAATAATCATCACGCCAAAAATGGATTATTCCATTAACAGCAGTGATTTCAAATGGGATATAAAGACTTTGCATAATCCAGAAATTGATGGAGGCAGCTGCTTCAAAAGCAGGATCAATAACCCGACCAGCCATATTCAAAAAGGGTTCATCAACTGGCATATACAGCACCATTTCTCCAGTGGCAGTAGTCAATAATAAAATCAACAATGTCGATATGCAATAGGATAATAGTAATCCCAAGGGCCCACCATTGACTAGACCAGTGGTACCAATAGTAACAAATAATCCAGTACCAATAGAACCACCAATGGCTATAAGTTGCAAATGTCTGTTGTATAATGTTCTCTTGGTATGACCAGCACCATCTACGCTAGAAGCTTTATCGGTATTGACACTGGTTGTATCGTGGAACAATTCATCTTCTTGATTAACGGTTTCCCCATTGATGTTTTTCTTTTCACCAAGAGAATTTGTGTCGCTTTCGACACTTTGTTTTTCATCTCTTCTAAACCACATAGTTTTGAGCAAAGTTCATACGTAAATTGGTAGGGAGTGGTTGCTTGAGAAGGAATGTAAGGCAAATGGGGTCAAAAGGAAGAACTGAAGATTTGTTTTTGATTTGAACTCAGATGGTATGATCTATATAGTATGGTTGTTTTCGTTATGGGAGGGAGAGTGGTTGGGTTGGTGAGGATGTAGTGGACAAAAGAGGGGAGGTATAAGTGTGACTGCAAAAAGCTAATACAAGACTGGTTCTAGAATACAACGGAAAATCGTCTTCAATTTATACATCTTTTCAAATAAAAAATCTTGGAGGTCAAGAGAGTCCTCTTTGTCGGATTAATCTCAATCAAAAGAATAGGCATCCCCCCAAAAGCAAAAGATTTTTGTGTCTTATTATGAACCCATTAAATTTAATATAAACAATACGAAAGAAAAAAAAAAAAAAAAAAAAAAGAAAGAAAAAAAAAAACAATGCACAAGAATATCTTCAACCCCATTAAGAAAAAAAAAATAAAAAAATAGAAGACCAATTTGATTTGGAAGAGCAGATATTGGCGTTGTGGCATAATGCATAAATGCCTGTTAAGAAGAATATCTTAACGGTAGTGTGACTGGAGATATCCGATATATCTTGCTTTTTCCCTTAAGTCCGATTTTGTTATTAGGAGACCGTTCCATGAGGCGATTTTCTCATTTTTCAAATTGTTTGGGGCTTGAAAATCAAGGTGATTTCCATTCTTTTGACAACAGGGACAATGGACAAAATTACCAAAAGTCACAAAGAAAGGGAGATGCCTCTCTTTCTCCAGCCCAAATCAGGCAAAAAAAGAGAAAAATCAAAAAAAAAAAGAATCTATGGAACACCAAAATTGGGCCCTTAGTTTGAATCTTATCTTTTCGTAATGGTGTTTTAATTGGGAAAAAATTACTGTAAGAGAAAAAAAATAGAATAAATCAACAATGGCAGCTATAAGTAAAGAGAAAGATGACAAAGCGTGGCTGTATCTGATTTACGGCGTTTTGATCTTCCGCTATGTGTATTCAATTTTGGGTATAAGGTGTACTCTTAATTAGGTTAATTTTCTTTTGGTCCCCCTGTTAATAATTTTAATCATCTTTCTTATGGTGTTGATGTCTAATGACGTAACATTAGATTGGCATAGTTTACTATTTAGTAAAGCGGAGTTCCAATAGGGAATTGTAGTGTGTTTGTGTGTGGATGATAGAGTTCTTCCTCTATCTCAAGTCGTTCTCTCATTCTCTTTCTCTCTCCCCCACACACACAACTGTGGTCATCCTAATTCTACTACTGTTTATAGGCGTATCAAATAGATCTATTGTAAAGAAAGAGAGACGTATCTTAAAGATTCTATTTCCTATTGTTTTTATTTTAATTTTTATTTTTATTTTTTTTTTTCTTAGCCTTATGTTTTATATGTCTCTTTTGTTTTTCTATTGCATATATATATATATGTATATATACTACTACACTAACTAACTAAGCATAATAAATACACAAAAGAACAAAAATTTCATCCTCGTTCTCCCCTCTCTCCGCCCGATTGTTTCACTCGAAAAGAAGAAAGGTCACGGGATGTCGATTATGATAGATACAACTGTGGGGTATAGTAAACATCTACTCAAATTATACAAATTCAACTTCACGAGAACGAAACGAGTCTATCAAAACCCATTATGTCAAGGTTTTAATATATATATATATATATATATATATATATTTATATATGTGCACTGGTTGAGCTTATTAGTAAAAAGTAACTGACGTGAAAAAGAAAAACGTCAAACAAGAAAAACATTTTTTAACACGTTATTCTTCATTTACCTCTCTTCCACTCAAATTAAGAAAAATGAGGTTTATTTTTTGTAATGAGTCCGAGTAGCTAAGTACACATGTACTACAAGGTCTTTTGTTGTTTGTTTGTATTTGCTGATGTTGTTAATACTAAAATCAATATTGAACACATTCACACGTCCATATCTATATATAGATTAATACTCACTCGCATGTTTAGTCTTAATTAGGCAATCTAACACTACCACTTTGTATACACAACAAAAATAACATTGCTTGCATATTCGGTACATAATACACTACTTTAATAGTTTTTAATAGTATGCACACTGGGTTAAAACAAATATTGTTTACTTTTACATTGGTGCCATACGACAGAACGACAACAACAGCAGAATAATCTACTATAAACATATGCTCCAACCGTAAGCTCTTGTAGTGAATACGTTTTTGATTATCGCACTTCATATGTTTCATACAATTATTTCATTAAAGTACTAAAGATTAAAAACAAAAGTACAACAAAGAGAGTGTCACGTGCGCGTCACGTTCTTCAAATTGCACCCACTTCAAAGTTTTTAAACGCTTTTTTTTTGGTGCTGTTTCCCAGCTAAATCTTTGAACGAAACTCTTAATAAGCCCAGTAATAACACAAAAGCACACCATCACACCCACCAAAACACTCTTTCATCTCCCACCACCAAAAATGGACAAAGAATGCACTAATTTTAAACGTGGACGATCGTGTTGCTGCGAGAACCACATGCATGCCATTTTATTCAACAGGTGTTTTGCAAAATGATATGGGAACTCCAAAGACTGGATTTATTGCTTGCGTAAAAGTTGAGTTGTCCGAACTCTTCACGACAATCTTGAAAGCTAGACATGTGTCCTTATTGGTCTCGTGTAACTCATACTTATGTTCACAGCAGCTAAGTCCACATAGAGCATAATTTGTATGATAAAAATCAACCAGTTTTCCCGGTTTATCACGAAACCCACCTGATTCAACTTGAGCTACTCGCAACATATAATTCTTTAATGCAACCTTGTCAATTGTATGCGATTTTCGTAAAACATCAACCATGGGAATCAATGCACCAATCCAAAACCCATAACATGCATCAACTAGTTTATTGGTTCTTCCAGAAAATCCACCTTCATATGTCTGTCTTTCAAGGCACCATCTGACAAACTTGTCAAATTTGATTTGCTCAATAACAGCTTGTGGTTCTTTGTTTAGCAAAAACAATGATGCAAATGCGCAAAAAGTGTAGCCTCCATGGGCCTCAGTGTGGGGAACTCCTGCAAATCCTCCTTCGTATGTTTGGCAAGACACAATCCAGTCTTGAACACCCTCAATCAACTGAGGGGTTGTAACATTCAACAATGATGAAATAACAAGAGCACAATATGTTGATCTTGTGTCATATTCGCCAAATTCATGCATGAGAAATGATGAGCCATTACTCAACTCTTTTTTCAAACTCATGATCCATGTGTACAAATTGTCCTTTATTCTCAATAATGTAGCTGTATTCTTAGTCAATAGTAGAGTCAAAACTGCAGCATATGTTGAAGCCAAATGACCCATTTGGTTGGCACCACCGGCAATTCCACCTCTTCCATCATCAACTATACATGACTCAATCTTTTCATTGATCAAGTTGAAAATATTCTCCGTCAAAAATGACTCTTCTCCTTCCTCTTCTCCCTCTTCTTCCTCCTCATTATTAGCACGAATGACCAAAAAGGAATTCAATAACCAATACATCATCCAAGGATGGTTTGCATCGAGTGATTTATAACCACTGGGCAACTTCGCAGTGAGGCACTTCATCACATAATTCAAATGTGCATCTTTATAAAACTTTAATTCAGGAGTCTCCAAATAAGTCTCAAGTACATCATTAAAACATTCGTCTTGCTGTTCTGTTGTACTTGACTGGTATAGAAGCTCGATTGGTGGCACAGTCATGACCCAATCACCAGCCAATGTCTTGCTTTGCAATTGTTCAACCATTTCGTTTCTTGTCAAATGCGTATATACAATATCCTCAAAGTCCGAATTTGAGTCGTCGTTGTTGTTGTTGTTGTTGTTGTTGCTGCTGCTTGTGGGATGCAGTTGATGTGATGCTTCCTCCTCTTCCACTACTTCTTGTTCAATGATGTTACGTTTTCGACCTAGTAGGTTGATGAGGTAGTCTACCTGATCTCGTTTTGACGAAGGCATGATTTGGGATTGAATTTATATCGGTATTAGTGTAATATTTCAGTTCAAATGCATGTTGCATAGTTTTTGATGTTTCGATCCCACATATTTTTTTCCTATTTTCACCAAATTGGGACTTGACAATTATGTCGTATAGTATGAACGATTAATCCTTTTCCAACGCTAGAACTCATTCGTGATAATTGCATACCTTGTGCTGTATGAGACGACGACAAGCGCATTTACTTCCCATTTTACTCAAAGTTATCAGTGTGACTTGTAGTGTAATTGTCATATATTAATTGTTAATGTATTTACTTTGATTCAGCCAAGGTTGTCCGTAACCCTTTAACTATATTTCTATAGGAACACTAGCGGAAAGACTGTACAAGATGGTTCATTAAAAGTAAGAGTTACGACCAATAACATCTTGGACTTACGAACAAGTAGAGCCCACTACCAAGCAAATTGTCGTTTGATTAAACATAGAATGGCGCATTTGTGGAGAGTAAATCAGAAAAAACATCACACTGTACAAACACGTCTACACATCAACATGGCGAGAAGTTGAATAGAATCTTCTGACGGACACTTTTAGCTGATCAGGACTGCCGTTCGATCGTGTCGAAAACAACGTTCAAAGCAGCATCGCCATCAAGTTCTTGGAACAATATTGTCACTGATTCAAGAAGACGATCACGTACATAGATTTGATAACTTTAAATAGTGAGCTTTTAGTTAAGCAAACTTATGCCTTCAATCAGCTGCTATTTTATTTGATACTTGTATACACTATAGATCGATTAGTGGTGTTGTTCTGTGTACTGATTCACTATAATGCTTGATCTGTCGCCGCCTATTTATGCATAAAACCTACCACTTGTCTCTTCAATCATTTTGCTACTTTACTCTTCTTTGTTTTCTTCTTTTCCTTCTTTTTCAAACCAACAAACCCACCCTTCAACACTCGTATATATTGTTGCCAAAATTGACTCAATTGGTCTGTTTCCACAACTGTTGATATTTTCAACTTTTCTTGCTTTTTGTCCTTATTGTTCGTGCTATTCATTGAGATTCTGACAAGAATCGGGTAGGAGGTATCGTTTTGTACTCGATCATCGGGTATAACATTTGTTGGAAGATCATCAATTGTCACGCTCGATGCCCCCTCTTGTGAAGATAGCCTCTTTTGAGTTAAATAAACGGAGGATTTGCCATCGTTCTTCACAACAGCTTCATTCAACTGCTTTAAAAACTGCGAGTTATCTAGCCTCGTCATAGTTTGATGTACTTTTGAAGGGTAATATGATGATTGCACAAGCACACACTACTTTCAATAAGGATGGGATTTTATTTTTTTTTTTTTATTTCATAAAAATCTCGCTCTCGACGATTTGTGGTGCATTGAAATTCCGCTTTCATAATTCTGAGATATTTTTAAGCAAACAACTTTCATAACAAGCCACAGTGTTCAACTGCGAATTGATTGCATTTACACTCGAACTGATATATCTCACGAGCTCGTGGTGACGTAGCCTACAATTCAAATCTACGATACCAAGTTGCCCCGCTGGGCTTCGACCCCCGCAGCGTAATTAAGATAAGATTACTAAATATTCTGGAAAACATACACTCCTACCAACCATGTCTGAGGCTCTCGAGCAACAACAACAACAACATGATCATCGCCACCAACACGCCAGCCTGATGGCATCGCACTTGCCAAAGAGGTTGACTGCGTTGATAGTATCGGCGTTTGTGGCATTGGCAGCTGGTACTCCATACATGTATGGGGTATATTCACCACAATTGACAAAGCACATTGGATTAACAGCTTCGGATTCTGCAACCATATCATTGGCTACCAACATTGGCTCTGGTGTTGGAGGATTACCGGGAGGACTTTTAATTGACCATTTTGGTCCCCAAGTTAGTATCTTTATTGGATCCATTTGTATCTTTGTGGGGTATTTCACAATGTTCAAAATCTACCTGCATCAATACGACAACATGTTTGTCATATGTATTGCCATGGCACTTATGGGTTTTGGATCAATCACAAGCTATTTTGCTACATTGAAGGCTTCGCAGGCCAATTTTCCAAAACATAAAGGTGCTGCTGGTGCCTTGCCGGTGAGCTGTTTTGGGTTTTCTGCAACAGTCTTTTCCGTGATATCAGCATGGCTTTTCAAAGATGACACTGGTGGCCTTTTGCAGTTTTTAGCATTCTTTTGCGGGTTCATCGTACTTGTGGGATCGTTTTTTGTCCACGTGTATATTGCGGACGAAGAAGACGAACATGGGTACAACTTGCCTAGCCATGAAGGACAAGATTATCAGCCGTCACTTTCAGATGGTGAAGTCTCATTGATATCTGATATAGAGCCACCCGCACAATCGTTATCAAGACTGGAATCCCTAGCTGGATCATTTTCCTTTTGGGGAATTGGAAATAGGACTCCAAGGTCATCGATAAGTTTGCAAGATTCAGAAGCAAATGAGGTTGCAAGAGGTCTATTGCAGGAGGAGTCAGTCACCAAAAAATCAACAAGTCAGGGCAATCCCCTCCAAACAATAAAACGCCGTCTCATGGATAGAGTCTACTTGGTACATTACTTCATTGTATCAATTGCTGCTGGAGTGGGCCAAGTTTACATATATAGTGTCGGCTTTATTGTTGCGGCCCAGTACTACTACAATAAGGAGCATGAGGGACATATAAAATATTTGCTAATGGCCAGAGATGTTCAGGTTGCTCTTCATGATCCCGATGCTGCATCAATACAAGCGCTTCAAGTATCAATATTGTCAATTGCTTCCTTTTCGGGTCGACTTATTGCTGGTTTTGTTAGCGATTACATTCACAAAAAGTGGCATATTCAAAGACTCTGGATAGTTCAGGCTACATTAATCATGCTTTCATTGGCCCAATACATCACGATCGAGAACATTTCATCATTCTACTGGACAGCCATAGCCTCCGGTGTAACGGGATCCTGTTACGGACTCATTTTTGGCACATATCCAGCAATTATAGCTGACTCGTTTGGCACCAAGACATTCTCCACCAATTGGGGTTTGATCTGTACGGGCCCACTTGTTACACTATACGCCTTGAATAAGTATTTCGGCTGGATATATGATACTCAAACAGACGGCAAAACGGGAATATGTAACCTCGGTAACGAGTGTTATAAGGGAGCTTTCGAAGTAAGTTTCGTTCTATGCATCGTTGCCTTTGTAGTGTCAGTTCTATTGATATACAACCAGAGGCACAGATAAAATAGACTATTTATTGTATACACAAGGACTATAGATTAGAGATGATGCTGTAAGTTCGAGTAACTTTTTCTTTTTCACCATATTGTTGTGGAACTCGGTTTGCAAAGACCAGTCACATAAAGGTGAACTTCCCCCCCTCGATGGCGAACCAGTGGGTCTTTACTACGCCACTAGAAAGCACAATGTTGCCCCCTCAGACTAAAGGCGTTCCTCTTTTGTATCCAATGTAAGAAAATCCTTGATGAGTTGTGACTTGTCAAAATAATGCATATGTTTTTTAACCACGTTATCGTTTGGCAGTTCTATGTGGAGTACAGGAACATCATAACAGTACTTATCAAACCATTCTTTATTGTTAGGGTCCATTATATCTACTTTAGTGAAGTTGAGTTTGACATTCTCCACATCGGGTGATGATATGGCTTGTTGAAGTATTTCATTGGCATTCGTACACAACATACAATGTGCTTTGGTAAAGAATTTGAGCAGCACAGTAGACTTGGAACGTGTCTGAGTGGAAGTGACGCGAGTGATTACTTTAAACCTCAACATTGAAGATTGTTGTATAATGGGGAAGACTCGTATAAAATTTTCGGAATTTGTTAACTTGAGAATTTGCGTTTTTGTGTATGTCAAGGCTGACATGAAACCACCGGAAAAAAAATAAAAATGCTTTTAGTCAGTCACATGCGCTAGTTGTATCCACCATCTTTTTTTTAGTGGGGAACAAAAAGGAAAAACCTTTCAGTGATTCCCTTATACGCCATCCTTTTCCTTTTCCCAAATATTGTTGTTAAAAGAGTAAAGAAATGCCATCGGATCGCCAAAAAGTTGCCTTAATTACCGGCGCATCTTCAGGAATAGGTTTTGCGACCTCAATTGAACTTGCAAAGAGGGGATATATTGTTTTTGCTGGAGCAAGAAGATTGGAGCCAATGGCAAAATTAAGAGATGATTATGGTGTTAAAATTTTCAAGTTGGATGTTAGTGATCTACAGAGCGTAAAAGACGCAAGAAGCTACATTCAGAAAGAAACGGGCGGTAGTTACTTGGATATATTGTACAACAACGCTGGACAATCGTGCACCATGCCCACTACTGATGTCACTGATGAACAAATCAAACAATGTTTTGAAGTCAATTTGTTTGGAGCCATGCGTATGGTCAGAGAGTTTGTGCCTCTTTTAATTAATGCAAAGGGAGTCATTGGATTCACAGGATCCGTCAGTGGTGTCAATCCATTCCCCTTTTCATGCACATACTCAGCATCAAAAGCTGCCATTCAACTGTACGCTTCGGTTTTGAGAGTAGAGATGAAACCGTTTGGGGTGAAGGTTATCAACTTTATAACTGGGGGCGTTAAAACTGATATTGAGGATAAGAGGGGTTTACCAGAGACATCAATTTTCAATGTGCCAGGAATGGAGCAAGCGTTTGACGAAAGAAGGCAAATGGCAGTGAGAAACGATCCACTCCCAGCTGAGGTGTACGCTAAACAAGTTGCAAACGACTTTGAAAAAGCAAAATTGGGAGGCTCGTTGCATTTGTACCGTGGCAAAATGGCATTCTTTTTGGGTTTCATCACTCCTCTTCTTCCAAGATTCATCCTTGAATGGGCTTTTATTCGTAAATTCAAGTTTGCCAGCGTGTTTGAGTATTTGAGAAAAAAGTATGCTGCGGGTGTTTCTGCTTGATTTTGACTGTGTTGCTAATCATGTCGGCTCCAAATAAGTTGGCGAATGCTATGGGAGGTGCGATAAAATTCCATGACAGTGCAGACAATATATCGTTGGAGTTTGTAGTGATAAATTAGTATATCGTATGCTGAATAAGCTTTTTTCTTTTTACAATTCTCGGATGGATGACTAGAGCATAAGCTTGGCGTTATTCTCATGAAAATGTAAATCCTGACCATGACACTTGAAATGTATATCTTGATGGGTTCAGGTGGTTAACATCTTCGTCGTTCATATGACCCAAATGGCGACAATTCTTTGTGCACTCTAATGGTGCAAAAGATTTTCCCCTCATTCTATTCTGACAATTTTTGTGTTTACAATTCTCATCGAAACGTATATGTCATTACATTTCCCACACACACACACACACACACACACACACACACACACACACACACACTTTTCTCAAAATTCATAACCATCATCCTTCCTTGAAAATAATGACAAGCGAACCCTTTTTATGGTATAGAGATAAAGATAGGCTACGGATCGGCGAGGTTAACAGGTACATTGTCACATACAAACGACAGCGTGACGCCAACACTACTCAAATTTATTTCAGAATCAAAAACATAGAAAACCTGGGTATAAGAACAATCCATTTACTAACAGGTCCATTTATATTGTATTGTCACGTTGTCCCTTGTAATTACAACTACAAGAAGAAATTTTGCCCTGATAATGTGGAACAAAATCCCGAGGTGGCTTTTGAAAACCAAATCAAGCCTAATCAATCTTTTAACGTGACGTTACTTTTGAATGAAAATTCTTTATCTAAAACATCCACCAAAGATGGCATTGACTGGGAGCATTTTCAATGGGAGATTGAAGTCATATCGCAGATTGTTATCACCAAAAAAACCGAGGTGCTTTATGATATGATGATTGGAGATGATCTCCACGCAATGAAAAGGTTGGGGCAAGGCAAACTTCAAAAGACATTGACTAGTATAGTTCCCAATAACAGCGATGAAGATCGAACTGCTCAGGAAGTTTTCGATCATGAAACAACAAACCATGTGTTTAATCCATTCTTGAGTGTACAAAAGAAAACTACCAACGACCTTTGGAGCAAAGCCCCACCGGAACCCTTACAGCCAGTTCATTTGGTGATAGTTACCCATGGAATTTTCTCAAACCTAACATCTGATATGCTTTACCTAAAGGAGACTCTAGAAAGCTCGGTACTGGAGAATATCATGATTCGAGGTTATCGATATAATGCTGGAAAGACCGAAAAGGGAATCAAAAAGTTGGGGCGTAATGTGGGCGATTATATTGTTGATGTAGTTGAAAAAGAGCCCTACAATTTCAACAAGATTTCATTTATTGCTCACTCGCTAGGTGGCGTGGTACAGCTATACGCAATCAAGTACATCTTGGTCACAAGAGGTGTTGATTTTTTTGATCGCTTGCATGTCAAACCTATCAATTTAATTTCATTAGCAAGTCCGTTTTTGGGTATCTTGAACGAGCTAAATTTGGTTCTTTCGTGGATTTTGGATCTCGGTACTCTTGGAAAGACAGGGCGTGACCTTACGTTACTGAAGAGATTACCTGGGTGGAGAGATGTTGAGATTGGTGATCACCGAACAAAGGACAGGTTCAAACCAGTTTTGGAGACATTGCCTGATGAACCTCTTCAAACATTTTTGGCAAAATTTGAGCGTCTAACTGTTTACGCAAACGCCATAAATGATGGTATTGTGCCATTGAGAACAGCAGCCATTTTGTATCTAGACTATGAAGCGTTGGGAGATGTAAATGAGTTGAAAAAAACAAACAATGTTATTGATCGGCCTGAGTTAGAGGCTGATCATCATGATGTCGAAAGCAATGAAAGTCAAGATGACGTCCTGGAGATTCCTCAATCTGACGGGGCGCAGACCAAAGCCATAGAAAAGAAGCCACAAGGCATTGAAGTGAAAAATGGTCAAACCTCCCATGCACTTTCCAAAGAGAAGAATCGTTTGAAAGAAGTTCACGACAAGTTTGATGAGTTTACAAACTTGAATTCCTCACAAAAAAAGCTAACAAGGCGACAAAAGAAGTATCAAAATTTTAGTATTAAAGGATCCGACACCAATTCGGATAGTTTGTCAGCTAGCGTTGATTCGTCAATGGAATCATCATCATCAACAACTGCAACAACAGTCAATGTTCCCCCACGCGCCTCTGCCATTGAATCTGCTTTGAATACATTGATTTGTCCTATTCCATCTCAAGAGTACATTATGGACCCTGCATCTAGAAACCATGTCATTTTCCATGATAAGTATTACCATTTTGATAAATCCAAAGATGAAACGAATGTTAAATCGCGCTCTTTAAAGGAGAGATTGTTTGGATACTCGGCAGATTGGAGGTTACATAAACAAGTGGTTATAGCCAACAAATACCATACAAAACAACTCAGTTGGCGTAAAGTATTGGTAAATCTACCACCAGATGCTCATAATAATATCATAGTACGACGGCGGTTTGCTAATGGATATGGTTGGGGAGTGATCCATCATCTTTGTGAAAACTTGTTTGAAACTAAAACAGATGACAATGGTGGTTCTGAGACAAATATAAAGCCATACGAAGAAACTCTTTTGGATTCAACGTCAAAGGATAAGCATGAGGATGTACAAGGGAGCGGAAGTGTTAAAGCCAAAATATAGACTTCATTCTTAATAAACTTGCTTGTAGTTAGTTATTGACTCATCGACACTCTTGAATACACATACTAGAGACTGTTATAGACGTATAATCAAGATACAATGTTTTTTTTTCACAATTTACAGCATTCCCTCTTCACAAGTACTTGATGAACATGTGAAGCGCCTTTACGGCATGGTGTAGTGATGGTAATTATATTTCTACGGTTAATTTGCATCTGATTGACATAGTATTAAAGAGAGAAAAATCGAATTTTGTATCTAGAAATTGAGACTGCAAAGAAAGAAAAGAAATAATAAAATCCTGTCACAATTAATAAAGTCGTGTAAACGATGACTGAAATAGAGATACAAGAACAAAAATATAGTGAGACCTTATTACACACACACATACACACACACAAACACACACAAACACCCTAATCTCACACCCCTCTCCCTTACTGTATCTTTCAACCATTTGCTTTTGTTTCTATACAAACAATTACATGATTGTTCACAAATCATTTGCACTTAACATTACTTCTCATCCTTGATCTAATCAACCCATTGTTAATGATCAACAACACAAACTGATTGATCATCTGGTGTAATATCATTAAGTTCAAGTGAAGATAAAGGACAAAAGAACGGAGTATAGAGTAGATTGATATATTTGGAGGCAAAAAACATCACATTATTTTGAATCCGTGAGTTCATAGAGTCATTACTAATCAGTCTATCCACATTTGACAAGAAGGTAACCCTATTCAAAGACCCATTCCTTCTTAATTCTTTCCCTAGGTTTGAGAGATTACCAGTCCTTTTTTTTTTTTGTCATTGTTATTGTCATTGTCATCAATCAAAGAAACGTGCTCCTTTTCTTTGAGTTTCTTTTTTTCTTTTTTTAAATTTTTTTTTTTTTTTTTTTCAATTGCACTTTTTCATTCCCAGAAGACCAAATTTCAAAAGTTGAATATATCACATCATCATCCAGTTTCAATAATAGAAAAAAGTTGAATATAGTGTGTTACTTGAAATTGTTTTTATTTGAAAGCTATGCAAAACCTTTCCTTTCTTCTTTAGACATACGAAAGAAGAAGGAAGCAAACAATAATAGGAATACACTGCAAATCTCATCAAAACTAGTGTATCAAAGTGCATGCAATAGATTAACATCATTCACATCAACTGCGTTACCAATTTATTTCAAAAATGTCTGATACAGAAAGTGTTTTCCAGCCTACGGGCAACAACCACAACACGTTACGCACTGATGAAATATTGAATGATCATAGAAACCAAGATACTAGTGTTGGTTCGGCAATTATCGATGATGGAGATGATCACCTCGATCCAGTAGGAGTCTCCTCACAAGACAATCCACGTTCAAAGGGAAGGACCTCAAGTAAAGCCGAATCAGATTTAGGTGAAGGTAACAATCCCGATGCTATTTCTAATCCAGCCACTAGTGGTAGAAGGAAGAGTACAAGAAGAACTTCAGCAAGAAGGCAATCAATCGGAGAGGGAGCATTGCCTTCTCAATTTCAACTGTACAATCAAAGTCAACCCAATAGGTCGTACATGGCATCCTTGCGTAAGGACTTTTACTTGGAAGATGATGAAGATAATACAGCTTTGCCAGTACCTATCATAAACAATCCAACAAATAGTGGAAAGCCAAGAAGCAAGTCAACCATTGAGACGTTGGCACCCATAATAAAGAAAAAGACCCATCGCAGCAACTCAAATAATTTAGAAGCTGATATTCTGAGCCCATTAACGAAAATCAAAACGAATGACTCGTTTATAATCACAAGCAATGGCAATGGAGAGGAAGTAAAAATTAGAAGACCTTCCAAATCATCGATTGATAGCGAAGCCGATTCGCACGGATCAAGATCTTCACAAGAAACGGAAGAAGATGTTTGTTTTCCTATGATGAGAGAGCACGTTAAGGTTAATGGTATTGATTTTGACGAGATTGATGAGTTCATCAGGGAGGAAAGAGAGGAGGCAGCTATGCAACGTGAGTTTTTAACGAGGAATCAACTGGCAATTGAAGAAATTAGCTATGAAAATTCGCGCAAGTTTGACAATTTGAGAAGAAGTGGTAGTGCCAATGCAATACCATCAAACACCTCTGGATTGAGTCGGCAACCCACTAGTACAGCGGCACTCAAATACACCCCTAAAAATATTTTACATAAAACATTTCAACGTTCTAATGAAGTGCCAGAGTCAACAAGCACTACATCATCTTCATTGGAAGAGTTGAAGGCCAGGCAAGCTGTAGGGGCAGATGATGCGTCTTCGATGGAACAGGTCAAATTTGGTGGTGCCAGGGTTACCGATGGTACTAATGGTACTTTGCCTGATAGATTTTCTTTCTTCCATTCTGAGTCTGAAGAAACTGTGCATGCACCTGATATTCCTTCACTTGTTCCCAATGGTGAATCAATACAAGAGCTTTTCCACAATGGAGAAGAAACTTGGTGGTTGGATTGTACATGTCCTACTGATGCCGAGATGAAAATGCTTGCCAAGGCGTTTGGAATTCACCCTTTGACAGCTGAGGATATCCGAATGCAGGAAACACGAGAAAAAGTGGAGTTGTTTAAAAGTTATTATTTTGTTTGTTTCCACACTTTTGAAGCAGACAAGGAATCTGAAGATTATCTTGAACCAATTAATGTCTATATTGTTGTTTTCCGCGATGGTATACTCACCTTCCATTTCTCTCCATTGACACATCCAGCAAGTGTTAGAAGAAGAGTGAGGCAATTGAGAGATTATGTCGACGTTACTGCTGATTGGCTATGCTATGCAATGATTGATGACATCACTGATAGTTTTGCCCCCGTAATACATGGAATTGAATATGAGGCGGATGCTATTGAGGATGCTGTTTTCACCGCGAGGGACACCGACTTTAGTAATATGTTGCAAAGAATCGGAGAGTCACGAAGAAAAGTAATGACGTTGATGAGACTACTTTCTGGAAAAGCTGACGTTATCAAGATGTTTGCCAAAAGGTGTCAAGATGAAGCAGCTTTAGGGTACGAAAAACAGCAGCAACAGCAGCGTCGGCAACAGCGTCTCCATCAGGATTATGCATCCCCGCGCTCATCGTCAGCAAACATTCCTGAAACGCATGGTAGTGGAGGAGGAGGTGGTGGTGGGGGTAATACGCCTTCGAATAATTCCACCGGACACAATGGCATGCCCTCATCTTTCGGCCAATCACAGGCTTGGCTGCAAAACATGGCTGATAATGCGCGTCCTCGTGCAGACATTGCATTGTATTTGGGCGATATTCAGGATCATATAATTACCATGTTTCAAAATTTGTTGGCGTATGAGAAAATTTTCTCGCGGTCTCATTCCAACTACTTGGCACAATTGCAAGTGGAAAGTTTCAATTCCAACAACAAAATTACAGAGATGTTTTCCAAGGTAACAATCATTGGTACAATGTTGGTTCCATTGAATTTGGTGACTGGTTTGTTTGGAATGAATGTAACAGTTCCTGGACAAGATTCAAGCATAGCTTGGTTTTTTGGTATCGTTGGTGTATTGATACTTGTTGTGATTGGAAGTATAGCATTTGCTAATTGGTGGTTGAAGAGTATTAATAGGCAAATTGATAAGGAGAAAAGAGCAGGTTTCAGTTCATCTAGAAGGAGCATTCGGAGTTTGGGGTTAAGGCGTCACAGTGCCAAGTCGGTGATAAGCTTTCCCAACAAATACGATTAACCTTCAATAAAAGGTTTATTTTGCTAGAAATTATTTATGTATTTATTTTAATCGGTGTTTAAATGAATCAAGTACGTGGGTTTATATGTGTAATTTAAGAAGAGATTGGAGACTCTGCTAACAGCGTATATCTTCTTGTCACTCTAGAATCAATTCAAAAGTGAGTGCATTGTTAACAGCCTTCGACTACGATCCACGCCATTCGAGCGGTATCTCTACGAAATCATCTAAAGCGATGTTTTTGGAAAACGATTTGGATAGTTTGGGCTTTTGAAGTATTGAATTTTAGTTTAGTGTTCTGCTATAATTTGTTAAGGTCTTTTTCTTGATCTTGACCGACTCGTAACCATCCAACATCGATTTAAAAATGTAATGGATCGTATATTGGAGATTCACAGTTAAGATTTCTCCTTCGTTAATGTGGGCGTGCATAAATGTACAATTTTCTTATCTGGGTGCAAAAATTTAGTTTCTCTCCTCGGTACGAACACAAACCACACACGCATAATTTACTATAACACGCTGGAGACACAGATAGTTGGTGTAATAGAGTGATATGGCAGCACACATATGCGTCAAAATAGCACCAAGGCTAACAATTTACATCTGATGCACTTCAGCTCGTAAGCATATACACTTCAACCTACAACTTTCCCTTCTTATATTCCTAATTATCTCTCCTCATGCATTTCACTATATTGTTGCAAAAACTCTGATATGCTCAAATTTGATACACCATAGAGAAATCCAACTTCAAATTACAAAATCCATAAACTATATCCCACTTCTTCTTCTTCTTCATCAACATTATTCCCCTTCCTTTATCCACAATAGTCGATTTGACATAATACGCGCAATAAAAATGTCTCCCTTAGTCAACTTAGTTACTCCAGAACAGTTGTATTCCCTTATTGACTGGAAGAACGTGGATATTCAAATCACCATTCCTGGTTATGATCCATCTTTGGGTTTCTTGTTAAGTAGCCCAGCCTTTGTTCCATTACAACCACCACCAACAACCACCACCGAGAACAAAGCAACCGAATCGACAAACCATTTAGATTCTCAAGATGAATCTACTGAACCATCATCACTTTCTACGCCACCAGTTGCAACCACTGATAACGTCAGCATTCAGAGCCAAACGAGCTCATTAAATCAACAGACCTTAAAGTCAAACACCGATCATCTCCATTTGGATCAAAACATGAGACAAACTGAATTATGTCCATTTGAAAACATGTTCTCTGAAGAGGATCCTCAGTATGCCAGTTTCCTTGAAGATTCTGTCGATGATAGTTTGAATAACAAAGTTGAGAATGAATCAGCAATCAAGGAGTCATTTTACGAAAGTATGAATCGTGATTGTTGGTTGAGAGTTGATAAATCTGATTTGTATGAGCAACGTGAAACACCTCGCTACATTTATGGCAGGTTTAACACAATCGGATATGCCAGAGATTCCGCAAGAGCTGTCAATTATACCAATTACACCATTAATCTTGGATGCATGGATACAAACAATGAGAGAAACTGCAGTCAGAAGTTTGCAACCATATTTGATTTTCAACGCCATGTAAGCAGTTACCACCACCACCACCACCACCTCAATCAAGATGAGAAGGCCAGTTGTGTTCCTGTGAAGAAAAATGAACAAACCGGTACTGAATTAGCTCCAGACTACAGATATGACATTGACAACTACTGCATTTCAAGAGACACTTCATCTATTTACTCGGATGAGTATGCTGCTTATGATAGAATACAAGCACTTCGTGTATCGGGAGAGATTGCTAAGGTAAACAGTGCAGAAATTGACTATAAGATGAATGGTAGCCTCAATGAACGCCAAGCTGTTGCTAACAATTTAGAAATCACATCCTGGGCTCATGAAAATTTGGCATACCAAAATGATGAAAGTCAACCTCGATCAAGTAAAAGCTCCCTAGAGCATACTGAAACCGAAAATGAATCCAGTGTGACCATTCTCCCTGAACCTGTTGTTGCTGTTAATTTTGCTGCTGGTGCTGCTGATGCTGTATCCGCTGTTGTGACCACAGAAATTGTCATTGACCATGAATTTGAAGACAATAGAAATGCAAACATTGATGAGTTGTTGAATGGCAATGATACCACTGATGCGTTTACATCTGGTCAAGCTAGTGAGAGAGAAGAAGCTGCTACTGTCACTGCAATCGACCAGCAACAAGATGATCCAAATGAGACGGTGCAATCGCCTAATGATGGACAGCAGATGAATGACGTACCTGAAGAGGAACAGATGAATGAAAATGTACACGTACCTGAAGAATCAACTGAGACACCAACAGAAGAAGTTATCGGTTATATGAATCCTCGTGACCAGGTTAGGTTTATGGAACCAGTGGATATTAACCCATTGTATGCGTGGTACTTTATTCCAGGAGACACATTCCAAGCACCTTTGATCCCAGGACTTAGAATTGCACAGCTTGTTCCTGATGGAGTTAGAGTCATTCCTGTTCCAGAGGTGCAACCACTTCAATATTTGGAGTCTGGTACATCTGCAATTGTTGATGAGAAACGAGTTTTGGCAAAAAGAAAAGTGAGATTTGTCAACGAATTACACAAGAGAATTGAGACAGAGAAGGAGATTACTGATCTAGAAGGGTTAATTTTACACGATAAACAGCCTACAGATGTTGTGCGCGTGGAACGAAAGCACAGGAAACCATTTGCTTTTGTTAAACGGATTTTGAAGAAGTTAAAGTTGAAAAAACGTCCCAAGATGAAGAGTACTGAGGGACTTAGGTCAGCTATGAAGAAACAAAACCCTAGCACAGAGGCTGAAGACGGAACCGGTTTAAGGAGGTACAAATCTTGCATCACATTGGATAGTCCAGAGCTAGATGGTGATGAGGAACGTCCCAAGATTTTTCAACGTGTGAACCGACCCCAGTCTGCTTAATGATGCATGGACAAATATGACAGTGGCAATGACAGTGGCAATGGCAGTGTTTTGGAGTAAAAATCACAACTTGACTTTTATGATATGCCAAGAAGATGGATTGGTTGCAACTTGGAAAACTACTTTGACGGTGCTTTAATCAGCACGCGATTCTCGGAATTGTCGTCAAAGAATTCCTCTTTCCTGGGTGTGATTTTTGAAATGTTATTGCGTGCTCCATTCGTGAACAAGAGAACCATCACTGATTCCACTATAAAGAAACTTAGAATAGAGCACTTCTGCCATTTGAAATTCAATTGTGTCAAAAAGATCATGTCAAGCAAGATATTACTCTGTTTCAGAAACAGCTATGAAAATTTTGAACCTCGATTAGAAGCAGCTGCTTTGTTCCGAGTTGTGTGATGGGTGCTAGTCTGGCCAGCTAGTGTCCAGAGCCAATGACGGATTATTGCAGTTGGCGGAAGAGGGGACAAGAGTTTGAAGGTTGTTGAGAGTAATGATGAAAATATGTCGGTGTGTTGAAAGTCCATGAAGATGATCTCATGTGTGAGGAAGGTTGGGGTACTTGGTGATGTTTGCTGATGCAGTTTTGTTGCTGCTGGTAACTTTGTCAGTTTTGTTTTTTTATGTTTTCATATCTCTTGTTTTACATTCCTTGGGAAGCTTTGTGTTGAGAATGGACCAGGTTGTTAGATGATGATCTCTCTATGCGGATTTTTTGTGCTCTTTGATACCTATTTCTTCTATCTTCTGGATTATACCGAGAGCATGATGGAAAACAAACATCTGTTAAAGATGCATATGAAATATGGTCATCGTTATCGCATATACGTAGATCATTGTCATATGTTGTACATATTGTATGTACTTATTGTATATATGTAATATGTATAGAATACACTCCGGATATATGGATATTAATAAAATTGCTCGGATATAAAAACTAGAAAAAAAGAATAATCTTTGTAAAAGTGCCGGTGTTACACAAACTGCAATATAGATTATTGGAGGGGTTGATTTTTGTTTGATTTGACACGGATAAAAGTTAAGAAACACAAATATACAGAGAACAGCATCATTTACACAACATGTATGTATTGTTTTGATGCTCTGTGTTTACTTCTAACATCGCCGTCTAGAAGTAACTATAGCTGCTGCCATCACATTGTACTGTATTGTATTGTAGTAGAGTAACGAGGATGACAACTCAGAAAGAAGAGTTGAGAATATAATTGACAATATTTAGGCTATTGTGCATTAATTGCGGTTATGTTATTAATATTGAAGAGAAGATAAAGAGTACCATGATGATTGCTTCTAGTGCATAGTATATGGATATACTATCGATGACTGATTATGGATATTTACAAACTACTTGCACCAATACCCGCTTATTATACAAGACTATATACAAATGAAGTAGTTTTGTATATGTAGCTCTTTTTTTATGTCTAGTATTGGGTTCAAAGAAAGTGCGTGTGACATTTACCAAAAACAAATAAAAAAAAAAAAAAGAAATATATAATACTATTGTTGTTATATGCTATTGTGTATTGTGTAATGTGTATTGTGTATTGTATATATAGGGGAAAGATACTATAAGACTACAATAGAGATAGATAGAAAGAAAGAGCAAAGAATCAAATATTTCATCAATTCAAACTACTTTCCATATATAACATTATTCACCACTATTACTACGATCACTCTTTACAAATAAAGTCACACACTGCTATTCAACTGGAGACCTCTTTTGTTTGTTTATATGGTTCTTGCAACACCTGACATTTGTTTAAGTTTTTGATTTTGATTTTGTTTCTTTCTTTTGGTTTTATAATTTTTGTTCCAGCCCCTATTATATCTCAACACCACCACACCACCACCACAATTTTACAACCAAATTCAAACACTATCACCACTATTACCACCAAAAACGCACAGCTGAACTGCACCACAATATTTAGTAGGTACCTCCGATAATGTTCGCACTGCTGACCAGTCGTACTTGCTACGACAACTACAACCACAACCACAACCACAATCACAACGACTTTCACTACCATTCACACCACCACTTTCAAACTCGTACTCAAACTCAGCACAGTAATCGCATAGTGTCATCAATCGCAACCAATCATAGACTTCATCTGCAACTGCAACAGGAGACATCACAGCATCCCATTCACATCAATACATACACTCACTCATCTCAACAAACCACGACCCCGTCTTCATCTTCATCTTCATCTTCGTCTTCATCGTTGTTTTCTGCTGAAGACAATAATTTCCCCAATCAGTGTGATACTGGTTTTAAAGTCACTACTGAAGTCAATAATGGTGATAGTAATGATTATATGAACGAAGACAACCATCATTTGCAACAACGTTCATATTCTCCTCCAACGCCTTGTCCTTCGATATGGAGCAGTTTTGATGCCAAACATATACCCGATAGTCAGGAATTGTTACAATTACTAGAGCCCAACCCTGTTTTCCCACCATCATATGATACCTTACCACCAGGCGGATGCCCAAGATTCCCAGTTCTTCAGCCTTTGTCCTCGTTTGAAGAAGCTATTTATACAAATTTGCATTCACACCAACAACATGCATCATCTCCTGCAACGAGAGCTATGGATCCAGCAGCAGGATCTTCTTCCACTACATTACTACTAAACATAACCCCAAAGGCAACAACAGCAGCAGAAGCTACACTCCCACCATCGTACTCCCCATCCATCTACAAAATAGGGATTGTTTCTCGAAAGTTGGAATGGGTAAACCCTTATGAAATGTCCACCAATCGAAGTTGGAAATACCTTATTTGTGAATTGAATTCAACCCAATTGAATTTTTACAATATCCCACCCAGCCATGAGGATAAAATATTGGATTTTGTATCCAATGATAACAAGACGTTGTCTCTGTCTCAATCCACAGCTCGAATACCAGAAAACGACTCGATATTAACTAGTGATTTCGATCACCGATTTTATAACTTTGTTAAAAGGCAAGGTTTGCTTGAAGATGTTTGTGCTGGATCCAAGAAAAAGGGTTTGGTGAGAACTTATACACTACAACATGCCAGGGTAGGGCTAGCCACCGATTATCAAAAACGTGTCAATGTTTTGAGATTGAGAATTGAAAGTGAACAGATTTTGCTCCATTTTGAAAGTACCCAAGACTTGATTGATTGGAATATGCTGCTTGCTGTGGGGAAAGATATTGCCATTGATATCAATGAGCGGGAATTACCAAAGTATAGAACAGTTCCCAGGCGAAGAAGAAGAAGAGGAAGCAATAGAAGACGCAGAAGTGCAGGAGGTGGGATCAATAATAGATCATCTGCCAATCATTCGAGTTCAAGCTCATCAAATATTCATTTTTCACGTTATACGTCAACTAGTGACCAATTTGCAAATACAAGAAACATGTTAAAATCAGTGTCCGATGCCAACAAGATCAAAGGTCGTTTCAATAAGCTCAGATCGAAATTTTCATCGTCTAGGTTGAGAAGCAGCTCATCGCCATCACCATCACCATCACCATCGACACCCAACGGCGATTCAGAATATAATGACGATTCTAGAACTTCAAGATTCAGATCCGGATCTAACTACTCCGATTTGCGAGATCGTGGGTACAGCATGACTGAACCGCAGAACCACTCACTGCAAGGTGGTAGGAACTATGAACCTGATAACAATGTTAGTCATAGTAGCTCATATGCTAATAGCTTTGATGATGATGACGAAGATGATGTCGAAGACTATGATGAGGAATTCAATGAAGTGTTGAGGAGGTCTAGACATGAAACACTGGGATCGACTTCACCTCCACCTCCACCTATACACGGTAACTACGATGATCAAGAAGATATTCAAAGCATGTCTGACTTACGTATAGACGAGGATGAAGAAGATGGTTTCGGAGAGGGTGACGGTGATGAAGATGATGATGATGAGCAAGTTGGAGCAGACGAGTATGAGCAAGAAGATGATGAAGCAAACGGATTTTTGTCCATGGCTAGAAGTCGTGGGGTGTTTGCAATAGGTGCACCCGAACGCAAAGCTCGCCTGCAATGTACCACAGACAACGATTTCAAATGGAACCCTTGTCCAAATGAAAGTTATAGCAAACGCAGATATTATCGCAATTGTTTGCGTTGTATTAAACCGCTCACTATGGAGGATTCGTGGGTTTACAAACCATTAGTAAAACCTACACCATTTTCGCCTTTGAATGTTGCATACCTTAAAGCTGTTAAATATGCTGGACCCAACGGGGAAGTTTTGCCATCAGCCTCATCAACGGTCTCAGTGCCAAATTCTGGGGTGTCTTCTTCCAATGCCAGTTTTACTTCCTCACATCGCAAGTATGGGGGTGGTGCTGCTACTGCTGCTTTAGGAGTTGAGTCCACATTGATGTTACCGGATACTGCATTAACCAAGTTGCCAAATCATTTCTTGAAGGAGTTCAGTGTGGGTCCTCATGGCTTGGTTCCTAAGGAAATTATATAAGACGGAAACTGAAACTACTGAGCTATACATAAGCTTTTGATTTTTGCTCATCAACTTATATTGACTTTAGTCACGTGTGTAGTTGCATATTTATCACACTTCTGCTTAGACGTTGCACTATGGCGTTGCTATTCTACATTCCAACCTATTTGAGGGTACAACCTTGTCTTTTAAATGAATAACTTTTTTTTAATCCAGAATTCGTATATAAATCGTACATCATCATCATCATTATCATCATATGATAACTCTCGTTACCTCGTCTATGCTAACACCAAAAGTCGTAAACTCTATAGTACAATGGCTTTGCTCTTAATGCTTCTTTTTCTTCTTGAATTTCTTGTTTGATCAAATCAATATCAACAGCTGTTTTCCCATTATCGAGATCAATGTCTTTGGCTCTGATATAAAGTCTCCAACTTCTAGTCCAAAGTTTATGACCAACATAAAATACAAGGACAATGACTCCACCAAGATAAGTTTTGAAAAATGTAACAGCTTTTGGTGGCTTGCCAATAGGAAACAATGCAAGCCAAAATTGAAGTCCCAAGATGGCGACATTAGCAATTAAACCGTAATATGCGCCAATGAGTCCACTGTTGGATTTGTATGCTAAATCATCAGTAGACCTTCCTTGTGCCTTCATTGCCATACGATATCTAATAAAAGCTCCATTGATACTTCCCCAAGTAAACAAAGTAGATAATCCAGATAATGCAACCAACCAATCAAAAACGTCAGCTTGGCTTTTTGATGCCGAAATAAAAGATAATAATCCCACAAATGCTGATGTGGCAATCCCAGCCAATGGTCTTCCCTTTCTATCAACATAAGTGTAAATCTTGGGAGCAAGACCTTGTTCAGCTAAAGCCAAAATAGTTCTTGAAAACCCATACACGGCTGAGTTGGCAATCGCTAAAAGTGCCACCAAGATAACCACATTAAACACTGAAGGTAATCCCTTTATACCACCTTCCTTGATGGCAATAACAAATGGTGAAGCGGCATTCCCATCAGCATCTAAACGAGGGTTATCGTGATTAACCAAACAGCCAAGTAGTGTCAATGTAGTCATGTAAAAGATGAGAATTCTCCAAACAACCTGTTTGATTGCTTTTGGTAAAATCTTTCTCGAATCTCCAGCTGATTCACTTGATGTTAAACCAACCAATTCAGTTCCAGCCAATGAATAAGTTGCCGTTAACAAAACCGATACAACTCCCTTGAACCCAGTAGTGAATGGTGGATGCCAATTCTTGCCTCCAATAAACCCTTGATCACCACCACCACAAATTAAAACAATGGCCAAGATGTTGAACCCAACAATTCCCAACAATTTGATTATAGAAGCAACAAATTCGGTTTCACCAAACCCTTTATTGCCACACATATTTAGGAAGAAAATCAACACGTAGAAAATTGCTACCCATGCATCACTATTTATATCTGAGTTCCAGAAATTTATTGTCAATGCTGAAGCCACCAATTCCAATGGCAATACAATAACCCAAAACATGGCATAGTTCCACCCCATGGCAAAACCCCAACTAGGATCAACAAATTTAACTGAATAAGTGGCAAAAGAACCAGTGACGGGGTAACTACTGGACAATTCGGCCAATGATTGCATCGTACAATACAAAAAAGTGGAAACGATGGCCCAAGCAACAATCAAACTGGCAGGACCATTTTTCATGGCTGATCTTGAAGCCACCAATAATCCAGAACCAACACATCCACCAAGAGCAATCATTTGCAATTGTCTTTTTTTAAGAGTTTGTTTCAATGGAGCATGTATACTGCCTTCTTCAATGTCATCACTGTTGATGTTGTTGATATCAGTAGCCTTGTTGGTGGAATCTGCGTCATCATCGGATGCAGACGTTGTCAGTTGTGGTGATTGTTGAGGTCGACTTTTGCGATTGGTTGTTGATTCTGGTGGTTTAAATGAGTCTTTAAAATTCGCCCATGCGCTGCGTTTTGGTTCATTGGAGTTTGCACTTGATATTGATGAAGCATGAAGGTCATTTATGCTCTTTTCTTGCAGTTTGATTGATGCCACTGGTGAAGAAGATGGCATTCTGAAGAAATTTGGTTGTTGAATTATTATGTTTAAACTGATTCTTTGTGAAGAAGTTATGCAATTGTGAATGAGTTCTTTCGTTGGATAGTGTTGTTTAAGTAGTTAGTTATATATATATATATATATATATAGTTGTGAGAAAGAAAAGATGGAGATAGTGGTGTGGTTTCTTGAAAAGTATTGAAAAATGTTTAGCTACTAATGGCTATGTGAAAACTAAAATAGGCTTACTCATCATAAAAGTTATAAGAAAAAGGAAAAGATCTTGGCTTTGAGTAAGAATGAAAAAGTTCATACCGTCATCCGTATGAGTTCCCCTTTTGTACTTAAAGACATCTTTCTTGTAACTGTAAAGGAGTAGAGATGGCAAATAGAAGGTTTTGTGCATTTTTGCAACTATTCTATTCTTTTTCTTTTTCTGATTTATGCATTCCTGCATAATAGCGATGAATTTCTTTTTTCCTCTTCGAATTTCCCTATTTACTGAGTCCGCTATCGGATGCACAACTCAAAGAGGAAATAGACAGCAAATTCTTGTATATTAGAGTTAAGTGTTGTCTGAATCCAGGCTTTCTCTGGGAATCCGCGAGGAACCGTATATTACCGAAGGATTTGCGACAAACGTGTGTATGGAGTGGGGATATATACCGGTGTCAACTTTATTAAATTCTTGTCTCTAAAGAGGAGAAGAATGAGGGTGTAATGAGAAAGAACCTTAGTGAACGGGCTAAATAATGTTGAGGAGGCCGTAAGGCAAATACAAGGTTTTAAATGACACGGCCCTGATTATGCATGGTGAAGCCGGAACAGGAATTAAAAAGGATAAAAACCGTGCATAACTGTTCCTCTCTATATTTTTTTTCCATCAAAATGCCTTACAAGACAAGAAAAAAAGACGCAAAAAAAAAAAGTTGCTTTTTGCGCTCAAATATATCTTCATTAGGCAAATCAGTATGGTAGCGTTCACGTCAATTTTAATATTTACGGCATTTTACATGTATATTTTACTTTCACTATTCTTGGGCACTAACTACTACTACTACTACTTCTACTATATATGTATATAGGTAGAAGTAAACTTGGCACTTCCATGCTCTCCGCATTGACCCTTCTTCCTTTCCCCCCTAAGTTTCACATACTTCTCCATACATGATGCATCATCAATCGTTTTACAGTATGTAGCCTGGATATGTGGCATTGAAGATAATGTTTACACTTTCAAGTATTACCATCGTGAAACTATATAAGCCCCTGCAATAGACTTTTTGTAAAGCCACTTCTTGATTCAGTTCCCTCCAAATATTTGAGTCAGTCGGTTTTGACTTTTGGAATTGGCGGGGTGTTTCCTCTCCGACCCGCTCGCTTGACAATTCCATTTTTTGGTCGAAATTGCCGTATTCTCGGAAGTCGCATCGCCATTAATAAAGTTTCTCACTTCCTCGCTTCCATCACGGGCTTTTGCAAAGAATAGTTTAAAAGACGTTCGTAAAAGAGAGGAGTAGAGAGCATCCACAAACGGTACCAAATGGGTATAGTAACAACTTGGAAAAGAATGGGGTTATGAGGAATGGTCCCCTTCGAACTCTCCCTTCTCTTTTTTCTCTGGTACAATACTCTTTTCATATGACCAAATTTGGAAACGAGAGCAACTAGGAGGTCCCATAATCTCATAGCTATGCATTGACTAAATCGTTTCGTTGCTTATGGTGGTATAAATAATTTGTATTACATTGCGTTTTCCATCATCCAGTACAACAACTCCTTATGTATTAATAGGTTTTCGTCTCATTTTAATGCAAAAAAACTAAAGTGGATGAAGATTTTGGGGATATCATAGAAGTTTTATTTCTTCTGTTTAAACAACATTTCATTATATACGACAGCTGTTAACCACTTCCTCTCTATTATAATAATAATTATTATAAAGTTGAAAAGTTGCAAATCTACATTTTGACATAAATTATTATATACTACAGTCTTTTTATTTTTTATTCATACTACCGCGACATAATAATTCATACCAACGCGACATTAAGTTTTCATACTAAAATGACATAAAGCTAACCGGGTCACTTTTTACCTGGTTAGCTTGTTAACGTAATTGACATTTCATGAAATGTCAATTACGAAATGGCTACTTTCTGAGCACTAAAGACGACTCTATTCTTCGAGAAATTGAAATGAAGAGTATTGAGAGTATAAATACGGACGATGTTTATTTACAATTGTGTAGTTTAGTTTAGCAAAGTAAGTTATAGAAGATCTAAACAGTTTTACAAAGTTAAAATCAATAAGACTGAGCTAATCGAAAATGACACCGATTACCAAGTCAAAGGAAGATGCAGGCTAAGACTGTCTCAAACACCCTGTAATATAGTCTTCTCCATCAATTACCTATTTAGTCACATCAGATTTCCAGTTTATTTCTTATCATCTGGTGAAGTTCTCTTCACATTTTGGTACAGTGAGTGGTTGGTTACAGTTCCTGTTCTTATTTCATTAAAATAATCTTTGAACCCCAATGTTATTCTGGATTGTGCACGTTCGCACAATTCTTTTGCTGTAACGGTTTTATAATCATAGACTTCTGTAATAGACACCACTTTCCACTCTCCTGGTGACTTTATTTTCAAATTGTAGCTATCAAATTTATTCTTTTGGATGTAACGTTGACCTAATTCACCAATTATTGCCACCTTTGTTTCATCACTCGAGTGTACCGTACATATATATCTGTCTTCGGCTACTCTCCAAACACATGAATTAGTATCCAAATAGCATAATTCATCATAAGACTTGATGTTAGTGTCGTAAGATTTAAATTTGATGTATACTTCACCTTCTGAGGGTCCAAAAGTGTACAATTTCCTATTGAACGTGGTTATATTGGGATACACGTTGACGTCTTCCACGTATTTAAGATCATAGTTTTTAAACCATTCTTCGATGTTAGTATCGGTCATTGCTTCCTGCAGTTGTAAAGTTGTAAACAATGTTGTGAAGCATATGTCTTGGGAAACAAAAGTTATTTAATGAGCGGATAGAGAGTCATAGTAAATCGGGATAAAGTTACTCCTGCACTTTAAACGAATAGTAGTTCAAAGTAATTGGAGTATCCATATTAGATAAGTCACGTAATATTTGTTATCATTTTGTCTCTCATATGTGGCTCTTATTTGCTGGTGGTGCCGGTCAATGAATGGGCTGTTTTTGTTTTGTTTTCTGCCTTTCGATAACCCATTTGGAAATCATACATGAGAATTGACACAATTGTGGCGCGAACTCCCATTTGGTTTATTTCTTTATTTTATTTTTTTTCCTTTTTTTTTTGCGCTTATCAATGATTCAGGCTAAATACTTCTGTACACAAAACGGTATTCAAATTTAATATTTAATTGTTTATTAATCAGTTTTGATTGGACATCAGAGTCATATCCTTCCACATCATCGTCTAATCGTTTAGTAAGTCTCCATTCCATCCTGCTACAGAAGCAATATCAGGTCGTTCTTATCAAAATATAGTTTTTTGACTTATTTCCATTGTTTTACTCATGGTTATTTGTCAATTGTAAGAACGTGTTTATTATCTATAATAGGGTATCGATTACTTTGAGAGATTATATATATCATAAATCTTTGTGGCATATTTATATACCTCTCGTATATAGCAATTTGTTTTATTTCAACCAGATAGCATTATCTTATCTGTAAACTTTATTCAAGTTATTACAGGCATGTTTAAATAGGACTTGGAACTACCGGTATTGAGATACGTTTTTAGACGAAACGTCAGTTTAAAGAATGTTCTCGGAACAAGTCTTTGGACAAAGTAAAATGTAAATTAAAGCATACGTTGACCTTGAAAAGAGTGTAAAAGTCTTCCAGACTTTTGTCGAAATGCCCGACGAATATAAATTTGTCTAGAATTTCATATCTAAAATTTTAAGTGTATAAGATCATGCTCATGTCCATGTATAAACGTTCAAGTAGAAACACTAAAGCTGTTCATACAAATACAAGACGCGTGCTTTTTTGCAATTTAGTACTCGACTAGAAATTGAATGAATATCTCTCCGTGGAATGAAAGGTTAAAGATTTTGAAATTAGTTAACCACGCCTGTAACCATGGTGGGTTGACTATATACGTAAAAACCGCTTGCCATTCCATAAATGGCTTAAATTTCTAAGAAAAGTCCTTCTGTTGAGACTTGAAGAGATGTCTTTAATACTCATCCTCAGTATTATAACTTGGTTATATCTGTATGTGACATGTGGAGTAGACAGAATCATATGACAATAACATAGAGGAAATACCTTTGGATAACTAACCATTCCACACATAATAAGGGGTCCGTAGATCAATAACTCGTAGATCACACCCCGTCCAAATTTAAAGATAAGACAGTAAAGGATAATATCCACAAATCAAATGCCTCACTGTTTCAAAGTCAAATACTATATACTTTTTGTAATATTTGGCTTCAATAGATTGTTCAGTTGTGATAAAGATCTTGTAGGCAAATTTCTCAAACACTTTTCGAAGAGCAGCGTCTACTTCTTCAAAACAAATTCCACATTTGGTGCATCTTTTGCCTAATATTGTGGTGTATACTTTTGGATGTTTTTTGGTAAGCGCCATACTACATCCACTATCCCCTAAAATTCTAAACAGCTCCACCTGGGACAACAAATTCAACCAAGGAATGATGGTCTCATTCGGCAAGTATAGAAGATAACCCTCTATTGGGAGGACTCTGACGAGTAGTTCAATAGGCAAGTCGGAAAGCTGCATTGACGGATATGGAAAACAAGACATTTGTAGAACGCCGTTCCAGAGACTGTGATTTTATATCGAGTGGCCAGTTTAAGGAAACGCCAAAAAGGTTCTGACACAAAGCTGCAAAAGTGGCCCTTTTGTGTGGTACCGAGATAAGAGCAGCATCCAAATGGGTCCTGTTTAAAAATCAGAGGTCAAGCAGTCACCGTAGTAACTGGTAACAGTTTTGCTTTTTGTACCGAATGTCATTTCTCTTTGACCCATTGGTACAATACGCTTCTACTGTTTTGGGATGCACTTGTTCAAATTTCTATCATAACGTGCCCAGTTCATGGTACTCTAAAACTACTCGAGATACTAGGATGACAAACTTTCCGACGTGAAACAGGGTATGAAAGGGACTGTACGAAAGAAAAAGGTATTGATATATGTAATCCAAGGCTTTTTAACTTCGGGGTCAAAGTACACGACCTGTTTATGAAAAATGAAGAATTTGCAACCAGTTTAGAATCATCCAGAGTGTTTTATGAAGTTAACTGATTAGTAATTTAAAAGTGAAATGAGGGGACTCACAAGGCCATCCAAACGATTGAGGGATTCAGTGTGTGTCTTTGTGGACCTTGGTCATTCGTAACGGTCAGGAAGTCGTTATTAATGAGCTTAATGTGTGTTGTTGTTCTTGATGATGCTCCTATCATAATTCGGGGGGGAATAGCAAAGATAGAAAAATGTGTTGCACATAAACAATTTCCTTCAATGCTCCGGTTTCCGAACAAAAAAAAAAAAAAAACAAATCAAGAGAGAGGGAGACAGAGAGCAAAATAGTGCGACAATTGCCGAACTTTTAACTTGACAAGTAACAACTTACAATCAACTTCTTTTGATCACCTTTTTTTTTACAAACACTGGTTTAAACCATCAACACATCAATTGCGTTCCTTAGTTATTCTTGCTATGACATCAGACTCAAATTTACAGTTCAAATCAACTCAAGATCCAGCAAAATTGAAAGAATTGTTCACATTATGTGGCAGTGAATGGAGTGGACCATTGGATGCCAATGAATTTGGTGAAATTCAAACCCAAAGTATTGAGGAGTACGTTAAAAGCGGATTGAAGGTGGAAGGATTTTATATTGAGGACACTTCAAAGGATTTGGTTGTTGCTACAATCATCATCAAACACTTGAAAGGATTGTACAAACCAGCTGATAGATCAAGTTCGATTTCGTCTGCACCCGATCCTTCGTTATTTGGTGTTAAGAATATCACGTCTTTATTGGTGAGTTTTGTTTTCACTCACCAGGACTATAGAAAGAGGGGTTTGGCCGAAAATTGTATATCTCAAGCCATTGCAGCAACTGAAAAGGAAATAATTGAAGAGCATTTGCGCAAAAGTGACGAGTCTGCCAACGACAATTTCAAGAAAATGACACTCGACAATTTCACAGGTGAAGTTGATCCACAATTGGCAAACTACTATCTCGGGAAAGAATATGTTTGGTTTTTGTTTTCGGGTGTACAAACTTATTACAAACGTTTCGGCTTCAAAAGTTATCCCCTTGACTTTTATGAAATTCCAATAAAGGAATTGTCCGAAGGACAAGAATCAGTGTTGAAGCAATTGATTGAAGACCTGGAGCAACTGAACCAACAGCAACCTGATGCAAAGTCAAAAGTTTTGGGAAAAAGAATTAAATTGTTGAACTGGGACAGTGATGAAGATCAAGAAATTATCAAGTTTATCTTGCAAACAAAGGAATTGGAGATTCTTTCGGAATTGAACAAGCTCAGCTACCACTCGGAATTACAAGGGGATAGGAAATCCTCAACTTCACTCACCAATATGACCAACATCTTATCAATGACCAAAATTGGATCACACAGTACCTTGTCGGCAATAGGCGAAACAACAACAGGAAAACCAACGGTTACCGACGACGTCTCCAGAAGAAAGTCGACAGCAATGAACCAAACGGTGCCCAAGTTTGCCATCAAACCTTCTTTTGCTGACTACAAAAGTAAAGTCGTTAGTGCATTAGGATATGCAAAAACCGAACAAAGTACAAAATTTACGAAAATTCAGGGAGCCATCATTACAAACGATTTACAAAGAAGGTCGTACTACGTTTTGTGGAACTCATTGAAGGGTGAATTTTTCATCACAGGTATGGGTGAACTCATTTATGAAAGCGTGTTACCATCTGCCAACCCACAAAGAAGAGGTTCATCATTCACTGGTCTCAATGATTTGGGTGGTTATAATTTCCAAGATTTGGATATTTTAGTTTCGGCAGCCTTGTATACAGCAAAGAATCGCAGTGGCAAATTTGAAAATGTCTATGTTTCAACTCACGATTTGCCTAGTGATATACCCGATGCAGTTATGCATGATTTCCTTATAAATTATCTTCCATTTTCGTCCTATGCTCTGGATGAGCATAAAGTAAAGAGGAAGGAGGCAAAGGCTACAAGTACAGAAGATCACAAGGTTGAACTTCTTGCTGATAATGGTAAAAAAGTTGGTGTTTTGCCAATGGTGAAACAATTTGGAAGTGACAAGAGCGAATTTGATATTGACTGGTTAGACAATGGTATGTGGTGTTGGGGGTGAATACCGTAACAAGCCGAGGTGTCATAAATAAATAGCACATCCCCGAAATTTGTCTTGTATACGTTTGTTTTTATAGAATAAAACGATACACATTTACAATTGCAAAAGCTCAAAATTTGTTAATCTGTATAAGTATGGTACGGTTGTAGACGGAGATGAGTTTTAATTGTGACACAATTTGAAAAAAAGAGGAAAAACACTTTTAAAGAAATTTTCGTTTGTTTTTCTTCTACACAAACCACACCAAAGGTAAAAAAAGATTGAGCATACTTCCGTTACTTTCATTCACTACGAAACATGAGAGACAATGAGAACGTTTCCGCTGATGCAAAAAGCTCGTTTGAGAATTTGGTGCACATAGCTAGCAATATGTCGCAAGAATTTCAAAGATTAAAACAGGATGACAGATTTGAGTCAAGACATTCCAACCATGGCCCAACGTTTGATTATCCATCGCAATCACCCACTCCTTCATTAAACACATCTGGCTACGTAAGAGAATCGGGCTCAAACACACCATCCAATGTGACCACGTCTCCAACAAACCAACATCATACTCAAACTGACAAACACGGGAAAGTTAAAAGGATGGCATGCGTTGAATGCAGGCAGCAGAAATCTAGGTGTGATGCCCATGAACGTCACCCAGAACCTTGTACTAGGTGTGCTAAAAAGCATTTGAAATGTGACTTGAAATCAGATTATAAAAGGACATACAAGAGAGCAAGAATAGCTCAAATTGAGAAGGAGTTTATGGAGCTAAAACGAACATTGAATACCACTCAAGCCGCCGAGCTTCTTTCACGATTTCCGTCGTTAGCAAACAGTGAAAACAAGGAAAGTGGCATTGGCAATGACTTGAGCTCAGAGGAGAACAAAGATCGCGAGGTACCGTATACAGGAGAAAAGGACAAAGCTAGCCCCGTTCAAGTGCAGATACATCCGACGAATATCCATGCACCTACTCAACCACAAAACACAAATGTACGCAACGTGGCTATCGTTAACGAACCACAGGTTTGTCAAACCACACAAAGTTCGAATATTCCGTTGGAAAATCAAAACTCGACTTATGATGCCAAGCTTTCCAACAATAATACGTTAAAACTACCTCAAGATTTAAGGCTTTCGGAGGAGGTACTACGTTGCGAAGACAAATCTGTTGAGTCTATAACTTTGACCTCGAGCACAATCAAAGAGCTTTTCATGGAATATGTTTTGCGATATCACCCGATTTTCCCAGTTGTTGACGTTACCAAAGGACCTGAAAAGATTTATAGATTATGTCCCCCTTTGTTCTGGGTCATTATATTTGTTTCCTTAAGAAGGTTTAAAGAGGGATTTTCCAAGACTTTATTGATTCAATTATCACCCATAGTTAAAGGCATTCTCGCTGAGATTATGATTTCACCAATAACGAGATACAATCCCACGGAAGAGGATGAATCTATTTATAATGTCAGTTCTGTTTACTCGGTTCAAGCTTTCTTGTTGTATTCATATTGGCCACCAATCACATCCTCACTTAGCGCTGACTCATCGTATAGTACTGTTAGCACGGGGTTTTTTCAAGCCATACGGATCGGATTACATGCACCTTCTTCGTTTAGCAGTGTAAAAAGTACAGATGGACAACCTGAGAGCAAGGCTCTTCAGCAACAAAGCATGTTGCAGGAACAAGTCAAGACTTGGATAGCAACGAATGCGGCATCCCAATTCATAGCCACTGCGTTTGGGTATCCTGCGTGCGTCCAGTTTGATTCCTCCATTTGGTACTACAGTCGGCCCGGGAGTGACGTTCAAATTCCCGAAGAGATCAAATCGATGTTGGCCATTGCCCAATTCGAAGATCAAATGGCTAGATCACTCAATTCCAACCCGATGGACCCTTGTGGACTTAGTGATGCAAATGAAAGGGTATCGTTGTTAAAGTTACTTGAAAAGAGAGTAGATGAGTTGGAAGTGATGATTTCTCATACAACTCTGCATGATGCATTCAAATTTAGAATGTTTGAGATCTTGGCATCTAAAGTACATCTATTCAGCTACTACTTTATGGACTCCTCCAAGATATCCGAGTTTGAGCTAAAGACTGGTTTAGTCAAACTTTACAACGCTGCAACGAGATTGGTTTCATTTACTCAAAATTGTCAAACCGAAGATAAAAAATTCATTAAATATCTTCCCGGAGTGTATTTGCTAAATCTCTGGCAAGCTGCGTGTATTATAGGGAAATTGGTTCATTCCAGTTTGAAAGCTGTAATCGACGTAACCGTTGGTAAACAGAGTTACGAAGCGGTCGTCAGTTTGACTGCTAGGGCTTCCATACTTAAACACGATATGGCAATCCGATCAAGTGGTATCACAAGAAACATGTGGCTGCTTTTCCGGCAATTGGATAGCCAAAATCTAAACAGTTTGAGCATCAACATAAGAAATAGGATGGCTGCATCAGTATTCTTTGATTGTTTGAATTTGATTAGAGAGAAGGCGGGAATGACAAACTTGCGAGTAAAGACTGATGATCGAAGCCCAGTCCATGGAGCAACTATAGAAGAGGGACCGTTGGAGAATTTGCAAGGAGAAGAATACCTGGATACAGAGGCCCGTAATGATCCTCACCGTAAAGACAAACGGTCTTTATCGAATGAAGAAGACGCTGAACAAAGAGCAAGAAAGATTATAAGAACAATACCTTTAGATCCTGAGCCGATTTCAGCAGGCACAACAAAGCGAAGCTCCATCTTTAAAGTTGTAAACACATCGGCCGAATCCACGCCAATGGTGAAAGGAGATCACAACACCCCAGACTCAAATAGCTATCCGCAAGGTAGCCCTCCATTTGCAACAGATTCTCAATTTGGACATGCTTCTCGTGGTGTGGCAACCCACCAAGAGCAATTGTCAGCTACCCCATCATTCTCGCATCATCATGCACATGCTCTTACTCAGCTGGGAGATCAGTTGCACAACTTAAAGAACGATTTTCAACCTCAGGGTTCCAACACGTCTTACCAACAGCCACAATCAACCTCGACGTTCAATGATTCTCCATTGCAACTGGGTTTAGAAAGTTTGGACTTGGACAGGTTCGACGGTGATATGTTGTGGAGAGACGTTGACAGTGTCATGAATGATTTTGGATTCCATATGGTTTAATAATACCTGGCGGTGAATATATGCTATGTACCTCATTAGTTCAACTGTAATTGCACGTAGAAGAATAACAAACACAAAAAGCTAATGACAGTGTAAATTTTTCAAAAAAAAAAATTTTTTTTTTTGTTTTCTCTTTTTTCGTCTTCTGGTGAAAAATTGAAACTAGAAGCTTTCAACACTTGATTCATTTGTCACTATAAACACCTCCATCAAGTTAGAATGTCATATGACGATATAGAAAACGCGACTCCCGATATTGTCATTGGAAGTACTATTGAGGAAGAAGAAGACGATTATCAATATGAGAATGAAAGTGACAATGAAGTGCAACAAGAAAAAGATTTGGATGACTCACAGCTGAAGGGCAAAAAATCAGTGGCCTTTGCAGGATTAGACGAGGAAGACGACGAGAAAGCTGAGGAAAGAGCCAAGAGGGAGTTCGAAGAAGGTGGCGGATTACCAGAACAACCAACCAATCCTGACATTTCCGAACTTACACCACTCTCACCTGAAATCATCAATAGACAAGCTACAATCAACATTGGTACAATTGGTCACGTCGCACACGGTAAATCTACTGTGGTCAGAGCCATATCTGGAGTTCAAACTGTTCGTTTCAAGGATGAATTGGAGAGAAATATTACCATTAAATTGGGTTACGCCAATGCCAAAATTTACAAGTGTGATAACCCAGAGTGTCCTGAACCAGGGTGTTACAAATCCTTCAAATCGGATAAAGAAATAAGACCTAAATGTCAGCGTCCAGGATGTGAGGGCCGCTATAAGTTGGTCAGGCACGTTTCTTTTGTTGATTGTCCTGGTCACGATATTTTGATGAGTACAATGTTGTCTGGTGCAGCTGTTATGGATGCAGCTTTGTTGCTTATTGCCGGTAATGAAAGCTGTCCTCAACCACAAACCTCAGAGCACTTGGCTGCAATTGAAATCATGAAGTTGAAGCACGTTATTATTTTGCAAAACAAAGTTGATTTAATGAGAAAGGAGTCAGCTTTGGAACATGAAAAGTCCATCATTCAGTTCATCAGAGGTACTATAGCTGATGGTGCCCCAATTGTTCCAATTTCAGCACAATTGAAGTATAATATCGACGCCGTCAATCAATTCATCGTAAACTCAATACCAGTTCCAGTCAGGGACTTTACTGCATCCCCTAGGTTAATTGTTATTAGGTCTTTTGATGTGAACAAACCTGGTGCTGACGTTGATGATTTGAAAGGAGGTGTTGCTGGTGGGTCCATTTTAACTGGTGTTTTCAAAATTGGTGACGAGATTGAAATTAGGCCAGGTATTGTTACTAAAGATGATCAAGGAAGAATTCAATGTAAGACGATATTCTCCAATATTGTTTCGTTATTTGCTGAGCACAATGATTTGAAGTTCGCCGTACCGGGAGGTTTAATCGGAGTGGGAACCAAGGTCGACCCAACGTTGTGTAGAGCCGATAGATTGGTTGGTCAAGTTGTTGGAGCTAAAGGAAACTTACCATCCATTTATTCCGATATTGAGATCAATTACTTTTTGTTAAGGAGATTGTTGGGAGTAAAGACTGAAGGACAAAAACAGGGTGCTAAAGTTAGAAAATTAGAAGTCGGAGAAGTGTTGATGGTAAATATTGGTTCCACAGCCACTGGTGCTAGAGTTGTGGCTGTCAGAGCAGATATGGCTCGTTTACAATTGACATCTCCTGCATGTACCGAAATCAATGAAAAGATTGCTTTGTCGAGGCGTATCGAGAAGCATTGGCGTTTGATTGGTTGGGCCACAATCAAAAAGGGAACAACCATAGAACCTGTGGTTTGAAGTTGCAAAGAGGAGATAGTATAATTGTCGGTATTTGATGTGTATAAATAGAATCTACGAAAATTTTATACTTTATCGAGGCTATTCAAAAACTTTGGTAGAGAGTCTCCCTCCATCATTCTGTATAAATGGGCACTGACTTCGTCAAAGAAGACAGTCAACTTTTGCAATACTTGATTCAAATCGATTTCTCTCTCCTCCTCCTTGTCGGTTGCCAATTTTTCCCTGCTTGGGGCTCGCAAATTTTCATAACTTGCGCCAAGTTGTTCACTTGAAGACTCGTCAGTCGGCGTTTGCATGTACGCATCCAAGTTTGTCTTATGACATTTCATGTCATTGGAAAGGCGCGTCAACAACTTGACAACTCGCAGTCGCAAATTATAATCAATGTTTAGCACAAATGGCGATTCATGACTGATGTAGGTATTGTAAATCTGATAGGCAATCGACATACACGTGTCTCGGAGACTAGTCTGGTGTTGTATGTTTTGCTTGCTTAATATGTCATCATCAGTATGTTGGCCACTATCCCTTATGTCATTCCAAAGCTTCACATTTTCTTTAAATACTTGTAGTTGGCAATAGGCGTCAAAGTTTTCCAAGCAGAATTCCTGTTCCAAGTGGCACTTGAATTGAAACCTTAATCCAGGATCTTGCATGATCGTGTCCAAAGTAACTTCCAGTCTGCATGGGTTTTGTTTGTAAAAGGACAAGTGTCCCGTTTTAATTCCGCTAGCTTTGCCCCACATGCAAAGGGACAAGCCTTTGTCACCAAGCTGATAATGTTGCTCAATTTGAAACAGTTGCCGCGCATCACTGGCACCGAAAGGTGTAATAAATCTTTGGTTAAGAAACAAGTTTGCAATCTCCATAGCATGTTTGGGTCTTACTATATCGGTGCAATCCATGAGCCACTGTACTATAGCTTTCCCACTAATGCGATAACTAAGTAAAGCGTTTGTTGTCTTGAAACCATCTAAATTTTTCGCCTTATAGAGTCTAACCCCAACTGAAGAAACATAATATTGCATATGAGCGTCTGATTCAGGGTTCAGAAAATATCTGTGATGATAGGGACTTACGTCTGACACGTTCTGATTAAAAGTATCATCACCGTGTACTTCAAACAACTTCAACGTCTTTCTTTGATATTCCAGAAAGCTGAATGGGTCCGCGGGTTTTGATGACGGAGTTACACTAATAGAAAGACCCTCTTTTTTGCCAGCTTTACCGTGAGAGACCACTTCAACTCCCTTGCCAAAAACTTCATCGCTTCTTTTTATCACGCTAGGAATGGGATCTGGCTTGTTCATGGGCGACCATATATTTGGAATTGGACCCAATAGTCTTGTGAATAGTAGATTTATTAGACTCCGGGAATAAATCACCTCATCAGTAACAGGATCGCGATCAAAATAAAACAAATGCATTGAGTTGTACGAATTTTGTAGTAAGATGTCAGGCATATTCAGTTTCTTCATGCCTACTTTTTCACAAAACGATTGTACAATAGACAATCCTTTAGGCGTAGGTTGTAACCAAACATCATGCTTTGGCACAGACCTGGTCCTATCGGCAGGCGAATGCAAAAATTTAGCTTTGAAGAATTGGTTAATTAATGTTGATGCAATTTCTGGTTGGAAGCTATACGACAAGCAAGTGACGATATTGGACAAATCAATTTCAACGCGAAGATGAGTCATCTGATCAATTGCATTCAAAAGCTGGAATGAGTAAGGATATTTCTTACCCTTGGGGATGAGTCTGAATTTCAAAAGTGGCAGCAAAGTGCTTTTGTTCTTGGCAGAACTTGACAGGCTCTTTGAAAGTTGCAATGAAACGATCAACATTGCAAATATGTCTTTTATATCCTTCTCGTAAAGTTTGCCGCTGCTGGTGCGATTGAATTTCTTCACTACGGCCTCATGCAACACATTGGAGTTGGCATTCAGGTCGCTTAACGTGCTGGGTAAATCAAGTGACGACGATGACGAGAGTAGCTTTTCGACTTGTTGTTGTTGTGGTTCTTCATTATGGCTTGGAAGGGACAAAAGTGGAGTTGGAGTAGTGGTTAAACGATGATTCAAAAAATATGTATTATGACTTCGATCAAAGATCGATGCTGTTTTAACCGTTTCCCTAATCTCAATTGTATCCATCTTCCTGTCACGTATCAATAAAAGTGAACGCTTTTGAAAATAGTTTCAGTTCTCCAATTTGTTTTCTATCTCGTGAACAAAGACAATCCTCAACTTTTAATACTTTTATTTCATTCACATGAAACGTGTTTGATTACAACATCAAAAATTTCTCCCTGTGAGGGAAAGAATTTGAGTGCAAAAGTTTCACAGCCGCCTAAATCATTTGATTGTAATATTACAATTTCATCGTTGTTTTAAGTTTCACAAGATCCCTGATCCAAACAATACAGTCTTTATGTTGCAGTCTGTAAATTTTGTGTCTTATTCTTAGACGCCATCTATGTACAACTTTTTTGGTTACATATTGTAAACATGTTGTTTCAGCCTGAGCCGTTGTTCCAGTTTTTTTCTTTTTGACTTCTCGGTTTTTTTCTTTTAGTTCATTAATGTTTCAGATTTACCTATTGGGAAAACACGAATATGAGAGTGAGATGAATTTGAAGTATACAACAGATCTTCCGAAGGAATGCATGCATTACCAAACACCCTATGTAATAGAAGCAGCAGTGACTCTTAATGAACTGATATGTAAAGATCTGTGTAATGAAGGTTGGGCGTGATCTTATATGCAAAAATCATACTCCTCAAGATAATGAATTCAATGGGGAGCAGGAGATCATATGCAAAGAATGAGTGTACTGCTGAGAGAAGTGGTTATATAAACACGACTTAACACTTACGAGCCAGTCTGCCTCGATTTGAAAACGTGTTAACGAACGATATACAACAATGAATGTAGGTTATTCTTTCTTTCTACAATACTGTGCTTCCCGAACTTGACAAAGTATGGAAATATCCACGGGTATTTGTATATGTTTAGAATGGAAGGATTCAGGGAAGGGTAATTGAGCATAGAACTTCAATTAAGCACTACCCTTTTTTTATATATATATGGAGGGCTACTTCTTTGAGAGGAGAAATTTTATTTTCAGAGAATGCAGTATTAAATCCGGGTAACGATATTGATGCAAAATAGGCTTACTTAATCGAATACTCTCAAGCCTGAAACCCAAATCACAACTAAGGTAGCAAATGTGTTCTATTTCAAGAAAGTACTCTAGCTGCGGCTAGAGCTTCTAGAGTAAACATGCCGTCTTGAGTGGAACTCGTTTATCTCAAGATTGAGTTTAAGGAATCAAGAACTTCTTTTTCAAATTCTTGAGCAAAATTCTTCAAAATGATTGTAGGATGTGAATGTTCATCCCTGTTGAATGCGAGTGCTTTGATATGGGCTTCCAACAAATTATATAGGCAAATCACACCGTGTTCTAATAAGAATGAGCGGTGTTTATCATTCATGGATGAAAAATGTAGAGATTAAATGTCTCCCCTTAATTACGTTGTGAATACATTAACAGACTCCCCCACATCCTAGAGCTTTCTCTGCTCTACTATACTATACTGCTGACAAGGGTGAATGTAGATCGATTTCTTGCCTCATCGAATAGCCTGCTATACTGTCTCCACACACATTTTGCGTAATGAATATCAATTCTTGTTGCAACTCTATCCCCCCACAAAAAGTAGTGCACAAACCTCAATGAGAAATTGGGAAAAGAAAGAAAAAGACTAGCCAACATACACGCGCACACACACACACACACACACACACACACACACACACACACACACACGCACACACACTATCTATCTCTCAGTTACTCACTTTGTATACTCAAACTGTCTATTTGTGGTTCCTCTTTTCGAGCTACAAGTAGCCGATAAAGCGTTGGACGATGAAATCGAGGACCTCCAATTAAATGCAAACTACGTATCAGTACCACAGTTCACGAATGTTACTGTCCCTGCATATTGGGACCCCAACTTTTCCTTTTCTGATTTGTACAGCGAAGAAGCCAGCGGCGCAAATGATGCAAGCGACTTTGGTGAAACAAGCGGCGCCGAAACTGTGAGTGTGGAGATAAATCCAGCCAACCTCATTGATGCGCCTTGCAAGAAGGTTAAGTTGAGAATTGAAATGTTGTTGAAGCGATGGAGAAGGTTTTTCAAACCGAGTGTATCATATTTTGTCTGAAATTATCTGCATTGGCAAGTTGTGTGGTCTGGCCAGCCATGCAAGTATAAGTCCAAATCCAGACGATGATGATGAAACGGTACGCGGTTTCTACTCCATCGTATATTGACCCACATGTTATCCATAACTGAAAGCTGAATTGGAGATAATCCTCCAATTGGGTTTCTTATATTGTTCAGATGTTGCCTAGATGCTGCCTAGATGTTGCCTAGATGTTGCTCAAACTTTAATTTTTTTTTGTATATAGTGTTTAATAAATTAATGCACCTTTCAAACAATGTTGTTTCGTGTTCTGTTAGGTTTCGTTGCTCTCAATCCTAGAAGAATGCTTCTTTATTTAACTAAAATCAAGTATCATAGAAGAACTTCAAAGCGCAAGTTCGATGATTTTCTAACGTGCTATTGTCATGACACATCATACGATTGTTGACTGCAAATCCACACCATCGAGTTCAAATAATGTGACTTATTATCTATTCTCAATCAAATCGCCCACACCAAAACGTTAACACACATTTCAACTTCAATCACAGCCTCACCGTATGCCTCCACGAGTAGAAACCAATCAAATGCTCGCTGACTGAAAGAAAAACCACTGAACCAAGGACTTAGTAACCCAAAAGCCAACAAATGAATTCATCCAAAGAGCAACTTGTACAATGCTACTGAAAGAGGAACCCTTTGATGACCACAAGGTACCGAGTACCACATAGTGCTCACGCAAAGAGTGTTGCTATCGTCTAAGGTGCTTTGAAGATGTTACTGAATTATTTGACATCGGTTGTGATGGTCAAGTTGCTAATAAAAATGAGTTCAACTATGAATCTTCACCAGAATCAAAACATGTGGGCATAAAGACTGCAGAGTGAGTAGTTGTGGGCAAAACTCCAGCTCACAATTACTGCGAATAAATGAAATGAGGTCAAGATTAAGTCACTAGTGTTCGAATAAAGAGCGGAATGAAGCACAGAGTCTAATCAAGTAGTAGGATTCATAAAGTGGAAAGTGATGGAATTACAAGTCTCTACAAGTGGCTTTGAATTGTGCAATACCCAACTCCTACAGTCACACGCTTGATTGAGTAGTTCTATGAATGTTCATATGGCAATCTATTTGGACAGCAATGCTTACCCTTGATGCGATCGACACGCATGAATGAGCTCGATTTCTTTGCCAATCGAATTGCATTCTGATTCTCATTAGTGAAATGACTCCCTTGTGACTTACTTGAAATTAGATGCGGGATTGGGACGTTTAGGTATTTGATGGTCAAGTACAAATTTCCTAATGACTGCTCTGGAGTGTGCCCTAACACATTCAAGATTAATTCAGACACAAAGTGTTGGCTGATATCAGCAAACAAAAGGCAAGCTTTTGTTTACGTCACTATGAAAGGTTATCATATGCTAATGAATAGAAGGATCAGATAAACAATATGTAGATTGAAATCATATCTTCCCGACTTCAATTTTGTCTCACGCTTTACACAGATTTTTGTGTTAATTTTGAGTTCTTGATTTTATGGGATGTATGGTAGTTTGATCTCCAGGTGATGAATCTCTTTCAATTTCTCCATAACACTTACCTGCAATGGCCGTTCTGCAAAAGCAATTGATTGCTCATATGTGATCAGACGGGCAATGCTTATAATTGGCTACAAAGTGGTAATTTCTTTGTTGAAAATTGATGCTATTTGCGATTCTCATTAGTTCAGTGTTTTTTTTTCTACCATCAACTTGTACATTAGGTTAGTTTGAATCATATCATCTCCCCAGTCGTACAATGCAAAGGCGGTTCTTCAATTCAACTAACCATGAGGTTGATAAATCTGCCAGCAATAATGGTATTGAATCCAATGACCTCAAGCTTAATCATCCTGTTGCAATTTGCCAGAATTCAAATATCGATAATATCTCAAACGATGCAACACCCGACGATATTTCGGACGACTCGCCCGTATCTGCATCTCACACAATAACAGAGAGAGACGTATTAGCGGTAAAATCTCGTATTTTGTCACAGCTAAACGGAGGGGTGACTCACATTGAGGATTCCAATATCTTTCACGGATACGAGATTGTTCGCAATATACTTGAGAAAACCGTAACTCAAGGTGAACGACACTCTCTATTACTAGTGGGCCCAAGATCATCAGGAAAATCGACAATTGTGAAAAAGTCTTTGAAATACTTAACAGAGAAATATCCCCAGGATTTCCTTGCGATTCATTTGAACTCTGTGATACACTCCGATGACAGTGCCGCAGTCAGAGAGATCGCACGCCAGTTGGACCTAACCACAAGACGAAATATCGAGAACAAAGGTGCCCACTTTACTGCATCTCAATTAGAGACCACAATTGAGCGCAAGTCAATTCATGAAACTTTTTCAAATATTTTAAATGTGCTAAATATTTCTTTAGAGAATGTCGAGGATTCAGGTACGAAGCACACGCCGTTAGTCTTCATCATCGATGAATTTGAAAAATTCACATCAAATTACAAGCAGACCTTATTGTACAATCTACTTGACATGTCACAAAACAGCGATGTACCCATCACAGTGATTGGATTGACGACAAAAATCAACGCTAGGGACAACATGGAGAAAAGGGTCAACAGTCGTTTCTCACAACGCATATTGACAATTTTGCCAACAGTAAAATTTGCAGATTACGTGGAAAATGTCATGAGTGGGCTTTTAGTGAGTGAGGCGTTTTCCGAATCTCTAGATGCTTCTCCTTATGGAAGAGAATGGAATGGAAGCATAAAGCGGATGTTTCAAGATGGCAAAAATAGTGATATTCACATGTTGTGCATGCGAAATTTCAACACCACCAAGAATTACAGGGAGATACATAACATTTTCAAAGTTTTGCTTTCGGAAATTTCTACTGACAATCCTTACTTTGACAATTCGAGGTTGAGTGATGTAATACAAAAATGCACTCTGATTGGGAACCTTCAATCTGCTGTTTGTTCTCTCTCAGATAGTGAGTTACTCATTTTGGTTGCGGCAGCGAAGTGGATCGAGAAGTTTGAGTCTCCCACGGTGAACTTCAATTTGGCGTTCTGCGAATACATATCGTTAATGAAAGAGTCAGATTCTGTCGCTAATGCATCATTTTCGATAAACAATATGAAAGTGAACAAAAAGCATTGGTCGAAAAAAGCATTGAGGAATAGCTGGGAAGTATTGTTCAAATGCAATCTACTTGTTGAACCCTTGTCTACACTGTCCACTCAGAGTGCATCAACTGAAAGAAGGGCCATAAAGACAGTTGTTATTGATGACAATACAATGGTTTTGCTCGACATTACTTTGGATGAACTAAATGTGCTAGTAGGGGATAGTAGATTGGCAAAAAAACTCTTGCGATTATAAAAGAGGTTTTGTTAGTCTGCCGGGACACTTTCGGAAAGTGTAGGGAAGCTACTGGCTAATGGTTTCAGTCGACGAACACTCGAAATGTGATCCGATAATGAGGATAATAGTGTTGGTGGTAATTGAAGACGACGGCGACAAGAACTAGATCCAAACTCACAGATACTCTTCAACCCAGTCAATAAGTCTTCTTTTATTTTTCGGGTTTAATTGAAGATATATATTGGTGTACTGTAAGAGCCTGCGGGAGTGAGTGACAGTTCGTTGACTGCTTCTGAGACGATTCTCACGCTCTTTACGAAGGATGCTCCTTGCGTAGTAGTGGAGTCACCCCAGAACATTGTAGCTCAAAGAAGTGATGAAGAACAACAGCTCGAAAATTTATCAGAACCCACAGTGCTCAACGTGGGCTGTCTCTAATGCAAGTACTTTTAAAAGTTGTAAGTTTAGGAAGTCATTGTCGTGTCAATATACAGCCCCTACCACATTGGAAATCAGCCCAAACAATTCTTGAAGAGTGACATATTTGCGACATATAGTTTGCGACATTGCACTAAATTGTGTTGCAAAGAGGAAACGGAAAAAAAAAAAAATTAAACAATAGTTAAGAAGTGAGAGATGGATTACGATGATACCTTCAAGGATATATCGTTTACAGCACATCACCAATGGCGAAGGGGAACCAAATAACAAGTGGTATTGAGCGAAAAGTTTATAGTCTAACATGTGATCTTTTGGACGAACGAACAGAAACAAATCGAAGCACTTTAAGTGGAGATGAGTTAAAGGATCCATTTGCTGGTGTGGAATCCGCGAAGAACTTGACAATTAACCTGGTATTGGTTTATGTGCAATCAAAGGACTTCGAGTTAAAGCGTACTAAGAAATCACAACTCGAGAAGTCTATTTCGAAGGTATTAAAGCTAATAAGGGAAGACGAGGAGAATGAGTTACACAACAACAGTCCATTAGAGAAAGACATTGATACTGCATCTGATACTGAAGGCCCAGACCCTAGCGGCTCTAATTTGATAGAGTACAAGGACCCCAACTTATCAAACAAGTCTGTCACATCAATGTGGAATTTCGACGACAAGGAGAATGAGCAAAACCAGGATTCAGACGGCACCAGCATGAAACGAAAAGCAAAAGATACAGCAAAGAGCGCTTTAAAGAAGCAAAAACGAAAATTTAACCATACGCCCCCTGAAATCACTTTTACGAATTTAGGAGGTTTGGACAACGTCACCACACAATTACTTGAAATAATAGGACTACCTATCTTACATCCAGAAATTTACACATCAACCGGAGTTGAACCTCCAAGAGGCGTCCTCCTATATGGCCCTCCAGGTTGTGGTAAAACAACCATTGCAAATGCCCTTGCAGGGGAGTTGAAAGTTCCTTTTATCAATATTTCTGCCCCTTCAATCGTATCGGGTATGTCGGGTGAATCCGAAAAGAAACTTCGTGAATTGTTTGAAGAGGCAAAGTCTGTTGCTCCGTGCTTAATCTTTATGGATGAAATTGATGCCATAACACCAAAGAGAGATGGTGGTGCTCAACGTGAAATGGAGAGAAGAATAGTAGCCCAACTTTTGACTTTGATGGACGAATTAACTTTGGACAAGACAGACAACAAGCCTGTGATTGTCATTGGTGCCACAAATAGACCAGACTCTTTGGATTCGGCACTTCGTCGGGCCGGTCGATTCGATCGAGAGATTTGTTTGAATGTTCCAAATGAAACGCAACGAGAATCTATTTTAAGGGCAATGACAAAAAATATAAGGTTAAAAGATGGCGAAAATTTTGGCTACAGAGAGTTGTCAAAGCTTACTCCTGGGTACGTTGGCGCTGATCTCAAAAGTCTCGTTACCGCAGCAGGCGTTGCTGCCATAAAAAGGATTTTTGAAACCATGAGCGAGCAACAAGATGAGGGTCATCAAATACAAGAGGATAATATGGAGATAGACCCCATCGTAGGTAAAGAGAGCGAAGCTATATTGTCCAAGAGATTCGGAAGCAAGACCGATATTGAACAATTATCAACAATTCAAAAGTTTTTAGGGCGAAATCCTGGGCCATTAACCGCAGAACAACTTGAACCGTTGTTCATCACGTACGAAGATTTTGTCAAAGCGCTTCCCACTGTTCAACCAACGGCGAAAAGAGAGGGGTTCGCGACTGTGCCCGATGTCACATGGAAGAATGTTGGTGCTTTGGCGAAGGTTCGCATGGAGTTACACATGTGTATAGTGCAACCGGTGAAGAAGCCAGAATTGTACTTGAAGGTGGGTATTTCAGCGCCATCTGGAGTTTTGATGTGGGGACCGCCAGGTTGTGGTAAAACTCTCCTTGCCAAGGCTGTCGCTAACGAATCGCGTGCAAATTTTATATCCGTCAAAGGACCAGAGTTACTAAACAAATACGTGGGAGAGTCGGAAAAGGCAGTGAGACAAGTATTTCAGCGAGCTATGGCTTCAAAACCATGCATTATTTTTTTCGATGAGTTGGATGCCTTGGTTCCTCGGAGAGATGCATCTATGTCAGAATCCAGTTCGAGGGTTGTTAACACTTTGTTGACTGAACTCGACGGTCTTTCCGATCGGAATGGAGTCTTTGTCATTGGAGCGACTAATAGACCTGACATGATTGACCCCGCTATGCTACGCCCTGGCCGATTGGATAAGACTCTTTATATTGAATTACCAAGTGCCACTGAGAGATTCGAGATTTTGAAAACAATCACACTCGCCAATGGTACTCCAATTGCTAGTAACGTCGATCTTGAAGAGATCTCAAACGATGAGAGATGCAGAAACTTTTCAGGAGCTGACCTTTCATCTTTGGTAAAGGAAGCCGGTATATCAGCTTTGAAAAGGAATTTTTTCGGGTCTCAAAAGCTTGAAATGTTGGATGCATCTGGATTCTACAATGATTCTTCACCTGAAGAACACATTGAGATCATCCGCGAGGATTTTCAGCGTGCTCTATTCACCGTGCGTCCGAGTGTAAGCGACAGAGATAGATTGAAGTATGAGCGTTTGAACAAAAAGCTAGGATGGGATGTTATAAGCGAGCCCAATGGGGCAACACTTTCCAATACAGAGAACTCGAATAAGGCAGATATGGGCAATTGAGCAAGCAAGTAACTCGCCGTATCCGTTGATGCAATGGGTACACAACAATAAACTCACTTCTGTTTTTTCAGAAGCATACTAAAAATTTCTGATCGGCTGACAGCTGAAAAAAGCTTCGTACAACTACGGGGGAGGGGGAAATTTTGTTTTCTTGAGGACCAAGTTGCGTTGTTATACGACTAAGGTGCGGTATTAACGACAAAAGGGAGTATATATGATCCACTGTAAATACAATTCAATTGAAACACCAACCTCAATGAGCTATATTTGCACTCTCAGCTCATAGTATGATGCATAACCTGGCAAATCATCATCGCGTAGTGCGTCGTTTTGGTTCATGAAATCTTCAGCAAAAGATCGAGGGCAAGGTATTTCGAACATGGCTCGTTACATGGAAGAAGTCATCATTTTGTAAGAAAGGTTCATGGTTGGCTGAGTTCTTTTTACCTCAAATCCAGAACAATGGCTTCAAGAGAGGAAAATGTACCATTTACTAAAGATTAAAAGATGCCACGCTCGATAGAGTACAAAGCATTTTCAATGTATTGAGGAAGTCCATTCTTCATCAATGAAGGAGACATTAGCATTTCATTACCTTTACTCACAACTTATTACTGGAACCTGTAGGTATTCCTGTCAAAACATACTTATGACATAATTGCCCACCTCAGCATTAAGCCTTATATGGTATATATCTGATTTGGGTTAGTCATGATCTACCCTGGTTGGTACTTCACTTAAGAAATGGGAAGCTACTCTTGACGAAAACGAGTTGCTGAATAGTTTAGCACTTTGTTTAGAGGGGGCGAGTAATCATCATAAGCCTAGCTGTCTATAACCTTACAAAACCACGTGACTGTACATGTTGTTAGTACAGTGCACCACTTCTAGAGAAAAGAAAGAGTGTGTGTGCACTTTGTTTTTGTGCATAAACAAGTTCCCACACAAGATTGCAGTAATTGAACACAACCTCCTCTTCAAAGGATAACTTGTGAACGTGCTATTTTCCAATACGGGACATCACAATCACTATTAGAGATGACTGCAACCATTAGAAGATAGTGAATACTACGTCTGATGCCATTCAAGGTTAAGTTTCGAGACACGGGTTCAGTAATGATATTGTGTCAGTTTTATACACCAAATGGTGATCTATCATCCAATCGAGTGTGCAGATAGCAATCAATCATTCAAGCTGAAGTATCATCAAATGAATTAAGAGGATGGAGGTTACAGTTGACAGAGATCAATGGCTACGGTAAATATGTCGGTCACAGTGGGGAGTGTAACAGAGGTACACTAATTGATTGTGCAGACCGTATTCAATGCATGTGTCTGGGTTGATTATGCAAGTCAGCATTCAGCGTATGTGTCTGGGTTGGTTATGCAAGCCCTATCAACGAAGACTACAAGAGGCACATCGAAGTTCATTTGACACATTGATCGAGATACGATACAAGAAGGAGTTACCTGTAACCATGCACCGTAATCTAAATCAGGGATAACACAGCCTAGCAAAACTAACAAAGCTGATCACATATCTAATCATCTTCAATAAGTCCTGCTATTGTTATGGTGGTGAGGGAATTGGTTGCTCTAGTGCCATCGATTGAAATGAAATCCAATTTCACAGCTGTTTGTGAAATTAATGAAGTCGCAAGACGCGGAAGTTTCAGATATGATGGATACTGATATTGGTATCTTGGCCCACACCCAAAGTGCACGTTTCCAAATATTGAAATGAACCAAGCTCGTACTAGGACTAGAATCATCAGCTCGAGTGGAGGAGAGCTGTACATCTAATAGTGTTTACGACTTGCTGAAGGGTTGCTGGATATGGTTGCAGCCAAACTTCTGTCAATGAAATGCAAGAGCCTCACAGGAAGACGGCTTACTCAAAAGTTGGGTTAATGGATGAGGGAAACCACATGAGATCCAATCAAGAGCACTGTGGTCATTGTTATCCAAGTGGACTCGTAACCCTGTCTATTCATGGTCCAACCTAAAAGCATTAAAGAGTTCATGCAGTCATATTCAATGAATGGTATCATGAAAAAGGAGGGAGATTAACTCATTGGAACGGAAGCAAACGTGTTGGGGCATGCTTTTCAATGGATTGAGCTACTTGTGCACACCGGTCCCAAGAGGGTCAGAGTTGATGGTGTCCATGCAAAATAAGCATTGACCTGGACGAAGGAGTCTACACTAACATACGAGACAAAGAGCTAGCTTCCACATTGAAAAGCAGTAACTGTCAAATATTGTTACATACACAAAAAATGCGATTCCCTCCTTGTTCAACAATATACAACTAAACGATTACAGTTACTCCTAACATTTTGATTCAACACTATTTCGTCTCTGTAACATCTCTACGTTCTATATATTGTAGGACCACTGGTAGTTAACGTCAGGACACTACGTACCCAAGCACCAATATAAGTTGCATCCAGAGAGCAACCTTTTCACACCGTTACTGCACCCTTACCCTAAAAATTTTGCACCAGTACGTCGATGTTTCTACATCCGCACACCAGATCTGCACTATATTAGCACCAGATATACATCCGCACACCAAATACTACTGCATCCAAACATGAATTTTGCACTCCAGCAACATAGACAAACACATCCATACACACAGTAGTTAGTGCATCCAAACTTCAGGGAAAAAAACTTGTATAAATAATCCACGATGGCAGAGCCATTTCACAAGACTACATACCGAATACTAAAAGAAGGTGCCGAAGGCTGAGTCCTAAAGCTTGAGTTGAACTGGTGCCGATTTCAAAACGATCCAGTGCGCTCGATCTTGGTTGCAAGGCGCAAAACTGGACTTGAAAAACAACAAAAAAATAGTTTATCCTAGCATAACATATGAACACTTTCTCGGCATGCCTAATATATTCGTTTTATCACATCAAGGAAATGAAAACACGTTGAGTAATTTGGAGCATCTTTGAAGTAATAACTAAGTTGGCGGCGGAGCTCATATGTTGGTATTGCAGATATGTATTGCGAGTTACGCAAACCTTTTTAAAAAATCTTTATGGAACTTGACTTTTAATGACGTTGTGGTACTCTAAACACAAGCCCTATGATATTTTTTTAAGCAATTCGAAGTAATTCTCAAAACGATACAGGTATCATCACGTACTTAATTTTTTACTAGTGCAGCGTAGAATATGTGTCCGCACATCTCATTAAATCCCCACGATTAGTAAACAACGAATTTCAGGCGTCAAACATCCAACAACTTGCCAAATAGTGGTCATACCGTCGAAAATGAGATAAATCGGGTTGCTAAAAACCATTTCATAAGCATTACTCAGAAAATTGGCTAAACAAAGCTAACTCTGAATACAGTTCAAAAACACAGTCAACGCGAAATTCTTCACTTTTGTTATGGAAAAAGATTCAATGTAAAAGAAAAATTTTGAGTTCACATGAACAATGCTATAAAGGTAATTACTTAGGAAACTGTAGATTACAAATAATGATAGTTATAAATACAAGTGAAGTATTTGTTTGAGTAGTACAAACTTGAGGCCCAACTCAAATGTATTTATAAATACTAGCCTACTCAGAAGATAATTTAGCAAATGAAATGGTGTACTCCAAACCTTTTTCTAACGCCAAGAAAAACCAAATCAGCAACCAGCAGCCGCACTTAAGCAATTCATGCGTGTACAACGGTGCTGCGGTGAAAGAACGAAATCTTACACTAGACGGTTTGGTTTCGACGAAAATCTACTTGTCCGAAATATCCCACTATATGGTCATTATTCAAAAAACCATGCCCGCATTGAACTCAAGGAGAAGATACAAGAGGAGGGATGATCGTGAATTTAGTTCGGGAAGGCATTTTCATAGTTGGCCATGCTCGAATACTAACAAAATCTAAATGGGTCCATATGCATTGAAAGCTATTTTAATTACAACTTTAATTTCTACGCCAAAAAGGCGATATTCTTTTCCTATGCTACGAAAAGCGATTGCGCATACTTGAGAAATTTTTATTTATTGTACCAAATGCTCGCAACTTTTGTTATCCTACAAGTTCCTACTCGTGTCTCGAAGTTGAGATCTTATAGTAGATGTTTGTAGCAGACTTGTGCTATATATGCTCAGATTTATCGACTGCATCTCTGGGCATCTTGCCTCCTTAATTAATTCTTAGTTTTCTGCAATAGCTTCTACAACATTCAACTATGTAGCGAGGTTTTTCCACTGATGGTTCGATGCACCAACTACTGCGAGAAACAATGCGTTTGTCTAGGTGGAAAGGGTGCAAATTTCATGTGTGGATGCAGTAATATTTGGTGTGTGGATGTATATCTGGTGCTAATATAGTGCAGATCTGGTGTGCGGATGTAGAAACATCGACGTACTGGTGCAAAATTTTTGGGGTAAGGGTGCAGTAACAGTGTGAAAAGATTGCTCTCTGGATGCAACTTATATTGGTGCTTGGGTACGTAGTGTCCTGACGTTAACTACCAGTGGTCCTACAATATATAGAACGTAGAGATGATACAGAGACGAAATAGTGTTGAATCAAAATGTTTGGAGTAACTGTAATCGTTTAGTTGTATATTGTTGAACAAGGAGTGAATCGTATTTTTTGTGTATGTAACAATATCTGACAGTTACTGCTTTTCAATGTGGAAGCTAGCTCTTTGTCTCGTATGTTAGTGTAGACTCCTTTGTCCAAGTCAAGTTGATGCTTTCATGGACGCCATTACTTCAGCTTCTCTTGAAACTGGTGAGCATAAGTAGCCCGATCGTTGGTTGTTAGTACTCTTCCCTTGTGTTCGCGTGCAGGCACCTTGTATGCATTTGTTTCGTTCATTCTGTGTTTGTCTGTTTTTTGCGTCGTGGCCTTGTGCGTTATAGAATCATTTTCGTGAAGCGAGACTTTCCACTTCTTTCACTTCTAGTTCTACTGCTTGGTTAGTGTTCCGTAATCAGTTATACACAACTTACCTGACATGGCATGCCCCATATTAGTTGTAAAGTCATCACCAGTTACAGATGTTTTCAAACAGCACCTCCCATTCGCTTCACTCAGGTTTCTAATCAATTATTGTTTTTCATCAACAATCAACAGGTGCGTATCACATTGCATCCTCAAAACGTATTGGGCTTGCCACTATCTCCATTGAAAAACACACCGCAACAAGTCTGCTTCCGTTCCAATGAGTTGGTCTCTCTCTTTTTTTTTATGATACCACTCATCGAATACGACTGCACGAACTCTTTAACGCTTTTGGGCTGGTCCATGACTAGACAGGGTTGGGGGTCCACTTGGATGACGATCACCACAGTGCTCATGATTGGATCTCGTATGGTTTCCCTCACCCACCAATATGACTATAGAATATGTTGTCTTCCTGTATGGTTGTTGCATTTCATTAATAGAAGTTTGGTTGCAACCATATCCAGCGACCCTTGCAGCAAGTTGAGGACAAGATCGGTCCTTCAAGTTGACTGTCGTGGAATCATGCTTTAGCCGAACCAATTGACGTGCCAGCCTCCAATCGTGGATTCCAGAAACTGTGTTTGTTCTGGTACAAAACATCTAGTATCAAGGCTTTGCACTTACCTGCTCCCTGAGTGAGCTCACACGTAGTCCATCATCTCTATTGTGTCTATAATGTCAACCATTCGAGAGAGTGTATTCCGCACACACCGCTCATTCTAGTCCAAGCATGCGCTCGGTTCATTTCAATATTTGGAAACGTGCACTTTGGGTGTGGGCCAAGATACCAATATCAGTATCCATCATATCTGAAACTTCCGCCTATTGCAACTTCATCAACTTCACCAAACGGTTGTGTAATTGGATTTCATTTCAATCGATGGCACTAGAGCAACCAATTCCCTTCACACCATAACAATAGCAGGACTTATTGAATAAGATTAGATATGTGATCAGCTTTGTTAGTTTTGCTAGGTTGTGTTATCCCTGATTTAGATTACGGTGGTGCATGGTTGCAATTAACACCTTCTTGTATCGTATCCCGATCAATGTGTCAAATGAACTTCGATGTGCCTCTTGTAGTCTTCGTTGATAGGGCTTGCATAACCAACCCAGACACATACGCTGAACGCTGACTTGCATAACCAACTCAGACTTATGCATTGAATACTGACTGCACAATCAATTGGTGTACCTCTGTTACACGTCGTTCTGTGACTAATGTAGCCACCATTGTCATTGATTTTTGTCAACTGTAACCTCCATCCTCTTCATTCATTTAATGATACTCCAGCTTGAATGATCGATTGCTATCTGTACACTCGATTGGATGATAGATCTCAACCTTGGTATCTCAAACTGATACATTACCAACATTGAACCTGTGTCTCGAAACTTAACCTTGAATGGCATCAGACGTAGTATTCACCATCCTCCAATGATTACAGTAATTTCTATAATGATTGTGATGTCCCGTATTGGAAGATAGCACATTCACAGTTATCCTTTGAAGAGGAGGTTGTGTTCAATTACTGCAATCTTGTGTGGGAACTTGTTAATGCACAAAAACAAAGTGCACACAATCTTTCTTCCCCTCAAGAAGTCGTACACTATACAAACCACTCTCACCAAAAATATTGCACCTAATCGAAACATCTTTTTTGCAGCTATACGTTTCACTTCCAAGCACAGGTTATGCTACAGACATCCAGCAGGGTTCAGGGTTACAATGGGCGTCTCCTGGGCCGTCTCAGACTGTTCTAGGCAAAGTTATAGCGCATTTTAGTGCGCATTTTAGTGCGTAAAACAAAAAGTTTCATAAAATTGGCAATTTGTCAGGAAAAGCGGAAACCGACAAGGGTTCAATAGTGCAGTAAAGTCACAGCTCCTAGAGAACTACAGTCCCTGCACCCCCTAAATCGCAAAAAAAGTAATTTTTTGGATGCCCCAAGACGACAAAGCATGGTCAAAATTTTCTTGGGGCACGAAGTTAATTTGTATCTTACATAGTATAGACACATATGCTAACACCGAAAACCGAGCTTTAAGCCCGAGCTGACGTGTGGGGGCTTCCTAAACCAGGCGAGTATTCAATCTGGCAGTTTGGGTACTATATGGTGTATTACTGGAGCCTCAGCGGATCTGCCGCTTCTATCCTAAACTGTAACTTTGTCGTCGTAGATATTGACGTCTTCATCTCACTGTGTCTTTTGCATCACATGTAAATACTGAAACTCTAATCCGAAATAAGCTTTACCGGAACGCAACGCTCCATCAGGATAGTTTATGCCCAACTGAAGATGATTCTGCTCTACAGATTACTTGGTTGCAATTCTTTACAACTACCTTAACGTGACTAACCATTTTCTCTAAATACCGGATCGCGTTTCATCAGAGATTTAGGAACTATTACTTGACCATTTTAAATCCAAATTCGGTTATACATGTAACTATATACAAACCAATATTTGCTCTCTGGAATAAATAAATAAGTAAATCACCTCGAAACAGGCATCCTTTTTATTCTTCTCAAACATCCAAGGGTCCAAAGTATTCAAAATTGACATCAATTCCCTTTTTGTTCAAATGGTCTTTGAACACCTTGATAAAACCTCTTGGACCTAATAAGTATACTTCATCTTTACTACCATCAATGAAATCTAAATCCTCTGATGCCAATCTTCTATTGAAAGACTTACTTATAGCTTCAACTTTGTCATCTTCTTGATGAGAGAAATACTCAACGATTGACAAGTTTTCTGGGTATGTTTCCAACTGTTGTTTGAAATATGCACCGAAAGGGCGATGTTCAGTGGATTTATTTGTGTAAATGAGTTTCACCTTACGTCCTTGAGATAAAGCTGCTTGCGAAATTGATACCAATGGCGTAATTCCAATTCCACCCGCTATCAAAACCAAGTCCTTTTCTTTAGGCTCTTCTTTATAGATGAAGTTTCCGTTCGGTGGAGCAACAGGTAATACATCACCGACTTTTAATTGTTCATGGACAAATGTTGATATCTTACCACCATCCAATTTTCTAACTGAGATTCTATACTCATTATTTTCAGGTACTTGGGAAATGGAATACTCTCTTGATTTTTCAAATTCCTCACCAGGTAATTTCCAACGGATACAAACATAATTACCTGGTTTGGTTGATGGAAGTTTACTACCATCTTCTGGAGTGAAATAAACTGACTTCACGTCAGAACATTCGTCAACTAATTTGGTAACTTTGAATGGTTTGAATCCTTGCCATGGTTCTTTCTTGTATTCATTAGCTTCCAATTCAATCAAAAGAGCAGCCAAGTTTCCATAAGCAATACTCCATGCTTCAACAAACTCAGGAGTTGCAATGTCCTTGGGTAAAATTTCCACCATGGTTTCAATAAGACATGTTCCAACAATAGGGTAATGTTCTGCTTTAACTTGTAAGCCAACGTGTTTTGAAACAATTTGTTGAACAAACGTAGTTAAGGGAGCTAAGTCTTCAATATTTTTAGCATAATTCAATAGAGCAAATGCCAAAATTCTGGGTTGACGCAACAACTTTTGATCAGTTTCATTGAAAAATGGCTTCACTTCATCATAATTTGTCAACATTCTCTTGTAGAATTTTGCCGTCAAGGTTTCACCAGCTTGCTCTAAAATGGGAACTGTGCTGAGAATTAGTTTGATTTGTTCTGGAGTCAAATCTTGTTGCTTGTAGTCTTGAGTCATGGTTGCGATGCTAACTTTAGTTGAGTAAGTACAATTGGTAGATTATAATATTCTATCTTTATGACGAAGATCAAAAGAGTTCTAGGTATCCATGTCATTGGGGGATTCTTATGGTATTTATATGTACCCAAAGGGAAAGAAACATATGCGACTCATGATGTTTTCTTCATGCGTGTTTTCCATGCATGGTTTTCGTTTCACAAAGCATCTTAGTCTTGAAAGTTTTAGTAACTGTTGCATTATATAGTCTAAACCATAAAAACAAACCCACATACATTTTCGTTTTCAATGCATCTTCTGCATGATCTAAACGTGAAAATACAGGCAGAGTTTTTTTTGGCTCTAGTCATAGGAGAGGGTTTAGGAGTTTGTAGGATCTAATAATCGTAGTAAAAGTAGAGCAAAAAAAAAACCACCCAAGCTTTTTCTCGAACTTTATGTGGAGATGTTGCATAGATGAAGTCCAAAGTCACCTACTTCCCTCTGCATATTCGTAGTGTTGCCACGAAACACACACACTCTCTCTTTGGGGGCTTTTCGATGTACCTGTAAAGTTGAAATGGTACCACCAAACCGGAAAGAAAAGTCATACACAAAATCTCACAAAGGAGAAGCCCAAAAATAAATAAAAAACATGCCATTTTTTATTGCTTTTTTTACGTTTGTCACTAAGAACCACATTGTTTTATTACTTTGTGCATATGGAAGTTATACAGCGGGATAACGATATTGCCCGTTCATATTCCATATTTTAAATACTATTGTGCTACTAGAAGCATATGGTACTTGTGTTATGATGGCTCGTTTCGTAATTCATTCCCTTTTTCCCTCACACACATCGCAAGTTTCGATTTGCGTGCTTGTTTATTTTATTCTTTTTTTTCCCGTAGTGGGACACAATTACGAAAGAACTTCTAAGCCAATCAAATGCAAACTAAATGTAATGATTTACACTTTTCTACTGCATAACAGGCGGAAGTTGTAACGGTATCACCCCAGAATAACACAATGGTGGTAAATGTGTATACCAGTTGGGGTTCATAGTTGCTTTTGTTGTATATATCTGCGGGTTATGAGCCTCGCTGATCAAAGGATATAGGATAAAATTACATGGTATGACCCTAAATTAACACCGTAATTTGATAGCCACTTTTGTTTCCTACATTTGACCGTTTCTGCTACGACCAGCTCTGTTTTGGGCTTGTTGGGCAAAATGCACGGGAATGATAGGTAAATTTTTTCATTCAAAACGTTTGTGCAAGCGTTGGATGGAGAATATCGGGATAAGAAATTGAAAGAACTTCGAGCCTCCCAATTTAAGTGAACATTCACAACATAGACCGTACAAGGCTTGAGATCAGAAACATCTTGCATGACTGGTAAATGTAATAAGATGGAAGCAGAAATGACCTCTACATGTTATATACAACTTGTTTCTTTTTCTTAACAAATGACGATCTTCTCGCATATTAAACTCCGAAGACAAGAATTGGATGTACAATACCAGTGGTTGTCTATCCTTTTCTTGGCAAACTTTCGGATATCTTGTTCTGAGAATAGCTTTAGATACGTATCACACGAGAAAACATGAAGCGGTAAGCTTTTAAAGTATACGCATAAAGGATACAATCTCGTAGTACATCCTTGATGAATCCCGGGTCTAGCCTCGCGTACCCGTCCCTGTTTTTTGATAATTTACCGGCACTGATTGTGAAACAATAACAAGGGTTGTAAGCTGAACTCTTGTTTGAGAGATTTCACTTTAATACGTTGAAAAATTTTGTTTTGTGTTGTGCGTAGAAAATCGTAGCAATGTATCCGAGATTAACCATGTAAGTGACAAGTCAGTATGGTTAAGTCAACAATGATTACAAGAGAAGGGAATCGATTCACGAAAAAAAACTAACTTTCTAGTCACCAACCATCTATATTATCATGGCAATAGTTGAATGGTCAGCTATTACGACAACTGAATGTCTTGAGGTTTACTCCCAACGATATAATGTGTGTGTGCTTAGCTGTGTATTATATGCTGACTTCCATGGCTTTGCTCACTACTGGCTGCAAATGTAAACTATAACTAGTGCAACCAATGCTAAATTTTCGTTGATATCAAACCGTTGAAAGCTTCCTTATACTTAAGGTCGCCATTCCATATATTTAGCGAGTGTGACGTTCAATGTAAAGTCAATTCAAGCTAAAACCGAATGCTATTAAAACCCCATTTACGACTTGTACAGTTACACGGGTCTTGAGTTGTTGAAACTTTTCGAATTTTTTTTTTTGCATCATATTACTACAAAACTAAGCTCACAATTGTTAAAAAAAGTGAATCAGATTTAGCACTACTTGACTCATGATCGAGCAAGCAGTAGTGTACAGAATTCATTTGATGCCGTCCGGCTACACCACTGATCATACAACATGCTTTTTCCCCATAGCTCCCAAAGTGCAATCGATTTGATTTTTTGTCGTTATTAGTTTCTATTTTTGGAAAGCTTCTATGAAGTATCATAATTCGCCTAAAAAAGCTTATGCCGATTTTGTGTAAAAGTGAAATAGCAATCATAGTCAACAAAATGTATCCGAAGATCATCCATCGGAGTAGAACTTAGATGTAGTAGCAGCCTAATATACATCCAATATGCCATCACGGAGAGCATTATCATCGCTTTCAAGGTTAAGGATTTACCATTCAATGGGAAGAGAAGAAGTATTCAAAAACCGTAAGCTAATACTGAACAAAACTCGTAGAGAAACATCCAAACTCATGCAAATGGATGATATGAGAGCCTCGGCAATTTTTAAAAGGAAGCGGTGATTCTAGGCGGGGATGAGGGTGGGGGACATAGTTACACAATGTAAAATATAGAATCCTTCGTTGTAATTTAACCGCAATTGTATCGTATAATTATCGTAACTTTTCGAATTAAACGAATCCTCGAACAAAAAAAATTTGGTCCATGAGATCTTTTAAGTCCATCAAATCAAAGGTGGAGGGAGATGGGGTGGTTGAGAAATGAAAAGCCTATTAGAATTTAGTGATGGGAACCACTCATGGTGGTATTTGTAAACCATTTATGTAGCATCACTACCATGACGATCAATTGGGTTAGCTCTGCTGCAACAAAACAGTAAGCATGTACTCTGATCATCTGATGGGTCTAATGTATATACCCACTTGGGTTTTGACTAAGTGTGTGAGCAATTGTGTCAAAAGGGGTAGTGTGTGTTGTAGTAAAATAGCAATCATAAAATATTTGTATGAAGAATTGTGGCTTTTTTGTGTTAAACCCCCCACCCACCACTAGTCAACAAAAAGTATAAATAGACCATCAATTTCTCTTTACTGAACTTTATTCAAAACTCAATTCCTTTCAGTTTATATACCGAAATTATCAACCAACCAAATCAATTTATCAATCATGTCCGACGCAGGTAGAAAGAACTTTTCAGACAAACTCAGTGAATCATTAACTCCAGAAAGTGAGAAATCCACTTTGGAAAAGGGAAAGGAAGCTGTCACCGATAAAGTTGACGACTTTGCTGGCAAAACTGTTCCAGACAACCAAAAATCATTTGGTCAAACTGTTGCTGATGATGCAAAGAAGGGATCTGATGATGCTAAGGCTGCCGTAGAAAAGGAAAAGGCTGCTGCTGACCAACAAGGTCAATCATTGGCTGAAACTGCTCAAGAATATGTTGAAGAGGCTAAGAAGCAAATTTCAAATGCTGCTGAATACGTTTCAGGTGTTGTTTCAGGTGCCACTGAAGGAGCCAAGACTGGTGGTGAAAGCACTAAGAAATAAACTTAACCATTTTTGTCCAATTAGAGAAGGCTAGAGAGCTGTGATTTTATACAAATTATATAGATTTATAATGGTCCAACTGGGTCCAACCCTTTCTTTTGAGGTTGTAATCTAACAATGTTGTCGTATAGTGGAACGATTGATCCTTTTCCAGCACCAGAACCCACAGAACAGTTATAATAAATATATACCTTGTGCGAGATGAAACAACAAATGCATTCACTTCATTTAGGCCCAGTGTCTTCAATATGGCTTGTAGTGTAATTGTCATCTGTTAATTAACAGTATACTCTGATTTAACCTAAGTTGTTCATGGCTCTACTCTATATTTCTGTGGAGAATGGGACAATTTCTTCACTATTTGTATAGTCTTCACTTACCATCAGTTCCTTGCAACATGTCAGTTTTGTACCGGAATCTTCCTTCTGTGTACATTCCCTCATTTGGCTCGGAATAACTATAGTTCCACCTTAGTGGTATTTTAATCAATCTTGTCGGTTCTTTGCATTTTATGACAAGCCCAATAGCTCCACTCAGTGTTGGTGTCGTGAGAAAAACCAAGAATGCGACATTCAGCATACAGTGGTTTGGCTTTTGCGTTTCCAATCATGTGTAATGTCGAAGGAAAATATGTCGTGAAATCTAAAAACATGTCAAGATGAATCAGAATAAAAACTCCATCTCAAGATCCTAAAGTAATCTACAACAACCATCAACAACAAACTTAGACATGAGTAGTGACAGGGATTCTCAGTCAGACTTTTTTTCTGATGAAGAGTCTGATGAGGAGCATAAAGTATATTTGAAATCCAAGGGGAAAAATTTGTATATGTACGCAACAAGTACTGAAGAACAAGACTCAAACTTTGAAGATGAGGATGATGATGAGGAGGAGGAAGCTGAAAAGGGTTTCAACAACAATGCGGGGGGCAATGACAACGGCAACAAAGATGAAACTAATAGGGAAAAGAATACGCTGAACACACAGCTGGACGAGATACAGCATGATCAAGAAGATGACAACAACAACAATAAAGTTACCACCACCACAATCAATAAGAAGCTAAAAAAACTCACTCCCAAAGAATTAGAAAAAGAGCAAAAACGAATCAAAAAGACTGGCGTTTGTTATCTATCGAAAATCCCACCCTACATGAAACCTTCCAAATTACGATCAGTTTTATCGCGATTTGGTTCCATTGACCGTATTTTTCTCAAACCAGAAGATGCTTCAATATACCATAAACGAGTCAAATATGGAGGCAACAAAAAGAAAAGATTTACTGAAGGGTGGGTGGAATTCGTGAACAAGAAGGATGCTAAATTGTGTGCTCAAACTTTGAATGGAAATAAATTGGGTGGTAAAAAGACTTCATATTATTATGATGATATCATAAATATCAAATACTTGAAAAGTTTCAAATGGATGGATTTGACACAACAAATTGCCAAGGAGAATGAAATTAGACAAGCTAAATTGGCATTGGATTTATCACAACAACAGAAATTCAACAAGGCATTTGTCCATAACGTTGAACAACAGAAGATGATTCAAGGTATCAAGAGAAAGAGGGACGCAAAGGACAATGGAAAGGAATATGACGAAAGTGGAGAAGCATCTATCACTGCTAGTTCTTCTGCCAAAGCTTCTAACGAAGATAAATTGAGGAGACAGTTCAAACAACGGAAAGTGACAAGTACAAGAAGTGATGCTTCAAATGAGCTAAAACAAAAGTCAACGCCCAATGATAAATTGAGCAATGTTTTATCAAAAGTTCTTTAATGATATAGCGTTACATATAGCACATACTACTCTTCACAATATGAAAATCCACCAATGTAGCGTCGTTTAGTACCCACCAATTCACTTTGTCTTGTAATGTTTCAAAAAATCATACCGTCTTTCTAAATCAATCTTGCTAAGACATCCCAACTCCTTCATCAATAGCTTACTGTTTATAGCATCGTTGCGTGATATAACTTTCAGATTCACCACCTTCATCAATTTCAGCCATTGTTTTGCTGTCCACAAAGTTGATGCACCGTTAGCATGACTAACTTCTGCTTCGTACAATTTGTGCTCTCGGTTTACGTTTGAAACACGCAGTATGTTTGGTTTAGAAACTGGTGTTGAATTTCCAAGTGTGACTTCATCAAGTAATGATATCAGCTTGGTGTCATTGTTTGGGGTCTTATCATGATGTGTCATGGGGACAAAATGAAGCTCATCTTCATGCAGTGTAACTTTATCATCTAGTCCACGTGAGTTCCTTCTGGAAATATGGACAAAGTCTGGTTCCTCAACTTCATAGTTGTACATTGGTTGTGTGTTTTCTTTATTAGCATGACGGATTTGTGGCTTCACCGGCAGAGGATTCAACTCATCAAAAGCATTTTTACCTTGGTCAGTCGGGGTTTTCTTCTTCAATGACTCCAATGTTGTATTCACCCTATCCAAGATTGATTGCTTGACATCATCATTGTCAATGTAAATATTCAGTATCGGTGTTTCTGAAACTTGCTCCTTTCTCTTCGTCTTCGTTGCCTCCTTTCTTCCTGTATTCGGCTTGGTTACTTTGAAAGCGACAGGCGAGTAATCTATAGGACTAAAATCCACTGTGGTAGGCTTGCTCCTTGTTCTTGGGGTTGGACTATCATTTTTGCGTTGCTTATCATGTTTACCATCATCTAGTGTGACCGATTTATCAAATTTCAAACTCGGAGGTGATTTTATTGTCAGTCCATCATGAAGATTGTCAATGGTACAATCCAATGCATCGTCTCCACTTTTGCCATTGTTTTCGTGACTTTTAGGATAACCCGACCCGTCTACTTTGTTTGATGTTGATTGAACATCGACCTGAACAGCGCGGAATGATCGATATATTCCATTTGTATATTGTTGACTTCGTTTGATATCCAGTGGGTTCAACCCCCTCACAGGGGTCTCCAATTCTGTATCATCAAACTCCTCTTCTTCTATCGGTCGCGAGTAACTGTATCTGTGGGAACTCATGACTCCAAATTTAAAAGTTGTGCTATACAATAAATCAATCAAATATTTGACTTCTGTTTTTCCCCTTTTCATTTTCAAAAGTTTACGCGCATTTCAAAACCTACACAATTATATTGTACTACACAATGCAGTAAATATTATATAATGCTTGATGTTGAAAGTTGATTTTGCAATTGCGCTTGACGGAAACAGTCCCTATTTTGTAGACTTGAACTCCGGCTATTGCAAGTTAGCAACGGTCAACTTTGTTTGTAGCTCGTAATTTGGTAATGTAAATAGAGAATTTGTGTGAAGGTTGTTAAAGGTGAGACCAACTACTATACACTCTCAAATGAAATTGAGGAAGTGATATCAAACATTTACTGTTGATAAAGAAATTGGTATTCCATCAATCTTTCTCATTCTCTTCTGGTTGATATCTATGATCCTTTTCTTATTCACCTTATCATCAAAATCGACTTCTTACTAAAGCTGTCTAATTCTTCATAGTTCTTTTCATTTGACAATACTGAGTATTCTTGAAGATCTTCATGATTGTTACAAAGAGAAGTCAAAAGAGGGATATTCTCGTGACTGTGAATTGAATTCAGCTACTGTCATTGGTGTTTTACAGTCGAGATCTTGGAATACATAAACCTTTCAATATCAAAACTCTTTACCACACTAAATCACTTTATTCCATTGTTGATGCTAGTATATGATACAATGGATTTACCTGATATGTTGTAAAGAATCTGTGTGATTGTAAACTTCACGATTATTTGTTGTACGTTTTTGAGTAACGAAATTTCCATCAAATGACAAAGCACAAAAATTATGTACGGAAGTATCACCCGTATTATAGTGAATCCGTCAATATTCAATTACACTCTCTCAACACCATTCTTTCTTTTACGTGAATTCTCTCTGTGGATTAAAATGGAATGGACTGAAGAAAAAGTTGGTATATTGGTTCTCTGATTATTTCTTGTGAATGGAACAGATCACTCACTAGTATATCACAAATATTTTCTTTTAAAAATCAACGTTGGTGTATCTGAACAATGGCCCCCGCTACCCTTTACATGGATTGTTTCAACTTGTAGTCAGTGACACATAACTCACATTTGGTGGTTGTCACATTTGGTGGTTGTCACATTTGGTGGTTGTCACATTTGGTGGTTGTCACATTTGGTGGTCGTCTTCCAATCTTGGTTGCAAAAAAAAAAAACGAAACAAAAAAGGGGAGAATAATCTTTATAGTAAAGTTTATTCCAACGATTTTTGTTATGCACATACATTCTATAAGCAACCAAACAGTAATCCAGTGATCAAAGTCCTTACCTTATCTGGAAATAGTCTGAAATAAAGTCTGATCAACTAGTTCAAAGCTTTATCAATCCTAGCTTCAACTTTGTGTGTAAATTCCTCTCTGATAATCGGTGATCTGAATCATTGTATCATTGATGAGATACATTGCTGCGAATAGATCCCAGTAGACCAATGAGCTCAACCTCAACATCTCTAAATAACTAAATAGCAACAACATAGTCATTTAGCTGGTCAAAACATATCAAAAAATATGGCCCTTTTTTTTGATATTCCCAAACTTCACCAAATTGTATGTACAAAACCACTAAAATATTTCCTACAAAAACCCCCTCAATTTCCTGTTTTCCCCCTTTCCCCTTTCCCCTTATCTCTCTATCCTCACTAAAATGCTTTCAAACTACACCGCCGCGAAGCGTAAACTGAAACCAACGCCTAATGTCACTGCCTTTTCACAATTCAAGAACTTGGCTGAAGCGAATCACTCTGATGCTTCAAGAATTGTCGAGAGGTCCAATCCCGGCCAGTGTTTAAACTTAACTACTCCTGTTCCCCTTCCGCCGCATGTTATGAACGTTATCAAGGAAAGTACCCCTACTAAACTGAACTTCACCACAGTTGAATCCACCATAAACAATTCCGAAATTGAAAACACTGCATCAACCACCACTGAGAAAGCAGAATATTCAAGAAAGGAAACCACCACCAAAAAAGCAGCTGCAGATAATAATTCAATTACTGGAACCACCACAAAATCTAAACAGTTGCAAATGAAGCGTGTCAAAGATTGGCGTATACGCAACAGACATATCCGCATGCAAGCATTGGTCAGAGCAGATCAGAATCCTGGAAACAAACTTTGTGAATTAGAGGAAGAAGATAACAAACCTACAGAGTTGCGAGTGAAGCGTGTCAAAGATTGGCGTATACGCAACAGACAGATCCGCATGCAAGCATTGGTCAGAGCAGATCTGAATCCTGGAAACAAACTTTGTGAACTAGAGGAAGAAGATCGCAATCTGACAAAGTTGAATATTGGAAATGTCCACTTGTCCTCCAAACTGCTGGATCTGGGTAAAACAGTCGTTGATGGAACTGGATTGCACAGTAGAGTTCCAGAATCGAATGCTGATGTTGTTAATGAAATTGGTAATGCTGCTGACATTGCATCACCTGGAAAAAATTTGGACACCAACAAAAAATCTGTGCTTGATAATGATGAAGGTACTGGTAATAGTGCACATACCACGGATACTTTAAATGATGCTGATGGAGAAGGTGTCCCCGGTTCTAATGATGCGATTGTTGGAGATGCTACTGAAAATCTGGAAATCACCAATGAAAATTCCGTTGAGAGAATAGTTACCAATGTCAATCCCCTTGTAACTACTGAAGAAGGATCTCCCTTGAAGAATGCAGTGAAACCCAAGTGGAAAAGAATTTTGGGCAACACATTCAGGAAGAGTCCGGGAAAGGGCAATAGATCACAGCTTGAAGGTTCTCAACAAGTTTGTACTACAGTTGCAGTTGAAGCAATCAATGATAAAGTGCAGTCGAATGGCCATATGAAGAGTACTACAGCTCAAAAATGGTCAAAATTTGGAAATGCATTGAGAAGCCCATTTTTGAAGAAAGCAGTCATTAAGGACTCCAAAGATTTGACTGAACTTGGAAATACCCAGGTGACTTCCACACTGCAAGTGAACAAAAAGTTTAGAAATTTGTTCAGAAGAAAAGTGAAGGCGCCCAAGCCTGCTCCCCATGACGATGCTTCAAGTGATGCTGATGTTGACTGTGAAAGCAGCCAAGAAGAAGTGCATGAACTGGAATCTGTTAACGGCGCTCAAATGGCCAATGAAAATGAAACTGAAAACGAACTTGTGGTTGAGCAACCACTGGTTAGATTGAATGGTTCGGAAGAGTACGCTACTGATACTGCTGCTGTTGATGAACCCGATTTAAGCTCATACTTTGAAGAGCATGAACCAGAAGATAGACGCCCTTCGGGCTTTAATGGTCTTTGTGACTTGAAAAGGACGTTCTTCTATTATTGGGAGCCAGAAATGCAAGAGCTTTTCGAGAAACACTTGAAAGAGGAATACATGAGCAAGAGTCGCGAAAAGAAGAAGTGTTCTAAAATGTCATTTTTCAAGAGTAAGGCGTCTAGTGTGACTGAATTGGAAACAACTGCTGATAACTCTGTGATTGAAAATGCTTCTTCATCTGGCGCACAGGCAGAAAGAAGGGCCGCTGATTTAGCCCCATTGAACTCTGATGCTGGTCCATATGCTGTTAATGAAAATTCTCCAATGCATGCGATTGATTACGGTTATGAAGAAATCCCAACGGTGACAAGTATTGATTCAGAACCTAGCATTGATGAACCCATTGTGGCCACTGAAGACAACAATGAAGTTGGTGAAGACGTTCCTAGAGCTACAAGTTGGGAATCAATTAGATTGAGCCGATTGTCTGATCAAGCAGCTGGTATTGCCGGCTGCCATCGAATGGAAACTAAGACACAGAGATTTAAACAGAAAATTCAAGCTTTGGGAAAACTGTTTGCATATGCATTCCATTTCAAGTCAAGATCAAGCATCGTTGAAAACGCCGATGACAATGACAGAGACGTTGGCAGAGGAACCGTGTCGCCTGAACAGAATGAGAATGCAGCATTGGAGCAACCTTGCATTAAAAAGAAGAAAAAGGTTTCCAGAATTGTGAATTGGAAACAAAAGATCCAACATCGTTTGAAGAAATTGACCAAGATCGGAGCAGCTGCCGGTTATGAAATTGATACATCTGTTGACTGGGAAACTTATATTGCCACTTTTAGAGCGGATCGGGCAACTTATATTGCTGCTCTTAGAGATTTTTGTCAGCGACAATAGTAAAGGCTCAAAGCCCTTACTGGTTGTGTTGGTATATACACTGTTTATTGAATCGTGGCCAAGGATAGTTGAAAACCGGCACGATAGAGAAGGACCAATAATACTGCGGTTGACGGTAGCTTCGTTGAAGTTGCTGGCAGAGGTAAGCCCCGGAGATGAAAAGAGATCTTGCGGGCACCGTGGTCCGAGACAGTGTTTGTTGATATGCAAGACAAAATAACATTAAACTTGAAATTTAAGGATGGGTTAGACAACTAGGGGATACGGAATGTTAACTGATGTTGCTGATAAAAAGGGATAGATATTGGAAGAGAATTGACGCTAAATATTGTTATCCCTGCAACTCAAAATGGTATCTCCAACACCCATCCAATGAATTGTTCAAATGTGTTTCAAGTTTCATCTGGATAGTGCACCCTATGAGAGAGAGACCCCCTTGGACCTTCATACACACAAGCCAAGAGCCATTAAAGAAGGAGGATATCAACCGAGATTTGAGCGGGATCATTGAGGATAAGATGTGTTGATATTCAAATGAATTGCCCATATTTTCGAGTCTGGTTTGTCAATATTTTTGACAAACAAGAAGCAATAAACCCATGTTACTGAAACTCGGTGGATGTGATATGGTTGCTTCTTCAGACTTGATCATGGTGGCGTTTTGATCCAATTTTTCCCTCATCTAATCCTCAAGTCTCCTCATTTTGCGGTCAATGATTGATCCCATAATCGAAAATGGAAGATGGTGATTGCAGGTAATGTTATAAGTTATGAAAAACAGCGTTCAAAAGAATATAAAAATTAAAGGAAAGATTCAATTAAATTAAAAAATGCAAAAATGCAAAAAAGCTGTCTATATATAAAGCAATCATTCTTGGTTATGTGTTTCGTTGGAGTGTCATTGAGTTGATCTACTTAGTTTGTGCATGTGAAAGAAAGATGAATGTTTTTTGTTTACCCATTAGTTTTACCCCAGAACGGACTTAATTGACTTGCTTATTTGCTTATTTGCTTCATGGTGGTAATTACAAGAATTGCAAAAGTGGTTTGTGGTTTGTGGTGGACCACTGACCCTTAATTTTGTTTTCTGTTGACGTCAGCTGCTTTTGGTATTAAGTGGTTGTGGTGGGCTGCTGATATCAGATATTGCTGCTGTATATAGTTTTTTTTATTGACGTTAAAGCTCAATCTTTCTCTCACTATATCTCTAATGAGCGATTTCCACTTTGATTCTGATTGGACATCACTGGAGATTCCTTCACACAAGTTGCGACAAACAAGACAACAGTACAATGTGAGATCCTTTAGCAAATAGTTTCTTTTCAATGGCAGGTTTTCCGTGGCATTACCTATCGTTTAGTAGAAAGCCACATCCTCTTGCCCCTTGGTGTATTATACAACAAACTTCCTGTAATGCCCAAAGCCAATCGATCTAATGACATCACCCAATGATTCCCAAAGTCAACAATGTATAACCCCAACAAAGCTAAAAAGCCATTTGCCATTCTTCTCGTTGATATCAATTTCTTACCAAGAGTCTATGTACTCGGTATTGACTTGGGCTGAAAAGTTTTGTAAATCGTAATCTTTCCATCGGTTGATACATTCCAATTTTTCTTCACGCTGCAGGGTTCAACACATCAAAACACAACTCAACTGACCCGCACCTTGGCTGGCCACTTTTTTGCAATCAATGCCAACATGGACGCCTATTTGGATATGACGCCAGAGCTTATCAAGTACTAACTAAGGCACGGCTTGTTGTCAACACATGTAGCGGCCATCTTATCAGCATAACGTATTAGCAACAAGTGAAGTCTTTTCAATGCTGAAAAGCAATATGTTAAAGCAATGCACTAACACCTATGAAAATTATAACTGAAGTGATGACATTGATTGTCAATTGCTGTTTCTCAACCGTCAATAACATAAATTGTTGATGTAATTCCTATATCGAAACAACCCTATTTTCATGAGCAGCTACAAGATTCATCTCTGAGGGCAATGACAATTTGTAATAGAACTATGCCATCTCCCAACGACGGGAAAAATTGACCAAAGTTATCACCACTGGGCTCGCTAAGCTTGTCAACAAGTGAGCCTCTTCATGATTGATGGTTTGTTTGAGCAACATTGTTGTCTATAGCCACCCCAATTGGTTGCAAAACATACCCCTCGACTTTTTCCAACCTGATGAATAACTAGCATCATGTCATCGTTTTAAATTTGGTGTGATATGTACCAATTGAAACAGCATTCTTCAAATAAGTTTAAGTAACGAATGAAGTAAGATTGGCTCAACACTCAAGTGTGTAAGTGACAACCTAGAAGTCTAATGAATGGAACATGTGCTACAAATAATAGCATGCCCAAACATGGCCACAAGCAATTTGATTCATCAATCGGGATTGACTTTCATAGCAAGTAGCTCGATGCACTTTAGCAAAGGAGGGGTGTCGGTTTAATAGCAACTTGCAGGGAAAGGAAGCAACCCATGGTGTCTTTTGTTATTTCCACACTATGTTTGAAGTGTCTCTATAAAATAAATAACATGACAATCAATTTGTTACCAAGTACACGACCTTTGTTAAGTCGTCATCTATTATGCACATCACTCTTTAATTACAGACTCTTATAATACAATTCATCTTTCTACTTATTAGTTTCATACTTGCTTATGTATCTATTTCTATCAGGGCCCGCTTACAGTTTACTATTGCTACTTGTCCAAAGTAGCTTTTATTGAATATTACAAAGTTTCAATAGTGCACTTATACCAACTAAATATCTAGGGTACTTCAATGCCATCGAAAATAAAGAGACAACCCAGACATCATTCAATTGACAGTTAACGATTCAAAATACTGATACCTACCAAATTGAAGAGATGTCAAAATTATCAAGAAACCCAAAAAAAACGAGGCAAAGCTCCACTTCTAAAGGAAGGACGCGAAAACGCGTCATCATTGATAGAACAACATTGCCAGATTTGCGTCCATCTTTAAGTACCCAAATGACAATCTTATTCATTGGAGACAATCCAGGAGTTCAATCATCTATTCAACAACATCACTATGCTCACCACTCAAATTTATTTTGGAAATTGTTTAATCGGTCAGGAATCTTGGAAAGAGTCGTTGCTGAAAGAATAAAGAGTGGGATCGCCAATAGCCAGTTATCGGATGACAAGTTACTTTGTGATCTTATCACGCAAGGGTGCTCAGCAAAGGACGACTTTGATTTGATAACGTATGGTATTGGATTCACGGGTCTATCACCACGATGCACGACCACAGCATCTCAATTGACAAGCAAGGAGAAATTGGCTGGTATTCCACGTCTTTTAAAAGATATTGAATTCAGCAAGCCCAAACATGCAGCTGTTATAGGAAAGGCAATTTGGGAAACGATTGTCAAGTACTATTGTTTGAAATTGGGGATGAAGTTTATTAAATTGAGCAAGGATAATTTTAAATGGGGTAAAGTTGAAGTTGGATCCGATGAACGATACAACTCCATCATTGAGTTATTGTATTCACAATTGCCTAGTGGGACTGCCATTTATGTGTTTCCAAACACGTCTGGATTGGTTGCTAGTTTGTCATTTCAAGAAAAATTGCAACTTTGGCAAAATTTGGCTGGAAATATATGACATTAACAACACTTTTCCAGCAGAGTTCGCAACTACATCGACAGGGCAAAATTAGGTCCTGAGAATAGGCACTTGTTTGCATTTTTATTGGTTCAAAAGTGATGGTTGGGGTTGCAATGTAAGTGGACATATTTTGAACTTGTCATAACTAGACACAATAAAAGTGATTAAATTTCACACTACAAAGTTTAAATATACGCATAGCATAGCATTAGAGCATGTCCCTTTACTAATCACACTATGTACCCCATGGTATACTCTACGACTATAGTATTGAAAAAAAAAAAAATCTATAAAACAGCTAGCTACAAACAAACACCACAGGACATTCTATGCTCCTACCAAGAGTCCAACTTCATGGTTCCGTTATCTTGGAAATTCAAATGCATCTTAAACACATCTCTCAATGAATGTGGTTCATGTAGAGTCTTTCTCTTTGTACATTCATAAATGGCTCTATCAAGATAATCCAGCAATTGATCTTTGTAATCAGGATGAGCACATTTTTGAATAATAACTCTAGCTCTTTCCTTTGGTGATAATCCACGTAAATCAGCCAAACCTTGTTCAGTGACAATAACGTCTAAATCATGTTCAGTTTGATCAACGTGGGGTGCCATAGGGACAATACATGAAACACCAGTGGGGTCAATTTTAGAAGGTCTGGCTGATGGAGTGTGCATGATTGATAATTTGGCATTTCTCAAGAAATCACCTGAACCACCCAATCCATTCAACATTCTTGATCCCATAACGTTTGTAGAGTTTGCATGGCCATAAATGTCAACTTCAACTGGTGTATTCATAGCGATAACTCCCAATCTTCTAATGATTTCGGGTGAATTTGATACTGCTTGTGATCTAAGACACAATTTTTTGGAATAAGTATCCCAATGAGAGTAGAATTTCTCAAACCCTTCTTCAGTTAATCTGATTGAAGTGGCAGTGGCATAATCTAACGAGCCACTTTCAAAGAAATCGAGGAATGAATCTTGCAACACTTCAGTCCACACCGTCAAGTTTTTGAAATTCGATGAAGCCAAACCTTCAACAACTGCGTTGGCAATGTTTCCAATACCTGATTGCAAAGGGTGCAAATTCTCTGGTAATCTACCTTGTTTAACCTCGTGTTCCAAAAATTCAACCAAATGATTAGCAATGGCTTTTGATTGTTCATCACTGGCGGTGTTTGGTGGGACCTTATCACCAGAAGTACTTTCAACAATGGCAACCACTTTGCTAGGATCAACTGGAATGGAAGTTTGACCAATCTTGTAATCAGCCGATGTGTGAGGGTATGGTTGTCTAAAAGGTGGATTAACTGGCATGTCTATATCATGAATACCTTCAAAAGATGGTGTTTTGGTATTGACTTCAATAATAACTTTATCAGAAACAGAAATCATTTCTGGTGAAGCACCAACAGCAGGACCTGGAACTATGGAACCATCCTCTTTGATAGCAGTGGCCTCAATAATAGTGATGTCCAAATTAGAGCCATTTGGTTTATCTTTGGTATAAAACCCATAAGTTAAATCTTGAGGAAACATCGACAAGTGCTTGTCAAAGAATTGAGTTCTACCATCATTAATGGCAGCGGCAATCGGTTTACCAACTTGATGAGGAGATCTACTTAAAAGCATATTGTTATTTGCCCATCTACTCTCTTCAGGACCAGCACTAGCACCAACAAATAAATGGAAACCCAATTTGTCTTGTAATTTGTTGTTTTCAACGTGGTCTGCCAATACAGTTGGGATAACTTTTGGTGCACCAACACCAGTGAAACCAGACCAACCAAGGTATTGACCATTTTGGAACAATTCAATACATTCTTGACCAGTTCTCAACTTTTTCAAGTAAGGAGCATACCTGACTCTTTGTTTTAATATGGATGACATTTGCCTTCGTGTGTGTATCTTGTGTGTGTGTGTGTGTGTGTGTGTGTGTGTGAATTTGGTTGTAAAAAAATTGAATCACAGTAAGTTAATATATGCGATGTGATTGCAATGTATGACTTAGTGTATGCAGATGATATTTGTTTAGTCTAAAATGAGTCTATTTCTGTGGTATAGGGACTCAATTGGGTGACAGTTGCTCAGTTATATATATATATATGTGACGATATATGAGATGATATGTCCTCGGTTGATTGTGTGTCCTATTTTTTGTTGTGTTGTTGTATTCTTTATTCTCTTTCAAATTGAGGAGTAAAAACTTTTTGGTTGCTCGTATACAACAAGAAATGCGTGTGTTGTGTTCTGTTGTGAAAAAATTGAGGGGAACGATAAACAACAAACAACCCAAAAAAAATTTGAATATGAAAAATAAACAAGACTTTAAAATTTATTCCTTAAAGCTGTATTAGCTCAGTAACAGTTGACCAATTGTAGTTGATACCTGTTGGGGGAGGTGGATTTGAGATAAATACTTTTGAAAAGTTGGGAGTTGGGTTGTAGTTCAAAGAAAGGAGGGGGAAATTTGTGTTGTATTTATATGGTTTCTTATATACATTAAACACCTTTTGAATAAAAGGGCGTGTATCGGATACCAAGAACACAACTTTAACTTTACAACCGGAAAAAAAAAAAAAAAAAAAAAAAAAGAGAAAGAAAGAAAAATAAATTAAAATATAATTTTGTTGTGTTTGTTATTGCTGTTGTGTTGCAAAAAAAATGTCTTTACCCAACACAACACAACAGAGTTGTTATTGTGGTTATTATGATTGGATTACTTCTACTACTTCTACTACTACTACTACTACACCATATGCTTTATACTAATGGCTATATAGATACTACCCACCTACTATAGTAAAATCTAACACAGCACAAATAGTTTTCAAACGTCTATCTCAATTATTTACAACCGATTTCTTCCCACTAACCCACACAAAACATGAAACTAGTACATACGTGATGCATGTGTATACACGCATTCCCCAGATTTATGTTACCCGTCATTACTAATGGGAAACTCCGGGGAAGAACGAGAACAAGAAAGATATGTGCAATTTCAGTTCTTTTTTTTTGCAGTATATTTGCAGTATACTTCTTCTAGACCTCTTGATTTAATTAGTGAGTAGATACTGCATATAAAGCTATTTAGTCTTTTCCGAGATTACACAAATACGTTTTGGAAGGAACGGTAATTACACAAACTAGGGACACCTTCAAATTGGGTACAAAGTACACTACTTCCTCGATGTAAACGAAGTATTAACCCTTTCTTTAAATCAGACATATTGAAAGAACAATAGACAATGTGGTGTTGTAAACTTCTCGGAACTTACATAGCTGCCAAAGGTATATATCTATATGTTGTACTTTACAGTTTTTATTATCTATCAACTTTAATTTTATTGCTCCCCCTCATATTTATTCGCCAGGTAGCAGCAAAGCCAACAAAAATATTTACTCAATACCCCCCTCCTATTGCCCCTCCTCTTATCTACTCAAATCTCCCACAAAACCAGTGCATAGATTCGACCTAATGAATTAACTATTCTTAGAAGAAGGAGAAGACACCTTCAACACAATTATTACAGCAGAATAGGGGTATATAGTACAAAACAAACACCATCATATACACACATATAAAAGACAATAACATCATGTGTATGCGAAAGCACCACCGCTGGTTGCCGCCTTATCGCTCTACACTAAGCTCAGTATTTGTCAATGGTACGTTTTTTCTCTTTTGTTCCTTGTTTGCACACAACCATTAGGAGTGTAAACAATGGGAAAGAGATGTACTCTGTATATGGTTTTAGTGTCACCAAAACCAATTCGGTATACCCCGGAAATAAATGTAATAATATACAATAGACGCACAATTACGACATACCCTCAAACTCAATACAGAGTACAATGCGGTACAAAACAAAAAGCTCACGCAACTTGCTACGAATCAAAATACTTCTACAAAAACCAAAGTCTATCAAAGGACTCTATCATCATTCGATTGTCGATGTTGTTTAACAGGTGATTACTTTTTGTAACCAAGTACATACAAAAATATTTGAGGATTTCAAAAACATGCTCTTGAGGCGTACATGCTGTATACATACATAGAAACCTTTTCGATTTCTTTCTTTACTTTCTGCTATTGTTTTAATCTCCACTGGAATGAGTTTATATTGCTATTGGGGACATTCGGAGTTTTCTTCATGTTCTCTTAATTAATGTAATATTTCTTAACTTTTTGAATTTCGGAGTTTTTTTTTTGTGGTTCTTCACTTCTTTGGTTCTTTATTAAACCAACGGCTTCAATTAAACTTAGAATCTCCCGAGTCTAAAAAAGAAAGCTAAGCGTTTAACTACTCTGAACGCCAAGAGATGGGCCATGTACCAACGGCTAATAAAACGTTAGAGACGTAACATTTTTCTTTAGCCTCGGTTGTTATTGAATTGATTCGGTTGAAGATGAAAAAAAAAAACACACCACTTTTGGTACATACTTTAACCGTTAAAATTAGTAGGTGCTCCGTATATCTTGTTAGTTAAACTTACTTACTACTACTACTCGCTAGTCTTCTAGACACATGCCAAGATAATACACATCAGAGTATTAAACTCATCTCGCTATTTAGTCAAAGCTAGGTTGTATTTTGGTCTTGGAGTTGAAAGAAACAATAGCACTCCCTCATAATCACAAAATTGTGTATATAGTGCTCCGTTACAAAAAGTAGCAAGTCATGAAAATAGAAAGTTTCGGAGTTTTAAGTGTTCGTCTATTGATAGTTCCCTTCCTTGTTGAAATTCACCCTTGCATCCTGCCCTTATAACAACATCCTTTCATCCATTCAAACCTTACAAATGCTTGATCTAAAAAAGACCAAGTATAATTTAGTTACAAAATGAAGAAATAACAACTACAAAAACTCCGAAACTCGATTGAAATTTCAGCTTCAGTCTTCTCCACGATACGATACAACCCCACACTAAGATACCAAACAATAACACGGAAATCTTTTCTTAGGTTTGTGAAATACCCAGCAGTCGAAACACACTGAGACTATGTGCAATAAATAACCCATTCATAAACGTGTATTGTTGAAAAGGGTAGTGTACACTTCCACCATTTTTTTGTTTTGTAACTCCCCGTGGATAATCGTAAAGTAACACAAAATTGAGGCATCTATTATATTTCTATGTATACCCACGGGAATTAAAATACTGACCAATAAGAACCACCACGTTATGCTTTTTCGCACCACTAAGGCACAAAAGAACATTATAAAAACCACCACGATTTATGAGGTTGTTGGGTATGTATAAACTCGCCTTTGAGTATCGAAACAATAAATGCACAAAGAGGAAAAATAAAGTCCGAAAGTGTTGGATGTATTTTGAAACTTTGAAGTGATTTATTTCTATAATCTGGGGGTATCTTTACAGACCGACAAATTACACAGAAGAAAGAGACTCCGACAGACACATACTTAGAGAGCCAACACTCAACTAAGGAACTCACAGTCTACAGTGTCTACTCAAAAATGTTTATTTTCTCACAGTCTCTACTTTTTCTACTACAAATCAACAAATTCATCATAAGTTGATCTCCAATTTTGGAAAAACCCAGTGAAAAATTTAGTCCCCAATCCAATATCCTTTGAGCCAACAGTAGCTCTGATTGAATGCATTGATAATTGAGGAATTCCCAAATCAATAGTTCTCACACCAGTGGCTGATGAAATTGCTGGTCCAATTGATCCACCACTTCTCGCATCATTTCTAATTTGGAAATATTGTAATTCATCTTTATTGCGATGAGCCAAAGCTTCCACAAATGCCAATCCAATTGAATCAGTAGCGAAATGGCCATTAGGGTCTAATGCTATAGCAACACCTTTATTGGGTACAGGTGAATGGTTTTCCAAGTAAACTTCTTTGAAATTGGGATTTAATAAATGATTAACATCAGCTGATAAAATGATGGAGTTGGCATATACTAATCTCAATTTATCTTGAGTGGCTACCTCATCAGGGTTGTAATGTTTACTAGCAACAACCCTTTCAACAACCAGCTCCAATAATCCACCTCTGGCACCAGCTCTAGTCAAACTACCAATCTCTTCATTGTCGTACAATGCAACAATGGTAAATGATGAGTTGTCATCTTTGAGCTCCTCCTTTGTAGCATCAATCAACCCATTCAAAGCAGCAAATGAACATACTCTATCATCAACTCTAGGAGCAAAAATAAACTCATTGTTTAACCCACCTTTAGTTCCCTTTTGAACGTCAAATAATTGCAAATCCCATTGACTAATTGATTCAACACCAACATTTGCCTTCTTAGCGATATACCTCAACAATTTCAACGGATGTTTTCCATACAAGGGAGCCCTCTTTTCAGCTTCAGTAGGTACAGGATCGTCTTCTTTTCCTTGAGAAAATCCAATCACTGGAACTGCTTTCGTTTCGGTATTGAATGGTCCAACAGCTGGGTCACCGAAATGTGGTGCTAATGTGGGAATGTGAGCAATTGGATGAGGTGTAGAATCAACCAAATGTTGTGAAACCTTACCCTTGGAGTCCTTCACCAATAATCTACCACCAATACCCAAATCTCTATCCCACCAAAGATTACCCAATGTCCCAGCATATGGAGCAATACCAAGCAACTCGTATCCATCAACATTGTCTTTCTTCGAAACTGGTTTCAAGATAGTAGTGAGTGAATCAATATGGGATCCAACGGCACCAAAGCCTTTAACCGGTTTCCAATTTTTACCAACAACAAATGCAACAAGAGAAGAGCCATTTCTAGTGGTGAAATATTTACCTGGTTTGATGTCACTCCACGATTCTGGTTCTGGTAAATACTCAAATCCAGCATCTTTCAATTGGTGCTTGAAGTGGTCAACAACATGATAGATTGTAGGGTTGTTGTAAGTAAAATCAATGTATTTCTCAGCCAACTTGTCAAAATATTTGTCATCATAGTTTGATACAACAGGTTGTTCAACTTTGTCAACTTTGTCAACTTTGTCAACTTTGTCAGCAGTGACGTTAGTCGTTACCGGAGTTGCACCCAATGTCTGCTCTTGGAGCTTGCTAATCAAAGCTGCAGTGATACCAGCAGCTATATCTTCAATTGTAGTGTTTGGCATTGGCTTAGTGACTAGTTGTAAAATGTGGTTTTCAAAAGAAAGTGAGTTGAGCATTTGGTGGGGTTTTTGATGCGGCACCAAAATATTTTGTTAGCTTTTCTCGCCAGCTAGCCAGCCAACCAGCCAAAACTGTGGCACACTCTCATCTACACAACGCATTTCCATTTACACGATTGCGTGAATTCATAAAACAATGAATTGGTAACACTGGATGAATTACAAACAGGACATTTGGCTGATTATATACCTATTTGTCTTGTACCACTTCTCATATTCCGACTGCCCTTATGACCCCACCACAGCCAACCAGACTTGACCATTAAAGGTAATTTCAACACTATATACAGTTAGAGCTGCAACCCTGTGCAACTTGAGTCCACAAGTCATGCAACGGGCACAGACACCCTGCATATATGAATTTTTGAAACTGTGTTAAGAATTGCGTTCACCAGAGTATTTGAATGTTTCGCGGAACAGGAAAAGCTTGATATTTCGGTCGCCATTAGGACCAGATCCAACAGAAGTGTATTGAAAGCAAATTATGACGGAGGCAAGCTATGTGTCCAACCTTGGTGTCGTCGGATATGGATCCCAATTTTCATTCACGACGGACATGTAGAAGGAAATGTTACCACTTTCCTGCTAGAAGATGTTTTCCCAATTGATGGATCTTTCATACTACTACAGAAAACAAGTGTTGATGAAAATTACAATCACTATCTATGACGGAGCTAAGTGTTAGGTCACAGAAATTGATTAACATCAAGTGCTTGACGATGGAATAAACAAAGCAAGCATGGGTACCCACACGGTCACATTTGGTTGAACCAGTATCGAATACATATGCAGAACTGTTGGATAAAAATTGGAATCCAATACAAAAAGTATCGATGAAGCCACTTCATTTGATTACCAATTATTAAACTTGACATCTTGCAGTGACTGTTTGGCATTGAACAAGCAGTCCGGCTTATGACTTTGAATGCTGAAGTATCGACAATGTCGCAGAGACAAACAAGTGATTTACAACTTGTATTTCGGCACATGGAGTCACTTCAATGGATCGTTGAATGATGATATACATCCTATTAATTGTGGGCATTGCAATAAGAGGATATTGCACACTATATCATGAGAATGAGGCTTTACTAAAGTGGACTCATGCGAGGGAAACTTACGGGAACTTGTTTGTTCCCCGAAGGCATTTACTGTGTTGTTAATAGCACTCGATTACAAGAGGCTACAAGAGATGCCGAATCAAAACCCCAATGGAAATCGCTCATTAGAAATAAAGAGAGAAAGAGATTGAGCTTTGACGTCAATAAACAACAAATGTACAGCAGCAAAATCCGATATCGGCAGTCCACCAATACCACCATTTAGCAAATCAGCAAACAGCAAACAGCAAATAGTAAATAGGGATTTTCAATGGGTTTTCAACGACAAAAAAACATTCATCTTTCTTTCTCATTCACAAACTAAGTAGATCAACCCAATGGCACTTCAATGAAAGCACACAACCAAGAATGATTGCTTTATATATAGACAGCTTTTTTGCATTTTTTCATTTTGCATTTTTTAATTTAATTGAATCTTTCCTCTAATTTTTATATTCTTCTGAACGCTGTTTTTCATAGCTTATAACATTACCTGCAATCATCATCTTCCATTTTCGATTATGGGATCAATCATTGACCGCAAAATGAGGGTACTTGAGGATTCGATGAGGGAAAAATTGGATCAAAACGCCACCATGATCAAGTCTGAAGAAGCAACCATATCACATCCACCGAGTTTCAGTAACATGGGTTTATTGCTTCTTGTTTGTCAAAAATATTGACAAACCAGACTCAAAAATATGGGCAATTCATTTGAATATCAACACATCTTATCCTCAATGGTCCCGCTCAAATCTTGGTTGATATCCTCCATCTTTAATGGCTCTTGGCTTGTGTGTATGAAGGTCCAAGGGGGTCTCTCTCCCATAGGGTGCACTATCCAGATGAAACTTGAAACACATTTGAACAATTCATTGGATGGGTGTTGGAGATACCATTTTGAGTTGCAGGGATAACAATCTTTAGCGTCAGTTCTCTTCCTATATCCATCCCTTTTTAGAGGGAAAGAAGGGAAGAGAGGAAAAAGAGTAAAATAAGGAGGTTTTTATAGGAAATACTTTGGCGGTTTTGTATATACAGTTTGGTGAAAGTTTGAGAATATCAAAAAAAAAAAAGGGCATAAAATTAGTAAAACTCGACCATTAAAATGACCAAACTATTGTTATTTAGTTATGTAGATATGTTTAGGTTTAGATCGTTGGTTAACTAGTACTGATTCGTTGCAGTGATACAATGTGAAAATACAACCATTCAGATCAACGTTTTTCCTTTATGAGAGGATCTTACACACATATTAGGTAAATTTGATAAACTTGGAATTCATTAACCATTCTACATTTCAGACAAACATCTAAGTAAAGTATATACTTAATCATTAGACTACTCCCTGGACTAATACTGAATGTTTATGCATAACAGAATTCGGTGAAATTCCCTACTATTCCCCCCTTTTTTTTTTTTGCAACCAAATTCAACAAGGAAAGCGAGGAACGTGATAAACCTACAAAAGAAAATCCCTAGATAATTTTACACTCAAAGCAAATATTACTAAAGCGTCTATTTATTCATCCTTGCCTTGAACTTGCTGACTCGTATTACGTTTCCCTCTTCATCGGTGCGTTCAAATCCTTGTTCTTCACGCTTTGCATTCTCTCGTGCAAGCATTCTTTCTCTTAATTTGTTGTAACTCTCACTCAACTCTTGATTGGTTATATCATTCTCATCGTGGAGGTTAGTGTCATCCTCGTCAAGTCCATGCTCTTCTATATCGTTTATCATTGCTTCATTCTCGTCATAATCATCAATATCGTGATTTTCGTCATAATCCATTCCAATTTCGTTCGACTTCTGGTCGTATACTTCTCCACCTCTAGCATTTTGGGAATTGGTACTTACAGAGTTACTCTTTTCTCTGCTCTTTGACTCAACAATTTTGTTTAGTGATTTAAAATCTTCCAAACTCTCAACTAGTGGACCATCAATGTCTATATCGTCATCATACATCCCCATCAAGTACGCTTTTGCCATAGTGTCCATATCTTGCATATTGCTGTAGTCCAAGTGAGTATCGTTTGCCACCATGCTTTCGTCGTAATGATCTGGTTTAGTGCCAACTTCATTTTGGTGCATCTCAGCGTTGCTGGTGATAGAAACACTTTGAGAATCATCCATCTGCATTGGGTTTTCTAACAATCCATCGTTATTGGCTTTCGAACTGTGCATTTCTATATCACTTGGTGGCGTGTTCTTCCGCAAAGCTTTAAATCTCGATACCGGCTTCTTTATTGTTTGTTGAGTATCAGAGTCAAAGGTTCTACTTGGTTTTGTACTGTTTGGCAGATCATTGATATCCTTCTCCATAATTGTATCCTCGACAACTTTATCACTTGAAGGTACATCAACATCTCTCTCCACAACAATATCTTCCACTATACTTTCCTTCTCCGATACTGCATCTTGAGCTGATCCACCATTGTTACGAGAAGTCCCGTTCACCCTATTCTGTTTGAATAATGAAGTCTTTATAAACGGTGGTGAGGTTTTCAAACTATCACTGATATTTTCAACATTTTTGATGTCCAAGTTTTCCGCAAATCTCACAGACTTTTGCTTCTTCTTAGCATCTATCGGTTTGGTTTCTACGACCTCCAGCTCTGAAGCATCTAATCCGTGCTTTTGACCACCTTTTATCAGTGTCTCCTTTCGCCTTAGTTCAGCAATCTGGTTCCAAAATAAATCACTCGACTTAGGGTCACCTGACTTGCCGCCAAGCCAAGTAGAGTTTGGTTTGGTGCCGTATAATAGGTCGTCGGCTCGATCGTCGTCATTTTCGTCATCATCATCACCATCATCATCACCATCATCATCAAGTTCGTAATCCCAGTCCTCATCATCAGCATACTCGCCACCCGCATCTTCTTCATTGTCAAATTCATCCGCTAGCAATTCCAACTCAAGTAAGTTGTCCGTGTCTATGCTGCTTTTCTCCATAGTGGTCTTGTTTGATGGAGTGGAATGCTCTTTCTTTGAAGATGAAGTTGTCTGTTTCTTGGTTTCGTCATCATTTTCATTATAATCTTCAAATGCTTGCACGCAAATCTTTTTCAAATTAAATTTCTCTTCTGGACTTATCTTTAAATCATCAATTTTGTCCAAAAGTTCATCTTGGTTGAGATGTTGCTTTAATTGTGTTTGACCAGGCATAAGTTCCATGTCTGCAAACAATTGCATAAGCTCATCGTCTTGACTATCACCATTTGTTTGTCCTGGCAGTATATCTCCCACTTTAGATGCCTTTTCGGATTTGCCTGATGATGATGGCGTTATTACTTTTGATGCCAGTTTAGTAACTGGACCCTCAACTTCAACGGGGACATTATTGATTCTTGAACTAATGAAATTACCGTCTTCGTCAACCTCTTCTTGAATATCCATAAACGGGAGCCCATCTTCATTCAATTTCTCTTTTTCATCTACATGATTAACCAGTTGCAATTGTTGTCCCAACTTGTTCAAATTGTCCTTGGTTGATTGTGCTTCTTTTATCTTTTGGTCAAATTGTTCCACTAGGCTCTTTAGCCTAATAGCTTTGTCATCATTGCTTTCGCTTCTACTTGTCTCCTCATTGCTTCTTTCATCTTTAACTTCTTCAATCTTGGGAGTTTTTTGTTTAAGGGCCACACTTAGCTCCCTACTGAGGTGTAACCTTTTTCTTTGCAAATTCAAAATAGTCAAATTGATTTGCTTAATTAGCTCATTAATCTCAGATTTCTCATCTTTTGGTGCAGTTCCTTTGGCGATAGTGGTGGACATCTTGTATCGTGAAAATGTACCTTATGCTTCGATGGGTGTTGGGTGGGAATGTGATATCTCATAGAAGGAACATCTATTTTTTCCATGTTAGTCTATATTGTACAGCGATGATACGTACACAAAATCAAAGCAGCAAGTGTATCATTAGAGATGGTTGCAACTATAGACACTATTGGGCTACTCCAAGATATATGTACAATACATTGCCTATCCAACTTATCTATTCATGACACCACTTCCTCCATGTTCCTCTTCCCAATCACGCAAAGCAGCTTCCCATTCCACATCTTCAATATCAACTGCTTGATTTTCATCATCATCGTCTTTATCAATATTCATGGCATCAGCTGCAGCTTTTCTTTCTTCTTCATCATACTTTTCCTTCTCATCTATCCATCTTTCATGTATATCAATGTCTTGAAGTCCGGCAGATCCTCCTTGTCTAACTGCTTCATTCCAAATTGTATCTCCTCCAACCTCACTACCAAAACTATAGCCATTAGCTTTATCTATAATGCTTAGTAGATTAATCATACTCTGCTTATCTTCAACAAACAACACTTCAAATGCCACCAAATGAAACTCCTCAACCAATTCACCAATTAATTCAGTGAGGCGTACATATTTCTTACCCAAGATTGAGTTTGACTCTTTTTCCAAATGAGGTGTCAAGTAATGCAAATCTTGTACTTCTGTATAGTAGTCCAATCTAAATGGCAATGGCCCATACCCTTTTAGCAAGTCAATCTTACTGATAACATTAACTTGAGGAAGTTCTAGTTGTAACATTGATCGTAGGCTTAGTAACAAAATGGAAATATACTGTGATGGGCTAGTTAAATATATGGAGTCAACCAACGATACAACACATAATCTAATCTTTGTTTCTTTAGTTAATGTGGTGAATATCTTGTGTAATGCACTATGATGAGTGAAGAGTTCAATTTGACCAGGACAATCAAATAATAGATAGCTTTTTTCATCAATGAGTTTCTTAACTTTAGCAAGAAATAAATCAATACCATTAGCAATCAACAGTTCCATAGCAAACATCAATCCACCATTGGGTCCCAAGTTTAGTTCATTCATGACATCTTCCAACTCTATGTAGTCTCTAATGTCTAAATCGCATGGGTAAGGAAGTCTATCATTAGCAGGATCCAAGTTAATGATGCTCAGTTTTCTTCCAATTGCAGACAAAAATTGATACATTCCATGACAATATGTGGATTTACCCGCACCTGGTGGACCAATAACAACTTGACCGTACATTGCTGATGCTGTGTATGCTGTGTATATTGTGTATGCTGTGTATATAGTGGTTTTCTTTCTCCGATGTTCTTTGTATATACAAACTGTAAACTATATTGTGTAATATAAAAAAGGTGAATTTTCAAAGGCAAAAAAAAAAGGTTCAATCAATCAATCAATCAATCAAATAAGTTTACCCACCACTCAACTACGCCCTTTACAATGTCAGTCGCTACATCAAGTACTAATGAATTGAATTTTCTCAAAAAAACTGTCACTGTTTCACCATTGGTTTTATTATCAGTTGTTGATCATTTCCATAGAGTATCCAAAGATAGTGGAAAGAGAGTTGTTGGAGTAATATTAGGGGACAATTCAACCGATACAATTAAGATAACAAACTCATATGCAATTCCATTTGAAGAAGACGAGAAAAACCCTGGTGTTTGGTTTTTGGACCACAATTATATTGATGCAATGGGGGAAATGTTTAAGAAAATCAATGCTAAGGAGAAATTGATTGGATGGTATCATTCAGGTCCCAAATTGAAAGCATCTGATTTGAAAATAAATGATGTGTTTAGGAAATATACTGCCAATCCTTTACTTTTAATTGTTGATGTTGATGCACAAGGAGTTGGAATCCCCACGGATGCTTATTTTGCTGTTGATGATATCAAAAATGATGGTTCAGCTGCTGAAAAGACATTTATCCATGTTCCATCTTTGATAGAAGCTGAAGAAGCCGAGGAAATTGGAGTAGAGCATTTATTGAGAGATATTAGAGACCAAGCTGCCGGAAACTTGTCATTAAGAGTAACACAAACGTATCAATCATTATTAGGATTGCATCAAAAATTGAGAGATATCGCCACATACTTGGAAAAAGTATACAATAAGAATTTGCCACTCAACCATACTATTTTGGGCAAACTTCAAAATGTGTTTAATTTACTACCCAATTTGGTACAACCAGCTGCAAGTTCACAAAGTGGTGAAGATGCGACAACAGCTTCAGGAAGTGAATTGGCAACTGCATTCACTGTAAAGACAAATGATGAACTTATGATTGTATATATTAGTACATTGGTTAGAGCTATCATTGCATTTCATGATTTGATTGAAAACAAATTGGAGAATAAGAAATTGAATGAGAAAAAGGCACTAGAAGCAGAGGAGTCATTGGTCGAGGATAAAAACTCAGTCACTGCGGAGTCATAAATAGGCTATACAGTAGTTTATACGTAGATTGTGGAAGTAATTGTTTAAATTGCCTGTAGATTTTGATTAAAGCGATAGATGCGAAGTGAATGAATGTGAGAACGAAAAAAAAAAAAAGTTTTTGTCTTGAACAATGCGTGTTTGTTGTTCTGTTTGTTGGTTTGATTATCAGACGTTTTTCTTTCAACAGTACCTCACGTGAAAGGACAATAAGTCTTAGAGGTTTTAGCCGGGTGCCTGAAAGTGTGTGAAAGTGTGCGTGTGTCTGTGTGTATGCGCTGATACAATATTATCATGAGTCACAAATTGCTTCCTATTTCAAGGTTGCACACTATCAACAACTTTAACTTCTTTTTCCATAATACCAAACGAAGTCTCATCAAGAGTCAAAACTTCCTCAGTAACCAATTCCTAACTAGACAAGTGAAACTACCTCATGTTGCAAATCAAAATAACACTACGCCACGTGTGAGGCTGCTACCCGACAGAGTACATATAAAGGATATCAAAGATTCTTCTGGGTCAACTACCGTGTTGAACGTGGCATCGAAAGTGCTTACTTGTCAAGAACCAGAAGCAAAACTGTCTCAAAGTTTAACCCAAGAGGAGAGTACCGGCACTGCAACGACTGCTACAACATCAACATCAACCTCAACATCTGGCATCCCATTCAAAGTTTCACCTAAAGCTCCAAGATCTACAAAAGTGGTGGAACCAGTATCTATTCTCGCATCCAAAACAGGATTACGAGACGAACTCAGAGCTTACGTTAAACTCACAAAACCAAACTTGACAGTATTGGTAACATTAAGTTGTATATGTTCGTATGCCATCTCACCCTTGAGTGTCTCGTTTCTTGAATTGATTTTCTTAACCACGGGAACTGCTTTATGTTCGGGTGCCGCCAATGCCATCAATATGGGGAGAGAACCTGATTTTGATAAACAAATGCCAAGAACCATGGGTAGACCAGTGGTTAGAGGATTAATCACTCCACAACAAGCTTATAATTTTGCTGCTTTGGTAGGAACCACGGGGGTAGTTATGCTTTGGTACGGTGTTAACCCCATTGTTGCCTCCCTAGGTTTCTTCAATATTGTATTGTATGCTTGGATATACACTTCAATGAAAAGGAAATCGATCCTCAATACCTGGGTAGGTGCAATTGTTGGTGCTATTCCACCATTGATGGGATGGGCCGCATCATCATCGTTATTACACCCAGGTGCATGGTGTTTAGCCGGATTGCTTTATGCATGGCAATTCCCTCATTTCAATGCGTTATCTCATGGCATTGCTCAACAATACAAGCAAGCAGGGTATGTAATGACAGCAGCTGAGAATCCCAAATTAAACGCAAGGGTAGCCTTGAGGTACTCCATATTGATGTTTCCCCTTTGTTTCGGATTGAGTTATTTTGGCGTCACTGATTGGGTATTTCCATTTGATTCAGCCATTGCTAATGGATGGCAGGCTTATTTAGCATTCAAGTTTTGGCAGCAACAACTGAAGAATTACAAAAACCCCAAGGGTCCTACTTCGGAAGGTATAGCATTGGCTGGTATTCATGCAAAGAAATTATTTTGGTGTTCAGTATGGCATCTTCCTGCTGTTTTGATTTTGGCAATGTTGCACAAGAAGGATCAATGGGATAGACTATATAATTATTTATTCTGAAAGGGAGGGGAAGCGATGATCTGTACATAGTTTGAAAGGAAAGTGTATGTGTTTATGTGTTTATGTGTGTGTCTTGTACGTATATGATGGTATTATATGTGTAATGGCTATGGAGGAAGTTGTAGTTTCGTGTATAAACTGATGACGTGTGTGGTATTTGGTCCCTATAGGGCCGATATTGGTGCGCGATCAACGAGAACAACAACCAAACAAAAGCCCGAGAATTTTCACCAAAACGCCTCCTACGACCAACCCCAAGTCCACACCATCTTGCTTATTGTTGTACGCTTGTTAGAACTGAAGACCAATTAACATTAGCTGACCCATACAACAATGTTCAAAACCCCATCAAGAAACACGAAATACGAACAACTGGTGGACAAGACATTGGCATTATTTGAATCACTTGAAGAATGGGCCGATTACATTGCGTTTCTATCCAAGTTACAAAAAGTACTACAATCATACAAAGAAGAACTAGATAAAGAAGTAAAAGAAGGTGGAGGGGGAGGAGGAGAACATGAACACCTGTTTTTTGTACCGCATGCTACAGAAGTGTCATATCGGTTGGCACTTTGCCTTTCACCAACTTTACCCAATGGTGTTCATCAAAAGACATTGAATATTTACGAGTTCATATTGGAGAACTTAAATTCAAAACAACTCAATTCGGACGTTAGTATATGGATACCTGGGTTTTTGCCACTTTTCTCATACTCTTCAATCCAAATCAAACCACAACAAATCAAAATTGTGAAAAACTTGATTATCGAAAAGCTAAGTCGTGAAACATTGAGCAATTTGATTAAACCGTTGGTTGTTTGGTTCTTATCAGGATTGGAAGATACAAACTCCGAAGTGTTCAATGATGTGCATTCACTAATGGTATCCTTCAAGTCCAAACTTCAAGATGATTCTCAATTCTGGCATTGCATCTTTCTTTGTATTATAAACACACCGGAAAGAAGACTTGGCGCATTGCATTGGTGTGAACGAAACTTGCCCGAGTTTGCCAATACCAAAGACGAACAAGGAAACCCACTTTATTCACAAGAGGCTCAGCTCTGTATGAAACCAGAAGCTGGTCTCTTGGTCAGAGCATTTGCAGTAGTCATTGGGTTGTCTTCTTCGGCGGATATCTTGGTGACAAGGGGATTTTTTGATTTGTTGTTATCACGAGTGCCGTTGGATAGTGCTATATTTGACCACAAGGTGACTTCAAAGGATAAAGATTTGTTGATCATGTCGTGTTGCAAAATAACTTTAAACAAAGACGTGAGTTTGAATAGAAGAGTATTGAATTACTTTTTGGGTCCTGATATTGATAGTGACAGTGAAACAAGAAGAGACTATTTCAAAATGAATGCAAAGGATTCATTAAGTCGCGGTCTTGTCAAGTTGGGTACTTCAAATTCGAAGCGGAATCAATTGGACGCACTCAAGATGTCATTTTATCTAATAATGGACAAGTGGGAGATTAACTATGAACTAACTCCTGAATTGTTTTCACCATTTCTTTATCAATGTTTTGCAAAGCGTCATGATGAAGAAGTGATCAAAACAGCAATGAATTTCTTTGATGAGACTGAGTCGTTATACATTTGGAATGAAGTGCTTAAATTGGTTGTGCTGGATAAAGAGGCAAACCTTGATATTGTTGAGTTTATACTAAAACATTTTCACCTCAATGAGGATGAAAACGTTGATAAATTCTCACCATTGGTGTTGTCTTGTCTCTTATTCGGTCTTGAAATAAACAATCAAAAGTTGGAGCTAATTGAGATCATTTTTGGGTACATACAATGGGGCAAATTGGGTGATATAAACAAGGACAGTCAATTGTCCCGCTCACAGTTGTTTGAGTCGGTGACTCTATGGACTAAGCAGGAAGCAAACCACGATTTGGAAACTCTTCCGTACTCGTTTGACGAATTGGTGCCTTACATTTTCAGTCAATTGCAAACGTTGTATCTCACGAATTCTTCTAAGCTGAATTTTGATACAAGAATTGGAAATCTTTGGATTCGGTTATTCGATGCGGTTGAAGCAGATGATGTGAAGCAAGATATTTCTGGGAAGTTTGTATCGCGATGGTTGAAGGAATTGCCTGAAAGTCTAAATACGAGAGATATTTTCATTGCTTTGACAAGAGTAAACATGCTTAACCATTTGTCAAAGTTTATTGGTGTGCTTGAGAAAGAGATATGTTTGAAATACATTCTTTCAAGTTTGTGGCAAGCTGTAGTGTCTTCCAATCCTGCTAACCATCAAGTTGAAGCAGTTAAAAGTATTTTCGAGTTGAGATTTTCCTTTCCCATTCACAAGCTTGAAGCAGGGATTTTAGAATTGTTTTTGCAAATTCTGCTTGATAAGCAATATCTTGCTTTTGAAACATTGTACATTCATACTTCTGGAATCAGCGAGGCAGAAAATGTCTTGAGTCGTTTGTTTCAGTTGATATTGGACGACTCTGATAAAGATGGAGCGCAACAACAGGAGGTGGTTTTAGACTTGATTCATCGACTTGTAAGCAACAACAAACCGCAAAGGTTGCTCAACTTGTGTTTTACACCATTGACAAGATTCGGATTTATGGAAAATGGTCACTTCAAATTTGAGCCTAGTGAAGATTGCGATCAATACGCATATGACTTGAAACAAGTTGAATCTTTGTTGACGTATGATCTGAAGAGCATTAGACATCACATCAGTAGTGATCAATTTGGCGTACCAGATGTGACGGAGGAACATGACGATCATCACTTGCAAATGTCTTACAAGCGGTACTTGATCCTACTTTTGAAGGAGAATCTCAAATTGATTACATTTGAAAGTGCATTCATGTACTCCAAAGACGAGTGTCGTACAATTGCTGATATCAGCTTGAACATTTACATGAAGCTAATTACTGGTAATGAGAAAAATTTTGAGACATTATTTGACGAGTTACTTATTGATACATTCAACCATTTGAATGGAAAAGATTACGACGGTGTGTCTGAATCAACAATTGGAAAATTTTTGCAATGCATTTTCCATTTCCTCGATCGAGCATCTGTGTCCAATGTCAAATTGAACTTGTTACATGTTCATGAACAGGACAAAGGGCCCTTATTGGTGAATTTGATTCAAGTTGGTGTAGCCAAATGTCAATCGCCGATCCTACTTGAAAAGTATATGAATTTAATAACTAAATCAGCTTATCTTTTCGGAGAATCAATTTTCAGTATCTTGCTTACCTTGACTGAAACCATTGTTCTGAAAATCAATTTGTTATTTGATCGATTCCTCCACTGGGATGACTTTAAATCTACTGAATGTTTTGACGATTCCATGATTATCCTTTTTGATGGGTTGGAGAATTTCCTAACTATCTGTCATGGTTACTTGATGCACTCCAGTGCTAGAGTACAGATCCAATCACAAAAGAACAAAGATTCAGCCAATAACGGGTTCTTGAATAGTGTCATGCTGGGTGTTTTCCAAATCGAATCACCTTCTACTAAAGACACTGAACAAAATAAGCATTATTCCACCCTTATTGCTCTTCATGATGCAACGAAGGCTAGTTTCAAGATATGGGATTGGGCTGATTCCAAGACAAATATACCAGACGATGTCACCACTTATTCTGACAGATCTCTAACTTTTCTTTCATTCAAGCTCAAGTTTAGAACAAAGACATTTTTGGATCGTTTGATTGAGTTGGAACGACAGGAAATTGTTAATACATTGATTACGTCCAACATTCAATTATCAAGTGTTTTGAAACTTCTCAATATTTTGGATAATGGTCGATCACAAGTCACGTTACCTTATTTATTCAATTATATCAAGATGAAGTTCAATCCTCAAATGTTTTTGGATACCAGTAAAACCTATGTTGAATCTATTGTGGATAGCCATGACTTGTCTAGTTTTGTGGTGGCATTTTATGATTTTATGGATTCAGACACAATTTTTGACACTTTGAATCAGACATTGGAGTTTTTGGATCTTGTTGCCTCACAAGTATCTAACTTTGACCCAATTGTTCCTGGTGCTTTACAAATTTGTAAAGTGATTTCAATCAAAACAGGCAACACAAGGAATCGCGAGTACTTGAAAAACAAGAAATTGTTGTCTGATAGCTTCACTAAGCTTTTCAATCAATACATCAATCATCATTCCACCTTGAAAATGAATTCTGCCGACGTTGGCAATGATGCTGCCAACAACCACCAGTTTATTGACACGATAACTGAGTTAGTTCCAATTTTGGAGGAGATATATCGTGATTCAGAAAAGACAAACCAAACTGTTGGATTTATTATCAATAATGTCATTTTAACTCAAAATAAGAAAAAACAACCCCACTTGAACGACGCTTTATTGCAATTGCTTTTGCTTCTAGGACAGCATCACCCTGTAAGAGTTTGGAAGTCAACAGTTGCTGATTTATTCAATGATAGGAACTTCTTCACCACAAATGCATGCTCCAATCTGAAATGGATGGAGATTATTCAAATCTGGATTGAGAATGAGAAGGACAAATTTGACGACAAGATTGCCAAACTTGCACCATCATCAACAAATTCACCAGCAGGGACATTGTTCAACTGGAATGAAGATTCAGAAATTGAAGCCAAGATTAATGTCATCAAGCAATTGACGTATACCATTCTCGTGCAACCACATGATTACTTTGCCAACAAAATCAATCAAGTTTTTGATAAGGTCAATCAATTGTTGAGTTTAAGTACATGTCCCGCGCCAATTCGAATTGAAGTCACTACATTACTTCGAGCGGTTGTTTTGAAAATTAGTGATGTTCACTTGACTTCTCATTGGGCTATGATTATTCACGAATTGCGGCTGATTTTCACCTTAATTTCTCATCCACCTAAATCAACCAAAGAGCTCACTTCCATACCACCTCAAACATTGCAATTGATACTATTTGCATCAAAACTACTTGATGAATTATTAATTGTCAATCCCGATGGATTTAATCTAAATTCATGGTTATTTATTAGTGTTGATTTTGAAAACAAGTCCACCCAAACTAATCTGATTATTGACTCTATTTCCAAAAATAATGACTTTACGTTTTTGAAAAATGATGCAATCAAGCTAAATCATGGAGATTTGATGGATGAAACTAGTCTTAGTCCATTATTGGAGGGCGTAAGACACATCTCACTGATTACTCAATTGAGGTTATTTTTTGATTCGTTAAGTATGATACATTATGAGCGGACATACAGTTTGAAACTAGTTAATCTCAAAACCTGTCAAGATGATATCGTACATGATTTGATCACCATATCCTAACGTGTGATTCGAGGACTACACAAGACTTCTTTATAACGATTACTATCTAATAGCTACACCCATTCTATAGAAATGAAAAGCAAAATCGAAATCCAAACAGCCGCTACTCTGCTCATCTAATTCTTCAATTGCCTAAATTGACTATCAACAATCTCCTTCACTTCTTTATAGCTGACGATGATACATTCGTTTTCTTTAACCAACAACAATTTTTCATCCACTCCACAATCCAATTTATTCAAGTTAACCAAAACCTTGTGCAAATTAATTACTCTAGCTCCATTAGAGTCATAATATTGAAATAGATTTTGTTGAAATAGTTGGATAACTTTGATTTGGTTAGCATCATTTAATGACTGCTTGTTGAGATGGTTCTCGTCCCCTGTGGTGGTGTTAACAATGAAGTTGATCTTAGTTAGCAATCTAAACAAACGAGCATTCTCCAACTCTGAAGTCAACTGCAGTTCAAAGTAGTCAGTCGAATTTTCTAGGCTATTGACTGTGGAGAATGTCTTATCAATCAAGCAGTCACTGATGAACTGTTTCAAATCGAACTCTGATGCATCAGCATCCAGTGGCGCCTTGCTATTCAAAACTTTCAACACATTGATAAAATCTTCATTCAACTTCGTTGAGTTTGTGAGATTTCTCACCAATACGTCCTCTTGAGTTGACCGCAAATTGATTGGAAGCAACAATGAACTCAAATCAAGCAAGACCTTACCCAAGTTCTTGATGTCTTGACGTTGCAATTGCTTGAGATCAGGTCTTCCCGGTTTCCCATAATCCAATACATCGCTAATCCCACAACTGCTTAATCTTATTCTGTTCCCGCCAGTATTGATAATCTTGCTTACCTCCATAGACGACCCAGCAGTCAATCCTCCAGCGTGTATGCTCTTTATTGCATTTACCAATTGGACAAGATACACCCACAAGAGATCCTCATTTATGGGCTCAACCCTTATAGACTTCTTGTGGTATTCTAGCAACGTTTTTGAATTGGGATAGTAATCATAAACGAAGCATAAAGCGGTGGAGTTTTCTACTTTAGTTCCACTAATTGAGCTAAATGCCAAGGACGTGAATACGTCTTTGACTCCCACAATATTGGCATTTGCATTAAGTTTCTGCCACTGTTTAATACTCTTGAATGCACTTTCATCAGTTATTTCGTTGCAGGGTTCAATCTTCCGCAATACATACAATCTTCCATCAACATTTGAGTAACATTTGAACAATATACTATTCTTACCAGGCCAAAGTTTACTTATAGCATCATAGGATGTATCAATGGGAACCAAGGAGTGATATGAGTTTACATGTTCAGGCAAGTTCAGATGTTGAAGAGTTTGTAAACTTGCTTCATTTTTGCGATGTAAACTCTCTCTCAAATCATTGGGGATAAACATTCGTATGGCATCCACTTCATGATCCTTTGTTGGCACGGACAACCTTGGTGGTGGTGCAGGAGCGTACAAATGATACTGCAACGGATACAATGGTGCTTGTTGTTGTTGTTGTTGATGGTGTTGAGAAGTTGGTGGCGGTTGAGTGGGTCCTGCTGCTGAACTTGCCCCTAATCCTGCTCCTTGAAGGTGGTGATTATTCTGCAGTGAGGGGAAGAAAGTGGAGGACATAGGTGGAGCTGAATTCATAAGCGATGAATGTGAAACGTGCCCTTGATTTGCCAGACCCATTGGAGTGGGTGGATTTTGTAGATACGGGTTCGAAGATGACTGTTGTGGTTGAATGATTCCAGTTAAGGATCGTGCGCTTGAAGGACCATTGGCAGAAAACCCTTGGATCAAACCAGAATGCTGACTTGATTGCTGTTGTTGTTGTTGTTGTTGTTGTTGTTGTTGCTGTTGTGACGGTGGTGCTGCTGGCTGTGCTTGCTGACCTAAGGGACTAGAAGCACCTCCTTGCGTAAAATCAAAATTCGATGGTGTAAACGAAGGTGTGCTAACATTGAATTTCGTTGATCCAAAGGGGAGACCATTTAAGTTACTCTGTGGTTGTTGTTGTTGCAGAGTGTGCTTTGTATCGTAACCATGAGTAGACGACAATGATTCTGGTTGAAAAACGGGAGCATCCTTCACAGTTGGAGACAAATTTGAGAACTTAGAAGTTATATTATTGATCAATTTATCATTCCCACCACTAGGTTGAAACAATGGAGTCTCAATGTTGAATTTCTTTCTTCCATTATTAGATTCATGGAGTTTTGCGGATGCGGTAGCAGAAGGCATAGGCAATTGCTGCAGTTGTTGTTGTTGTTGTTGTTGTTGTTGTTGTTGCAATCGGGATCGCGACGGTTTGGACTTCAATTGATGCTGCAACTGTGCTTGTGGTTGATTAATCTGGAAGTCAATCTCTTGTGGCTGGCCATTGCCATTTCCGCTTGCATTGGACTGCAGCCCAGACGGTTTATTATGACTGAAGGCACATCCTTTGTCCTGGTACTTGCAGTAGCCATAGATCAATACATTTTTACAAAGAACATCCTTTGCCGTATCTAGATTTATATTCATGAATGTGCCTTTGCTTTGTTAAGGTTTTAATTTGGTTCAGTAAATGGAAGAGCAAAACCAGTGGTAAAACTGGGAACGTATTGGCCGTGAAGTTGGTGAAGACGGAATCAGTTGTATCTGCGATAAATGCTGGATAGATGCCGGTGTCGTCCTTGTTTGTTGTCAAAAAGATCAACTGGATTTTTTTGCTATCGAGTACACGACCAGTTGGACCTAGACATTATTACACTACTACTCCTCAAAGTAGAGCCTATACACAAGAATAGTCAACCTAGTCTTGGCCATGATGGATGTTTCAGAGACCAGAGGCTCAACCTCTACAATTGATTTTTACGTATGTTAGTAAATAGTTGAACTTTTCACTATTGATGCTATCAGCTGTATTAAAAGCATGCATGACAACAACCTAATGTGTTCTATCGTTGAAACTGTCATATACTGCACATATTCACCAACATTTTAGAAAATACAACTTCTTGAATGGTGTTTTTAGCAATCAACTTTTCGTGTGAAAGATTCGATTCTTCATGATTCACTCAATTTGTGTAACATGTCTCACATCGTCTTAGCATAACTTTAAACATATTGCCTAGGACCTTGTATTGTAGTGATAAACCTCAACATAGCACGTGTCTGCACCGAAATTATGGAATCATACCATATCAAGCCACCAGGAGGGTCCCAGTCATTTCGAGAACCTCCAAAATAGGACATTACCAGCGCAATACTAAGGCGGTTTTTGATCCATTGGATCTAATTCAACAACATGCTAGAGTAGGATGACGCTAGACCAGTGTCGCCTTCATGGTACAAACTCAGTAAAATTGCCCATCTGTAGCACTTTAAACTCAACGAATACGATCCACCTCAATTCACACTTGTTGCAATTGGTTACTGTTCGAAAATCTTTCTTGCTCCATTTGCTTGCCAAGACCAAGTGGATAGACAACGGATACCAATTATTGAGTCTTAATGATCATCTTCACTCTCACTGCCTCAATGACCACTTGAAATCCTAGTGTACGACCCGTGCTCTAGATGTCGACGTCTCTTTTGTTTGTTAACTCTAGTCGTCGCTCTTAACTATCTTCAGAATTAGCCATATTAACAACCCGTTTTCCAGTTTGACCAGTTAGCTATTAGTAGCAGTACACTCCCTTCTCTTGATCACAATGCATACTTTCTTCAATCGTCGTGAATGTATAGGACTATCAAGTGGCCCCAAAAGTGAAAATCCCCTTATGTCTGCCAGAGCTTGAATAATCTTCCGAGCTCTCACTCTTACTTCAGCAAAAAACTCAGTGTCCTGATCGGCGTTTGACTCAGCAGCTCCTTTTTGACGATAATAAGGTATGCGTATTCACTTGTATTCGTGATGCAAATCGCCATCTTCACCTGATTCGATTGACTCTTGTTAAATAGACTCAATTAATCTGTCCTCTGAAAGCATCTTGAACAAATGACATCATTGTTATAAAAGTCGATTGTATGTAATTGCCCAAATTTGTCATTCGATTTAGTCGTCTCATACAACAGTCTCCTATTGAAACAGCGTCAGCACAATTTTATGACGAGTCCAATAAAGTGTTTCCAATGATTGCTTATCACAAGCACATGATGAAATTTCTATCCCAAATCTTTACGGTTGATGACTGACAATGTCGGATAGTGGTGGCTGATAACCCGTTCAGGATCAAATTAGAGTTTGGGGACTTCTTGACGTCTATTCTCCCTTCTCCTTCAACTTGGCAGCACTTTGTTGTCGAACACTATTATGACCCAATTGGCGATATTTTTTGGTGGGGAAAACAGATCAAGACCGGGCTAGGATGAAGTAAGTGTACCTCATCTGAAGATGTATCCTCTACGGGTTGCGGATCAACCTCATTTGCTTTTTTAAGTATCGTCTTTGTTTCTGTGTTTGCTCATTTGATTGAAAAGTGTTTACACCAAATGTGTTGTCAAAAACAATTGTTAGGATCTGAGATACAATGAGGTGAATAATACTTGAATTTAGAAAACTACCATATTTTGAAGTGAGTAAGAAAAATTTCATTAGATGGAGGCTGTTGAAAGATTAAGGGAAGGAAATGGGAATATTAAGGGAAGATTACATGAAAACTAGCACGAACATAGGTGCAACTATTCTCTGTGCGGTTGCGGCATCAGATGAATATTAGCGTAGTTGAAAATAAAGCTTTAGTAGCGAAGGACGTCTTATGCTTAAGATTTACTAATCCATGTCGGAGGAGTTCTCTTGAGCTTGGATTAGGAAATTAGAGGCAGGATCGTAATATATTCAGTGGCTATCTTCGTACATTGTCTTGACGACTTACGCTTTGTCCACAATTCTACACAAAGATTGCCCCAGGTGGAGTATAGGAAGGGAAAGTGCAAGACCAAAGTAAGTTTACAACGAAACGGTATATATGACAGACCAAATGCCTCTAATGATAAATTCTAAGTTTATTAAACATAAACGTATTGTCCATACTGTTTTAGGTTCATACCACAATGGCCTCACAGCAGTCTCAATATAAGGTTACAAATGCAGTCAAATTGGAAAGAACAAGAACTTCAGTAGCAGACAAATCCAATCCCTATGCTGAGATTGCTTTGATAAACAGCCTATCGAGCTTACTGGCTCGATATCTTCCAGTTGATAAGGGGTTGAAAATCAACAATGTCCAAAAGCCAGCACCAAGTTACAGCAATCAAGATAGAATCAACAAGAACACCTCTAGAAACAAGACAATTATCACAACCACGGATACAATCACCGATACAATCACCGATACAATCACCGATACAATCACCGATACAATCACCGATACAATCACGGATATAATCACGGATATAATCACGAATACAACCACGCACACAACCACGATCGCCAACACCAGCATGAACGCTAACACCAACACGATCGCCAACACCAACTCAAAAGTTCACAATAGACGTCTCGGAAGGTTACTTGGAATTACATGCTGCTTGATTATTGCCATACCATTGGCATTTGAGTCTTTCAAATTGCTAAAGATCAACGTTTACGGAGCTCGAGCTAAAGGTTTCTCGGGTATTTCAGGACTCAATGTTTCCGTATTTCTTTTGATAGCTAGTATGTTTATCGGTGGAACCGAAGTGTCCGGGTACGATGAGGGAGATTTTGGATACATGTTTCTATGCCTTGGAGGTTTGGCACTAGTTGTAGAGGTCTATTTTGGCACTATCATGATGTTGACAATGGATTTCGCATGATGGGGAGGGAAGTGCTCATATCTTCGGTGGATGTGTATTTTTATGTTTGTTGTTTTCTTAGATTGCACCCGTTTACACGCTTGACACGTGAATGTAGTACCTCTTTAAGGCAAAGTAGTTACCAACAGTGGCGCTCAAAACTTGTATCAGTAAGTATGGCATAAACTCGCACTCTATACAAAGACAGTCATACAACAACAAAAAAACGTATCCCATTAATACTGACAATTTTGAATAAACTAGTCTTAGATGTTGATCGCCTTAACCCCCCCCCCCCACCTCTTTACTTTGACGTAAAAAACTCTTCCCATATCCTCTCAGTTGGCGCATTGTGCATCAAATCAAAAATTCGTTTCCCTTCACGCATATTCGTAGGACCGGTGCTAGTAGTTGTCCCCGTACCCGCCCCTGTGCCTGTTCCTGTTCCTGGCTGTGGAGGAAATTGAGATATTAAAGGAGGTGGAGTAAAAGTGTTATGACCAGCATGAGTGCGGGAACCAGTTGCTGGTGGAGTGGATTTGTCCAGATACGTTCCTCTAGATGCACCAACGACATTGTTGTTATTTTGCTGATTTAATTCTTGGAAAAAGAAATCCAAATCTTGATCGTTCCATTCAGCAGGGTAGTCAAATCCATGGACAAATTCTGGTGATACAATGACATTATGAGTACTGGTGACCGTGTATGGAGTCACTCCACTTTGATCGTGGGGGGAACCAGCTCCATATGAAAACGGAAGTCCTTGCTGATGTTGAGCTGGTCGCGACTGCAGATATTGCTGATGATGTTGCTGGTTTTGAGAAAATTGTTGTTGTTGCGATTGCTGCTGTTGACTGTGTGAAGTTGCTTCGCTGTTTGGTGATCCTTGAGTCAATGGATTTAAATGGTCCAATTCATTAACCAAATGGAATAAATTAGAATGAACATTGCCATTGTTGATTCGATACAATGATTCACGACTCACCTTTGCTTCACTCTTGTCACTGCCATTACCATTGCCATTACCATTGCCATTGCCACTACCATCTCTTCCACCACCACCAGTAACATCGTAGTCATCGTTTCTCTCATTATCCACTTGGCTCTTGTTACCACCCCCTGGCAAAAACTGATTCACCAGTTCATTAGGATACTTCAACTTGACAATAACCAATGTTAAATTATGGAAAATCTCACAACAATATTGCGCCGCGTCGCATTTGTCAATCAAGCTCGACAAGATTTTCAAACAATTGGAACAGCTAAGCATCACCGTATTGATTGGATTCATAATTCTAATCTCATCAGAGTTGTATAATGAATACAAGTATGATGTGCCTGCCATAAACAAGTTATGTACTGCTGCCCATGTATAGTTGACAGATTTCGTCAAATACAATTGTGTATAGCAGTTGATTACTTCTTTAGCGGAGATGGAAACTTGTCGGATATCATCCATGGTTAAATTGTAATTGCGTGGTCCCAATCCATGGATGTACAACAATGTATGATGATAATTCAAATGGAAAAAAATGGGGTTAAAGTCACAATTCATTTGTTTTGCCGTTGGGAGATTTTTATACCAGTTGGTTAGCCTCGACAAAATGTCCACTTTCCAATGCGATAAATCAGTGTATTCTCGGGGTATTTCACTCCCAGTGTACAATATCTTGGTAACTTCACTTTGTAGTTTCCGAATCATGACAAATGCCAATGATACGGTTTTGTAACTAATTACATCAGTACCGCCAAATCCTTCATCACCATTGCTCATTTTTGTATAGTCCATGATTGAGTCATTGGGAACAATCTTCAGATCATCCCATACACTAGGCAATGGCGTATTGATACTTTCATCAGGAATGCCAAATGGTCGATCCAAGTAGAAACAAATTTGTCGATCAATGGAATAAGTACACCAAAAAATCCTTCGTCTTTTATCTCGTGTGTATCCATCAATGTCCAAGTTTTGTCTAGATTTAGTTTTGAGTTCATTTTGTAGATCCAAATCAACACATACACGTAGTGCTTCTCCCATAATGTACCATACCCCCGGATTCGTCGGTCGCATTATGGAATAGAATGTGTAGAGAAGTATACCTTGAAGTGCCATCAACTGGTCGTTGTTGCGTTTGACAATATTGTAATATTTCATGGCTGCTAAACGAAATGACTCTGAAATTTGTGATGGGTATTTCAAATGATGGGCTGAAGATGCAATGGCGAACACCATGTTGAGGAAGAATAGTGGTATGTGGTATCGTCGTGGTGGTACAATACAATTGGAAATCGCCCTAATGTCAATATTGTTACTATCGGTGTTTTCTTCAGTCTCTTTGGTAAGCAAATGTTGAAATTGCAACTTGTACTCATCAAACCAGTACCCACTTCCATCACTACTTGCACCACCATCTTTTGTCCAAAATGAATCATTTATCGATCCATCATTACTTGCAAATTGAAATCGATTTAGTTCAACCGGTCCATAAATAGGTATGAAACAATCACGAATAAATTCTTCTCGGTGCATGATGGGGAATTGTGCATTACATTGGTGGAAGAAAATTTGACAAAATTGTAGTGCTGTGGATTTGGGTGGTAGTACAGCCGCTGATTTCATCTCGTCATCGGTTATGGAATCGTCTGGGCTACGTTCTTTGGACACATCTTCCAGTAAAGCGTCTTTAGATCCCGTGGGAACCTCGTCATCAGCACTTCTTTCATGTAGTTTCTGCACCTTCACTGCGGTTGATATCAATTTCAGAAAACTAATCCTGTTGCTTCCGTGTCGACTATGTCTCTCTGCTTCGAGACCTTGATTCGCTGCTTCTTTGCTCGTTGTTGACACATTCACCCCATTTCTCTGCATTCCGACGGTATCATTATCAAGCTCTCCTTTCTCGGTTGCACCACCACTAGCACCAGCACTAGCATTAGCGCCCACATCTCCATCCACATCTCCATCCGCATCAGCATCAAAATCAATACTCGCACCCAAATCACCCAACTTTTTCTCCAACAACTTAACCCGCTCTTCCAAATGAACAATATAGCTCCTCGGTATTTCTCTCCCTGTAACTGGGTCCAATCCCATACATTCGACATTATGTTGAGCACATTTACCACATTGAGGAAATTTTTGATCACATTTTATCTTCTTGGTGCGGCATCGTTTACATGCCGATATCGCTCGAGATATTTTCACCGCGTGTGATGGTTTCTTAGTGGGGTCAGAAGTGGCTGTATCTGAGTGGGTCTTGCTGGGTGTGGCAGTTGTGGGTCGCAGAAGTGGTGGTGCTGTCGTCGTTGTTTTCTGTTTCTTGGTTGCCGGGGTTGTCATTGATTGTCAAATTTGTTTGTACTTGCGAGGATGGTGGTACAGCTTCAAAATAGTTCGCGAGTAAATGATAGTTTCATACAATGGTTGGTTTGGTGTACTCTCTTGAGATTAGTAATACAGTCCTCTTTCTTGTTGATAGAATTAAAGTTTTTTGGGGTTTATTGATTTACAAACTCCCCTCTAAATTAAATTTTTCTCTCTGTAATAAAAGAGAAGAGGAGATAACAAACCACATCTCGTCGGCTTTATCGATACTGCTAATTCCACACAAGGGACAATGAAGAACAACTATGCACTTACGGCCCAGAAACCTACAACAAAATAGATAACAGATTAAACTTTTCTTTCTTCTTGATTAGTACAATTATTAAAGTTTCAAACAACAAATAGAACAGGGTCCTAAACCCCACCTTCAACAAACAAACAAACAAACAAATAAATAAATAAATAAACAAATCAACAAATCAACACCACCCCAACACACAATCCTTAAACATCAACATGTTTAACAGGTGCTCGGCCCAATTTGTAACTGCCAATCAAAGGAGGTATAAACACCTCATACGCAGTTGACTTGCTAGCCAAATCAGCAGGATCCACTTCGACACGGAGTGAAGTCACCACTGAATCACCAAATAATGGATACTTGATAAACCGTTCATTCGGTTTTTGGTCGTGTAAGAAATCACCTTCTTTTGAGTTGTGTTGACCCTCAATCACTGGTTGTGGGTATTTTCTCAACACTGAAGAAGAGGAGGAGGCAGAGGTGTCTTTGTGGTGGTTGCCATTAGCTGTTGGTTCAGCTTCAACGGCATCTGCTGTAGCTGCTTCCTCTGCTTCAGCTACTTCTGCTGCATCTGCCTCAGTTTGCGCAGCACCAGCGAATAGCGTTTTATATTCGACTGATTGCTTAGCCAATACTAAATCTGACCAGTTCCTTTTGTTCAAAAACTGATGATTATTTCTCAGCGATCCATCAACATCCTTGAGGAAAATAGGCACCACATCTTCATCAGTATCCTGATTATAATGATGAATTCCACTACGTTTATTCAACAATGTTGCCATGGCATCTGGTGGGGGTGCATTGACTATTGCTGATGAGATGACATTAAAGATTAATCGTGGATCATTTTCAGGATGAGTAGTTAAATCTTTATTCAATTTCTCAACTTCTTTGGCTCCTTGTAAAATGTGAGCATTGGGATGATGGTGATACTTGGACTTCATTCTACCAATACAACATAAATGAACATCACCTGATAAAATAGTGATTCTGATTCCCTTTTTAGCACCGAAATCCATTAAATCTTTGATTAATTTATTACGTTCACGTTTATGGTATTTGGAACACCAATGATCATTCAAGTCGTCCAAAACTTCAACATCACCATCAAATTCATTGACCAAACCTTTATTTATGACTCCCTTTGTGGCTAATTTACGCAATGGTGCCATTGCCGTGGAAGTTAGTAACCATTCTAACCATACCAATCTGGGGTAAAAGATGGGTACACCAAGCATGACGTACAAATGTTTGACATCGCCATTTGCTTTCAATGTTTCATTCATTTTGTTGAAGATTATTTTATAAGTTTGAGGATCACAAATTTGTTTCAATTTACGTTCAGTACGACAATCCAATCCTAGTAAGCTGATCTCCTTACCCAATCTCATAAACACTGAGTGGTTCTTTTGTTTGATAAATGGACCTTCTTTACCCAATACCCATGAAGGATCACTCAAGTGCAATTTTTCCTCTGGGTTCATATGATGTTGAAACAACATGTAGTATTTGTATGCAACATTACCAACAGTGGAGAAAATTGGTGCCAGCATAGTTGAATCGTGGTATGATCCAAACCCATCAATAATATCATGATCGTCGTAAATGTTGACCATGGGGATTTGTGACATTGACAAGGGAAACAATGCTTCAACAACTTGAGACGCAGTTCCTTTCCAAAATCCCTTTCCAAACCAATTCATATAATGATTCAAATAAAAGTTTTTAAATTCTGCCAAAATTTCATCGTCAATAGGGGCATGTCTCTTTTTCATAGGGTTGGTCATCTTGGTCCATTCTTGCAATTTCTTGGAATGTAATTTGATAGCATCAGAATAAATTTGGTCACCACCTCCCAACATCACATGGTAATGCTGTTTTGAATGTTTTGCCAATACATCATACCAAAGTGAAGATTTGAATTCCGATGCATCACAAGCCAATGTGAACCCATTACACGAATACGAAATCACATTCATACTTTCGTCAACACTAGGGATAAAAAATTGGAATGATTTTTTGAAAAATTTGTCAATATAGTACTGCACTTTTTGTTCATAGTGAACCAATTGCAATTCAATGGTATATCTAAAGAATGAATAACCATCCTCTTCATAAAATTTGGTTACTGGGAACTCACCAGCTGAGAATTCACCATTAGTCACCGACTCCAAAGCTGGTCCAATCTTGTAGGTGATTGATGGTGGTTTACCCTCGGGACAATCTTTAACGACCAACATGAGTGAACCTCTGTAATTAGAAGCGCCGTCTTCTAAAGTACCAGCAAGACGTAAAGTAGGACCACATCTGATGTCATATTCACCTAGCTTGTCATTAGGGTCAATTGGTCTAGTTTTGGGGACATTTTGTCTTGCCAATTCATTAATCTTGAGATATTCATCCAAGGGTAACGGACTAAACCAATCTTCTGGAGATTGCTTCTGTTGCTGTTCCTGTTGTGGCTGTTGTTGCTGAGTATCAGTAGCAGATGGCATAGCAGGGGAGGGGCGTGGATACTTAGTAAGATATCAGGTTATGTTTACCAAAAGAAGAAAGAAGTTAAGTTAAGCAATGGGTATCTTTTTTTTTTTTTTTTTTGGTTGCTATTATGTTTATTGTTTTGGTTCAGAGGCTGGTGTTTATACTAAATTGCAATGGAATTTGAGTACAAAAACAACAATAGAGAGAGTGGGAGAGAGAGAGAGAGAAAGAGAGAAAGAGAGACGAATCCAAACAAATGGATTAAATTTCGGATATATCGTCTTAAACAATACTACGGGGTTTTGCCATGGGGTAGAATATGTAGTTTGATCTTCTTATTTGTGAAGTTGTTGGTTGTTCCAGTGTCTCAGTTAATTGTTTGATGGTTATAGAAAGATGGGGTTTTCCATCCATCTTTTCCTTACTCTCGTAACCATATACTTTCTTCGTCTCTTTCCCTCGAGGCTGAAATTGACATTTTTTTTACACAAAAAGCCAAAAATGTAATAATAACAATTTCATAAAAAGTGTAATATGAAAATATATCTAGCCAATGACGTAATAGAAATATGTCATCGTTATAGATACATATATATAGAGACAACAAAACATAACTCAACAAAGTGAGCAGCCTATAATTGGTACCACCAGTCTAGTGAATACGGGGGAAAATTTAGTGGGGGAGGGGCGGGGCGGGGCGAGGGGGGTTTCTTCTCTTATTTGCGTTTGTATCTTCATCTCCGTGTTCACCAAGAGATTGGTCTAGACCTTTGAAAGAAAATGAGGAGAAGAAACAAAAAAAAGAAAGAAAAAAAAAAGTTTGCACGTGACCTTTCGTTTAATGGTCACAAGACGATTATAACCTTGACTTCAGTTGAGTATTGCAAGCTACGAATTGTGCAACTGGACGGAGTAATGGCTCTTTTACAAACTACAGAGAAATTGATGAAATGGATTGAAGTAGGTGTAGCTATAAGCTTTTCCTTGGTGGTGTTGACTTTTTACATTTAATTTTTGCAACTTTTTTATTGCAAAAATATGCATAGAAAGAGTCAAACCACTAACTGTAGACCGAATGTCGCTTGTTGTAGTTTTCCTTTCCATATTCTTACACTGAGTCAAACGAGAGAATGCTCACAGATGAAACACAAGTAATAAGTTAAACGGAAATGATAAAAAGTGAAGAGTATACAAGTAATGGAGAAATTGTCCCATTTTCCATAGAAGTGTAGAAAAAGGACCATGAACAACTTGGGTTAAATTAACTAGTATATACACAACAGTTAATACATGACGATTACACTACAAAAGTCACACTGAAAACACCGAGCCTAAACACTAGTACTGAATTAGGTCTAAGACCTAACGGATGGTTGCAAAAACGAGACAGTGTGATTGTCTTTCCTTATCAGCTTACACAATAAGCAAAATGGCTGAACCTTCACACGATAAATAGTAAAGAGTTTTTCTCTAGTTAGTGTTAGTGTATAGGGGGGTGGATGAGGCAGTAAGGATCAATTCAGTATATGTTTCAAGTTTTACAAACAACATATAGAACTTTTTGCCTTTCAACACGCATGGCACTTCACACTAAAATGCTTTAATCTACGACATGTAACCCCTTCTTTTTCTTTTTTTTTTCTTTTTTTTTTTTTATGGTCTGTATCGGCTCATAGCACGCTCCCACACACGTTAAATGTGCAGTTGATAATGATAGAGATATAGCACCCTTAGAACACCATATGCTGACAATGATTACAAAGTTAAAACAGTTCATCAAGCAACTGGATAAGTTGCAGCCACGCTGTTCAGCATCACCGTTACCTGCGACTATAAACGTGTGTCGATAAATGTATTCGATTTTGCTAATAACACGTTGTAATCTTCCTCATACACCGTTCTTACCTTCCGCCCCCCCTCCCCCCGGCACCCCGGCATCTCTATTTAATTGTACCGCTGTCATCTCTTCATACAATGTCTGGTTATAAGCTGCACTAACCCCATTGACCGAGGTTATGTCATTGGGTGCAATTTCACGTTTGCCCACTTGGTCTGGGTGGTGGTCACATTTCCATTCAGATGTCAGTGATTTTTTGTGCTGCATTGATATATATTTCTGAGGATTCGATAGGATCTGTCTCTATATCTGGTTATAGGAATCAATCTACAATTTTGCCGTTTTGTGATTGCTACTACATAATGTCTGAATATTCCTCTTCTGGTTGTAAGAAATTGCAATACGCAAGGACACATTTAAAAGAAGCAAAAAAAACAGCATAATGGATGTACAGAGAGAGAGAGATAGGGGGATATCGGATCATACGGTAATATATATACATATATGCATATACAATATGCCAAGTACTGAAACAGTACGTGAGTTCTAGGTTCTAGCCAAGAGAAGAGCGCACAAGAAAAAAGCGTGAGAAAATTTAGTGTTTAATAGTTTACAACAGATAAGAGAGTAAAAGAAAGAGAGAGGTATATTATAAGCCACTGCCAAGATTTAATACAAACACACCCACACACACACACACACACACACACAGTTAGGAATGTATAGTTTAACAATGTACTTTTAAATTATAAACGGATAAAGAGGGTTCTTTTTGGAAACAAAGTGCACGTGTATAAGTAAAAGTCATGTGGTGTAATAATGCAAAATAGTACTGTGTGTGTGTGTGTGTGTGTGTGTGTTATCAATCTTTTTGTGAGTTCTAGAATTTTTTGTATGTTGTTGATAATTTGATTTTGTGTGTTTACTATTTTGTGGTCATGTGATTCTTATTCTTATTCTTATTCTTATTCCTTCTCTTGCAGTGAGGCTTAGCAAAAAAAGATGATTCTTTTAAAGCTATTGTGTTGTATACCCAGTGATTAAGTATAGTCATCATGACTAACAAACATATACAAACATTTGGACCCACCTAGTAAAAGATATTTAGTAATTGAACATTTTAGCTTATATAATCCTTGATTACACAAGTAAACGAGGCTTTTTCAAAATCAAAGCCAAGCATATATAATAATAATAATAATAATGATAATAATAAATAGACTTTATTAAGTGGTTTATAATAATAGGAGAACAAACAGTGTCAAGAGAAATTTACCACATCTATTATTTACAACTAAGGCAAAGACATATATACATCATATACACATATACATCATATACACATATACATCATATATAATAAGTATAGAGATCATTCCTTTTTTATTTTACTGTTGCTTTGTTCAACTAACACTAACTTCACATTATCATCATCATCATCATCTTTAACCCTTGCCATTGGGGTCAATAGCAAACTTTACCAGTTAGAGTGCATCATCAAATAATCTTGGTACAGTAACAACATTTTAGTGTGGTTTGCATATACGTGCGAATTTTACAATTGATACACGACCCAATTTCATTCCTTTTTTTTTTTTTTTTTTTTTTTTTTTTTTTAACTTTAATTTGTTCCCCACGATTAAATAAAAAAAACAACACACACTACCACACTAACACACACAAAACAAAAAAAAGAGAAAGAGAGAGAGAAAGAGAGAGAGAGAGTCATTTTATATATAGATAACCAACCTAACCAACGCAACCAACGTAACCAACCAACCAACCTTCCTTCTCCCCCCCCCCCCCCCTCCCTTTTCCACATAGAATTTTTTTTTTCTTTTATTTTTCTTTTTCTTTCAAATTTAGCAACCAACGAAACAGTACATCACAAGCATACTATATACGAATATCAGGCCAGTCATAGAACAGACAACAACTGTCACGTCACTACCACCACTGCTCAACCACCACAATCATATTTCAATAAGCAAGCCTCTCTACCAAATAGATATAATTGTATCATCTGATCAAAAAGACTATAAGAACAAAACAAAACAAAAAAAAAAAAATTAGCAAAGTTTATCAACCACCAATTTATTAGCAGCTTCCAACTCACCAACTACTGTATATTATGCCCAGTGATATAACTTATCACCAGCACAATCACCAAGATCAGTTTAATAAACCACCGACACCACTTCAACAACAGCAACCATCACCACCACTGCATGCACAAGCACCACCAGGAGCACCACCAGCACCACCAGGAGCACCAGCACCACCAGGAGTACCAGCAGTCGATGACTCTGCTTCAACTCCCACATCTATTGATCCACTAGACACAACCAACAACCACAACAGTAGTAACAATGACCATTTTGTATCCACTCCACGCTCTTCTGCACCTATCTCAACAGCTAATCTTCGACAATCGAGTGCCACCATGGGTGGTTCTAATCAATCAAACCTACCGACACTACACAAGTACTCAAGGAGAGTATCATTTAACAACTTGAATCCCGTCGATGATGGTGATTTCTTGTACAATCGTCCCATTTATAACCAGGTGGGTAATACTACCGCCAGTGGCAAACACTATGCATCCTATTCAGGTCCATCTAGCACATCAACTACTGCTGGTGGCAGTGGTGGCTCAGACGCAACATCTCCTTTGTTTGCTCCAGCACAGCTTGGCTCTGGTAACAATGACAATTATCGTTACGGCTCCTCCCCCACGCGTCAGTCGTCTTTCCCATTTGCCAATTTACCAAAAGTTCCCAACTTTGATGTCATTAGTCAATCACCTGGCTACTACAGCTCACAACAGCAACAACGTAAAAGAAGACTAAAATTACCCAATCCGCCTGCAAAATCAATTCTCAAGAATAAAGTTTCACAGCAACAATTGGATTACAACTACAGATTTGGAGGAAATATCGAGGATGCTACTATAAATTATCATCAAGAGGAGGAAGACGCACATGCAGAAGAGGAAGAAGAAGGGGAACAAGAGGTGAGAGGGGAAGAGAATGATCCTTCTGGTAAGGATACAGAGCAACCGCAACGAAGGAAATCATATGCTGGCATGACCAATGAAGAGCTACTAGCTCTTGACCCTCAATTTAACATGAAGCCGAAAACCTCAAATTTCGATGCATTTAAATTTGATAATCAAAAAATCTACTATACTAATCGGAGGTCGTCAACTTCTGGTGTATCGGCATTGGAAAAATTACAAGCACAACAACAACAGCAGTACCCTTCATCGAATGAAAACAATTATCGATCAATTGCTGTTACTGTACAGCATGATGATTATGATGAAATTGAATTGAGACGAACATTGTTGACGACAATTTCTGGAAGAAAACATTCGTGGAATTCACTTGATTGGTTATTGCAGATTGATGACTCAATATTGAATCAAAATCAACTGATTTTACATGATGGTGATTATTTGATTGTTGCCAGTTTTATTCCTCATAAATTTATCAAAGATTACAATGCCAAAAGAAGGAAACAGAGTTGTGATGAATATTTAAAATCCAAGTGCTTTAATTTACTCGAGTACCTCAAGTTTAACCTTGCTCAGTTGAATGTACGTATCAAAATGACGGTTGAATTTGTTGTAGAAAATGGATTGGAAACTGTTGAACAACATGGTAATGAATTTGGATCAAAGTTTATGTTGAACAAATTGGTGAAGCAATACCATCCCAATGTATTCATTGTTGGGATTAAATCTTCAAATTTGAACTTTAAATACAAGATTAAAAAGAATAGTGAACGGAGCTATTTGGTCAAGTATTCGTCGTTTATTGTCAAACATGCTGGAATTCCGGTTGTTTTGGTTAGCAATCTGTCAAAGTATCCATCGCACGAGCATACAAGGCAATTGCAGACGCAGCAACAGCAGCAGCAACAGCAGCAGCAACACACAAAATCACTGGTTCCTAAGATTACATTTAGTGATGATTTGGTTGCAGTTGGCACAAATTCTAGTTCATCTATTGAGTCCGTTGAGTCATTTGTTCCTCAAACCATACCAACAGATGAGCTGGGCAACACTGGTGTAATTATCGACACATCCATTCCTTACAACTCAATGGAAAAATATCACAGTTGGCTCTCATCCATTTCGGATAAATCATTTAATGATTCAGTCAATTACCTCCAGGCCATTCATTCGAAAGATGATTCCATAAAAATTGATGGCAAGATTCATCAAATTTACAAATCTCAACTGCAATTTAGCTCATTAGGAGCCACATCAACCAATGGATCATCCATCAGCAGTCGAAATGGCTCAGTTGCATCTGATGGCTCAGGGGGTGTAGGTGGTGGTGTGGGAGGTAATGAAAATGTGTATCGTGTTAAATCCTTAATTTCAATTGAGGATGACGAAGATGCAAAACGGAGGAAAGAAATGAGACAGAAACGAAGAGCTAGCGGATCCAATGGTACAAGTGGCTCCAGTGGAGGAATCCTTTCAAGTATGAAGAGTAATGACTCTGGTGGATCAAGTGGTAACGAAACCAAGGGTAAAAAGTCGTTTTGGAGAAAGATTGGTTTCAAGAAGGGATAGTTGTGGGAGGAGTTACGTAGGATGTATCAGGATGTATCAGCTTTTCTTTTTCAATGGTGCATTTATATTTCAATTCTTTTATATAATGGTTATAGCTTTATTTCAATTACACTTTTTATACAATTTTGTTGTTTTTTTTTATACATTTGCAAAAGGAAAAAAGGAACTCTCATTTTGGTTTGAGAAATCGCAAAAATGTCAAAAGAGAGACAAAATTTTTGAACAACAGCAGCTTCTCACAACCCATTTCACAACACATCACACGCCACACCAATGATACGACCAACAAGAATATTATTTCAACAAATCAGGAATCACAATAGTCACCACAACTCCACCAACATAGCCAAAGCAATACTTGGAGATGCCATTACTGATAAATCACAATTGCGACAATTGATGCAAGATAAAACATGGTCAATTAAGCAATTACTAAAACAACGAGCTATCAAATTACATAATCAAGAACTGCAGAATTCAAACGGAGACAATGGGAACACTGGTGGCTCTTCTGATGGATCTGACGATGGTGGTGGGTCTGAGATTACTGATGATTTGATTGTGAAAATCATTGGTCTTTCAGGATTCGAGAACCCAGGATTGAACTCAGCCCGATTCGATGAGTTGAGACATGCTTTCAAGTTACAAAAGACGTTTCTTGATCATTTATACGACGAGACTACCACCTCCACGGGTCCTACCAGAATAGAAAACAAGTTGCAAGATAACGACAATGAGTCAACGACTTGTGTCATGGAAGAAGAAGAAACTGCTACTGCTGCTGCTGCTGCTGCTGCTACCGCATCTGGTGCTTTATCTACTGGGACTGGCAACGATATTCAATTTCGATTAGTTGCTAGTGATCATTTACCTACTGAACCGATTACATTGACGGCATTGTTGCATAGTATTGATGAGTTGAGTAGTCAAGTTGATCCAGAAAAGGGTGAGTTGGGGTTTGATTTGAGTAGGCTTCGGAGTACGAATGGGAGGGAAAACACAAGTCAATGAGTGTAATAAAATGTGTATTCAGGGGTTCAATCTAATTTTAGCCCTGATTTGTAATTTGTTCGCCGACCTCCGCAATTTACACAAAATCTGTTTTTATTTAAGGACTCTTTTTTTTCTCACGGAACTTTAATTTTATATTTTTTTTTTTTTTTTTTCAATGACAAATTGTTCCAAAAGTCAGGCTTTGCAATTGTGATAGTGACAAGTAACAAAAGAACAGCCTTGCTTCGAAACCAGACTACATTCTGTAATAGAACACAAATCTTACCGGAAATGAGTCCAAATACTAAAGGCACTGCCAACTCGGCCGAAGATGAGGCACCACCTCCATACGAAGAAGCAGTCAAGACTGGGATCCCAGTACAACAACCATCTACAGGAACTAGTTCAATCTCAACATCTCGCCCCGCGGCACCTCGTCCGCAACAGTATTTCCATACAAACACGCAATCACACACGCTGTCGCACACACAATCACACTCGTTGCATTCATACAACCATTCACCTGCGCCTGCGCCTCCTCGTCCAGGAACAAGTTCAGGGTCGAGCTCAATTGCATCTGGTCTTCCATTCAAATACCCCAAGGGGTTTCATTGTCGGAAATGCAACAATACCGGCTACAAGCTCAAAAACGGCAAGACATGTAAAGATTGCTGGGAAAGATTCAGTCCCCGAAACACCAGCAATTCCGTCAATTACAATTTCCAACCACAATACTTTGGATCCACGACATTTATCCCTTACGGCAGTGCACCTGTACCCAACCCACATCCAGGGGGGAGAGCTGGTGGCAGCGGGAGCTTTTTCAGCACAGCTTCTACGGTTCCGTTGCGTGTTCCACCAGGTGATCCGAGGTTAGGTGGTGTGCTTTGTGGTCGATGTAGAGGTTCAGGAATGGTTCGGTTTTTGTTGGATATGGAATTGTGTCCTGTTTGCTCTGGGTTGGGCAGAGTGGTCAATGTTCCTGCTATGCCGCATCCGCCACCCCCGCCACAACAACAAGCTTATAACCATTATTATGGAGATCGAAAGAGGTAAAGTCGAGAAGAGAAGGAGACAGAGTTTGGCGAGTTTGTAACCTGCTTTGACAGTTCAATTCTGAGAGGGGGCGGGCGGTTTGTCTTTCGTTTCATTTACTTTCATTTCGTTGCCTTTTTCTTTTTTTTTTTTTCTTTTTGAATATATAATTCACATATTTGCACATGTGTAGGTAAAGTTTAGTAGTACAATATTTCAATGCCTCTTTATTTAGTTATAATTTGATGGGTATTTGAAATCAGCCAATTCATAGAAATTCTCTTTAACATTTCTAATTGAAACAAATCTCGACAAGATATTGGCACTACCGGCTTTATCATTAGTTCCCGAGGCTCTAGCACCACCAAACCATTGTTGTCCAACAACAGCACCAGTTGATTTATCATTAATGTAGAAATTTCCAGCTGCGTATCTCAATTTCTCTTCAGCTAATCTGATGGCTTGTCTATCTCTAGCGAAAACAGATCCTGTTAAACCATATTTTGTTGCTGAATCAATAGATTTGATAATGGATTCGTATTCAGCATCTGGGTATACATAAACAGTTAAAATTGGCCCAAAGAATTCCTTGGTCAAGTATTCGTGGGCGGGATTTGTGGTTTTGATCAATGTTGGTTGAACATAGAATCCTTTACTGGAATCATATGATCCACCAGTGATAATTTCCAATTCTGGGTCAGATTTGGCATCGTCAATGGCCTTGGCCAATTTTTGGAATGATTGTTCATGAATAACTGGTCCCATAAACGCATTCAATGAATTGGAATCAGAAGTATTGCCAATGGTGATTTGTTCAATTTGCGCCGACAAGATATCTTTAAACTCGGGCCAAATTGATTCTGGTACGTACAACCTTGAAGTGGCTGAACATTTCTGTCCTTGGTATTCAAAAGCACCTCTCAACGTAGACAAGACTGAGTGGTTTAATGACGCACTTGGATGAATCAAATGGAAGTTTTTACCACCAGTTTCTCCCACAATTCTTGGGAAATCCTTGTATTTATCATTTGACACATTTTCACTAATTTGACGATACAATTTCTTAAACACATCAGTTGAACCAGTGAAATGCAATGCAGCAAAATCACGATCATTCAATACAACATCAGTAACTTCAACTGGATCTCCAGGGATAAAGTTAATGACTCCCTTTGGCAAACCAGCTTCTTCCAATATGGTCAACAACAAATAATTTGACAATGCTGCAGTTGCTGATGGTTTCCAAACAACGGTGTTTCCCATCAATGCTGGTGCGCCCACCAAATTGGCGGCAATAGCGGTGAAATTGAACGGAGTAACAGCATAAACAAAACCTTCCAATGGCCTATACTCAGCACGATTCCAAACACCAGGGGCTGTTTGCAAAGGTTGTTGGCCATACAAATCCTCAGCATATTTGACATTAAATTTGAAAAAATCAATCAATTCCGCAACACAATCAATTTCAGCTTGGTAAACATTTTTGCCCTGTCCCAACATTGTCGCTGCCAACATGTCATATCTATATTTAGTTGAAATCAAATCTGCAGCTTTAAGGAAAATAGCAGCTCTATCGCTCCAAGGTGTATTGGCCCATGACTCCTTAGCTGCTTTAGCAGCCTTGATAGCAGCCTGTACATCTTGCACTGTAGCTTGCGAGACATCAGCTAAATTTTGTGAATGGTTAGCTGGATTCAATTGTGGCTTTGTTTCCTCACGATATATTTTTTGACCACCAACAACCAAAGGAACTTTCAAACTAGCCTCATCAGTGAATTTGGTAATTGAAGCACGCAATAAGTCCCAATCTTTCACATCATTGAAACCAAATGATTTCACTGGTTCGTTTTGCAAGTTAGGCGGGGTTTTGACATGAGCTAATTGAGAAATGGCTCTGAAGGATACCAAAGATCTGGGAAGTTGAGCTCGGAGTACACAAGGAGTGGATGCTGATTTAATTGATTGTAAACTTTGTCTAAGGACTAAACGTGATGATGATCTCAACATTATAGTGTGCTTTGATTAGATGTGATATGGACAAGTGGGAAGAAAGTAGGTCCTGGAAGAAGGAATAAACAAAAGATGGGAAAGCTTAGGTTTATAGATCTATTTGAATGGAGGAGGATCGATGAGGAGAAAAATGATGATTTCGGAATTTTGAAAATGTGATTACACAAAACTACCAAAATTGGCAAAGAGAAGCGAAGAAGGAAAAAAGAATACATATGGAATGCAAAAGCGAACACTGAATCCAATAAGACGAGACGCTTGATAGGAAAGCAGTTATGCTAGCAAACGCAACGAAAGACCCCTACTTATAATACCTACCTAAAAGATAATCATTGTGTTATACCCGCACGCGCGTTCTCTTTGAGTGTAGAAGTTGCAACAAAGAAGGGGACCAATTAATAATAGGGCGATGTTATATATATATATATATGCTTCAGTAACTATAATGGGAATCAAAGGACAGAAAGAGTTGGTTGTTACATTTTTTTTTGAGCTAGGGAAACAATGTTGATATGCAATGGCAGTTTTAATCATGACCACTAGGTGCCTTTAATTTAGCCTTGCCATTTCAGTTGATATACAGTTGCCGTTGTAGACTTTGCTGTGGAATCGTCTTGGGGTATATTTTCTCTTCTCCACAAGAGCAATCCATATTAAATTTGACAACGATCACCTCACATCTACACTTATTTGCTCGAAATTTACACACAAATCATAGACTAAAACATAAGCTTATTCCGTAGCACTATTAGGAGTTCTCTCTCAAACACTCTGCTCTACCTTGTCTAGCTCTTACCATGCCCAATTGAATTCAGCACTTGTCTTAAAAATTGCCAAAACCCGTTTGCTCTGTTACAATTCTCATCTTCACGGTTGCTGTGATTAGCTAATACATGCACAGGTGCTGTATTGGTTGCAATTCCAACTGCAGTTTCAATTACTCCTTCTTCTGTTTAAGCTTCTTCTTCAACTGTGGTCTCGCTGTGATTAATCCGGACAATGCGCCCAATACATTCATTTTGTTTTCGCGGCAATACCCCAGGTATTCATCAACCCATCAGTTGATGGATGCCACCGGAAAGCTGAAAAACGAGCCTTAAAGGATCTTCAACCTCTCTCGAGCTCTCTGGGTTTAGCAAGAAAACTCTCCTCTTCGTCTAGCGAACAATCTCCCCGTAAATAAGGCTCCGATCCGACCAATATGTGTTTCCAATGTTGGACAAGGATAATAGAATGGTGTTGTGATTCTTTGGATGATTTAGTTTTTTGTGAGCCCTGAAGCTTGTAGGAAGCCTTATGCGCAAGCACTAGTGCTCAAATGGTTGGTCATTTTAGATGAGAATATGATAATACAACTTTCTTTTGACCTCTGTGTAGACGATTGAGTGTAATGGAGCAAGATTCAAAACTTGGCGTTGGTTCACGTGTTGCAAGATAAGGACAAGGATACCAGAGTGTAGATCAGTTATCAGAAACGTGATGAGGTGGCAATGAGGATAATAGCATGGACTTTGAAGCAAATGAATAATTGCAATTTGAAGATTGTTCAACTTTTCTAAATGCTGTGGCTTTATGTTACTGTGTGCAAATCTATGATTGTATAGGTTGCAAAATCACAAATTTTGCAAGTCCAAAACGAAGCTTTATATGCAGAACCCAACGAATGCGAAGCGAGATCCAAGTGGCTCCATTGTGCGATTAATAATGAGACAAGTTTTCAATGAGGTGGTTTGAAAACTAGTTTGAAATGGTAAGGGTGGCCCATTGAAAGATATATTGCGTGAGATATGGACGTGTGATGCCATGGAATGGCAAGAAGTGGTGTCAACAGAAGATATTATGAAATTGAAGTATGATTGACAATCTGGGGACTAGAATATGAGTAAAGGGTCTCCATAATAGCCACGTAAAAGAGATTGATTAGACAAAACAGACAATAATAATACAAAAACAAAGGAAATACATTCTTTGAGGGCATAATACGACAACATCTCACACGACGCAACGGACTGACAAATACATGATACTAAAGACACAAGAACCACAGATTAGAAGCATAGTGTACAGCATCAAACAAATTTCTTGGTGAACAAGGTGAGATTTTATGATCTGAGTATTCGTTTTTCAAGCTCATCCAATCTCGTTTCGTATCTGCTGCAATTTTCCTCAAAGGTTTCCTTCAGCGTTTCCAAGCTACGATTCAACGAATTTAACGATTTATCCCACTCCCGGATATCTTGTCCCAAGTCGCCTATAAGTTGATTCAAGTTGGTTGCAAAGTTTAACGATTCTTCCAATTCATTATGTATTCCACTTAAGCCTTTGATTCTCTCCAATATTGTTGGAGCTACAGTACAATAAGTTTTCAAATCGGGTAAGATATTATATAGCTCATCTATCTTCTCATTTTTGGGGACTGGCACATCCTCCCATCCAAATAATCGTTTATTCAATTCTAATTTCTCCATTTCCTTCCCAGTTGTTTCAATTTTGGACTTGATGGAATCGGCATTGTGTTCAGCATGATTTATAATATCTAGTTTTCTAATTATCTCGTTGATTGAGTGTTGAAGTGGCCGTGATTGTCGATGGTCTGTGCCCAATTGCGTTTCAAGTCGGTTCAACTTATTCTCTAGATTGACAAATTTGGCAATTTGTTGTGATGTGGCATGAACTGGTTCAGGTGGTGGTATCAATATCTCATCGATTTTGAGTTCCTCTTCAGTGGGGAATTTTCGTTGACTCGGCGATGCATTCAATGCATTGAATGCTGATAGTAACTCATCAGCATCGGAACACTCGGGCCCTTCTTCTTGTTGTATCTCCTCTAATTCTCGTTTTATCCTCGCCAACTTTTCCATCTTAGTCTCCTTCTTTTCCCCAACTTGAAACCCACGTTGGTTTAGTAGATTGCCAGAGAAGTCATATTCCTTGTCGGTTATTTCAATGTCGACAAATTGAGCTTGTAATGGTTCTAGATTGATATCTGGTGGCGCTTGCTCTTGTCTCTCCTCATCAGTAGGATTCTCATTTTCGACATCTGATGATTCATAGATTTCTTGACTATCGATGTCGATGCCAGGTAAATCTCCAAACTTGTTCATTTGTACGGTCTGTATATGCTCCGTTGTTGACACACGTCTTCGATCTAACGCGTTTATATGTTTATTGAGTTACTTTGTTACACAAAAAAATTGGTTCGCTTTCTCTCTCTATTTGGTCACTATTTGCACTACATCTTCATCATGAACAGGATGATTCAACCCACATTTCTGCGGCGAATGTTTAGCACTTGACCCCCAAACTAATGCATATTTAAACTGATTCTTCATATCTCGATGAATTGAGTCACAAACTTCTAAAATTGTACTCTTATTTCTCACAACCATTGGTTCATCAAGATTAGGTAAAATACCTCTTCGCTTAGTATATAATCTTAATAAATCCAATTGACGCCATATCTCTTCTTTTAAATCATCAATTCCCAAATCCAATTCACATGACATCACCACCGTGTTTGGTTCTCGCGCTAATCTATCACATTCTTCTAAGCTGACGGCATCAATCTTGTTATAAACATAAAGACATTTGATATATGTGACATGTTGTTCATTGATAACGTCAATGAAATCATCAACTGTGACGTTTTCATCTCTAATCAAAACATGGGCATTTAAAATTTTGTAATCCTTCAACAATGCAGTAACGATCTTCTCGTCGAGGTATTTTGGTGGAATAATGGAGTTCATCTTGACCCCGCCGGTCTTTTTCAAGGTGATTGTAACATTTGGCTTGGTTTTGTTCAATCGAATTCCCATGGACTCCAATTCATTTTCCAATATCTGTCTCTGATCCTCACTTTTCGTGGCATCCAAGACCATCAAAATCAAATCTGAGGTTCTTGATACGGCAATCACTTGGCGCCCTCTACCTTTACCTTGAGATGCAGCTTTTATAATACCTGGTAAATCAACAATCTGCACTTCAGCTCCATTGTATTCCAATATACCACCTACCGATGTCAATGTTGTGAATTCATAATTTGCTGCTTCCGATTTCGTGTTGGTGACTTTTGATAAAAACGAGGATTTACCCACTGAGGGGAAACCAATTAATGAAACACGAGCATCCCCGGCCTTGGCAACTTCGAATCCTTGCCCACCTCCAGATGAACCTTGTCCAGGTTGTGGTTCTAATAACTCTCTACGATACCTTGCTAATTTACCTTTTAAAAGACCAATGTGATACTCCGTAGCCTTGTTTTTTTGCGTACGTGAAAGCTCTTCCTGAATTTGAGCAATCTTTTCTAGTATTCCCATGGCTAAATTTGATTAATGGAGAAGGAGTAGTTAGTGATGGTGTTGTTCAGTTGGTAACTCTAAGATTTTTGCAAAGTTTGTTCTTTTTAGCTTTGTGTTGAAGTGTACCATACAAAATTTATTTTTCCAAAACCCTATCCCATCTCATCGAGCATATTATTCCACCCAGTTGAAGCCATGCCTAAAACAAAGAAACTCCACAGAGTTAACAGATCCAGTCCGATAGAAGTATCCAAAGCAATAAACACAGGATCATCAGCCAAACTCAAAAAGAAAATCCGAGACATTGAAAGACTCCTAACCAAGAATGATAAGTTACCATCAGACAAGAAGATTGAATATGAACGAGCTCTTAAAGGTCTTAAAGTAGAGCTACAAAACTCACAAACTGTTCTCAAAACTAAACAAAATGCCACCAAGTATCACATGGTTCGTTTCTTTGAAAGAAAGAAAGCTATAAGGAAATTGAAGCAACTGCGCAAAGCATTTGAAGAGGTTCAAAAGACAGAAGTACGGAAAGATATTAAAAAGGCAAGAAAACAATTGAAGCATGGTGAAATTGATTTAATGTACGTTTTGCTTTTTCCCAAGTCAGAGAAGTATATATCATTATACCCTAGTGCCAATGATGAAGATTTATCTGATCCTAATGTCAAGATTGGATTACGCAAGACCGAGGCAAGGAGATTGGAGTTTAGAAAAGAAGTGGAAAAGATGATGGAGGAAGGTAAGGTGCCGTTTACAGTAGATGACATATTAAGTGGCAAGAAAGTCAACACTGATGTTGGTGCTAATGCTAGAGTTGCGCCTGCCGAAGAAATTGATGCACCAGAGCAAAAAGAACCTGAATCACAAGAAGATGATTTCTTTGAGTAGTAGTCTGTCTCATTGATTTGTGTAGCTGATTCTATAAAAGGACCGTCTTTATATCGTATTCGATATCCATTGCATCATTCACACAGGATATAGTCACACTCTTGCCAAACAAGTCGTCTGGTATTTCCACTTCACAAGAAACCACCCCCTTTTTCAGTTTAAGTCTTGGAGAAGCTCTCTTCAACAAAAGCAATTCCTTATCATCGTGAATAATGACAAACCAAGATTCTCTTTGTGGTTTGGGGAAATAGGGACAATAGACTTTGAATTGATCAGTAAGTGGGTGATTGTTATGAACTAACATCACTCGAGCAAGTGCTGGCTCAGTTTGCTTGAACTGAAGATCTCCTGTTGGTAAATGCGATGCCACATTGACAAATTGTTTTCTGGCTTCTTCATTTGTAGCTGCTAATGTTCTCGCATCCGTCTTTTCTTTACAAACACCAAGCTTCTCTGCGGTTTGGAACAAGTGACCTTTGTTCATTGACCCAAGTTTCTTCAAAGTGACACCGTTCTCTACTTCAGGGTCTTTTACGGTAAGACTCAATCCAGGCAATGTACTCACTGGATCATCATCGTACCAGCATCTCTGTTTTATACACTGCATCAATTGAACAAATGTCAATACAGCTTTCAAGAATCCCATTTCAGCAGCTGCGTCGATATAAGCTTGCAATATACGCAATGCCTGGTCCAATATTGACACAGTATCCTGACTATAATCAGCAATTGGCAACTCATCCCTACTCATGAACGCCTGCAACAACAAATATGCCTTGACATGAGGGTCCCAAATAAATTCACGTTCAAGATCTTCAGCAGGGTATCTCATGGCAAGCGATAGCTCCATATTGATCAATTCTTCACCATGTCGTGTTGCCAATTCATCATATTCAGTAGCTTCACACAACAACTTCAAAGCATCTCTAAAACTAAATTCTGGTTTGATCTTGTTGACAAAGTTACGCATTGTCAAATGGGAAAGATAATAATACGACGAAATATGCAAAAATGAGGTTGGGTGTAAATCCTCAGTGCCACCGGTGTAAACACACTTGGATTTCACCAAACTGTCAATGCTTTTGTCAATAAGACCTGCCAAATACTGTGAAATACCGTACTGCGAAACATCCTCAATCCCATAATATGTAGGATTGTTATGAGCTCTTCTGTATAGAAAAGTCCAGGTCAAGAAATCCATTGCTTCTTGCCTTGTTTTTATTGTCCCTGCAGAAATCTCGGCACCAATATGGTTATCCAACACTTTATGTAACGATGATTCAACGGGGAATCCCAAATTCAAAAAATGTTTGTAGAATATCTTTTTCGATTCCTTGGTGTATACTATGGCAGTACCACTTGTGTCAAAAGCCGGTCTTCCTGCACGTCCCATCATTTGGAGAATATCCGTCAAGTCCATATCTCTATATCCTTCGATTTTGGCATCAAAGAATTGAGTACCCTTGACAATGACAAGATGCGCTGGTAAATTGACACCCCATGCCAAAGTAGAAGTGGCAATCAAAATTTGGATCTTTCCCGATTCAAACAATTTGTGTGAAATTTGACGATCAGATTCAACTAAACCAGCATGATGCAACCCCATTCCAAATTGTAATGAAAGTTTCAAAGTTTCATCTTTGACTTTCTCCAATACATCTTCCAATTCGAAATCTGACATGTTCAAGAACCTTCTAGGGTTAGATTCCATCCCACATAGGTGAATCAAATCCAATGCGGTCAATCTTGTTTGACGACGAGATGCAACAAAGATCAATACGGGTTTCTCAGGAGAGTGCTGCTTAATTGCTAAAAATGCTGGCTTATTCATCGTCTTCATTAAGGGACAAAACGCCAAATTATCGGGGAAACCATCAATATACATTTGTAGCGGAACTGGACGCACCGATTGTGGGAAATTGAAAAGTCCATTTCTGACACCTAACCAACCAGCCATATCAAAAGCGTTTGAGACCGCAGTTGACATTCCAAGTAGCCTAATTGGCTGCTTGGTTTGAGATGAGATATAATTGACACGACTTACAATCATTTCCAAAATAGGACCACGATCACTTGCTAAAAGATGTATTTCATCCATAATGACGAGCGACACTTTTTGAACAAACGTTCTTGTTTGCCAATTACGTGAAATACCATCGAATTTTTCCGGCGTTGTTATAATTATGTCTGCTTCCTTGACTTCATCGACACTAGGTAAAGAATCACCAGTCAATTCTACCAATTTATGTGTACTATTCTTTGAAATTCTTGCTCTCCAATCATCAACTCTTTCACGAACCAAAGCCTTCATGGGAGCGATGTAAACCACCTTGGAAGAAGGAAATTCATTGAATGCGTGCCAAATGGCCAATTCTGCCACTAATGTCTTTCCCGACCCCGTAGGTGAACCCACAAAAGCACTTTCGTTCGTATTGTACAAGGTATGAAAAACCATTGTTTGCATTGGATTGAAATATTTGAATTTGGGAGAGTAAATCTTTTCAATTTCTGGATTCTTTAATGCAGTAACTGGCAAAGGTTGTAATCGTAAAAGTTCAGTCTTCATCGTTTCATTTTGAGGTCTGATCAAATGCTGGAATGAGACTGGATGGATTGTCTCAGAACCAATCCATGAATCGGATACGATTCTGATAATAACTTGTGGGGGTAACGGATCCGACAACGGAATCATAAAGTCCATTTCATGAGGATTATTCAACTGCCTTTTGTGCAAAATGAATTTTTCCACATGAAGAACATTGAAACTATCTGACTCTTCAACACTTAGCCAAAAGTACTGTGCTTGCCCATGAATCTTATCATCCCATACGAAATCCGGTTGAAGTACAATATGAATCCTCATGACATTTGTTGTGATGGGAAAAATTTCCGAATCAAGCTCAATATAAGGAAACTTGCCCACAAGCTTGTACAATGTATTTCCCATCAGTCTATTATGCACCATATCACCCAATTCAGCTGGCTCCATATCTCGAAGCATTTCCATGGATGGATTCTTTGATCGGATATTTCTCAAAACCGGTTCAGGTAAGTCAAACTGCATCATCGGATGCTCAAACGACCATATACGTCGATCAATGGACTTGCACAAGGACAACATTATATTCATCAATTTACTCCACCTTCTATTCATGGCAATCAAGAACAAAGAACGACATATTCTTGCTGAGTTTTGAGCAACATAATTGGAGTCAGAAATCAATGCTGATTCTCTTATATTTGCTTGCGAAATGAATGCTTGAAGTAGGATATTTGTCTTGCCTTGCGGGGTATCCACATTGGCTCCAATTTGACAAGGCGAGTCATCCTCCATTAATTGTTTCAATTCTTTAGCTTCTTCTTCTCGAAACTTGATACTGTCAAATTCGCTACTCATACTTATCATGGACAATATATCTGCTTCTGTTGCCAAAGGATTCACCATTTGGTTGAAAATTTCCACTGAATTACTAAGCAAGTAAAAGTCTGAAGCTATTCTTCCTAAATCTTTTGGCATAAAAGATCCAGTTTCATCATCATACACAATCATTTGTAACCCATGAAGTCTTTTTGCACTCGACACAATCAATTCTCGTCTTTTGTTTATTAGAAGCGGATCATCTTGAATTTCCTGCCATGACATTCCATAGGCGAATGGATTTTTTTTCATTCTGGTGATCATATAAGTGTAACCAAGCCATTGTACACCCTCATCAACATTAGTCACCGTGCCCAACGAAATCTCAGCATTCAAATTATCAATCAATTTTTCCTTCAATTTTGATTCAATTGGATGTTGCTGAGTCAACAATGCAACATAATGATCAAGTTTGTCACTGGTGGTGCACAAAATACCAGTTCCAAAATTTTCGTACTGGGGCCTACCAGCACGTCCAAAAATTTGAATAACATCGGAAATACCCAAATCGGTGAATCCACCTTCTTTTGGATTGTAAACTTGCGTGCCCTTGATGATGACAACAGCGGCTGGCAAATTTACACCCCAGGCCAAAGTCGAGGTACAACATAGTACCTTTATAGCACCATTTTCAAACATGCGTTCTGTCAAATTTCGATCACTACGAAGCATACCCGCATTATGAGTTCCAAACCCATGTGGGAATAGCTCCCTCAACTCTTTACTTCTATTCTTTTGTGACGCCTCCCGTTTATACTTTTCGTAATATTCACTTTCAGTACAGTCAAACATACCCAATTCGTTACGATCCTGTGCCATTGAGATAAACGTTCTCGCAGTATTGACAGTTTCCTTTCGTGAGTGCACAAACACCATAACTTGTAATCCTTGGCTGACATACTCTGAAAGTTTTTCATACGAAATCTTATCCAAGTTTTCTCTTGCAGTTTTGGAACCTGCTTTACCGCGAACACCCAACACTTGCTGTTGTAAAGGGATTGGTCTAAATGACTGATCAAAGTAAAACATCCCCACATTTCTATTTACTCCAAGAAAGTCGGCAACATCCATATAGTTGGGCAAGGTGGCGGACAATCCAACAACTCTAATCATCAGTTGTGTGCTTTCAACTTGTCTCAAGGTACGTGCAACTAATGTCTCTATAACTGAACCACGATCTTCGTGTAAAAGGTGTACCTCATCAATGATTAGTAGTTTAACCTTTGACACCAACTCACTATCACCCGTCAGTTTTCTTGTAACAACATCCCATTTTTCTGGGGTAGTTACAATGATCTGGGTTGCTATTATTTCTTGTCTCGTTAATTGCATATCACCTGTCAATTCTCGTACTTTAATACCTAGCCATTGAAGCTTCTTCGAATATTTTTCAACAATTTCTGCCGCTAAAGCTTTCAATGGTGCAACATATACAATCTTAAACTCATCGTAGTCAATGTCAACTGTGACTTCGTTGTCGTTGCCCACGGTCTCAGTAACAAATTGTCCAATCGTGTGTAGGATTGTTAACAAAGCGACATCCGTTTTACCGGCACCAGTAGGCGCACAAATAAGCATGTTCTCATTACTGTTGTATGCCACAGGGTACACCAAACTTTGAACCTTGTTTAACGACTTGTAGTTTTTAAAAGTTCCTTGGCATAGAAAATCTAAATCTTTGACTTTTACAAGTTGTTTTTCAGAAATCCATTTGTTCGGCAGTTCTTCGGGGTACGGTATAATTAGCTCTTCGTTCAAGGGATATGACATTCTCGTTGTTCCCTTTGGAAGGGCAAATTTTCCTCCAGTGATGGCTGCAATATTCACAGTATCTTGATTTTTATATACGTGGGGATACTTTTGAAACTCCGATTTTGGTAAAATTTGCTGATTGGCGTTCCGTTTTTGATTCTCAATTAACAATTGTGCTCTATCCTGGGCAGAGAGTAAGCCACTTTTGCGTGCCTCTGCAAAAGCTCGCTTATTTTGGACTATCTTTGAAATCAAGTTAAATTCGTCAAAACCTAAAATATCAAAAAGTGAAGATTGAAGTTGTTCGTCACTAGATGAGTCGGCAACCAAGGACTGGATAAGGGTGAATGTTTCCAATTCATCTTGACCCCTTTCTAAACTTATTCTTCCACACTCATCTTGAATCTGCTTCAAAATCTGGGTATCATTAGACAGAGATCCCTCTATCATACGTTTGAAAGATTTGGTAGAGATTCCTTCAAATCTAGATAGAATTGTTTCGATTGGTGTGTATTTGCCGTACTCATTGTCCATAGCTGGTACCTTCTGTGGTTGCTGGGACAACATTCGTTGTTGAAGCGAGTCAACCATGGGTTGCATGGCCAGCATATATGATTTTGTAGATGATACTGTATACCCAGACATTTTTATAGCTTTTTAATGATGGGTTGGTGTGTGTGAGAGTGTGAGTGTGTGAAAGAATTAATGAATGTATCGAAATTTTATAGAAAGGTGCCTCTTTGGTTGTGGTGAAAAATTAGATTTGTGCTTCTTTTGTGTCACGTATTGTATGCATCTTTTGTTTGTTTTGTTTATACCAAATGAGTACAAATAGCAGTATGACTAACACATGGGTCAAACCTATTGTTTTATAAAACAGATGGGATAAGGTTCTCCTGGAACAAAAAGTGGAACAATTTGTGTCTGAGAGGGACTCTATATCAATTCATAATACAAAAGTTGTGCGACGTACTGCAAAAATACCATTTGATAAATGCTATTTATCATAGTCGACAACAATTGCATTTACACTAACTGGCTTACTCCCAATATCATGTGGCTGACGGTTTAATGACCGTTAGTTTCATTAACACTTTCTCCATAATTGTAGCTTAATCAAATCGACTTGACAAAGTTAAAACGTAGAGCCTCCTTTTAATTCTTCCTCTTATACAAGACCACAACATTTAGAAAAGTTGAACAATCTTCAAATTGCAATTATTCATTTGCTTCAAAGTCCATGCTATCATCCTCATTGCCACCTCATCATGTTTTTGATAATTGATCTACACTCTGGTATCCTTGACCTTATCTTGCAACACGTGAACCAACGCCAAGTTTTGAATCTTGCTCCACTACACTCAATCGTCTACACAGAGGTCAAAAGAAAGTTGTATTATCATATTCTCATCTAAAATGACCAACCATTTAAGCACTAGTGCTTGTGCATAAGGCTTCCTACAAGCTTCAGGGCTCACAAAAAACTAAATCATCCAAAGAATCACAACACCATTCTATTATCCTTGTCCAACATTGGAAACACATATTGGTCGGATTGGAGCCTTATTTACGGGGAGATTGTTCGCAAGACGAAGAGGAGTGTTTTCTTGCTAAACTCAGAGAGCTTGAGAGAAGTTGAAGATCCTTTAAGGTGCAACAAAGTTGCTTAGCCTTTTTTTAATTGGCGAGGTTACTTGTTGTTGTTGTTGGTGATGGTTTTTCAGCTTTCCGGTGGTATCCATCAACTGGTGGATTGATGAATACCTGGGGTATTGCCGCGAAAACAAAATGAATGTATTGGGCGCATTGTCCGGATTAATCACAGCGAAATCGCAGTTGAAGAAGCTTAAACAGAAGAAGGAGTAATTGAAACTGCAGTTGGAATTGCAACCAATACAGCACCTGTTCATGTATTAGCTAATCACAGCAACCGTGAAGATGAGAATTGTAACAGAACAAACGGGTTTTGGCAATTTTTGAGACAAGTGCTGAATCCAATTGGGCATGGTAAGAGCTAGACAAAGTAGAGCAGAGTGTTTGAGAGAGCTTAAAAGGGTTAGTCTTTGTAATTGAGCTTGAAAGTTTTGCTCTTTTAAAATGCATTGACACAGTGTGCCTCCTACTGTATGTATTCTTTTTCTGTTTTTGGTTGCAAAAAAAGCAAAACTCAAGACATCCCGCTTTGATTTGAATTATTATCACCCAGTACACGACTTTCCATCTTGTATTTTTTTTTTTTCTTCTCGTTTTAGTCTCATCTCAATTTTAGAAAGATCATCGCATACATCTCGTATCACTTTATCAATACAACAACATATGGCTAAGCATTCAACTGACAAAAAGACTGTCAGAAAGTCTAGTTTGGAACTGACGAAGCATACCAAAAAGAGAACAAGAAATGAATCAGAATCAGATTCAGACTCTGAAAATGAGGTGGACATAGACACTGAAAAGGCTGTCGATCAATTAGATGACGAGTTTGACGAAGTAGCAGGGCTTTTAGGACAAAACATTCAAGATCCAGAAGCAAAAGCAGTAAACAAAAAGCAAGCAAAAGATGAAAAGAGATTGCAAGAGTTGACAAAGGCAAAGGTTGTTGACTCAAGCAACAATGACAACGTTGATGATGATGACGAATCTAAGGATAATTATTCCTTTGAAAAAGCAGACTTTTCAGAACCGACAATGAAAGCCATTAGAGAAATGGGCTTCACAAAGATGACTAAAGTACAAGCCAAAACTATACCCCCATTGTTAGCAGGAAGAGATGTATTGGGAGCAGCAAAGACCGGATCAGGAAAGACATTGGCATTCCTCATCCCGGCAATCGAGCTCATGTATTCATTGAAAATCAAACCTAGAAATGGTACAGCTGTGATTATAATAACACCCACTAGAGAATTGGCTCTACAGATTTTTGGCGTTGCTAGGCAATTAATGGAGCATCATTCGCAAACTTGTGGGATAGTGATTGGTGGTGCTGATCGAAGACAAGAGGCTACTAAATTGGCAAAGGGAGTCAATTTATTGGTTGCTACGCCTGGTAGACTTTTAGATCATTTGAAAAACACTCAGGGTTTTGTATTTAGTAATTTGAAAGCATTGATTATTGATGAAGCTGATAGAATATTGGAAATTGGGTTCGAGGAGGAAATGAAACAAATTATCAAAATCCTACCTAATGAGGATAGACAAACAATGTTATTTTCAGCAACACAAACGACTAAAGTTGAAGATCTTGCCCGGATTTCCTTGAGACCAGGTCCATTGTATATAAACGTTGTTTCTGAAAGAGATGTTTCTACGGCTGATGGATTGGAACAAGGATATGTGGTGTGTGACTCAGATAAGAGGTTTCTTTTGTTATTTTCATTTTTGAAGAGAAATGTCAAAAAGAAGATTATTGTGTTTTTGTCATCCTGTAACAGTGTCAAGTTTTACAGTGAATTGCTCAATTATATTGACTTACCAGTGTTGGATCTTCATGGCAAACAAAAGCAACAAAAACGTACAAATACATTTTTTGAATTCTGTAATGCAAAGCAAGGTATCTTGGTGTGCACCGACGTTGCCGCTAGAGGATTGGATATCCCTGCTGTTGACTGGATTGTTCAATTCGATCCCCCAGATGACCCAAGAGACTATATTCACAGAGTTGGTAGAACAGCAAGAGGCACTCAAGGTAAAGGCAAGTCACTAATGTTTTTAACTCCATCTGAATTGGGATTCTTGAGATACCTTAAGGCAGCCAATGTGCCACTTAACGAATACGAGTTTCCAGCTAATAAGATTGCCAACGTTCAATCGCAATTGACAAAATTAATCAAGACAAATTATTTGTTGCACCAGTCTGCCAAAGATGGTTACAGGGCATATCTACAAGCTTATGCTTCACATAGTTTGAAGACAGTGTATCAAATTGATAAATTGGATTTGGTCAAGGTTGGTAAATCATTTGGGTTCGACGTACCTCCCAAAGTGAATATTACAATTGGGGCTAGTGGCAAATCAATTGAAAAGAAACACAAGAAACAAAAAAGAGATAAGAAGTAGGTATAGAGGAAAGCATTGGCCATACAAAACATTATTGTTGTAGATATATATATGACTCTGGCTTGTGAAGAGATTCATCTTTGCTTCTCTTTAAAATTATATCAGCGCATCAAGTACTGACGCGTTTGGTTTTAAAAAAATAAAAAATAATTTAAATTCAATCCTGTGCTGTGCTCATTAGTAGAATCACACGGCAAAATGTCATATACCCAATACTTCAATCAAGGAATCGAGACCAAAAATGTTCACAGAAAAGAAGTCAGAATACCGTCAGAGTTTGCCAAACGTAATGAATTTTTCATCGACCCTAAATCACGAAAATACGATCAACAATATTTTTCAATGTATCAGTATCGCTACAATAAACTACAGAAACGAGCATGGACCAATGCAATGAAGAAATGGGGTAATGGTACTAAGAAAGTCGATGGCCAAACCATAACCAAACAAGACAAAATTTTGGATATAGTTGGCGGTAAATTATGTTGGGTTATTGGTACAGTTTTCGTTGATGCCAAATACAAGTTGAACATTTTGAATGATGTTGAAAAAGGTACCGACGATGTGTTACCATTGGAGCCAGTTTCGTATTTGTCTGATAGTGAACAGCCGGTGGTTATGTTGGAAGATGAATCTGGTAGAGCCATTTTGCATAATGATGAATTTTTACAACATAATTTACTAGTCACTGGGTGTATTGTTGCCGTGTTGGGGATTGAAATCCAAGCCGGTATATTTGAGATTATGGATGTGGCTTATCCCGAGTGTGCTCCACAGAAGCCACTTCTGAATGGTGAAACAAGATCAGGTAAAGTTGCATTGGTGTCTGGTTTGGATATTGGGCTTGAGGGTCATTACGATTTGAAACTTGAGTTACTCAAACAATACCTTCTTGGCGAGCTCGGTAGTGATGATGAAAAGCAGATCAATAGCAATATAGCACAATTGATCATTGCTGGTGATTCTATTGAACCATTGCAACAAATTGATGAAGAAGAGGATATGAAAAACTACATTACTACAAACAACTATGGATCGAAAAACATTTCCAAATACAACAATGAGTCATTGAAGCAGCTAGACCAGTTCATTAATGACTTGATTGTGACGATGCCAATTTCTGTGATGCCAGGGGACCACGATCCAGCAGAGATTTGTATTCCTCAGCAACCATTACATAAATCCTTATTCAAAACCAATCGTGCAATATTAGAAAGTGATAGGTTGAGTCGATTAACAAACCCAACGTGGCTCGAACTTGATAAAGTAAGAATGTTGGGCACTAGTGGTCAAAATGTCAATGATGTCAAGAAATATGTGACACGAGAAGCAGATTCTGATTCATTAAAGGTTATGAAATCAAGTATGAAGTGGCAAAATTTTGTCCCCACAGCTCCAGATACATTGTATTGTTATCCATTTGACAATTCCGACCCGTTCATTTTTGAATCAGAATTACCTCATGTGTATTTTGTTGGGAATCAAGACAAGTTTGAAACTGACGTATACAAATGTCCTGATTCTGGTGCTCAAGTGAGATTGATTAGTATACCGCAGTTTAAAGCTACCGGTGAATTTGTTATACTTGATTTGAATACATTAGAGGTAGAGTTAGTAAGGATAGAGGCATGAAAAGAAAAGTAAAAAGAAGGAAAGTGGACCTGAGTAGACAACATTGGTAATTTCGTAATGATACCATATAATGCTACCATGTGTATTGGCGTGTATATTATTTCTCATACATTCTATTGGTTGAAAAATATAAAGGAACGCGCTACCGACTCAGTACAACCAACCAGTGTTCGATTGAATGAAAAAAATCTTTCTTTTCTTAGAGATATCAGGAAAGTCTGTCTCTTGTACACCCAATTTCATTCAACTTTTGGACACCCTCCTCACATCTTCAATCAAACACTGTTGTGTATATCTGTATAACCTTTGTGTGGTTTCCAATTGTCGTTTTTTTTTTGTTTGAAGAACTATAGCTAATCATGATTCGTGGCTCATTAGTATTGAGAAGCGTTACAGCACGTCGTTTCATCTCAAGTGGTACCAAATACACCACCTTGTCCAATGGTATCACTGTCGCCAGTGAAACTATCCCAAATGCACAACATTCATCAGTTGGTTTATATTTCTCCGCTGGTTCAAGATCCGAACATCCTTACAATAATGGTGTTTCTGCATTGACAGCCACTGTCCTTTCACAACAACACAATGCTTCTGCTGATGGAGTTGTTGTAAGTGCTCAAAATGGAAGAGAATTCAATGGTATTGTTGCCGAAACCACCAATGACAACATTGAAGCTGCTGGAAAATTACTTTCCACCATTGCAACCAATGCTGAAGATATTGTTTCCAAGGCTGATTTCCAATTTGGTAAAAACTTTTTAACCAACCAAGCCAATGCACTTGAGGCTAATCCAAGATCAAGAGTTATTAGTCACTTGTCTGCCACTGCATACCAGGGTTACTCATTGGGTTTACCTAAATTGGGAACTGAAGAATCAATTTCAAACTTGGACCAACAAGATTCATTGCGTCATTTGTCCAAACATTTAGTTAATGACAACATTGTCATTTCTGCTGCTGGTAGCTTTGACCATGACAAGTTGGTTAATGCTATTGAATCAAACTTGAAGGTTGCTCAAGGTGTTAAGCCAGAGAAGAAGCCAGCTTCGTTTTTGGGATCAGAAGTCAGAATGAGAGATGACACTATGCCAAAAGCATACATCTCAATTGCTGTTCATGGCGAAGGCTTAAACTCTCCAGATTTATACACTGCTCAAGTTGCTGCCAAGATTTTCGGTAACTTCAACATCCACTCACCAAAAGCCCACTACAAATCATCGAAATTGTCATCGATTGTCCAAGAATACAACATTGTTGAAAAATACGAACATTTCTCAAAATCATTGTCTGATCATGGATTATGGGGATTCTATGCTGAAATCCCAGATAGATTCACCATTGATGACTTTGTCCACTTCACATTGAAGCAATGGAATAGATTATCCATTTCAATCAGTGAAGCTGAAGTTGCTAGAGCAAAAGCTCAAGTGAAAACTCATCTTTTAAGAGGATTGACTCATACTAAACGTGTTGCTACTCATAATGCTAGAGACATCTTGGCTGTTGGCCATCAAAAATCAATCACTGAAGCATTCCAAAAGATTGATGCGATCACTGTTGCTGATGTCAAGAAATGGGGTCAAAACAAGGTCTGGGATAGAGATATTGTTATTTCCGGAACTGGTTTGATTGAAGATTTGTTGGACTACAACAGAAACAGAAATGAAATGGCCATGATGAGATGGTAAGGAGGGGGAGAAGCAAAGAGAAAAGAGCACAAGAGAAAGAAGCTAAGCTGACATGTGTAGATGTATTTAATATACGATTTATCGACTTCATTGAGGGCGAAGATGAAGATGTAGTAACCATTATCTCACATGATTCCACTCTTTTTCAAATTCAGTTGAATGACAATATCAGCAACAGCACTCAATACAAACTTCATTGATTTTGTATCAGTAGCGCAAGTTCGATGGACATATATGGGTTTATTGGTCCTATTCATCTTTAAAAAATTCGTTTCAAAGAATTTAAGCGCTTCATCAACATCATCTCTCTTGCCCCTATAATCGGGGAAATACTTCTTTAGTGGGTTACGTTTGATCTTTTCTTCGAATATATCAATCTTATTCAAGAATAAAATGAAGGGGGTATTGACAAACCATTTTGAGTTGCACAATTGATCAAACAAGATGATTGACTCATGCATACGATTGACTCGTTCATCTTCAAATAACATTTGATCGTACTCGTTAATTGCAAGGACAAACAACACGGCAGTGATGTCATCAAAACAATGGATCCATTTCCTACGTTCGCTTCGTTGTCCACCGGCATCCAACACTTTGAATTGGAAGGAGTTGATGGTGAAGTTGGTCTCTGTGATACCTGTGGTTTTGATTCGTCCTTTCAAAATGTCCAAGTCAGAACACAAGTAACTAGGGTCAGCAAAGTTGAAGACATTGTCAAAGTAGTACTCAGCGCTGCTCTCAAATTGAAACTCATTTGATCGTTCAAAACATTTCTTGATACCGGAATCATTGGCCCACAATTGATGTATTGATTCAGCAATATCGTGGCGCGAGTAACGAGGCTGTTCATTACCATTGTTGTTACCGCCACCAACAACAGCTTGTGGGATACCTGACAAAACTTCGTCTCTGATTTCGGGGTCAATCTCATCGTTATTGGCACTAGTGTCGTTTCCTTTTTGTCCAGGATCGCCTAAAAACCCAACCACCCCGGTGCTATTCAATTTCCGCTTCATTTTTATCTTTTCATCATATTTCAAAATATAATCATTCAAGAAATTGGTTCCACCAGCAATACTAGTATCAATTTGAGTCAAGGCGTCACTACGTAACACGCATCTCTTGAACGGAATCAATGCACTATTAGGCTGGTCGCAATCTAGACGGATTTTCAATTTTCGAGCTTGAATAATCAAGATTTTCATACTTTGAATCACGTCACACCATATAATGTTTGAATATTGCATTCGTTCTTGGTGTGAGAATCCTCCCTTGTGTAATAGCTTGAGTTGTTTCAATACCGTTGATTTACCACTTTCACCTGCGCCTAGTAATAACAACTTGACGCCGTTTTTAGCATTGGCTTTGTTCAAGTGTAAGGATTGTTCTATGGCATCGTTGATTTGTTTGTCTTGCAAGAACGGATCTTGTTCGTCTTGAACTGGTATACTTGCGCCACACCCCATTTTTGGAAAAATAGATAAACAGGTGTTGTTTGCAACGGGGTAAGTTGGTGATCTGACTTGGTGCGTTTACTTTAGTCGTCAAACTGGATGGTGCTGTTCCTTGAGAAGCAAAAAGGAAAAGAGGCTGCAGTGGAAGGAACATGGACGTGACGGGAGTTCAAGAATCCCAAAACTTAATATCTTGAATGCCGTAACAATATATTGTACTTATAAATTATAATAGTTTATTTTTTTTTTTGCGGCCATGTTAATTTTTGCATCAGTTTGTGATTTTCTTCTCTAAACTACTGTTTCAGATTCACTAATTGGGAAGTCTTTCCTAATGTTAAACTCTGTTTTCAGGTACCCGTCATCAAAGCCATAAAACGGGAATGTATGGATGGTGAACTTTATCTTCGTGGCTTTCGGGAGGAGTAGTAATGATATAGTATATTTATTATCTACAGAGTGGGATTTTGAGACGACCTTTTCTTATTTTCGGTTTGGAGAACCTTGAAATGGATGATAAAGTTTGAGTCGTCTACAATATATAAAAGGTGTTAATCACACAAACACTCTGTAATATATGTGTTAACTCAATACGATATTCACTAAGTTGATTAGTTATTCATTAGTTTCTCTATAGAATCTCACTGGGTTCCGGATGAAGCACACATATTTATATCTTTAAATCATTAGAGATGTGACACCATATATTACTATGTATCACATCACATATTCATATATTGTGTTATTTTCTGAAAACACCATTAGTTATGGTTCTTGGTATCACGCAATACTTCACCTGTATTAATTACCACATTATATGAGATCTCACCATTGATTATCTCACAATCCTGTATACATTCCGCATTGAACCATAACCAGTACGTATCCTAAATACCATCACGTATCATAGTTCATGAATAAGGCTACAGCATTATCACCTCACAACAATGGACACAAACCGATATTAACTCATAACTATCTTGAAGATCGTATAGAAGAGAGGAGCAATATGGAGAACTATCGAATGCGCTAAATAATTCGATACTTCCCCGTACAGTACATTGGACTTAAGAAATCTCCGTCCGAGCTTTCAAAGAAAAAATGTCAAAACTCAAGATGGGTCGTAATACAAAAATTGGTATCCTTCAAAGCATCGCTTTCACTTGCGACTTACGTGGCCCCGAACTTGGCTATTTTCGAATGTTTATGAAGGGATTGACACAGTTGGGTGAGCCAACCCATTGAAACACACTTTGCACATTTTATTCAAGTCTCATTGTATACATTTTGATTACACTATAGCTCTCAATAGGTGCCACCATGGTCATGACAAGATGCTGATCAAAACGGTATGAGGGCATGAATTTGGGGAGAAGGAAATCAATACTCAACATCACTTAGCTCGTCACTCATCGAACTACGTGTGATTACCTTTACAGAAATGGATCTTTCAATTGGCGTCAACAGGAATTGAAATTGGAGTGTCAAACGTGTTCCTCATTTTGTGCAACCCCAATTGGATGAATTTTTTTTTTTTTTTTCAGCAAAAATTTTTCAACGTTTCATTTCGTATCCTTCTTTTCCCTTTTCTTTTAATCAACTCAATTCATATAATCCCCACCCCTTATACAATGTCAGACGAAAGAACTTTTATTGCTATCAAACCAGACGGTGTTCAAAGAGGTTTAATCTCAGCCATTCTTGGTAGATTCGAAAACAGAGGTTACAAATTGGTTGGAATCAAATTGGTTCAACCAACTGAATCATTGTTGAGAACTCACTACGAAGATTTGCAATCCAAGCCATTCTTCCCATCATTGTTGAGCTACATGTTGAGTGGTCCAGTTTTGGCTACTGTTTGGGAAGGTAAGGATGTTGTTAAACAAGGTAGAGCTATCTTGGGTGCTACTAACCCATTGCAAAGTGCTCCAGGTACCATCAGAGGTGATTTCGCAGTTGACATGGGTAGAAACGTTTGTCACGGTTCTGACTCTGTTGAATCTGCCAAGAAGGAAATTGACTTGTGGTTCAAGAAAGAAGAGTTGGTTGATTACAAACCAGCTTTGTTCGGTTGGATCTACGAATAGATGTGTTTAGGTTAATAGGATAGCTAGATGAAGGTCAACGTGCTAACACAATTGTCTAAGGTTGAAACTGTAGGACATCCCATAACTCTTAATTCCAATGATCTTCCTCTTCCTTTTAGAGCCAAAGAAAAAAAAAAAGTCAACTTAGAGAGTACAAAGATCAACTCGAGTTAACTAAATAGTAACTGACTGCCACTGCCACTCTTTCCCCCCACCACTTGCGTAGAAATGGCTTCAATTGAGCAAGATGACCTATTCAATGCTGAAGATGATGATATGGAAGATGAATATCAAGACAATGAAAACAGCCAAGATTACGACATGGAGCCCGAGGATAATCAGTTAGACAACGACAATGATGATCAAGAGGAAGACGATATGATTGAGGGCGGAGAAGACGATGAAATGGAAGAAGAAGATGATGAAGAAGATGAGGAAGAGGGGGAAGGCAGCGAAGAAGGGGATGAAGAGGATGGAGATGAGGATGTGGAGGGTGAGGAAGAGGGGGAAGAAGTAGTGGGCGAGGTCGATGCCGGGGCAAATGCCGAGGCTATAGCTGATGACAAAGAAGATGAGATTGTTGCCAGATCGCCTATTGATGAAGATAAACCACTCGCGGAGCAGACAGAGAAACTAATACAGAACTCTCCTCAAAACGATAAAGTGGATGCCCTAGAATATGAAACTAATGCGATAGAAGCGCCCTCAGATACAGCTCAGGAGAACACGCCATCGAAACCATCACAAGACACACAAATGGATTCAGAATCCCCTAAATCACTATCCACCGAACCGACAAGAGAAGAGCTAGTCAAGGACATTGAAGAATCAGAAACTAGTTTGCCATTTCGTGAACAAATCATCGCTAAAGCTCGAAAAGCCACCGATTTTGACATTATTCCTCAAGTTGCCATACCATATACATCTCAATGTCATGCATTAGCATTTACTCAAGGTCCTAAATGGATCCTTACTGGTGGTGAAGATGGATTTATAAGGAAATATGATTTCATACAGTCAGTTGAAGGGAAAGCACCATTGACAATGGCACAAAAGCATAACCTAACTGACTCATTATCCAATGGTGGTGTTATATGTTCATATTGGGAGAACGAACAACCACTAACTCGCAAACAATTGATGAAGCAAAATCCAAAACTAAAAGATTCAGATTTTTCAACTGGTAGTGTATCGTACGAACCAAAAGTGAATCCCGTGTACGCTTTGGAAGCTGAGCGGAATGGCTTGTGGTGTTTATCAGGATTGCTTTCAGGAGGCATAAGTCTCTACACAATGAGATATAACGAAGGTACAATTCACCACTATTTCAACCATGGAACTTCTCAATATCGACGAAGGGGTCATACCGATGCTGTCAGTGCCCTAAGATTGAATCAAGAGCAGGATAGATTTCTTAGTGGATCATGGGACAAGACGATTAGAGAATGGGATTTGAATACAGGAAAGACAACAATTGAATTCTTGCCTTCGTCAGGACAAATTTCAAACATACAGTATCGACCTAATGGGTTGGAAGATGTGAGATTTACAATCATTGATGACTCGGGGGACGTATCCAATGAGAGCAATAAAGCAAATGATGATGATGATGTCGATTCGTTATTTGGTGACAGTGATCAAGAAGAGAAACAACAAGAGGATGATCTTCCAACACGAGACCAAGACGCAAAGTCCTCACCAAAGGAAGCGCAATCAAAATTACACACAAACTCAAATATATTTATGAGTTCAAGTAGCGATGGAACAATAAATATATGGGATATTCGATTAAACCAACCAGTCATACGATTAGGCGTTTCAGAAGGGACTCCACCATGGTGTATGTCACTGACATGGTCTAATGATGGAGATTTCATATATGCTGGACGACGTAACGCAACAATCGAAGAATTGTCAATCAAAATGCCACACAAGAGATCCAAGTCGGGACATCACAAAGACACCATGATCCCCAATGTATCGAAATTGTTGCAGTTTCCTAAGATCAGTGGTCCCGTTAGCGCACTAAGCACAATGCCCAATAAGGATTTCTTGCTTTGTGGATCAAATGATAATATACGGTTATACAATTTACGTCTTTATGATGATTTGAATAATATGGAGGTGAATTTGAAGAAACAAGCGACCCCATTCTTAATTGTTCCTGGACATCATGGGGGTATGTTGTCGCACTTGTATGTTGATGAAACTGGTAGGTTTATGGTTAGTGCTAGTGGGTATAGAGGTTGGGGTCACGGACAGTATACTGATACAGTGTTGATTTATGAAATAGACTTTGAGTAGTGTTACATATATGAATATAAATCGTGCACATAATCTTTGTCTTATAACAGATTAAATTAAACTAAAGAGATTCTAAATGGCAAGTGGATGAGGTCGCGATGATCAGAAATACATTATCTATAAAAGTGAAGAGAATAGCGAGCTCTCTACATCTAATTGACGTCATGAATAACAGGTTTACAAATCGTATATTTGGACCTATAATTGCACCCCCACGAGGAACACACAACTTTCTTCGTCATGTTGCTTGACAGATGCGATTATATCGTCACGAAAGCTCGTTCTAGCGATTCAGTAGGAAGTTAGTATTAAGCCCAACTTTAATTGTGTTAGCTTTCGCCAATACGATACACAAACCACTAGGAAAAAGAGACCTTCTACAAAACAAAAGTCCAACATTTCACACATAGATTTGACCCAGTCACATACTAGGTTGTCCCTTTTGAAAGTTTCCCGTAGTTAATGTGCTAGTGAAAGATGACACTTGACTTATACAGCACCAATGAAAATTAAACGACATCAAAGACACCGATTTTCATTCATGACTGATGTCATATATCGTGATCATCTCACTCAATGAAAGGGCAAAATATTCACAGTAGTAAACATAAAAGCTGCATTTCACTGGATCGAAGATTTGCGACTCCATGTGAATGCATGAGGGAACAGTTGATGCGAGATATCCTTGCAAATGGACGGTAACCCCCTTCACGGCAGAGACAATGGAGACATCAAATCATTAAGACAATACGCACACTCAATTGCCAGGAATGGACACGCTGGAATTCTTGTTAAAGACAAGCTAAAACAAAGACACTCCAGAAATTAGAACCGGTCCACAACACACCTGTCAAAGGATCCGACAACACTTCACGACTTGTCGTGATGCTTATCAAGAACCACTAGCGTGTTGAAAACAAGCGTGAAGAAATTCTGTTCCCGTTTTTTGCTTTTTTTTGAAAGTGACTCCTATTTATATTTTTTCTAGAATTGCTAGTACGTGCAATACATTAAAGTAACACGAGGAACAAATTAATATACAACGTAAATGAATTGAAAATGGATTAGGAATAGGGAGGGAGGTAATCTTTGTTATTCGAATCGGTAAATTGTATGTTGTAACGTTCCTGTGCCAACTTGAAGGATATTCTTCAGTGGCATGGACGTGGATGTGGTTCCCGAAAGCGTCTTGCTAAAAAAAGAACCAATTACCTGTAAACCATCCTTCACATCATTGATGACTTCACCATTTAGAATATACTTGTAATCATAGTTTTTGACAATGAATAAATGAATAAAGACTCCAATGACACCAACAGTTATCGATATTCTATAGATGTTGCTCCATTTGAACCAGGTCCAAGATCTGCTCACCGTGGATTTACTGTTATCACCTTCATCATTGTCATTGATTTCATCAGGTGATGAGAATATCGATTTGAATAACCGTGAGGATGTAAATTTATGAATTGATTGTGACGTATTTAATGTCAATGATGAGCTAAGAGAGTTCAAATTCGAGCTTTCAATGTCTGATTCATCTTCATATGATGACAGGAGTGAATTGTGTAATAGATCTTCCTCCTCCTCTTGTTTTTTCATCAATTGTTGTTGTTCTTGCAATTCATCAAGAACTTGTTTATGTATTTCGTCGTCTTGAGTTTGTATTAGTTCTGTTAATTTGTTCTCATTGAAGAAAAGTGAGTTGTGCTGTTCATCAATCTCATTTAGACTATGTTTAGGCGAAGATGTCGCTAGTAGGACTGAATGTTGGTTGTATTGTTCAAACCATTTGTGCCATGTTTGATCAGAATTGACTAATTTTTCAACAGGGTGAGCTTCGAAAATATCATTCGCCTTCTCAAGAATCTTTTTCAAATTGGAGTCGGTCAATTCATCAAATAATTGAGTTGGTGAAAGGTGTGTATGGACTAAATCAGAATCAACCGAGGTGAATTCTTTCTGCTCCGGATCCAACTTCAATGCATCCCAGATTTTTGGTTTCAACACTATAATCGAGGAGGCATAGATATAGACATTTATGAGCACCGTGTTGTGATTCAACACCTGATCCCAAATATGCAAAATATGATTCAAATTGGTCAAATCATGAGAATAAAAAGTCAAGATTGATGATAATGGTTGAAGAAACTTATAGTCAAAGTGGCCGTTCAACATTTGGTACGAAGTGGATGTTTGTTTAATCAATTGAAACAACTGTTGATCAACCGATTCTATTATCGCTGGGATTAATCGCAAATGATCAACAGACAAGTTTATGTCAGTCACCATGAAATCTCTCAAATGTAAAATAGTCAATTTTTCCAATAATTTGAACGCCAAGTCTTGATCAATATCTTCTTCAATTAGTTCATTGTGATTTGCTTTATAACACACAAGTAACACAATACTAGCAATGTCATGATATCCTTGATAATAGTTTAAACTAGGATACTTCCTCAATACCTTAATGATCAAGTTTAGCAAGATCTTCTTCAACGAGTTCACCTCTGATGTGCTCAAAATGGTTGCAAAAGAAGAACCCTTTTCCAATTGTTCGCTGATCTCAACCGATGACGTCACTGAAGATGAGGATGACATTGAATGTATTGTGGTATTATGCACCACCGATTGTATGTGATTCAAGATAGTGAATGATCGTTGAATATCTAATTTCACCTGATCTTCATCCTTGTGTTGTGGTAAATCAAGATTATTAAGATTCTCCAATAGTGATTCTGGGGAAAATGTGGAGACAGAGGCACATGCAGGACTTGATAGTAGTGATGTGGTAGGTGCACTATCCAGCGACGCTATTCGTAAATATCGGCACCATGCATCCACTCTATCCTCCTCCGCTTCTTCTTCCTCGTCCCCCTCTTCCTCGTTTTCACTCTTGATTGTTTGATCAACATCCTTTCTCACCAATTCATTTTCGGTCCCCAACGCACCCAAAACTGCCTCTTCTTGTTCTTTTTCAATTAAATGCTGTATAGCTCGTAATTTATCCTCTTTTATTTCCTGTACAAATGACTCTTCTAGAGGACCTTGTAACCGTCTCAATGCCGTCTCTCCTTCCATATGCACCCAATTGTCATTCTGAGAACTTGATGTTGATGATGTCCTTGATGATACAACGGGTGATGTAGAGTATGACTCGATTGTCACTTCAGAATTGCTCATACTGGACATGTCTTGGTGATAACTGTATGAGAAATTCAGCAAGTCATTAAAAAGAAGAGCGATGTAGTTAAATTAGTGGAGGATTCGAAAACGGAATGGGTCGAGAATCACTTCAAAGTAGATAAAAATGTATATCAGTGGTAACAACAGTCTGGAAGTATAGTCTTGAGCGTTGTGGTTTTGTTTAGATTCTGAGATGGTCTCTTATCATTTACGAAAGTCCTTGCCAAATCTTCTGTTTCTCTTTTTGAACTAAATGAATTGTTATCAAATACACTACCATATGCTACCATATGGTTTAAAGATAAAACAATAGGGCCACAGTTTTTCATGAAGAACCCTAATCAGCCATTGGTTTAGAACAATGGCAACCTTGAAACTGTAAAGTACAGAGAAAACTTATAGACAAAAACGTTTCACTTTTCAACTTTTCCTTCTTTCCTGTTCTCTTTAAAATCGTATTATCAAGTCAATTCGAAAACCGACAATAATACTGGGTAATCACCAAACAAACCAATTGCGTAAATTACAAAATATCCAAGATATTCATCTCTATTTGTCTTATTTTCTTGGAATTCCTGACCTCACGAATGTTCAAAAGGTCAATTCCTCTTCACTGAAACCAATATAATTTGAAAGCTACGACCATGAATGTTCGATAGTGGACGATCGGGAAGATGAAGGGGTGGTAGAGGAGCCAAGGTACTAAAAGAGAAAGTAAAGACATACACAGATGACTTTCCCACCATTAACGAAGCAATTGACCATATATAAGGATCTGGCTACTTTGTCAAAGAGGGTCAAGGTAAAAGAACAAAGCTCACTTGCAAAGGTGACCGATGCAGGTATTATGTTCGAGTCACCTAAAATCCAAAAAGGAAATTCTTTATCCAAGAAGGGTTCATCATTATGGTGATTTGCCATTCCATCAGCTTCCAAGAGGTCGACCGTATGGTACCGATGATGTTGATTTTGAACCTAGCATCAAGCGTAGCATTGTCCAAGGTCGTGATTAAGTGAGCTACATGGAGAAGCTCTTTATCTGGCAATAGGTCTCTCCTTAGTCACAGTTCATCTTCGTGCTGTGTAATAAATTTATAATCTTATAATGACTTTGTTTGTAGTTTAGAATAAATGTGGTACCAAGAGGCTTGCTCAACAGATCTACACTTCATAACATATCTTATTAGAAAGTTAATTAGCCTGTGTGGCTATTCATTGGGGGGAATCGACGGATTTTCCTCATGTTTATTTATTTTCTGGGGTACTAAATATCGAGGGAGATCGGCGATTCCCAGTTGGAAAAATCACCGCCCGTCGACATTATTCCAACCAGCACAATCCAACCACCACCGAAAAAAATGTCAATTCAACAAGTAAAGCCCATTTCAGACAAGATTGAAATCACATGGACTGATCCCAACCCATCTGGAACCTCCACTTACCACAACATTTGGCTTCGTGATAATTGCCATTGTTCAGAATGCTACTATCCGTTGACAAAACAACGCTTGCTCAATTCAGCAACAATTGATCCAAATATCCACAGTAAACTGATTGATCATGATAGTGAAACAGTCACTATTGTATGGGATTCCAATCACAAGTCTCAATATGATGCTCATTGGTTAAGAATCCATTCGTATGAGCCTCGATTGATTCCCATGGAGGACAAGTTGTCTGGTGCCAAGACGAAGTTGGTACAAAAGTTATGGCAGGTTGGAGATATTGAAATGGACTTGCCTCATGTTGACTACAATTCTGTCATGCAATCATCTGTTAAGTCAGATAATGAAGACGCTATTAAAGATTGGTGTTTAAAAATCTGGCAATTTGGATTCTGTTTGATTGATAATGTGCCAGTGACTCCAGAAGACACTGAGAAACTTTGTGAGCAACTAAACTATATTCGGCCAACTCATTATGGTGGGTTTTGGGACTTCACTTCAGATTTAGCCAAAGCTGATACTGCATACACCAATTTCGACATCAGTAATCATACTGATGGAACCTACTGGCTGAATTCACCAGGGTTGCAATTATTCCACTTGCTTTACCATGATGGAACTGGTGGTACTACTTCATTAGTTGATGCTTTTAAATGTGCGGAAATCATGAAGGAGAAGTATCCCGAAAGCTATGAAATCTTCACTAGGCTACCCGTCCCTGCTCATTCTGCCGGTGAAGAGAAAGTTTGTATTCAACCCGATATTGCCAACCCCATTTTCAAATTAAACAAACAAGGAGAATTGATTCAAGTAAGATGGAACCAAAGTGATCGATCAACAATGGATTCATGGGATGATCCTAATGATGTAGTCAAATTTTATCAAGCTATAAGACACTGGGTTCTGATTATTACCGATCCTGAGAATGAGCTTTGGTACCAAATGAAGCCTGGTCAATGTTTGATTTTCGATAATTGGCGTGTGTTGCATTCACGTAGTGAATTTACTGGCAAACGAAGATTATGCGGGGCATATCTCGAAAGAGATGATTTTGTATCGAGGTTAAAGTTGTTGACATTGGGTAGAGAAGCTGTATTAGATGCTATTTGAAGTGTAATTATATAACAATTGAATGAGAAGAAAAACAAAGAAAAAAAAAAACCGTTTTATATTTACTATTTCTATTTAACCACTATAGGCTCCTCCTCTAGACAAAGATTGGAATGTGATCCCAATCCCAAGGGTCATTAAACCTCAACCCTTTATCCAACTTGTTGATTGCCTCCAAATCCTCTTTACTCAACTCGAAATCATTAACATTCAAGTTTTGCGCCAAACGATCAGGATTGTTTGATTTTGGAATCACGGCAATACCTCTTTGAGTAGCCCATCTTAACAACACTTGAGCCAGTGATTTCTTATGTTTGGAAGCAATGGACTTGATAGTTTCATGATCAAACAAAGTTGGTGTATCCAATGCCTTTTTACTTTCCAATTCCAAAAATGATTGAGGTCCAAATGAAGAATAACCAGTGATGGCAATTCCTTGAGATTGAACAAATTCAATCAATCTTGGTTGTTGTAAGTATGGATGGTGTTCAATTTGCAAAACAGCAGGTTTAATCTTGGCACCGCGTACTAAATCGTAAATCAACCCACCATTGAAATTGGAAATACCAATGGATCTGATTTTTCCCTTTTGCACCAAGGATTCCAAAGCTCTCCAAGTATCCAACAAAGGAACATTTTCATAATGAAATTTATCACCATCACCACAGTAAAATCCAGGTGGATATTTCTCTTCAATGGGGACAAATTTGAATGCAATGGGGAAATGAATCAAGAATAAATCAAGATACTCCAAATTCAAATCAGACAAGGTCTTGTTTAATGCAGTTTCAACATTTTTAGGATCATGGTAGTTGTTCCATAATTTGGATACAACAAATAATTCATCACGTGAAACAAGTCCTTCATCAATAGCACGATTGATTCCTTCACCAACTTCTTTTTCATTGCCGTAATCTTGAGCACCATCGAATAATCTGTAGCCAACTTTAATTGCATTGTAGATTTGGTCGGCAGCAGTCTCGTTGGTGACTTTCCAACATCCAAAGCCAACAATTGGCATTTCGTGTCCTGAATTTAATTTAATGCTCATAATGGGAGTAGTAGTAGTGTAGTTGCGCTGTGTGCGAATTGTGTGGATGAATCTTTTGCTGGTAATTGAAAGTAGAGAACTTGATCTGGTATTTATATTGTGGAGTAGCGTATAACAATGTGGTCTGATCATCCAATAGGAGTAATAAACTGCCCTTATTGCATTGTATACATCATATGTATAATCCTCCCGACGTAAGTCAAAATGTTGAACAAAAAAGGGTTTGAGTTACACAAAAGTATCATGTTTGCTACTTTATATAATGCAATGTAACATCAATGTATCACGCTCTCCCCAACAACGAGATCTTACTTAAAACAATAAATAGTGGAGGTACACATGACAAAGATGAACCACAAACAAAGGTTGATCATAACAAATGTACAAAAGCTCAATACAAGAAGTAAGGCACAATACCATGAATGCAATGTGAAAGTGGGGTGGGGTTCATATTTGTTTGAGTTTTGTGCTTTTTCCACTCTCGGAGTAATTATACGCCAAAATAAAGAAACGTAAGCACTATTGCCACCACCTTGGCGGTCTGTTTGAGCATTACAATGGAGCAGAACATTATCGCTAATGAATCAGAGAAACACATAACGTACGAAAATGAGCTTGAAAAAAATATAATCTAACCGAGTGTCTGATTGCCTTCACGGGTCCTATTGAAGTTTTGCCTTCAACCCCAAACATCAACAAAATTTCGTGAGACCTAATTAGCTCTTGCCTACCTCCATTTTAAGATCCTCTACACAAAACCGAGCTGAAACATAAATGAACACTTGTGGGTATATTTTGTCCTTTCGCTAATTCATGCCCATACTATAGATTTTTACTCCATTAGGACCAGAATAAAACGGCTGACTGCGTACCATTTGTGTATTACTGCGTCTAAATTCAAACGTTTTCTTGCAAGATATATCTATTACATTTCCCTCAAGGTAACAACTTATAGACAAACTATGGAAACCATATCGTACGATTTTGATCCTGTGTTGCCCCAACACCAAAAACACCATCTTGTGCTTCAAAAAGTTTTGTATTGTTTTCTTTTCTAGCTCAACAAATTACTGACACTCATCGCCGTAGTAGCCATATTGTTATTTGCATTGTTTGTCAATTTCTCCGTTACAACAGACTCTTGACTTGAGTTACCTTCATCCCCCCTATCAGTAGTCTCATTGCTGCTAGTAGCTTTAGGCATATTTTTCAAAGAAGTAAAACTCAAGACTGACCTGATAGGAGGTAATTGTGTACCAGTAGTAGCTATACTATCATCCGATTTCAGAATTGATGCATCAACTTGAGGTATCTTTTTTGATTCTTCACCATTATCACTTTTGTTGGTATTATCTTGTAATGAAAACTGACTGGGTTGTGAAACATCAACCGAGCCTTCTTGTTCTTCCTCTGCATGTAGTTGGGGTGATTGACTAGGTGTTTGTAATGGAGTCTCACTGGGTGATATTATAAAACTCGAGTTGAATTTACGGGCATTAGCACCACTCAAATGAACTGACGATGGATGATTGGGCGTAGTGGTTGATAAAAGCACTGGTGAATTTGGTCTTGATTTCTTAGACACATGGTTCAATCCAGTGGAGCTGCCACCGCCATTTGGATTATTGTAAAATTCCAAATTTAATGATGTTGATGAAGGTTGCTTTGGAATGTTTAAATTGGATCGACTTTGAGATTTGGTCATTGTTGCACTAGTTGGGAATTTCAATGGTGTCATTCTCGTCAAGCTGGAAAGATTAGACAAGTTTGTTGATGAATTGGACGATCTAATCTTACTATTTAACGAAGAAAGTGAAGTTGATGATGACGAATTGCCATTGAATAACCTGTGTCCACTGCTGTTGTTGCCCTTTTGTTGGAAATATTCATGAAGGTTGCTGAATGATGGAACAGCAGTAGTGGCAGCAGATGGGGTTGCAGTGGTAGTACCACTGAATTGATGTTGCGAAGATGGTGGCATGGCTGCAGACGATGAATATGAAGCATCGCTGTCTGGAGATGTACCCAATGATTGTATCGAAGACTCAGGATTACTAAACACTCGTTGGTTTTCCGATAGTATGCTGGAAGAAGATTGTGACTTCAGTAGATTTGGATTATTGCTAAAGTGTTGTTGTTGATGTTGATGCTGGTGTTGGTAATGACGTTGTGGGAATGGGGGTGATACATTCACCGGATTACTGCTATGACTCAAGTTGTATGACCTTATAGCATCAGATGATATTGTTCGCGAACTTAAAGCGGGACGTTGATTGTGGTGATGGTGATGATGGAACTGGTGCATGCTTGAGTTATTGTCCTGCGTATTGGTACCGACTTTTTGTGGATACCCTGTCCCGTTATTTTGCATGTTGGTTGGTGAAGATGGGATTGAAAATATAGCAGATCCTTGTTGTTGATAATGTGAAGGTATGGGTTCACGAATGGATACTTTACTCAATGGTGTGGGTTCTCTGCTCACGTGTTGTTGTTGTTGCTGTTGTTGTTGCTGTTGTTGTTGTTGCTGTTGTTGTTGCTGTTGTTGTTGCTGTTGTTGTTGATGATGTAGAGCCAGTGCTGGAGAAACTGATGACTCGGGAGTTAATTGAAAGTGTTGCTGCGGCTGTTGCTGTTGCTGCGGCTGTTGCTGTGACGGATTCACTGGTTGTGTTTGTGTTTGTGGATGGGGTACCACTGGCTGCATATACCCATTAGCATGGGGTACTATATACACGGGATATGGTTGATGATAAATCGTATTACCGTTACTATCAACTGAAACCGATACAGGTGGATGAGGAACACCGGCAGGATAATGGCTCATTGCAAGCGGATGTGGTTGCACTTTTTGTGAATGGTCAGGGTGTACACTAATAGGAATAGGTTGCACCATATTGAGGTTGCTATTGTCATCATTCTTGCTCTTTCTTTTTCTTGATGATGGGTTGTTGTGTATCCTCAAGTGTCTAGTTAACTCATCTGATCTACTAAAACGTTTGGTACACCCAGGAAATGTACAAGCATGAGGTTTTTCTCCAGTGTGGGTTCTAATATGTCTTGTTTGATGTTCTAAACGATGAAATGCCTTGTCACAAAATGTGCACTTGTAAGGTCTGTCTTCCTTATTCTTCTTTTCCTTTATTGTTAGTTGTGGTGTTGTCATCTTGAAATGAGGGTCTAGTGAATGATTTGTAAGTCTAGTTTTTGCTTTGTGAATCCAGGGAGAGCAATCCTTCTTATTGGTTCTCCAACGTTGAACTGAAACGTAATAGCAGGGGGTGGATGTAATTCAGTAGAGAGGTATCTTATCTGCTTCCTCTTCTAATTAACTCTTATTCAAATAGCTTGATCAAGTATACTTTATGTGTTTTTTATTAAAAAAAGGAAAATGGAAAGTGAAAATTATTTATCAAGTGCAAATGATATAATGTCTCTTCGCCAAACTTCTTCATCTGCTGTTCTTGTTCTATTGCAGAAAATTTAAAGTTGGAAAAAGAAGAACAAGAAAAAAAAATAAAATAAAATAAAATAAAATAAATGCAGCAGTTTTGTGTAATTGTTGCTACTTTGTATTTTCTCCGGATACTCATTTACATGCAGGATGAAGCTTAACTCATATCTTATTGTGTACGTAAATTACAAGCTCGCAAACGATCTACTTCACATTAAAAATATAGTAGGTAAATGCCTCACTCATAACCACTTAGTAAACGTGAAGCTTCTTACTTTTCAGTGTATGATTATAAACAAAACATCACGCTGTTGCCATTGTCTCCCCGTGGTTACGTGTTTTGTTTTTTTTTTTTTTCAGTGCACGATGTGGGGGTTAAGTGGGGGAGGGGGTTAAGATCTGGAAAGATAACAAAGAGATACACTGAGACGTACAGTGAGTCTGGGGTTAAACTTTCGACACAGTAATCATATTTGATCAGGTGCCGAGCGATTGAGGTCGCCTGTCTTTATTCAACATTACAGCATCGTCTATTGATTATCTTTTTGTTTTTCTTGTCCCCATTTCTTAGTTAGGTTTAAGCCTAGATTTAGATTTGTATCTTAGTAATGTGATGTTGAGAAGGAAAAAAAAAATTGAGAACAATAACCTCAAGATTAACGAAAGAAGATTGTTCACTATACATTTGCTACTACAATAGGAGACCAAATGATGTTAGTACTCATGTAAGTTTTAGCCTCCCTTGAATTTGCTCTACTCGCACCCTCCGCCACACATCGTACTCTTGTCACGTCCAACATCTCAGTGGTGAAAGATGAGTGTTTCTCGTCAAGGAGGCAATTGAGTGCTGTGAATTATTGGTGTAGACACGACCCTCCACCACGTTTGCAACTAAAAAAAAAAAGAAGAAAAAGAAATTCAAACTCAATAAACAATTTATCCGAGCATTAACAAAGAAACAATAAGTTTTTCGGAACAATAGGAGAATACCTTATGTACAATAGATACAATCCCCAACAAAATGTCGCATACAGAAACAGTTGACCACTGTTTGACTTATGCATACACAAACCACCACACTAACATATCTAATGTTTCTTTTTTTTTTTCTATTTGTTCCTATTGAGCATGCGTCTGTGCCCCATACATTTTCGGTAATTGTACACCCGATGCAGTTCTTGCGTATCAAGCTCCCAAAATTGAAGAAAAGGAGGCTGCACCCGCTGATATAGCCTGCACAAGAACCGTTGGACACTACGTCATCACACTTGACCAAAAACAAAAGGGGTTGACCAAAGATCACTATAATAACGGTTTTACTTCACGACCTTGGTAATATACAAGGCATGTCTAAGGTTTGTTTGTCAGGTACCGTTTATTCAACTCCAGAAATCTCTCAACATTGAGCACGTTGACTTAGTTTTATCACTAAAATACCACGAACTGTTCTACTGTACTTGTTATTGTGAATGTATATTTGATCCACAACAAAATGTTTGCTGGTCTTGGGTTAAAGTACTTGGTGCGCTGGATCAGAGCCAACATATGCCTCGTATCACCCACTGCATTCCCAGGCTAGTGGTCCCACAGAAATTCGCTCGTAAAAGGGATGGAGAACTGAAACAGTTTTTTCCGAAAGAACTCCTTACCGCATCTTGCATATACGTACTTTACTTTCTCTTTGTGTCTCGGAAAAACTCTAGAGAGAGACGTTTGCATTCAAAAGTCTCTCCTGTCATTATTGAAGTACCAGTAATGGAAAAGCTCTTCGTCACGTAATGGGACTATGACTTTACAATATGTCCTATTTGATTAGAATTTGCTTTGCGTCTTTCAATCTTTGGTTGTCACCTTTTTTTTTTTTTCGTAATTATCCTCGCCCTAAGAAATTGGGAGGGTGTTCCATATTTTGCCGGAGATCCACTTGGTGCTTTAGTCGAGCGAGAAGAATATCCTTGTTCAAAAATACAAATTTGGGACGTACTGTCCCAAGTGTGTTCCCTAATTTAAACATTTCGTATAGAGCTGTGTTTGAAAATGAAGTTCAATTGTTTGACGAGTTCGCCTGTCTCGTACATGGCATCATTCATCGAATATGTCCCTACATGATATGTATGTATACAATTCTACCAACGATCTTGGTATCAATTACAGTAACAATGTCTGATTATTATCACAAACCGGTAAATAGCACAACGCTAAAGTTCTCCTTTGCTTCGTGGAAACCACCAACAGAAGCAAACAGTGCTTCAATATAAGACCAAAACACGGTACACCACTGGCAAAGTAGTTGCGACAATAGAATGGAAGCTGACAGTTTGAAAGCCAACAGTTTAAAAAAATAGGAGAAAAAAAGCAATGGCTTGGCACGGCTTTGTTAAAAGAAGAAATAAAAAAGAAACGCGGTTGTTACGAGGCTATGCTGCATGGAAACAACAAAAAAAAACCCCATAAATATCTCGAAATCTGCCGCGTTGTAGTTGGACATAACACTTTTACCCATTAATTAAGATTCATAATGTCTGAAGAGACTACTGGCTATCAATATTATCAATACACTCTAAACTATGGGGTCACGATCCACTATGCAGTCATTTTTCTTGTCCTTGCAATCATTGAAACGTACTTTGTAGTGTCAAAATACGTCCAGTTCAAAGGCAAGATTAGATCAAAAAATTTAAAAAGATACTGCAATGTGATGATCCCATTCATCATTGGGATTGTTTTGGAAATTATTGGGTTCACGGCCAGGGCAGTTTCTTCTAAACAGCCCGAACTGCTCATGCCATATGTGATTCAATCTATCCTTATTTTGATTGGGCCAACACTTATTTTGGCAAGCACGTACATGATATTTTGCGAACTTGCAAAGAGTCTTAAAGCTGAATCTTACTCTATGGTGCCATTGAAGTATCTCGCTAAAATATTTGTCACAGGGGACATCGTATCACTTTTCGTACAGACTTGTGGTGGTGGTTTACAAGTCGTTGATTCATTAAGAGCAGCTGGAAGAGCGTTGGTCATTACGGGAGTTATTGTGCAACTTGTGTTTTTCACTGTTTTTTGCTATGTATTTGTTTGGTTTGGTTTGAAAATTTGGCGAAACCCCACTAAAGTGGCAAAAACATTGGAACTGGCGTTTCCTAGAATAGGCAACTGGAAACACGGAATAATGGTTTTGAGTTTCAGCTGCATATTTTTGATGGTTAGATCTATCTATCGATGTGCTGAAATGATTGAAGGCACTAACGGTTTGCTTCAGTCGAGTGAGGTATATCTTTGGTGCCTTGATACTGTCATGGTACAGACTTCCATTTACTTTTATTTGACATTCAACTGGACTGGCTATTTTTGTCGCGTCCATGAGTATTACAGCTCGGTTTTTGATGTTATTGAACTTGAAAGTATAATCAATTGAATTAGACAATCTTTAGAGGGAATATACTAGCTGGAGATGTATAACTTTGCAAGCTGGCAATTGCGTTTGCTTATAGCAAATAAACATTAGACTTGTTTCAGATACATTACAATGAGGAAGGTATAGTAGTTTTTAGTGGCTGATACAACTCGGCAACTATCATGTCTACAATAAATTACTCTAAAACTCCATTTCTATGTATTAAAAATCGTATGTAAAATCAACCCATTGGTCAAACCATTGCAAATTGCTCAACATTTGATCAATTTCAGTTGAAGGATAGGAATCAACAGCACCACCGCCTTCATGATTGTCTGAAGATGGAGTATTGGATGAATTGACATACGACCCATCATCTGCTCCTCCTGCTTGTGGTGTGTGGTTCTCGGTATCAGCTCCTCGCCATATTGGAGACTCAGTCCCTGATCTTTGCATTTCCTGACGTGGTAGTATAGGATGTGGCACATTTGATCCATCTTCGTGGCGATATAATTGTTGTTCAAATACCTTGTTGAACTCGTTGCTTCTTGGCGTTGATGATAGTTTGTTGCGAGAATCGTTAGTGGTGGCATTGGCAGTAGCAACACCAGCATCCTTAGCTCCACCAATAGCACCATCATTGAACCCTAATTGTGAAAAATACTGTTTGTTAACATCAGATGAACCATGATCAACACCAATATTATTCAAGGCATTCATATCCTCTTGTAATCTAAGAGTTAGGATCTTGTTTGCCATTTTCAAAGCCCATGTACATTCTCTAACCATTTTGAACCGTTCACGGAAAATCAACTTGTTTTGTTTATTTCTAATCGGTGACTTTTTCAAAATGGTAAATAATTTGATGGTGTTTTTCAACAAATCTCGTGATTGCAGAATGAAAACACCACCATTGATCAAACAAAGTGCATTGACACCGATATTGAATAGTAAGAGGAGAACTGAATACCATGGGGTATAGAGTAACCCTGCTTTATTCACCTTGTCCAACACTTCAATAACACCATGGCATGCATCTAACACCATTTCCACTTTCAATCCAGTACTCACTATCCTTCTACCAATGTAATTAAAAAGAACCTTTCCATGAACACAAAGAACTAGATCATAGTAGTGCAACTTCACTTGCGCCTTTACCAAGGAGCTGACTTCATTCTCGTTTAGTCCAGAGCTCGCATGTTTATTGAATAACAAATCATTCCTAAACCCAACTTCATTGAACCATTGGTGCAATTTCACCAACTCAGCATTGATCTGCTGGTATTTGATCAAATGAGGATTGTCAGTTGGCGCAGTATGAACAAAGTTGGAAATCCTAGCAATGTGCAACAATGCCAATGCTGGTAAAGTTAACCAGTCATCCTTGACAGTTTCATGTTGGAAATCAAACCCTGGAAACCCACGACCAAAATCTTCTTCCCTGATACCACAATATCGGCCAGTTTGTAATCCAAAAACACGATCAAATGTAAACACACACCAAAAGATCCGCTTTGCTTTTAATCGTTCATACCCGGTGCATGCTAAAATGTTGTAATTTTCCTCACTGAACCCTAATCCCATTGACTTTGTCATTGTAATTGCTTGGCCTAGTGCATGTGATGACGATGTTTGTCTATGGGCAACTCTTAAATACAATGCAATCAAAAGCCAACTCTGTATCAATTCAAACGATTCCCACTCAAAACTCAAAATAGACACGATTTTGTAACCATATTTGAATAATTTCTCCTCCAATTTCAACATTTCCAAATCGGGACTTTTTGGCTTTTGGAATTCACTGAATCGAATAGCCAACGCGAAAATGAGATACAAAATGGCCGAATACAATTTAGTTTGATTCGATTTAGAGTCGTGCTTGTGCTCCCCCGTCATGGCCTCTTCTTTCATAAGCTTATCATACGCTTCGTATTGTTCACGGAATACAGTTTCATGAATAATTGCAAATAATGGATTAACTTCCTTGAAAAAGAAATCAATCAAGTATCGTTCATCAAACTCAATATCGAGTTGAGGTAAAGCAGGTAAGTTTTCTGGTGTTAGGTAATTGACTCCCGACATGTTCCATCCAAAATATTGCATCCGAGGAATGGTTACTTTTTCCTTCAGTTCTTCGGACAAGTTTGAATACATGGACTTGCACAATTCAACAATAAGTAAGTTTTGATGACGACGCGAAAACCTCCACTTGGAACTGGTTGTGTATAGCGTTTCAATCACACCTTCGTTCTCAGGCTCTTCAAACCGAGGGTTTCTGAAATCTTCCATTGTGTTTCTCGATAACAAATTCTCAAGGTACTGCACCCTATTCTCCAAATGGGCTATGTACTCCTTGTCATTTGATTTATCAACAACTGGCAATCCAAACGGCTCAGAATTGAGGGTACTATATTTACGCCTTTTGTTTGTATCTGCGCCCAAAAGTGGGTACCCATTTGATTTGCCTTGTGGGTTACCACCACCTGAATTTGAAAATGTGCATTCCTTCTTTTGTCGTACACAAGTTGCACAAGGATCTGAACCTGAACACTTGATTTTGTGCGTCCTACATCGATCACAAGCTTTACTTACTCTCATGCGTGGCCTTGAATCAGCTGCTTGTGGGGTTTGTGATTGAGCTGGTTGCAATGGTTGCGCAATAGGATTTGGCGACCCTGAATATGTCAGCTCCTGTGACAGTTGTAGTGGCGCTGGTGCTGATACTGGTTGCTGCTTCTGCTGCTGCTGTGATTGTCGATAGGAGTACACTGGTGGGAGTTGCACTGCCCCATAAGGTGAAAAGCCGGAACTCGGAGGAGTCATGCCTGAGTTTAAATTTCGCGAGTCACGAAGGTTCACGCGGGGTGGTTCCGAGTTGTTGGTGTCTTTAGACATATTGTTGGGGTCCAAATATAGCGATGGATTTGGTATAGGATGTTGAGATGAGATTTAATGATGTCACTGCAAAACCCTCTCTATTTTTGGAAGTTGGATGGGAGGTACGAGGGCGGAAAAAAAAAAAATCTAGACCGGATCGAGTTTGTGCAACGCTACCGACAAATACGGATTGAAGCTAATATTTACAATGATTTCATAATGGCATATATGCAAATGACAACTACTCTCTATACTCTACTCTTAAAATCGAACACCACCTTGTTCACCTTGTGTTCATCAAACAATTTAAATGCCTCTTTTGCATTATCAATTGAAGTCTTGTGATCGATAAAATCAGCCAACTTATCCTTCATTGTTTCAAATATCTCCAAAGCTTCCGGAAACAAAGCATAAGCATGGCATCTTCCGCACGAAAGATTAAGATTCTTCAAGTATGCTTGTAACGCATCAAAAGGAAATGGACCATGGCCCATTCCCAACGCTGAAATGAAACCATTACCACGGACAGCATCAAATGCTGTCTTCATTGAAGATTCAGCTCCGACTACTTCCAATGCAGCATCGAATCCCACACCGTTCAATTCGTTGGCAACAAAGTTAGCTACTCCATTTTTCTCCTCTTGGAAGTTGATTGTCTTGTAGGCACCGATCTGTTTGGCGGCTTCTAAACGAGATGGAATACTATCAACAACGACAATCTTTTCGAAACCAAAGTACTTCAATACGTGTAATGCACATAATCCAACAGGACCAGCACCAATCTGCAATACCGAAACATCTTTAATCTCTTGAGGCTTAAAGTTTTTAGCAGGTTGGGATTTGAAGAAATCGACAATCTTTTTCACTCCGAAATATCCAGTTACAAATATGTCCGCCATAAGTAAATACACCGAGTCGTCAATGTTGTCATTTTTAGCGCTTTCCGGTTTCTTCACAAGCACATTGTCAGCGTAGGGAATACGCACATATTCAGCTTGTCCTCCATCCAAGCCTGGTTTACCAAATGTGTTTGTTTTAGCACATTGACCTGTAAGTCCTTGCTTGCAGTAGAAGCATTCGCCACATTGGATCGAAAAGCAACTCAAGATATCGTCACCGGGCTTGAATTTGGTGACATCCGAGCCCACTTCCACAACAGTTCCCGTAAACTCGTGACCCACAACAGTACCTGGTTTCCCCTTGATGTGGCCCCTATAAGTATGCATATCGGATCCACACAATCCGGCATATTCGACTTTGATAATTGCATCAGTGGGAAGGTCAATCTTTGGTACTGGTTTGGACTCCACTTGAACATCAAACGGTGCGCGGAATACTACCGCTTTCATTTCTGTTGGGAGTTGAGACATTGTTGGTGGTTTATATGTGATTGGCCTCTGCAGTAACAAGAAGGATTCAAGTATCTATTTATATCGTTAGACCGAGCTTCAACGTATGTTTTAATTTTTCAAATTATATTTTTCAATTTTTGTGGGAAAATGTGGGGCCGGAGCTTAGCGGATATAAAACACCAAAAACCGGATGGTCCAATGAATTATGCACCTGTCAATCGGATGCATGCCATTAACGCAAGCAAGGTTGAATTAGAAAGTCCGATGACAGCCCTTGTAGTAGTTCCCACTAGCGATGGAGGATTGACATAAGGTCCAAATCTGATCTACAAGGTGATCTCATTTGACAGCGCGTTTTTCCAATTTAGGATGATTTACTAGAAGTATCGATTCTCGACAGTTGAGTCCTCGTCTACACCCTGGACTGGCTTATGCACAAAGCTCTGAAATCTGGTTAGTGGACCAAGTCTAGTACGTAACAGTCTTGTATTGAAGTGTCAATGAAATTGCAAACTGACGTGGCAAGAGAATATCCACTGTGATTTGTTTCTCAAAAAAGTGTTGTGCTGACTCCGTTGATCGCCAAAGCTCTTTGGCATTGTGGTCGTGGTATACGACTAACTGGTGCTGATCCGATTGCAGCAAGCGGTATTTTGACGATAGTGAAAGCCGGAATCTACTTGAAGTTATTTAGAGGTTCATTGGTATACTTCCCGAGTGGATTGCGTCTAATTGGATCTATATTATGCTATATAATCAATAAAGGTAGATCCAATAACCTTACCCAAGTTCTTGACAATCTTGGAATACCCAATAATCCGTCTCATGATATTGAACATTGCAAAACACAACACATTGATGCAGATGAAATTACCCAATGTGGCATAAAGTAAAAAGATTGTTAATGTAATGAATCGTACCATATTTGTGGACAATTGTGGACATGATCGGGCTATAGCATCCAGCATTCGATACACCAACGAGTCCATAACTAAGCTACAGTCGGGCAATTCTTTGTTGATTGTGATACATGTAGTTTTTAGCAATGATGCTCGATAATTTCTGTAAATAAACCACAAGTGTTGCAAAAATGAGGCATTTTGGTATTCTTCTGAGTTGAAGTAGTAAAACACATCCCAATTGTGAGCAACAAGTAGTTGATGATCATGTAGGACTTGCGGCGAGTTTTGGAAAGCGTATGTAAACAAATCCTTGATGAAGTTGGTACTAAATGTGATAGCATTTGAAAATATGAAAATCATATTGGTGATATTGCGCAAATGAGTTTGTAAAACCCACACAAAAATCAAACTTCTCAATCCTGTCTGTATCATCTTAAAGAAATAAGATGCAGCGTCGAATATAACCTGTTGGAGATTGTGCCACGTGATTTGTTGTCCAATGCGATCAAATCGTATCGTGAATATCGGAATGTAGTTGTAATACCACATAACTTCGTAAAATCGTCTGATGGTGCGGCGGTGTCTCGATGATGATGTGTTGAGCGAGTTTTGTCTGAGCAAATCGGCCATCTCGTCACGTACCCGTTGTCGTTCATGGTGTGGTAAATTATTGATGTTATCGTGTATACTGTGGTTGCGATGAAAGATCTCAATTAACGCTGTGTCCAACTCTTCAAATATATCTTGGTTAGGATCCATAATGGGTGGTGGAAGATGTGGGGTATATTGGGAAATGGAGTGCAGGTAAAGATAACTGAACAGCGTATGTTAGTCAATGAATTTTTTTTTTTGAAAGTTGGTTTGGTCTGCTTCCGTCAGAGTTGACGTAATTTTATGAATCTTTCTCTTTGGTCACGTTATCACACAAATCAAAAAAATTGACAGCTGCAAAGATATTTACGACAAATCCATTTTGGACTCAGCTCAAGTATTTGCAACAGGTTCTTACCCTACTTCACAATGATACACAAAAGACTATACAAAATATTTTATTTTCCCCTTGCAACATCCTCAAATAATTGTGATTTAATCGGCAACAATCTTTTTGCTGCTCCTTTATTACTGATAAACCGTGAATCCTCTTGTGAGCAATACAATAACTTTTTAATAAACCGAAAACAATGTAGCGCCACATCCACATCGACTCCAATAACTTGACTCATGAAATTTTCCGGTATTTTCAATTCTTTATCCAATTTCGATTTCCCTTCAACTATAGTGATAACAAAACAAGTGGTGAAGATTTCCTTCATATCGTAGCATAACACAATTGGTAAACTTGAAAGCAATTCAATCAATACGATTGTCATTTTCAATATATCTTTTCTTTTGCTGTAGAATAGCTGACCCATCCCAAGATGAATCTTGTTTAAAATTTTAAACTGAAGCAAGTATGGTGAAGTAAAACTCAAATCAAAGCAAAGTGTACGAAGAATCAATTCTTCACGGTACAAAAGTTGATCTCTCCATTTCCAAAAGTATTCACTTTGTTCATCGATAGGTGGCGGTGCATGTTTGATGTTATTTTTAATCACTGGTGGATTGGGGTTCTTCACATTGCACGCATACAAGCTGACTTTATCTGGTTGACGATACGTGTCATTCAATTTACATGATATGGCTATTGCTGCTGATGCAACGAAATATTTCGATGATGAAAGTGGCAATCGCATATAGAAACGATGCAAGTAGACGGTGGTCGCGAGTAGTGTGGGCCCATCTAGTTTGAGTTTTGTGCCTAGTCGTATAATAAATTCATGTATTGATTCCTTGACTCGAAGTTCTTGTGAAAGGGTCATTTTGGCTTGTATTCGACTAGGTGTATGATTTAGTACCACTGATTCTGGAAATATCCATATGCTAGTAGATCGAGAGTGTTTTAAATTTGAGTGACCATTACTTTTGTTGTTGTTGGTGCTACTGTTACTGCTACTGTTACTGCGGCCGTTGCTATTATGAGAACTGGCTGTGACTGCGGATGTGGAAACTGTAGCAGCTGTTGTGGAAATAGTGTTGTTGGACGTGGTTGTAGCAATGGAGTCTTTTGATTTGGGACGTTCATTATCCACTTTGATGCTCGAGGGTGTGCTGCCATTGGTGGTCATGATAAAATCAATATGCGGATTCCTCCCTGGTAACGATATGAGGACGTCGTGATGTTAGTTATTTTTCTAATCACTTTTGTTGATGATTCATTGGACTCCCACCCAAAGCATCAAAAACTTTAATCATCTTTTGGTGGCTATATCCCAACTTTTTTTTTCTTTTCGTTGTGGTTTTTGTTTTTACAGTTGGTAGCGCAAGCGTGGATTATACATAATCTATTAAAAAAACTCCCATAAAAGAGAATAAGAGTGAGTAGTGTTTGGGACCTAGTATTGAGATGGTATCATTATATTGATTAAATTGAGATAGTTATAGATGTGCCAACTAGTAGAATCCCGGCGTGTCGTGGTTATCAAATTCAATAATAACAATACATTGTTGACTTGTTGAGACTGTATGGTTGAGTCATAGCCAGAGACAGCTTAATCTCGAATCAAGTGGCTATAGCTGTACACTACTGAACAAACGCTCATCGTCTGCTATGGTTTGCCCAATTCACTCCTCTTGCTCCATGATTAGTTGCAAAAAAACACTTCAACCTCTCCTGCATATAACCCTCACTAACAATACCGAAAAAAAAAAAAAAAAATTTCAAGGACATTTCTTTGGAAAATTTTTATCCTTCTAAGAAGAAGCTGTAGAGTATACACAGGTGTAATCCCCCATAGAAAAAAAAAAATGGCCACTGATACCAGCAACTCATTTATGCACTTGGTAAGACCACATGTGCTAGCACCAGCAGCTGGATCCGCCAACGGACCTGCCAAAGTCAAGATTTACGCGTCAGCCTTGATCACCATATTGGAAATTGTTGCTAAACAAGCATTGAACAAGAGAATAATTGGTACCTTGTTAGGTATAAGATCAGACAATGGATTAGAAGTGGAGATCAGAAATGCTTTCATGGTTCCATGTGATGAAACTGGTGATTCTATTGCCATTGAAGATCAAGCACATAAATCATTATTTCATTTGTATAAGAAATCACATCCCAAGGAATCTGTTTTGGGGTGGTTTGGTAGTATGAATGAAATTGATGATACCACTTCATTAATTCATGATTTCTATTCCAAGGGAGTTGATCGTGCATTTCCATACCCAGCAATTTATTTAAATGTTGAATATATCAATGATAAAGGACAAATAACACTGCCACAGATAATAACGTATATTGGTGCTGCTGTTGGTAAACCTGCTGCCAAGGCCAACGTCCAAATTGGCTGGAACAAGACTGCCAATGTCAATAACTCATACATTTTCACCCCTATCCCCAATGAAGTAGTTGATGGAACCAATACAGAAAAACTTGCTTATAAATCATTACAAAATGCCACCATTGATGATGATGAAAATGCAACCATTTCATCAATAATTGATGGGAAACATCCATTTTTTGCTCAAAATTTGCAACAGGTTCAAAAAAACGTTGCCAATTTGATTGCGTATATTGATTCCCATGCCACTGTTAGTAATAACTCAGATGAGAATCTTGATTTATTGAGGAAGTTGAGTAATACATTGTTGACGAAACCGCCAATCTTGACTGATGTTGAAGAATTGAACAAGTTGTTTGATAACTTTAATCAAGACGTTATTATGATTGAGTATTTGACTAAAGCAGTTAAGGATCAAATTGAATTGAGTGCAAGGTTAACAGCTAGTTCGGAAGCTGACAAGAGAAATTAAGCTGGTGAACGGCGGTGGTGTCGCGAAACCAACAGGGATCTAAGTTCTAGACGTTATCTAATCAACTAATGTAACAACAATTGTAGATTCTATATCTCCACTTTATAGAGCTTTAGTGTCCTCAAAATATAGAATTAGTATTGGAATCAGATTCGTTACAACCAGCTTGCGTACGACAAAAAGGTCATGTGACAGTGTTTATGCACACTTCCGCCTTTGCTACTCCTTCTAATCTGCAGTACCCCATAGAAGAGCAACACTCGATGGTTATTTTGCTCTCATGGTGTATCCCATTGAGGGGGAATCCAATAAATTTTGCAAGGAAATTGGATGCAACATTGTTTCCAAAAGGAAAAGAAAAAAGAAAAAACTTTAAAGACACAAACAGCCTCCCCACTTTCTAGGGATCACATTTTACAACAGGAATTTAGTTCTCAGTGGAGATACTATGTTGAATTTAGGCTTGAAAACCGGTCTATATGGCCCTCGCATATGTGTCTGGCCAACTGCTCGAACAAGGGGAGTGGTGTTGGTGTGGTCTAATATGTAGAGCATATGAAAACTGTGGATGATGTTTTATTTTTTATTTCCGGTTCTACATGATTTACACAAAGATATCAATAGAAACACACACATTGGGATAAAAGGATTAGACCATTAAGCATTCTTACAATGAAAAGATATCGGTGCCACAACAGTTACAAAATACTGAATCTACTTGACAGCTATTATAGTATATATAGCTTAGCTGTTTTCAGAAATGGGTTCATCAAGCAATAAAGAAGACCCACTCCATAGATTGGAGTATTGGAGTTATATAACCCGTGAACAAAAGCAAACAATAAACAAACAAGAAGGACAAGAAGAACAAGAAGAACAAGAAGAAGCAAAAATTTAGTTTCATGTTTGAGAGAGATGAGATGCACAAAACAAAAGACAAAAGACAAAAGACAAAAGACAAAAAAACAAAAAAAAAAGGGGGGGAAGTGGGAGTGGGAGTGGGAGGAGAAGAAGAAGAAGTAATCTCACAGAATTAATAAGTACCATCTGACTCATTGCAGAAAGAAAGAAACAGCAAAAGCTAAAGCAAGAAAGCACTTTTGACTTTTGATGTACTTTAGTTTTTTGTATTGCTGATGAAATGTGTATGTTACTTTTCCCTCACTTTGAAAGAGTACACTGCGGCATTTTATTTTGTCTTTTGTTGTGCGGTGTGGGTGTGTGTTAGTGTGAACAAAAATTTCACTCGCTTCTCTCTCCTTTCTCTCCTTCGCACAAAATTTTTTTTTTTTTTTTAATTTTTTTTTTTAATTTTTTTTTAATTTTTCTTTTTGAGATAAAACAACCAAATTAACCAATACCCTTCTTCTTGTTCTTTTACTCCCTTATCCATTCTTATTCTAGATAGAGTACCAACTATCTATTTGCTGATATACACTTTTGCTAGAGCTTGGTTACCGACTACTGAAACGTAAGGTACATTCACAGCTAAAGATACGCTAAATTTAAGATCAAACACAGAACGCACACGACAAAAAGAGCAGAGCAGACCAGAGCAGAGCAGACCAAAATCACACCAAACCAAAAGGGAATCGTCACTTGCACATCGATTCTTCTTCTGCAATACGCTTATACATATATCATTTGTTGGAAATAGTACTTTTAGTGCTGTGTGATACTAAAGACACCTTTTGTTTATTACCAAACTAAGTTTCAAAATCTTCACATTAGTATGTGCAATTATCGAAATATTCAAACTACAACTTCACTTATCTATATTTACTTTGCCAACCATTTCATTATACCAAAACAGAAATAAACAGGGCAAAGACAATAGACAAGAGCACAGAGTTTTGAATTATTATCTTATATACACTTGAGACACCATAACAACATAATATTTTTAGTGTTTGTTATCTGGTATCTCTAGACACAATCAACAGAGGTTTACAGAAGAGGAGAGAGAGACTTTCACATATTCTAGGAGAAGATCCAGTGATTACACAGTTTGCTAGAATTATCTTGAAGGGGGATATTCGTTGATACAAGAAGCAAGAAAGGTTTTTTTTTTTTAGTATTACAAGAAGAGTCTACTAAATAAGCTATTCAACACAACTATTTAACATTTACAATGCCGAAAAGTCCTACAAGTAAGGGCTTCCATAGCAACACGAACAAAGCTAGGCCACAGTCCAATAAGAGCGACAATAAGAGCGACAACAACAGCAACAGTATGTACCTGAAACCACAACATCAATATGGTGGGAAAAACTTGAAAGCGCTAAGCAACAAACGTAGATTCAGCATTGCCAACTCAACCAGTTCATCTTCATCACAAGATTATTTATCTGATAACGAATCAGATAAAACAAAAACCACAAACCAAAATAGTGCAAGCGCAAAGCATGTACATTATATGGATTCCGATTCCGATTCATCATTGACTGCCATTTCCGACAATGAATTTACCAACTCACTTCAACATGCAGGTAAGAAAAAATCACGAGGCAAAAAGGCAGTCAGCAGTAAAAAAGGTAAATCCTACGGAAGGAAAATCATACCGAGAAAATCTCTTGGGTTGTCAAAACACAATCTTCAAGATTACGAAAATGAAGTGATTGATATTTCTTCTGGTGACAATTCTGATGACGAAGTTGATGTTTCAGATTTGATCTCAGATGTTACACGAGCTTCGGATCGACCAAGTGAACATGGGGATGGCGAAGAGGAGGAGGAAGATGATGAAGACGACGACCACGATGATGATAGTGAGGACGACGAAAATGAGCATGTGGCTGGATTATATGCTCTTATCAATAACGGGAAACAATTACGTGCTATTGACTCGGACAAAAGTGATGAGGACTCAAATGACTCGGACAATGGCTCAGATGAAGAAATACCTAGCTCATCCGATGATGATTCCGATGTTGATTTTGTAAAATTGCAGAAACAACAGAAAGCTAATGTCCTACAAGCGGCCAGGGCAAGGAAAGGTTTGAAAAAGGAGCAGAAACAGAAGGAGAACAATAAAGTTGCATCAGCGCCTGCTTCTGCGCCTGCTCCTGTGCCTGCTCCTGCCAAGTCTGGATCTACAACAAATGAAGAGCAAGAGACATCAAAGAACAAGAGTCACAGGAAAAACTCAATCAAGTATGGTAGAAGAAAATCCGATGTGATTTTACCCGATATAAACTTCAAGTTTGAGTTTGATAACGTTGCTGACATTGAAGAAGAAGAGGAAGAGAATAAAGATCAAGTTATAGGGGGCTCAAATACAGACAATTTCACCAAATCCCACGCTGTTGAAGAAGAGGATGTTGGTGAAGAAGTGGATTATTCCCCAACAATTCCCTTGGATGCCAACCAACAACACAATTTCGAATTTGAGTTTGACCAGGAGTTCCTACACATGCCCAAGATGAATGACAGCGACCTAAATTCGGATGATGATTACGAAATTGATGATAATGAGCTATTGGCTACTTTGCAAGCTGAAAATGACGTTGATGAGTTTTTACTACCGCAAGCAAATGACTCAATAATCAATGAGAAAGATGGTTCCGTTGCCAGCAAAAACCAACCCGAGGTGTTGCCATCTACTACCACTACTACAGGTGCTGATGCAGGTCTGGAAAGCGTCACGACTGGTGACAATAACGAAGAAGAAGAAGAAGACGACGATGACGATGACGATGAAAATGATCCATTTTTGAAAGAAGAGGAAAAATTTCTTGTGAATGAATTTGAAAATAATGGATTCGATGACAATGGCGATGACAAGCTTAACGGTGACAATGTATTTGACGATGATGAGGATGATGATGAAGAAGACGATGATGACGATTGTACATTCGATGATAGTGAATATTCGACATCGAAACGGATTGTCAATGCTTTTAAAGGTATTGGTGAAGATCGTAGTAAACCCATTGTTCAATATGAAAGCAGTGCTTCCCTGGAAAGTGATTATGATGAAGATGACTATGTTGATTTCATTGATTTTGATGTGCCATTTTTTGACGAGAATGAAATTGATGGAGGACGCAAGAGTGCATTGACATCTCCAAATAAGAAACTAAAGACCAATGGCAACCGACACAGTAATAGTGATGAAGATGATGACTCGTATTTGTGGAATTATTTCTTTAGTTCGGACAATGATTCATCGAGCGAGGCTGAGAAGGATCATCTTGTCCAACTTGACAATGGGACCAGAAGAAGCAGAAGAAGAGGTAGCAAGGGCCGTAAACTTAAATCAGCTCATTCCAATGTTGATGAGCTATTCAACGAAATTGATGCTGACAAGACTTTTAAGACCAAGAACAACCCTCATCACAATACTGCCAAGTTTAAAATCAAAAGTGCTAGAGAAATTGCTAGTCGAATAGATGGTAGTGGTGCTGCTTCGACAATGTCTAGCTATGCGGGCCATTATGGTGATGACGAAAACGGATACGACGATGAGGCATATGGCCAAGATAATGCGTATGATAGTTCTGAATCAACAGATGTTGACGAAACTTTACCCAGAAACACCAACCTATCACCACAAATTGGATCAAAAAAGGCCACTGAGGTTCTTTCGTCAAAGACTGCCGATTATCGACCCCCAATGTTGGGATCATGGGTTACGATTGATAGTAAACCCTTTGGAATCATTGACGGAATGAGTACACGGTCATTGCAACAGCAACACCAGCAACAACAACACCAAGTACCGCCCACCAACAAGATGCAAGAACCACGTGGAATGGTTGTTGATCGTCGGCCCTTTTCACCTGCGTCACATAGTGGATTGGCTATGGCGCAAAGTTTGGGCAAGAGGAAAAGTTATGGTCATATACGGCAACACAACATGCAACCACTGATGTCGATGCAAGTTCAAGTACAAGGGCAGCCAAATTCTGATGATCAGCTGGTTTTAGGATTGGATGATTTACTCAATGTGAGTGAATTGGACAATGATGATGAGAATGATGTGAGAATATGGCGTGATTTCAATAATGCTCAAAAATCACGAGTGCCCCTTGGTGCATTTAGAAATAAATCTATACTTCATAATCATCATCATCGCCAACAACAGCAAGAGGAGGTGCATCATAATCATAATAATTACCAGGGACATCGACGAAATAGTAATTACCAAGGACAAAGTCATCCTCACCCGGGTAAGCACAACATCAATGCAGGGTCCCAAGTATCTGGACCAACCAAGAGACGCAAATCGTCGTTGGGGCCGCCAGCGGCATCAGCACCAACGTCAGTACCAGTGCCAGTGCCAGCTACTGGTGGTAATGGCAACGCAATGACTCCAGTAGTGGCATCTGGTGGTGGTGGTGGTGGTGGTGGTGTAGGCACTGCTTCTACCCCTGCTACTGTTTCCACAGCTGCTGCTCCCGGGTATAGATCTACTAGGTCGGGGTTGTTTAGTGAAGCTGCGTTAGCTAGTGTTGAAGAGATGTTGGGTGATGATTATGACGTGATGACTTTAATTGAGCGGTTGTGAGTAAGAGATAAAGAGGGAGAGAGGTTGAGAGAGGTTGAGTGATGGTGAGTGATGGTGAGTGATGTTGGTGTGATGTTGGTGTGATTTTGAGTTTTCGTTTGTAATTTCTGTGATTGAGTACATTTCAACATTTAGTTTAAATTTTTCATTATATGTAGGGCCGTATGAATAAGATTTGTGACTTTTGAGATAACAAAGTGGGGAAGCGGCAGTAAAGAAAACGTTTTTTCAAGTCATTTTTTTTCTTTTTGATGCTTTTCAACCCCTCCCCCAGGTGTTGCAACAACTGGCGAAATACGTTTATAAAGCTTGAGTCTGGTTCTTGGCATGGTTTCATTTTGATGTGGTTGTTGTTGTTATTGTTGTGTATGTGCAGCTTGAAATTCCACGAAGAAGTTGGATGGATGTGTGATGGGCAAGGGAGGAAAGGGTTTTCGGTTGAAGTTGCCAACTTTTGTTTTATCGTAAATCGATTCGTATGTTAAAAGTAAAGGCCATGTATGTATGTAAATTGATCAAGAATGTGGAGATATGTAATTGAAAAGAAGGTTTGATATAGTGGCTTTTTAATTTCATTTTGTTTGAATTGAACGCCTTGTGATAGTTGTTGTGGTGTGTGAGGTTATGCAGTCATGGTTCTGCTTTTCAAAAACAAGGCTTAAGCGTTGATATTATTCGATACAGTTTTTTTTCCTCAATTAGGATATTGGTTACCCGATTCAGCAAGAGCTTGGAAATGGCATTAGAAGCTTTGACTATTGGGTCTATCTAAAGTCTAGTGAGTTATGTCTATTACATCATATAGCATAATGGCTCTCTGTTTGATAATGTACCTGCATGTAAATACATATATATACTTGTATACCTGTATACAAACCATCAGAGACAATAAAAAAAGGGGGAGGCGCAATAAAAGATGAGGGTGTAAACCATTTACTGTTGGTGAGAGTTTCAGATCAGTTTGGGTGAAGCTACATGTTACTAATGGCTCTTGATCTCGTCACAGGATTGCTCTAGTTCGCAAGTGCAGCATATCAGGGAAAGACCATTAAAGATAAAAACGTTGCATTTAGTGTTACAGTGATTACGGTTGTACGCCAAGAAAAAAAAAAGTAGAACACATTGATTTTTAAGGGGAGCACGGGGTCTGAACCCAAAAACTAAAACATAGTAACAATTGACAATACTCTCAATGTACATTTCATAACCTTTTTATTGTATTCATAACCATAAACTGACATAAAACTAGTAGTTTACTTGCATTGTTTGGATAAATGGATCTATGAGTTCACGGGGGATATACTTTACATGATATTGTGGATGGAGATTCTATTATCAAAAACCAAGTACACTTCGGTACGTCGTGTGTATCAGAAACTGAGCGAACACAACCTTCAAATGTAAAAGGATTAAGGTTTCGTCTCGTATTCGTATTACAAATTGAAAAAATAAAAACGTTTTCTATGAGAAAGCAATGATCAACACTAACAACCACCTCAATTAACAATTAAAGCAAGGCGTTTGCGATATAGTTGATGTAACTGAAGAGTCTAGAAAGAGAGGGATGTGAGGGATGTGAGCCTCGTGTAGTGGCTTTCTTTCGTTTGTTGCGGGAATTTCAGCACTCTCTCTACTACAAGGCATTTTCTAGTTAAGGTAATTTTCCTCTGGCTAAGCCCTGTGGTTGTGAGATTTTTGTTCAAAATGAGTAATATTTAGATTGGAGCCCACTTTAAATCATCGCCTATTTATTTCCCTCCAAAGAGTGAACTGCTTCGAGCTCAAAAAGACACTATCCTCTAATCAACAGGTTCCTTGTGTGTTGTGTGCTCTGTTCCCCACTGTCTCCCCTCTGACGTTGCATCCCTTGAAAATAAGCCTGTGCATTTTGTGTAACAAAAGTTTTTTTTAAAGAGAAAAAAATTTATTTTTGCAACTGATTCTTGTATAGTTGCACAAAGTGTATCAGAACAAAAAGAGGCTTCATTCCTTTTTCAACAAAATTTCATATAGCTCATTTTTGTTTCTTCTAAGCTTACTGTTTCATTTATAACCTACTTCTTCTGCTCTACTTGTTGCAACATTCTTTTGATGCTCCATTGACTCCTGCACCATATTTGTTCATCCAATAATTGCTCATTACCATCACATATTGAATTAAGTCACCTTTACATCACCGCCACCAAATCCACACCAGGACTGCACTCCTCTCCGTTCCACTTCACTTTCTCACCACCACCAACATGATCAAGATACTGACAAGGTCAAAAAAGAGAATCACAGTTTATTATGCATCAGTGGCACTATGGGCACTATTAATACTTACTTGGTACCACTACAACTACAAGCCAGAAAACATTGTCAATCATTCAATTTACGACATCTATGATGATCATTATGGCCAAACACCCAAGCTTAACCAACGACCATCAAATCCGAAACTATCCGGAACTTCCAACAATAAAATGAACAGTAATAACCCATCACTTCCCAACACAGCCACTGAATCAGATCCACAAGGTGAAGACGGTGAGGAAGACGATTACGAGTTTCCCGATTTCAAAAACACAACGATATATCAAACATTACTTGATGATTACAATATATCCAAAGAAATTGATTTCCATTCAACTGTGTACGATTCCATTTTCGAACAACATTCATTAGATTCAGTATTGGGCAATCTAAATTTCAAACAACGATGTGATCTATATTTTAAGCATATCTTTTTGAATAATCCTAATTGGATATTTGATCCTAATGAAAACTATAATGTTGTTTGGGGTGCCCCATTTCAGGTGTATAAAAAGATGCATAAGGAAGAATTGGAAAGGGAGTTTAAAAAGAAGTTAAAAATGCAAGATCAGGAGGCTGTTGAAGAGCCCTCTAAAGAGCCAACTGAAGTTGAATTGCACTTGAAATTGCAAAGACTACAACGGATAGAACATCAGAAAGAACAAGCTTTGAAACAGCAAAAAGCACAACTCAAGCATCAACAACAGCAAAAGCAAAAGCAACAGGATCAAAATCAAAATCAAAATCAGAATGCACCAGCACAGCCACAAGGTAATAACGGGCCAGTAATGAACCAGTTGGATGCAAGAGAAGAGCTGCTGTTTGAAAACTCTCCCGACTTTGTGGAATTCCAACGAACATCATACGCCAAATGGAAATCTCACGAAATGGATCAAAAAATAGTTGACAATGTAAGCGTATTGAGATTATACAACAAATGTTACGTCACCAATGATGAATCGCAACAACAACAACTGACTAAAAGATTCATCAAGGATCAAAAAACATTAATACGACAAATTGACGATGAAGTGACGCAAATTCCCAAATTCACTCCGTCTGATCAAGAAAAACGTATTGCTGATGTTGAATTTAGTGAAGTTTTCCAACGTCGCGTTTATCCCTGGCTCTCATTTGAATTACCGGTATTTGAACGATGGACGGGTGATATTTCCAACTTGCCGCCAAATTATCGTGACATACTCAATGATCCAAGTCAACCAGTAGCTAAATCTACCAAACTATCGAGCAGCAATTTCCTCAAGAGTTATAAAGGTTTATGTCAAGGTAAAGGAATCGTTTTATCCATTGCTGATAAACACGTTGATGATAGCGTGAGCTTGATCCATTTACTCCGTGCATTAAACAACAAGTTGCCTATCCAAATTGTTTATTTTGATAATTTGAGTGATGATACAAAGAGGAGGATAGTTACTGCTGCTCGTGAAGACTTTTCCCATTTACCACAATCCTATTACAAAATTGCCCATTTGTTTCCTTCCGATTACCTTGACCCTAAATCAAAGGGTTTACCCAAGCAAGAAATTTGGTTTGTAAATACCGCCAGCGTGATTAACGAACGTTACAAGATGAAGTTTGGTGGATTTGCCAACAAGTTGTTGGCTACGTTTTTCAATTCATTTAATGAAATGATGATTATTGATGCTGATACAGTAATGATGCAAAACCCTCAGGAATATTTTAAACTTCAAGGTTATAAAGATACCGGAACCTTTTTTTTCCGTGATCGAGCCGTTATTCAGAATCGAGCATTACTGGATGGTGAATTTTTCAAAAAAGTTTCGCAATCAACTGTTGATTCACTCATGTTTGATGTTCCTTTACTTACTGACTATACACTACGTCGTGATTATTTCCGGGGGTTGCTACATACAATGGAATCAGGAATGGTGTTGATCAATCGTCAATTACATTTCAACTCCATTCTCATGATTGTTCACATGAATTTCATGCATCCTTTAAAACGTCTTTCCTATGGAGATAAAGAATTGTACTGGCTTGGGTTTGCCCTTGCTGGTGATGAAAATTACCACTTCAATAAACATGGAGCAGCAGCAATTGGACAAATGACAGATCCACAAGAAAGATTACGACCAGATGGATCGCTCCACAACTCCAAGGAGTTGTGTTCACCCCACCCAGGTCACATCAATGAAGAAAACAATCATACTTTACTATGGATCAATTCAGGTTTCCGATTCTGTCATCAAGCACCCATGGTCAATTTCGCCAAAGAAGTGACATTGGGATCAAGATTGAGATTTCTCCCACAAACAGTGGAAGCATTCAGGACTTTTTATTACAGTCCATTACGTATCAAAACGGCAATTGTCCCACCACAAGATCCTGAAATACATCATCGATGGAATAAACAAGATGAACCTACTCATGGTTGGTTTATGGATCAGCACTATTGTCAAAAGTATCTTTGGTGTGGGTATTCAGTGATTGGTGGTAAAGTTAGTGAAGATGAGGATAACACGATGGAAGGGTTGGTTATTGAATATAGTTCAAAAGAGAGAGCCATGTTTGATTATTTGGGAGACATTTGGATCGGAATGGAGTAGCCCTGTAGTGAAGTGGATCTGGTTTTGCTGTATATATATATATATATGTATATATACGTATATAATGATTATAATGATAGTTAATGTTTATATTTTGAAGTAGTCTACTGAATTTGTAGGTTATACTCAGAAGCTTTTATTTGCAATCATGAAAAGTTAACTGGTAGTACCCTTCCCCCCCTCAAAAAAAAATAGAGGTCGTGTGATTGTGTTACATTCAAATTCGATTCGTGTGATTGATGATGATGTGTGTGCGAGGAAAAAACTTTCCTTTCTAAACCAAGCCTGCAACCAACTTACACACAGAGATACTCACCACATCAGTTGATATTACAAAACTACAGTTGTATCAAACACGTCGTCTCTACGTAACTACGAAAGCAGACTTGTATTCTAATTTTATCTAAAATAAATCTATCTCTTTGAAAAGGTAGACAGAATACACAAACTATAAACAACAAAAGGATACTTAGACAAGCCCCCCCTCTTTGAAACGGTGAACTTTTGAGCATCAGTCTAGTCAGTTAGTCAACAAAGAGAATGTCTAGAGTGTCAGCTAGAAGTAATAAGGGGATCCATCGAGGTCGTGAGGATGAATATCGTTATGAAGACATTGACACTGAAGTTACCACCGAGGATAAACAAACTGCATCGAGTGGCAAAGAGACGGATGCAACTACTACTACTACTACTACCACAAGCACCACATATAACGACGCTAAATCCCGTGATGATCCGGAGTATGTTGACAATGGTCAAGTAGATGCTGATGATGCTGATCACGAAGAGATAAATTGTGGTCCTTGTGGAACGACGACAGAAAATTTTGATGAAGATACAGATCCATATGGTGACATGGTTCAATGTGAAAAGTGCAATACTTGGCAACATATAAAGTGTATGGGATTGAAAAAGAGGTCGATACCAGATGATTATATTTGTGATCAATGTTCAGGCAATCCTAGACCCAAAATTAAAAAGAGAAATCTGTCAACTTCTTCTGCCGCTGCAAAAGGAGATCCTAGTGCTAAAAGAAGAAAAAGCTCCACTGCTCAAAATCCCAATGGCGGTCAATCTCAAACACAATCCCCAACTGCTCTTGATGGACCATCGAGAATTCTTGAAGCTTTAAACGATCCAACACGAATTAGTATCGCTAGAGCATTTTACAATTTCTTTAAGAAGGCGTATCCAGTCAAAGAGGGTGAAACAGTTAGTGATGAAACCAAAGATGACAAAGCCACATCCTTGGCATTGGAAGTTGAGGATATCATTGACCGTGAATTCCCAGTCAAGACAGCCAAAGCAAAATACACTGATGAAAGTCGAAGAGTCTTGTTTGTTTTGAAAAAACACTTCACCAATGATATCTTTGCTGGTAAAATTACTTTAGATGATGTTGTAAAAAAGACACCACAAGAAATCAATGAAGACATTGCTAGAATTGAACAACAAAATAAAGAAAATATTAAAAACATAGTCTTGGTTGAAATTGAACAAGATCAAATCGTTAGAAGAACTCATAAAGGTGAAATTATCAAGGAAAATGAGAATGAAATTGTTGATCAAATCGATGATAGTATAGCTACTAGGAAGGTTGATCATCGTCGATTCTCACATCACGATTCTACTGCCCCAATGAAAATTATGCATTCATCAATTGAGCATACTGCTTACAATAATGCTAATCCAAGGTTAGGTGGTGGTGATTTTTCAAGTGATAATGAACACAGTGATATTGCAAATGCTCCAAGTGATTATGACAGCGGTGTGGAAAGTGATGTAGGCGAAGTAGATGGGGATAAAGAAAATGTTGATGAAAATGACAGCAGTGCTAAAGGCAAACCTAGTGTTAATGAAGAGGCAAATATTGATAATAAATCCACTAGTTCTCTTAGTGATGCTCAAGCTAGTGAAACACCAGATGAAGAGAAATTAGGTCCAATCTTGGGTGAAAAATTGAAAAAGGTCACCGGAGGAGACAGGGATGACTCTGAATCGAAAGAAGCTCCCCCATCAAAGCAACGAGTTTGGAGTGGATCACTAACGTTTCCTGACTTTGCCCAATTCAATGCCGACGCTACGTTTTACTCATCTACTGATATAGATTCCGGTTACGAAATCCCACTCCAAACCGCCAAATCAATCTTTGTCGAACCGAAATATGTTATTCAAGGTAAATTGGGCCGTGATAGGTGTGACTCCTATTTGAATGCAATTGTATCAACACGAAACTTGTATATTGTACAAATCTCACCTAGTGATGACGCAATCGATAAAGATAGAAACAAACGTCATTTTGACAAATTGTATCATTTCTTGATTAAAGAAAATCGAGTTGGCGTTTTGAGTGGTAAACCCCCATTTGTTAAAGATTCTTACTTGATGCCTATTGATTTCAGAGATCCTCATTTGGCTCAAGTTTTAACAAATCATAAACGTGATCAGCATGGAGTTGAAATTGGCTTGTTTGCGGTGTTTGTTGTACAAAAGAATTATACTCCTAATGGATCTGGCGCCAATAGCGTTCGCAGTAGTGGGAATCATGGCGATGTGCATAGACCTAGTTATGCACGTGGTGGACCTAGTTATTCAGATGTTAGCAGTACTCTGGTGCCCCAAGCGCCATCGCACAATGATAGCAATGATTTGCATTCGATCTTGAATCAATTGCATTAAGAACGTGGGAAGGTTGTTGCTTTTGCTTTTGATTTTCTTTTTTATGTGTAATGTGTTACGACTCCTGATGTATATAAGCTTGTAATAATATTTGTTAATGATCCGTATAAAAGGGTCTTATGCTAGGTGGTCTGGCTTAGCATGCTCTAGAGCGTATACATTAGAGGAGTAACTATCGATAGTTGGAAATTACGATATGTATATTAAAGTGTATAGGTTTGTAATTGAATTAGTTTGAAACTCACCAGTAGAAGCCCTATGTATTAATCTTTATTGTCACTGGGGGATGCCAGATATGTCCAGAAATCACACATTGGACAACCCATTCCCAATTGACAATCTTTAACTCGACAATGTCTTTTGATTTCTTCAGTTTACTCCTATGTGCCACCCTCTTTGATTTATCGGAAAAACTCCTTGACCCATCTACGCTCTTGTATAGTGCGTCGGCAATTTGATTGTTCCCATAATCACAAATCAAGATATCACCATTGTCATTCCCACCATGCAATGATTTAACCAAATTGAAAAATTCATTATCAACATTGCCATCGTCATCAATACTCAATTCAGCATAGTTTAGCGAACTTGCACCAAATGCATGAAAGATAAACCTGCACGTATCCATTTCGATAATACTCTTTTTGGTGGATTCAATGTTACTCGCCGTTGTCATTACAACATGGCAATTTCCCAACAAGTCAGCATGCAAATCCATTTGGAAATCCAAACATTGGCCCAATTCGTAATTTCTCCGAAATTGGTACAAGTCACAATTGGCCACTGTGTTTAATTTAGTCGATTGGCCCGCTGGTAAACAATACGCTGGCCATTGGTCTAAATCGACAACGCCATTGATGACATCATTGATATAGGATTCTGATAAAATGGGCCATCCGAGAGCCAAAGCTTGCAAGTATTTAGAGCTTCGACAAAAGTTATTTGATATCAATGCAACAAATGTCAATTCACTAGTGATGGAATACGATGATTTGAGGTAGAGTCGACCACCACTGCCAGTTTTATCTTCTTGTGGGCGTTGCATGTATTGGAAAAGATCCATCAAATTTGTGTCCAAATACGTGCCGCCATTAGACTCGATCAAATTCTTGATTGTATGTTTTTGCTGCCCGTCAATATTGGTAATACAAAATAAGCTATTAGCGAAAAGTTGTGAGGTTTGAGTAACCCCCTTTTTCGGTGATGGACTAAGTGGATGTATCATTGTTGAATGACGGGATAGTTTTGATGGTGTAGAAGGATATGCTAACGATACTCCACTTGTCATCGGATGCATAGCCAAATTTGGTGTTGCCGATATCTCATCCCTAGTGTCATTGGCATCTTTTTCGCACCTTCTTTTGATTTGAAACTTTTGTTGATGCATAACCCAGTCGCCTAGCTCCATTGAACATTGAGAAATTGATGCCACAAACTCCTCATTTTCGGTCGACTTGCGACTTTTGGAGTTTCTCTTGTAATGAATCACGTTGTATCCTCTGATGCATCTTATTCCATTCAACAGCTCTTCAGTAGATAACCCAGTAACCACGCATTTGAATCTCTTGTCCTTTACATTCAAAGTATCTCCAATTCTGATATCCAACGGGTTCAAATCTTCATTCTTGATACGTGATGAGTCTTGCTCAAAATCTACAATCGAATAGTCACCATACCTAGAACTAATGTAGCCACTGTACATTTTCAAGTTATAGGTTGCCCAAACGCTATCTTTGCAAATAATATCCTCCTCATAAATGCAATCAGACTGTTCCTTTCGTAGGACTCCGTCAACTATGTTTTCATCATCCTGTTGATATGGATTGTTATCACAGGAAGGAGTTTGCGAATCAATAATGTTGTTGACTCTTCGTTTAGGAACGATTCTTCGCTCGTCAGAGGCTGTTTTCTCAGCAAAAGTAGTGTCTCCGTAATTCACATCCGATGTAGTTGTGTAATCTGCGTCAAGGTCATCATCTTCCTCTTCTTCACTTTCACTCAAACTCAAAGAGTTGATTCCATCAGGAGAGCTAGGTGGAGAAACATGTCGCAATGGCACGCCATCCAATATACTGCGTGAATCACTTTTAGAGTCGTTTTCAACTTTAACGTCGCCGCCTTCTTCGTCATTGGATGTATCTGCTTGTGTATGATCTTCATCGGTACGTACCAGCTGATCAGCAATTTTCTTACTCGGCGAAGAGGACGATGTTGAAAATGTCTTATCGAAAGGTGACGCAAACACTAACGGCTCCGAATGATTTCGCAATTGGGTACGATGACCAGGTGTGGTAACCGGATTGTGATTTCTATAACCATCTCCATAATTTTCAATATTTGCTGTTTTGCTTCGTTTTATCTTGGTCGGACTGTGTGAAAGTTTGCGTTTTTGACGACTTGGATCATGGTCAATCTTGTCCTTCGAGTCGTCAAACCCCACAGCTTCTTTATCGTCTTCAACTTTCACGTTTGATGAATCTTTCTCCTCATCTGTTTGCACTTCAAGTGTATTTGGTTTCAGCAAATACAAAGACGTATCTGGTTCATCCTGTGTATTGATGACCTGTCTGTGAGATAGTAGTTGCATGTTATTGTACTGGTAATTTTGGTTTGCTTGTGATTTGACAATAAATGGGTTTTGAGAGTCCGTTTCACTTATGTGGCCCTCCTGCAGTGCAAACAAAATTGGCTTGTTTATAACTTGGGTCTCAGGAAGAGTGTCATACAGCCTCTTTCCAGAACCATCAATATTTGGAACTTTCGTTGTATCGTCATTTTCTTGAGTTGGTTCTTCCGAGTGGGCGACAAATGATTCAGAGCTTTCAACATGCGGTAGGTCAATGCCAAAGTTGATTACTTGTGTTTCAGGTAAATTTTGAGTACGACGTCGAATAATAACCTGAGTTTCTGCTAAATCATCATATCTACTACGCGATTTTCTAAACCTTTGTCTAAAATCTTTGGTAATCGGTTGGGTATCCTGTAACTGTTCAAATTCAGCACGAGAGCCATTGCCAATAATCTGCGTATCCTTCAAATCTTCCAATCGATGTTTCACTGGTTGATCTATGGATGAAATACCGTTTCTCGGTATGAGCTGAGTGTCAACCAACGCACCAAAATTAAGCTGTGTCGGTATTGGGTCATCCTGTGTTTGTAGTTGGTCAAACTTATCTTTATTTGTATAATCTATCTTGCTTTTCTGAGTTGAATTCCCTTCGATATCCATCGATATAGCTTCGTCGTCTTCGTCATTCATTACTTGTGTATCTTGTGAATAGTTGTTACGAGTGTGGTGTGAAGCAAGCATCTGAGTTAGAAGTGACTGATCTTCATAATACTCTCGATGTTCCTCTTGTTCTTCTTCGTCATCGATATGGGTGTCTTCCAGTGAATGATCTGTGATTGAATCAATCTCAAATTGTCGTGATTGGCCAGAATTAAAGATATCTTTGTCGAGCTGGCCCGCATTGATTTCACAACTATTTTCTTCTTCGCGTGGGATATGCACCGATTGGTTGTGTTCTGCCTGAGTGTCCAGACTCATTTAATGCATTATCTTGGTTGTTGGTTTAGATCAAATTGAAATGTTAACTTTATTTTGTCAGCGCGTTTTTTTGCGCGAGTAAGTGCATTCACGGACGAAAATTGTGAGTTGGAGGCAGAACTTCTGTACAAATCTTCGCGTTGGAAGAGCCTCATACTAAGTGTTACTTCTACGGCATGACAACAATTGATTTACAAGTTCATCATCATTATCATTATAAATATCTATGGTAAAGCTATATTTTACGATGATGCCTTAAACATTCTTCCCATCAATGTACTAAAAGCAGCTTTAACCAATGGCCATCCATTATCATTTTTAACCGCATCACCATTCTCTTCCAATCTTCTCAATAAATATTGTTTAGTTTCCAATGGTGGACCCCAGGCAACATACTTGATAACATTACCAATTTGGTAATTTTTGATTAAATCATAAGTTACTGAGTCAGCCATACCCAACAATTGACCAAGCACAACATTGCTTTTGTTGACATTGGTGGCATTTTCCTGAGTGTAAACTTTGGAGCTGGCTAATTTCAAAGATTCGGCATTGTGACTAGCAACAACTAAATGTCCAATGGTTGATTCTTTGTCCTTCTGGTTCAAGATGGAGTCGATACAATAGGTAATTCCAGCATTGTAGTTGTCATCAGTATCTTGTTTCGTTTTGTGGATAATCGTAGCACGTTCTTTTTCAGAATGGATGTATGCACCACGCACCAACTTCAAACCTAATCTGTAGTTTTTCTCCTGAGCCAATCTTTCTTCATAAGCCAATAATGAAGCAGAGTCAGAAAGGTACATCTGGATAGTACCAACCACATAACAAGGTTCATTCAATTTGTTGAATTTTTGATACAATTGACGTTGCAATTCATACACACCAGGTTGCAATTCGTACTTTTCAGCATCAATAACAGCCACAACAAAAGGTGCAGTTCTTTCAGGGTAAATTTCAGCCAATTTCTTGTTTGCATCATACACAGCTTGGCATGCTTTTGACGCTTTAGCAACCAACTCTGCAAAAGCAGCTTCTTCTCCATTATTGTAGTTTTTCAATACATGTGCAGCATTTTTCACAAATCCAGTTGGTTTTAATGCAACGTAACCCGATGGTATGTCATTAATGTTTTTGTCACAAGTTTCAATCATTTTCGTGATATGTGGTACCAAAATTCCATTAATTGATTTAACAGTTTCATCGATAATAAATTCTGGATCAACATTGTCATTGCCATCACATGCTTCAATAGTCAATGAAATCATCATGTTGTTAATGCCTCTTTCGTGCAAACGTAATCCGGTTTGTTTCACTTCTTCCAAAGTTTCACCACCGCAGTAAATTCTGTACACCAATGCCTTGATAACGGCCATTGGTACGTATGGGAACAACTTGATGCATAATTTCAATATTGGTTTGTTCAAGGTGCATAATCCAATCATGAAAAACGAAATCAACTCCTTATTATTGAACGCCTTGAGATATTCATTTGGTGATACTTTTCCTGGATGTGTAAGGCGTGAGCTAACACTAAGCGGAGAAGCTGGTGTTGGAGTAGCAATACGTGCTCCTTGTGGAGCATTAGTTGGTATCATATGGTTTGGATCATTCTGAAATGATTGTTGAGTAGCGGTATTTTGAGCGTTGGGTGTATCATGAAAGCGTCTATAAAAGGTTGGTGTTTTAGCAAATGTCTTTAAAGTTGAAGCGTAGGATGCTGTAAGTGATCTTGTAGGATATCTAGTGGGTATTAATCTAAGAGACATTGAATGGTTGGGGAATAGAAAACGAAAAAGATATAGAATAGGGAGAAGGGTGGAAAATAAAAAGAGGAATTTGTATTTGGTTTATATAATAATGGATTCTTGATAGGATACGGCATCAGTTATGTTTGTATTGTTTTCATTGCGTTTTGAAGAAATTACTCCGATGTCATCAATTAGGTTTTGTGTTATTACATGTCCAAAAATGGTTAAACACAGCGAGCAGAATAATAAACTTCACGAGACGTAACTCCTATTAAACACGAAACATGCAGAAACAAAAAACTGTCGGTAAAGAAACATCAGACCATGTGACACATACTCTTCCAGCTTCGGCTACTTTATCGTTTTTTGACAGGGGGGGAAGTACCTGCGCAGTGGGCGATCCTTGCTTTGTTTCCATAACATATCCCGTAATTTCCTCAAACACTATCTCTTCTTTGTAGAATGTCATACGATACGATTGGTTTTTGGCATCTGCATTTTGAGTGAAGGTACCGAGTTTACCCCACATTGAATTTTACTAGCTATAACGTAAGCGGATTTATGTTAGCAAGGTTTTAGGTGTATTGTCTCTGGTAGCGCTAACGGGAACTAACTTTTTAGATAACAAATTCAAAGTAATCAAGGAAAATTTCAGCGAGGTTTTGGAGATCAGCCCCAAAATGGAAACCAAGACCTTTTCCCTTTCCTGCTGTGGTAGCTCACTTAGATTCTCAATTTAGGGTAACTTACACCGGACTACATCTTTGAACAAGTGGAATATGATTAGAGACTACTATTTGGAAAATAGTGAGGAGATAGCCATGTTCCGTTATCTTTGAACTTTTCAAAAGAGATAAATACGCTAGCTCAATTTGTGATCCGTTGGTGAACGAACTTTCCGTTTCTTCAATTAGAGCTATGGAAATTCGGAACTTGAAAAATAGCGGAACTACTCACTTGTGCTCCACCCGGGCTCCAATTATTCTTCCAAGTACTGCATGGCTCTTTAGAGAAGTAGTAATTAAGTCTTTTCTTTGAAAGCAGTTGGTAGCTATCGGTTGATGATGAGATGAGAGAAAAAGAAAAATTGTTTACATTGGCAGCTTCACCTGTGGCTACCATAGTTTTATGGCTAAATGAACGGCGTCTTTTCTAACTTAAAATCCACAAACAGGCCAAATGCTAATACGACATTGTTTACTGAGAAAAGCAATACTTGTACCAAGACGGTCATTGATCTTGACTCCCATTTTGCATAATGTTCTGGAATCAAATGCCACACAAACAATTCCAACTCCAAAGGAATCGAACAAGAAACAAAAGAGGATTTACCTAAAGCCAGACGAGATCAGGAACCGAAAGAGAAAGAATAACGGCAAGAGAAAACTGTCAACCTCACGACTGTTACCACGTGATGATGCACCCAAAGTTGATCTTGCATTGATCCAGGAGCTCTATCGCAAAAACAACGACCTTGCGAACCCGCTGACAAATGATGACTTGTTTCGATATATTGAGACATTCAGGCCATTTGAGCCCAAAATTGGAAGAAGAAGGTATGATCAATTGACCAAGGAGGTCAACAATGCTTTCAAAAAGAATCAAATTATCAGTTATATCAATTATTATACAAGCAAACACCCTGACTCACCACCTTTGATACCAAGATTAAGCAAACATCAATTAATAGAATCGTTATTTATGCGGTACTGGAGAATCACGAAACAGGATTCGAACGCATCAAATGATGAATTACTCAGTTACAGAGTCATCGAGTTAACTCCCGCTCAAAGATTTTTGCTTGATCCTAAACGATCTAAATTCATACGTAATATAATTGCATGTAATATCAAAGTTCAACTTGGCAAGAATAAGTTGTCGGTATCTGGTTTGAAGCTGGATTTGGATTATATCGAGGCAGAGCTTGTGCAGTTGAGTAATCAAATCAAAACAGAGGAAATTGATCTATCGCTGATTGGAAAAAGTGGGAAAACTGGATTTGACTTTAATGAAATATCAATGACCTCGCTGGCCTATTTTGAACAATTAAATGATAACAAATTTAAAATCTTGGCCCGCTCACAACAGAACATTGATACAGCAAAAAGATTAATCTTGTGGGCACTCGATAACAATCCACATATCCAGACTTTGCTCTTCAACAAAAAGGCAATTACAAATGCTCGACTACTACCTTATGTTAATGAAGATGTTTGGGCATGGTGTGATAAGCATGCTCAATATTATAGTCTATTTTTCAGAGATAGGAGACCCGGAGCCCACAGTGACTTGGTGTTTGAAAAATTTGACAAGATGAATGACAAGTTTTTGAAGCTGAAGCTGTTAGGGGAATTGGTGGATCATAAACTAGCATTGAAATCTGAGAATGACAGTTTCCTTGATGACGAGTTATCACAAGAAGTGTTGAATATGTTCAAATCTATTGGAACCGCAGAAAAAGAATCCACCGACAACTATTCCACCGAAAAGGAATCTACCGAAAAGGAATCTACCGAAAAGGAACCCACCGAAAACGAGTCCAATGAAAACGAGTCTATTGAAAACAAGTCCATTGAAAACGAGTCCATTGAAAACAAGTCTAGGGAAACTCAAAACATCACTAATGAAAACCCGGTCGACGCCAACAGTGACACTGTTTCTCAAGTAGTTAAAGAGGAAGAGCCTCTTAGTGGGACCAAGAATGAATTTGATTTGGACAAGATTATCAAAAACAGACATGAGTCAGCATCAACAACCAATGATCATGAGCAACATTTAAATCTCGAAGAGTTGCGTCACGAATTAGGTGCTTTTGACCATGATTTAAAGCTTGAAGATTTCCCTGATGTGTCGAATTTGATTGTTGATGCAGAAAAGCAAACGAGTGATGAAGTACTTGAAATTTTGAGAGCTGAGTTGGGAGCGTTTGCAGAAGATGATGGAGGTGCTGGTTATGATGACACAGAAGATGTTACAAAAGCGTTGGAGCTTGTTGATGACGAACAACGGAGTCGTGATTTTAATGATGGCTCTACGTCCGGCTCGCGCAGTGACGATAAAACCTCTTTGCGTCAATCGGTGAAGTCGTCACCTCTTTCGAAGCAACAGATTGACGATTTGTACACCCAATTGAATGATTTGGCATTTGCCAATGGTCTTCCAGGTGCATCAAGAGATGTAGAACCTTATTCGGCATACACGATCCAATTTGGTTCATTGTTATTTAAACAAGACAAAGGCATTCAAGCTGCACCTACGTCCGAACAACTTGTTAAAGCAAACAAAAGTCAGTTTAGCTTTTTAACTAGCATCCCGTTTATCAAAGACTTGGCTACTTCTTTGCCCATTTTATACAATGGTAACCAAACATTTACAAACAAGATGCAAATTCGATTAGTCCCATCCATCTACGTCAAATCTGACAATTCAAATCTCCAACAGTTGCAACAGTACCCGCCGGTCGAAATCCAAGCTGATTTGAATGATTGGGGTAAAATTAAATTAGAAACATTGCAAGTTTTATCTATAGAAGCAATCAATAATTGCTATGTTGCAATGCCTCACATGGCGCTGGATTTACAAGTGTCTAAATTGATAATTGGTGATTTGTTACAACCACAAATGGAAAGCCAAATTGCAAATGGTATTTCTTTTGATAATCAACCGAATTTGTCCAAATTTTTAGAAGATTCACAATTGAGTTTTGGTGGAAAGATACAAATCAAGCCTTCTTCGTCAATTGAATTGTGTATTAATGATCAATTGATCAAGTATGATTTTGTTCATTTGACATACAAGACTGATTTGATGTTTGATTTGAATGGCAGAGAGTTGTGTTTGAGTATAGTTGAAGGTGGAAGTTTTGGAGGGAAAAGATTTGAGGTCATTTTAGGTGATGGAGAGTTATCCAATGATGATTTTGCCAAATTTCTCAATGATGCGATCCGATTCTATTCCGAAATTTAAAAAAAACTACGTCAATGGAATACAAAAAACGGGAACAATCCACTCATTCTCTATATCCTTTGTTTTGGAATATTTATTTCGTCGGATCTTAAATACATGTACATACTACCGCTACTTCTCTTCCTTTTCTTGTTCTTTTTGCAAATGTAAAACTCAGTTTTCCTGTCATTTCTACTTCTTTTGTTCAAGCGATTTGACGTGCCTTTCCAAATTGTTGATTGAAGTTTGCAATGCAATTATATCGGCAGCAACGACGGTATTAGCAGCATTATATTGATCCAACAAGTAATAGTATGAAGCACCTCCGGTGACTGTGACACCCAATAAGAATCCAATGAAACCGCCTCTGAATGCACCCACTTTCTTAGGTTTTGGTGGTGGTGGTGGTACTACTACTGTTTCTGTTGCAAAAGTACGAATTGATCTAGCCAATGGTTTAGAAATGTGACGTGCAAACATTGCTGGTGTGTAGAGCGTGTGAGGTGTCTGGTGGAAAAGGGTTTATAATGGAATGATTTTTTTCTCAGTCGTTCTTTGCTGTTACCACCACTCGGTTTTAAGGTAAAGAGAGTGAGAGTATGTTTGTTATGCTACCAAATGATAGGAAATTATATTGATAAAGTAACTGACAATCGTATATGGTACATCATTTCCATTTCCAGTTCTAAGCCATTCCCCTGTTAGAAGCAACTAATTGTGCCAACAACCCTGTTGCAAGCTCTCCCTTGGGACTGATTTGTAAAGTGTTGTTTTTCGGCTTTAATCCCCCGGGTAAATTCCTCCATTGGCAAATTCGCATTCTTGTTCTTCTCTACCCGCCGCTTTGTCATGTGAATCCAAAATATCTTTCACAATATTTTTTGCAATTTTTCTCAAATATTTCAATGTAAAATAGCAACCTACATCCTTTTAGCAAAATTCATGTTTAGTCGATCATGGTATAGGGTAGCTCCTACGTTAAAAGCTACTCAGCTTATCAGAATACAAGGCTATGCCTCTACCCGACAGCAAGCACCACGTACTCAACGTTCAAAGATACTTCGACGAATTGGTCTCGGAGCAATTATTGCTGCCGCCAGTGGAGGGGCAGTATACATTATCGATAGGGAGTACAACTCGAGTCTTGCTACCAGAACTGTGAGGGCTTTGTATGTACTTCTTTGGATTGCATATGAGTACGGGTTCAATAGTAAAAAGTACCCCAACTTGGATGACTTGCACGAAGTAGCTAGTGAAAAATTGCTACAACTATTGGCAACAAATAAAGGGCTTTACATCAAACTAGGACAGGCCATTGCTAATCAAGGAACGTTGTTTCCCAAAGCTTATCAGAAGAGATTTCCACAGTTATACGATGATGCGCCAACTGATCCATGGAATAAAGTTGATGCTGTTTTGAAACTAAATTTAGGTGCCAATTATCAAGACGAGTATTTTGATTGGATAGAGCATGTACCTATTGGAAGTGCTTCTATTGCACAAGTGCATAAAGCTAAGTTTAATGAAAAGTTGGGCGGTCAAGAAGTGGCGTTGAAGGTGCAACATCACTACATTAGCAATCAAGTTGTGGTTGATTTATGGGTTTACCATTTCATGTCAAAGGTGTATGAAAAAGTGTTTGATATACCATTGACAATGTTTAGCAAATTTATTTCAGAGCAATTGAGCACGGAAACAGATTTTGTCCATGAGATGGAAAATGCACAGAAATTGCAAACCTTGATTAACAATGACCCGGAATTGAGAAATATGAATTTGAAAATTCCAAAGAATTATCCCAAGCTAACCACCAAGCAAGTACTCCCAGCTGAATGGATTGATGGTATCCCGTTGACGAAAAAGGAAGAGTTGCTTCAAAAGGAATTTGACCTCACATTGATGATGACACAATACATCAAACTCTTTGGCAGACAAATATTCCGGTACGGATTTGTTCACTCCGACCCTCATCCAGGTAACTTGATTGCACGAATCAACAACAAGGGAAAGCAAGAACTTGTGCTACTCGATCATGGAATATACACCACGCTTCCTGAAAAATTTAAATTGCAATACGGTAAATTATGGAAGGACTTGTTTCTACTAAACACAAAGGGAATAGAAGAAATAGCTCTTGATTGGGGTATTGCGTCACCTGATATTTTTGCAACATTAGTACAACTACGTCCAGTGAAGATGGACACGTCCAACCTGGATGAGAAGGACACTCGTGATATCTCGGATCTATTCAAGGATTTTATTGGCGATAGGCTGAAGTTTCCCAAAGAATTGACGTTTGTAACAAGGACCATGAGAATGATTCAGAGTCTTAATCGAGATTATGGTTCTCCAGTTAATCGTATAAACTTATTGACAAACGAAGCCATTGCTGCAATATCAACCGAAAAAAACCTCACCTGGTCCGATTACTGGGATGTGGCTAGAATTAAATTGAGTATGGTTTTCTCGGGTCTAATTTTCAAAATGATTCGTTTCAGACAATGGGTTTCTGGAAGCACGAATGAGAAAAACCAAGGATTAGAGGATTACATTGAGATGTATATGGAAAACACCGCCAAGTCATTAGGTATAGAATGGATGTAGATGTATAGTTTATAAATAGAATTAGAACGATTTAGAGAAGCATGGCATCGCGGACAAATCCATCTTTTCAATGCTCATCGTAGACGAAAAAAAAAAAAAAAATAAGAATTTGAACTTTGTTGCAAAACCAATATCATTACCAGCTCTCCTTCCAACAATGGACTTAAAGACAACGTATATACACAAAGAGACGGAACCGATTTATGTGGGTGGAACTAGTGCAAGTATATCTGCTTCGGATGGGCAATACTTGGCCACGCCACTTAACGAGGATGTCATAATCACTGACTTATTCACAAATGAGATTTACCACCGAATCGAAGGTGATGACGACGAAGCAATCACAAGTTTATGCATTACCCCTGATGGAAAATACCTTGCCATTTGTTCGCAATCACAACAACTACGTATATTTGATATTGGGGCTAAGCAAATCATCAAGACCTATAAACTTTCATCACCGGTATACATTTCCACTGTTGATTCGACCTCATCGCTATTTGCATTTGGTGGCTCAGATGGTGTTGTTACCGTATGGGACATTGAAGGTGGGTATGTCACCCACTCATTGAAAGGACACGGTACTACTATTTGCTCAATCACATTGTATGGAGAGTTGAACAATTTGAACAGCTGGAGGTTAGCTAGTGGTGATACGATGGGTACTGTCAAAATTTGGGACTTGTCTAAACGGAAATGCATACATACTTTGAAAGACCACAATACTGCAGTGAGAGGGGTTGCATTTGATGACGATTACGAGTATTTCTTCACTGGTGGACGAGACCATGTTGCTATTATATACAGCACAAAGAATTTTAAGCTGTTGTTTACCTACCCTATTAACGAACAGATTGAAGCATGTGGGTTTGTCAAATACGTCAACGATCGTCAGTTTTTTTATACGGCTGGTTCAAATAATGTCTTGCGGTTGTGGAATATAAAGACAGGTGATTTGATCGCCCAATCTCCAACTCCACTAAAAACCAATGAGGAGTTGTTGATCATTGATGTATTGAAGGTGTCTGATCACCAATTGTATTTGGTCATCAGCGATCAAACTTTGGTGGAATTGGATCTTTCGGTTGACGATGAGCGGAGGGTTGGAGATATTGTGAGGGAATTGCCCGTTGTTAAAAGAATTGCTGGTAACCAAGGTATCATTGCAGATATAAGGTATGTGGGTCCAAATAATAACTTTTTGGCAATGGCTACAAACTCTCCAGCATTGAGAATTATGGATTTGCAAAAGCCATTCGAATTGAAATTATGCGAAGGTCATACTGATATATTGAATGCCCTTGATGCAACCTCTGATGGAAAATGGATTGCTACAGCTTCAAAAGATGGTGAGGCCAAGTTATGGATTTGGAATGATGGGGAGGAGAGTTTTGAATTGTATGCCACTTTCCAAGGTCATGCAGGATCTGTCACTGCAATTTGTTTGAACAAACTGACACTGGAACCTACTTTTCTCATTACTGGATCAAGTGACTTGACTATAAAGAAATGGTCGATTCCAAAGACGAGTGGAACCACCGTGAAAACATCTCTATACACTAGAAGAGCCCATGATAAAGACATAAATGCCATCGACATCTCTCCCAATGATGAATATTTTGCCACTGCATCATATGACAAATTGGGAAAAGTGTGGAACTCTCAATCTGGGGAAACCATTGGTGTTTTGAAAGGCCACAAACGTGGATTATGGGATATAAATTTTTACAAGTACGATAAATTGATTGTCACTGGAAGTGGTGACAAGACAATCAAGGTGTGGTCATTGAATGATTTCACCTGTCAGAAAACCCTTGAGGGCCATACAAATTCCATCCAGCGAGTCAAATTCTTTAATCCACAACTGCCACAACTCATATCATGTGGTGCTGATGGATTAGTGAAAATATGGGACTATAAAGCTGGTGAAGAAGTTCGAACTTTGGATAATCACGACAATAGAATCTGGGCAATGTGTTTGCGGGATGACGAAGGTGATGAGTTCATCACTGCTGATGCTGATGGTATAGTGACTACGTGGACTGACAACACAGCTGAGGAAATCAGACTACGCGAGTTGGAAGCCAAAGATAAAGTTGAACAAGAGCAGAGTTTATCTAATTTTGTGAAGAATCAAGATTGGAGTAATGCCTTTTTGTTGGCATTGACATTGAATCATTCTATGAGATTATACCATGTGATTAAGTCATGTATCGAAGCGAATGAAGATGAGGAGTCACCTATAGGATCAATCAATTTGGAAAACACGATCAGTCAATTGAATAATGAGCAACTTGTCACATTGTTTAAAAAGATTAGAGATTGGAATATCAATTTCAAGTTTTTCGAAATTAGTCAATCATTGATTTCTGTAATATTGCAACATTTTGCTGTTGAGACATTGGTTGAAGTACCAGGACTAATGAAAATTATCGATAGTATCATTCCTTACAATGAACGTCATTACAATCGATTAGATGATTTAATTGAGCAAACATATGTTTTGGATTACACGGTTGAACAAATGAATAGTTTGTTGGCTTGAAAATACAATCTGCTTTACTAAATAGACCCACTCCTTTTCAAATGATATCACCATTTCCATATTTTTTACCTTTTACACACTCTAATCCTTCACCACCATAACTCGTTAATGGAACGACTTCAACAAATGCTCCTTCATCTACTTGACCACCATTTTGCTTTACCCATTTAGTGCCTCTTTCTAAGTAATGTTGCCTACAACTAGTTGGCGTATCATTCTTGGCACCATCAGCATTCTTTAAAGGTGAAAACTCATCAGTTCTGTCGACTTCAAGACACCCGAATTTCGATAATTCAACTGAAGTAAAAACATCAAATATGAATTGTTCCAATTTGATACCATTTGGTGTTTCAGGTTTATAAAACTGACCAGTTTTCAAATCAATTGATGGAATCTTCTTCTTCGCAATGTGGAATGGTAAATATTCTTGAGATGAAATCCATTGAGGAATCATTTTCGTCAACAAATCAATTGAATAGTAATGATTGACAATGTTTGCTGCGCGAAGAAACAACTTTGAATCATCTTGTGGATCTCTCTTTTCAGCTAGTTCTTGCGAGATTTCACTGTATTCAATAACGCATGGTCTCTTTGTATCATCGTTAAGAACAATCAATCCAACACTTTCGTTGGCATCTCTTTTACGAACAACTTTTGTAGCCAAATCAAATTGTTTGTCAATAGCAAATCCAATAAATAATGGGTCAGCAACTTTGACTAATGCATTGTCGACACAATACATGTGTATATGTTTGATTTTCTTATTAACCATATCTTCCAAGATTCCATTGTTTAATAAAGCCTTGTATAATCCACCATTCCCATCAGGTGATTCACATATGGCGTTTTTCGATTGAAGAAGAATCTTTTCTCCCGATAAATTAAAGCATGGCAATGTACCTTGGTTAAAGAAAACAACCTGATTTTTGTCTAATCCGAAATAGTTGTGTTTGGTGAAAAACTCCTCGGTCGATTTTCTTGTTGGTCCACTGGTCATAATGTACCACATTATAGTTGGCAATTTACGCAATTGAAGCTTTCTCTGAGCCAATTGTTCAATCTTGAGAATCTTTTCTGCTTGGATTTGGAAAAGTGGCTTGTGTGAAGGCAAGGAAACATCATAACAGCCCTTTGGATCACTTGAACCCAAACGGGTTCCTTGACCACCCGCCATCAAAAGCACCGCCACTTCCCCCTCAGCAATGGCTTGGTATCCCAATTCCGACCAGTGTTGTGATATTTCAGAGTCAAGATCAAGTGTAGATGCAGTCTGCTCAGGGGGCAACTGGGTGAAATTCTTACCTGATGAATTTGAAGACGAGTATTTAATTGCGTCAGAAACAGTTGCGACTAATTTGGATGGATCTTCAATCGTCGATAGTTGACTCAAAAATTGAGTTTGCTGATCTACTGTTAATTCATCAAAGAATTTGAAGATATGACCCTGATTTGCCTTTTTAAAAGTGTCGAAAATGTGTTGCTGTGATTCAACTGTCATTTTATGCATAAATAATTCAAGGTGGAGAAACTAACAAAGTTTGATAAAGCGAGGGTGTTTTGGCTGGTAGTCGTTGAACGAGTGTCGATGGAGAATAGTTGATTGTCAATCAAGTGTTTGTTTTGTTGATTTATATATATGAAACGGAGACTTTGAAATTTTCTTCTATTTTTTTTTTTTTTTTTTTGATTCAGCGTGTAGAACCTATTTTTAGCTTTTTTTCTCGACTTTTTTATACAAAGTGGTACTGGTTTAGTATGTGACCCTTGATTTCTAGTACCCCCAATGCTGTTGCTACGCTCTAGGATAACAGCTTTTCTTGTCTTGGATGCATTGCCCCAATGTTTTTTTTTTTATGTGGGCGCTAATGACTACTGCAGCGGTTTTTAGTGTAGAAGGTACTGCTGTGCCTATGTTTTGAATTTTGACGTTTTAGGAAATCTAAGTAGAGAACAGAAAAAAAGAAATTTTTAATCCAAAAGGGGAGGAAAAAGACTCCTTATGAGGTGGAAGACGTGTTGCGTGGTGTATATCTCTACTTGTTGGCTACTGACGTAGACACGTGGATACTTCATGAAGCATAACAACTGTCACTGCCACTTATTGACCTCCATTCACTTTTTGAGGTACTATACCAGCCTATATGCAGTGTCAGTGCCACATGGAGTTGCAAAACCTGAAACTCTCAGTCGAATTTGCTTCAACCCTTGTCAATGCTTCGTGTCTCCCATTTCGATTAGCTCCAGAGTGATGGTATTGAAGGAAGTGAGTCGCCAATAACTAGGCTACTCCATTCAGTGATGAGATACAATCATCAATTTTGAGGAAAGTCGAACTACCAACAAGATGTATAAATTTGCAACAAAAATTTTCCAATATCTCACTCTTGTAAAATAATATGCTTCCGTTAACGGATCTACAATTTCAAATCCTTGACCTCGTTTGGCGAAATGTGAACCAACATCAAGCCTTAGCTCTTGCTCCACTATATTCCACTTTTCATTTCGTTGTAAAAAGGAAATTGTACAACCATACTTATATTTATAACGATGCAACAGATTGGGGATGGCTGTTGAGCCTTGGGACTCACAAGTAGATAAACAACCGAAAAAGTAGTCGACTTACCATTGTCTCACTAAGCAACCTTGAGAAATACATTTCAGCAATGGATGCAAACCAATCGATACTTGTTTTCGAAATTCGTAATTGTTTTCAAGCTTTGCTTGAATTCCCATCTTAGTGTTTTTTAAAACGGTCAAACGGTACGATGTTCCTGCGTAATCCAACTTCCCGGGGTCTGTACTCTTCAAAGACAATCTAGTTCGCTTCAAGCAGGAATTTCGACACAGGGTGGAACAAAATGACCTTGTGGAGGAAGAACAAGAAAGTTTCTTGCTAAGCTTGATTACGAAATAAAGTCGTGACAACCAATGAATCATCTACGAAACGTATACAACCAAACTTTTCAAGTTGGTTAACAAATTTTTGAATATAATTGAGTTTATACTTTATTATCAACGAACTGACCAACTAGGTAAATTCAAGTTTACGTAGCCTTTAAAAAAGTTGCGCATACACAACTTTCTCGAAGTAGAGGTGGATCCTCTTTGTAAACACTTCAACACTGCAAGTCTTCAAAGATTAGCCTTGGATTGTGGGAATTATTTGGACTACTTTTCCTCGGGTAAACTAAATGAGCAATTTCCAAAACTAATTGATTTGACACTAGACGACCATTCAAAGTATCATGATTTAAACTTGGCAGCAACTCAGGAGCCATCAGAAGTTGCAACCCCTCATTATTGTCGCTAGTTGCAAAACCCCTAGATAGTTGAAGAGTTTAGGAAGGCTGCACTTCAAACTCCCCTCAGCTTCCATTAACTGTTAGCGTGAGGATACAGTAACGAACTATCACGAAATCATTGTCGAATTTTTGAGACTCGTTAGTCCACGTCTTTACTATGGCCAGATAAGGTGTCATACCCAGTCTGGAAGGTCCAATAGGCAGGGAACGGTCAGTCTCATCATGACTGGTCCACTTGGAGACTGCTTTAATATTCACTACAGGCAGTTTTTCATTGTCGATGAACTCAATACATTCCGTATGCTGCGAATCGAACCTATCTACTCGTTCCACAAAAGCCAGCCAGATTTGATTTCAATGAAACCAGAGTAGACGAAAATTATCATACAGATGGAGGAACAAATGAAACTCTTGTTGAAATTGAAACTGAAACTGAAACCGAAACAATGCAACTAAAACTCAAATCCACGCTGAAACTGAAACTAGAACTGAAACCCCCCATTGAAACTACAATTGAAACTGCAACCAATGCTGTAATTAGAGCACAATCTGTCGTTGAAGGTGTGCACAAAAACAAGACTAAAGCGCGAGGGATTCGCTCACGATTGAATTAGATGCGAAGTCTGGTGGAAAAGTATTTGGAAGCCACTCTGAATAAAAAGCATAAATGATTCAGTTTGAAACGGTTATCTCTTTATTTGCAATGAAACGGAGGGAGAGGGGTATAATCTCTTGGCTCCACATGCTTTTGGAATTAAAAGAGACAATCTGCTATGAATGATTACAATTTTCTTGAACCTGATTTGGCATTTCACTTTGTGTAATACCAACATTGTTCATAATTTTTGCAACTTTTTGAAACGTCGCATCTATTGTGTCTATAGTTTGTAGGGGGTGAACTTATTACTGCCAAAACATGGCGCTTTGTGGATGTGGACTTTGATACTGCTTCAAGCAATTTCGGAAACGTACAATGGAACTCGACTGTAACTGATAGTGATTGAGAAATGCAAGACAATGAGTAAATGTAAAAAAGGTCGTCCTACATCCGACAAGGGCTCTCAATGTATCTTCTGTTAACTAAAATACCAAGGCTATAAAGAAAAGATTTTCCGATCTGTTATAACATGTATCGCATATGGGTTGTTAATTGTCTTAGCTTCTCGATATCTTGCAAAAGAGATACACCACTATAGGTGCGAGTTCTCACTCGAATCCAATCGACAGCAGTGGTTAGTATCTTTGTGGCGTGAGCCTCTAAACAAGGAGAGCTAGAGGTTAAGTACTACACAATTTGATAAGTTCCAAAATATATCTCCTATCTTAAAGTAAAAACCCATAAATATGAAGCAACCGCTTCTTCAAGAATAATAACCACACACACACACATATATGGTGCACGACCCTACCCTTGAGCGTAGTAGGTTGCTGGGGTATATAAATCATCTTCTCTTACGCCTCTTTCTTCCTCCATGTGTCTTACATTCCAACCAACGAAATCCAATTCCTTTTGAATGTAGTGTATCTCCTTCATAACATTTGGATCAAACATTCTAGGAGCAATTATATACTTGGCGATAATTGGTGTGATGACGGCTCCTGCAACTAAGCCTTTAAATGTGGACATCATTGGTGACATATTGAATTGAATGAACTAAATGTGTATGTTGTGTAAGGTAAAAGTGTGAATATGAGTAGGAAATGGTTTCTTTATTTCGCTTTTGAATGAAGTACCAGCTGTTTCTATATGGTGATCTTGTTGACAAATAACTTATGTTTGGCTCTGACTCCGGGGTAGCGTATTGTATCGTTAAATCTGATGTTGGTGGTGGTGTTGATTTGTTTATGTACTCGTAGTTAGGGTGAAGATGAATTGGAAGTCTCTGGGGTGTAGAGCTAGTATATACAACTATTTGAGTAAGGAGTTATTAATCGAAAGTAATATATGGATCATGTAATTACTAAATCAAAAAAAAAAGTGGGGATTTTCTTCCTTAAAAAAATAATAGAGAGTTGGGGAGTCATGTGACTGAGTCAAACTGATTTTTAGTTTGTCTGTCTCTTTTTTTTTTTTTCCCCGGGTTTTTCCCTACTATTGTGAATTTTGTGTATTTTGTCCATCAGATGATTATTTTTGTTGTTTTTAAACCCGAGGATCATGATAGAAAACATATAACTCCGACTAAGCTATTGGGCCCGCTATTTCGCTGCAAGACGGAGTTACCGATGTAGATTGTAGTGTCAAAGTACAATTACGTCATGCATTGTTCCGTGGCTAATGCTCTCAGGTGAAGAATTGCTTTGGTTTCTTCGAAGTCCAAAGACAAATCCGTTTGCAATAAAGGCTCAAGGTGATACTGTCTCACCCTTTAATGACGGAACAAGAAACTTGAGGATGTGACAGCTGAACATCCTGAAACTTGGATACAGCCTCTAGTAGTCGAAAGTCTTCACTTTCGTCCTTGTACGAAACTTTTTTAGGGCTGATTTGCCTAGCTCGGTACAGTGGGCCAACTCGCCATAGCTCCAATCTTTTCAGTTGCATAGATCTGCTCTATTTAAACAACACTTACTTGTCAAACAGGTTGTCGCGTTTAAAAAGAATATTGAATCCGGCTTCATCATTTCCGTTAGGACAAAAGTGGTCGTAGTTGATGCGGCGCTTGTTCGAAAAAAGGAGTACTCTTTTTGAAGTCCCTGCTTTTGTTCCAACTTCAATTGAACTAGCACAGTAGTAATGTCTTCCCAACAAGCTTACTACAATAAGGGCTATAAAAAATCCATTTCGGATACACACGCCACCAGAACTGTGGACAATTCAGTCAGATACATCACCAAAGTACTTAAGCCTGAATTCAAAGTGTTGGATGTTGGTTGTGGTCCAGGATCTATTACTATTGACATTGCCAAGAATTACTTAACTGAAGGTGGGTCGATTATTGGTGTTGAGCCAACCAAAGAAATCATTGATACTGCCAACAATTTGAAACAATCAATTGCTGCTGATCTCGACAACATTTCATTCCAAATTGGATCAATTTACAATTTGCCCTTTGAAGACAATACTTTTGATTTAGTCCATGCACACCAAGTTATTGTTCATTTGGAAGATCCCATAAAGGCATTGAAGGAATTGGCAAGGGTTGCCAAACCAGGAAAGTTTGTCACTGTGAAAGATGGTGATTTGGAGTCAATGATTTTTGACCCACCCAAATACGATGTGCTTGGAAAGTATAACATCATGAGTGCTAAGAATAGGGGATCAACTGATGTGAAATCTGGCAGAAAGTTACTCAGAAGAGCAATCGAAGCTGGTTATAAATCCAGCAACATCACCACGTCTTCATCGACAATGTTATTCACGGGAGTTGAAAAGGAGAAGCGCGTTTGGGGTGAATTGCTCATCAAGAGGGTGGAAGGCGGAGGTGAAGTTTTAGTAGCAGATGATGAGAAAAAGAACGAGGAGCTCAAACAAGAAGTAGTCAAGACACTAAAAGAGTGGAAAGATGATGAGACATCGCTTTGGAGTGCAGTCAACTTCGAAATTACCTACAAAAAGCCAGAATAGGGAGAACTTTGTAAAATGTATGTGTGTATTCTTTCAGTTTGATCTACACCAAGCAATCATTTCTGTTGGCCACCGTACAATTTCCTCCACTCATCAATCTTCTTTTCGTCAATTCTCTTGAAAAGATATTCAGCAGCGCCAATATTGTGACCAGCAAGCAAGACGAGGGTGAACTGATCAGGGATGGACAATGCAGGTGCATTCAATATTCTATTAATTTGTATTGACGTCAGTGGCATGAATGGGTAAAACACTGCTGACAACAAGTAAGCAATATTGATTCCAACATTGACAACCGCATCAATTCTATCAGGTTCTTCTTCAAAACTCTTGTTATCAATACGATTCGATTGTAAGAATGCATTACCACGCGCCGACAATGCCATGGCAAGTTCCAAACCTTTTCTGATTTGAATTCCATCCATAGCTTGAATGTACTCCTTCAATAATGCATTAAACTCGTTGACAAATTCCTTGTAATTTGGAATGTTATCGAGATTATACTTGGGCAAAACACCATTATATTTGGCATTGACAAATTTAACAATACGATTGACAAAATTACCCAAGTTGGCCAACAACTCACTATTATTCTTGGCGACAAATTCGTCCCATGAAAATTGAGCATCACCAGTTTCAGGTCTAATTGAAGCCAAGTAGTATCTCCAAACTGATGAGGAAACACCTGTTTCTTTGGCATTGTTTCCAAAAACACCAACACCTCTAGATTTGGAGAATTTCCCACCTTCGTATTGCAAGTATTCTGTTGTGCTTAAATGGTACAACTTGGTCCAATTGTCTCCAGTGCCAATTTCAGATGCAGGGAAAACAACTGTATGGAATGGAACATTATCCTTGCCCATAAATTGATACAAGTCGACATTTTCTGGGTTTTTCCACCATTTGATCCAGTTTTCAGTGTCTGTTGAGTCGTTCTCTCTAAAATAGTTGGCAGTAATGGAAACATAACCAATGGTGGCATCAAACCAAACGTACAACACTTTTTCTTCATAACCAGGCAATGGAACTGGAGTACCCCATTTCAAATCTCGAGTAATACATCTGGGTTCCAAACCTTGCTTAATCCAGGAGTTGGTTATAGTCTTTGAATTCTTAGACCATACACCACTGGCTTCTTCCACCCATTTTTTTAATGGTTCTTCTAAATCATTCAATTTGAGGTAGATGTGAGTGGAGTTTCTTGCAACTGGTTTTGCTCCATCAACTTTACATCTTGGATTGATCAAATCCAACGGGTCTAATAAGTTACCGCACTTATCACATTGGTCACCTCTAGCATCTTCATAACCACATTTAGGACATGTTCCTTCAACGAATCTATCAGCCAAAAACGAATGATGTTGTTCACAATACAATTGCTCAGTGGTTTTTTCTTCCAAATATCCGTTCTTGTGCAATTTAAGAAAGATATCCTGAGCAATTTCAGTTTGCAAATCAGTTGTAGTTCTACCAAAGTAATCAAAGCCAATGTCGAACCAATCATAAACGTCTTTGTGAATCTTGTGGTACTTGTCACACAATTGCTTTGGTGTGACACCATCTTCCAAAGCTTTGGTTTCAGTAGCAGTACCATACTCATCAGTACCGCAAATGAAAATGGCATTATGGTTTCTATTCTTGACATATCTGGCATATATATCAGCACTCAATACTGACCCTATAATATTTCCCAAATGAGGAACGTTATTAACGTATGGCAATGCTGAGGTAATCAAGATATTACGTTCATCTGGTTTGGGAACAATCCTTTCTGCCTGGTCCTTTACCAAATAGTCTTTGATGTAATTTTGAGCCCCAGTGTTTTCTTCCTTGACTCTTTCGACTTTAGTAATTGACAATGCATGTTGCACACCTTTATTTACCTTTTCGGCAAACTCATTAAACCAATTATTGGATCCATTGACGTAAATTGGATACAATGACGAAAAAAGAATAATCTGCGATGGGTTGACTTCAACTTTAGATGGAGTTGAAACTTGAACTTGTTCAAGACTTTCCTTTCTATTAGTCAATACAGCTTGATGCAATTCTTTCTCCTCAATCTTGATATGTTCATCAATCGTGTAGTTCTTTGCCAAATACTTGACAATAGCATTAGGTTCGAATAATTCGAATCCAGTCTTTTTGTCCTTCAACAAAACGCCAATTTGATGATCACTGTCTTCAGGTAATTTTACAACGAGTTTTGGGTCATACGCGGCAGCAGCAATGGATAACTTCAAATTGTTGACCAAAGCCAATAAAGTCTTGTCCTTGGATCCGTAAAGTTCTAAGCTCATATTGGTAGGAGGGTATTGATATATATGCAAAGTGTGGATGACTCAGGCTTTGAATGGAATTTTTTTTTTCACTCATTTTTCCAATCCTACACAAATCTGACAAATCTGACAAATCTATGTTGGCTGAATCTTGTACAAGATCTAAAGTTGCACCTATAAGCTAATAGCAAAAAGGTTCTTCTTCTCTAGGGTTGTATACAAGTTAGATCTAGTGTTTTACTTATAATACTTCGTATGTATAAAAATAGAAGATTATCATATCGCAATCCGCGGATATACGAACAAGAAATATAGCGAGTTGGCTGTATAACACTTACGCTTTAGATTTCATTAATTGACAAGTTTGAAATTGTTAGGTTACACCATCATTGACTACCACCATTATTAATTCATTACTAATTCAAGCGGCCTCTACTAGTCTTGAGTATTTATAGCTGCCCACTTTTCCGTATTTCTATATATTTTATAGTCTATTCTACAATCAACCTCTCATTTAAACCGTACATCATCCTGACGAACAAGTAGTAACCAACAATAAAAGAAATCGAGTACAAATGGCGAGATTCGTTAATTCGATCATCATGGGCATATCAATGCTCATCTCAATAGTGAATGCTACGTCGGAAACCAACAATACAGACATAGTAATCAATACAATAAAAGAATGTTATGGCGAGCTATTTGATTTTCACTATGACGTTTTCGTAAGTAATGGTGGAATGGTCTTACAACTCAAGCCCAGAGAAGTGAGGACAACGAACTTTTCAGTAGGATCAAATGACTATAGGCTAGACTTATGTGTGGGTTTGGCTATGGGATTAAGATTGATCGGAGCAGTAGATATAGGGCCACACAGGGATATAGACCCGGCAATTAATGACACGCATGATGGTGGTATAAGGATTATACCGCGAGATGAATTCATGAGAAATATAATGGGGGTACTGTTAGGTAGAGCGCATGATATTTACACAACAGGCTGAGCGTTTACCGACTATAGTAGTTGCGTGGGTGATAATATACAGTTTGACTTAGTGCAAAGGAATTTGTGTGGAGTCAAAGAATGAGGCGTTCAAACCAACTGCCCCACGCAATCATAATAAGTGCGATTTAACACTAATAGTTGGGTGGCCCCATCACAAATGCACGAAAAGGTAATGAACATGGAATTCGGTGTTCTGGTGAATATTCAATATGTTGCGGGTTTGATATGGGTCGTCAATGCAACTAGATATTGTTGTGCGCAACTGTAGGTATATACGCGGATTGCGATATAATACCTTTTATATTCATACGTACGAAGAGTTATATAAGTAAAACACTAGATCTAACTCGTATACAACCCTAGAAAAGAAAAACCTTTTTGCTATTAACTTATAAGTGATAAATCTTCTCTCTTTGCATTACTATCTAGCTTCGTGTCGTGTACAAAATCCAACAGTGTTATTATTAGAGATATTGAGATTCCCAACACTTCGATATTTGTCTCCCCCATACATTCTCCTTTCCCCAATGGCACGACAACTTACTCAACTCCGGTGTTATTCCACTCGTGGAGACATATTCAACAGCATCATTACGAAATGCACAATTGCGGCACACAATGGTCCTCTTTTAAACACAACCTATGCTTTGAAGGATAACATTGTTACCCAAGACTTCCTCACCACGGCAGCCTCACACGCATTATACAATTACCAATCACCATTTGATGCCACTGTTGTCAAACTACTATTCGAGAATGGGGCAACTTGTATCGGTAAGGCCAATCTAGACGAGTTTGGAATGGGGTCGTCAAATCTAAACTCATACTATGGTGCAGTCATTAATCCTTTTAATGAACAGGCAGTTCCTGGTGGCTCGTCAGGCGGATCTGCGGCAGCAGTTTCAGGAAAGATTGCCAGTTTTTCAATAGGTACCGATACAGGTGGTTCGATCAGGTTGCCTGCTAGCTATTGTAATGTGTTTGGCTTCAAACCAACGTATGGACGTATCTCACGGTGGGGTGTAATACCGTATGCACAAACTTTAGATACAGTGGGGATAATAAGTGACAATGTTGACTTGGTGGAGAGAGTGTATGATGTTTTGAATGTGGAAGATCAAAAAGATCCCACGTCGCTCCCACAATCGGTGAGGGATAGCATGAATACTACTGATCAGTTATCGCAACTTACATTTGGAATACCGCTGCATTTCTTGTTTGACGAAGTATCGGACCAGGTCCGATCAACATGGATTGAAGTGATGGAACATCTCATTGATCTTGGGCACAAGATCAAATTCATTTCGGCCAAGGCAATCAGAAAAGCATTGCCTGTTTACTACACAATTGCTACATCTGAAGCTGCATCGAACTTGGCTAGATATGATGGAACTAGATACGGCTATACATCAAACCCTGTAAATGTCAATGACCATCCCATGGAATTGATTTTTAAAAATAGGACGGAATCCTTGGGTCCAGAAGTACGGAGGAGAATACTATTGGGTAACTACACACTAAGCTCCAAATCGGGTGATCATTACGCAAAAGCTACTGAGCTACGTGAAAAATTGACTAGAGAACTATCATCGGTGTTCAAAATGGAGCATCCACTTCTTCAAGACCTGTATAATGAGCAAGGTTGTGATTTGATCATATCGCCAACTGCAATGGATGTTGCTCCCACAGTACAAGAAAGCACCACGAAAAACGCTGAGAACTTGATAAACGAGTACATCAATGATATATTCACCGTTCCAGTATCACTTGCTGGTTTGCCAGCAATATCGGTCCCGTTCAATGGCATCGGTATTCAATTGGTGGGTCAATACGGTGACGATAAACTTGTTTTACATGCGGCGAAGCTAATCAAATGAGAATTGTAGAAATTATATAGACCACGGCAAAAGAAAAAAAGCCATGCTTCGTATAGAAAGTATTTAGAATGTTTGTATAAGTTGAATTATCATTAATCGTTAAAATATAATTGAAACAAAAGGAAAAAAAGTAATCCCCTCCCCCCCTTTGCTCTAAGATCTGTGTTGAACTAAAATGCAAAACATATATCTGTTGCCTTTACTTTCTCCCCAACAATGTCAAAAACTCTTCTCTTGTCTTTTGATGATCTCTAAAGCATCCAAGCATACAACTCGTTGTTGTTGAACTACCAGTCTTTTGTACACCGCGACTCACCATACACATATGCGTAGCCTCCATGACTACCGCCACACCACGAGGTTTCAAAATCTCACTCAATGCCATAGCAATTTGTTTAGTTAATCTTTCTTGAACTTGAAATCTTCTCGCGTACATTTCAGCCAATCTTGCCAATTTACTCAACCCCAAGACCCGCTTGTTCGGGATGTATCCAATGTGCACTTTACCAAAAAAAGGTACCAAATGATGTTCACAAAGGGAGTATATTTCAATATCTCTAACAATCACCATTTCATCGTGGTTTTCTTCAAAAACGGCATTCTTGATAACATCACGGATATTGTCTTCGTAACCCTTTGTAAAAAACAACATGGCACGAGCATATCGTTCAGGTGTTTCCAAGATCCCTTCACGATTGGTATCTTCGCCCAATTCAGTCAAGATTGTCCGAACGGCATCAGCAATGCGCTTTTCGCGCTCAGCTGCTTCTTCAGGGGTTTGTTCAATACGTGATCTAGCACCGTGTGAAGGCCATGAAAGTCCATCTGAGTCTATTGGCGGATTAAGGATCAAAGGTGATGCCGGTCTAGTTTGTAGTGGTGAGTTGAGATCGAAATGTGATGATGCAAGTAATTTGGATCTTTTGGGATGCACCACTGGTCTGGGGGAGTGGGTTCCGTTGATGGAGTCATGGTCTCTCTTGAGATTGTGGTTCTCGCTGTCTTTATGCTCCGACATGCTGCTCCTAAAGTCAGTTAGTTTTTCTTTGTGACAAGAGAAGAATGACGAGTCCAAACCACTTACGAAACGAACCTTTTTTTTTCCTTTTTCTTTTTCCCTTTTTACTTTTTTTCACTCGCCATACATTCTCATTCCAGAGTCAGATCTGTAAATCAAAATATGTAATTTATAACCATAAAGAAAAAAAAAAATTACTTCATCATGTATCTATACATACACACATCAACTACGTAAACGGATTTAAAACACGAACAGTCAAGCATGGCAATGTCATACCAATTTCTGCTCTCAACAATACTGGAACTTCAGTCAACTCTCTAACAACTTGAATATGAGAATCACCGTCAATTCTCGTTTCAAGATTCTGCAAATATGGTGCCAAACCTGAAGCATTTGACCCTTCAGACTCATCAATGACGGAAGAAGAGTTTGTTCTCACATTTTGAGGAAGGTGTGATTGGGTTGGTGAGTTTGGCATGGACTTGGTGGCATCTTCTTCAACAACCTCTTTGTTCTTTTTTAATGGAGGCATCGTCAACTTTGGAGGCTCTAAATTCATCTTGCACAATTTTTCCACAATGGAATCTTCACCGGATTTTTTCTTTTCCAAAATGGCCTTGTTTTGGATTTTGGCAGCTTGTGTTGACGTTGTTCTGTACTTATTCTTGATTGAGTTTCTATACGACAATGAAGTGGTTTCATCCGGGGGCACGTATGTTGCCGAATCAACGCCCTTTTCCCAGAACAATTCCAAAACTCTGTTGGTTTTATCAAACTCTGCTTTGGCAAGCGGCAATTGATCTCCGTGTACTCTCTTTTCAATACCAAATTCAGGGATAAACACGTCAAATGAGGACTCATACACTTGTACAACTGTACCCATGCACAACAATTGACCAGCACTTTCGCTCAACTCATTGATGGTTTGTGATAGCAAAAGGTGAATAGCTTGCTCTTGTGCATTGGCAGCGCAATCCTTCTTGAAGTTACAATAGTCAGCCAATGCCTTTAATGAATCAACATCCTTTTCTTCATCCTCTTTGTGCAACACTGCCTTTAATTGTCTGTGAACAATCAAGTCGGCATAACGTCTCAACGGGGCAGAAAAATGTGTATACAAGGGTAAGTTGTAGTAGTAGTGACCATAACTGTCAGGGTCTTGCTTACCTGCAACGTAGTACTTGCCACGAGCCATACATTTAAACAATAGAATCTCAACACATTGTCTCTTGACAGGATCTTCAATTTTCAATAATGAATTCTGCAATGTGGCTGCATCGGTGGTGTCGATCTTGATTCCCAAATTGGTTGCTTTACGCACAAATGTCTCAATTTTTTGCAATGTTGGTAATCCTTGACGACGCAAAAATGCCTTGTTACCCAAACCAACTTGAATCTTGGCAGCGATTGCCGAATTAACCTTCAATGCAATCTCCGAGATAACATCACGTGCTAAACTATCGTCAAAAATGTTCAAACTCAAGGCAACTTTTTCATCATCCAATTGGTCCAACAAAGTCAAATTTGGCGTGATGCCCAAACTTCTATTTCCTAAACGGTGACGACGAAACTCTTTCGCAATCAAACTAAAAGTTCTGATGTAGTCGGAAGTTGCTGACGAAATGGTGTCCACAGGTTTGTTTTCCAAAATTTTATCAAAAAAGTCATAATTAACAATTTGCTTAGGAACAATAATTGACTCATGAATAAATAAGTCTTCAACTTCGAAATTAGTGGTGTCAATTTCAAAGACAACCGATAGGGCCAAATTCTTTACATTCTCTTTGAATGAAATCAATTTGTTGACTTGTTGAGGGTATAGATTTACCACCTTTTGAGGAAGAAAAACCGCAGATGATCTCTTTTTCGACTTTCGATCCAATACTGACCCAGGCTTGACAAAGTGCGACACGTCGGAAACATGGAATCCCAATTCAATCTTTGTATTGGACAATCTCTTTACATGTAACGCATGATCAACAAAGTCGCCATTGGGGGAGAACGCAATAATGTAATCATTCACGTACTCAGTTCTGTTCGAATTTTCCAACTCCGATTCAACAGATGGTATGTCAAAAGTTCCGAGTAATTCCTCATCATCATGATTATCATCAGGATACTCATCACAAAGAAAATTATTGTCTCTCAAAATTGAGTCAACTTCTATTTCAGGACTATCGATCTTTCCCAATTTCGAGATCAATGTTCCGAAAGGATGCAATGATGTAATGGGCCATCTTTTGATCGATGCAACAAACAACTGGTCAGCATACTTCTCATGGTTGCTAACAAAATCAGATGGGGCTTGCTCAGTTGGAATAGCAATTAATGGAACTTTCTTATCGGTGGGCTTAAACCACACAATCTTTGGTGACTTAGGTGTTTGAACTGATGGTTCATTTCCTGATTTCTTGTCTCTCGCAGCTTGTGCAGCCTGTGCCGGTCTCAACAAGCCCAAAGTACCTGCAAAAAGCTGTCCGGGAATTCTGTCAACTACAGCAACAACATGCCCTGCATATAAAGGTTTAACCTCATCGTTTATCTCCTCCTCTTCAACCAAAAGCAATGATTGCCCCTCAACCTCGACATCATCATTCTTTTTCATTGTTGGTCTTTGCTTAAGCGAGCCTCTTCTTCCTAAACCTTCCTCGCCTTTATTGTCTTCTTTCCCGTCTGTACTTGAACCTGCAAAAGCAGTCGTAGTTGTAGGTGCTGATGTGGCGTCATTATGAATATCATCATTCAAAGGTCTTGTATTGTGGTCTTTTCTTCTCTTTTTCTCCTCCTTCTCCTTCTTGGACTCCCATACTTCGTCCACAACTAACAACTCGACGGCAACCAAATCGCCTTCCAAGGCACGATTACGATCTTTTGACCCACAAATGAAAATGTCAGCATCTAACAATCCATCAGTGGATACATATGCATCTGATCTATTCTTCTTGTTGACTCTTAGAGTTCCCGTGACCAAGCGACCCTCATTGATCAATTCAGGAAGGGATGACTGTGGCAAGTATGGAGCGAAAAGCGATTTACGACCATTGCCAGTATTTTGTCCGCCATGTGCTCCTCCTCCTTGACCACCGCCTTGAGCTCCAGCTCCACTGTTTGGTAAAAATTGTGAGATGGATGATACGGAATTTCCTCCACCATAGGAACTATTACGTGGTCTATGGCCAGGAATAAACCCTGGGGGTGGTTCCAATCCCGATGCTTGTCTGTGATGTGAGCCAGATTGTGGAGTCAAATGGATGTTTTGTTGTCTCCAGTTTTGATTAATACCTTCAGAATTACGCGATGCCGTTCTGTAGTGTGAGGGTTTTCGATTGTGGCTACCTCTGTCACCACCGCCACCGCCACCGCCACCGCGTTCAGGAGATTGGGTGAAGCTAAAATTTGGAGTTGGCGGCAACAAGTTGCTGTTACCAGAAGTTCCTTCTTGAGATGGTGTTGCTGGAAACTTGAATGACTGTTGTCCATAAGCTTGTGATCTCGGGCGGTTGTGAGCTGCAGTGTTAGGGCTCGAAGGATCGTTGCTTTCTTGAGGAAACTTGAATGATCCAACTTTCTGATCATCAATAGCATCACCACGCAGTGGGCTAGAGCTGAGTCTGCTGGTTCTTTGTTGATCGGCAGCTGCAATAGCTTCATTGAGTGCCAATGAGTGCCTTCTAGTATGGCCATGAGCAGTACCGCCACCAGCTGAACCTGTTCTTCTGTGTGTATTGTTGTAATTAGTGTTGCTGTTGGTAATTGAAGATGATCTAGAATGTGAGCCACGATTGTTATTGTGATGAGAAGAATGCAGGATATCGGAATGCGAAGAAGATGACAGGGGTGGATACTCAAATTGCGGTTGTAAGTATTGTTGCTGCTGCTGTTGCTGTTGCTGTTCCAAAATTTGTCTTTGTTGAGCTTGAACCTGGTCCAATTGACGTTGTAAGTTGTATTGCTCAACCATCAATGTGGTTAACTCTGAAGGTGAACGTCTATGAGCAACATGCAAGTTTTTCCCTTTTCTACTCGATACTCTACTGGGGAAGTCTTCAGGGTTGTCTTGTGATGAACTCATAACTAAATGCGATGTTAAATCGAAGTAACTTGAGTAAGGAGTGTGTGTATTGTGTATGTGTACGTGTCACCAACTACAAGGAGTGACTAAAATGATGCGGTGTATTAATTGAGTTTGTAGTAGTAGTAGTAGTGGTGGTGGTGGTGGTAGTTGCTATGCAAAACAAACAATTGACAAGGGAGTGTGTTGATTGGGGTTGTGTAATGTGATTTGATGGGTAGGGACGTGGATGGATTGCAAAAGGAATCTTTTAAAACTGTTGCTTCTCCTAAACGTAATTGAGTGAATGGCAAAATACTTTTCTCCCTTTCTTCTTTTTTGTTGAAATTTTTCTTTACTTTTTCTACTTTTACTTTTTTTTTTGCTTTTTTCTAGTTAGACACAGACACCAGACACAGACACAGACACAGGCAATTCAGTGTAGTATTACACATAGTAATTGTTTACTTGTTACGAGTTAAATCACGCATATAAACACAGAAGGAGTGTACAATCCCTCTCTTTGGTTTTGTATCCTTCAAATACATAGAGATGAAATGGCGGATGCATAGGAAGGGAAGGGAGAGAAAGGGCATGATGTACCTTGAGATATATCAGAGCCTAGACTCTTGTCCATCTATGCTTCTGCTAGTGATTCTCATCTAACTCCATGCTTCCATTCTTCCTCTCCTATGTTGGGTTTTTATGTAGGGACTAAGTTTTGTCCCTCATTCACAATGTTAATAGTCATCTGTTTTTGTTTTTTTTGTTAAGTAAGCAAGATCTAAAAATAACCCACTTACATTTGTATACCAAACAAAAACAACAAGACTTCTTTGACAACAAGTACATGTTATTCACAAGTGCAATGTCAGACCAACCTACTGTTGACCATATAATTAGAAGCCACTGAAGAGTGACTTAGTTGAGCAAGTGTATGGCCTTGCTTCCATGGAGAAGAGAAGAAATTAATGGGCTCATAATTGAAGTGTGGAGAGTTACAAAATCATTTCCCAGCACCCAACAATCTCCGAGCCATTGTTCTTAGTTTTTTTCTTCTTCTCAGTTCTAGGCTTTGAATAAGTTTATTATATGTGTATATGACCAGTAAATTTATGACAGGTAATGACACGGGGAGGCAAAAATGAACATTTTATTCGCTGAATGAGCTGTTAATCTTACGACGAGAGTTAAACGCTAGCAAAAAGTCATCTCTTCCTAATTGTTATTAGTTGCACCCCTTACATTAGCACCAAGAAAAAAAGAAAGAAAAAACTCAGATTCAACATGAAAAACCAAAGCATGTGAATCTGTTGGCAATCAATGCTGAGGGAAAAGCCCGTTAACACCCATTTTCACGGTGCTAGGAAAGTGCTGTCGAACTTGGTATCTGTATCCCTATCCATTTTGTACATTATCAATGTATTGCATGGAATTCGATAATGCGTGACTAGGTTCCAAAGCTATAACATGACATGCATCCAAACTAACAAGAGATTTTTCTCTCAACTGTGAGCCTTTAATCAAGTATAAATCCATCACAGTGGTTTATTGCGACCAAACAATTTGCACAAGCAGACAAAGTGTTTGGATTTCCCATGTCAGTGCTAAGCGAAAACGTAAGCAACAAATTGGGTAGACTGCGAGCCATGCGCCACATAATACAAACGCTATGATTACTTTCAAAAAGGGAGCATAGCTCCAAAGAACAAGGTTCTTCCTGTACCTGATATTAATCTATGTTTGTAAAAATTAGCACGCGGTGTCTACTTACACCAGAGCATTATACAATCGTACATTATTGAATACAATCACGCTTGGGAATCTCTGAATTTAGGTCATACACAACCACTTCGGTTCCCAACCACCGCCAAATCTATATTGAAGTGAACACCCAACCACGCTACCAATTGCTTTTTTTGCAACCACAGCATGTATATTGCTCACTCCCAAGTGAAGTAAACGCAAGTAAATTTGTAGGTGGGATTGAAAGAGTAACGAGTGAATCCAAGTAAATACAAAATTATTGAACAAGTCCAGCTGCGCTTTGCCCTTTGATTTCATATAATTTGATCAAATTTTGTTACAAAATCCAACACTTCAATCAAATAGATGTGCTAGGGAGCTTCTGAGCTCTAAAGCAGCTTTCTAAATTAAGGATAAGTTGCTAAAATGGATACTAGTAGAAAGCCAAATGCAATTAAAAGGTGGAGCAAAATATTACCAATTGTGACTAAAACTAAGCTACAATATAGAACGATAGGACAAATTAATTATAAAATGGGCGTGTGGCGTAGTTGGTAGCGCGTTCCCTTAGCATGGGAAAGGTCATGAGTTCGATTCTTATCTCGTCCAATTAATTTTTTTTCTGTAACCAATTGTTAATATTTTAGAGTTGATGAGCATGATGTTTGTATGTTTTCTTCAATGCCCATCCACTTGTTCTATTTTTTACACGCCAAAGAGCAACAGGAGTGTTTTTAATGCCTTGCTAAATCCGCGGATGTCAAATTGTGGTGCACAGAGAATCCACAAAAAAGGACAAAAAAAAAAAAGAACAGAACCAGAGCTTTGTGACTTTCCAATATAAGCTCCACCACACTGCTACTTTACATCATGCCTAGACTCTCCAACCCGACTTTGACTTGCAAACGCCCTATCAAATCGTTTATTCAAAGACGCTACTTAGCCACAAGAACAGCAGGCGACTCACCATTTGATCATTTACCCAGATCACCCCCCAATCGCAAATGGATCAATTGGAAGACAACAACGGCATTTTTTTTACTTGGGGGATATTTGTCATATAACGAGACCTTGTTTAACCTTTATGAGAAGTACACAGCTATTGATGACAAGCAAACCCTGACCAATTTGCAAGCTTTACAATTGGAATACAAGTTGAAGAATTTACCCATTTATCAGAAATTGGCACATCCTAAAAACAACCATCAATGGTTTAAATTACTGAGCTGGGAGAATCTCGATCGAAATGTGTTGGATAATCAGGATTTGTCAGTAAAGACCCAATCGGAATATCATGAACCAACATTGACGAATAGAACTTTGAGCAAACCCGGTGGGATCTTGATTAAACCAGTGACATTTCACAATATTGAAACCGATGAAGGGGTTTCCATCATTCATGCCGGATACAGATTATGCGGATATCCATTTATTGTGCATGGTGGCATTATTGCTACTTTATTGAATGAAACATTTAAGAGAAATGCTTCATTGTGTAAAGATACAACATCAAACTTGAAGGATGATTTTAAAGTGGAAAACTTGACAATCAATTACAAGCGCCCTACATTTGCTAATCAGTTTTTGATCATAAAGACAAAGACGAAACCTAGTGAACAAAACGACAAGAAACATATTGTGTTGGAGAGTGTGATTGAAAATGAAGATGGTAAAGTGTTGGTAAAGAGTCAAGCCATGTTGCATGATACTGGACGGGCGACAAATAGAAGTAAAGAGAAGCAAAAAGCGGAAAAGAGATGGTGGTAGATTGAAATTGGGTTAATGATGTGTGAAATGTAGTCGTTTCTCTTCTCTGTGTTGAACTCGTAGTTATATACTGCTTATATTGCAATGTACATTCAGTATCTGTTATGTGGAGCACATATGAGAGCGCACAATTAAAAAAAAAAACAAAATTATCTCACCTACCTTTTCTTAAGAACATTCTCCATGAGGCAGGGATTTTCTGAAGAGCCATCAATTGAGCCACAAGTTCAAGCTATTGGCGATGATGGCGGTGGAATGACAAGGCGAGATGAATCTCATCTAACCGCTCAACAACCATCTATAACCATACAAGAACAACACAATGTCATTATTCAACCACGATTACGACCAATGCCATTTAAATTGCAGGATATTTCACAACCATCGTTACCTATACCGACAGAAGTGTGTACTTTAAATGGTGAGACTTATTACCAAGTGGAAGATTTGCCCGTTAATAGACGTGGATTTAAATACAAATTATGTCGGCCAAACCCCCTCTTTACATCAAATTTTTATGCAACTACCGATTTACCACCGTATCAAGCGTGCATCAGCTTGTTTGACCGAGCACCAGCAATGTTGTTTAGTAAAGACTCAATGTCCGTTACGCAAGCTAAAGGATGGAGATCAGCAAGAAGCAATGTGGGAGTAAGAGAGGGTTCCTACTATTTTGAATTCAAAATACTCAATTCTGACAAAAATAGCCATGTTAGAGTTGGGGTGGCTAGAAGGGAAGCCAGTCTAGAAGCACCAGTAGGTTACGATGCATATGGATACGGCATACGGGACGTTGACGGACAGTTGATGTTTATCAGTCGACGGAAAAATGTCTGTGTTGAAAATGGTTTCACCACGGGAGATGTCATTGGATTCTTGGTGCAACTTCCCTCATTAAAAGAGCATAAGCGTGAAATTGAAGAATTTGTTGAGAATAAGCGAGCTGAGATGTCGATGGAGCACAAGTCGAAAAAGAGGAAACACAAGTGGAAACAAATCAGTGTTGAGGAAAATGAAATGTTTATTGCTCATGACAATATCGTACGCGACCAAATTCCAACCAAATCGAAAGGTGCTCTTTATTACGATCAATACGAGTACACAAGGACAAAGACAATGGACCATTTGTTGAACCCAATTACAGTGTTTGGTGAAAAAGCCGTCATTGAAATGGATGACAAGACGAAGAACATACCAGTAATTACCAATTCCAAGATACGAGTTTTCAAAAATGGTATTGAACAAGATACTTGTATTGATAATTTGTATTCATTTCTACCAACAAACATTGAAACACGAGAGGATCTCAACCTTGAACCAAACGTGCAACAGCTGCAAAATCCTGGGTATCGAAACACAGATGATAATACACTAGGATATTATCCAATGTTATCAACATTTCAAAATGGAGCTGTACGACTAAATGCGGGACCAGAATTTGATTTCCCCCCACCAGAAACAGTTAAGCCATTAAATGATCGCTACGAAGAACAAGTCATTGAAGAATGGTATTGGGACATACTTGATGAAGTGGAGGCACAATATTTGGATAATTTTGACGATTAGCATCGCTCCTTTATAGCTCCATTATAAAGTAGAAAGATCAGGACCCACTCTCATTAAACTTGACTCTCTATTAGGTAAGCCACTATTTTTACAATACACTTCATAGCATTTTCGATGAAACGCATCTTTCTCCGGTGTAAGTATACCCATGGTAACAATTTCCTTACATTGTCGACAAACGAGTAGCTTCCCCCCTCCATCCTCGTCATCATTTTCACCTGATCCATATCCATCAATCAAGTATTGCTTCAACTCACACAAGCTTTTCACTGATAGTATTAACCGATCGTTCAAGGTTGCATCAAACCACCCATCGTCAATCAACCGGTCAACAAACGCGGCAGCTTCTTTTAATCCCTTAGCTTGGTGCGCATGTACAATCTGCTGTGCCGTGGCCCTACTTGTGGAGAATTCAAAATTGGATGCCTCAATTATATCATCGATAATCCCCTTTATGGACACAAGTTCTGAAGTTGTGTACATCGAACTTTCCTTCATTATTTCATCAACTATGGTATTTATGAAAATAAAATGCAACGACCCATCAACTTCGTCATTTTTCCGCTCAATTTTGAATCCTTGTTGGGATATTTGTATATTGATATCAGCAATGTATTGATTGAGTGACTCCATTGTGTGTTCATCCTCTACTTCCAAGCGCTGACAGATCAAGACAAATGCATCAAGAAGGTTCTGCAATTTGAGTGACTTGACAGATCTAATATAGGTGAGGAGTGTCCTATGGGCCTCTGTGTACATTTTTGGTAAAGGAAGATACTACTACTGATAGAAGGTAGAAAGTATTTTTGTTATGCTGAAAGAACGCGTTTCGATATCTTTTGTGCTCAGTATGTTTCCCAACTTCCTTGCCCTTTGCTTTCATTGTTTGTGTCGTTTTTGGTACTCCACGATTCTTACGATGGCGTTAACCAGTATAAGTAATGTGATGATCGCAGGGATAAGTATTGGTTGGAGTTTCAATGTCTAACCTTTCATTTGTTGTCGATACAATTCTATGTTCCCACTTAGACTCCTCGTGGTGCACTACTTGCTTGTTAGATGCTCAATTCAAATAGAGACGGAAGATGAAGGTGCTGGATACGGCGGCGATCAGTTGCAGAATGTATTGGATGACGATTTTAGCAACGTTTTCAATGATGAGTCACTGTCTGATGATATTCATTGTCCAGTAAAGTGCAATCCAAACACTGACAAGTTGTGCTTGGTTACCAATGAGGCATTGGGAACCTCGATTTTTGAAACCTTCAAAGAAGGGACTAACTATCTTTCAATCACAAGTTGTGGAGATGGTGTCAAGTTTGGTGAAGAAGGAATGGAGTTGACAATTGAAAATAAATTCGAAAATCCTGCCTTGACATCTAGTTTTTACATTATGTATGGCAAAGTTGACGCTGAAATTAAGGGTGCGTTTGGTAGTGGCATTGTGAGCTCCCTCTATTTGCAAAGCGATGATTTGGACGAAATTGATATAGCTGAGATATTAGGCGGAGATCCATTTGACTATCAAACAAATTACTTTATCAAGGGCAACGTCACCTCCTATGATAGAGAAAGATATCATAAGTTGCAAGTGAGCCCGTTGAAGGAGTACTACAAGTATGGTGTTGAATGGACACCTAGTAAGATAATATGGTACCTCGATGATCAACCAGTACGTCAATTGAGTTGTAAAAACAAGCAAGGTTTTCCAACATCTCCAATGGCGATTAAGATTAGTTTATGGGCAGGGGAAGATACAGAAAATGAAGGGACAATTGCATGGAGCAAGGGTTTAACGAACTACCAAGATGGCCCATTTACTATGAATGTAAGGAACTTGATGGTTAGTGATTACTCTTCGGGAAAAACGTATTCATATGGTTGGTTACCGAATGGTTCATGGTTGGACTTGGTTGCTAACGATGGAGAAATATCTACATTAAAGAATGAAAATGATGTGGGATTTGATAGCCCTGTCCAAATATTGACACCCCCACAAGATTATACGACTGATTTTACGGTGCCAAGAGAAAGGCATGGTGATTGGACAATTCCTCACGAACGTGTTTGGACACCCACATGGTCAGCTACCCTGACTGAGTTGATTGATTATGCATCCATCACCGACGATAACGACTCTCAACTCGATGATGCTATTGACGATCCTATTGAATATGCGTTCCCCACATTGCCAGTAGACCGAGGTGTCAAAAACAAGCAAGTGGTGGATAGAAACCAAGCAGAGCTTGCACCAGTTACTAAAACGGATTCCAAAATCTCCGAATTGATTAGCGAGTCCTGGTTTGCAACAACCTCAACTATGGCGGCAGAGTATCATTTTACAACACTTATCCATAATAGCAAAATGACAGCCAAGCCCATAGCTCCAGCCAGACCTGAGAAGGCTAAACCTGAGTGGCCCAAAACAGAAAAGGCTAAACCAGAGAAGGCTAAATTAGATAAGCCTAACTCAGACAAGCCCAACTCAGACAAGCCCAACTCAGACAAGCCCAACTCAGACAAGCCCAACTCAGACAAGCCCAACTCAGACAAGCCCCTGTCAGAGAAGCTCGAGCCAGAAAAATTCAAGCCAGAAAAGTTCACTCCTACTAAGTCAACTAAGGTTACGGATCCGAGCAGGGTTAGCAGAACCACCACGACGTCGGTGGAGACTGAGTTTATACAATTCCCTGAAGAGCATCGACATCATCAACATCACCATTATCCTCATCCAAAACAAAAAGTTGGCTCTCATGAACCGCAAGTTGAATCAGGTGTCGCTCGCTTACTCGTGATACCCGTTGCCGCTATGTTACTCACCGAACTTCTTGTACTCGTTACGTCATTATAAATCGTTGCATGATTAGAGATCATTTTTGTGTTCAAAAACGGAAGTTTTTATCTGATGGTAGCTCGGTAATCTTGGCTCCGAAAAAATGTTTAGTCGTGTAATTATGTACAGAATACACTCTCCCTCCCATTATAAAATTCGTCTGCTTAATGCGCAATGGAACCATCAGTGCTCCGAATTAATGATTCTGAGCTTTTGATTTCTTTAAATAGCCCAAACCTTTTACTGAAGCTCAACTCAATCAACACAATTGATTATTTCCTCTTGGCTTTTACCAATTGATACAACATTCAAAACTGCAATTATGCCAGGTGTGGATAACATACAACGTTTGAGTTACGTCTCATTCATAACAACCGATTACGACAAGTTTTTGCAACTGTACAAATTTTACTCCAATTTGGGCTTTAGGTTAACCAAGAACTTTTCAAGGGTGACGACAGATGGAGCTTCTGGGGCATTCAAACCACAAATGCAACTTGGAGTGTCTAAGGATTCCTTGAGGGAAGTATGGCTTGAGTCGTACCCCTTGCAAGAATTGGATGATAATGGAAACTTGCGCCCTTGGCAAGAAATGAAAGTTTACACCGGTGATGATGGAGAGAGATTGACCGATTCCACTGTTATTAAGATTAGATTGTCCAACGAAGAGCAAATAAAAGCAACTGTGAAGAAATTCCTTTTCTTCAGTACCGATTTGAAGCAGGTGGAGAAGTTATTGAAAGACGCCAATGTTGAAATAAAGACAGTGGGTGATCACACTTTTCACGTTAAAGATCCATTGGGAAACTTTTTGCAATTTTCAAACACCAAGAACGTGTTGGATACGAAGCAATATCATTCACCACAAGAATACATCAAAGTTGCCGAGGCCACAATTTTGAAAAATACGCACAAGACACAGCTCAAGTCAGAAATTGATCTAGTAATTGACAAAGAAGAAGCCTTTGTTGAAGGTGGTAAGAAAAAGAAAATTGCTGTCATGACTTCGGGTGGTGATGCTCCGGGAATGAACCCTGCAGTAAGAGCCGTTGTGCGTGCTGGTATCTACTATGGGTGTGATGTGTATGCCGTATATGAGGGATATCTGGGTTTAGTCAAAGGTGGTGACTTGTTGAAGAAAATGGATTGGTCGGATGTTCGTTCGTTTTTGTCTCTTGGTGGTACCGCTATTGGTACTGCAAGATGCAAAGAATTTAGAGAGCGCGAGGGTAGATTACAAGCTGCATACAATATGGTTGTCAATGGTATTGATGCATTGGTTGTGATTGGTGGTGACGGATCCTTGACAGGTGCCGATTTGTTTAGAAGTGAATGGCCATCATTGATTGACGAATTGGTTAAAACCGGGAAATTAACCGAGGACCAAGTCAAGCCATACCAACATCTTACCATTGTTGGTTTAGTTGGTTCTATAGATAATGACATGTCAGGAACTGATGTCACAATCGGTGCTTATTCAGCATTGGAGAGAATCACCGAAATGGTTGACTATATTGATGCAACTGCCTCCTCACATTCCAGAGCCTTTGTTGTTGAGGTGATGGGTAGACACTGTGGCTGGTTAGCTCTTTTATCAGGAATGGCCACTGGAGCCGACTATGTTTTGATTCCCGAAAGACCTCCTAAAGCTGGTGAATGGAAGCAGGATTTGAAAGACATTTGTACGAGGCATAGGGAATACGGAAGAAGAAAGACTACTGTCATTGTCGCTGAAGGAGCAATTGACGATGAATTGAACCCGATTACCTCAGAGGAAGTGAAGCTGGTGTTGGTGGATATTGGTTTGGATACAAGAATCACTATCTTGGGACACGTGCAAAGAGGGGGTACTGCGGTCGCCACCGATAGAAGATTGGCAACATTGCAAGGTGTCGAAGCAGTCAAAGCAGTATTGGAAATGACTCCCGACACTCCATCGCCAATGATTGGTGTCTTAAGACACAAACTTGTTCGTTATCCATTAGTGGATGCGGTTAGGCAAACCAAGGCAGTTGCCACTGCAATTGAAAATAAAGACTTTGATAAAGCAATGGGTTTAAGAGATGCAAATTTTGCTGAATCGTACAAGTATTTCCAATCGATTACAACATTTGATGATGGTTCAAGACAATTGGAAGAAGATAGAAGATTGAATATCGCTGTCGTACATGTTGGTGCCGCATCTGCTGGATTAAATGCCGCCACCAGAGCTATTGCTTTGCAAAGCATTTCAAGAGGACACACATTGTATGCCGTAGCCGATGGGTTCTCCGGTTTGGTGAAGGGCCAGTTGAGAAAATTGAGTTGGTTGGATGTTGAAGGATGGCATAGCAGAGGTGGAAGTGAAATTGGAACCAATCGTTCATTGCCATCGCAAGACTTTGGTGAAGTTGCCTACCATTTGCAGAAGTACAACATACAAGGGTTGTTGATCATTGGTGGGTTTGAAGCATTTACTTCCTTGCATGAATTACACGATCAAAGAGACAACTACCCAATCTTCAAGATTCCAATGGTTGTCATTCCAGCAACTATTTCCAACAACGTTCCCGGAACTGAATACTCTTTAGGATCAGATACGTGTATGAATGAGTTGGTTTCTTATTGTGACGCCGTTCAACAATCAGCATCATCCAGTCGTAGAAGAGTGTTTGTTGTTGAAGTGCAAGGAGGTCACTCTGGTTTTGTTGCTGCTTACTGTGGATTGATCACGGGTGCATTAGCTACTTATACACCTGAAACAAAGATTACATTGAAGGAATTACAACGCGATATCAATCTTTTGTTTAAAGTTTTCCAAAGTGATCGTGGAGAGGACCATAACGGTAAATTGATTATCCGTAATGAGCAAGCGTCAAGTGTTTACACCACTGAATTGATTGCTGATATCATCAAGGAAAATGCCAAAAAGAGGTTTGAAACACGTACAGCTATACCTGGCCATGTGCAACAGGGGTACACTCCATCGGCTGCTGACCGTGTAAGTGCCGTACAATTTTCATTAAAGGCTATCGAGTTTATTGAGCAATACAACCGTTGTGTTGAGCATGCTGAAATCATAATGGATAAAGAAGAAGGGGACGAGGATAACGAAGACGAAGACGATTATGATATCGATTTCAGTCCTAAGCATTCGCAGGTTGTCATTGGTATTCAAGGAGCATCCTTACAATTTACCAGTGTGAAGAAGCTTTATGATTTTGAGGCCGATGTTAAATTGAGAAAAGGTAAGACGGTTCATTGGCAGAATATAATTGAAGTGGAGGATATGTTGAGTGGAAAATCTTTGTTGAAGCGAAATGAGCGTGGATAAGTATGGGATCTTGTTAAAAGACTGTGTGTATATTAGTAATGAATGATTAGACGAACAAGATAGTAGGGTATTGTACTGCAAGTAAGCCACTTGAGCGTACTCACGGTGAGTAGTAGTAACAACTCTAGACCTAAAGAGAGGTTGTATCTGAAAGTGGTTGGATCGATCTGCAATATATCGAGCATTTACATTATACAGAATGTGCATAGTCTAAAACCGAGTGAGATTTAACTAAAGGTGCAGCAAATATGGATTTATGACTTACGGCATCAATAAGGAAGGGGCTCATAACCGTGTCTCAACGAAAGTGCACTTGAAATTTGTTTACGGCGAAAGTTGAGTTGAATTACAGCGGGGTACTACAAACGTTCACAAAACAATAAAGCGATTAGTAAGAAAGTGTAGTTAGACGAGTTTAAATTTGAAAAAAAAATAGTAAATACTTTGTAGTGCCAGCTTTTATTTAGTTGAGATTCAGCTTTGGCAATTGTGCATCACCAGTATTTGGCAACTGTGCATAAATGTATGAGTACAAGCGGAGATTGATGAAAACAATAGGAGCTTAAACTAATTGTAAGATTCATACAATGCGGCATGCAGCGGTTATGAGAAATGGCTCTTCACTTTTTTTTTTTTCCGCATCCGTTTGAATTCACTTGTGCCGCCAAAAAGAAAAAAAAATCATAGTGTAATCGGAGTCAACGTCAACCCGAATCTTTCTATCGCGATGATTAGAGTCATCTCGTTTTGGATTTGTCAATTGTAGTACTAAAGAAGTGATTGCCTCTAGAAAAAGAAAAAGATGAGAACCCTCAAATGAAATGTGTGACGCAGAATAGGCAAGACGGCAAAGGCACCACAGTAAGCGTGAATAGCGAACCTTACTCGACAGCCAAGTAAGAGTGCCCATAATATGACTACTGGAAACCATGCCAGATAAGAGAAGTAATTGCTCAAATGAGTCTTATCAACCGACATTCGAAAACTGCCAAAGCAACACAATCAACAATGTTGAGAAAATATGTGCTTGGTCTCACGTGCGGTCAAACTCAAAGAAGGAGTGAAGAGCTACTACCTTTACTACCCAATGGAATTGAGGGTGCTGCCACTGATTCGAGACCAGACTAAAATTTTGTTTCAAGATTCGAGTCTCATTCGGAATGCAATGCAAAAACGACTAAAGCCAAAAAATAGTTTAGATCATACATATAACAATGTCCTCTTTGTCTATTTTTTGAGGGAACAAAAATATAAATTTACAGCCGCTTTGCAGGGCATCAGCTTCACTCCATGTGATGAATGGGTACTTGATTCTAGAATCTTTTTTTTTTTTTTTTTTTCATCCAAAAGTATCTTGAGTAAATGAGGCTGTGAATCCATCCCATTATGGGAGAGTGAGTAATTAGACACTGCTTTCCCTAATGGAGCCACATTGCCGATACGTCTGTAATCAACTTTAAAAATCAGTGTGGTGAAAAACTGACTCAACACTCCTCATACCTGCAAGCCAAAACCTGGCGCTGCTCATCGAATCAACGCTTGTGAGACTGGGATGACAACGGTTTGTAGCATCGAAGGGTGTGGCATGTTTTGGGGGAAGGAGAAACGTACAAAAGATGACAATCTATCGATTATAAAAGGAAATAAAAGAATGCCGAAGAGTGAGGATGTATGTGTTCGCCTCCTCGAGCTTCACACAAAGGTAAAAAACTAGCGCTTTTATGCTTTCTTTCCTTTATGTGCATTGTCTAAACTTTAGTATTGTGCAAAATCTCTTTTCGCACAATGTACAAGTTCGCACAGCAATGAAAGAACAAGACTAACTAAAACTGACTTGTTGTAAGTAAAGTCTAAACAAAACTACACGCACATTTAACTTCCCCATAACTAAAACTTAAAAACGAGTTTTCAAGAATTTTTATGAGAACGGCTTTCGAGATGAGCAGTTGAAAATTAGGGGAAGAATACTATCACCAGCCATGTGAAATTGACAAAACACAAACAGGACATTCCAAAATTGATACACAAATAGCCCTTTGTGTTTTTCTAATAGAGCAACAAGTAAACGCTTGAAGTCCTGAATTAAGAGATTCAAACGTGTGAACAAGTTTATAAAAGTGCCCTCGTCATGAACAAAACCGAACAATATCTGCTACCTTTTTGCATGCGTTTAGTAAGGGCATATAAAAAAGAAAAAGAGAATGTGAGCTTATGAGGAGATCTCAGTAAGTTTGAGGCTCAGTTAGCTTTTTTAACTTTTGTCGTATTTTTGTTTATTGTTCTGTTGTGTTTTTGCGCAACGCATACGTCATCATAGTTGAGGTTTTTTTTTTCAGCACACAAACCACTAAGCACAAAACAAAGTTTACAAAGCACAAAAGAACAGAATTTAACCGCCGGTGTATTTACGTTTATTATGACGGCTATATACCTCCGACACCACCATTTCAATAGCGAGTTGTATCAAATGTGTATTTTCTCCCTTTATAGAGAAGAAGACAAAAACAGTCTTTATTAAGTTATAGTGGTATTCGGCGTCAGCCATTGAAGAAGTACCAGAAAACGAATTCTTTCTTTATCCTCACCTGCAAAGGAACTAAAAGAAAAAAAAAAAAAAAAAAAAACACAACACAACACAACACAACACCAAGGACAATTGAAAATTTCTTTTTTCTTTTCTCTATCTTTACAACATAGTTTTATTGTTAAGCTGAATTCACAAGCAAAGAATAAGAAAAGATACATACAATCTCCAACTACACAAGAAGACTCATTACGAGCAGGTGTTTGAACAAATATTTTGGTTGTACGCTTTGGTTGCGCAGGGAAACTTAAAGAAAATGTACAAGGTGAAGAGATATTTTGGTAGATTCTAATAAAAGAGCCCCAAAAAAGAGCAAATAGTATTTCAACCCTGAAAATAAGGTGATGAACGTTTATTATCGAACATTTTTTTGTTTTGCTTTTACGCGAGCAGAAGAGCCTAGACATACATATGCACTTGCACATTGCACTTGCACTTGCATGTACATGATCCTACATACACGCATAAAAGAAGAAGAAGGACAAAAAGAACAAGAGGAGGAATATTTTTTTTGTCCTACTCCACCCCCTCACATACATGATGTGAGAGGGTATAATTGTTTCTATTATTTTCTTTTTCTCTTTCTTTTAGTTGTCGTTGGTCTTTCTTCTTCTGTGTAATATGCAAAATGTGAAAGAATTAGGATATTTTCATGAAACTAAAACGATTTTATTTCCAAAAACAGAAGAAGAAGGTGAAGATGAACAAGAAGAAGATGAACAAAACCAAATGTTTTTAAAATATAAATAAATTTACAAAGAGGAAAATAAAAAAACAAAAAAAAAAAAAAATTCCTTTAATATCCAAACGTTGTACCAAATTGTTCTTTTTTTATTTTTATTTTATTTTTATTTTAAAAACCAAACTAGAATTAAAAAAAAAAAAAAAAAAAAAAAAAAAATTAGAAACTAAAACTGGAATATAATATAGCCTTCTTTATTTGTTTCAACAAAAGAAAAAAAAAAAAAAATCTACATCATTATATCAGAGGTATAGCAGAAACCACAGCGTATTAGTGAGTGAGTGCGTGCATGCGAGAGCAAGAGAGAGTGTGTTTTGCCTGTACCAGAGACTCAAAGTGAGACTAAAAGAGGAAAAAAAGCAAACTCGCGTAGCAAAGAAGGTGAGATAGAGTTATATACTCACTTAGAGGGGGAGAAATTAATCCCTCGGCTTTCATTCTACACAACACAGTGGTGTTGTACAAACAAGAACATAATATTTACTTTTTCACCTTGGGCCAACAAGTAGTTTTATTACTTGCACTTAGCAAACGCTGTGATATACCCGAGGGAGAGGCCTTAGACACCACCAAAGAACGTTCTCCAGCATGTCGAAAAAGAGTCAGGGCGAAGCCCGTGTTAAAAAGAATGCATTTGTCCACAAGTTATACACCATGTTGAGCGATCCAAGTCTAGATAATCTAATATGGTGGAGCAGCAATAATCCAGAGAATAACACATTTGCATTATATCCAGGCAAAGAGTTTGCCGACTGTTTAACACGATATTTCAAGCATGGGAATGTTGCCAGTTTTGTTCGTCAGTTGCACATGTATGGGTTTCACAAGGTTAGTGATGCCCACCATTACCATCATCAACAAGTGCAAAACCAACTCAAATATAACCCCATGAATATAGCGGGATTGAATAGTGTGCCCATTGAACAAGGAAGAACAACAAGCTCTTCAGGAGGTTATTTTCTTGGTGAAAACTCAGCGCCTGATTTGATTGATAAAGATGTACCTCCGATTTGGGAATTCAAACATCTGAGTGGCAAGTTTAGGAAGGGGGATGAAAGTTCATTAGTTTATATCAAACGGAGATCGAGCTCGAATAGTAATTCAAGGAATAACAGTTATAGCAATGAGAAACAATACCAGCGAGGGGACAGTTTAACAGAACAACAACAGCATCAGCCACATTTACCGGAGCAATTTAATCAACAGCTACAGCATCAGCTACAGCCACAGCACCAATTTCCTCCTCATCTACAAGAAACTCCAATTTACTCAAACCAACCTTTTCTCAACGATGGAGGAGTGGTTTACATTCCCAACCAACAACCGCAACCACCAACTACTGTATATGATCCTAATTCACAGCAGTTCTTTCCAATCCAACAACAAAATTATTTTTATTATCAAGGACAACACCCACACCCACAACAGCAACAGCCATTTGTTTATTTTAATACTATGCAGCCAGCTGCTCAACTACAGCCGCAACCACAACTACAGCCGCAACCACAACTACAGCAATTACAACACCCACCACCAGCACCATCAACGCAAGTTCAATACCCGGTACAACCTATAATCAATCAAGTGTTTAACCCGCAATTCAAACTACAGGATGAAGGATCAACTACAAGAACACCACCTCCATCGTCAGTATCGACGACATTGTCAAAACCTAATCAACCGGAATGTTTACAACCACTGAGGTATGCTTCGTTTGCATACCCTCCGGAGCAAGTACATCCACAAGCTGTTCAATACCAGCAGCATCATCAGCAGCAGCAGCGTCAAAACCAGGACCCTTCATTTGCACCAAAACCAGTGACGGTAAACGAACCCAAGGCACCTCAAGTGTCGCAACATCAAGAGAATGTAAAAGAGTCTTCGTCACAGCATTGGGTAACTCGTTCAACCTCACCTCAAACCAAACAAGTTTCCAAAACTGAGTCTGATTCAGGTCGCCAATCTACCCCAGTGGAACAATTTGCACCCAACCTTCAGTTTAGAAAAGTATGGGATGATCACCATGGATCACGTCAAAGAAACCCATCATTGCTTTGCGACCCTTTAACATCAGCACCGCAACAAAATAACACATTGGAGACGTCAACTCCACCGCCAATTGGTGGGTTAGCAAGTGCGAGAGGAATATCACCGTCCTCATCAATCGGTAATCGATTATCAATTCAGAGAAGTATATCATCAAACACTATAAACTCACGACAATCAGTTACGTTACCACCACCTTCATCTATTCATCGTCCAAGTTCATTACTAGCAAATTCAAGTTTTTCTTCACAATCAACAATATTGTGTTCACCACTGCAGGGTAGGCAAGACTCTTCAGCTTCGACAATTACACCAATTATTGCACCAATTCCACATAGAAATAGCGTTGCTAGCAATGGTAACAATCATGCAGCTGGCGAAACATCATTGAGTGCAAGTGTGGCTAGAATTGGTGGGCACCATGGTGAGGAAACAACACCACATCCCTTATCTTCCTCTGCTGGGCCACCTGAAGAAACCAGTGGAGTTGAAGCTGAAGCTGGAGTTGCAGCTTATTCTTTGCCGCTAACTCCAATTGGCGGTGCACGATCTGCGTTGGAAGTGGCACTGCATCTGCACTCACATCCTCAATTACAAGCACGTTCCCTTCCTGGTTCCGCTTCAGGAGGTAGTACGAGCGCAAGGATGGGGCCTCCTCCTCTAAACACAAAGATCCCTTCAATATCAAGTTCACTTCAAGATCGATTACGCCCCTCGGTATTTGAGCTTCATGCAATGAACAAGCGTGATGCAATGAGTTCAATTAGTGGATCAGTTGGTGGTGGTGGCTGTGCTAGTGGTAGTGCTGCTGGTGCTGGAGGCGTCGGCGGCGGCACTAATAGTGCACCTGGGAGTATATCCGGAAATGGTACCAGTGGAGGTGGATTTGGATCGATTGGATCGCATTCAACTGTGCTGATCTTTTCCAACAAATCTTCATCTATATCATCGACGCAATCGTCCTTTTCGTATCCTTTTCAACGTACATCGTCGTTTGGTGGATCGATATCGTTTGGTACAAAGAGCTCTATATCTATAGCACCACATGAAGTTGTTGTTGATGATGGTAAAGTGAGGCCAGTTACACCACAATCACCAGGACATATTGATTTGAACAATGCTGCAGCTACTATATCAGAGGAAGGCGAAGCTACACTGGCGCCACTAGTTTCGTCAACAAGATTGAAACATTCACTGCTGCGACCAACTACTCCGGTTTATGCACATGGTGCAACAGCTCATAATCCAAGATCAAGCTCACCGTTATCAAAGAGCCATCATCATGAAACTGGAGGCGCAGTAACCAAACCGCAACCAAACAAGAAGGTCAGTGTCACTTCTATGCTTGATGACTCGTCATTATCCAACGCCAAGACATTGCCTAAACTATCACTGGCTGTTGTAGCTGCCCATAACACTTTGGCAAGGTCGAGATCTACATCACCAACAACTGTACGAACTCCTTCATCGGGCGCGGCGCCTTTACTTCCACCTCCAGCAGCTAGTGGTTCTGGTGGTGCAAGTGGAACTCAGTTTGAGTCTAAACAACCGCTTTATATGTCGTCGCTGATTCGAGAGGAAAAGAATTCCCAATCGTCGTCGTCGTCGTCAGCGGGTGGAGGTGAAGAGAGTAATGGAGTCAAGAAGATTACTGAAGTGTGAGCTCACTTTCCAACTTTGGAAGGGTACAATTTCAACAATCAAAAAAAAAAAAAAAAATTGGCTGTCTATTGTTTTTTTCCATTTTTCATAACAGCCTTTATAGTTCAGTTTCTATGTGTATGCGTGTTTTATTATAGAGAGATTTTTTTTTTTAAGTGTTTCTATTCGGAATAGAGTAATGCCGAGCGATCGTAAGTGGTTTCCTCGGTTCGCTATTTTTTACTTTTTTTCTTTCCTCTTCCTTGGTGAGCGAAACGAGGCGCATGGGGGGTGGGACGATGTCCGTGTCGCTCGCTCCCTTCCTGGCTCCATTATGCATCATGACACACACAATTTGTACCACGATGCTCAATTCGGCCCACACAAAAAGAGCGAAAAAAAAAGAAAAGACAAAAAGAAATGAGAACATGCACACGGGTGCCTCAGAGACTTTTGCTCAACAGTTTGTCTTCATTCATTCTCGAACTCCTATTGTTGTTACTTTGTGTTTCACCAGATCCTTCTTAAGTAACTAGAAAGATGAAAAAGTGGGCCCACTTTTTTCAACAAACGTTTTCAGTTGTTCGTTTTCCTATTGTTTCTTGTTTGTGTATACTTTTGGGCTTTTCAAATTCATCTATATTTCAGTTGTTTTCTTCTTTATTTTTCAATTTTGCACCCGGTTTCATCTCGTATATGTATTGGTGACTATGTGTAGTGATTTGTATATACAGTTGCGTAATCTTTATAATAGCTGGTATTTTGCAACATGTGAACAATATGAGTTAAGCCACAAAAAAGGGAGTTGGCAAACACTACGTCATTGAAGGGATTGAATCGATATAGTTGGTTCATATCTTGTCATCTTCAAATGAAGAATCGCCAGATGACATAGTTTGCATGTCTTTAAAATATAACAGATGTGACACGTGCAAAATAGACATCACCGTATGAGAATCTACAAATGCTACGATAATACTGTCGTCGTTGGGGTAGCTGGTGAGAAACCGATTGTACTTCTATAGAAGAAGTCATCTTGTACTCTGTCATGCCCGTCTATTATTGCGATAGACTACTCTTTGATGCATGTAAGAGTCATAACTTCCCTGCAGGGTTGTAGTGCCAGGGTCTAAAGCATGTCTATAAAACATGAGTCCAATGGTAAGTATATCCGAGGAAATGTTAACTAAATTCATTGAAGTTTATGAATTTGTATTTTGCCATTCTGCAAGGTCTTTCAACAACTGGGCCAGTTTCTTGGTGCCCCTACCAATGATCATTGACCCCTTCCCCTTTCTACGATGAAAATATTGAGTCTCTTATTGTAATAATTCAAAAAGGACGTGCTTTTTTCCCCACCTTACCTTTATTAGTTTTGCTCACCGATCTCGATCTCAATGCTTTTATATCATCATCATCGTCCTCGTCAGAATTAAACTCTTGCTTCAATTTGGAGTCAGCTTTACCCAGTTTTATCGTGTCATTTTTCTTCTCCTTCTTGCTCTTACCATGTTGTTCTTGACCCATTTGATGCGATTGACTAATCTGCTTTCTCGTTTCGGTTCTCATTTTATTCAATAGAGCATGCATCGCAAAACTTCCACTGCCGTTACCTCCACTTGTCTTACGCGGGGTGTTGCCATCGTTGGTTTTCTTTCGTTGACTGATATCTTTTGCATTAAGAAAGTCACCCACTGTTTGCGTGGTTTTGGAGCTTAGCCCTGAACCTTGCGGGATAACTCGTAGTTTCATGAACTCGTCCTCTTGAGTGGGACTGGTTGTATTTGGTTCTTGTGTAATTGACAAAGTTGTATCATTGGTGTTTGGTGACAAAGGCTTTAGCCAATTTAACGCTCGTGCATTGTTTTGAGCTATGCTTAATCGAAAGCGAGCCTGGAGCTCCTCTTTCTTCTTGATTTCCTCACGCCGGTTTGGTGCCATCTATAATACGTTAAATTCCTCTTGTTTGGTTGAGAAGAGCATCGCGCAGTACAACTTCTTACTTTTTTTTACAAAAAAAGTGAGCCTCACGGTTCTAGCATACAAAGCAACTCAAAGCGATCAATACGACTCAAAAGATGTGTCATCAACTACAAATACATTGCTCCATTTCAATTGTAATAACACTCATTTCCTATTGACATAAGTATTCTAATACCACTCAAAAGAAAAAAAAAAAAGAGGGCAAAAATAATGCTCCCAGACAGGGAATTGAACCCTGGTCTACCATGCGACAAACGGTAATTCTAGCCACTAAACTATCTGGGATATTTTCTTAAAAATTTAGTTTGCGAGGTTTTGAAAGCTGGTGCTTTATGTTACGTTTTTAACCTTGTGCAACATTTGCTGAGGATTTCTCTTTGAACGTATTGGTCTCTAGTGAGCTTTGAACTATGTGGGTCTTGCATCTGTAAGTTTCTGGGTGCTTTAGTTTTTAGAAAGATACATTACCCAACTTATAGAGTACTATTTGCATGATCAAATCTTGGTAACGTGTAGGGAGAAAGTCTCAAGTGGTTTGCGATTCCAACAAATTAAGTTAGAGTTCACGTAGCGCAAACCGCTGACTTGATATCAGTAGTAAATCAACAGTATAGAGGATCCCGAGTGGGAGCTAAAGTGCTACATCAGCAGCCTAGAAAATTGTACTTGTGGTAATACATCATCGGCTACTCTGTTGTAGCACCACCTTTATTAACAACTACCTATCTAATGAAATTGTTCAATAATGAGCAACTCTATACTTTCTTCATTTGTAACCTAATATACAAATACGTGACACCTCTGACATACCGTAGACATCTCATATATCCCAAGGTTGAAACAAAATAATCATTCCCTAGCTCCTTCTCAACTGCTCTCTATACCGGCAATGTGTTATTAATACCAGCTAATCTATCAATGGTAGGTGCAATAAAAGGATGACTTAAAACATCACCAATATAAGGAATGGATCTTAAAAATTGTACAATTGTGCCAAAGAAATCACCAAATAATCCCAATATTCCAAAGCTTTCCAATATGAATCCCACAAAAGACCATCTCATCAAGATTAGTATTATCCCCAATGCAAAACAAACTGTGCCTCTAATCTTGGTTGGACGTGTGAAGAAGGAAACCGTACGTTGTGGGCCAATTATAAGGATGAGACCAATTATAAAGAGCAAATTGCCCAAGGCAAGAAGTCCCGAGTCAAAGAATGTCAATATTCCAAATATGAAAAAGAAGATCCCACCTGCTGTGAAACCAACACCAAATTCTAGAAAAAAAAAATGAGTTAGTACTAAGGGGAACGTGGTGTGGTTTGGATAAAATGTGGTTTCACATACTTTGTCTCTCTGATAGCCAAATCATTTTTTTATACTGGGGTGTGTAATAGTCACAGGTTTTTTGCACTGATAAGACTAAAGTTTGTTCCTGGGACTGTGGACCTTTAATTTTTTTTTTTTTTGTTGTTGATGGTTGGCGTTCTTTGAAATAATTCTTTTGACGTGTCACACGCCTTTTAGATATTTTGAAGCTTCAATCTTTTTTTTTTTGCAACTTTGATCATATGTCTACATTTTGATGCCCATTACCCTCAACCAACTACAAATGTATAGACGATTGGGAGAGTGAATTTGAGATTTCGTTGCTGTTTGTGGTGTCATGCTGCCGAAAATGATTTTTGGGAGTGGAAAGAGCGTTTTATTTTCGACTAAGTTTGCTACAAAAAAACTTCGCCAAACTTTAGATCGTTTTGAAAATTGTAGTCTAAAAATGGAACGAGCTGCACCTCAAAGTGTGAGTCCAATCTCGCATGTAGGACAATATCTTACGAAAAGGAAAGTTGAAATCTTGCAAGAGGAGGAATTTTACGCGATTCAGAACCGAATAAAAATGCATTTCCCATGAGCTTGACAACGTGGGGTTCAGTATTAAACCAGCCATTAAAAGCCACAAGCAAACTGAAATTAAATTCCAAAAAATGAATTGCACACACGAGGCAAATGTCAATTACAAATGAGAGGTTAATTTGTGTAATATTTACCAATGTGTCTATTGTTTCTTTGTAATTATAACCCATTTGACAAACTCTGATTGGCCAAAAAGGGGTTTAATCAGTGCCTTACATGAAGACGGACAGAAACAGTAAGTATAAAAGCTGACGGTTTTTTGAGTGGCCTGGAGGAGTGCCCAAAAAGAAAGGTATTATAATTACTCTTGTTCATACAAGTTATCAAGAATAAAAAATTCTTATGGTACTAAGTTGTAACTCAAGGTAGCCGGACTCATTCCACGAAATAAGCCGCCTTTTGGATGCTTTTACCTTTGCATATGGTTGTTTTTTTCACCGTGTGCGTTGTTTTTTGATACCCCCATGTGGGCAAATTCGTTCGTCGGTTATTACACAAAAGACCCACGTTCCTGATAAAGAATGAAACCGCGCCGACAAAAAAAAAGAGTGTCAAGGCACTACATGAATTTCGTAACCTTATCAAACTTTTTCTCGCAATACAATATATAAAGGACTTGGAAAGTACATTTCCTCGACATCAGAGTCAATATCACAATATTGCTATATCATTTTGTTCCCAAACAATGAAACAATTTCTTTTCGTTTTAGCCTGTTACTTGGTCCACACCGCTTACGCCGCTCAGACTGTATTTGACACTAGTTGCCCTTCCAACTCCCCCATTTCATGTTCGTCATCCAATGCAGCATCATGTTGTTTTGAATCACCCGGTGGTATTCTTTTGCAAACCCAGTTCTGGGACTATAGTCCCGCCACTGGCCCCAAAGATTTATTCACTTTACATGGTTTATGGCCCGATAATTGTGATGGAACTTATGAGCAATTTTGTGACAATTCCAACACGATAGCTAATGACGGCAGTAGCATTGAGTCGATCATTGTTGATTCATTTGGCGATCAGGAGCTTTATAACAATTTAAAGTTGGCTTGGAAGGATATAAAGGGAAATGATCAATCGTTGTGGGCTCATGAATGGAATAAACATGGAACTTGTATAAACACAATTTTACCCAAATGTTATACAAATTATCAAGAGCATCAAAATGTTTACAACTATTACAAAATCTTGTATGATTTATTTGAAACGTTGCCCACTTATAAATGGTTAGTTGATGCCGGAATCACACCTAGTAAATCAAAGACATATACAAAGACACAAATTCAACAAGCATTAAATTCGAAATTTGGTGCCGATGTTTATTTCAAATGTGATTCCAATAATGCCATTAATGAAATTTGGTATTTCCATCATATTAAGGGATCATTGTTGCAACAAAATTTCATCCCCATTGATTCATTATCGAGTTCCAATTGTCCATCGTCGGGGATTTTGTTTCCTCCCAAAGGAGATGACTCAGGATCTGATCCCAGTCCAACCAAGACAACAACAACAACAACAGGGCCAGCACCAACTGGCGACGTTCCATCTTCAGGGTATATCAAACTCAGTGGGAAATCAGGTTGTTTAATCTCAAATGGTAAATGGTACACATCAGGCACTTGTGCAACATACCATTTGTCGCAATCTTCTGATGATAAAATTGCCATAAAATCATCAAAGGGAGTTTGTGGAGTGGATTCATCGAAGAATTTTGTATGTGGATCATCAGTTGAGCAAACTCAATTTGAAGTTGATAATGGACAAATTGGAGTTGATGGTAATTTCAAATGGTGTCTTGGTGATTCAACAGGTTCAGGATCAAGTGCGCAAACTTTGATTCAATTGAGTGATGGCTCATGTAGTTCCTTCACCATTAGTGTTTCTAGTAAGTAAGGCACGACGCATGATAAATTAGACTTTATAAAAATGTTACATCCAATCTAGAAGCTTCAAGAACTCACTAGATCCCTTACACATACTTTAAAATTCTTTTGTTTTTTAAATCCGTTGAGGATAAATGTATTGCTATAAACAAAGAAAGTAGGCAAAATCCTTCTATATATGTATCTCAAATTTAAAAAAAAGGAGTGTTTAACAAATGTAGATTTATGAAGTGAAAAATGAACAGTTGATGCATCATTATCTTTTTGAAAAAAGGAGGTCATTAAAAATGGTGTTGAAAATTTTTAAAAGGTAAAAATAATCTGTTGAATGTGTTTGGGCTGATTTACTCTGAAACTTGTTGAAATTTCAAAACATACATGGGATAGCCATGTAAGCACGATCTGCTTAGTATCTGTAGATATCAGCCTTGTAAGGGCCTTCTTCTGGAATACCCAAATATTCAGCTTGGACTGGAGTCAATTTGGTCAATCTAGCATTCAAATGATCCAAATGACATCTAGCAACAGTTTCATCCAAAATCTTGGGTAACAAATGAACACCAACATCAAATGGACCAGTCTTGGCAAATTCAGGGAATTTTTCTCTAAAGTCCTTGTTGTCAGCATTGAAAAGAGCAATTTGAGCAAGAACTTGATTGGAGAATGAACAAGACATGACAAATGATGAATGTCCAGTGGCACAACCCAAGTTGACCAATCTACCATCAGCCAACAAGATGATGTGACGACCATTCTTCATCAAGTATCTGTCAACTTGTGGTTTGATATTGACAACAGATTGAGCATTCTCCTTCAACCAAGCAACATCAATTTCAATATCGAAATGACCAATGTTACAAACAATGGCATCTTCTGGCATCTTTTCGAAATGCTTACCAACGATGATATCTCTACAACCAGTAGTTGTAACAAAGATTTGACCAATTGAGGCCACTTCATCCAATGGAGCAACTTGATAACCGGAAACAGCAGCTTGCAAAGCATTGATCGGATCAATTTCAGTAACGATAACTCTAGCTCCCATACCTTGTAAAGCTAAAGCACAACCTTTACCAACATCACCAAATCCAGCAACAACAGCAACTTTACCAGCAATCATGACATCAGTGGCTCTCTTGATACCGTCAATCAATGATTCTCTACATCCGTACAAATTGTCAAATTTGGACTTGGTGACAGAATCATTGACATTAATGGCAGGGACTTTCAATTTACCATCTCTCAATGACTTGTACAAGTGATGGACACCAGTGGTTGTCTCCTCACTCAACCCAAAACAATCTTTCAACATTTCTGGGTACTTTTCATGAACCAATGAAGTCAAATCACCACCATCATCCAAAATCAAATTCAACTTCTTACCATCTTTGAAAGCAAACAATTGTTGTTCAATACACCATTGATACTCTTCTTCAGTTTCACCCTTCCAGGCAAACACAGGAACACCAGCAGCAGCGATAGCAGCAGCAGCATGATCTTGAGTTGAGAAAATGTTGCAAGATGACCAAGTAACTTCAGCACCCAAGGCAACCAAAGTTTCAATCAAGACGGCGGTTTGAATAGTCATGTGTAAACAACCAGCAATTCTAGCTCCTTTCAATGGTTGTGATGGACCGTATTTTTTACGAATGTACATTAATCCTGGCATTTCATTTTCAGACAATTCGATATCTTTTCTACCAAAGGCAGCTAATGAGATATCGGCAACTTTGAAGTTAGTAGCTGGAGCAGACATTGTGAGGTACAGTTAGTGATTATAGTTTATAGATCTAAAGCTTCAAAAAAAGTAGAACCAAAAGAAATGTGTGAAAAATATATATCCCTTCGATGGACGAATTGGAAAAAAAAATTGAAAAATTGGGCCCCACCTGCATATAAACTGAAACCACTTTACAAAAGTTATACGACGAGAAGATTGGGGGTTGGGTAGTGTACAACGTGTACAAAAAAACGAACTTGGTCCAACGTGTACATCAGGGGAGCACGTGCTTCAGACAAAACCTACAATGCATTAAAACGATCATCCATCAAAACATCATACATATAGTTACTTTTTTTTTTCATCTACCTACAAATAAATAAATAAATCTACCCCTCCCATAACCTATTGTCTCTTTTTTCTCACATTTCAAACTTTAACCAATCTAAATCCTTGTAATCGGGTGTAGTCGCCATGCCAGCTCCATTCCCTTTACTACCAAAACCATTAGTAGTAGTAGTGGTACTGGTAGTGTGCATTTGCATAGCAAACGCATCATTCGTACTTGTAAACTGCGTCAGCTTCGGAGCGGCAATACTAATCTTCAGAGGAGAAATTTGCGTTGATGGTAATTGTGATGACAATTGCGATGGTAGTTGAGAACTATCTTGAGATGCCAAACCGGGAACTGCGAATCCATCTGGTTCTTCATCACCCCCATCATCATCATTGTGTAGGCTCGTGTAGTTGCGGAAAAACTCTTCATCAATCATACTCATGGTTGCATCAATCATGTCGGGGTCGACTTCTGGTACGGAGGGAATGAAATCATTGTCAGTGCTGTTGTTGTTGTGGTTGCCGTCACCCAACATCATCAATTCATCGTCAATTCCTTCATGTTGGACAATGGGAGGTTTACTGGCTCTATATTGTTCCAACAATTTCAATTGCTTTGAATGTACGTCCTGACCATATGGCTGGTGGTGGTGTTGATAATGGTGGTTGTGTTTTTGATGATGTTGCTGAAATTGCAATGGTTGCAGTTGCTGTAGTTGTTGCTTCTGCAGATAGTGTTGCAGCAGTTGCAGCTTCTGTTGTTGCTTCTGCAGCAGTTGCTTCGACTGCAGTTGCTTCATTTGCGCAGACAACATTGAGGTAGTCGAAGCATTAGGTATCGAAGACGGAAGCATACCCACAACATTCATTGGCGTAGCAGGTATGGAATTTGGTGTCTCATGTTGATTAAAGCTACCAACAAGAAATGAATTTGGTGAATTTAAAGAATTGGGTGTCTCAACACCACCATTTTCATGAACATTACCACCAAAACTATGACCTTGACTATGCGTATGCATCAAAGTAGTATTACTATTGTGCCTTGAAATTTGTGGTCGTTGTTGAAATTCTTGAGGAGTATCGAAATAATTTGATTGTGGGAACCTTTGATTGAGCATATTAATATTATTCGAAGTCAATGAATTTGTTGGTGTAGACACCGATACCGTGTTTTTCCTTGAAATATTCACCAACGATGTTCTTCTACTCAATGAAGATGACGAAACAAGTGAATTTGTGCGTTTGATCGACGATGGGATATTCGACATTGACATAGCAGACGCTGGTTGTTGCAGTTGCTGCAGTTGATGATTTAAAGATGCACTCGAGGGGAACCCAGCCGCGTTATTCCTATTATTGAATGATGATGCACTCATGACTCCAGCTTGTTCAATAGTGGCAGGTATATTAACCTCTGATTTTTTCCTCTTGAATGGCTGATTATTGTTAATTGTGTATGAATATGATGAGTTTGCTGATGACGCAGCCGACGTCGGTGAACTAACATCATTATTGCGGCTCTGCGGGATAGGTATACTCTTGTTGCTCAAACTGGTTGAACTTGAAGTCTTGGGTAAAATCATTACATTTTTCAATCTTGAGTTTTGTAGTGAGTTACTTCCTCCACCAAAAGAATTGGAAAATTGATTAGGTAGAGATGAAGCAAATCCATTGGTATTTGGAGCAATGGCAATTGGAGTATGCCTCTTAAATATTGTTGCACCATCACCATTTCTCGAATTTAAATGTTGAGCTGATGCGATATTCAATGTTCGTGGTGCAGAACTGGACATTGCACTACTTGACGATTTCCTTGAATTTCTCTTTTTTATGACATCGGTCTTTAACGATAAAGGACGTGTTGTACCATGTAATTTCAAAAATAAACCACAAGCATTACACAAGGTGTTACCGTCAGTATCTTTTCGCCACAAGGGAGTCTTTTCAGTTTTACAGTTGAAACAAGAGGTCTTTATTGCTTGTGCTTCAGTTTCCTTCTTCGTGGGCTCCTTTTCCTCCTCCTTTTCCTCGGTTGAACCGGTCTTTTTTTCCTGTTTTAATTCCTTCAACTTCGATAGTGAAGATGTCAAGTTCGATTTTGGCTTTGTTGCGGTGGCCTCGACATCAGATGCTACGCTCGATGTAGCCGAAGTACCGCACGCACTAGAATTATTTCTTGAACAACTGCTTTGATCTGAAGTGGGGGACTTGCTTTCAGTACTGTTTGGTGGTTCCATATCGATATCCATTGAATTCTCACCATTGGACCCATTCCGTTGCGGTAGACTAGGAGTATTTGATTTCTCAACATTGCGTTTTGAAGGGCTGCTGAATATTGGTTTTAACGCACTGGTGTTTTGTAATTCATCTATTGACAAGGGGGAAAGCAAGTCAAATGTATCTTCATTTGTACCCAGTAGATGTACATGACGATGATGATGATGACGGTGTTGCTGGTGGGGAGGCTGTGATGTGTGCTGTTGACCAGATTGATGTGATGTCAATTGCTGACGAAAGTCAGGCGATATACTAAAGTTGTAATGTTGCTCATTATAAACGTTATTCTTCATATGACTTAGTTGAGTTTTACTGTTTGATTTGCGTAGCTGTCTATTCTCAACTCTTGGTTGTAAATTCAACAATTTTTTAGCTGAATAAAAGATATCTACTAGTGAGGGTCCGGGGTCAAATGATGAGGATGCGGATGTGGATGTGTCATGTGAGCCAGGTGAGTGTTGTGATTGACTGCGTTGTAGACTTGACTGTGGAGTTCTATTGTGTCTCGACTGGTAATTAGTATCTTCTTCTGTGGCTGATGATGATGAAGACGAAGAGGAGGATATGTTTGCGGCAGCCTTGGTGGTGGAAGTGGTTGGCTGTGAGTGGCTATTGCTTGTGGGTAGTGGTGGTGCACCAAAATGATTATGAGACATCAAGCCACCTCCGGTTTTGTTATTGCTTCCCTCTATACCTTCAGTAGTGACGGAGGCGTTTGTAGTGGTCCTTGTTGACATAAAAGAAATGGCCTGTGTGATGTGTATATATGTTTTTGCTTTTTTCTCGTGTGTGTGAGTCCTTCTCTAAATAATATAAACTGATGATAATTTTTGGTAATCAAGTTACTTATTATAACCACGTTAAAGTCTTTCGTAATAGTGATATAAATGATTAGTGTAAGTAGGATGTCCTTTGAATATACCACTTTATGATGCTGTTACCACTTAGATGTAGAAGGTGTATACTGATGTTATTGTTGATGATGACTCTCTTGTACTTGTCCCCTTCCCTGTTTTTCAAAGAACATTTTAAAAATTTAATTTTAAACTTTTTTTTTTTTATTTTTTATTTTATTTTTATTAAAAGACCGTGTTTATATGCAGGAGCAGGTAGTCGTGTTATTGTGTTCAAATTTAACTGGTTTCACACATAATACACACGACCTTATTAGTAGTGTCTTAAAATATAAGTTTGTGACATTCGTCATACCTAACTCCTATAGAGTAATTCCAAATTTTGCAGCATAACAAACAAGAAAGAGAATTACATAAAAATCTTTAGTACTAAAATTCGATCTCAATCTACATACACCTGTTCCGAAGAGTTTGTTGACGGAGTTGTCATTTAATGACAAAGGAAAAAGAGTCGTGTTAGACAAAAAGTCCCCGCCGCATGAATACAAATTGCAATTTAACACAAAATAAATAAAACAATTGACACAATGAGCGGATAATAAGTTTTCCTCCTCGGCTACATTCTACATCTCCCATTTCTGATCTATTGTTTTTTAGCTTTACTCTTACAATAATGTGCAAAACATTCCTTCTAGACAATTCTGGTCCACTTTTATACATGAATTGCATTCCATTATACGATTATACATCCATACTTATATATATATATATATATATATATATATATACGTCCTTTTAGTCCTTACTTACATTACTACTAGTGGTTGCACTACCATTACCACCATTACCACCATTATTGTTCAGTCTGGTATACTTTCCACCACCTCCATACCTCGATTTTCTCTCTCCTCTTCCCTCACTACTCAGTGGTGATTCAACATGCAACCTGTACTCAAACCCAACTCCTCCAACACGTTCATTGGACCCACTATCAACAGTAGTAATAGAATCAGCTCCCAGTAAAATGTCGTCACATTCTCTGATCACCCTCAATATCGCATCACATATGATACGTCTTGCTTGGAATGGAGTCAATGGTTTCTTAATACTACCTTCGGCTGAGCTTGTGCTTTGTTGTTGCAGTTGCAGTTGCTTTTTGAAATTCAAGTTTGAGTTCCAAACTGATATTATGTCTTCTTCTTTACGTACACTCAACACAATCCCACATATGTCATTATGTAATACGTTTTGAATTTCAAAGGCATGGGTCAGAGGTATAAAATTACCCGTCAAAATTTTTATAACCATCCTTTCCCAAATCAATGCTGTTCTCTTCCTCAATTTTTGAACTGACTGCTGCGAGGAAATTGCCGTAGTTGTAGATGCGCCTTCTGCATCTTTCTTATTCTGATGATGATAATCTTGAGCTTTTCTACTAAATCTGAAAATCCAACGACCTCCTTTGGCATTCAATGGATCTTCCCATACTGGATTAACACCAATTTTGAAAATAAGAAATTCTGAACCAATGCTTAAATTGTAACTAGTCTTGATCGACGTCAACATTGTCCACATTTGCTCAACTGATGCAATGTGTGAAATTGTAGTTGAGGTATTGTTCAAGTTGGTGAATTGTAATTGATGGGTCGTTTGCAAATAAGAATCAACACCTGCTTGTTGCTGTTGCAGAACAGTATTGTTATCACCATCAGTTGTGGTATTAGCCGTGGTTGCAGACTCAGCTGTGGATAGTTCCTGCTGCTGCTGCTGCTGCTGCTGTTGTTGTTGATGTAGTTGCATTTGTTGCTTTTTATTCCTGAAATGGTGCCATACAGTCCAACAATAAGGCAATACATGTTCATTTTCTGACACATCGGCCAATGCTTCTTCAGTCAATTTGGCAGCATCCAATTTGGGCAACTTGGCCAATTCTTGTGATGACACATGCCCACTAAAACCTTGTTGATTATGATTGTGATTATGGTTATGGTTATAATGATGATGAGAACCATGACCAGATCGGTAATGATGATGCTGTTGTTGAAACTGATTTTGCTCATTATTGATATTACTCGTTTCATTACTCATTTGACTGGCATTACTATTGTGATGACTTTGATGAAACTTTGACCTTGGTGGAAACGATGATTGAATGGATTGAACTGGCGTTGAAGACGGTGACGAGCTTGCTGATGATGAGGAGTCGGCATTATTCTGGTTCATTATTCTATTGAATAATGACTCTGCTCTTTTCAAATTATCAGACATGAAAATAGTTTCTATAAGGTGGTTATCAAATGCAAACTTTTTTTTTTAAGATGAGTAGGTGTTAAAATTTAATGCTGAGACTAGATTTGTTTGGCTACCATGGAATTGAAATGGAAAAAGCTATAGCTTTAGTAAACAAGAAGGATCAGGCTACGCTTGATTAAATAGCTGGAATGGATTGTCAATGAGTATTACTAAAAGGAAATGATGATGATGATGACGATGACGATATGGAACTGCAAAATGGTGAAAAAAAAAAAAAAATTCTTCTTGTTCTTGTTCTTGTTCTTCTCTCGCTTTCAAAAACTCAATGCGTTCTAATTTTTATGCATTCTCTTCGAGTACACACTCCACTACCACGTAGAGATCAAAAATCACCATAGTTAGAATAGGATGATAAAGACTAGCGGTCAAAAAAGGGCACTACCCAGTGTCTTTCAATCTGTTTACCTTATGCTATCTACATCCACTTGAATTCACTCTCGGATACTATGCGTCCATGATTCCCTTTCAGAATTACATAAATAAAAATTTCTTATACACACCTCTACGTCTCAATCCCCTCTAAGCTTTAGCATAATAGTGCAAGTAACCGCCCAAAGTCTTGCACCCATTGATATAGTTATTAACATCCAATTTTTCATTGATTGAATGAGCACCATCATCACCTCTACCCATGGGCAACAACAACACATCGACTCCCAATTCCTTTTCAAATGTTAAAGTAATGGGGATTGATCCACCTTCTCTTGTAAAATCCGGCACAATTCCCCATACATCTTGAGTTGCTTTAGCTGCTGCTTGGAAACTTTCATTAAATGGATCAGACACCCAGTAATTACCATCATGAATTAATTCAACTTTGAATTCATTAGGTGAGTTCAATTTAGCTAATTCTTGATTAATGTGTTTAAACACCAATTCATCCAATTTTTTCGATTCGATATCGGGCACAGTTCTAATGGAGAATTTACCAACAACTTTCGATGGGATAACGGTTTTGGCACCAGCACCGGAAAATGCACCTTCGATACCGTGTAACGATAAGGATGGATATCTCCATCTATGTTTCAAAATGTCCTTTTTGTTCTGATGTAAAGCTGTGTTTGAACCAGCAGCTGCATTCAACTCTTCAACTGAAAAATCAATACTATCATACAATCCGTCCTCTTTTTCAGTCAATGGAGCCACCATTTCATCAACTCCGGGGATCAAGATCTTTCCTTTACCATCGACCAAAGTAGACATAACTTTAATCAAATCAGTCATTGGCTCAGCAATAATACCACCAAAGATACCACTATGTAAATCAGCACCTGGACCTTTCACAATAATTTGGTAGTAGTTACATCCTCTTAATCCATAAGTCAAAACTGGTTTGGTTGTACCTAACCAATAATTATCAGAAATGGTTACTTGATCAACATTTTTAAAATATTGTTTGGCTTCTTTAGCAACCAATTCATCCAACCCCAAGGATCCACTTTCTTCCATACCTTCAAAACAAACGACCAAGTTAACTGGTAATTCCCAACCCAATTTATTATGAGCCTCAACAACATTCAACCATCCCATAACTGGACCTTTATCATCAGTTGATCCTCTACCATACAAAATCTCCTTTGTCTTGTCATAATGCATAGTAAAAGGTTCAGTACCCCATCCGTCCTCTTTCAAAGCTGGCTGAACATCATAGTGTCCATAAACCAAAACCGTCTTTTTTTTAGGATCAGACCCAAATCTACCCAAGACGATGGGTGGCAATTGTAAATTGGCATCTTGAACTGGTGGTGGCTGTGTACCTAATTCCTTAACTTGAATGTCTTGGAATCCCAATTGGGTCAATTCATTTACCAAAAATTTCGACATTTCCACAACTTTTGGTCTAAGTTGTTCATCTGAGGAAACTGAGGGGATGGCTATGGCTTTGGATAACCGTTCGATAAATTGTGGTTTCAATTCATCAATGGTTTTAAAGAGTGGGTCTATTGGTAACTTGTCGTATTTCTCTGACATGGCTCAGCTAGTGTTGTTGTGAGGGTTTGTTGTTGTTGTTAGATTTACAATTGATTGTCCAATTGGATCAAAAAGAAAGGGAAGTTTTGGAGTGTCTAAGATATGCGGCGTTTCTTCGGGTGTATAAAATTTTTTCCCTTTTCTCTTTTAAAGCCGTGCAACCAAATGGGAGTTGAAAAAACAAATGCAAGAAAATCTTAGGGCGGAGTATGGCGGGTTAATAAGTTGGTCCGTTGGGATATAGCAATCACTTCCTCCTATAACAGGGCATCCAAATTACAAGTACTTGAGTTGAAATGTAGACGCTTCCAGGATATCTACAACATTCATCTTATGTAATTATATGAAACTCTTCTGTACGGAAATTTTCAATTATGGCAGCGACTCTTCATTGTAGATCCGCACTCAATACTTTCATGGACTGGACTTCTAACTCTATGGCCCGTTCCTTCTTTCCGTTGACTGTCGAGCTCTTCAACTGGTCACGTGAAGATGCTTATTTTTGTTTTTTGACGCGCAAATGCACCAGTTCACTTGATGAGGGATTGATTGATATTCAGCTTGCACACTTCAGCCATTCCCCCACCCATTACAATGGACTCGGATGAGATAGTATCAACGAGTTCCGAAGAGGAGGACCTTTTTGATGTTTTCAATTTGCGAAAGTCACCCGTGAAACTACAGAAAACGTATTCACGATCAACGCGACGCAATGAAGAATCAAGCACCAATAATCTGTATCTGTATAAGAACAATCGAGGAAATCTCACATCTGACGATTCACCATCATCAAAGAGGAAAAGAACATCTCAGGTAAGAAGACCGCGTCAGAAACGATATTACAACAAAACAAAGCTGGATGACGAGGATGACGATGATCTACTCGATATTCAAGTACCACCAATCTTCAAGGATGCTGTTAAGAGTCAAAAGGTGTATGAGCAACACCAACAGGTGAAGAAACGGATAGCTGATCGTGAAAGATTAGAAGAGTCACGCTTACAACAAAGGGAAACGCGTTTGATACGACTAATGGAAGAATTGAACCATGACGAAGAAAATAGGTATGACTTGGAACAAGATAGAAGTTACTTGGAGAAATTGCTTGCCAAGGATGAAAAGGCTTTGGATGGATATGGGATACCGCGTCATTTTTACAGCTTGAGGAATACGCAATTTGATGAAAATCTATTACCGAATCACATTTTGAATAAGGAGATTAGTCAATCACTACAATTTTTGATAGCCAGAGATCTCCTCGCTGCTTATGCGAAAGTGAAAACAGAATTCAAGTTGTTCTTTTTAAAAGGTTTATGTCTGACAAATCCTAGGTTTTTGCAAAATTTATGCCTTATGGTTTTACTACATAAGGATCCTATTTTCAATAAAGAGGAGTTCGAAGATTTACTTTTGAAAATAGGATTGGATCCTGAATTGTTACACAACGAAGAAAAAGCATTTTTGAAGGTGGAGAGAAAGAAACCCGTGTTGAACCTACAATTGGAAAGGTTGAATGTGCTATTTACTGCGTATCTTCGTGGTTCAACTGAAGTGGATTTTGCAAAAGTAACCAGGTATTTTTTGCTAGTTGTGTCTGACTACAATGCCAACAAACACGAGTTGCAAACATTAACTCTATTTGTTCAAGGTGTGTTTCCGCTACTATGTGCTAAAATTGAAAACGTCCAGGACCTTGTCTCTCAAATTTTGAATGTCATGTTTGAAATAGAAACCAGCCTACCTAATCAAAGTGATAAGGAGAAGATCAAGAAAATGGACTTGGAATTGCATTACAACATCATCAAACTAATCAATGTGATATGCGGTGGGGATGAAAAAATTAGGTCTGTGGTTGATGAATTGAATTTACAGTACTTGCTCGGAAGTGATTACCGTAACGATGTCCACAGGTTCACCAAACAAAACATAGTCTACCATATTGCCAACAAGATCATTATTGAAGACAATGTCAAGGATCTTCTCGAATTGAATGATTTACCAACAGCAAATAAGATGTATTCGTTTTACTACAAGGTCAAGATTCTACCATTTGTTTTGGTCAACCCATTCGATTTCACACTTGATCGGGAGAAAAATATCAAAATACTTCGCTCAATTAAAAGCTCTGTCGACAGAATACTACAAAGTTGTTATGGATTGATACGAGATTTGGGATCAATAAATGTTGAAATCGTAATGACTAGCTTGCAAACTGGTGTTGATAAATTTAGTTTCAATCGAGAAGAGATGGTGAGATTTTTAACTGATTTACATCAGGATTTAAGTTTACAATGTGATAAGTTGGAAAATGATTTGAAGTTGGTTAATCAGGATTTCTTTTATGGGTGAAATTTGATCATATTGTATAGAAAGTTATAGAACAAAAAATCTTGTGGTCTCGTTAATTTCTTTTGTGCCAATGTGCACGTGCGTCGGATAAAATGTAGTTTTTCTTGTGCAACTTTCCTGTTTTTGTGGATGATGTCAATGGGAATAAAGAAGTGAGTGACTAAACCTCGTTAATATATTTCCCACCAGCACGAATATACTCACTTACGCTGAACGATATTCTTACTCAATACTACTAGCAATCGATAAAAACTCATCAGCAGTAGACATCTTCAACGAAACAAATCTTATAGCGAGCGACATTTTTATGATCAAGTTGTCGACACGATTGTACACTACAACACCACAAAAAATATTAAGAATGACAGTTGAACAACAACAACAGCAACAGCAGTCCATACAGAGCCAGTCTCAGAACGGACACACCTCTGGCCAGCCAGTTAAATATGTGAATTCAGAACTAACAACTGTTGAACAAGCCAAACCTGGACGTAAAGTCGAACTCCCATTTGGATTCGGGCCTTTACCCAAAGACCATTCCAACAAAACAATATTCTTTTTCGATATTGATAACTGCTTATATCCGAAATCTACTCGTATTTTTGAAATGATGCAAGAGAAAATTCATGAATATTTCAAGCACAACTTACAGTTGAATGATGAAGACGCTTACAGATTGCATCATGATTATTACAAAACGTATGGTTTAGCCATTGAAGGATTGGTTCGTAATCACCAAGTTGATGCATTGGATTACAATTCCAAAGTCGATGATGCATTGGACTTACATGCTGTATTACGTTACGACAAATCATTGAGAGACACGTTGTTGAAAGTAAAACAATCGGGTAAATTTGACTACTTTTGGTTAGTCACAAACGCATATAAGAATCACGCATTGAGAGTAATTAGCTTTCTCGGAATTGGTGATTTGTTTGATGGGTTGACGTATTGTGATTATTCAAAGTTCCCCATTGTTTGCAAGCCAATGAAAGAGTACTTTTTAAATGTATTTGATTTGACAAGATTGAATTATGAGAATAAAGAGGTTTTGGCCAAGCAGTGGTTTATCGACGACAGTGAACTCAACGTGAAGGCCGCTTATGATTTAGGGGTGGGACATGTGATTCACTATGTTGAGCATGATGAAGATGTGGCAAAATTAAAACAAAAGGACGATTTTACTCACTATTATGGAGATGGATCTTCTAGGTCCAAAATTCAAATTTTGAGTCAATTTTCAGACTTGCCTAAACTTGTAGGTGTATAGAGGAATAGAACACTATAGAGATTAAAGGGACAGTCATTGTTGAGATGAGCGGAAACTAGAGACTAAATGCTACCAATACACCTCGAGACGTTGAACTGAATTTAAGTTATCTTGATGGTTTTCAAGATATGATTTGGGTTGTTTCGTGTGATGAATGGAATCATGTTCTACCTTGTACTTAAATGTAAATTTATGTGGACCGAGATTTTGTTTGGTCGCTCTTTTTCTCAATTCACCAAAGATTTCAATGTCGGACGAGTTGGGTGCAACATGTGATGACTTTCTCGAAGCTACATCAATCTTATCGCATCAGTATGGTATTCCCAAGATCCAGCAACCGCAAGACTTCACATCATGGGCACACATGCATGATCTTGAGAAGCAGTACTATACTGCCTATCAGAAGCTAACTCACAAACTCAACCACTTGATGTACTTGACCAAATTGAAAGAGATTGCTCATCCCAGTGAAGATACAACACAGCAGGTTAATCAGATCAAACGAGCAATGGATATCGACGATTTGGAAGAGCTTTTCCTGTTTCTTCAACTTCAAAATGATCTCATCAAGACCGATTCTTTACTTAATCGATTCTTGCTCATGTCGGCCCCCACACTCAAAGCGATCAATCAAGCCAACTTGAATACATCAGAGACAAAAATACTAGAGCATTTGGGTTTGTTGTATGATGATAATGGGCTTGTTCAGAAGGTGCAGGAGATTGAAAACAAGAAGCGCGATGAAATGAATCAAATACAACAGCACCCATTTGAAGTAATTTACACCGAAATAAAGCCCCTAATGAATGAGATCGAGCAGTTGGATTTGCAGTTTGAAGAGCTACAGACGAGGTACATTTCACAGAAGGAAGCACAAGTTGAAGAAAATGAAGTAGCTCGCGTACAATATGCAGAGCTTGTTCATCGATGGCACAAACTAGATCGATTATGCATACTTTTGATCCTTTTAATTACAAGTCTACCTTATGATTGGCTGATTGATGAATCACTAATGAATATGATGCTTGAGTTGAATGCCATACGAGACAAGTTGAACAAGTACCAGTCGGTTGTGAACAAAGACAACATAGAAAATTTCACTATAAAAGAGTTGATGGGTTTGGAATTTTAACTAGTTTGAAACCTATTAGCCCTATTCTTTTTAGTCTCGTTGGTGAATCGCATTTGCATGGATTTTTGAATGAATTCCCTACACGATCAACAAACGTCATATTTATTGAAAGCTGAACGGCTAAGGGGCTGAATATAATACGTTTCAGATTCGATGGAAATCCGATTAGAAGTGTAACTTTTTCTACTCCACAACTCCTCGGGAGTCACCAGTTCTAATACCGGCTGCGGGAAAACTTCCTTGAACATATACATTACGTCTTCACCCCATTCGTTCTACCAGTAGTGTAATGTATTTTGCCAGGTTTGTATTCATCAAAATAGATTTTATTAATTCAGCACATATGAAAACAATGTAGGCCAATTATACACACCGGTAATTGTGGACTTAGCAGATGTATCAACCTCCTTGAGTCTAGATAAGCGCAATATTTAATCAACCATATATTGAGGCTAGCGTTGGGAAAGTTGCCAATGATCGAGGGTATCTTCTCATGCCATGTTTCAGTACATATGACCAAGCTTGAATTCTTTGAAAGGCTCAAACACTCCAAACTATTGAAATATACCGAAAGCTGAATCAAATTTGGAAATTCATTTTCGAAAGACGATGAGCCGATTTGAAGCGAACAATTACCGAGGATCAGTTGTTGAATGTACAAAGTGTTAATGTACTTTCAGAAATTCAAATCGCTTGAGAGAAGAAGTAAGGTGTGCAATTTTGATGTGCATTTGCCTTGATGAAGAACCCCTAGATTTGGACTATGACTCAATCGCAAAGTTTTCGCATAGTTTAGGCTATTTAAACTTTCCACATTTATGCTTTTACCACCAATGGTTATCAGTTCTAAGCATAAGTACATCTCTAACGAGAAAGATATAGTTCCCGGTGAATACTGTATAGATATCTAAAAACAACCCATTGATTCATCTTGAACACAATACATGCTCGAGAAGTAGTAATCAATCAGGTCGAATCCATCCATCATATATTTACAAAACTCTTTTGAGATACTGCTTCCAAACTCAACGTAAGTTATATGCTGAGTATTGTCTATTTGCGACGAGTACTTCTCCACATTATTAGCTGAAACGATTGTAAATTTGTTAGTTCAGTGATTGTTTACATTTCTTGCAAACCTAAACAAGCAGGTTTTACTCATCCCATGATATTCCATACCAACTTCTGGCATCAAAATCAATGGAGAGCGACGCTTTTTTGGTTCATGACGACTCTTTTTAACGAAAGGCGTAACGAGTTTTTTATCCACAGCCTTGATCAATTCCCTCATCTCTTTCTCAGGTAGTTCATGCAATCTCGAATAAGTAATGATGTCTGAGTAGACGTAAATATAATCGTACAGTTTCATTTTGGCAACCACAGCAAATTTCGAGTGAATTGAGGCTAATAAAATTGTTTGATGCTGATTGAGCTGCGTGAAAATGTCATGTATTGCCTGGATGGAAACAAGCAACGTTAGTGTTTGCTTCAGCTTGCATTTAACATTGCTTTGCTTTCTATCAATGGACTTTTCTTTATCGAGTTTCCTACTCTCTGGTACATCACACGTCATGACATGAGATATGTACATAACTAAGGCAATTTCTTACAGCAAATCAAAGAACAATGAAGTCATGGTCAACGTACTAAGCAACTTCTTGATAGCAGTTCTGAGTTGCATACACTACAGAAATTTCATGTTCTTGGTATGTTCCCTACACCGTAGAAAGCTCAAATTTTAGGATCTCGGAAGCACCATCAATCAGGTAGGCATCCATATTTACAGTAAAGATTTCGGATGTTTTTATTTTTGTGTGTGATGCAAAAGGTTTCGTGTGCTATTTTTTATTTTTTATCTATTTGATCTGCTAAGAACACAAGAGAGCACAGCGCCCTTTAATGTTACTCCTACTTCCTAAAAGCTTATTGGCGACATCTTAAATCTCTGGAAGTCACGGTTTTCTTGTCGTGGTATGCATATAGAGCATCAGCGAACATCGGATTGTCAAACAGATCCAACCAAGAAAGCATAAAACGTTTGAGAGACGATGAGCTATGCCAGTATTGGACCCCCACCATTGTTACCTGGGCCTCAACAAAAGGAAACCACGCCGTTTTTGTGCATGGGTCTATTGTCCTCGTGGTTGTGAAGCAGCATACGGGTCTTGATTCTGTGTCTACTCAATAATACTGCACCATTACTTATCTCTCATCTGCACCAATGAGAATCAGCAATTCCCTCTCACTGTAGTTCCCCATATCGGAAGATCAGTGTAGAAAAATAATTACGCAACACAAACCTAAAAATGAACCTAAGACATCAGTTGCATCAAAGAACTTACGATTTACTACATCAAACGATATATAAATGCAGGATAATCGTTACGTTGTTGATTCAGACACACGCCTGTCTCCACCAACTCACACCACTTGCAATGTCATCTATTGTTGTTTCTGAAGTCCCACCTAGTGTCACTACTGGTCAACTTAGACGCTTGTTTCAATATGCCGGCACCATCTCCAGTATAATTCCTTTGAAAAGAGAACCAATGCAGGATCTCCGTCAGTACGAAATTATATACATGTCACCACAAGCAGTGTCAAAAGCTTTGTTATTGGATGACGTAGAGCTAGAACATGGCAGCTTCCTTCATGTCCGCAAGTACCAAGAACGTCCTATGGAAATGAATGGGTTTGCTAGTCATCACAATGGCCAGCCCACAATGCAACAGTTGCGTAAAGAGGATATCGAGTTTACCTTGGGATACGCATATGGACAAGTTTTCAACCTGAGTAATGGCGCAGGTGAGGAGTCTGTACCTACTGCTGATATAAGTCAGGAGTATAAGCCAAAGACGGTCATACTTGCAGAGATGATTGCCGGTGGGTATGACCTTGCAGATGATATAATCGATCGTGGGGCCAGGTTCGACAAGAGGTATGGGGTGCCCTCCCAGTTTCAAAATTTCATTGATTCATTGAACAACTACAATTTGAAAGGTGAACACAAGAGAGCTTTTGAAAATGACCAGTTGAAAAAATACTTTGATGGGGTTGCAGATGCAGGTGCAAATGATTCTCCGTTCGATGCCAGGGTTAGCTCTTTTTACAAGACTCTTGATAACAACGATGTCAGCGACATTCGTAGTGAAGCAATGAAGCTAGCCCAGTATAATGAGCAAAACACAGGAAGAGGTATAATGAGTAATTGAGTCTTGCGTTGGAGCTTGTACCAAGAGAATAGATATATCACATGTATAAAGCGGCAATGACAAATCAAGCGGTCTCGCGGTCTCGCGGTCTCGCGGTCTCTGTTGAGAGGTTGATCATCGACTGTAGTGTATGATCATAAGCATTGACACGTATGTAGTTGTCACAGGAAATAGCAACCTAACAATGTCCTGTGATAATATTTCATTACACAAAAGTGCATTTCAATGTGTGGCTAAGCCGCACACTGTCTCGGGGCGTCATCTTCATATAAAATAGACAGTTTGCTGTTGAAATTGAAACTTCAACAAAACTCTTTCTTTCAAACCAATTGACACGCCATCAACATAACTCAAACACCCACAAGAAATGTCAGTTATAGCTTCCAATATCCCTTCGCAAACTTCTCCAGCCAAAGTATCCGAATTCTTTTCCTTTTGTGGCAAAGTATCTGACTTGGTTCCCCTTGAGGACAATGGCAAGACCAAGAAATACCAAGTTGTATTTGCTTCACCAAAGGCAGTGTCAACTGCATTGTTATTGAATGACGCAGAATTGGAAAATTCGTTCATCAAGGTTGAGGAAGATTTGGAGATTACTGATGGTGCAAAAGGATTGTCTCCTCAGCAAGGTGGTGCTGCTGCTGAGCAACAGCAACAAAAAGGCGATATCAAGGATACATTGAGTGGTGCAGTCGGTGCAGGTGGAACTGCCACTGGTGGTGGAGCCGAAGGCGATGCAATCAGAACTGGTGACCAAACATATGATGATGTCGAGCAAGAAGAGAAGCCAAAGTATGCCATCTTGGCTCAATTGTTGGCCGATGGATACGTGTTGTCGGACCCAATTATCGAACGTGGATTGGAATTTGATAAAAAGAATGGTGTATCTCAAAGATTCCAATCGTTTATCACCTCATTGGACAAGAAGTATGTCCATTCACAAGACCCGGATTCCACAGTGAATCAACAATTGCAAAAAGCACAATCTTCGTTTGCTAGTTCCGGATTGCAAAAGTATTTTGACAACGCCGTCAACTCACCTTTGGGCAAGACGATCCACAAGTACTATCAAAGTCTTGTTGGCGATGTGAAAGATGTCCATGAGGAAGCTGTTAGATTAGCCAAGATTAAGAAAGAAGAACAAGAAAAACAGAAGCAAACTGTTGCAGGTTCAGGAACCACTGGTGATATTCCAGGCTCAACTGCAACCGAAAAGACTTCTTGATGAGAAGAGGTATGTAGGGAGTGCGTTTTTAAGTAGGTAAATCGCTTAATAATTTCGACGTGTAACCAATGATGTCTGTATGTACGGGATCCGTGCGAAGGATTTTTGCATCCGGAATTTTTCACTCCATGAAGCCACAATTTTTCTTTCGAAGATAAGCATCGCCTCTACCCTTTCCCCCGTCATGACTACAAGCAAACAGCAAGCATACAAAGGCAAGATACTATTCTTCCATGGCTACACTCAAAATGCGTCGTTATTTTATGCAAAGACTTCAGCGTTGCGCAAGAAAATAATGAAATTGGGCTACAAATGTCAATATTTGAATGCACCCTACGTCTTGACCCCTAGTGACTTGCCCACGACAGACTCGTTATCTAAATTTGGCTCTTCTGATCAAAATGACGTTACATATCGTGGATGGTGGGTCAAGTTGGACAAAACCAATGACGGGATAAACATGGATAAATCGATTGGAGCCTTGAAGAGATATATCCACGTGGGGGAGCTTATTCCTGATGATGAAGGCGAAGAGCTTGGAAAAGAGGAAGATGACGAAGCGAACTTACCTATTGTTGGGTTGATTGGATTCTCACAAGGAGCTGCATTTGCTGGGCTTGTGGCAGAAAAGTTTGCCGAATTGTTTGATACTACGCCATTGAAGTTTGTGATTTTGTACTCCGGGTTTAAATTGGACACCAGCAAAAGGTCAGGCAACGACAAGTATGACACGTATTATAAGCCTACGCAGGACAAGTTGAGATATTTGCACATCTACGGCGAATTGGATACGGTTGTTTCAGAGGATCGAAGTTTGTCATTGTATAATATAACCAAAGAGAAGTCGGATTTGTTGAAACATCCTGGTGGCCATTTCGTACCTAATTCGAAATTGTATATCGATCAAGTTGTGAATTGGATACAAAGTGATGACAAACCAAAGGAAACCGAGAAAGAGGAGAAGAAGGCGGATGATGATATAGACTCATTATTAGAAATGATGGATAACATAGGTAAAGCTTAATAGATACCCGTTGACACTATTTACAACTCATCATGTTCAACCTTCTTTTTACCTTTGTATTTTAACAACTTTTTACCGCGCTTGGATAATGGGCCCTCGATCGGGTCAATCTGGGCAACGGTGCTGATCCATCTTGATAATTGAGTTTTGTCATCAAGCTTTTCCGTTGCATCGTAGATTACAAATTCACCTTTCTCTTTATCAAAGTAGAGCAACATTGATGAATCTGTTTTGGGGATTTCTACCAGTTTACCATCGATTTCAATGGTTTTTGGTTGATCGTTGTGTTTCCCATACATTGCAAAATCCACTTTGGTGAGAAAATCGATTGCCAATGACTTCAACAACGGACTAATCAGATTAGACTTTGTAATTAGCAAGACCTTAGCTTTTTCCAAATCTTCATTAATCCATTTGATCAAGTCACTATCCAAATTGTGCACTTTCTTAACATAATTCTTCAATCTAGAGCCCAAGAATTGCAGCATCGCTTTCACAGTCCGTTGTCCATTGTATGCTTCACTCGCATGTCTCTGTCTCTTACCGCTCATAGCTTTATTCTTGTCATATTTGGGTGGTCGAAATACCATGACAGTTGGAAATCCACTAATTTGATATTGGGCACAAAGTGGTTTATTGTAGTCTTTATCACAGTTCACGGCAGCTACGTTAACACTGAGCTTGGAATCCCTACCCACAGCCTTCCCCAATTTTTTCCACACTGGTTTTAATTGTTGGCAGTAGCCACACCAAGGTGCATAGAATTTAACTATTGAGGTATAGTTTGAGCCATGGATAACTTTATCAAAATTGGATGCCGTTAACTCGAAAATGTTTGGATCGCTTGCGTATTCATCGCCTTGTGCTCGCGCAGTGACTAGGAGAAGGACATTAAGTAGGGATAGTAGGTATGAGATGTACATTGATTGCGATGAGGTAAAAGTCCAAAGTGGTTGACGTGTTTTGCAGATTTTGAAATTTTCTTCATTGGTCGCGATAAGCCGATCGGGATATGGAGGACATAGATTAGAAACAGTAAACAAGAGGAATCATTTTAGTAAAGTGTATGTCGAGGAGTTGTTTCCCTTGGAGAAGAATGCTTACAGATACAGTATTCGTTCTGTGTATATTAACTATGTAACACAGTTTGCTCAAATATACACACCGACATAGTTCATCACATAAACAGCACTGAATCCAATACTCAAAGCAGCCACCGTAGCACTGATCAAGTAACTCAAGAAGCTCTTTTTCTTGATGTCTCCGAGCAAATTGAATGATAATGAACCAAATGATAGAAGTATTAAAAAAATTGTGAATATTGTAGTTGTAGTAGTTATTGCTGAATTAACAACAGGTGTGCTGGAGTGAAACAATTGTGTAGCCTCATTGTAAGGAATCCCTTGGTTGCTCATGTTTGAGAATGTATGGTGTTGTGGGGTGCGATGTGATGTTCAAGTTACTTTCAATCGTTAGAAGGAACGATTCGTTCACCATTTTAATTTTTTTCAAACAATCTAGACTTATTACAGCGCCAAAACAAACACCTTTTAAAATGTCTGACAGCGGATGGAATACTATCGATTCCGATGCGGTATGCTTGATACTACAATAGTCATCTTAATAACATATACTAACGCAACTAGGGCGTGTTTACCGAACTTGTTGAGAAATTGGGTGTGGCAAATGTCGAGATCAATGACTTATACTCCATCGATTCGGAAACGTTACGAGCATTGCAACCCATTTACGGAGTAATATTTTTATTCAAGTACGGGAGAAAGGACAGAGAACATGCAAGTTTGAATAAGCCCATAACAGGCGAGTACGATGCCGATTATCAGGATCAGGGGCTCTTTTTTGCCAATCAAGTTATTCAAAATGCATGTGCTACGCAAGCAGTGCTTAATGTGTTGTTCAACGTTGAAGATGTAGACTTAGGCGAGGAATTAAACAATTTTAAACTGTTTGTCACTGGGTTTGATTCAGAAATGATTGGCGAAACATTATCCAACAGTGAACTTGTTCGATCTATACACAATTCTTTCCTGACACCTTCACTAATTGCTCAAGAAGATAAACCGCCACCACAAGATTACGATGATAAAGACGATGGCTTGTTTCATTTTGTTGGGTATGTGATGAAGAATGGCCAGATATATGAGTTAGATGGGTTGAAGCAGTATCCGATCAAGCATGGTGAATGCAATAGCCAAGGTGAATTTATTGACAAATTACCTGGAATTTTGCAAGATAGAATCAACGCATATGACGCAAGCGAACTAAGGTTCTCACTTTTGGCAATAACGAACAACAAGTTAGAGCAAGCACAAGCCACTGGTGATGAGGTGGAAATTGCCAACCAGTTGAATAAACGAGAACTATGGCAACGCGAAAATGAATTGAGAAAGCATGACTACACTGGGTTGATTGTACAGTTGTTGAAAAATATAAGTAAAGAAAAACCGGACCACGAATGGGAAGCTTTACTACAAAAGGGTAGAAACAAGACGCAACAAATGATTGCCGAGTCAATAAAGAGAAAGTAAAGCGTGTCTAATTTTCTATACATCGTCATAGCTACCACCAAATGAAAACAACCCATGTCCGCCACTATGTCTTGAGAAGTAATCAAAGTCAATACTAGTAAGACATGACAAAATGACTGCTCTTTGATCTATTGTAACACCACTGGAACTAATATCGCCATAGTAACTTTCCATCCCTTGGAAACTTTGTGGATCGAATCTCGCGATATAAACACCGGTATCGGTAAACATTTCTCTACCCAAACCAACCCAGTTTCTATCAATGCTGGCAATAACTTTACCATGTTCATTCTTGATTGGGAAATCAAACGACAAAAATGGCGCATCAATATCTCCAAATTGCTCATAATCATCAGTCTTTTCATCCTCCAATTTAAACAAATTATATTTCCGTCTCCATAAATGCCATCTTTGTACACTTTCTCCAACTATTTCATACATGATTTCATTGTTGTGATCATATCCGGGCAACAATGCCTTAATATGAGAGTTTATAAATGAAAATGGACGCTTGATACTTAGGGCCAACTCTCCTTGCATGTTAAAAACATCAATATCAAAAGGACGATGCAATCGAAAAAATTGACGTCCTAAAGTCCGACCAAAACCGATATCCTTTTCCCTCATAAAACCAATTGGTTGCCCACTAGAATTCATAATTGTATAGTTGTTAGCTTGTTCAAAGCCAATAAACAAATTCATAAACTCAATTTGTCTTTCAATCACCAAAGTAGGCTCTGATAAGATATCGTATATAGGATCTTGAGGAGTTATTATCCCATTGGTGTTGTTTGGAATGTAGAATTGCGATTGATGAGATGGGAAATCATCCCGAGCAGTATATGGCGATGAACTTTGGTCAAAAGAACCTCTTTCTTTAGCACGTTCTTGTGCTTCCCTAAATTTTTGAACTTCCTCGGGCGTTATTTCCTTGGTGACTCTAGTACGATTTGTGGGACTCGTTCGACTAACTGAGAACCGAGGTAGCTGCAATTTGGTTGAAGTATGGAGGTGTGATTGACGAAGCCATTGCGAGCGCAATTGCCGAGTAACGTGACTTCCAATGTTGACTCCACTCATATTGCCTCTGTACAGTCGGATTAGTAAGTCTTGAAGGTCAAAAGGACAATGGAAGGTTGTAATCAATGAAGTATCCTGTTTTGATAAATTGCTTTGCTAAATGGCGAATGGTAGGTTCTAGATCAAATATTAAATGTCACTTTTTCTTTGTCGCGGAATAAAAAAAATGACACACAGATGGGAGTGCAATCAATAATGGTAGCGAAAAATTTTCTTTCTCTTCCAAAATGCAAAGTCACAACAAAAGATCTCACAACTACCATTTGAAGAAGAGAACTACCATAAGACAGTTTTACACACCGGTAATTTATACAAACATGACGTTAGCTTCAAAAAGACGTGAATTGAGAGCTTCCTTAAGGGAACAAATTAGACAACCTGGAAACGACGACGAAGAGGCTATCAATCAACAAATTGACGACGAGCTTAATAAGCAATTACATCAAGATGCAAATACTCATGGCGCAACTACCAATCATGAACTGGATGCTACCAAAATCAAATTAGAATATGATGAACAAGATGATGATGATGATGGACGTCAACATAATGCCGATGGTGGTGATATCGATGATGGCGACGATAGTGATAGGGATGGCGATTTTGCCCCTGGTGCTGAAGAAGACAATGAGGAGGAAGAGTATTATGAAGTTGGCGATGATGAGTATGATGGCACATCGGGGAAACGTGGTAGAAGAGCTAGCAACCACACCAACAAGAGAGCCAAACCCGAAGGCGAATTGGAAGTTAGCCCTGGTGGGGTACGTCCTCAAACAAGAACTATTTTCAAAGACATTGATAATCCAAACTCTTTGAATTGTGAAATTTGCAATCAAGAATTCAGAAACGTTATTGACAAGAGAAACCACAGAAGAACCCATTCCCAGCCTAAAAAGTATGAATGTGCTACATGTGGTAAAAGATTTAGTCAAAAGGCTAATTTGACTATACATGAAACTCATGTTCATCATGATTTAGTTGTTGATGAAGCTTTGAAAGATGCTGCTGCTGCCGCCGCCGCTGCTGCGGCTATTGTTGCGCACGCAGAGAATGCGTCATCTAATGCTGACAACTCCGGTCATAATCAAGATTTCGATGAAGAGGCTAATGCTGATCACAGACATTTGTTGCAACACCACCACCACCAACAACAACAACAACAGCAGCTTGATTTGGCACAGCAACATGCTCGTCAACAACAAGAGCAGTTACAGCAGTTGGCGCAACATCGTCACCAACAACAACACCAACAAAATCACCAGTTTGAATCACATGTGGTTGATGATAATGTCAATGTCTTTGCTGGCGGTAGTGACCCAACAAGACAACCACCACATGTTGATTTGAAAGACGTTCGAGTACACCATTGCAATGCATTTAAATGTGGTAAAGGATTTATTTCCTACGAAAAGTTGATGGAACATATCGAAAATGAACACCAAGGCAGAACTGGTGAACAGAATAGTGGAGCTCCTATTTTCGATCCAAATGATCCTAACGGAGCAGCACAAGCTGCCGTACTAGCAGCTGCTACTGCAAATGCTCACGCCCATGGTCATGTTCAGCACCCGGAACATCAATCATCAGCAACAACACCAACACCAACACCAACACCGGCAACATCAAGAGTTGTACCTCGTGCTGGACCAAGAAGAAAACGCGATCCTGCATTACAACAAGCTAAAACCCACCAATGTACATATGAAGGATGCAACAAGGCGTTTGCCAAAGTTTCCGATTTAACCAGACACATTAGAATCCATACTGGTGAACGTCCGTACGTTTGTCAACATTGTGGAGCCTCATTCAACCAAAGGTATAGACTAACTACACATGTGAGAATCCATACTGGTGAAAAGCCCTTTAGTTGTAAATATTGTGGAAAGACTTTTGCCAGAGGTGATGCGGTGCAATCACACATTTTTTCGATACACAGAGCAAAAGGTGAAGCTTTTTGAAAAATTTGAGGTGGCCAATTAATGTGCATGGTATTAAATTGAGTTTTGGATGTTGGAGGGGGGGGGGGGGGGGGGGGGCATTGTTTAGTTTTGATAGTTCTTTTAGTGTATTTATTATGTCCAGTAACACGGTGTCAATCTAGTTTCATCTCATTTACGCGTGTAAAATCTGGGGTGCATGTATGAGCCACTTAAATATTTTTGCTAATTTGCTATTTACCTCCTGTACCCAGGCATTCCCATCGATCTCATCTCCCATAACGTGCTAATCGCCTTTGATTGGGGTCCACATACGTGGTATATCACTTCCAGTGGGTGGCCCTTATTGATTCGCTTCCGAACTCGGCACCATTTTCACCTCAACTTTGTGATTTCTTCTCTTTTTTCCTCGGTTCAGCGGATGCTTTGAAGAATTTTGGAAATTGACTCGAAACTGCCAGATCATAAAACATGGGGGGAGTCACATCACAGGCTCACAACACTACATTTCATTCTTCAATAGTGTACAATCTTTTAATTTTTATTCAATTCGATATACAAATTTCTATCACACCTTCACCTCTTCCCCAACTAGTTCAATTTCTTTTGTTCTTTGTTACCTGTCAAAGAAACTGAGTCTTTAGTCAACAACTCTTTAACGAATTCGTAAACGGTAAAAGTAACAGCTTGACCTGGAGCAACTCTCATAATTCTTGGAGTGATACCTTTATACAATGCAGCAGCACCTTCTTCTTTAATCAATTGTTTACCGATCTTGATGATTCTCACCCATCCACTTTCATTACTAGCATAACTTGATTTTTGCAATCTAGTCTTTATAGTATCCAAAGGAGCATTAGATAATGGACCCAAAGCACCAGAAATCAAACCAATTCCAGATGTTTGCCACGATGGCAACATTTCAGTATGCTGTTTCTTTTGCAAGTATTCTTTCAATTTAGAGTAAACAGTGAAATTGACACCTTGGTTAGTAGCTTGTCTAGCACAGGTTAATGAAACACCACGGTATAAGGTCTTAAAACCTTCTTCTTTCACAATAAGATAAGCAGCATGTGGAGCATTTCTATATTTTGGAATATCAAGAGGATCCTTCATCGAGTGGTGTTGGGCTTGTAATCTGATTTTAACAACTTCCATAGGATTAACCACCATAATAGATTCAGTTATACCAGCACCAACACCAGCAAGGAATGTTTGACCTGCAGTGATTTTACCATCCTTGTCATAAAAGAATGAACGATAAAATTCATATGATGAAAATCTAATGGCCATTTTGGGGACAATACCAATAACAACTGCACCCAAACCTTTGTATAGCGAAAGAAAACCTTCTTTTTGGACAATATTGATACCAGTTTTGATGAATCCTGGTGGTTTTTGACCTGATTTTCTATACAATTGCATTCTCACTTTGATTGTATCCAAAGGGTGACAACATAACGCTTCGAATAAACCGGCAACACCACCAGCAACGAAATCAGTTGCTCCTCTCTTCGTTTGTTTCTTTACTTCAGTAGATGCGGCCATTGTAAATGATTAGGGCGAGATTCTTTTTTTACCTTGAAAATGGAATAAATCACGCCTGATGATTTGAAATAAATAAGGATGGAATATGTAAATAATTCAAAAAATGTTGATCCCTTGTCCTCTTATTGTTATAAAAGATGGGGATTGAGAGAATATATAGTGGAAAATGAAACTTTTTTTATATCGGTTATTTTCAAATCTATTTATATTAGTTTACCCGGGGGGAAGAAATCAAACAAAAAAAAAAAAAAGAAAAAGGTAACCTAATTTCTGATCGAATGGTTTTCTATTCACAGTACAAGTAGTATGAAAGAGTGTGAAAAAAAAAAATATAATACTACACTCTTTGTGTAAAGACCAACCATAGTCTGGGGAAGAAGAAAAAAAAAACAAAAATGTTGACGCATTCTACACGACTTCTCTTTGTTCGAGGAAGAATACTTTTAGTGGCGCACCGGTGGTGTACATCCGTACCTCCGGGTCGACAATACAATACGGAAGCTTTCGACGCAACAGCTTTTTCTTTTCAAACACAGTGATCGGTAGACCAATTATTGAAAATGGGCAAAGGTTTGTTGGTTGATGTGAGAGTGTGAAGGATATAGGGTAAATGTACCTCTATAGAGACTATGCAATGGACTGAGTAATACTATTTTTTTGTGGGGGAACTTCACACAAAAGTACTGAGAGTTGACTCATGACTACTTTTTCCGGAAGTTTGGCTGTGAGATAAATATTTACCGAGAACCAATCAAAAGTTGTTATTGACCAATAATTATTATTCCGTGCAATTATCAAAATCAATATACACTATATAGTACAGTGTTTTCAGGATGAACATCAGGCCCCTATTATCAAAATATCGTTTCTTCGGCTTGTTTTCATATCGCACTTGGGGCCAACAATAATTCGTACTTGCTACAACCATAATTGTAATTTGAGCGACAAGCTGAAATCGATGACTACTTACCTCTTCATTTGCTTACTGATTTAGCAAAATACCATAAAACAGAAAGATTACGTCCTTCTCCTCCTGAAGATGATTCAGAAAATGACACTGGAGGAGATAACGATGGGAATCTCAACAATGAGATAAAAAAAGAAGGTAGTGGTCTTACTTATCGTACTTATTCGGTTAAAGACAAAGAAGACTTTTTTGATCTTTGGTGTGAGAAACCTTCATTTTTCTGTAGCTTCATTGGCCAAGCAGGTGGGAGTGAAACCAGGAAATGCCCAAAGGTGGATGAAAGAGTTCAAGGTAGCCGGCGAAGAGGAATTATCACTTGTTAAATCTAGAGGCAAGGTTTCGAAACCTAAATTAAATGATAATCATAAAGACTTTTTGAAGGACTATGTGGATGAGAATTCATCATCAAACTAAGTTGAAATTATGGAACTGTTGTCTGATTTCTTCATGGGATTAAGAGCCAGTAAAACCTCTTTGTATACCTTCTTAAAAAATGTACGTGCTCTTTCGTCTAAGATTGCACGCAAAGATAGTGTTAAAAAGAACTCAGTCAAGAAAATAAAGCATAGGTTTGAATTCGTATCAAATGTTCTCTCTTGTGATATCGATTACTGCCCTAATTGTGTTTTCATTGACGAAGCTGGATTCAACATAAACATGAAAAGATCAGGTGGTTGGGCTCCTGGGGAAAAACTCCAGTTATCAAAACATTTATAACAAGGGCCGAGAACAGAACCAATTGAGGTGGCCATTTGCTTTCAGGGAGTTGTTCAATTGAGCTTGAGGAAGCCTAAACCCCCGTTGCAAAATAAAAAGTGTAAGCTTTCCGAAGAAGGAGCAGAAGATAATTCTAAGGAGCTATTACAGGTCACTATAAATAGTTTCCTTACAGTGAGTTGTTTAAACTTCCTGTTCTTATTTGATTGAAATAATCTTCGAACCCCAATGTTATTCTGCTTTGTGCACGTTTGCACAATGCTTCTGCCGTCACGGTTTTATGGTCATATACTTCTGTGATAGACACTACTTCCCACTAACCAATTGTCTTTATTTTCAAATTGTAGCTATCAAAATTATTCTTCTTGATGTAACGTTGGCCTAATTCACCAATTATAGCCACTTTCGTATTATCACTGGAATTTATTGCACATATGTATCTGTCTTTAGCTACTTTCCAGACACATGATTTAGTATCCAAATAGCATACTTCATCGTAAGATTTAAATTTGATATATACTTCACCATCTGAGGGTCCAAAAGTGTACAACTTTTAAAGTTGAATGTAGTTATATTGGGATATACGTTAACTTCTTCCACGTATTTAGGCTCATAGCTTTTAAACCATTCTTCGATGTTGGTATCACGCATAGCTTCATGTAATATATAAAGTTGTAACGAATGACATTGACTGTCGTAGTGATAAAAGACATCAAGTGGGAAATAAAAGTTATATATAGTGAAGGAATAGAAGCCCCGATAAACCGGGATTAAGTTTCTCCTGCACATTGACAATACTAGTTAAAAATAACTGGAATATCTATTTTAGATAAACCACATAACATTTGCTATCATTTATTTCTCATATGTGGTGGTGCTGTTCCAATAATGGCCATTTTTTGACTTATCAATGATTTCGGCTATATTTTTGCACACGAAGACAAAAAAAACCTAAATTAGTATTTATCTGTTTAACAATCAATTTTCCTGTGACATGATAGTCGCCTTTTGTCCACATCAACCTCTGATTGTTAGTAAAAAGTCAAACCGATTGGTTGATGAGTGGTGCACTTTATCCGGCAATATCAATCCTGCACAAGTGTTGTACAAGAAACGAAGAATGATCCTCAACAGATAGTTGGATTCAACATACGAACCAAAGAGAATAAGTGTTAAAGGACATGGCAATAAAATGGTTACGTATAACATGGGGAGGAAAAAGTTGTCATTGGAGTTGGTGACAAGTACAGCTTCATCCATAATACTCGAACTGGAGAATTGATGGAAGTTTTAGAAGGACATGAAGGAGGCATTTGGTCCATGAAGCACTACGGAAATACATTGGCTACTGACTCCACTGATATATCAGTTCGAAATTGGAATATGACCACTGGAAAGTGTACACACATCTTTCGTGGTCATACGTCCACCGTCAGGTGTCTCGACATAATCGTACCATCCGTAATTGGTAAAGGTTTAAAAGGTGAAGACATTGTTTTCCCTAAATCTCCACTCTTGGTCACTGGATCCCGAGACCGTGACGTACGTGTATAGAGGTTTCCCGTTCATGAAGACGTGAAAATCGATAAAGTCACATTCGACAGTGGAGATGGTGAAAATCCCTAATTTGATAGCAGTTCTCAAAGGACATACTCAGGGTGTGCGCTCTGTATCTGTATATGGATACATCGTCATTTCAGGCTCTTATGATGGAAGTGTACGAGTGTGTGACTTACTCGACAATGGCGAATGCAAGCACATTTTGAAAGGCAATCAAGATTGGGTATACTCGACCGTGATAGATTACAACAGAAAAGTTTGTTTTTCAGGATCTTTGGATTTGACTATAAACATGTGGAACTTTGAAACTGGTAAGTTGTTGAAAGTGTTACAAGGGCATTGGAAACAAGTTGGTTTATTAGAGCTAGTGGATGGAGCTCTGGTCTCAGGTGCTGCTGATGCAACACTAAGAATTTGGGATCCGGTAATTGGCAATCTCAGATGTAGGTAAATAAGCCACGCAGCAGCTATATTATGTTTCGAGCATGATGGATTGAAAGTGGTGAGTGGAAGTGAGAAACAGCTCAAGGTATGGAGAATTTTCGGGTGGGGATTTTGCTCGGAATTTATTGGACGATATAACTGGTGTTTGGAATCTAAGTATCGACTATAAAAGATACATTGCTGTGGTACGAAGAGCCGATGATGCTGGGGAAGAGCAAAATTTCATTGAAGTATTGGACTTTAGTGAACCTCCAATTTTGCATAATTTATGTGAATGCACAAATGAATGCATATTTCCATTTTTATACACAGGATTCGAGCTGCAAAAGTATATGATCGCTGTACAACTCCAACTGCTGGTTCCAGCTACACCATGAAATCAGCATCTTGGAACGAAAATGATTCAGATTCCAGATAATAATCAATGACAATTTCTAGCATTTCAATCAATGAAATAATGTAATTGCCAATTGCACGTGAATATGCAAAATTACTTGTAAGACGACGACTACCACCAGCACAGCCACAACCAATGTAACCGCCAGCACTTCCAGAACTGCTTGAGAGGTTGGTATTGTAGCTGTCATATGATACGACATAGGGATTATTATAGCTGATCGGTTTAATGATTCTTAAAAACTCGAGATATTTGCGTAAATGTACATTCAAGACTCGTGAAATTTTGCCACCAATGTTTTGTTTCAAAACTTCGTGGCTACAGAAGGTTGTAGTTAGTATGTAGATGTGAGCTCCTATATTGCTTTACTCGACATACGACTCTTGCATTATTTCAATATCGAGGATTTGACATTTGAATAAATCATCGAGAAGGCGTAACAAAATATGAATTTCGTGGTAGAGACTAATTATATGAGTGTGGGTGTACTTGCTTTTCAAAAACTTTGATTGGTAAACTTCGTGTGCAAATGAAGTTGGCTTGCTTTTCGATAGCTGATGGAATGAATGACTCTTAGCTAGCATTTGGTGGTTTGTGAAGTGGTGTAGTTATAAATGATTATTTCCTTACTTTTTTCTTTGGTTTTGCACCCAATTTTATGACGCAGAGGAAAAAATCAAACTAAGCTACAGTGACGCAACGAACACTGAAGTACATTATTAAAAAACAATATCAAATATTAATTTACTTAAAGACGCACTCCCTACATACCTCTTCTCATCAAGAAGTCTTTTCGGTTGCAGTTGAGCCTGGAATATCACCAGTGGTTCCTGAACCTGCAACAGTTTGCTTCTGTTTTTCTTGTTCTTCTTTCTTAATCTTGGCTAATCTAACAGCTTCCTCATGGACATCTTTCACATCGCCAACAAGACTTTGATAGTACTTGTGGATCGTCTTGCCCAAAGGTGAGTTGACGGCGTTGTCAAAATACTTTTGCAATCCGGAACTAGCAAACGAAGATTGTGCTTTTTGCAATTGTTGATTCACTGTGGAATCCGGGTCTTGTGAATGGACATACTTCTTGTCCAATGAGGTGATAAACGATTGGAATCTTTGAGATACACCATTCTTTTTATCAAATTCCAATCCACGTTCGATAATTGGGTCCGACAACACGTATCCATCGGCCAACAATTGAGCCAAGATGGCATACTTTGGCTTCTCTTCTTGCTCGACATCATCATATGTTTGGTCACCAGTTCTGATTGCATCGCCTTCGGCTCCACCACCAGTGGCAGTTCCACCTGCACCGACTGCACCACTCAATGTATCCTTGATATCGCCTTTTTGTTGCTGTTGCTCAGCAGCAGCACCACCTTGCTGAGGAGACAATCCTTTTGCACCATCAGTAATCTCCAAATCTTCCTCAACCTTGATGAACGAATTTTCCAATTCTGCGTCATTCAATAACAATGCAGTTGACACTGCCTTTGGTGAAGCAAATACAACTTGGTATTTCTTGGTCTTGCCATTGTCCTCAAGGGGAACCAAGTCAGATACTTTGCCACAAAAGGAAAAGAATTCGGATACTTTGGCTGGAGAAGTTTGCGAAGGGATATTGGAAGCTATAACTGACATTTCTTGTGGGTGTTTGAGTTATGTTGATGGCGTGTCAATTGGTTTGAAAGAAAGAGTTTTGTTGAAGTTTCAATTTCAACAGCAAACTGTCTATTTTATATGAAGATGACGCCCCGAGACAGTGTGCGGCTTAGCCACACATTGAAATGCACTTTTGTGTAATGAAATATTATCACAGGACATTGTTAGGTTGCTATTTCCTGTGACAACTACATACGTGTCAATGCTTATGATCATACACTACAGTCGATGATCAACCTCTCAACAGAGACCGCGAGACCGCGAGACCGCGAGACCGCTTGATTTGTCATTGCCGCTTTATACATGTGATATATCTATTCTCTTGGTACAAGCTCCAACGCAAGACTCAATTACTCATTATACCTCTTCCTGTGTTTTGCTCATTATACTGGGCTAGCTTCATTGCTTCACTACGAATGTCGCTGACATCGTTGTTATCAAGAGTCTTGTAAAAAGAGCTAACCCTGGCATCGAACGGAGAATCATTTGCACCTGCATCTGCAACCCCATCAAAGTATTTTTTCAACTGGTCATTTTCAAAAGCTCTCTTGTGTTCACCTTTCAAATTGTAGTTGTTCAATGAATCAATGAAATTTTGAAACTGGGAGGGCACCCCATACCTCTTGTCGAACCTGGCCCCACGATCGATTATATCATCTGCAAGGTCATACCCACCGGCAATCATCTCTGCAAGTATGACCGTCTTTGGCTTATACTCCTGACTTATATCAGCAGTAGGTACAGACTCCTCACCTGCGCCATTACTCAGGTTGAAAACTTGTCCATATGCGTATCCCAAGGTAAACTCGATATCCTCTTTACGCAACTGTTGCATTGTGGGCTGGCCATTGTGATGACTAGCAAACCCATTCATTTCCATAGGACGTTCTTGGTACCTGCGGACATGAAGGAAGCTGCCATGTTCTAGCTCTACGTCATCCAATAACAAAGCTGTTGACACTGCTTGTGGTGACATGTATATAATTTCGTACTGACGGAGATCCTGCATTGGTTCTCTTTTCAAAGGAATTATACTGGAGATGGTGCCGGCATATTGAAACAAGCGTCTAAGTTGACCAGTAGTGACACTAGGTGGGACTTCAGAAACAACAATAGATGACATTGCAAGTGGTGTGAGTTGGTGGAGACAGGCGTGTGTCTGAATCAACAACGTAACGATTATCCTGCATTTATATATCGTTTGATGTAGTAAATCGTAAGTTCTTTGATGCAACTGATGTCTTAGGTTCATTTTTAGGTTTGTGTTGCATAATTATTTTTCTACACTGATCTTCCGATATGGGGAACTACAGTGAGAGGGAATTGCTGATTCTCATTGGTGCAGATGAGAGATAAGTAATGGTGCAGTATTATTGAGTAGACACAGAATCAAGACCCGTATGCTGCTTCACAACCACGAGGACAATAGACCCATGCACAAAAACGGCGTGGTTTCCTTTTGTTGAGGCCCAGGTAACAATGGTGGGGGTCCAATACTGGCATAGCTCATCGTCTCTCAAACGTTTTATGCTTTCTTGGTTGGATCTGTTTGACAATCCGATGTTCGCTAATGCTCAATATGCACACCACGACAAGAAAACCATGACTTCCAGAGAATTAAGATGTCGTCAATAAGCTTTTAGGGAGTTAAGAGTAACATTAAAGGGCATTGTGCTCTCTTGTGTTCTTAGTAGATCAAATAGATAAAAAATAAAAAATAGCACACGAAACCTTTTGCATCACACACAAAAACAAAAACATCCGAAATCTTTACTGTAACTGCCTAAAAAGAGGCACTCAAGAAAGCCGTCAATCACTTGTTGTAATCGTGAGTTATGATTTGTCCTCGTTACAAAGTTTGCAACAAAACCCCTTTTAGGGCGTTCCTTTCATTACACCCTCACGACTCATTTGCAACTTTACAATTGACTACGACGCCACTAAAGCACAAGAGAATCTTCAATTCAATCAAGCTAAAATTATAAACTAACCCCCTTAAACTTTAAGCTTTTGATTGTTGTCTCTCTTTAGCCAACTTCTTTGCTTGATCACGAATGGCATTGACGTCATTGGCAACTTTTTGATAAAATTGACTAACAGTCAAACCTCCTTTTGAATTAGCAATATCATTACTCAAATTATCAAAATACTTCTTCAAATCGGAATTTTCGTAAGCTTTACCAATCTTCTCTTCGCCTCTAATAACTGGACATTTTTCCTTATTTTCATTTAAAGATTTAATAAATTTTTGATAGTTTTCAGAAAGGCCATTTTTTTTATCCAACTCAGATGCCTTTTTAACAACATCATCAGAAAGCGTGTATCCATGAGATAAAATTTCAGCCAAGACTGCATATTTGGGTTTATCTTCTTGATGCAAATCAGCTGAGTCCTTGTGTCTAATTTGACCATATGCATTGTTCAATGTAGCTTGAATATCATCTTGTCTTTCCTTAGCAATGCCGCCTTGTTGAGGAGCCACACCAGTTCCACCATCAGTAAGCTCTAAATCTTCATCGACTCTAATGAATGTATTGTCTAACTCAGCGTCATTGAGAACCAATGCTGTGGATACGGCTTTTGGGTCCTTGAATGATACTTGGTACTTGCCTTCGCTCAATGGATTCAAGTCTGTTACTTGGCCAGCAAATGAAAAAAACTTGATAAGTTCAGCTGGCGTGACTTTATCTGGGACATTTGAAACGATAACGGAAGACATTATATATACGTATTAAATTGATGTAGCTTGTAGAGAATATCTGAATGTAAGTTGTATGAAAAGTTTGAGGAGAGTTGGGACCCTTATATATTTCAATGGAAATGGAATAGGGGATTAATAATTTACCAAGCAATCATTTAGACTGTGTGGTAGACTCTACCAACACGTCTCTAGAGAAGATTCTTCTGGATTCTATAGCAATTATAGGATTCAACATAGGTGTGTAAACTGTGTGCGCAAATTGAGGAGTTTGCAATTCACAATTTTATGTACAATGGGTTATATGATTTGTTCTTTGACATTCTTTCGCCAACAGAACACAAATACTCTTTTTGGAAGTTCCAAATCTCTGCTGCAGAAACTGGCCCCTGTTCTCAGATGGCATTCAATGACTCGAGGTTTATTTCTGCAATGACACCGCTTTTCTAAAGTGTTGCGTCTCAAAGAGTAATGCAGGACCTCTATTTTCAAATACATGTACTCTATTACACCTTCCTCTATACTCTAATATAATCCTTATAGTAATGTTTGCCCTAAAGCACATCTACCAATGGCACAAGCAGCACTAACAGTATCCAACACATGCTCTTCAGTTTCAGCCAACATTGGATTAGTTTCAACGATATCTAAACTTTGCAATAATCCCAGTTGGGCAATCTCTTCAGCTACAAACAAACCTTCCCTTAAACTTAAACCACCTTCGACTCTGGTACCTGTTGCTGGTACAAATGAGGGATCAATAGCATCAACATCATAAGACAAGTGGATAGGGCAATCACGATTTGGATTGACTTTATCTAAAGCCATTTCAACAACCTTACCAATACCATATTTGTCAATGTGATACATTGAAAAAGCAGCAATATTGTGTTCACGTAAAATCTTCTTTTCACCTTCATCGACATCTCTCAATCCAATGTAAACCAATTTATTTGATTTTAATAAGCGTGGTACCCAACTGTATTCTGGGGGGTATGTGTCTTCGTCAATTCCCATAAGGAAACTCAATGGACATCCATGCAAGTTACCAGAGTCGGATGTTTTGGGACTGTTGATATCTGCATGTGCGTCAACCCAAACAACACAAGTATCGGGGTTATGCGCCAAGCTGGCACCAACGGTGGCAGTTCCAATAGAGTGATCTCCACCAACAACCAAGGGTAATTTGCCTTCACTCAAACTTTTTTTACTAGCATCAAAAATTAATTGACAGCATTTACTAACAATAGCAGCATTCTTGACTCCATATTCATCTTTGATGTTTGATTTTTTTTCTTCAAGTGAAACTTTTTCAAGAGGATTTTCCACCGTAGTTTTCCATCCAAGTGAATCAATTTGTTTTTGGAAACCAGCATTCAAGATGTATTCTGGGCCTAATTCAACACCACCTTTTGGTTGACCTCCTGAAAATGGAGCTGTTATTATCGTGGCTTTTTTATTTGGATGAAATTTGTACTCGATAGACATTTTGAATATATGGATATGTTGAAAAGAAGATGAAAGATGGATATCAAAAAGATGGGGGAAGATGTTGGTTTATATTTATAGATGTGCCATGAATGGAGGTTTTTGATAATAACAGATACAGATCTGTCCATTAATGGCAATTCAGTGCGGTGGCCAAGTATCACTCAAAATGGAGGAAAGAAAAAAAGCCTAAGAACATTTTTTTTTTGATAGGCAAAATGTACCATTTGTCTTTAAACGACAGTTGGGAGCGAAACATCGGTGTCCAGGCGTTGACTACTCTTCCAAGAAGAACAAGAAGAACAAGAATAACAAGAAGAAGAGAGAAGAAAGAACTATACCCCACGTTGTATTTAATGTACGCAACTGAATAGTTTAGTTGATTACAGAGAGGGGGATGTATGCGCACACCATAGTTTGCCATTTCACTTAAATAGGCATCTGAATGCGACAGTGTCACGCATTGTGGAATGGTTTCGAAAGTCAAAGGACTAAGGATTGACACACTTTATCAGCTTGGGCATGCTAGTGGATTACTGTGTGTCTCTTTTCTTTCTATTGAATACACAACATGGATTGCAGTTGTGGGAGATACATTTTGGGATGGGTCTCTTGTTGGCTATGAGAGATTGGTACTGATGCATACGTCATACAAATTTATAGTAAGCATCCTGCATATAATAATTATGTGTCTTAGATTAGAGACAACAACAACAACAACAAAGAAGACGAGAGAGAGATGCCCACGTTTTTCCACACTCTGACTGCGAAACTTATTTTTGAGGTTTATTACACGTCAACATACAGTTATATACACAACACAACTTACAAATACATACTCATTTACACTAGGCAACTACGCGTTGATAGCTAATCCGGAAAGTACAAGGCTACTATACCACTACTTAATTCAAGTGCAACCAAAAAGAAATAGTCACTGGCCTATCGATCCTTATCTATAGACTTCCCAATACAATGAAGTTTGGGAAAACATATCTATCCCATCAGATCCCTGAGTGGTCGATCTATTACATGAACTATAAGCATTTGAAAAAAATTATCAAGTCAATCGATTCAGTCAAGGAGGAAAGTGATATTGACGATGCATCATACCCAGAATTGATCCTGGAGACTTTGAGCTCGTTCTTTTTTGAAATCGATAGAAATATCGAAAATGTGGATGAGTTCTACAATGCCAAATATAAGGAATATGAACGAAGATTGACCAAGATTATTCAAGTCTTGGGGTACAATGACAATGTAGTCACTCACAAAGTTGAAAGCCAAGAGGAATTGGATGAAATTGTCAACATATTGATCGAATTGAGAATGTTGTTTCGTAACTTGAAATGGTTCGGTGAGTTGAATCATCGGGGATTCATCAAGATTTTGAAAAAATTGGACAAGAAATTGTCATCGATTTTGAATGATGGGCAGGTTAGCGAGATTGATGTATCACGTAATAACAAGGAAGCGTATTTGACAACGAGAATTGATGCATTACCGTTTGCCAATGAAACTGAAGTGGCCAATAACTTGGACATAATCCATCGCATTTTGTTACAGTTGGGTACTATGGGGTCAACTAGTGAAATGAAATTGGAAACTTTAAAGATTGAAAATAATGTGGAGTCATTTCAAAAAATTTTGGAAGATGATGATTCCAAAGCATTAGAGGAGAATATTTTGGAAAACAAGACTGAAAAATTCAACATCTCCTTATTGAATAAAGCCTCCCTTTTGAATGCTGAAAAGTGTATCAATTTGATTTGGAAACATTTGAGCAGTTTGTATGATGAAAAGGATATCAATGGAAGAAATTTCTTCCATCATAATGTTATTAGTCTTGGAAAGAATCAATTTATCAAGGAAGAACAATTGACTCCAGGAGATTCTCCGAACTGGTTAGTTGGTGGTGCTAATGGTGCTGATAACAACAACATCAACAATACGAGTGGGTTATTGCAAATTTTGAACAAACTAGATGATAAGAAGTTGTTAATTGCCAAAGACCATTATAATAGAACTCCGTTGCATTATGCCGCTCAATACGGACTTGTTCAAGTGACAAACATATTATTGGAATATTGTTCCAAGTGGGAATTAATTGATCGTGAATCATCAATTGATAATATGAAAATTTGGGGTGACCAAGAAAACTTGACTCCTTTGCACTTGTCGATAATTGGTAAACATCCAAAAACCACTGAAGTCTTAATTAAATTTAACAGTCCAAGAAAGTTGACATGTCCCGACTTGTTGTTGTTATCAGTCAGATTAAACTCTAGCCGTATATTGAACTCTTTAATCACTGATGGTCGGATTGATATTGATTATACAGATGAAAACCACAAGAACGAATCCGCATTGTACATTGCTTCCAAAATGAATTTACCAAACTTGGTTGAATTCTTGCTCGAGTCAAACGCCAATACAGAAATTGGTGAACAAGTATTTGGATGGACCCCAATTTTCATTGCTGCATGCGAAGGATATAGTGAGATTGTGAAACTACTCAAGGAATTTGATGCTAATTACGACATTGTTGATAATTCCGGTTGGTTACCAATGGAACACGCTTGTTTAAGAGGTCATTTGAATGTAGCTGACTTGTTAGTTCCCAAGGACCCCAAGCTTTTGCTTTATGACACATACCATCCGGAAAATAACGTTACTCGTATCCCCAGTGAGGCAGCTAGTCCTGTATTGCGGGCAAAAGATGATGGTGGAGCTCTCCCTACTAGTATTGACAGATTACCCGAAGCTCACAAACACGCTGTAAATGAGTTTTACAAACAGTTGAAGAATAACTCTTCAGGTAATATATCTCGCTCAACTTCACCAAAAAGGAAGAAACGAGTCAAAGCGGTGAAATCATTTGGTCATCGATTTCTTGGTGAAGATGAAAGTTTGATTTTGGTTACTTTAGGAACCACTGATTTACGTGATGATCGAACTCCAGTTGAATTAAACAAGATTTCATTGGCGAAATCGTTTGCCACTGAATTGGATACGGCATTGTCATTGTCAATCACTTGTCGATACAAGTCAACCAATCAACAAGTGGAACCACCAGTTGTGATTGATTTACCTTTGGAAGATTACCATGGAAGTGCCACTGATCCCGTTTCGTTCAAGCTTACCAATAATGTCTCCATTGATGATGTCATTATTACCTTCGATTTGATTCCTACGTATCAAGTTCACAAAAAGGTATTGGGTAGAGCTATTGCTCTTTTGAAAGATGCATATACTAAAGTTGGTCCGCACTTGAGGTCTTTAAACAACAACATCACTATACCTATCTTGGAAACAACAAACTTGGACATATTGGGGCTTATTAGATTTGAATATTTGCAAATCTTGCCTTTTAAACATCATGCCATGTCAATTGCTAGATCAGATACTTATTGGAAACAATTGGTCTCCACTAGAGTCATTGGACATCGAGGTCTTGGAAAAAATGTCAGTGGCAGACAATCGCTACAATTGGGTGAAAATACCGTTGAATCATTTATTGCCGCTTCATCCTTGGGTGCTTCATATGTTGAATTTGATGTGCAATTGACTAAGGATTTTGTGCCTGTCGTGTACCATGATTTTACCGTTGCCGAACTGGGTGTCGATATCCCCATGCACTTGTTAACTTTGGAACAATTCCTTGGTTTAAACAAGACCAATGAAAAACCTAATCGTTCAGTTGATGATGAGGTTTTGATACGGTCCAAGCCTAGAGCTAAGTCATCTTTTCAATTGAATGGCAACCACCATAATCACGATGATGTTGTTGATCGTGATTTTGCTAGTCAAATTGATGAACGAATGAAATTGACCAAGACTTGGAAAAGCAAAGGCTATAAGGGAAACGCCAGAGGCTCTTCTATTGCCTCAAATTTTGTCACCTTGAAAGATTTGTTTAAAAAGATTCCTCAGAATGTGGGTTTCAATATTGAATTGAAATACCCCATGTTAGATGAAGCTGAACAAGAAAGTATGGGTGAGCTTGCCATTGATTTGAATTTGTACTTGGACACCATATTGAAGGTTGTGTATGATGAAAATATCAATGGTCGCCACATTGTTTTTTCATCATTCCACCCCGATGTATGCCTCCTACTTTCAATGAAACAACCAACAATGCCAATTTTATTTCTAACTGAAGGCGGTACTGCGCCCATGGCTGATATTCGTGCTTCATCTTTACAAAATGCCATTAGGTTTGCCAAAAAGTGGAACTTGCTTGGAATTGTGTCGGCAGCACAAGCATTGGTCAAGACTCCACGTTTGGCTCAAGTTGTTAAACTGTCGGGGTTGGTTTGTGTAACTTATGGTGTCGAGAATAATGATCCTGAATTGGCCAAGATTCAGATGAGAGCTGGTGTTGATGCTGTTATTGTTGATAGTGTGTTGGCGGTTAGGGAAGGGTTAAGGGAGCATAATGATTCAAGAAAGGAGTTTGAAGATTCAGGTAGTGAATAGATTTAGAGGAATAGAGAGCGAGTTTATTTTGCGCGACTGGTTTTTTGTAAAGGAAAAAGAATCGAAATCACGTAATCATTCTCTACATACTACCAACATCATGAGTAAAGATAATGATGACAAGCCAACTACCCATCCACTGAACTTTGCTGTCCCAACGCAACCGCGCCGTGGTATTGATGCAGTGCATGTCAATGCAGCTAGAGAGATGGTGCAACTACATACCCGAGGTCGGGTACCTCCACAACGAGGAGGAAGAGGAGAAAAACCAATTCAACAGCACCACCAGCTGATACTACTGCCGCAACAGCAGGGAGGCAGCTCCAAGAGCTCTCATGCTCCAGTAGTTTCAGAACAGTCAAAAGCTCCCATGTCCAAACCTAAGATTAGCATACCATTGGACCATGATGGTGGTGAGTGCAAAAACCCTCAGTGTCAACACTGCGGCAGTATCATAATCCCTGCTCCACAACTGTCTTTCCCAGTACAGGATAAACCATCAATCAAAGTCAATGATTGGGAGATTTACACCATCAAGAAACCCATATTGTCATCTGCTGAATTGGATCATTTGGGTGATACCAAATTTGAGTTCCCATTACCAGAGATGATTTTCGGCAACAATTTTGTTCGAATTAAATACACTGGAGGACAAAGCGATACCGATGAGGAGTACGAAATTTGGTTTAATTCAATAGATGCATTGGATACATTAGAAGATGATTGCCATTTGAAGGTGAGTTACCATGAAGAATGGTTAAAACTGCGTCAGAACCGACACAAGAAACAAGAACGAGGTGGTGATGCCAAAACATCAACTAGTGCATGTGATGAAATGACTGATAAAGTGAGTGATTTAACCGATATGGATGCCGTGAAACCATATGATTGGACCTACTCGCCAAACTATGTGGGTCACACACGCGGGTTCAATTTTGTTACTGATGATTCTTTGGAAATCCCCATTGATCGATTAATGAAACCAGATCCGATTTTATTTTTCGATGAAATGATATTGTATGAAGATGAATTAGCTGATAATGGAATCAGTATGCTTTCAATCAAGATTAGAGTCATGCCCTGTTGTCTTTTACTATTGTGTCGGTTTTTTTTAAGGATTGATAATGTTATATTCAGGATTAGAGATTGTCGTGTGTTTGTTGATTTGAATTCAAATGAAGTGATTCGAGAGTATAAGTTGCAAGAATGTGATTATGATGAAGTATTGAAGTTAGCCGGATCGAGTGCGTCGGGTGGTGGTAGTGTTGGTGGTGGCCATGGAAGTAAAGTGAATAATGATCCAAAGAGGTTACTACGGGATCAGAATTGGGTTAGTTTGAATATACCTGTGGTTAAAAGGACTATTGAAAGGTGTATAATGTAGAAGTATACATTTGATACAGTGCATTTGCGACATCGATATTTATAGATGCGTGTCTACTCAAACTTTGTAACCTCCAGAAGAAGAGCCGCTTTGGTGAGGTTAACTTGGAGTGGTTCTCTCTCCACTAGTATCAGCATCAATTACACGTTGTACTCCTCGTAGTATATAATTTAAGGTCAGGAAAAGGTCTTCATTCGTGAGACCTGGCTTATTGCAGAACCTTTTCGCTGCGCTCGTGGGCTCGTTCATAAACTTCCTTTTGCTGGCGTTTGATTGACCGGCGTCGCTTGACGAGGAAAATGCGTGGTTTTTGTTATTTGTTGTGAGTCAACAACAGCATTGTCGGTACCATTGTTGTCATACTGGGTACCACTTCCGCTACAACAAATTGTAGTCATATAAAGCCTCAATCTTTACAAGATCTTTAGGTTTCTTTGCCATTGATCCCATTGCCCGTTCGTGATTCACAAGTCGTTGTTGAACTGACGTGAGCGGACCTGTGCTTATCACTACTTGATCATCGTCAAAGTCCTTTTCAGTACCGATAATTACCCTCACTGGCTCTCGCATCCGTGCAATTCTTATTTCAGCAGGTGTTGCTCCGATGATCTCCTAATGGACACCATTATTATTGTTTTCGACTTCCAGGATGATTGATTTTTCTTTAAACACGCTTGTTTGTTTATAATTTTTAATTTTGTATTTGAACAAAGTGTGGGCGAACGTCTTTCCCAATATTTGTCTAAATTTCTTTTCGTTTCTTGCGCAAAAAATTTTTTTCAGTTTGTTAGATTGAACCCTACTGCGTTAGATTCCCCCTCCACTCTCATGTTCAAGACAAGCCGAAATAGTATCTTTAAACAGCTCCGATCTGTTCATACATTGCCCAGATTGGCAAACCATGAAACATGGTCAAGTCAAGGAATACCTGGCCTCTTGTCTCCACAAGGTTATTCCACAGCATGGACTAATTATCAAACTTATTTATTGACCAACTTGACATTACTCACCAATGGAACTGCCAATGAAACCAAAAAACCATTTGAAATCTTGCTTAATACGGCGAAACAAACCACACAACAACATACATTCCATTATGCTGCCATGTCACACATGAATCATTTCTTTTTTGAACAATTGACCGATAAATCAACTTCAAGTTCAAGTAAACCTTCACGATTCCTTATGGAAAAACTAATACATCAAGATATATTGGATATTGATGCATTGAGAACTAAAATGTTGACAATGGCTGAAAATGCTTATGGACAAGGATGGATTTATCTTGTTGAAGACAAGACCAAGAATTTGCAATTTTTACAATGTAATAATGATGGAGTGCCTTATTATTTTGGCAAGCGTCAACAATTGGATTTGAATGGTGGGATTGATGAATTAAGCTTTAATAGTTTGGCCAATTTACAAAAGAGAGCAGCAGCAGCTAGTGGTGTTGCTGGCCAAGAAAAAAGTGGCGTAGTTGTTGCTGATGAAGATGAGCAGTATTTGCCCATTTTGGCTATCAATTATTGGGATTATATGTATGTTGAAGATTATGGCGTCACTGGAAAAAATGAGTACTTGAGTAACTTATGGGATCATTTGAATTGGGATGTGATTAATAAGAGATTGTTCCAAGTGTAAAGTGTAGGAGGAGATTTTGTACATAGATAGTTTTGAATAAACAATTGATAGGGTCACGTCTATAATTGAGCTTTGCAAGAGGTCATAATGGAGTGAGATTTTAAAAAGTAAGCACTTTGAAACAAGTCATTTGCAGCAAAATTGCCGCAAAATACGAGTGAAAAGCATTGTTGCGTTCGTTTTGCCAACAAACGAGAAGAACCTGCTGTTGCATGCTTAGCGAGATGTATTTGTTGCGGGAAATCAGCCAGATTATAGTTGTGCTAAAGAGATGAGTTGTTTTGGCTGCGAGATATTTGCCTACAACAATAGAGCTGAGATATTTTTGCCCACATGCTTTTTGTGTTATTATTAGGTCTTGGCTGGTTTTTCTGTATATAAACTTTACTTTCTCTATTGGATGAGTCCCAATTGGGAAATCGCCGCATAGAAATACACGTCATACAAAGTCATCCTTTATTTTTCAACTCGATTGTTATAAATAGCAGTTGAAATTCCCACGTAATTTTAACAATTTCGATCTAGTAAATCCATCAAATACAATTACAACTCCTGAGTAAAATTTAAACTACAATAATACCAAAAATGAGTTCAAACGAAGAAACAAAGAAGACATGCAGCTGTGGCTCTTCATGTACTTGTGCAAAGGATCAAGGTGGATGCAAATGTGATAGCTGCTCCAAGTGATTTAACTAGTTGAGATCGATTTAGATGAATAAATTGTATAGCTAATTCAATATGATGATTTTTTTTCAGTTTAAGCTACATTTGTAGATTCACATCACATGTCAGTGAGAAAATTGTTATACATTGCACTGAGATATCGAGTGATTCAACAACAACTCTTTGGGTCTAAAATCCTTTCCACTCATAGAAATTGTGATCAGCAAATTGAGCTGTGACTTTTCTATTCTTTAAAATGAGTTCAGTACAAACATTCGTAATAGCCAATCGACTCTACACTCTCTTTCCTTTTAGTTAGTCGGTGTCGGGGGCGGGGGAGCGAATGCGGGCATTTGATCGGTTTTTGTCTTTTGGAAAAGACTTTTAAGAAAACCCGATCAGAGCAAAGCCAATCTCTACGTATTTCCAATAGCATTCAAAAATACATTGATAAAGTTAGCGATATAAAAACCTATATCCAGCTATTAAAAGTAATCAGCAACCTATGGCATATTACTTTGGTTGACATGTACATTTGTCGGTGCTTTCACACTTGCAGGTGTTATCACAGGTGCAGTCTTTGGAGCAACAGGAACAAGAAGCTTTTGAACTCATGATTGTTAATTGATATAAGAATTAATTGTATTGAAGGGAAGAAGAAAAGAAGTATGTGAATTCAATAGGGGCAGGAAGGGGGGGAGTGGAATTTACTCCTGTATTTATACTTCTCTAATCACAAGTTTTCTAGAATCCTCCGCTGCTCTTTTTATTACCAGATACAGTACCATGCAGTACACAATATGCTACAACATGCATTCTTCGTATGATTTGGGGTAAAATCCGGTACAGTAGCAAATTTACTCTCTTCTTTTTGTGTAAAGTAATTAAAGTTTATCACCATATTTTTTCTTAGTCAAAGTACACGTAACGTACATATGGATGCCAAAAAGCATACCTACCACCCTCCTTGGAATCCCACGGAGAAGTGGGTGAAAATGTCAGACCAGAAAAATTGGAGAGATGAATGACCAAACTTAAATGCTTGGAATTGCCACGTTGTTCCACTTTTTTTATCCGCGGTTAAACAACCCTACCCAACTTACTGGAAAATCTAAATTCGCCACAAGTGGGTTGAAAAGAGAAGAAATATCCTAAATGGTTGGAGAAGAAGTATATTATAGACACATTTATAGGAGCAGCGACAACAACAATAGAAGATAAGACTTGTAATGCGAAGCTATGGTTGCCAGTCTTTCTTGAAGTAATAACAACCCGACTATTATCTTATAAAAATTACCATTTTGGTTGGCCAATTAAAAGCAGAATGGAAATCCAATCTCTGCGTTTACGTAGCTAAGTGCGCCAATTTTGAATGGAGCCAATTCATGAAAAAGCATCATATACAACTAGGCCTTGCTCAATTGCCTCTCACAAATTTTCACCAACTTCTCTTTTCGGGGACTATTTTCCATGTCTTGTACTGCATTGAACAAGCCTTCCCACGTGGAACGATTGTCTTCGTAAATCTCAAGCAGTCTCAAATACTCCTTTACACTTGATTGTAATAGCTCATTTTTATCTTTAGTGGATTCAAGTGATAATTGATAATAGTATGACCCAATATTGTTGTACAAAACATACGCATCTGGTTGATTTGTAAGTACTCTTTTAAGGCAATAAATGGCCTTCATGTACTCCTTCATTTTGGCATATTCATCAGCCAACTCACACCAAGCAACAACATCACCAGGTGCCAAATTCAAGTAGTAGATGAGATTGCTAACATATTTCACTCCATCGTTCCTAGACATTGTCGTGAGTCTTCTCGATAATAACAATTCATCTGGGTCCTCACTCAATACTTTTCCTGCACTTTGTAAATCCCCCATTGCTTCAAAATAGATTGATTTGAGTAGTTTTATACGTTGAGACGAAACTTTGTTACCGAATTGATCATTCAATCTTTCAAGCACTGTTTTGGCTTCAATATCATGTCCTGTGATTAACGACAAGTAGAAATCTAACTCAAAGAGTTGAAACAATTCAACGGAGTCAAGCTTATCTTGATGGTTTTGAAGGTATGATTTGAGCTGTTTGGTGTGATGGTTTATTTCCTCTGGGGTAAAAGTGGCAAATCTGCCAGTGGTGGCAATATTGAGGAGTTTCCTTTTGATTAGAGCTTGATCGATGGTCATAGCAATGGCGGTTGAAAACGTGTACTACCTTGTGCTTGAATGTAAATTTATGTTGGTCGTTACTTTTTTTCCTTCACGAATAATCAACATATTGCGGTTGGATTCTGCTTCTAACAACGATAGAGTGACACACACAAACACTTAGCCTGATTCAACACAATGGTACTCAAAGACCCCCGTTGCTAAAAATACAACTGGCCTTGTAATTGCTGGCATGGTTATGAGATATTAACATATTCTCACAATTTATTAATAAAACAATAGGGTGATGGTCTTTGCTAATCTCATTGCAAAAGGAAGGTGATAGACCACCAATCAAAGGTCGTTTGGTATACAAACCTGAAATTGCACCACATCGGACAACTCCTTTCGCCCATTGTTTCTTAAGTTGTTGTTACTAACAACACTGGTTATGAACCGCTAGTGGGGGGAGCAATTTTGACCTCGATGCCATGCGAATTCCAATGAGCATATAGGGGGACACCACGCGGTTATTTTTTGTCCTTTTTGGCATAGCTCAACAATTCAGGAACTATAAATATGTCAATCTTTCTCCCCTCGAAGCAGATTTCAATTGTTGAAGTTTCATCACCAAACAATGATTTCTTTATTTCAAGGTTTAGTATTGGCATTCATATTTGGTGTAATTACTAATGGTACCCCTGTTGAGAAGAGACACACCAAATACATTGCTCATGAATTTCATGATACTGAGGTTCGCCTGATTGGGAAAAGAGCTGAAAATGTTGATTTTGAAGACAAGGAGTGGCGTTTCGTTGCTCATTTGAAAATTGGTTCTGCCAAACAAGACGTACAGGTTCTTCTTGATACAGCAAGTATAGTTTTGAATGTTCCCCAAGTGAATTCGACTTGTCCGGGTGGTAAGATTTGTGCACCTCAAGACAGTTTCAACCCCTTTGAATCCACCTCATTCAAAAATTCGACCATTCCAAGTAAATCACCTTTTGGTGAGGGAAAACAATATGGGTTTGAAGTCTCGGACGATCTTTACTTTGAAGATGGCAAAAAAATACCTCAATTTGACTTCAATTTATTAAACGAACTGAATTATGTTAACCGTGGAGCTTTCGGTATAGGGTACAGCACCAACAACAATCATAGCTACGTATTGGCTGCCAAAAATGCTGGTTTAATCAACAATGCTGGATTTTCTCTCTTTAAAAACTCGGACAAAAATGGGTCTTTCCTTTTGGGAGGTGTGGATAAAGCCAAATATGATGGTGATTTGCTCATTTTCAATGATTCCAAAGAAGCCATGTACCCAAAGTCAATTATAACTGCGAATGGTACAGTTATTCCATTCACATATAAAGTTTTGCATGACTCGGGGACTCCCACTATGGCGTTGTTGGATACCGTTGTGCAAAAGTTTTACAAGGATGTTGGAGCCAATGACAAGGGCCATATACCATGTGACAAAGTATTGAGTGGTAACAAGAGTTTGAATTTCGATTTTGGACCATTTACCATACCCGTTTATTACAAAGATATTTTTAACAGGTCTGGTTCAACTTGTATTTCAAATATACATGCAACAAAGTCTCCTGATAGACAATATCTTGGAGCTGTGTTTCTCAGAAATGCCTACCTTGCTCAGAATTTCGATACCAAAAGGATTGGTTTAGCACCAGTGAAGTATACTGATGAGTCCGATATTGCTGATTTTTGGTTTTGAGTAGTGTATGTGCACTATGTGCCGTTCGTTATATAGAGGTCATTTTGATATTGAATTTGCTTGTTGACGTACACTTACTTACTGTAGTTGTAAATTGGTAAAATCGTAGCAATTCCTTAGGTTGTGGCAAATTAGTGACACCCTTCACGTGTAGCGGCGATATACTTGCGAGGGCTGTATTGCTATAATGAGTCAAAGCTTTTTTCTGTCGAAGCATCGGAGATGGATTAAAAAAGTAAAGCGCGGTATCGGCGGGCAAATGCTGGGGCTCCTAAGTCGCCCGAAACAATACCGTATAGCCGGTATACGGAACGTATTAATTTTTTGTGCCACTGTGTACGCTGCTGTATGGGTCATTTCTTCAAAAGTTTTAAATGCGTAGTTTTGACTCATTTGTTTGTTGGATATTATATGCAGTACTACTCTTATCAAGATAGAAAAGAATTACTCATACATTCAATGCGTGCATCATCATCAAACAAAATCTCAATAAAAAAACTGTGGTGGTCACTCCAACCAAACACTTTAAAAGAAAGTATATATATATCTCACAGTACACACCAGTCAGTACATATATACACCCATAGACATTACAACATACACACACACACACACACACACACACACACACACACACACACACAGCTTTACTCATTCAACTAGCCAAGACTTAGCACTCACATCTTTTGATCTTTTTTTTTTTTTTTTGGCAGCCTAAAAATACATCAACACAGCACACTTTTTAACATAACACACTTTTATATTATCCAACATACCACATAATAGTTCAGATGTATTCTCAAAATTTTTACTAAATCATCTTTCCATCATCGTGCTTACTTTTTCTTTTTGCTATCAGTTGAGTTTATCAAAGATTGAGATTTGAGTTAGGTTCATCTATTTACACACTTTCAGAATATTTTTATCAGGTAAGGGGTATTATCATTTTTTTTAAACCAGTCAGTTACTATCTAGGAGGTAACTGCATCAGACTTTTCATATCATCAGCCATTCACAAAGGGTTGTATTGTATTTTTTTTTTCAAAGATTGCCTTTCATTATTTTTTTGCAAATCACATACAGGCGTTTCATTAGGTTAAACCGGGTTGTACACATTTGGGGTCTATTTTTTTTTATCATTTTCATTTCATAAGTTACGATATTTTCCACCATGCAATCTCCAATTTCATCATCTTGCAAGAAGGGGGAGCAAGATGTTACTCAAACTAGGCAGGAAGCTAAAGGAATCGATTTATTAACACCACCACATTCATCAGCTGAAACAGAAACAAAATCGGTCACAAAACCACTCAATTCAACTGCTTCTTCACCAAACCACCACGACTATTATCATCAAGCACACTTAAGTAAAGCACAATTCAACTCAATTTTGGTCAATTGTGCTACTAATTTGTTAAAGATTTTGTACTTTAAGCAAAATCACCACACTTGCGACACCAAACAGGTGAAACAATTTATTATTGAGATTCTCAAACGTTCCAAAACCTCAATTCAATCTTTACAATTGGCTTGCTTTTACATTTACAAGTTGATAATCACCAACAACGCAAATTTGCCAATTAAATGCCAACACTTGTTTCTTGGATTAGTTATTATTGCATCTAAATTCAACCAAGATTACAACTATTCGTTCAAATCATGGTGTAAGATTATTGGATTGAATGAGGAGCCTAAACATATTAAACACTTACGTGAAGTTGAAATTCAAGTGCTTAGTTTGTTGAATTACGAATTGGGTTTAATGGGTGAGAAATACGAAAATTGGTGCAATGTTTTATTCATTTTTGGCTACGACTTTATCAAGTATCAAATCATCAAACAAAACTCATCAAATGGTGACATTTTCTCCAATGATATAATTTGGGACTTGGATGTGTCATCCTATTCTTCCAAATTGATCAAATGGTGGCAATTTTTCCAAGATTTGAAAATTGATAATTTGAGAATCGTTAGGATTAGATTTGAATCGTATTTCACTCAACAATTGAATGAAAAAGTGTTCATAGTTCAAGATGCAACTAAAAAGAGATGCAGGGATGATGATGATGATGTAACTGTTACTTTATTCAATAATATCAAGAAAATTAAAGTTTAATTAGCAAGCCACACTACATATATACATTATATCAAATACAAGCATCCATCAGTACCCCATTTACCACGTATGTTGACGGGCATAAATCCATCACCATTGGAATTCTCATTTTGCTCTTGCTCTTGCTCCTTGCCATTTAAGTAGTTGGTGGATTTACCTATCGTGTAACCTCTAACTAACAAACTGCCTATTCCATTGGCATCTAAATTGTTAACCTTCATTTCCAAAGATTGAGGGATAACTCCAAATTGACGCGTGTAGGTGCGGTATTCATAGTAGTCAGTGGTCAATATTGGACCAAAGATGTTGTATGTGTAGTATTCACGAATCACGTGTGAATCGGTCACGATACGTAAATGATTGAGTTGTGATGATGTTAATTGAGGGTGAGATGCTGGGGAATAAACATACACTAGTTTCTCTGAGGAGAATATACCCAATCCAAGAAAGTATAGTTTGATATTTTGTTTCCATGCTAAGTCAGTCAATGTTGCTTTCGATTCAGGGAGTGTTGTTATATCAGTTTCGAACGTAGGTGCTTTTTCTTTAATGTGCACTTTCATTTGACAAACTAAAGCCATAAGCAACTTGACAATAGTATTTGATACCCCAGCAAAATCAGGTGATGATACAATAGTTATTGACTTGTTTGTGTAGTCTACTGGTAGGTGCTTTATTGATGATGCAACAGCACTAATCAAATTCAATTGGGTAAAATCAACCACTACATCAATACCTAGCTTCACCAGTTTGTCAAACTTGATTGTAATTCCTTTATCTTTATCCGCAGTGTACACGTTGTTAAACTCGTGCAATTGTTGTGCATGTGGGAGTTTGATTTGTGAAATTGATTTCCCAGTACTTGGTTCTTGCTTGTCGTAGAATTGTAGTGGTATTTGTTTAACAAGACCAATCAAGACAACAATCACCCAATGCCCATCGATTTGGTAATCCACAGGTATGTTTATAGCATCGCATTGTTCTTGCGATTGAGAAATGTAGTAATTAATAGTTGCAAATTCAACAAACTCATCGCCAACATAAATTCCCCGTGATCCACCATTTTTCATGGCAATTTCCCAAATATCATTACAGTTACCTCTACGTATCTTGTAATGATCGTATCGAATATCGAGACCCAATCGTAAACCAGTGGGCGATTTTGTCGAATGATAAATTGGTGATTCGTTTGGTAAACGTGTGGTATCGGGGTACGATTGTTGTAGCAAGTACAAGTCAGGTACGGTTTTGAGGTAATTGAGTATCTTTAAGACAACGTAGATTGTAGTTAGTGATACTAGGATAATTGTGACGAAAAACATTCCTGTTTGAACTGTATAGGGCTGTAACTAAGCGGGCGGAGTATCTTTTCAAAAGCGCTTTTTTGGAAACAAAGGGAATTTTCGTCGCGCGATTCTCCTCCTAATTCAACCTTTCATTCTTCCCACCAACGATGAAGGATTATCGAGTGTTGTTGTACTTATTTATCTCCTGGATTGTGGCATTTCTTATAAATGAAAAATATGTACCCTATAGAACAATACGAAGATGCAAATGGCCTAAACTCGACCACGAGGATAATGCCTCACAACAACAACGACAACAACACCACCAAACCAATATTTTACTCATTGCCGATCCACAATTGATTGATAATCATACTTATCCAGGTCGTAATCCATACTTGCTCAGTCTATCACAACACACAGTTGACCAACATTTGAAACGCAATTATAACCAGTTGACAAGACTCAATGCCAATGCGACTATTTTCTTGGGTGATTTATTAGACAATGGACGTGCCTCAACTGATGAGTATTTCGCCAATGAAGTGGCTCGATTCAGATCGATATTCCCAAAACACCCACAAATGTATACCAATCTAGCGGGGAACCACGATATTGGATTTGGTGATTTGATAAGGACTGATATACGTGATCGATTTGGTGAAACTTTTGGTAATCCCAATTTACAAACTAGTATTGATGGAGTCGAATTTATCTTGGTTGATAGTACTAGTTTGTCGTCGAGTAAAGATCAAATTAATCAAGCTTCACGTGGATTTATTAATCAATTACCAAAAAAGAGTATGCCGAGGATTTTGTTATCACATGTGCCCCTTTTCCGGGACCCCAATACCAATTGTGGATCCTTGCGAGAAAAACCCAAATTTGAATCGTTGGGGAGAGGATACCAATATCAAAACTCTCTCACAAAGGATATATCCAATTTGATATTTGAGAAAGTTGAACCGGATTTGATATTTTCTGGTGATGATCATGATTATTGTGATATTGTCCATCATCCTCAAGAAACGAGAGAAATCACGGTGAAATCAATGTCAATGGCAATGGGGGTGTACTACCCTGCGGTTCAATTACTCAGTTATAGTAAACTGCCTGAGGGGTTGAAATATCTGACCAAGATTTGTTACATGCAAACACCATATATTAATGTTGTTATTTACATTGTATTGGCAATAATTTCAATAGTGATTATACTTTATCAAAACATACGATTGAAAACGGGAAACTCCAGCTGGACAATCTTGCCCTTGAGCAGACTGAAACGAGAAGAAAAGAGTAAGATGGGGACTGGTGGATGGAGAAAACAAATGTGTTTGGATGTTGTTAAAGAATGTTTGGCTATGGCGATGGTGGTTATTTTTGTTTACAAGTATTTTATTGCATTATAGTCTTTTTATTATATAGAACTATGTAATGTTTCATATCAAACAACAAATTACAAGAGGGCCACAGCGAGGATTAATCCTAGTGGCATAACCAAGCTAGAGATAAACAACTTGTTAGCACCATTTGATTTATTTGGTGAACCAGTCTCTTCACTTGATGATCCAGTGTTGGTGGAAGTACTTCCGCTACGAGTTGTTGTACCTGTAGCAGCTGATTGCAATTCACTTTCAGCAACAGCAGTAGAACAGATATAATTGTTACCTTCAATATCTCCATCATCATGCAATTGATCAAAATCAGAACAATCGAAATCCTCTGAAGTTGAATTCAATTGAAAATCACCTTTAACTTTTTCCAAACTATTCATTGACAAATTGGCAATATCACCACTAATGGCAACTGCACCTTCAACAACTTCCAAACTAGGGAATGCATTTTGTAAATCATGCAATTCTGAATTGTTGAAAAGACTCAATTCACCCCCAATTTCTCTCAAACTCTTGAAATCGATTGATGTCAATTCATCATGAGCAAAAACTTGTAAACTTGATCCAACATAGGTCAAAGTGGAAAGATTCAATGATTCAAACAAGTTGTAACTAACTTGCAATGTACCATTAACGGCTCTCAATTCACTAGCTGACAATTGACCAACTGATTGCACGGTTAAGTTAGCTGCCCATTCTAAATCGTTCAATTCAACAACAGCATCATCATTGTTGAAGCTCAAAATCAATGCATCAGTAACACTTCTCAAATTGGGGAATTGAATCTGAGTAATGTTTTTATTATTGTTAATATTCATATACTGAATATTGTTGAACGAAGTTAATCCGTTCAAATTGGTCAATGCAGTATCGGACAAAATCACCTTGCCAGCTCTTTCCAATTCACGATTCAACACCAAATTGGCAAACGAGGGTAATGAAACCAATTCCAAATCTTGTGAATTTCTCAAACTTGACAAATCAATCGTGTTTAATTGGGTCATATTGGTAACGGTTAATTTACCATCAATACTTCTCAATTGGTTCAAATTGATTGCGACAATTGATTTTGAATTGATAACAGTAACATCACCAGCAATTTCTCGCAACTGAGGTAAATCAATCGAAGCAAACTCGTTACCGGAGATGGTAATTTCTCCATCCAAAGTTTCACATGATGTCAATTGTTGAAGTGCGGTAGCGTTTGTGATGGTGGTTCTTGAAAAAGAGCAAGTATCAGTAGAAGAAGTTGAAGTTGATTTTGAGTTTGATCCAGTGGTGGTTGTAGTAGATCTGGCAGTAGTGGTTGTGTTGGTTTCATCAGCGGCGAAAACACCACTGGCTAAAATGGCTAACAAAGTGACGAAATTAAACTTCATTCTGGCGAGATCTGAGCTTCTTCTGTGGTGAGATTTGGTGGAGTTTTAGTGTGATAAAAGATCTTGTAGTAAAGACGGTGCAATTACCTCTTAACAAAAAAAAAAAGGTGATAAAGTGCAATGAAAATTTTGAGGAAAGTGAAAGGAGTTGAAGAAACGATGATGTGAAGTCTTTTCTTTCAATTAACAACGAGTGAAGAATTGTTCGTAGATTATATTATAACTTCCCTCAGTGGTTGGAAGGTAAAGGAAATTTTATTTTGGGGAAAGATAAAGAAAATATTGTGGGAAAAAGAAAGAAAAGTAATTCTGATTTTGTCCTTTTCTGCTGTTGTTTATATTTCGGCACCCAAGAGTCACGAACTACGTGGAAACTAAATGTAAACAGACACAGCCCAAGCATAAAGATGTTGATGCAGTGACGAATGGGAATGTTCTGTTAACTTTTAAAAGCTAAAAAAACTAAAAACTTTAGTTTATTTTATAGCTTGTTTATTTTTCTTTTTATTTTTTTTTATTCTATTTCTGTTTTTATTTTGTTTAAGTGGCGTGGTTTTTATTAGATTCAACCCCCAAGAAAATAACACTGTAATCAAAACACGGTCAAAGTAGATTTTAAGTTTCAAATAGCTGTTAAAGGCACATCATAAGCGAGTTGGTAAACAATGGATTTTGATCTGGTTTGATTACGTATTAAATTGCGTAAGATGTCTTGGGAAACAGCAAGCTGTCAATAGTAGGGGATGACGTATTGGGTTTGTGGGGGTGATATACAACAAATTGTGCATTTTACATGAAAACTTTGATTACTAAGCTAAAATTAACAACATACTATCAATACACCCTGCGTGATTTTACAGAGGAGTGGTCTTTTACCGAAATCTGTTTTCATGCATATAACTTATACGAGCGTAGGAGTTTGTGGTAGCTCAAGAAGTTGATTTCATATAAAGGCAAACACGTATCTACAGCTTTGTTTTGACTTGTTCAAGTTGTAATATAGTGGAATTTGTTGGCTCGTAATCCATGTAGAAAAAGGTTATCGAGAATCATTTCGAGGGTTCTAGTGATTGACTATGGAAAACGTGCAGATGGTGAATGCTATTCATCAATGCTTTCATTTCAAGATATCGTACTCACAACCTCACTCACACAGGAATAATTCTCAATGATCGGTCTCAGAAGTGGATAGTTATTACACTGGTGCGATAGTGGAATAAAAGGGGTCATTGTAAGTAAGGGCATATCCAAAGAGAAGTATTTGTGAAATCAATACATTGCTGGCAAAAAGTTCGCTTGGTTTGAGACTGCTTTCTCGAATGAGCTGAATTACAAACTTAGCTGTCAGGTTAATACAGTCAGCGTGTTTCGTTGTTGTGGGGGAGCAAAAAATTATGGTTGAGAGTCGTATTCAGTAGACAATAGAAAAAGGAGCTAGGTCAAGACTACTACAGAATGTGAGTTATCTTTGGAAGTGTTCAGTGACGTAACCAGTGCAATTTTTAAACATACTGCATGAACTGGCAAGTATATAATCGGCTTCTTTTCCATTTTCAACAGAATGATTATATCCAGAAATGTTCATCAGTCTCTTGAAAGCAAGAATTACCAAGAGTAGTGTTTGATTGCCCTCTACATTTTCCTCGATTTGGCAATGTGATCTTGCTGCAAAAATTGGCAACTGGAGGAACGGTCGCACGATTTTGGAAAAGAGACACAAAATTTGTAACACACTGTCATTGATACATACGTTTGTCTCTACATCTTCGCCAAAAAAGGGTATAGAAAACGCTTCGATCGCTGTGTAGATTCGAATGGACTTTGATAGTTATAGAACGGGAATGGTACTATCATCTGAGGAGATTTGCTGTAGATAATTGCAGGGTAAAGTTCTTTACCCATGCGCGTCAACGTCTAAGTCTGAGTCTACATCTTGTTTAATGGTGTAAAGTTTTGTTTTCCTCATTCACGTTCAGGTCCTCTCATTTTAAATGTAGAGAGTTTAGGGAAGTTTGACAACGTTTTGAGTTTTACTTTCTTTAGAATGTGTAGCCAACAACTTACGCGTTGGTTCAAATGCAAACGTTACTCAAGCAATATGCTTGAAGTGCCAAACCTCGAGACAAATTCGGTGACTGGTACTAGCTAACCCAACGAATTATCAGAAGTCTTTCAATGCATCTAGTATCTCTCGCAAGCCTTGTTAATCTTTCAATTGCAAATAATGATCTCTACATTATTGTAACTTGTACTGATGTGTGTATATATTCCTAATTAGGAAGAATTGTAAACAAAAAAAAAACAAAGCAAAAGAACGAAAAAAAAAATCCAAAACATAAAAACAAGTTCAAGTTCATTAATCAAAAAGAGATACAATTGATTATCAAAACGACCAAGACTCACCACTCGCTCTATTAATTATATCTTTAAGAAGTCAGTTCTTTCCAACATTACCACTAACCACTCAAAACGCGCTTAATTTATCCGAATGTCACAATTGGAACCACCGCCAGTCGCGTCAACGCAGGATTTATCGCGATCGCTGAGTCAAGGCACAGACTTTTTCAAAAACGACAATGGTATGTACTCAACACTCCTAGAGCATGCAGAATGGAAAGAATAATACCACCTCCGTAGCAACTTCAGCTCTAAATCCTTTTTTAATACCTTACTAACTCCCCCATTTGCAGAATCTGTGGATCTTTTGTTGAGAGAAATGAGTGCAGATATGGATAGTATAGCTCCAACCACATTCGATCCTAGCCACAGGCGAAATGAAAACAGCTTATCAATGTCAATCAACACGTCACCAACAAAACCCTTGAACTTCCCTAACCAGCAACCATCCATTAATGACCCTAATTCCAGCTCAGACACATATGCTAGCGATCAAGACCAACAACAGACCAAATTGTACCCCAAAAATGATTTCAAAACTTCATTGAATCGAAATTTTGATATTGACACTTCTGCTGACTTGCAGGACACTATACAAGTGAGTAACAAGTATAAATCTGATGTCGATATTTATACGCTGCAAACTCCAATAACTTCAACTGTCAATTTAGCTTCGAAGCAAACCTATGTAAACTCATCTCCTAATAAGTCAATAATGAAGAAAACGCCGACTGGATCACCCAAGAAAGTGGCATTCACAGCAACTGACCCTAAGATTTATCAATATAATCAAGAGAAACAAGAATTTGATGAAGAGGATAACCACCAAGCTGCGAACCACCTAGCACTTCAAAAACCAATCACTCATCATTGGGAGCAGCCACACATCCATTCAGAAGACGAAAGCTTAGCTTCACCTCCTCCACCACCACCTCCACATACAAGCAAGCCTACTTTTGCTCAACTCTTGAATCGTGAAAGGGGCAGTAATAGCACAGAGAAGGTAAAGAAACTAGAAGCTGTACCACTCCATAAAAAATTGAACCCTCACTCAGATGAAGAATATGATTTGGATGCTCGTTTACAAGAGTTGGAATTGGCAGCAAAGAACAAGACCAAGGAAAATATTCATCATCTATCACTTTCGTTACAAACTCCTACATTTCAAATGGAAAACCCATTGGACTCTTTACAGAAATCTCCTGATGTGCAATTGAGATCATCGGGGTCATCACAGTCTTCATTACAATCATTGAGAGATGATAATAGAAGTTTGAATTCAGTTCCTGGATCTCCTACAAAGGCTAATCGTGGGCTTGCTTTGCGAGATGGAATCAAGGGGCTATCTGATGCAGCAGTTGAATCAATGTTACCTAGAGATGAATCGGAGGATGCATTGTACATGAACGTTTCCAATAAAAAACTGTCGTCACTGTTGCGTGAAGATGATCATTTGGATTCTTTTGACAATTCATACAATCGTACTGAACAATCCATTATGAATTTGCTTAATAGTGCGTCTGCTTCTCAAGTGGCGCTTAATAATGTGCCACAAGGAAATGAGACTCACGTGAAGCAAGAGGAAGACCATGACGTTCTGGAGTTTATACCGGAGGAAAACGAGGTTCAAGTGAAGATCGAAAAGTGCTTTGATGAAGAGCGTTTTGTGATTGAAGAGAGAGAGGCCTTTGTGAAACATGAAGGACATGAGCGAGACGTGTTGGAACCGCATGTTCGGGTTGTCGTAAAGAAGGAGTCAAGTGAAGTTCTACCTCAGGATGAACAATCAGGAAACGTAAAGCAAGAGCTATTCAGCACCTCGAAGCACGCACCTCGAGCCGAGGCCGCAGCCGCATCCGCACTGGCATCACTGGAAGAGCCAAGGACGACCACTCAAAGTGGCAAAAGTCAACCTCTTGACAACACTACCGACATGTCCAATCTCCCAAATGAAGAAGAATCAAGGATGTCCATAAGATTCCATACCAATGATAGCTGGAAATTGGAGGACAGCAACGACGGTGACCGTGAAGATAATGATGAATATAGCAAGGTACTCGAACAGTCGCAAGTCCTTGATGAATCAAACTCTTCACCAGATGAAGATTTTGCTGATGCATCTAATGAGCTTAGTCAAGCATTAGATCTCGTACACGCGGATTCCAAGAAGCAGGAGATTGTGCAAAGTTTGGCACCTCCTAGAGCAATTGACGAAGCTATAGATGCAACTCATGGTCCAAAAGATAACGACACTATTTTGGCAAACTCATCTAACATTGCTGAACCTAATGAAGATATAACGTTACCTCCAGTTGAAACCAACAACTACTCCTCATTGGAGGAGATTACAAAACATATGGACTCTGTGTCGAGCTACGAACGTTCTTTATCGGCTGAGAATGATGTGGTGAAGAATAAACCAGATGATTTTCTATCAATTTGGCATAGTCAGCGCAAACAGAAAAAGAGTCAAATGCACAAGGTACCTACTCAGCAATTGATAGCAGCTTATAAAGAGGAACAAGATGAGAAGAAAAGAGCAACATCAACTGATAATGTGAGGATACCTTCATCATTAAATGGTAAAAAGATCAAGGAAGTGCATGTCATGTCAAGAAGAGTGGTTAGTCCAGACAATTTTGATGACTTTCAAGTATCCGGATTTTTACCTGAATTATCAAGAGACTCTGGATTCAATGACTTGCACTTCCCAAATCAATCTAGAGTTGCTTCAGCTCAACTCAATACATCCAATATGCTTTCTAATATCGATAATAATCCAAACGTTGTTGAACCTCCACAACCTGGTTCATACAATGAGGCCCGACAAACAAAGAGGTTGACGTCTTCAAACAGCAATCATGTCCAAAGAGCATCAACAACAGCAGTACCCTCTGGACCCAGAAAGTCGAGATTCAGAGTGCCAACGTTCGAAATTAAACGTTCATCCTCAGTATTATCGCCCAAGAACATGTATGATGATATCTTTGAAGATGTTGTCCCGAGAAAACCACCTACAATTCGCGCGGAAGGAATGAAGACTTTACCCAGCATGGATAAAGATGATGTTAAACGTATTCTTTCAACTCGAAAGGGTATGACGCAAGATGAATATGCTAATGCTAAATTTGTTGAGCAAAAACCGAAAAAGAATTCAATTGTTACTGAAGCTGGACATACGTATGAACATATTCCACAAACTGCATCGATCCATGATGCCAACACCGATTCACCACGCCAATCATCTGTCGCTGTTGATTCGGACCTTTACCCATATTTAGTTAATGAATTGAACAAGTCACCCAGCGAATTGATGTCAAAGAGTCAACCAAATGACCAGGACTATCCAACTAGAACAGGGTCAGTGATCGTCCACAAGAATGCCGCATTACCTGAGCCCGAGTTTGAATTTGATATCTCACCACATACCCCACAAACAGCTACGGGTGGCATTGATGAGTTGGACACAGAAGCATCTTTGAACTACTTGCACAAGGAGAACTTGTCACCTAAGACATCAAGAAATGAAGTTGAGGTGAGACCGGCGTTGGAGCCTGCAGTGCAGCCATCAGTGCCTCTTCCAGAACCTATACTGGAACCTATAGTGGAGAGGAAATTAGATCCTAACGTGCGTCCCGTTGTTGCTAAACCTATTGTTCCCACTGATACACCAACAACACCAGTCAAGAAAATTCTGAAAGATTCGCATACTCCCATTTCGAAAAAGAGCTCTCCAAGAAAGAGTCCTATCAAGATTGGTTCCCCAGTTAAACTTGTTAGGAAGAATGGTTCTGTCACTGGTATCGAATTGATTGATAAACACCACTTTCGTGATCTTGCCAATACTGAAACTCCACAGACATTTTTGGGTGATGATTTAGTTAATAACAAAATCAGAGATAACATTGAGCAAGAGAAATGGGTTCCTCAGCACAAATCGAATATGCCCAGTGCCGTTTCTGTTCCCTCGGAATTTTCCGACTCAAAAAGTCACCATCATGGGCATGAACGCCACAAATCCGATCCAAAAGTCATTGACGATGAATTACCTGATGTTGCATGGCAAGAGCGTGGTAGGTTGTTTTTCCGTGTTCTTGGGTTGAAGAATATCAATTTACCTGATATGAAGTCACACAAGGGCAAGTTTACCATTGCATTGGACAATGGTGTTCATTGTGTCAAGACTGCTGAATATGATTTGGACCAAAACTTGGTTTCAATTGGCAAAGAATTTGAGTTGATTGTTGCTGACTCTTTACAATTCATCTTGACCATGAAGGCTAGTTACACCAAGCCAAAAGGTACATTAGTAGAGGTGCGGGAAAGGAAAGTTGTCAAATCAAAGAACAGATTAGGTCGTTTATTTGGATCCAAGGATATCATCACTACCACAAGATACGTGCCCAGTAAAGTCGAAGATAGTTGGGCTAATAAAGTGGCTACTGATGGATCATTTGCCAGGTGTTATATTGATTTTGCTCAATTTGAACCACAAGTCACTGGGAAAGTGCAAAGATTTGACTTGAGTTGCTTTAATGAATGGGAAACCAAATCCAATACTGGTGACACTAGGCAGAGGTTGAAACCATACAAGATTGCTGAATTGGAAGTTGAGATGTTGTTTGTCCCTCGTTCTGATCCTCATGAGGTTTTGCCCACCAGTATCAAATCAGCTTACCAATCACTAGCTGAATTGAGCAAAGAATTGAAAACTACCAATGAAGGTTACTTGTATCAAGAGGGAGGTGATTGTGAAATTTGGAAACGTCGTTGGTTTAAACTTTATGCTACTTCATTAGTGGCACACTCTGAGTTTAGCCATAAGACGAGAGCCAAGATCAATTTGAACAAAATCGTTGACGTCATGTACGTTGACAAAGAAAATTTGCACACTTCAAAGCATCGTAACTTCAGTGATGTTTTGCTTGTTGAACATTCATTCAAGATTAAATTTGTCAATGGGGAAATTATCGAATTTGGTGCTCCAAATGAACAGGAAATGAAGCGATGGATTGCAATTTTGGAAAGTATTGTACAGAGAAACAAGATTAGACGACAACCTTGGGTCAATGTAATGATGAAGCAACAACTTGAAACAGCTTAGAAGTTGTATGGAGTCTATAGAGTAGATGAAAGAAAATGTAATATTACGAATTTTGATTCAGTAGTGGGTAGAGTGGGGGATTCTATATCTCGCATTGCTTATTATTCACACTATATACTACTTTGTCGGTGGTGGAGGTGGAGGTGGTGATGACGCCGACATGTTGAAGTTGAAGTTGGACATGTTGGGTACTTTCATACCCGGTGGAATCTGAAAATTTGGTGGCATTTGAAATCCAGGAGGCATTTGCGCACCTGGTGGCATTTGCATTCCAGAGGGCATTTGAAATCCAGGCGGGAACATACCAGGTGGGGGAGGCATGCCCGGGGGGAACATACCCATTGGCGGTTGCGGCAATCCGTTGTTGCCACCGGGTAATGGACTATTTTTATTTTTGCCAACTTCAGTTCCTGGAAGTGGGCCACCTGGTCCCTTCATTATTTCAGCCATAATCTTTTGTGGATTAAACTCACCACGTAATTTATCTTGCTTGTGACAATAGGCATTCCATGTAAACTCATCAAATCCGAAATTGAAATAATCGGAAATGTCAGCACCTGGTGCTCGCCATGGCTTGATCTTGAATATCTCCAAATCCAATTGCGTTAATGGCTTGCCTTCGTATTCAGGGTTGGCATTGATGTCGAGTTTCGATGTAGCTGAGGTTACTCCTGTAGATGATTTAGTTGTGATTTGTGTCGTTGTGGAGGTCGATGCTTGTGGAGTTCCTGCAGATGATGTGGGTGCCGCTACTTCTGATAGAATGTCATTGCCAGGAACTGAAGGTTTAGGGGCTGTGTCTCCTATTATGATGTCAATATCATCATCGTCATCATCCTCGTCGTCCTCGTCGTCATCTTCACTCTCCTCTTCATCTTCATTCTCCTCTTCGTTAACGGCTGCTTTGTCTTCATCCTTGGCGACACCAGTGGCTTTCGTGGCATCACCATCATTCAGTAGAAGTGTTGTCAGCTCTGAAGCCTGCGTCTTTTGTTTTTTGGTTGATGGTTGGTCTTCATCGTCTGAACCGTATAGGTAAGCATCGTCGTCCTCTTCAGAGTTGGCCATTTCGAAACGTAAGAAGGTAATATTGTGAGGTAATCTTCTTGGACTCTATCGTTCTGTCTGTTTTCAAAGTTGAACAAGATTGCAGTACAAGTGTCACAATTTTTATGTCACAATTTTTACGACACTGTTTATAGAAAAATTTTCCACTTTTTCAAAAATCACGTAAGCATTTCATCCCATCACCACTTTCTTTCAAAGAATTATTCAGTGGCGAATACAAACAACAACAACAACAACAACAACAACAAAGAACCTCCCATTAGATTTACTTTTTATGCTATATTTTAAACACCCTACATCTATAGATAATCTACTTCAGACAACAAATATAACTCCACATACCATTATACCGCCGAAGTTAACAATAAAGTAAATAAAGTTCATTTTTCCAAATATGTCATTCATCAACATTTGTCGTGATAACACCGATCCTTTTTACAGGTACAAGATGCCTCCACTTCAATCTAAGACTGAAGGTAGAGGTAACGGTATCAAGACTGCTATTGTCAATTTAGGTGAAGTTTCTCGTGCATTGAATCGTCCACCAGCTTATTTGGTTAAATTTTTCGGATACGAATTGGGAGCTCAAACCCAAATTCAAACTGATCGTTACTTGGTCAATGGGGCTCATGATACTAGTGAGTTACAGGATTCCTTAGATGGATTTATTAACAAATTTGTCTTGTGTGGATCTTGCAAGAACCCAGAGACGGAAATTGTCCTCAAAGGAAAAGATTCATTGGAGAGAGATTGTAAAGCTTGTGGTAAAGTAACTTTTATGGACCCAAAGCATAAGTTGTATTCATACATCGTCAAGAACCCACCTGATAACAAGAAGGGTAAAAAGTCAGCCACGGCTACTGCCAATGTCGTTGGTGGAGGTAAATCTATTTCTGATATTGCTGCTGGTCATGATAATGCCAATGACGCCAGTTTAAATGGCGCTGAGGGAGAAGGAGTTGATGGTGAAGATGATGAGGATGACGACTTGTTGGCTAAGAAGATTAATGCCGAAGCTGCTATGTTGCAAGATTTGAAAATCAAGGATGATGAATGGGCAGTTGATATGAGTGAAGAAGCAGTTGCAGCCAGAGCTCGTGAATTGGAAGCGTTTGATTCTTCAAATGCCTATGAACAATTGGGTGATTGGTTACTCTCTGAATCCGACAACAAGGTTGAAAATTTACCATCTGATGTGGAAATTTACAAAAAGATTGTTGAATTGGACCTCGTTGAATCACCAGCTACATTACAAGTTCTCGCGCAAACTTTATTTGACGCGAATATACTAGATCAAATTGAACCTCATGTCGGTCTTTTGACAAAATTGACAAACGGTAATGAAGAATATGAAAAGGCATTACTTGGTGGGTTGGAGAGATTGATCGGATTACTGTACCCTACTGAATTGATTTCGCAAACTCCCAAAATCTTGCATGCTTTTTATGATCGTGATTTGATTAGTGAAGATGTCATCATTCGTTGGGGATCTAAAGTGTCCAAAAAGTACGTGCCAAAGGACGTTTCTAAAAAAGTTAGAAAAGCCGCCAAGCCTTTTGTTCAATGGTTACAAGAAGCAGAAGAAGAAAGCGATGAAGAGTAGAGCATGACTAATTTTGTACGACACATATTGATTGTAAGTAGATTGTGATTAACTATTACTTTATTACTGGGGTTTTTATAAACAAAAAGATACAAAATATATATACCGTGCCCATTGAACTTCGTAGTTCTCTAAATTTCCCAAATATTTTGCCACGTGACTTTTATTTTACATGTACAGATTTCTTTGTTGAACCGTTGGTGTGCTTGGGTTGGAATTGTAGCCCAATGCAGCACTACTCAATGATAACTGTTCCAATTGTTGCATAACTGCCAACTCTTGAGGCAGTGGTTGTTGTGATGGTAGTAAACCTCCACGTTGTTGTTGTTGTGGTGGTGGTGGTGGTGGTGGATAATACTGTTGTTGTGCTTGTGCTTGTGCTTGTGCTTGTGCTTGTACTTGTGCTTGTGCTTGTGCTTGTGCTTGTGCTTGGGCCATGGCTTGTTGGGCATAGTACTGTTTCATATAAGCCGATGGTTGTTGAGTTGCATACTGATGTTGTTGAGGTTGAACAAGGGGAACATACTGATACGATTGTGGTGGTGGAATATGTTGCATGGAAAACTGTTGTTGAATATGAGGCGGCTGAGAATGGAAATTTCCCGTTGATGGTGGCTGTTGCTGATGATTCTGTAGTTGGTGCTGATGTTGATGTTGTTGATGGTGGTGGTGATTTTGATAAGAATCATATTTTGAAGCTCCACCATTGCCATTCCGTTGTCCACGTCTTCCATTACCGTGGTGACTATGATTATGATTAAGATTATGGGCACCACTGCTTCCTCCCACTCCCGCTCCGCCTCCTGTTGCTCCTGATGTTGCACCACCACTACCACCTCCTCTCTTTGATGAAAAGGATTTCCCTGATCGACTACTCGACAATCCAACTTCATCCATCAACTTTTTATAATTATGAAAATTGATAATATTAATCTCCATTAAAATCCGCTTAATCGCGGGTAAATAGCCACTAGTCAACTCAGCAAGTATGGGGTTACTCAATACTTTATAAATAAACAATGGTCCCGCATTGGAATTATTATCATCACTTCGTTCTTGCAAGATGAATTTCAAATTGTCAATGTTTGCAAAAATCGCATCAATTAGAACATGCTTGACGTCACCATCATTTGAATGATTAGTGGTGGTGGTGGTGGTGGTAGTGGTGGTGGCAGTGTTATGGTTTAGTATCTTCAAAATGGTCAAATTGGCCAATCGATGAACACAAAGATTTGGCAAATTAGGCAAGAATTTATCAACGAGTAAATTAATTTTAGTTCCATTATGTGAGTCAAACGTATCCAAGTACCATGTGATCAACAAACTACCATTCGAGTTCACAACTAGCTCGTTTGCAAATTCAATAATTAGTCCAGCAGCAAGCAAAACTTGCTCATGAGACACGGTCCCTTCAGCCTTGATACCGTTCGTTTCATGATGATGCTGGTTATTGTTGTTGCAACCCTCCAAAATTGTCCTGATACACCTTGCTCCATATCGACCAAAACTGATTTCAAGAAAATTGTCAAGCATGGCCTCAAACACAAAATCATTAAATGGCGATCCAAATTTAATACATCCTTGAATTACATAATTACCAAATTGATCATTAAACAATTTAACAGCATATGGTTTCAAACTGGCTCCAATCAAATACATCTGTTGTAATGATGAGCTACAGCCGCAACACAAGTTGATGATTTTTTGAATCGCCCATGTCCCATTCTTGTGGATTGATAATTGGGTCAAATAAGGAGCAATTTCTTTAACCATCATTAATTTGACCAATGAGCCACCTCCATGAACATCTTCATTTTCATCATCGAGTAATGTAAAAAGCTTCTGCACAATGGTGTTACCCAAGTAGTCATAACATATTTCTGGCAATTCATCGAGCATAGCCAAAGCCAATTCATCAACAGAAACTTGACTAAAGTTGGAATCTCCAATTTGGTCAAATAAACCAGCCTCTTTGTTTTCCAAAACTTTTCTCAATTCGCGCAACGTTGGTGAATCAAATTGTCTTGATGGTATGGGGTCAGGTAATGGACCGAAATCGGAGCGGTAGTTTTCATTAGGATAGGCAATACATTTGTTAACAATGGATCGAATGTTGCTCAAGTTTACCGATGATGAAAGCTTGGTAATGACTTCAATGATGTTGCTTGTATTCGCTGCTGTTGCTGTTGTGGAAGCGGTAAACCCAGTAGATGTTGTTGCATGGTGACTAGCATTTCCATTCATTTCAGCAGACGAAATTGATCCATGCTTAGACAATACCGATTGTGGTGAATTGCTTTGTCCTCGAAGACTTTTGGCTTGAGTGCTGTTGTTCAAATTAAGTTCAGCAATCGATTTAACTGGCGAGTCATACACATCCATCATCCGTGGTTCTTCAACTTTAGCAAATGCAACATACAATGTATTGCCCGGAGATATTTCCAAATGATTAAAATTGGCTTTCAAATTCATGGCAGTTTCAATATTTGTACATTCAACCAATGCCAATTTTGAAGTTGTAGTTATGGTCATCTTGACACTGACCACGCTGCCAAATGATTTATGATTATTCGAATTGACCAAGATCATAAATAATTTGCAGGAATCAATGTACAAGGGCAAATTGTCAAACAAAAGAAATCTCGTTGGTCCCAAATTGGTATTTTCAAAATTTGTCGTAATCATCAATTGTGAAAAATCAAAATCATCAATTAAGTCTGGTTTGATATCTTGTTTAGTGGTGAAATCGAAATTTTCCCCTGGAAAGGAGTTATTATTTAGCTGAGCTTGAAGAATGTCCGGTTGTGGATTTAATTGCAATCTTGCTCCCAAATGCGCACCCGAAATCGCAGCAGTTGAATTAGTGTTGAAAATTTGCTCATTGACTCCTGGCGGTGTACTTCCAGAATAAGTTTGTGATCTGATTCTCGGTGCGTTTGCACTTGCGTCTTCCCCATTCAACATAAAATTATCAATTAGTGAATTGTTGTCGTTAGTTTTACCTCCTATGGAAATGAATGGTGATGTTGACACTTTGTTCAGACCACCATTTCTGTAGTATGATCCATTGTGGGTTGGGTTGCTATGATTGTTGAATGATTCAGCAGTTGCATTAATGGTGACACTAGGGATAGCTGCATTAGTAGTGTAAGATCTATTACGCAAAGACGACTGCTGATATTGTAATTGTTGTTGTTGCTGCTGCTGCTGCTGCTGTTGATGTTGATGTTGCTGCAAGTACTGTTGTTGGTGAGAAGGCGACGATGCATCCAACGATGGACTTATAACAAACTCTGAATGTAAACTGTGATTACTATTAGATGAGTTGTTATCATCATTCCAAATTGAATTTGTAGAAAACAATGATCCTGATCTCATCCTTCGAGTAGGCGTGGTACTTAAATTCCCATCAACATTTAAATTCAAGTTGATGTTATTGCCATTTGCAGTTGCCATTGATGTATTGGACATAAAGCTATTGTGAAGTGGAGATGTTGAAATAGCGCTATCCTTGGATGTAGGGACAGTCAATAAAAAGTCTTGATTGCTGCCGACATTGTGACTACTTATCTGGGGTTCAGTGTGATACAAAGGACTACTGGTTAATGGGTTGGCAAGTGTATTGTTTGAAGTAGAGGTGGACAAATTATGTCCATTAGGAGTCAATTGGTTACGTGTTGTTGTGATGAATGATGTTGGTAATGTACCTGACCTGCTTCTACCTTGATTCGATTGCTGCTGTTGCTGTTGCTGTGACTGTTGTGACTGTTGAAACAGATGTTGACCAGTCGGTAATGATGGCGAAGTTGACTTTAAGAAATTATTCATATTGAGTAGAAGAGTTATCCATGTGCGTCAATGTTAACAACGTGTTCATATGAATATCGTTGGAAGAAGTTGCTCCTTGTAATGTTCAATAAAAGGGTTGTTGGACGGTGTCTAGTAAGTTAATAGCTTGTCCTATAGTTTGATTGGTGGTAGAAATAGTAGAAGTGTGTATATTTGCTAGTCTTAAAATTTGTCTTCTTTTCTCCCTGACCAGAATTGTTGTTAATCGTGAACAGCAATGCGCAAATAGCAGGGTAGTATAAGTAATTGGTTGGTTTGGATTGGTTTGGTTGATTAAGAAATTAGGGAAGGTATAGTGTAGTAACTGGTGTGTGAGTTGTGATCTGTCAGTCAGTTCTGTTCTGTTCTGTCAATCCTGCACTGTTGTGTATTGTATGCAGTATCACTATTATTGTAGTAAAAAATAGGGGTTAGTTAGGTATTCAAAACACACAACATACTCTCAACCCTTTCAAAACACCAAAAACAATCGAAAACTACTACATCAAACATATAGCATTTGAATGAATATTCTGTAACTTGTCTTCGTCCTAAACAGTGTGTGGGAACGTAAGAGAAAAATTGAATTGGTGGTAGCAATTCATTGGTTGTTTAATGTGAATATGCCAACGAAAACATTAGCTTTCGCAGTTAGTAGTCTATACAATGTATTTGTAGCTATTCAACTACCTGGTCCATCTTTCCAATGACGTTTGTAGCTCACAAATCCATTTTGTTAAAGGACTCTCTTTCTTCGTTACACAAACACCAAAAGTTTTGTAGAATCAAAGCCAAACCGTACAAACCAAACGTAAAGTTGAAGAATTGACTACGCTAAACACTTCGAAGTCTATAAGCTACAGAGACAGCATAAGCGCCTCCTTTTTCTTTTTTACCACAATCAATGCATTCACGGGAGGAAAAGGCACAACAAAATAAATCTGCACAAACCAACGGCTCTACATGCATCTCATAAGCCGATTGATCTAAAAAAAAATCACTCTCAACTGATTTACAACCGATACAAATCTCCTTTGACAACTTTACAACAAAACCCCTTACTTCTTTTGGCTCTCCTCTATACAATACTATACCCTTTGGTCTTCTACTAGCCACCCTCCTAATCCTTTCCCTCGACTTTGACCTCAGTTATTTTAGGAAATGGACATGATTTAGAGAATACAACCACTCTATTGGTATTACTCACGTATCCACGAATATACCCTTGAGTAATTAGATTAGCCACAATAGTCTCAACTTCTAAATCAGATACTTGATGAGTGGGCGCATCCTTTTCCTCCGACTCCTCTCCTCTCTCATTGTAGTGCATAGACAACTCCAACCCTAATTTAAACGCACTGATTGGAGTTGTCTTTTCGTCATTTTGTAACTCCAGAGTAATCTTGTATGTCTTATGCATCACCATCAACTGAACAAATTGTCGCAACAACTCCATCAATATATATAAGTGGTTTTTCAACAAAACAAGTTGATATCGGTTCATACACTGTTCATACTTGTACAAATTCCCCGTGCATATTGCATCCAAGAAATTATCATGATACATGGTTTTCAAATCAGGGAATCTTTGCCATACTGATTCATGAGGTATTTTACCCTGGTTGTAAAGTTTCAATGGGATTAAAATTAACAATATTCGTCGCAATTGATTGGATTTTTTCTCCTTGTAATTGGCAATCAAACTCATGGCTTTATTTAATGCTTCTTCACTTTCCAAAAATTTGCCATCATCTAACGACACCAATGCTTGATAATACAGATAAGTTATGGCATTTTGACAAGTACGTGTATTAGCCATCATGTTGGGCAACAATTTATTCCCACTCTTCAGTGAATTTATCGCACTTTTGGCGAGGGCAAGTTTACCCATTTTGAAATATAATTTAATCAAATTGGCCAAAAAGAAGTACAAGTCATTGCGTTTGCTCAATCTAACATCCATCGTCTTGTCATTATTACTTAAGTTGAACCCCATTTTGAATGTGTTTATTAATTTCTCTAGCCTTGATGTCTTTTGTGGTACAAACGCACCTTCGTCAAATGCATTACTACTCTCAAGCAATATTTGATTCAAATCTTCATGATGATACCGTTCAGTAACGATGTAAAACATCATCAACTCACCAAAACATGAAATAATCACCGGCATGATCCAATTCCCTTCTAATTGTTCACTAGCTCGAATTAAATTGGCACATAGTTGATTGGAATTTTCAAAACAAGTAATACTCGATTGTTCAATACACATGCTCTTGGCAGTACGTATATAACATGATACAACCGGTCCAAATTTATTTAGCTTGTATAAATCAAATTCAGTTGGGTCAGGGAATTCGGCACGAGCTTGCGATTTGTCTTGTTGTTCAAGTACTGATAGTAGTCGACGTAATTTCTTGCTGTTCTTCTTTTCAATACTGCGTTCAACCTGTTGCAAATAATTATTCAAGCCATCCATTTTAGACACATGTACATGTATGTAGATACTTTGGATGATGTATATGTCAATGAGTATGGATGTGTTAGTGGTAATGTGTATAGAGGTGCTTGGAAATTTTCTTGCTTTTGGGTCTTCAATGTCATAAAAAGTGATTGTCGTCAGTTCCATGCAACACAGCATCAGACACTGATAATTACAAAACAATATATATGAACTAAATTCTTTCTCTTGTAAGCCAAACTATGTGATCTATAACAGCAACTTGATTCTTACCCTTCATTGACCATTTGGCACTTATGAGATAGATGCTCATAATTTTTGCTTCAAATCTTGGTAGAAAAATAAGCAATTGTACAAAATTTTGCAACTAAAAAACTTTAACTAATTATAGATTTTCACATATAGGTTTTAAGAAAGCACATGAAATTCAGATTATCTCTACTATATTGAAACTTTGATAACATACTTTCAAGAGTATCTTTAATTGATCCCAAATCTTTTGTACGTGGGTCTGACATCTGTATTCTATTTGATACATTTGGTAGCTCTTCTCTCTCTTAAATTCTTGTGTGTGTATTGCGAATAATTTAAAAATAACAAACAAAAAAACTAATCAGTCAACCAAAGGGATAATTTATTACCAATCACACTTCAGTCACACTTAAACACCGTCAACACATCTGATAGGTAGTACTACTACTATACTTCTCACACCACATCAGAAACATATATACCACTTTCAACTTCCCCCAACTCTTGCATTCAAACAAAAACAGTGGCAAAATCCACATCACTTTATTAATACACCACTTTGATTCACACACACACGCACTTCCCCACCACCACCATCAATATATCACTTTCTGCATAACTAAACCATTAGCAATAGGGCACAATCACACACTGTTTCATATGAGTACACCCACCAGCTTTGAGGATTATGAACTACAACAAAACACTGCTCTATCACCAAGAACAAGAGCAGCAGCAGCAACAACAGCAACAACAGCAACAGCAGCAGCAGCAGCAGTAGCAGAAGGTATGAGAAACCCTTCACCAAGCTCAAATGAGGCTGATATCGATGATGATTCAACTGTCGACATCAACCAGCACAATATCAACAACCAGCTGAATCCCAAGTTTCAAAATGGTGATAGGAAAAGCAGGACTCCTTCTAATGATGCCGATGGCAACAATAGTCAGTATCCCTCCGACTATGTCGATAATGATTTCATGATGGATAACGAATACAATGATTATGAAGAGTTGCGTAAGGCAATAATTGTCAAGAGGAGGCTATCTAGTATTAAACGACCTCATGGTCCATATATCGATGGACAACTAGCGGTGAATAAAAACTCAATCATGCGATTACCAACCGAGGTGCTATTACAGATATTCCACTACTTGGAAAGAAGAGACTGGTACTTGCTTGCAACTACTTGTAGTGAGATTGCTGATTTGATTATTGAAATGTTGTGGTTCCGTCCAAATATGCAAAACGACACATCTTTTAAAAAGATTAGGCAAGTGATGGAAATGAACCATTATAAAACACATTGGGATTATCGACAATTTATTAAACGGTTGAATTTGTCATTTATGACAAAATTGGTTGACGATAAGTTGCTAAGTTTGTTTGTTGGATGCCCTAGGTTGGAAAGATTAACTTTGGTCAATTGTGCCAAGCTAACACGCACGCCAATAACAAAGGTACTTCAAGGATGCGAAAGACTACAGTCTATTGATTTAACGGGAGTTACCGATATACACGATGATATTATAAACGCATTGGCTGATAATTGCCCTAGATTACAAGGACTATATGCACCTGGATGTGGCAATGTTAGTGAACCTACAATTATCAAGTTGTTGAAAAGTTGCCCCATGTTGAAGCGATTAAAGTTCAACTCAAGCAGTAATATCACTGATGCCAGTATTCAAGTCATGTACGAGAATTGTAAAGCATTAGTGGAGATTGATTTACATGGTTGTGAAAACGTTACTGATCAGTATTTGAAAAAAATCTTTTTGGAGTTGACTCAATTACGTGAGTTTAGAATTAGTAGTGCACCAGGAATCACTGACAAATTGTTTGAGTTGATCCCTGAGGGACATATTTTGGAGAAGCTAAGAATCATTGATATAACTGGATGTAATGCCATTACTGATAGATTGGTTGAAAAATTGGTGGCCTGTGCTCCAAGGTTACGCAATGTTGTGCTTAGTAAATGTATGCAAATCACTGATGCTAGTTTGCGAGCATTGAGTAAACTAGGACGAAGTTTACATTACATCCATTTGGGTCATTGTGGATTGATTACTGATTATGGGGTAGCAGCATTGGTTAGATATTGTCATCGAATACAGTATATTGATCTAGCATGTTGTTCACAATTGACTGATTGGACGTTGGTTGAACTTGCAAATTTACCAAAATTGAGACGAATCGGATTGGTTAAATGTTCAATGATTACTGATTCGGGGATTTTGGAATTGGTTAGACGTCGTGGTGAACAAGATTGTCTTGAACGCGTGCATTTATCATATTGTACCAATTTGAATATTGGACCCATTTATTTGTTACTTAAAAGTTGTCCCAAATTGACTCATTTATCATTGACAGGTATATCAGCTTTTTTGAGACGCGAAATTACCCAATATTGTCGTGACCCACCACCCGACTTTAATGAACATCAAAAATCCTTATTTTGTGTCTTTAGTGGTCATGGAGTTAATCAATTGCGTAATTACTTGACTCAAGTTATGGAAGAACGAACTTATCAAATTGAGCAAGGTGATATCCATGCATTGTTTAATGAGAGGAGACGTAGATTCTTGAACGGTGAACCTGAAATCGATGGTGCAGCTGGCGCAGCTGGCGCAGCTGGAGCTGGAGCAGGTGCAGACAGACGAGACGAAGAGGAGTTGAATGTTTGGGAACGAAGGTTCCCTATACCTCGAGGAGATAATAACATCAACACTAACCAGGTATTTAATCAAGAAATGATTGATATTAACCGCGAGATTTTTCGAGAGTTGAATGAAGGAAATATGGGACCCGAGGAAATGAGAGAGCATTTTCAACGATTGATTCGTAATCATCATCAACAGAGATTGCAAGAGCATAATGCGAGAGCAAGAGCTCATCAGCGACAAGGTGAAGCTGCTCCACAGCAGCAGCAACGGCACGAGCAAGATGCACCACCTCAACCCCCTCGTCCACAACAACAACAACAACAACAACAGAATGCAACTCCTCAGCCCATGTTTCCACCAACTAACTTCCCCAACGATACTCAATTCTTTCATCCTGCTGCAGCTAATAATGTCAATGCTAATCCGCAAAATGCACCACAGATTGAACAAGCTCCAATTTTTCCTAATCGTGCCCACCAACAACAGCCACCACCACAACAACAGGATCAAATTTATCATCAGCAGCCGCTACCTAGATTTCGCAATCCCCAGCAACAACAACCATCGCAACAACAACAACAACAACAACAACAGGCGCGACCTACAGCGTATCGAAATCTCAACGATACAGTAGTTATTGAAGACCAAGATCTTGCTGATACAGTGGGTATTGAAACTGGTGGTGACGGTGAGGAACAACAAGAGCAAGAACAAGAGGAGGAGGATGAAGATGTTGAAATGGTTGATGCTGTCACGGGAATCGAGACTACTAATGGCGATTTGTTCCCTCGAATGGGATGATTGACTAGTGCTTACAGTTTGAATTCAGCTAGCCTGTGGCGTTTCAAGCTACAAAGTTTGTCGGTGTCTTATCCCTTTTGGTTTGATGTATCTACGCAGTTATCTTATAGCTTTTCTTTTGTATATTGTATACTTTACGGAAAATTGCTAGTTCAAGGTTTCGAGTAAGACAGATGGTTTTGTAGAGCCTTCCTTCTTTGGGGTGTGTCCCGAAAATGTGAAACAGTGAAGTTGTGGAAAAAAAAGTACGTTAGGGTTGTAGCCCAATTCCTGCATATTGATACAATTACTTGTATTAAAGAAAAATTGTTCCGCGCACACACACATACCACACCGGTGTACCAGCAAAAAAAATTTCAAGTTGAAATTTTAGTGGAGCTCGCTCTCTTTTTTTGAAGACCTTTCCTTTACAGTACAACAACAGTATATACAAATGTATGTGAATCATGATGGATTGACTGATTGACTTACTGGCACGTCAGTAAGATATTTGAGGAGAGGGATTATAGACTATTGGGATTATTGGGATTGGAACTGAGCAAGTGGAGCTAATGAAGAGGGGCATGGGTCATACGATTTACAAAAAGATTTCTCAGTGATACATCACTCTGGGATGGAAAAGTTTTTAGATGAAGGAGTTCAAGAGAAACCTCAATGATTTGGAACATGCAGTTAAAAGTGATAGCAGAGCATAAGTTTTTGTTGACGTCCTTGCAAGGGATGGATTTCGAGTTCCACTACAACCTCAGCAATGATACATCATTATGATGAAGTGAAAAAGAACAGTTAATGTTATGCCCATTACAGTCCCGTTGCGTATTAATTCCAACCATTGACCCAAACGGCAAATTGTCCCCCCCCTCGTTATCTTCTCAAGTCAATAAAATCAAAAACATCAAATACTAACAATTTTTTTCTTTTCTAGGACTAAGAGAACAAAGAAGGTTGGAATCACCGGTAAATTCGGTGTTAGATATGGTTCATCATTGAGAAGACAAACCAAGAAGTTGGAAGTTCAACAACATGCCAAATATGACTGTTCATTCTGCGGTAAGAGAACTGTTCAAAGAGGTGCTGCTGGTATCTGGTCTTGTAAATCTTGTAGAAAGACTGTTGCTGGTGGTGCTTATACTGTTTCTACTGCTGCTGCTGCTACTGTTAGATCAACCATTCGTCGTTTGAGAGATATGGCTGAAGCTTAAGATGGATAGTAAGTAAGTGGGAAAAAGTATTGTATATTTGAAGGGTTGTTAATTTTGTTGTGTGTATGTCACATTAATGAAACATTAAAGAAGCATTAATAGATTAGCCTTGGCAATGTAGAGTCGTAGAGGGAGGGAGCCTGAGATGGTGGGTATAGTTGTGGATAAAAAAAGAAAAACAAAACGAAATTATAAAAACCCCAACTTTAACTTCAATCTATTGGTGCTGACCAACCATTATCCCCAAAATGACCACGCAACAACACTTTGAGTTTCCCAAAATTCATTCATTCCCACCTTTATACACTAAACAACCAAACCAAACAGTGCAACAACAGCAAATAGAATCATGGTGTAATATCCTACTACAATATTGTGAATTTTATAAGATTACGTCACTTACAATTGAAGGAGCTCCCAAACATTCGCAACTAGCGACGACAGCGACAACAACAACAACAACATCATCATCATCATCGTCATCGTCGTCGTACTCCAAGGCAAACATCCCGCCTCTTTTTGTCAATAAATCAATCAATCGACAAGTGAATTCTGAATTCAAAAATGCTATAATCAACAATTTGATTCATTCGAAACGAGGGCAATATATCAATCACAAGAAACCTGAATTGGGCATATTTGTGTATTGGAGAAGTATAGTTGATTGGGGCAACTTGTTGTATGAGTATATTGTCAATACTGGACAGCAAGGGTCGGTGCTTACGTTGTATGAGTTGACTAAAAGCGATTTTGATGATGTGGAAGAAGAAGAAGAAAAAGAGGAAGAAGGCGTTGGAAGTGGTGCTGGTACTAGTGCTGGATTGCCTCGAGAGTTGCGAAACTTGGATGAGGAATTTCTTGTTAAGATTATCAAGGACTATTTGATCAAACAGGGCAAAGCTCAGTTGTTGATGACTGAATCGAATGAAATCGGTGGTGTCAAAATCGTCTAAAAAAGGGGTTAGAGAGAGAGGGGGAGGAGGAGAAAAGGAGGTATATGTATTAATGTGCTAGGGTCTACCATGGTTTAGTAATAGATTTCCATGAACTGTGCTTTTAATAAAGTGGAGGTGATTGTAGTCAATGCAATTTTTGCCATGACTTTCGTTCATTGTGGGCTTTGAAATACCACAGTGATGAAAGCGTGTGCACATCGGATAATGATGTGACCACGAGAGGGGGCATATATCGATACTCAAGTAGACTCAAGCTAACTTATTTGCTGATTCTAAGGTACTTTCCATAATCGATACAAAGTCTTACATCTTTGGAAAGGGTATATCTCAGCAGACATGGAATATGCAGTATTGTTGTATACTTCCTAATTAGGAAGTTGATGAGAAGAAGAGCATCTTTTTGACAGAAAGTGAGAAAGAAATTTTTTTTTTTTCTAATGAAGTTTATACCAGAGATGATGTTCTTCTTCTTCTTCTTCTTCTTCTTCTTCTTCTTCTTCTTCCCGCTTAAATCAGTTCATTTAAGAGGGCATAGTACGACTTATTATCACTACTTGCATACTTTCCTTCTATTTCTTTCACAAACATCGCTTAGATCCTATTGTATCAGATCTATTCCAATTGGCCTCATTGCAAACTTGTCTTTTCTGTACGTGTGGTTCTAATCAAGACGTGTGTGTGCTTTTTTTTTTAAAAAAAAATTGACATTCTTTTGGCATTCTCCTTATTACTCCCATTAATCTACAATTTTGAAACAATGAAGTACGTTGTTGTATCAGGTGGTGTTATTTCCGGAATTGGTAAAGGTGTTTTGGCATCATCTACTGGGTTACTTTTCAAAACATTGGGATTGCGAGTCACTTCCATCAAGATTGATCCTTATATGAATATTGATGCCGGTACTATGTCCCCCTTGGAACATGGTGAATGTTTTGTATTAAACGATGGTGGTGAAGTTGATTTAGATTTGGGTAATTATGAAAGATATTTGAATATTACTTTAACCAAGAACCATAATATCACCACTGGTAAGATTTATTCCAAAGTTATTGAACGCGAGAGGAAAGGTGATTATTTGGGTAAAACGGTGCAAGTTGTTCCTCATATTACCAATGCTATTCAAGAGTGGATTGAAGATGTGTCGAGAATCCCTGTGGATGATACTGGATTAGAACCTGAAGTTTGTATAATTGAATTGGGAGGTACTGTAGGTGATATTGAAAGTGCTCCGTTTGTTGAAGCATTGAGACAGTTTCAATTTAGAGTTGGTAGTGGTAACTTTGCCTTGATTCATGTTAGTTTGGTTCCTGTTATCCATGGGGAACAAAAGACTAAGCCTACACAAGCAGCCATTAAAGATTTGAGAAGTTTGGGATTAACTCCAGATATGATTGCTTGTAGATGTCAAGAGGAATTGCAACGTCAAACTATTGAGAAAATTGGTATGTTTTGTCATGTTGGTCCTGACCAAGTTATTGCTGTTCATGATGTCAATTCAACTTATCATGTGCCACTCTTGTTGAAACAACAAAAGATGATGAATTATTTGACGACAAAGTTAACCATTGGCAAAGTTGACCCGCAAGCATTGGCAAAAGGTGAAGAATTGTTGAATAAATGGAGACATTTAACCACTGCTCATGATAAGTCATTTGAAACTGTTACTATTGCCTTGGTTGGTAAATATACCAATTTGCACGATTCGTATTTATCAGTGATTAAATCATTGGAACATGCATCAATGAGGTGTAATAGAAGATTGAAAATTGAATGGGTTGAATCAACCAATTTAGAAGAAGGTAAAAAGGAGGAAAACCTTTCCGAGTATCATAAAGCTTGGCATTATGTTTGTCAAGCTGATGGAATATTGGTTCCTGGTGGGTTTGGATCTCGTGGTATTGAAGGTATGATTGCTGCTGCTAAATATGCTCGAGAAAACAATATTCCGTATTTGGGAGTTTGTCTTGGATTACAAATTGCCGTTATTGAATTTGTTCGAAATGTTATTGGAATTGCCAATTCTACATCTCAGGAATTTGATGAATATAAAGAAGAACAGGGCATCACCCCTTCGGTGGTGTATATGCCTGATGTTGATCAAGTGAAGTTGGGAGGCACAATGAGATTAGGTATTCACGAAACGAAATTTTCACCTGATTCACAATGGAGCAACTTGCGTAAATTATACGGTGGTGCTGATGCCGTGTATGAAAGACATAGACATAGATATGAAGTCAACCCCGAATTGATTCGACAAATTGAAGAACAAGGGTTGAAATTTATTGGACGTGATGAACTGGGCAATCGAATGGAGATGATTGAATTGGATCATCAATTGCATAAATTCTTCATTGGTACTCAGTATCATCCTGAGTATTTGTCCAAAGTGTTGGATCCATCGAGACCGTTTTTGGGTTTAGTTGCTGCGTCAGCAGGGATATTGGAGGATGTATTGAGTAGAGATGACTTGAATTATAAAGGGGAGTTTTAAAGAAACAGTAGGGATTACTTTTCTTTAGCATAGAGTAAAATATATATATATATATATTAGCTTGTATATTAATATAATTGACTAAAAGATTGTTTGAGTAGTGTAGAAGAAATAAATAATGGTGACTGGTCAAGAGGCGACACAACTTGTTCTTGATGGTAAATTGGTGGCAAATTTTAATAAAAACACGTCTTTTTTTTTTTTTTTTTCGCAACCAAAATAATTGTACACATTATCAAAAGAACGGTGTCTTTGTTTACAATGGTTTTAGTGGTTGATTGACTATGGCCAGTTGAAAAATCAGGTCCTTTTCGAGTTGTGGCTGTTAAATGGTACTGGTTCAAACCAATGGAGCCTCTTTGTGGCTGTAACGATTTCCATGCGGGCCAATTGATTAATTGATTGTTTTTTTTTTTATTTTTATTTTTATTTTTTTTTCTGGTTCATGTCTTATTGTTTAATTTTGCTGCAAGAACTAAAAGTGGTTTAACAGCTGTGCATACAAAACAATAGAGTGGTGGTTTTGTTATTGGTTAGATGTACCAAAGTTTTCTTCAAATGGCAAAAATAGGTGCAGATAGATTAACGGAACGCGACACGCATAGAGAGGAGGAGGAGGAGGAGGAAGAAAAGGAGGAGGACGACCAGTGGAATAGTAAGATCTGTGCATGCACTTGACGATGGTTTTATAGTCAGAATAGTTCCTGAGTCTTGTAAGACCACGTTATGTGTGTGCCACACTGCTTTATTAACAACAAAGTCGAACCATGGTGTTACTGTGTGGTGCCACCAACTCCTAGTTGACAAAGCTTTTGGTTTTTTTTTTACTGCAGCCTCTATTTCTCTCTGTAAGTACAGTTAACGTGCCTGGCTTTTATACTTTAAGGCAGGAGTGCTACTCATAGATACAAAGGCAGCTCACGCGTGATTATTGCTGCTTCTCTTGTTGTTGAAAATAGACACTTCTGGTGATTAGTTAGGTTAATAAAATAGAATAATACTGGAACACAGCCTTAATGGTTAGGGTTACTCCCTTCCCTTCCCTTAGCCTCACTACTCACATCATCTAGTAATACATATTACAAATCCCCTAATGTCGTGGATGATATGTCGTGAGTTTGTATGTTGTGCGTCTCTTCATTTAATATTTTTCTTTTTTTTTTTTTTTTTTTTGTTGAAGGACGCGTTGTTGTTTTAGTAAACGTGGAATGGAATAGTAAAGTACTCTGCTACCATATGAGTAAATGAGATATATCTATACATGCAGTACTACTATTACTACTACTAATACTACGATTATTACTATTACTATTACTATTATTACTATTGTGCTTATTATTGTATTACACAATACTAAAAACAAAAAAAAAACACGAAAAAAAAAAAAAAGCCAAAAAAATTATTAAATCTGCGACTGAGTTTGTTGTGGTTGTTGCAAAAACAAAAACAAAACAGAAAAACATAAACAAGAATTGGAAAGGAGCGTTTTATTTTTTCTTTTCTTTTGTTTTTGTTTTTTTGTTTTTTTTTGTTTTAGTTTTTGCTACTTTTTGAAAACCAGAAGGCATATTGCTTGAAGCAAAGGAAAATTAAACCAAGAACCAACCCAATAGCATTACCATATACCATATAGCATAGATACTATCACCTAATCTATTACACTCGCTTAACTAGATTCAACACAACAAACCACACCCATCACACACCATTGACTTTCTTTTCCATCCTTCATTCCTTGTTACCACACCCCATTCTCATAGTATATTGCATCAAATCTTGACAACCACTGCTTTCACGTTCCATTCATTCGCTTTAATTAAAACTAACCCTTATACACTCATTTCCATATATACATGCAACTAGTGACTACTACTACTCATTTGAAACAGTCACCACAATAACAACCCACTAGTACTAAATAATCACACAATCACTATATAACACTACACACACTAACACACACTAACACACATTAACACACACACTGTTTATAACCCAAATGGCTTCTGTTGCTCGCCATTCTATTCCTCGGTTTGAAGATAACCCACCATTGCCGTCTGATCCCATGTCATCAAACAATGTTGACAAAGTTGTTCAATCAGTAACAAATGCCACTAAACGGTTATCACAAATATCCACCAGCACCAATACATCCTCCAAAAAGAGGAAATCTCAAAACAAGATTGGCCCGTGGAAATTGGGCCGTACTTTGGGTAGAGGCTCAACGGGGAGAGTCAGATTGGCCAAAAATATCGAAACTGGTCAATTGGCAGCGATTAAAATTGTCCCCAAATCAAATTTCAAAAAATTGGAAAATCCTAAATATAAACACAACCGTGAGAACAACAACAACAACAACAACAACAACAACAACAACAACAACGATGATGATGATGATAATGGTGATACTGTGCAAAGATTGCCCTATGGAATAGAAAGAGAAATCATCATCATGAAATTAATGTCTCACCCAAATATTATGGCATTGTATGATGTTTGGGAAAACAAAAATGACTTGTACTTGATTCTTGAATATATAGAAGGTGGTGAACTTTTTGATTATTTGATCAAAAAGGGTAAACTTCAAGAATTCGAGGCAGTTAATTACTTCAAACAAATCATCAATGGTATCAACTACTTGCATCAATTTAACATTTGTCATCGAGACTTGAAGCCGGAAAACTTGCTACTTGATTTCAACAAGAATATCAAGATTGCTGATTTTGGAATGGCAGCATTGGAAGTTAATGAACGGCTTTTGGAAACTTCTTGTGGATCGCCTCATTATGCGTCGCCAGAGATTGTTGCTGGTAAAAATTATCATGGAGCTCCATCAGACATTTGGTCTTGCGGGATTGTATTGTTTGCATTGTTGACTGGTCATTTACCCTTTGATGATGAAAATATTCGGAAATTGCTTCTTAAAGTGCAAAGTGGTAAATTTGTCATGCCTCATGAATTAGGTTGGGAAGCTAAAGATTTAATCACCAAGATGTTGCGAGTTAATCCATTGGATCGTATTGAAATTGATGCCATTTTGAAACATCCATTATTGACAAAATATCCTGAACCAGCTACTTCTTACTCATCTACTACAACATTGGATATAAGATCGATGAATATTAAGCCAATACAGTCAGTTAATCAAATTGATAAGGAAATCTTGACCAATTTATCAGTGTTATTCCACAACTGTGATAAGCGAACCATCATTTCGAGATTGACGTCACCAGGAAAGAATCCAGAAAAGATGTTTTATTACTTGTTGATGAAGTATCGTAATGATCATATTGCCAAAATTGGCGCTAGTGAACCATCGACTCAACCTAAAGCCGCAAAGTCAATACCTAGATCAACTTCGATTGTACATACAATTATATTTGATGATGCTACCGGGGAACCTATAACAGAAACCACCAATGTTGAACAAGTGGCAAAATCAAGTTCAATTTATGAAAATAAATCATTGTTGAAATCCAAATCATCAAAACAAGTTTTGGGAAATGTCACAAATACCAGGGGTAATAGTACTGGGGCCAAGCAGTTTAAGGCATCCACTTCATTTAATAGAAAAGTGTCGGCTACTCACAAACCAAATCAATTTAGTAAAAGTCGCAATCCATCATCACGTTCACTCAGATCCAATGCTTCTAGAGGAACCAATACTCCAACACCACCAACACTGAATAGTCCTAGTAAAGATATTTCAAGGAGGCCACAACAACTACCTCCTACCCTTGATGAGACAGAAATTCCACAACGTTCACCCAAGAGGTCAGCAAGAGACAACAAACATGGCAAATTCAACAAGCAAGATAACCAATCGATTTTAAAATTTGAAACCATTTTTGATGAGGTGTTTAGTGACACGCAAGACAAGGAGAATGAAGTTCCATCTAGAACATCTTCTCAGAGGAAAAAGGAAGGTGCCTTGGCCAGAAGAGAACGAGAACTTGCTGAAAAAGTTCATCAAAGAAACGAGGCAAGAGAATATAGACTTAGAAAAGAGGAGCAAGCTAGACGAGAACTTGAAGAGGAAGCAAAACGCCTTGCCGAGCAACAAAGAAAACATGAGCAAGAGAGAAGAGCCTTGGTTGAAAGGCAAAAATTAGAAGAGAAACAAAGTTTGGAAGAGAAGCAAAAACAAGCTCTTGCTAGGTTAAAGAAACATGAGAGTGGTAGTGATTTTGCTGGTCTTATGAAGTCCGATCGCAACTCAGGTGTTTTTCCAACAGCAGCACTTCCCCCTCCTCCCATCAAGTCGCTGTTGGATCCAAGAAACTCAATTGGGAGAGCAAGAACATTGGGACCCGTTCCATCAAGAACTACATTCCGCACCGCTACTAGTCCACATGTCAATGAAAACACATCGAAAGTGTTGCACAAGTTTGGGATTGATGTTGCCCCTTCGCCAAAGAAGTTCACTAGTGATTTCAAAACATCAAGTTCGAGAAATTTATCAGCATTATTGAGTCCCTCGCCATCACAGAGTATCAACAAGAGCATCAAGACTTCAAGCTCAAGAAATTTGGCCCAGTATTTGCAAGGTGAGGATGAAGTTGCCAAGGGTAAGTCTTTGACTGTTGATACTTACAATGAACTTGAACATGAAAAAGCAACGCAGCCACAAGTGAAGAATGCTTCTACTAAAAGACAAAGCATTCAGAGCACATATTACAAGTCGATGCTCAATGATATCGATGAAGATAAAACTCAAGGTAATATAAAGAATACACCAGCTCCATCAATTAAAGATGATGATCTCAACAGTTCAAGAATATCGTTGATACCAAATCCTCGATTTTCACGTTTCTCCTTTGGCGGATTATTAGAACCAAAGACGATGACGAATGAAGAAGGAGATATCACTATTATAAGCCACACTTTAAATAATTCATCGACAGTGGTTAGAAGATCAAACAAATCGGCATCAACGTTTGCAGGATTGGGAATCAAGGTGAGAGATACAATCAAAGAAGATGACGAAGAGGAACAACAACACCACCACCACCACCACCACCACCATCATCATCATCATCAAGACAATTTTATTTCGGTAAACACCAGTGCTATTGACGAAGGAGAAAGATCAGGTAGAGAAGAAGGTGAGTTTAGTTTTGATGATAGCCATTCCGATGCAACCACAGTTGAATCCAATTACTCGTATGTTGCCCCACCACAAGCAGATACTACTGGTGGCTTGCTAGATGCAGATCTTTCCAATTTCGATGTCATAAGTTCGAGAACTGCTGATGTTGTGAAAGTGACTAATCAGAAACCAAGCATTGTTGATTCTAAAGAGACGTTGATTGCACATAGACGTGAATCGAATGACGAAACAATACGAGTAGAAGATGATCATGATAATGATGATGACAATGGTGATGAGGATGACCTACGAAGCTCTTTCAGAGCTCGTGTGCGTGACGAGTTTGATGAGAATGATGATTACTCGCTTGCTGAAGATACAAGTCATAATCAACAAGAAGGAGACGGTGAAGATCAAGGTGAGCCTGGATTCCAGAGTGATTTCAAAAAATCAAGACTCTCGACTGGTATTTTCAGCACGGCACAATTGCCAAGGAGTCCTCATGTCCAACTTGTTGATAACACTGGTGGTGAAGAAAAAGACGAAGAAATTGGTGGTGTTGGTGGTGTTGGTGGTGCTCCAATAAGGAAAAAGTCGATTTTGAAGGATCATGTCATTACTAGTCCGGTACAAGATACATTTAGCAGTGATAACAAGCAACCTTTGTTCAGACGATTCTCAACCAAAGCCAAAAGGGATGCTCCTATTGTACCAGTGCTTGAATCGACACAGGGGCAAGAACAAAGTCAACCAAAGGGTCACAATCGATTTTCGAGAATTTCTGTTGGTTCAAGGAATCTATTTGACATGCATAACAAGCCACCACAACAACGACCACAACAACAACAACAACAACAACAACAACAACAACAACAACAACAACAGCAGCAGCAGCAGCAGCAGCAGCAGCAGCAACAGCCACAAAATCAGTCAACAGGGAAGAGCAATTGGTTTAAGAAATTTTTCCAATCGTTGACTAGCTCATCAAGGCATGGAAAGACTTCATCAAACACAGAAGCAAATATCAATCGCTTGACAAACAGAGACATCAAAATCGTTGAATCATCTTTGAAATCGACTGATTTGATACGACTTATTAAAGATCAAATGGAGTTGAAAGAACTTGATGGATCGGTCAACAATGTGGGCATAGATGAAGAATTTGGTTTGATTACAGGAACAATTCCCAAGAAATTTGCACATGGTAAAAAACTCAAATTTAGAATTGAAGTGATTGATTTGATCACCACTTCATCTTTGCACTTGATGAGAATGAGTGGTAATGAAAAGGGGTTTGACAATTTGGTTAAAATTGTAACCTACATTATCAAAAAGGAAGAACAACAGCGAGCTTCAAGAAATTGAAAGCTTTTTACTGCATTCATTAACTTTAGACTTTATATTATACACTAATGTAATCTATACATTCTAGAAGCTTGTTTGCCCCCCAAAGTGGATTCAATACCTCTCCCGATTTCTCAATTTCTCAATGCTCTCAACCTTTCTGCCAACTTATCTTCCTTCTCCTCCAGAATTGCAGTTGACGACACGGGACTCTGCACCTCCACTTGAGTCGCATTCAACCCTTGTTTCATCTCAATACCAGCTTCATCAGCAACTTGATTCAACAATTCATCAACTTGATCCTGCGGCGTTGTCAATGCATTGACATTATTCGTCGTCAGTTCGTAATAATTTGTCGCTGAATCCAAATCCTCAAATTGATTTTCAAACTTATCCATCACCAAACTTATTCGTTCGAGATTCATCGTTTGTAATGCTTTATCCATGCCCTTGATCACTTGGGTCATGTTACCAGTGACTGATCGCATGGTAACGGCAGTTTGGACCCGAGATGCAACGGCATCGATACGTGAACTTAATCGTAACAAGTTGACTCGTTCGTTGGATTTGCGTATGGCGTTTTGGGCATAGAGTTGAGCTATGTCGTTGTTGCCTTGAGTAAGAGCTTTTTTGATTTTGGCCTTTTCTTGTTGTTCTTCTTTGGCAGCTTTGGAAGCTTGTCTGTTGAGTTGTTTGGCGGTAAATTTGAGTTGGAATAATGATTGTTCTAAGCCGGACATGATGCGAAGGATGGGGAGGGGGGGTGTTTGTGTGGGAGATGAGTGACTTTGGCAGTTGTGGGTTTTCGTTGTTGATGGAGTTTCGTAATTTTGTGGCGGAATGGCAATGTCATGTGAGTGGTGGCGTAGAATGTAATTTTGAGACATTGAATAGAATTGGTCACACTGTGTCGTCCATTCATAGTGTTTCACATGCTCACATGCAAACGACCCCCCAGCAGTGATTAGGAGCTTCTTTTCAATGTCCCTGAAGTGTTGACGGACTGTGGCGTTGTTCAATCTAACTCCCAGTGACACAAACGGAAGACCCCCCCACGTGAGATCAATTTAAAATTTGTTGTCGTGAAAAATTGCAAAAAACTTTCAGTCCAAACTCATTCAACCAACTACTCCAGTAGCACCCATCCACCAATGTCTGCCCCTTGCAATTGCAAACATACAGAGACCGCGGCACCTTCCAGCTTATCTACAATTTTATCACCACAACTTCAAAAGGAGTTTCAAGACCCACAACATCCAGCCAATTTGATTTGCGAATTATGTCGCTTATTTTACGACAACAATTGGGTCACTGGGACCGGAGGTGGTATTTCCATAAGAGATGTTGATGGACCAAACCCCAACGTGGTATACATTGCCCCTTCTGGAGTTCAAAAGGAGAGGATTTTACCATGGGAAATGTTTTTAGTGGAATTACCCCAGGAGAAATTGTTGCGTACACCCAATGATATTCCTAAAGAATTGACCAAAAATTACAAGTACAAGCCTAGTGCATGTACTCCTTTATTTATGAGTTGCTATAAAATGAGAGATGCTGGAGCTTGTATCCATACCCATTCACAAAGTGCAGTCATGGTGACTCTATTGTTTGAAAATAAAAGCTATTTTGAGATTAGTCACATTGAACAAATTAAAGCTTTACCTAAATTGCAATACAATGAAAAATCTGGTAAAGTTGAAAAAGTTGGTAGTATGGAGTATTATGATCGGTTAATTATCCCCATAATTGAAAACACCCCTCATGAAGAAGATTTAACTGATTCGTTACAAGAAGCCATCAAAAATTATCCAGGTACGTCGGCTGTCTTGGTTAGGAGACATGGAATTTATGTCTGGGGTGAAACTGTTTGGAAAGCCAAGGTGTACAATGAGGCAATTGATTATTTGTTGGAATTGGCGGTCAAGATGCATCAAGCGGGGGTTCCATTAGTTAAAGATTCATAGATTGAAATAGATTGATAATTTCTTGCCTTTTTCTTCTTGTTAAAGCAGATTCTTTGTAGTCTTGAGTGGATGTCCCTTTATTGTCTCCCAATTGATCTTGGTATACACCTCTTCATCAATCTCTCCAATGCAAACAATTTCATTACCTCTCATTATATTAACACCACTCGGTATTGCCTCATTTGCCTCATCTGACTCTTGAGTCAGGTGTATTAATCGTTCAATGCTATTGCTGAGTATTATGTTGGTGTTTTTGTCGAATCCTTCTAGTATTCCTTCAAAGAACCGGGCGTCGGTGGTTATAACGTGAACTTTCTCTAGATAACGGTGATGTTAGCAAACAGATTGAGACATGGGGTTGTGTGGCCCGAGACTATGTTTATACATACTTCCCACAAATGAGGCAAGTTCAGACATTTGGCGTGTGTACGTGACTAGTGGTTGACTGTTTCGTTGTATTGACGTTATTTAGTATTCTTTTTTTTTTTGTTAGATTGTTTTGCATCAATTTTGGTGGGCAATCGACTCGAGAAATTGCTGAGATGGTGCTACGACAACGACTTTACAAAGCTAAGCAATGAGTATCCACTCGACTGGTTTTTGCAGCTGCTTGCTCAATAGGAAATAGAGCCAGCTCCCATATCTATACTAGGCTTCCTTACGAAATACACCTCAAGCGCTTCAAGCCAAATACAATTGAATTGACTGAGGGCTCCTGAGCTCCTGCTTGCCACATAGGCTTGGGAGAGTCATATCTCCGAGTTGTTGAGGTTTAGTGAGGGTCTTTGCCGTTAATGTCGATATCAGAAACCGATACAAAGACGGTCGGTTGTCATACGAATTTGTAGCTACAAGAGAGTGTTGTTCTGTGAAATGACTGTGCTTTTCAATTCAGGGCTTCGGAATACCGGTATCGGTTAACATCAAGGCGCTGGCGATTAATCTATGCTGACCAGGAGGAACACAACGTGAAGAAAATTCCAGAACAAGGATCTCGTTTAACAGAATCTCAATGAGTAGGGTCATTTTAACAAAGTACTGGGAGTTATTTGTTCGCAAGATGTATTTCTTCAAGCGCCATTTTTGACTCACCAAATAGTGGCTAACCCAGAGATCTTGTTGCTAGCATGTTTTTGATTTCAAAAGCCCAACTAGTAAGAAGTTGGAGTGTCTTGCTGGAAAGAGCTCTACAAAGTGCAAAAAGACCGAGAAATACGACAACTTGCCATACATCATTTCACCATTGTAACCAGTCCTACGACGAGAGCAGAGAGAATAGAAACCTGTGTGGCAACCACTTTGAAACTAGGACGATGCACCTTTTTGGTTGGAAAAGCCTCATTCCTCTATTCAAAATTACCGTCCTCAAACTCGCATCTAATAATGACATTTTACGAATGATTTACTTCCCATCGTAGCTTCTTTTCATTATCGTCACAACTTTCTTTTGTTAGTACTGCCTCCTACCACAATGTAAAGCCCCTCGGATTAACTTGAACCACTCTCTGTTTTTTGTGTCGAATTAAATTTCTTTTTTTCTTTTTCTTCCGTTTTTTGACTTCTCCTTCCTCAAAATTTTCGCAGCTTTTAAGATTGCAATTTTTTCTAATTTTTAAAAAAACATGGTGGAATGCCCCAGATATATGTAAAACTTCTTCTTTTACAAAGCCAACAACATCACAAATTTTAGCGATCTTTTCACATTCTGAAAGCAGCACTTACATGCAATTTAGCCCTACACACTAATATTTCGCAATTGCCAATCATGAATACCGAAAAAAAGATTGACGATGAGTCAGGGCTACAGTCTCGTGACTCAACACCATCATCAACAGACGACAAACAAGGATTTTGGTCATCCTTTAAAGATTCGTTTAAACCACCACTAGATGAAAAGAAACCACAAACCATCGACAGTGATATAGACGAGAGAACACCTTTGACAGATGTGCAAAAGATTAATATCAATTCAGCCAATCAGAATTTACGTCGAGAGTTGAAAACAAGACACTTGCAGATGATTTCCATTGGATCAAGTATAGGCACTGGTTTGTTTGTGGGTACAGGAAGTGCTTTAAATACTGGTGGACCTGGAGCTATCATTATTGCTTGGTTTATCACAGCCACTGCGGTATTCTCAACAATGCAAGGATTGGGTGAATTGGCAACAACTTTCCCTGTTAGTGGTAGTTTCAATGTATTTGCAAGTCGATTTGTCGAACCAGCAGTGGGATTTGCAGTGGGGTGGAACTATTTTTTACAATATTTTACATTATTACCTTTGGAGTTGGTGGCGGCAGCAATCACGATACAATATTGGAACTCAGGAATCAACTCAGATGTCTTTGTTATCATTTTCTGGTTGGCCATTACATTTATTACACTCTTTGGTGTAAAGGCTTTTGGTGAGGTGGAATTTGTGCTATCGACTCTCAAGATTTTGGCTGTTATTGGGTTTATCATATTGGGGATTGTTTTGATTGCTGGTGGTGGACCAACTCATGAGTTTGTTGGTGGCAAGTATTGGCATAACCCGGGGCCGTTTGCTGCTGGGTTCAAAGGTGTGGCTTCTTGCATTGTTACAGCTGCTTTCTCATATGGTGGTACTGAGATGGTTGGGCTAACTGCAAGCGAAACATCAAATGTTCGTCAATCATTGCCCAGAGCGATTAAGCAAGTATTTTGGAGGATTGTGCTTTTCTATTTTGGTTCATTGATTATGATTTCGTGTTTGGTTCCATACAATGATAAAAGGCTATTGGGACTGAGTTCAGTAGATGTGTCTGCATCAGCATTCACCATAGCAATCATCAACGGGGGGATCAACGGATTACCAAGTGTTATCAATGCCGTGATTCTAGTTTCGGTATTGTCCGTTGGCAACACTGCCGTTTATGCCACCTCAAGAACGTTGAAATCTTTAGCGGAACAAGGAATGGCACCAAAATGTGTTGGGTACGTTGATCGTGCTGGAAGGCCCATAATCGCCATTGGAATCACCAATGCTTTTGGGTTGTTTGCATTGATTGCAGCCAATGACAATGCCCAAAAATCAGCATTTGATTGGTTATTGGCGATATCAGGATTATCATCTATCTTTACTTGGATTTGCATCAACTTGAGTCATATAAGATTTAGAGCAGCATTAAAAGCACAAGGTAGAACCACTGATGAATTACCATTTGTTGCCCAGTCTGGAGTTTGGGGATCATACTATGGTCTAATACTAAATATCTTATTCTTGGTGGCTCAGTTCTGGATTGCATTGTTTCCGTTGGGAAAGTCACCTAGTGCATACAATTTCTTTTTGAATTACTTGGGGTTCCTCGTGTTGGTTATCTCTTGGGTTGGATACAAAGTTTGGAAACGTAATTTGAAGCTGTATTTGCCAATTGAGGAAATTGATATTGATACCGGACGCGCAGATGTTGATACGGATTTATTGAAGCAAGAGGTTCAATTGGAAAGGGAAGCGTTGGCACAAAAGCCCTTCTATGTACGGTGTTATAGATTCTGGTGTTGAATGCAACAGAGTAATCGTGTAATTGCTTTGAAACTTGTAGAGCTTAAGCTTGATAGAGTTTAATGGAAGTTGCTTCATCTATACTTTATCCCGAGATTGCTTTTGTTGTTGACATTTTTCTTGTGTGTTGCAAAAAATATCCACCTCCAATACCCAAATATTCAACCATGACTACGAGAGGCCAAAAGACCACTGCAAGTAGTACTGACTACTCTAGCGATCCAGAGCTATTCTTTTCATCGTTGCATGGAAAGTCACAACAAACGCTAGAAACAGACCGATCAACTCAACTAAAGATTCAGGAGGAGTCAGCCACTTTGATACAACATGCTGTCAGATTAGAACTAGAATCAATCACATTAAAAGAAAGTATAGAGGCGGCAACCGAATATTTGAAAGAGTCCCCTCAGGAAAAGATTCAAGAATTGTCTCGATCAATGAACGCAGTCAAGAGAGATATTGCCTTTGTAAAGACAAAGACTAATAGCAATCATAATCTATTGCAACAAGGACTTGAAAAAGTAGCTGTTAACTCTGAATTGACAGAATTGCTTCAAAGATCAACAACAAATCAAGAGAAATTGTGTCACATTGTAGATGGCAAGTTACAATCGCTCGAGTTATCCGTCGCGAGTGTAATGTGTCAAACTGAAACAATCCAGAATCAACAGACACAACAAAATGAAACTATTAGTGAAATATCGAAAAGGTTTGACACTCTAGACAGAGACATCAAAGACATAAAACAATTCCTCAGTCTTTTGATGCCGCGATTAATGATTTTGGAGAAATTATTTGTTCCGTCTCCGCAACAGGCTATTACATCATCGGCTAATAGCGCACCTCAACCAAAGCTGAAACGGCGAAAATTAGAGTGAAAGGGGATGCGTCATCAAAGGTGTCGGAGTCAACTTTGTGAAACAACAACCTCATTGCCATGTTGAATTACATCTAAGTGGCAAGTGATGAAGAGAGCTGCGAGAAGTCCGAAAACAGAATAAGGCATTTCAACCGCTTTTTTCACACTTGTTTCAAAGTTTTGTGTAATTGCGATCTCCAACCGCCTATTGTTTGTTGTTTCTTTTTTTCTACCTTTTCTGTGGCCTGGAGTTGCAGCATAAGGCATTTTTGCATATTTTGCATTTTTTTCAGTTTTTTTCGAGCGGTGTTAGTTTCTGTATGGGAAAAGCACACGAGTTTCAATGCAAAGTTTAAACTTGGCATACATAAGCACTTCAATCAGTAGACGCCAGATGACTCATTTTCAACAAGTTGCCTTACGAAACCGTATTTAATGGCTTTAGATTCCCCTATGACGCATTGCAAAAACAAATACACAAATTTTCTTATCCAAAGGTTTTATACACCCAGCTACATTAAAAAAAATGTATATACACACATCTCTTTACTGTTTATTTCCTCTCATTACTCTTCTTATCATCAATGACATCGGAGAAGAAATCTGATGAGTCCAACTTGGTAGTTGACGACTCCATCTTGTCGCCACCAGCACAAAAGCAAACGCTATGGTCATCATTCAAAGATTCATTCAAACCAGCTATAGAAACCGACCACACCTTGAAAACCAATTACGACCCGGTCGATGTGGAAAAGTTGACTGATTTGGAAAAGATCAACCTCAACTCGGCCAACTCGAGTCTACGTCGTGACTTGAAAGCAAGGCACTTGCAAATGATTTCTATTGGATCAAGTATAGGTACTGGGTTGTTTGTTGGTACGGGGACGGCATTGAATACAGGTGGACCTGGAGCAATTATGATTGCTTGGGTGGTTACTGCTACCGCGGTATTCGCCACGATGCAAGGGTTGGGTGAGTTGGCCACTACATTCCCTATTAGTGGTGGATTCAATGTATATGCCAGTCGATTTATTGAGCCTGCAGTGGGGTTTGCAGTGGGGTGGAATTACTTTATGCAATTCTTTGTCTTGCTACCGTTGGAATTGGTCGCTGCTGCCATCACAATCCAGTATTGGAACTCGAGTATAAACTCGGATGTATTTGTGATTATCTTTTGGCTTGTTATTACTTTTATCACAATGTTGGGAGTTAAAGCTTATGGTGAAGCTGAGTTTATATTTTCCACGATTAAAGTTTTAGCAGTTATTGGATTCATTATATTGGGCATTGTTTTGATTGCTGGTGGTGGACCAACTCATGAGTTTGTAGGGGGGAAATATTGGCGTAATCCTGGTCCATTTGCGTCTGGTTTCAAAGGAGTTGCATCATGCATTGTCACAGCCGCATTTTCGTATGGTGGTACTGAAATGATTGGATTGACTGCTAGTGAAACATCGAATGTCCGCAAAGCATTACCAAGAGCCATAAAACAAGTGTTCTGGAGAATTGTGCTCTTTTATTTTGGCTCGTTGACAATGATTTCATGCTTGGTTCCGTATAATGACAAGAGATTGCTAGGACTGAGTTCAGTAGATGCATCAGCTTCGGCATTTACAATTGCAATTATCAATGGTGGAATCAAGGGATTGCCCAGTGTTATCAATGCCGTCATTTTAATTTCTGTGTTATCTGTGGGAAATGCATCGGTGTATGCTACATCAAGATCATTAAACTCACTAGCCGAGCAAGGAATGGCTCCCAAATGGATGGGGTACGTTGATCGTGCTGGTAGACCATTGGTGGCTATTGGTCTCACCAATGCATTTGGATTATTCGCATTGATTGCCGCCGACGACGATGCGCAAGAGTCTGCGTTTGATTGGTTATTAGCGTTATCTGGACTTTCGTCCATTTTCACCTGGATGAGTATCAACTTGAGTCATATCAGGTTCAGAGCAGCATTAAAAGCACAGGGAAGGACGACTGATGAATTGCCATTTGTTGCCCAGTCCGGAGTTTTGGGATCATATTATGGACTCATACTCAATATTCTTTTCCTTATAGCTCAGTTCTGGATCGCATTGTTTCCATTGGGATCGGATCCCAGTGCTTATAATTTCTTCTTGTCATATTTGGGATTCCCAGTTATTCTTGTGTCTTGGATCGGTTACAAGATCTGGAAACGTAATTTGAAACTATATTTAAAAGCTGATGAAATTGACATTGATACTGGACGTGCTAATGTTGACTTGGAATTGTTGCAACAACAGTTGGCTGAGGAGAAAGCCGAGTTAGCTGAAAAGCCATTTTATTATAGGGTATATAGGTTCTGGTGTTGAAAACTTGGTTAGTCCGTACTGCATTTAGCCTCTTTGTAGTACGATCTTTTTTCTTTCTAATGAAAAATTGTTTTCAGATGAAGCAGTAGGTTTCCAGTCGATCCACTGAATTCACCATAGTTTCTACAATGACTCAAGACCACATACTAGAAGAGAAACTAGAGTATATCTCCATTAACGATAGTTCCCCTGAGGAGCAAGGTCCTATAGTACCGCATGAACGACAAATCGTCGATCAAGTTATCGCAATATGGAAAGAGGACCCATCAACCGAGAATTTAGGAGTTGCCAAATTACATGCCATTATCAAACAAAAACACCCAAACTGGACCGTTTCTGATAAACGGGTTAAGCAGTTGTTGAAAAAATTTGGTCTCCTAACCAATCAAGAACAATACACTTATGCCAAGGATATCAAATCTGAATTGACACCTGATATTGAACTTCCACCTAAGGTGCAAGTAGTCATGACTTCCAAACGTGGTAAATGTTTGTATGCGAAAAAGCCAATAAAGGAAGGCGAGTTAATATGGAGCGAAACACCATTATTCTTTGTACCGCCATTGGCAAATGTCCATTTGGTTGAACATGGATCTGCTTGTGCCAATTGTGGTAAACTTTTACAACAAAGTGAAATGAAGACAGTACTAAAAGGATTGGATTGTGATGTATGTGCTGAAGTTTGGTGTTCGAAAAAGTGTAAACAAATAGATTCACAATTGCATGGTGCAACCAAGCATAATGTATTTAACCCCAACTCAAAGAAGCCAAAAATTATTGACTCAAATGCATTTTTGGAGTTGCAAGAATACTGTTTAAAAGAATCATGGAACGCATTGTATGCCATCGCTTTAATCTACGCTAATATCGTGTTGGATAAACTGGGCGTGAAACAAAAGCAATTCAATGCCATGGCCAGAGTTTCTCAAGATGTGAGATACAAGGCATTGGATTCTGGTGGTGGGACATTTGACAATATGAATGGAGGTGCTCTCTTTGTTCAAGAGCAACAAGAAACATTATGGAAAGAAGGGTATGAAAAGTTTCTCCGTGTTTTCCCCAAAAACACAATATCATATAAGGAGTTCTTGTACATGATGGGTACTTACAACATCAACAATCTTGACTCAAGCGTGTACCTTACCCAATCGCATTTGAATCACAACTGTGATCCCAATACTACTGTTGACACTGCACTGGACCGTATTTCAGGATTAAAAGTATTTGCAAAGAGGGATATCAAAGAAGGTGAGGAATTGACCACAACATATGTGAACCCAAGCCATACACTCCACCAAAGACAACGAGAATTGAGAGTCAATTGGGGATTCATTTGTGCATGTGATAAGTGCAAGAGTGATGCAAATGCCACCGGAAGAAGGAAATCATCTTCAGCTTCAAAAAAACAAGATGCCAAGAATATTAGAAATATGTTGAAGGAAACGAAGGAACAAGTTGGTGAGGACGGTGAGATTGAGTTGGACATTCCTCCTCACGAGTTTAACGGAGAGCGTAGGAAATCGGTGCGATTTGATGAAACTGTTGTTGCGGTCAATAATTGAATACACACAATGAGGACGTATATAGCGTGGATTTTCATAGCATAATACTAATCTTAAATTGAAGAAAAAGGAATTGAATTATAGATTCGCCGGAACGAGAAGATAAAATGAAAGAAGAACGAAAGAAAGAAAATTATTTTCACCGGAATATCAAACAAAGCTAAACACTTTTGATTTGAATATGGACACATACGTAGAGACGAATTACATAGATGGTGGTCAAGTGCCCAGATACGATGAGGATCAACCTAGTCTTGAGGAGTCAACGCACTTACCTCCCCATTTAAGCAACCATGATGGTTTAGAAGAATCACTACATCACCATCAACAACAACAACATCAACAACATCAACAACATCAACAACGTCTTGCAGATGACGAACAAGTAGTACAAGAAGTTGAAGAGGAAGAAGAAGAAGACTATGATGAGGATGAAATAATACCATCGCACCAAACTATAGTTGACGAGTCGGAATTACTTGCTGCACAAGCAGCTGCTGAAGCTGCAGCTGCTGCGCAACAACAAGAACCTGGTGATGTATTCAACAATGTAGCTCAAGGTTTAGAGGGGCCCCATCGTGATATGATGATGCAATACTGGCAAGAGACTATAAACTCTATTGAACATGATGACCACGATTTTAAGAATCATCAGCTACCATTGGCTAGAATCAAAAAAGTGATGAAGACTGATGAAGATGTGCGCATGATTAGTGCTGAAGCTCCCATTTTATTTGCTAAAGGTTGTGACATTTTCATTACCGAGTTGACTATGAGAGCATGGATTCATGCTGAAGAGAATAAGAGGAGAACGTTGCAAAAATCGGATATCGCTGCTGCTTTGACCAAGAGTGACATGTTTGATTTTTTGATTGATGTTGTGCCTAGAGAAGAGGAGAAGTCATCAAAGTGAGGGAAGTCAGCTGGGAGCGTGGGGAGTAGTGCTTGGTGGGGGTAGTACGTGGCGGGGAACTGCTTGGTGAGGGATTTTACTTTTTGCGTTTTGTTATATTTTTGTATTATTATTGTAAATACTATTGGGAAAAGATCAGTCAGTATGATTGAAAAGGGAAACTGTTTGAGAAAAGACGAGGTGATTGTAGGCCAGTGCATCGCTTGATGAAGTACCCAGAGGAGAGATATTTTTTAATCCCAATTCCGGCTGCGAAAACTTCACGTAGTTTCAAAGACACAATTTTCACGACACTCGATGTTCAACAACAACTAGTTGTGAGATTTCATCATGGGCCCCTAAATGTACGTCCGGTTATATTCCAAATGCGTTAGTAAGAGTCTATCTCCTGATTGTGAGCTTTATTAGTAATATGGAACTAAAAGTAGTAGTGCTAAATCCGGTCGTGTATAAAACCAATTGTACGTCTTTAGTGCCACCACACAAAAGCAAACACAAAAATCTATTGGTTTAAAATTGCTAGGAGAAAGAAATGGCTCCACACTAATCCGAAATACAGCTTTCTACAGCTTTCTACTTTGTTTCTTGCTTTCTTTTGTGTATAAACTGCAATTGCTATCAAAGGTAATCAATCAAATAGGAAGGCCATTTTGTCAATTACGCAATTTCCCAATATATTTGTTTTGTTTAATGTTCCTTTTTGATTGCTATTAGGCGTTTAACTTATTGCAATTTATTATTATTTTGATCCCAACTTCAAGCCATTATAAATAGGGCCCCCAACAAAATAGTCCCCAAAACACCCCCTTTTTTCTTTTTTCTTGCTCTCCATGTTGAACAAATTATCATCAACAGCAATATTTAAACAACTACCAATAAGAAGACGAGCCACTGCTACTACTGCTACTACTACTCAATCCTTGTTGAAACCAATTGCTGTTACCACATTCAACCGATCCTTATTTTACAATCGAAAACCTTATAATAGACGCTCAAAGCAATTTGCAAGAAATACATTACTCACTTCTAAAATGACATTAATTACTATTTCACAATCATTGGATGAGGCATTCACCAAGAACAAGATTGTTCCTGATGTTGTTGACGATTTTGAAACCCAAGGATTATTATCAATTGAATATGGCCCCACTGAATTAGTGACCTTGGGTAACACTTTATCAGTTTCTGGTACTCAAGATAAACCCAAGATTCAATTGACGTTGAATTCCCCAACCGAAGATGGTAAAATCGAGTCGATTAACGAGGGGGACAAGTTTATCTTGGTTTTAACTGACCCTGATGCACCATCAAACAGTGACCACAAGTGGTCAGAATATTTACATTGGTTGGTTACTGATATCACTTTGCCTAATTTGAAAACTGAATCTGGAGAACCAGAAATTAGCCATTTTATTGATGCTGCGCAAGGTAAAGAGGTGTTTAAATACGAAGGTCCAGGTCCACCACCAAAGACAGGTAAACACCGTTATGTGTTTTTGTTGTTTAAACAAGATCCAAAAGTTAGTAAATTTGAAGCACCAAAAGATAGACCCAATTGGGGAACTGGTACTCCATCAAGTGGAGTAAGAGATTGGATCAAGGCACAAGCGCCAGGATCAAAGTTGTTGGCAGTAAATTTTTTTTATGCTCAAAACGAGGATAATTAAGTAGGTATTCATATAATCAATCTGTTATAATTATATAAGCTATACGAATCTCGAGGTGTAGTAGTTTTTATATATTCTTTGCCGCTCGACTGTAGTCCTTGGGGCTTATCACTAATCCTTTCCCTTTTCTCGCACCACGATAAATGGTTTCAATTATATCAATCAATTCTTGTTTATCATAAATGGGGAAATTCAACTTGTTGTTATTCCCAGTACCGAAGTCACACAATATGTGTTTATTTCGATAAAAAAACATCAATGTGTATGGCTCTCGTTTATTTTGATCCAATTCGTACATGATGTTGAAATCAGGGACTTTATCCAAGTTGACCAAATAGATGACAGCAAAGTTTTTAACCTTATCAGCTATGGAATATAGCAATTCATCAATTATCATGCACGCAGTTTCTTCTTCTCTACCGAATCGAAGCACCACTACTCGGTCGTCTTCGGCTAGGATTGCTTGATCGACGTGCCAGCCTGTACGTAAATTAGGAAGGAATACTGAACCCATAATTGCTAGTTGTTAGGTGAACAGGGGGTCAAGGAGTTATCAGAAAGGTGTCTTTTTTGAAAGGGATATGTATAGGTAAGTATATCTTTTGATGATGCGATGACGTAGTTGGTGATTATTTTTTTTTGTCTTTTTGCTTTGTGCGATGAGACCAAACGTAGGTAGCGTCGCCATGTGAGAGCAAGAGCATCAAATTGCAGAGAACACTGTTGGTGTATCTAAATGCAATCAAAGGTAAATGAAGGCACCAGGTTTGAGTTCTAGACCAGTCTGAGTGAAGGGGCCTGTATTTTTGTTGCTCGGTAAAGGTAACATAAATAGGGCCAATTATCCTCTTAACAATAGTAGCCCAATTCATCTCCTTTAACTACTGCACCACTTCAACAATGTTGCAAGATATCAAAACAAAACAACAATTAGCCAACGCTTTGCAATCACAATACCAATCTTCAGAAACAACTTCAAGAAGAACTGAAACTGGTGTTGACCCAGGCACTTCATCAAGAACTAAGATTCAATCCAAGGCAATGAACATGGCATCCAATATGGGCTTTGGTTCCGGCTCAGGCTCCAATGCCTCCTCCCACGAAGATCACGTTATTGTCGTCGACTTCTTCGACGATTGTGATCATTGTTTACAAATGAATTCCAAGTTGGATGAGTATTCCAATTGGTATCAAAATAATTCCAAACCGGTTGATTTTTACAAGGTTAATATTGAAGATAAGGAGCTGAAATCTTTTGCTAGTGATTATTCAGTTGATTCTATCCCTACTACATTGTTTTTCAAAAAGGGTAAGTTGGTTGATAAAGTTGTTGGTGCTCAACCTGCGCAGATTAAAAAGGTTTTGGATGATGATTTGTTGTAAGGGTTGGAGACAGAGAGAGATACAACAAGTGAAATACTTATTTTGGTGGTGTCGTCGTTTTTTATTTAATAGGGGATTTTTATTCAATTTCGGTTAGCTTTTCTTTAGCTGGATATTTTTGTTCAGTTTTATTCTTTCGTGGTATATATTTATATGTATAGTGGATGGAGAGAATGTTTATGTTCATAACTTTTTGATCATTTGTAGGTTGCTGCAACCAAACCAAAATTATCACAAGACAAAGTGGTACACATTCCTTTTCTTTCTTATGGCTTGTGGAATTACATATATAAAGGAAACAACTTTCGTCCACTTCTCAAAAAGCTTGATAATATTCTCTAAAATCTTCTTCAGTTGGTTCGACATCCCGATACTACATTCGTGAGAGTATCCTTTATGTTTCAGGACTTTAAAAGGCGCTCTAATCGAATAGAAATCAGTACTTTTTGCTGCAATTTCGTTTTGAAACTAAAAACAGCTACAATCTGCAAAAAAGAGTCCCTGGGTGATGGCTTATTATTGACCAAAACTCAATTTCTTTGAGTGCGGTGAGTGGAAGTGTTTTGACATCCCAGGTCCAATGGAAATATGGGGAGCAATCACCACTTTGAGTAGTGGGTCAACACTTTTATCGCTGTAATACAAGCTCAATCAGAGCCTTGCGTACTTGCTAGGCCCAAGCTGTGTGTACTCTCAAAATCAGCGTTTGTGAATTTACAGAGGTGGAATGGGTTATGTTAGCAAAATTTCCCCTTTTCCTTCCACTGGTTTATGGGTTTGTTAGGGCTTCTGTGCATGTTTACGTTTATGTTTATTGTCATTGTTCTTACTGAAGAAAGCTGAAATTTGTTATCCAAAAGATGCGTATCTTCCAGTAGAAGTATGCATTGTTTTTTTCAAAATGTTACCATGTTTGATGGTTTAGCGAACATCGACATCGTGATTTACTTTATATTTGTATTTCGGTTCAAATTATATAGAATGTTTAAATGTATTTCTGAGTAAAGTGTTTGTACATTTGATCTCAAAGATCTATTTAAGTAGGGCACGAGGGATGAGAAAGAGAGTTTTTGGTGGATGTGAAGTAACCCAGTGGGTGTTTTCCGTATGTTATGAAAATATGGGGATTTTGCAATCACACAAAACTATGGCGATAGTGTTGACTCGTAAAGAAAAAATAAAAATTTTCGACCTCCATTGATACAATTTCTATCTACCTATACAATCACCACAGCACCACACACAAGAGCCTAACCATGACTGAGGTCAATTTGGGAATTACTGCTGACATGCATGTGCATTTGCGTGATGGTGCAATGTGTAAGTTGATAACGCCAACAGTTCGTTCAGGAGGAATCGCCATATGTTATGTGATGCCCAATCTTGTCCCACCAGTTACCACTAAACAACAAGTCATCGACTACCATAACGAACTTACCAAACTCGCTCCCGAAACTACATTTTTAATGAGCTTGTACTTGTGTAAGGAATTGACTCCGCAATTGGTTGATGAAATTAGTCATTTGATCCATGGTATTAAATGTTACCCAGCTGGTGTCACTACAAATTCTGCATCGGGCGTGGATCCCAATGATTTCAGTTTATTTTATCCTTTGTTTGAAGTTATGGAAAAACGTGGGTTGATTTTAAACATACATGGAGAAAAAGCTCATATTTCAAAAGAAGAAGAGGCCAGAGGCGATATTGAGGATGAAATCAATGTCATCAACGCTGAACCTAAGTTCCTTCCTGCATTGCGCAAGTTGCACGCCGATTTCCCTAGATTAAAGATTGTTTTGGAACATTGTACAACACATGAGTCAATTGCATTAATCCGCGAACTAAATCAGGGCAAATCTGAAAATGATGAGATTTACGTATCAGCGACGATAACTGCTCACCACTTGTATTTGATTATTGATCAATGGGCTGGGAACCCGATAAATTTCTGTAAACCAGTAGCCAAGTTTCAAAAAGATCGTCAAGCTTTAATTCATGCTGCAACAAGTGGTGAACCATGGTTCTTTTTTGGATCTGACTCTGCACCACATCCAATCCACAAGAAACAAGTTCATGTTGGTGTTTGTGCGGGTGTGTATACTCAATCAAATGCCGTGGCTTATGTAGCCGAAGTCTTTGACAAACAAGGCAAATTGGACAATTTAAAGAAATTTATCAGTGATAATGGGATCAAGTTCTACAATTTACGATCAAATATTTTGAACAAGCACAAGGGAGAGAGTGTATGGTTAGTGAAGAGAAGCAATAATGTACCTGATGTAATTGGCAATGGTGAGGTTGAAGTTGTGCCTTTCAAAGCTGGAGAAACATTAAAATATGCTATTGAATGGAGAAAGAATTAGGTGAGAAGTGTGTATATGTGTATACAGGTTAGATGGAACGACGTGAATGACACTGTACTGAAGCTTGATAATCCTTTCGCAAACCTCCTATCTTCTAGAAAGTTCCACATCTTGCAGAATAAACAATAGTGGTCCGGTTTCCATTGTAGATACGACAGTGACACAAACATCGTACCGCTGAGCAAACAATTGGTCTGGCAATTCATTTAATTAGCCATTTCTTTGAAATTGCGTCAATTTTGTGTTCGTTTTTAACTGTCAGTAGAACATGCGCTAGGTATGATTGCGTTTTCCAAATGTAATCCTACCACACAAGTGCGAAAAGGTTGTTCTCGTGTCTGCGGAAGAGCGTATCACTTCCGATGTGAATGGCTTGGAGGTACAAGTGCAACGTTGACATCATGATATACTTAAACTAATTTGTACGGCAATTATGGTATTAAAAAAAAATTTTCGATTTTGATACTTTCTGTGTAAAATTTCTGGAAATTACAATCGGGTATGCAATATGCAAAATCTACTTTTGAAGCAGGTGGATGTCATTGGAAGCCACAATATATGTCTGACACAGTTAATCAACCCGGAAGTCCGTTGTAAAAGAGTTGTAATGACTTGGAATTTGGAATTAGACGCACACACAAGTACATTTATCTATAACATGACGTTGTAGGGCGCGAAGAGTCTTGCTGTTTTTCATGCTTCCTGCTAAATATAACAAATATTCTACTCTATTTGCTTAAAGAAACGCCTACAAACCAACGAAATCCTTGTTGCCTTATCTCCAATATTCGTTTGGAGTTATCACGTGCGAGTACGTCTCTTTTTTATATCTCAAAGTGGAAATAAAAATCCATTTCCTAATTTTATCAATCGGCTAAATGCGGAAATTTTTATTTAAAACTAAATTAGCATTACACACACGACCTCCAACACGGCGGTAATTAGTATTCAATTTCTTCAATTCAACACACACATAGTGAACTTATTTCCGACACTTTCAGGTCACACAATTGCACCTTCTATAGTGGCTGTTAATTTTTGTATTAAGCAAAACAAAGATGGGGTTTCAATAAGCGAAGCGATGAGAAAAAGAAACGAGCAAAGTCAACACATTGCCATTCAATTAATAAACCCCTTTGAGTGAAAAAAGTTCGAGTATGAAGTAGTAGTGGCCCACGTGTGCTTGAAATCTTTATTGTTTGATACCAACGTATGTGAAGAAAAGGGCTTTGAACAATAGGATCATATTGTTATTTGAAATAGTTTTGTGTCCATTGTGAGCGTAGAATACATGCAATGCGGATTAAATGCCATTTTTGTACGAGACAGAAAGGCACAGCTGGACAGACCTGTCAAGGAACTTGGTCCCATTTTAAGGTTTCCTGGATAGATTTTTTGATGGTCAATTAGTATCCCACGTGTTCTTTGAACGAGAAATGAAAACGCAACAACGCATGTACTTGGGCGTTATACATAAAGTATATATCAGCTCAAAGTTAACTTGACAGCTTTCAAATAAAATATCTAAAAACCTTATTATTAATTTAGACGACACTTTATGCGCTGGAACAATCTCATTCTGCCAAGGCACCATTATTTCTTGGTATTGCAACACTAGGGGGGTGGAGTTTGGGAGGACTGGTGGAAACGCAAATTAAACAATAGCCAAGCCGTGTGAAGAGCATGTCACATAAGACAAACACCAGTTACCTTAATGTTGTCTTCATTAAACAACTGCCAAATGAGGAGAAGAAAGAGAAAAAAAAAAATAGAGATATGCACAATTGACTATATAGAATCATATGCTGAATCATGTACATCCTCACTCTTTATTCTTTTTCTTTATTCAATTGTTAATATTACCTAAAAAGTTTAAATGTAGAAACTGCAAAACCAAGTTCAATATCAGACTACGAAACGTGCACCGAGATAATGATGTGACCCACATTGATAGCTCTCTCTCTTTTTCTCCCTTTCTTTTACAATTGAGATCTTTAACTTGGTTTAGATTTCATTTCTCTCTTACGGAATTAGTAAAAGTTTTCTTTAGTTGCACAAAATTGCAACAAACAATAGTGGTATATCTCTTTGTAAAAATTAAAACCTTTGGTAAATGTTTGGTGATAAATTTTTTTGTTTGATATTTTTATTATTTTATTAAGCAGCCGCTTTTTGTGACACTTATCAGGAATAAATTAGACGCCAGGTATATTTTGGTTTATGTTCATATTCTTATTGTTTGAACTTTTTAAAAGAGTGCTCTTTTTCAGAGAGAACTAATATAAATATATCAAATCTAATCCCACTTTTTTCAAAATCCTATGAAACTTGTTTCTACCTCCTATACTATACATTCTCACTCTACTCCTTTTCCAGCGACATTGCACCAGTGGAGATAATTATTCCTTACAACACTGACATAGTAGCACTTATACCCTGCCCCACATTAGATAACAAGATATGGCTTCAAGAGATTTACCACATAGTTTTAGAGAGGCTTTTTTTGGCTGGGCAGAGAGAATCCCACTGGAAATAACAATTCTCAAATCTAAGGAACAACTACTTGCCGAAGATCTACACAATCCAGATTTCCACTCACACAATGAAGGCTCAAATTCATCCAACAAGTCTTCCTCTTCAGATTTTCCGGAAGGCGAGGCTGATTCGTACGAAGCACCACCAACTAAAGTCAAGTTCAACAATTTGTGGCCTGCATTTGCTTCTGGTGCTGGTTTATTCTCTGATGGTTATGTCAATAATTCTATTTCCACAGTATTGTCGTGTTTGAAAATGATTTATGGTGACGAGTTTTCTAAAAGTAATGCTATCAACAACATTAGTTCAATCGCATTTGTAGGTACGGTTGTCGGACAATTGGGGTTTGGTTACATTTCCGATAGAATTGCCAGGCGTGGTGGTATGATGGCAGCAAATATCATGTTGATTGTTTTCACATTGTTGTGTGCTGTTGGTTCTTGGGGTGCAACAACGCAAGGGTTCTTCGCATGTTTGACGGTTTGGAGATTCTTTTTGGGTGTTGCTATTGGTGCTGAATATCCAACAAGTTCAGTTATTGCATCTGAGTTTGCTAATCAATTACCCGCAGGTCACAGAAATAGGTATTTCTCCTGGTTCACCAATGCCATGATTGATTCAGGGTTTGTTGTTTCGGCATTTGTCCCATTTGTTTTGATTTGGATTTTTACTGAGCGTCATTTACGTGCATTGTGGAGGGTTACAATTGGATTGGGTGTTATCCCACCATTATTGTTGTTTTTCATTCGTTTAAAGATGAAGGATTCTAGAACTTTTGAAAAATTGAATATGAAACACGTCAAATATAGAGACTATCCATGGTGGTTGATTATCAAGTTTTACTGGTTTAGATTAACTGTTGTTTCCTTGATTTGGTTTATTTATGACTTTTCTGCTTATTCATTCGGTAATTTTAATACCATTATTATTGGTGAAATTATCCCAGATGCCCCTCTTTGGAAGCAATGGGGTTGGTCTGTGGTTTTCAATTTGTTTTACATCCCAGGTGCATTCCTTGGTGCATTGTCAGGAGATTATTTCGGACCAAGATTGACTTTGGCTTTCGGTGTTGGTTGTCAGGGAATTATTGGATTTGCTATGTCTGCACGTTTAGAATCATTGAAGAGGCACATTGCTGGTTTTGTTGTTGTTTTTGGAATATTTACCTCATTTGGTGAATTTGGTCCTGGTGATAACATCGGATTATTGGCATCCAAAACTAGCGCTACTGCTATTAGAGGTCAATATTATGGTATCGCTGCTGCCATTGGTAAAATTGGAGCTTTTGTTGGTACTTGGGTGTTCCCAGCTATTCAAAAGCATTACACGGGTCAAGGAAATAAAGATTTGCAAGTTCCATTTTACATTTCCGCTGCATTGTGTTTGTTTAGTGCTGCATTGGCCCTATTCTTTTTACCACATGTTGGTCAAGATGCCATCAACAAAGAAGATGCTGACTTTGTTGATTATTTGAAATCACACGGTTTCGATATCGGTCTCTTGGGTGAGCCTGGTGTGGTTACTGAAATGATTGCTGAAGAACACAAGAGAAATCCAGATGCAGTTGGTGAAACTGATGGGGCCGTTGGTGGACATGCAGCTGGTGCTGCTGAGTTTAGTGGCCTGGAAATTATGGCATACGATTCATTGGGAGGCGCCAAGGATGAGACTGATGTAACTGAGAAGAGGGTCAAGCAGTGAGGAGAGAAAACATCTCTACGTAATCTTTCCGTTTCGGGTCATTTAGACAATTTAGAATGTTGTTTAGTTCTTAATGCGATTTATTATTATCAGAAGAGAAGTATTTTCAATGTTTCCATTGAGCATCAGGCATGAAAGCTAAAAATAGATCAGACAAACTTGTACGGCAATTGTCTTTGTAATCTCTACTCGCTAACTTTTCCTCAAGAATAGGTGTCAAAAAATTTGACCCTATTGTCTTGGCCCAAGTTATATTTTGCGAGACAACACAAAAAGTGGGAATCAGAAATATCAAAGGTTAGTCCAGATTTGTGTAATAATTGCACACCCACGTGGTGAAAGGGAAATTTATTTTTGCAACTTTTGGAAAGAAAAGAAAGCGAAAAAGCGCATTCAACCTTTTTGCACGGTTATGTTATTGATTATGTACAAGGCGTTCCAATTGCTGCTTTGGCAAAACTAGCCAGCCTAAGGCAAAGTACCAATTGGCGAGATCTGCCCCCCTACATCTCAACATGGCAAAGTCAGGTTTGTGAAGCAATGTCCATGTATAACCTAATTTTTGCTTCTTGGCACCATTTAGTTCCCGTAGAGGAAGGAGATTCACGTGAGGCAATACAGCAGACACCTCCTTAAGTATTCCACCAAGCCGGCTATTCATTGAAGCTATGAAAGCTATACATCCCATCTCGGTGGTAGCGGGAATTGATCCAATGGGAGGATAAGATAGCGAGATTTCATAAAATATTGGCATCAGATGAGACTCTCTTAGTGAAAGCTTCCTGAGCATGGAAAAATATCCAGACAAAATGCTACAAGAAATGTACCAAGTTGTGCGATAGTTGTCAATTCTAATTCTATATACGACTGTGTAGCAACAAGCTTTTGGAAACTCCCCTGCCTATTTACACCAACTGCTTAATAGTGTCATCAACCGACTTTTTCAAATCAATGAATTTGAAACCCAAAATCCTTCTCGTCTTTTCATTGTTTACGACACTTTCAGTTTCCTCAAACTTTGGAGATTTTGACTTATCCAACTTTGGTAACTCAGATTTCAAATTAGGGAAATCTTTTTCAATAATGTCCAAGATCCCAGCGGAGGAAAAAGGTGCATTTGCCAAAAGCAATCTCTGGCCCACAGTTTCATTCTTCTCAAAAGCAATGAGATGGGCTTTTGCGACATCTCTGACATCAATAAAGTATCCAACAAATTGTTGAGGCTCCACTTTTGTCTTGTTTGCAGTCAAGAGACTGTTGATGATTTCATTTGATGCGTTCAACTTGGACTTGTCTCTAACGGCAAAAGCTTGTGGTCCCAATACAAATGCAGGATTCACAAAAGTGACATCCCATTTTGGCTTCTTTTCTTCGATGTAGTTCCATACAGTCTTTTCAGCGAGTTTCTTTGATCCAATGTAACCAAGAAAGGGATTTTCCAAAGCCTGCTCGTATGTGATTGGGTTCCACGATTCTTCATTTACTTCTTTACCAGGCGTAGCCAAATTTGCAAAACCAGCAACCGCAGCATAAGACGATGTGATGACAACCCTTTGAACGTTTTTACCATACACGGTAACTGCGTTAAGTGCATTAATGGTACCCTCAATGGCCGGTTTTAACAATTCCTTCTCAACATCATGAATTTCAAATGTAGCAGGAGATGCAGTGTGTAAAAACACTGTCACCTCCGGATGGGCTTGCAAAGCTTCGTTAAATGCACCTTTGGCTCCAATGTCCTTCACAATGACATAATTGAAAAGATTAGAATTGAGTCCAGCAGACTCGATCAATGATTTTAAGTACTTTCCTTTTTCCTCTGATCTCACTGAGCCGATAGTTTTGTAACCAGCTTCAAGCACGGTTTTGACAATTTGTTGAGCAATGAATCCAGTAGCACCACTGACGAATACAACAGTTTCTGATGACATTTTGATGATGGGTGAAAAAAAGAAAAGAAAGCAGGCCGATTCAATCGTTGAGGAAATAATTGCCGCTACTTATATACTAAGTAATAACTAATAATGTGGCTGTTATAGCAAACTTTGCAAGTTGTCTTGGTCAGAAAAGAACATCGGCCGGTGTGATTCGGCCGAGAATTAAGAGCTTTGTGACACATCTGTCAACGGAAAAAGAAATAGACGCAATTTGTATCCAAATGCTCCTGAAAATTTTCCACACCGTTTCTAAAATCCGCTTATAAAGGGAGCATCAAGAGAGGCAATGCAAACAAGCTGGTGGGGGGGTGGGGGGAAGGCACAATGTTATTTGATCATGGTAAAATCCAATGGGGCTATGCCATCCATTGCACCTATTCCGGAAGCAAGTTATGTCTGTGGTGATTGTACACAGTCATATTGAGTCAACATAAAGTTGTAGGAAGTTCAAATTCACCTTCGCAGTGGCTGTTAGAGCAGCACTGTAGGGAGTTTTAGAGTCCAATTCCGGCATCATTAAATCCTGTAGGGAGACGACTTGACCCAAGTGGTGTCACAATGTTCGTTTGCTTTCATAGCGGTAACACCAGGACTGCCTTCTTGTTACAGATTCAATCGAGATCAGGACGTGACCCAATCGACGACGTCGGGACAATGTTTATCGCCAAAATTGTGTGGATCTGCTAATTGTATGCATTTTATTCAGTGGTGTAGCCATACGTACTAGCTTTTCTCATTCGACAAACGCAAATGTATCACTGATATTGTCACTGGCATTGAGGATGGCACCCTGAAAAATATTTAGTGTTGATTTGGATGCCTCAAATTCTCCTAACTTCACTGGATCAAAAACCTGTACCACTACAAACCGAAGTTTGTGCTACTCCCAAACATTGGCCTTCGTTTGGAATCTACAATGGCATTAGTCTAGCCGGATTCACCTCTATTGAACCATCACTAAGCGGTATTGTTTAACTTGTTGTTTTCAAAACGTCTGCCACATTTGGTGGTATCTTTTTCACTGATGAAGTATGTTTGTTCCTCTCAAAGACATATGTGATTCCAATCATCGTTTATCTAATGGTTATTGTTGCACTTACCCCTGGTTTTTGGATGTACCACAAGGGCCACAACGGGCATCATAATCATAAAAAATAGTCACTGGATGTCAGACTTTAGTTCCTGTACTGCATTTGCTTCACACCCTTTCAGTTTACTTCAATTTACTAACACCAGCCATGAATACTATCAAAAAAACGGAGAAGTTAGTTTTGGCGCTACTGACATGATGCTAAAGTCGCCAAGTTTGGAACACATGTGATACTCATACTAACTATTCAGATCATCTACCCCAGTAGATGTGGGAAATGGCAACGATGAAGCGGTTGCAACAAAGAGAACATAATACTATGGTGATGGACAATCTATTCCATTTTTTTTACTTGGTTCAGAGACTGTTGTTGCACAGTAGATTTTTTAACTAATCTTAAGTCAGAACACACACTGTGTGGGGTAACATCACTGATGTACACCTGCAATGAAACCATTCCAAAAAGACTAGGTTAATTAGATGACACTAGTCGGAAATACTAAAAATTCAAACAGTGCGCGGAAGAACCCTAAAACAAGGTTTTTGAGTTACCAAGATGTTGTAGATGTAAAACTCTCTCAATATGTATTACTTGGCAACATTGGACTGAAAAAAAGTCTTTATCTCAAAGTTCAAAGAAAAACAGTAACACCGTGTTCAAAAGTGAGCTTAAACTTGGTGTAACCATTGCAGCTCATAAAGAGTTTACTGCTGCGTCGGATAATGTGGCTACTTTTTTTTTTAATGCGCTTTGACCCCACAATGACATGGGAACCACCCGCTACCCACTCAGGTTAAATGTGTGGGACACACCCAATAGATGTGACACTGTCTGCCTAGACTCTATACTCTATGCATTGTAATTTATCCTTACTATAATGCAAACACCATGGTTGAGGGTTCCCCAATTGATCTATCTGCATTCGAGAAAAAAACTAAGAAACCCCACGTTGATAACTTGAGCAGGTTGCGAGCCCTGATCTTTTCCACCCCTCCTAAACAGTTGACCAGGTCTCTGCCGAAACCACCATTTATGGCTCATACAGTTTTGAGTATTGCATTCAAATAGTGCTCGAAAAAGTTTAATTCACGATTGTAAATAAAGAGCGAGAGAGAGAATGTAACATTCACTAAATCTACGTTGTGCTCATAGGGCAACGAATTCGCCAACAGCAACTAGTTCTAATACGGGAATATGGCCACATGGAGCTGTTGGTGTTTATTATCAGCACTGTCATACATGACTAAAACTTGATACACTATCTGACTGTCGTGGTAGAAGCGACATGTTATGTACAGATTAAATTTGGGCATTCTGAGGCAACGTTTTCTGAATTCAACTGTCCCAAATGGGAAATTATTGTGCGGGTTGAACTAGAAACGGCTAACTTTAACTTTAATTGTTGAATGTCATTACAAATCAAATTGATCGACCAAGGGGGGTTGAATTGTTCAATGGTGGTTTTTAAAGTTTTCGTGTGAATTTATTGACATTTCCGACAATCTCCACTGGCTAGATTTTAAATGAAACGATGCTGCTACAACAACAAGATGTACTAGCTTTACCCCATCTTTCCACTGAAAGCATGCATTAGCTGATATAAATAGTAATGAAAGTTCAGATTTTTACGTTGCATCGTGGTAATGACAGACAAAACAGCCACATGACTTCAATAGACGACAAGAGTGCTCCGGTAAAGGAGGAACTTGAAAGTGCTTCAGTTGATGTTGAACCAGAAATATCCGAGGAGCATAAACAATATCTTATTGCTAAACATGGGACTTACCATTTATCACCATTACCAACAATGAACGATAATGATCCATTGAATTGGTCAAATGGAATGAAGTTTTTACAATTGGGAATGGTTGCCTTTCATGGATTCATGACCACCTTCTTGACAACGGGTTTAGTCCCAGTTGCAGGAGTGTATGCTCAAAAATTCAATATGCCAACTTCACGTATAGCTTATTTGATTTCAGTGCAAATCTTAGTAGTTGGTGTGTTCCCGATAGTTTGGGTACCATTTATGGACCGGTATGGAAAGAGACTACTTTTAATCATTTCCACTGTGGGAAGTATGGCTTTCTCATTAGGAAGTGTCTTTTGCAACACTTATGGCTCAATGATGGCAATGAGGATAATGCAGTCAGTATTCATCTCCCCTGGTATTGCTGTTGGTGGTTCGATAGTAAATGAAACCACATTTAGTCATCAGAGAGGATCCAGGAGTGGGATATGGGCGATTTCAGTAAATTTGGGTACGATGGTTGGTGCATTTTTGATGGGGTTTGTTGCTGGGCATCAAGATGCCAAATATATCCACGTGGTGTTTACATGTATCAACTTTGGACAAGCCGTCTGCTATGTGTTTCTTGGGAAGGAGTCACTGTACAACTACAATGATCTAACACGAAATGAACCAAACAGATTCAAACAATTGCGATTCAAAACCATCTTTCCCGAGAATCGCATAACCTTGAAAAGAATTGTTTACCCATTAAAATTTTTTGGCAACTTGAAAATCTTTATTCCAACCTTTGCATATTCAGTTTGTTTTCTTCAAGCAAATATTGCCATGAATATTGAAATTCCAGAGGTTATGGTTGCAAAATTTGCTTTAGGTCCGCAAGCATTAGGGTTACAATTCATCTCCTTTATTATCGGTACAGCCATCGGTGAAGTTGGTGGATACATGTCTGATCGGTTAGTTGCTTGGGGTCAGAAAAACGGTAAAGGTCCATCGTTTAGATTGTGGTTGACGTATCCAGGATTTATTGCATGTTGTGTTGGGTTAATCATATTTGGTGTACAGATTGAACATGCTAAAACGTGGAATGTTACACCCTTGGTTGGGTGTGCGTTTGCTTCTTTTGGTTTACAAATCATGACTTCGCCAATTATTGCATTCTGTATTGATATGGATCATAAGGATGCTTCCGCAATTGTTGTATTCATCACTGCGGTGAGACAGGTGCTTGCATTTATTGGCCCTTTTTACTTCCCACACATGTATTCGGATTTGGGCTTTGCCAAATCGTATGGCATTATGGCTTCACTTATTGGTGCCTTGTCGCTTATACCTATGTTTATTTTACACTATTTAGCTGCAAGTAAAGGAAAGTAACAGTACTGCTTGAAAGAGTGGGCGTGCATATCCTGCTCCTCTTAGTTTGATTTGGTTAGAACATTGAATTGATTGGGAACGTGTATATGACTCACTTGATGTAGCTAACTCTTCACCGTAGTGACATGAAGAAAAAGTTCCATCTCCCTCCAAGTTGAACCGAAGCCGTGGGGTCTGGGACTCTCGTGACCGTATCTTGCATATCATCCCTCGCTTTCTTGATGAAGTGTTGAAGCTTTAGCCGAGGGTCAAGTAGAGTCCAGAACCTTTGAAAAGTTATGTGATTACGAAGCTTCAAATGCCCATTGCTGTTTCATCAAGGCGTTTTAAACTTTTCTCTTTGTTCGTTTTTGCACCCGCTGCATTCGATAAATATCTTCCTAAGATGGCAATAGCAGCAAAAAAAAAAAGCTGTTTCGTTACAATGTGGACTAGCTGTACTGGCACATTTGGTGAAGCAATGTCAAACAAACATACTGAATGAGTCTTCGAAATGGTCGTAATATTTGTAAGATGATTGCACGAATATTGAGTGCTCCAGATGCTTTAAAACATCAGAACTCGTATATGCACAAAATCTAAGATCTTTCCTGCACTTAACAAGCTACCAGCTTTTGTGACTCAATTCATTTCAAAGATCGTAAATCAATACTCGCCGTCAGGCAACTTGTGCTTTCAAAAGACAAAAGAATGGAGATGTTAGACACAAAGTGGTACAGTATATATATATATGTGTGTGTGTCATAGTTAGTGGGTTTCCTTCATGCATATCTAATTACCATACACAAAGTCCATTAGCACTCGATTTTGTGGCTATCCACGATGGAGAAAGCAAGAGTCAAATCGAAGCTTCTTGGCCTTGTAATCCAACCAGACGTGGGGGTTGACATTAACAAACAACACCGATAAGAATATCATGGATTTCAGATCAGGCTAATCGTTTATCCAGAGTCTGAGCCTGCCAATAGACGCGGTGAAATGCAATATTATTACAAACTTATAGAAGCTATTGAAATTTTCATATTAAAGACAAGAAAATATGGTGACAAAAATAAGTATGAAACGGGACAATTATAACTACGACTTAAATGAAAAAGGTCATTTTTTTTCTGATTCCCATCTGTTGTTCCAAGTCGGGAGAGTTTTCTTTATCTTTGGTTGATTTACTTGCATTTCCGTTGCAGTTATATAGCATAACCTCACTTGCAATACAAGGTACTGCACTATTGGTACTACCCCACACTTTGCAGTACGAACACCTGGCTCGAGGCTCATATAAATACCCTGGTTAGAAACCACGAATGTTGTTGCATCTGAGCACAAGCTGACAGTATCACAAGTAGCGAAAATGTCTTCATTAACGGAGGATAAAATGGTCAACACGAAGGAGGAAATTGAATACATTGCAACCGAAGATGAATCGGGACTTTCAGAAGAACACAAACAGTATCTCATTGCCAAACATGGGACCTATGATTTGGTTCCTCTACCATCAATGAATGACGATGATCCCTTGAACTGGTCAAATGGGTTTAAACATTTACAATTGGCGATGGTGGCATTCCATGCATTTATGGCTACCTTTATGGCCTCAGGTTTGGTACCTGTTATCGGAATGTATTCAGAAATTTACCAGATGTCAACCCCGGACGTGGCTTACTTGGTATCAGTACAGATTGTGTTGATTGGTGGGTTCCCATTGTTGTGGGTGCCTTTGATGGAAAGGTATGGAAAACGTTTGCTTTTGATTATTTCGACACTTGGAACCATGTGCTTTTCATTGGGAAGTGTGTTTAGTACCACTTATGGCACTATGATGGCAATGAGATGCTTACAAGCTATTTTCATTTCACCTGGATTAGCAGTCGGTGGTGCCGTGGTGAATGAAACCACATTCAGTCATCAAAGAGGTTCAAGAAGTGGTATTTGGGCAATTGCTGTAAACTTGGGCACAATGGTGGGAGCTTTGTTGATGGGCATTGTTGCCCAGCATCAGGACCCCAAGTATATTCACGTGGTGTTTACATGTATCAACTTTGGACAAGTTGTTTGCTACGTGTTTTTTGGAAAGGAGTCGCTTTACAATCACAAAGATTTATCAAGAAACGAAACTAATCGATTCAAACAGTTGCGGTTTAGGGCCATATTCCCCGAGAATCGTATAACTTTAAAAGATACTTTTTACCCCATGGTGTTTTTCACAAATTGGAGAATCTTTATTCCAACTTTTGCATACTCAATGTGCTTTCTTCATGGAAATATTGCGTTGAATATCGAAATTCCTGAAGTCATGTACATCAAGTTTGGGTTGGGTCCGCAAGCTTTGGGGTTGCAGTTTATTTCATTCATAGTTGGCGCTGCCATTGGTGAAGTAGGTGGATACATGTCGGATAAGTTGGTGGCATGGGGTCAAAAGAGAGGTAGAGGGCCATCATTTAGATTGTGGATTACGTATCCTGGTTTTGCCACTTGCATTATTGGACTAGTTGTATTTGGGGTGCAGATAGATGCTGCTACATCGTGGAATGTCACACCTTTAATAGGTTGCGCGTTAGCATCATTTGGTTTGCAAATCATGACGTCACCATTCATTGCATATTGTATTGACATGGATCATAAACAAGCTGGGGCAATCATTTTGTTCATCACTGTTGTCAGACAAACACTTGCATTCATAGGCCCATTTTACTTTCCAGTTATGTTTGCGAAATTAGGATTCACGGTTGCTTATAGTGTAATGGCTGGTATTATTGCCGGTTTGGCATTCATTCCTACTCTTGTTTTACAAATCAAAGACGCTAAGAGTGGCAAGTGAGAGGAAAGGTTGTGATTTTTACCAATTTCTATATAGTTTTATACATAATCTATGATCAAAGATATATCTACTCTTCAATAGGCGACCTAGTCTTCCGTGATTAGCGCGTCATTAACAAGCGTTTCAAATTAAGGGGAAATTACCACGTGGCAGTACATAGCCACCAAAAGCATCTCCCTCATTGTCTTTCCAAAGATTGTCCAAACCTGCTCAATGGCCAAAGAATCATCACCACTTTCCCCACAACTAAACCTTTGCTAATTGGACCAAACTCGTTGGAGTCTATGGAATGCACTCGATTGTCACCTTCCACCCAATAATGATTCCGCGGTATTTTTACTTCCAGCTTAGGATAATTAGAAGTCGGTAGTATTACATCTCCATTTATTCCCACAACTCTCTTTGTCAACAACTTCTCGGGATCTAAAGGCAGACGAAACATAATTACATCGCCTCGAGATATATTACTCTCCTTGGTCTTTATATTATACTTCTGTACTAGCACTATATCTTTCGACGTTGTAGTTGTTCCTGGATTGAATGTTGGCGTCATTGAAGATCCACTGATTTGATAGGGTTGGTACACATGATTAGTGAACGAGTATAGTACAGGCAACCACGTTATTGTAAGTAAAGTGGTTTTCAAACTATGACTTAATGGCATCGGGTTGAACCTGTGGGTATTATTTGTGGGGCTGGGTAGTGACCTATTGTTAGCAAAAAGAGTCAAATCTGCAATACTTCAACAGAATCTGAAAAATCTCTTTGTCTTCATCTTTTGTTTTCTGTTGCGCGCATTTTTTGCCATTTCTATTTCCTCTTACTCAAAAATCTTTCCAAGCATTGCTGCACTTTTCTTTATTTGGTAATTCTTACTTTACTCATTGAGTCTGAATGTCGCAACAACAGAAAGGTGGTTTACTAGACCAGATCCTCTTGGAGGATGTAGCAAGATGCTGTCCTCATCAGTTTCTTGCTTTCCATCAGTGTATGTCCTTGCCACAACCAGATCCAGAGCACTGTCTAAAGCAACAAGTTGAATTGACACAGTGCATTAGGACCTCTGTGCCTTCATTTCAAAAAATCCAAGGTGAGTGCTCGGGTAAACTACAAGCTTACGAAGCATGTTTAAAGATGAACAAGAGTCAGACGCTGAAATGTACTCATGAGCTTGAAGACTTGAGAAATTGTGCATTTGGATCTATAAATAAGTAGACTTTTGTTTGTATATATAGGGGAAAATATAGAGGATCATTTTTAAACACGATATTTTGGTTTCAAGTTTTCAAATCTGATGTTGGATAAAAAGTTTTTAGTAACTTCTCTCAACTCTGACGAACGTTCATGAGTCTCTTCAATCTCATGTTTATGATGCAACAACTCGTGTTCAATGTCCTCTTTGTGTTTGATCTTTGTGTCTGGATCATCTTTGGCATGGTATTGCTTCCAATGGTGTTCTTCGTACTCACTTTCAAAATCCAAATGGTGACCCTGTCCGTATCCGAAATCAGGCAACTCGCCTCCATTGTTATGGAACGTCACCCACTCATCTTTACTTATAGCACCATTCTTATCAGTGTCAAACAATTTAAAGATTGACTCAACAACCATGTTTTGCACTTCAGGTGTCACTTTGCGAGAATTTTCACCCATACCTGATCCATCGCCAATGATAACCTCATGTTTCATTCCATAAAGGTTGAGAATATCGCCTCTATCCCATTGGCCAGCACCTTTCAAATCATGTATGGTAAAAAAGGTTTGAGCATCGTAGTCGGCAATGCCGTGTTCTTCTAACATGTGCCAATCTTGCCATCTCAAATGTGAAGGTTTCTCCTTTAGTATGTTCTGAGAGTGATCTCCGTGGGCAGTGACAGTGATTGCAGATACAAGAAGTACTGCCGTAGACAAGAACTTCATTGGTGGAAGGAAAGCGATGTTGAACTGAATTTTGTTGAGATCTCGTCAAACTTTGATGACACAAAATATTTCCTCGAGAGAGGAGACCTTTTGGCTTTTTCAGCTGCCATCGCCACCATTCTCCCCACAAATTGTTGCATGACAGATTACAAAAATCCCAATTTACTTAACAAGTCCTCTGAAGCAAGACAAGGTAGAGAGAACCAGCGATACAATGAAGAGACTGGGGCTAGGATTGTTGCTGGATGCATATGTTTGAATGAAACCAAAGACAAAGTGATTATGATTTCATCTTCTAAACATAAAGATCGCTGGATAATGCCCAAAGGTGGTAATGAATTGGATGAACTGGAATTGGAAACAGCTGTGAGGGAAACTTGGGAGGAAGCTGGTGTTGAAGGGATCATTATCAAGAAATTGCCCGTGGTGATGGATTCGCGAGGTCAAAAAGCACCCGTAATCAAAGGTGACTTTGATTCGGACCACATACCTAAAAGTGAATTCCACTTCTTTGAACTACAAGTTGAACAATTGAGTACCACGTGGCCCGAAATGAAGAAACGGGAGAGAAGATGGTGTACTTATTCCGAGGCCAAACACGAGTTGCTTAAACTGAAACGTCCTGAACTAGTTGATGCATTGAATATGAGCTCTATACAAAAGGACACTGAGGTTAAAACAGTTGATGAATACTGATACCGACATCAGTTTTTTATTTAAATAACCCACTCATGAGATTAGCCATTAAGCCTCCTTGATTATTTGAATTGCCAATGTTTAAATTGAAATAAAATTTGCCCAAGTATTCTACCGGTGCCAACAACTCTCCATCTTTTAATACAGATTTATAGTGGTCGTATAATTTTCTAAATTTTTGACTGTTTGTTTGTGGATCCTTTTGTAACACTTCGACCAACAATTGAACAAAGTTGAGCAAGGGATAATTTGAATAGTAATCTATGTCCCCAACTTTTTCTGACTCGGCATCAATACCTCTGAGAAACAATGTTTGAGCTTCTTTCACAAACTTTATATTCTTCAAGTATGCGTAATTCAACACAGGTCTTGCTAAAAGTGCGCCTGCATCAGTATTTGAATTGGCTTTTGCAGTAGCAACTAGAAAGTTCACGTAAATCGGCACTGATTCAAATGTACCCAAAACCAAGTGCAATTCAGCCACGGCAAATATTTTAGCTTTTTGCTCATAATCTATATTGTCCTCCTCCACCACTTGTATGAGTTTTGACCCAAACAAATGGTGCAATTCATTATCACCAAATTTTTCACAGCCTTGCGATTTCTGTGACCACGTTATACTAGCCTTTGCCAAATCGTTGAGCAGTGGATCGTTGTTGGGCAAGCTTGAAATCAAATCAATTAATTTAAGTTTTGCTTCCCTGTCAGTAACTTTCAATCCTTCTTCCTCATAAACTTGTATAAGGTAGAGAATCAAGTCGGATGCGGAAGCGTGTTCCTTGTTTTTAATGAGGATGTCAGCACCTTGATACAAGAGATCCCTAGCTTCTGAGTACTGTTTGGCTTTGACGTATCTATTGGTGATTGTTCTCAATGTTTGGTGAGCTTCATAGAAGGATCCAGCATCAATTTTGGATTGAAACCTTTGAATGGTTTTAGTCAATTTATCCGACATTTCTGGGGGTCGCTAGTGCTGGCGTTGGGAGAGGTTTCACCACTTGAGGCAAAAGATTCACCAAATTTTTGTTTTCCTCTTAGAATGGGTAAACACACGACTTTTGATTTCACAGCCAAATGGGTTTCCATGCGGATGCAACATGATGCGATATTGGGAGCCCACACATCGTTGGGCGGGGCTCGATCTTATGCCCCAAGTTGCTTGAACATTTGTGGACACAACTTTACGCTTGTGTCACTTCACTTCGTCATTTTACAATGTAACCTTGAACAATTATGCTTGGCCATTAACACTACGAAGCAAACAACTATAAATCCATTCCATCTAGCTGGAACTCACGACCTCTAGCGATCTCGTTTGTTAGCAATCACTTTTTGAACCACAACTCCATTTTGATTTTGCAATATGTATTTAAGACCCAAATGATTGTCAGTGAAATGAAGCTTCTTACAAATTTCAATGAGATCGAGAGTTGCAGCCTGGTCCCAACCCAACTTGTCAACTTTTAATGCTTGTATTTTGCTGGGGGAGCCAAAGTTGAACATAAGCAGTTTCAAAACCAAGTTGACTTGATCAAAGTGGATTGTTTCCACATCCAACTCTTGCAATGTTGATAAACTGCCATTAATCAATTTTGCTAACAAAATGGTAACCAACTTTGCCGGAGAAAATTGCTTGTAATAGTGTGGGTCTGTTGAATTTCTAGTTATGGGTCCCACGATTGTGTCATAAAAGGATGAGAACCTTGTTCTTCGAATGCAACAAACTGAGTTGAACTTCAACTTTTTCAATTTGAAAGTGGGTACATTGACAACCTCCAATACGGTTTTCCTCATTCCATTCCTGGTTATGCATAAGCTCAAGTCTGACACAGAAGGAGGTAATTTATACAAAATCGTGATTATATCATTCACCGATGTGCTGATTGAAACTGTTTCCAAATTGGGGAATCTATGAACTACCATGATTATTGCCTTTTTTGGTTTAATCAAATAAATAGTTCGAATTTTGCAGCAAGCTCTAGTCCGAACCCATTTCTGTAAATCTCTTGGATGGGTTGAGTCTTTTGATTTTCCAAGAACAAGTGGCGTCAACATGTACAAAATATGATAGTGGTCATAGTATAGCTGTTTGCAAGTGTATAATAATGAAAGGATGGGTTGATATTTGCGGTCCAATTTCCACCTCTCAAACATAATTTTGGCAATTGCGTGATGAGGAAGATTAAGTAGCGTTGGTGATGGTTGCTTTTCCATGTTGTTGCGGGAATGAAAACTGGTGTGGCTATTATGATTCCTTTGTTATGTTGCAAAAAAAAAAGGAAGCTCATTATAGTAAGACCAACTGAAATGGCTGGCAAGAAAAAAATGAAGAGAGAAACGCTTAGCAAAGAGCCGAGGCTGAAGGTCCACTATAGAAACGTCGTCCTCTTGTAATGTCCAGCTATGTACAAAGTTACTGTTAAAAGCTATGCCAGTACAATCCGTCCCCTGCTTCAGTGAGACCAACATCAAACATTACAGAGGCTAAACAAAAACTGTTATCCCTTATTGTCTACAAAGAGTAACCATTCAACATATTCCACAAGTAAACAGCTTTCTGAAGTAAGCCCTCTTAATTATTGGCCAGTACTTGCAATCCCGGCGTAGTAATAGGCTAAACCCGCAATTTATGGTAGCTCCACCAATTCTCTACCTATCAAATCAAAAGACTACGCAAAAAAAAATCATACTGAGAGCCAACTTCCCTGTTTGTCCGCAAGAGTACCACAAATGAAGGTTTCAACTAGATTATTAAAACACACGATCAAGTTTGTCGGGGGACCACACCCTGTTCCAAGTATGTTTGGATAAATTTCAATCTATGCAGCAGTATTTTATTTTTACTAACATTCAATCGCAGAACCTCACTCAGCAGGCCCACATCCACTTGCACCAAAGGGCGTAGTACCAGGATCCGTTGGCGTTTCTTCAAGTAGTGGCTCCCAATCGAGGAGTTTCCACCACAGCAGTCCTGTTGAGCCACAGAATGGCGAATATTTCTCAAGAAGCGAATTGCCAAAGAGATTCAGATATCCAACTATAAAAGATTGGGAAATTGACCAAGTGAGTAGTGGAGGTGCTGATGTTGTCTTTTGAGCAGACGGTAATCTGCTCTGTTTATAGATGCAAGTTTATTTGAAGTTCAGAGATGAATTAGTGAAAATATACAAGTTACATTTTGAAAAACTAAAGTTTAAGGGTCAATACCATTTCTGGTGGTGACTGTCTTTCACCTGTAGTAATCCATTCGCTCTATTCTCCCTGTGTTGGTGTAATTGCATTGTAAAATGGATCCTCTCTTTCTTAATATATGGAGTCGCCGCAATGGTACAATACGAGCGACAGAGAAAGAAAAAAAAAAAAGTCGCCACTAAAGATTTCCATTACTATAACACCCGTTCAATCACCATCAATTGCCATCAATGAATCACGATCCATATCAATGGGGAAGACCCTCGAACGAAACTTACGGAGCATACAATCACAACATTGCAAATGCCAGCAATGAAGAGTTTAAAGACTACAACCACCATGCACATCAATTTCCCAAAATGAATACGCAACAACCTATAATCACTGGTACCTCAGTTATAGCTTCCAAATTTGCCAATGGTATCATAATGGCAGCTGACCATGTGGGATCTTACGGGTCATTGTTGCGTTTCAATAATATAGAGAGGTTGATTAAAGTGGGACTGGAAACGGTTGTTGGTGTGTCTGGTGATATTTCCGACTTTCAATATATACAAAGACTTTTGGATGAGTTGGAAATTGAAGAGGAAGTGTATGATAACGATGGTGGTAATTATTTGAAAGCCCCCAACGTGCACGAATATTTGTCAAGAGTTATGTACAATAGAAGGTCCAAAATGAATCCCTTATGGAATAGTATTGTTGTTGGTGGATTTGACGCCGAAAAGAAACCATTTTTGAAATACGTTGACTTGTTGGGGGTTACCTATCATGCTTCAACTATAGCCACTGGGTTCGGATCACATTTGGCAATACCATTGTTGAGGAACTTGATACCAGAGGACAAGGATTACGTGAAAGTCAATGAAGATCAAGTAAGGAAAGTTGTTGATGATTCAATGAGAGTATTGTTTTATAGAGATGCCAGATCGGGAGAAGTATATTCATATGTTGTGATCAAATTGGATGAGGAATCCGGTGAAATTAAATTTGAATTTGTCAAGGATGCGAAAGTGGAGAATCAAAGTTGGAGATTTGCCCAGGATATAAGAGGCTATGCTAGTAAACAGCAATAGAATAAGTGAATGTCTAGGTAAGGTATAAATTGTCTCAATTGGGTTGTGATTGATAGTGTCACGATACACTCTGTTTACATGAAACAAGCTTTGGTTGAACAACCGCTATTGCTCTATAACATCGTCAATCATGAAACAAAACACTGTACTTCTTTTTTCTTCTACAATGGTGTCTCTTTCTAAGTTCAGCCTCGCCATATTCATCCAGTCTCATATCATATGGCGATTGTTTCCATTTTTGTGTCCTCCGCATTTCTTTTTTTTTTTGTTTCGTCTAAATTTATAGTGACGTATTCACCCACACAAGTGTAGCACCCACAAGTCATAAACCACACACACACCATATGTCATTTGAAATAACGTTTTTGGGTGCCAGTGGTGGTCCATTAGAAGGCAACACGTGCTCCCTACTACTCAAGTCAACCAATATGAGCTATTCGGAGTTGTTGGAATTGGAAACTGACGTAGATAGCAATCCACATACATACAAGACCAATAGTGAGGAAATATTATGTATTGATGCTGGATCGGGTATGGGCAAACTAACGGAAATAATCTATCAAGAAAGCAAGTATCATGAATCAGCGTGTAACTTGTTAAACTATTATTTTGATTCAGAATCGATTGACTATTACTATCACAAAGGTGTCAAAAGAATCGAACCATTTGTCAATTTCAACGAATACAATACCATCACATATGCTAAACTCCTATTCCACAAATTGAACAACTTCCTAATAACGCACCCACATTTGGATCATGTGTCATCGTTGGTGATCAATTCAGCAGGATTCACAGCGAACAATCCACCAAAACAAGTTTATGGCTCCAAATACACAATCAAATCACTTCAGCAGCATTATTTCAATGGAATTGTGTGGCCAAACATGCCAAGTTTTGATATACTTGAGTTGACACAGTTGGAGTTTGGAGAGACGTATACAATTGGCAACTATACCGTACGAATGTTTCCATTAAGTCATGGGGAATTAAACATGATTGAGAGTAAGAAAGCGGGGAGGCATTCAAGTATTACAACAATCCCCGCTGGTGTCAATGAGAGCCATTATACAAAGTCATCAACTAATCGCAAAAGTAGTGATCCAGATGTACATCATTACCAATCTACTTCTTTTTTGATATCGAGGAATGATGCGTACTTGCTTGTATTTGGTGATTTTGAAAGTGACATGGTTAGCAAACTTCATCGGAATCAAAGGATATGGAAACACGTTGCACCACTAATATTGCAACATCAATTAAAAGGTGTGGTTTTGGAATGCTCAAATGCTCGAGAAACAGATCCCAATGAATTGTATGGTCATTTGACTCCAAAACATGTTATCTATGAGCTAAAACAGTTGGAAAGGGAGGTTAAGAAGCTAGAAGGTGGTGGCGAACTGCCGTTGAAGGGATTAAATGTCATAATCAATCATGTTAAAGAACCCATACTATCTAATATTCGTGAGATTACTGATCCACGCAAACGCATCTTGACTGATTTGAACAAGTATAATGAGGAAGAAGGTTTAAGGTGTCATATATCAATCGCTTTAAGTGGAACTACTATAGTATTGTAAAGCTAGAGAAACAAAGATTTCAATTCTGTACAATATTCGTAATACTTACTCTATTATATAACTTTCTGAAATGACATTGGCGTGTAAATCAAAGGGCAATGATTTTTCATCGTCATCATTGGATACAACATCAATTATAGATACGCCACCCAATGAAACATCACTTTCAACCAAATCAACATTGTTTATATCAAATTGGACCTCCAAGGGGAACAACGACTCTTCGTCACCACTTTCAACGGGCACAGTAAATTCAAATGAGCCCTGTGGGTCATCAATTGCAATTGAACCGATATTGAATACAATTCCTGTTTGATCCAAAATGTCATACGAAATAGCATCGTTGCCATCTTGTAATACTACATCATGACTTACAATTGGAATCAACACCTTGACATTTTCAACTTTGAAGGATTCATTTGGATGTGATGATGTGAAATCCGAAGTCAACTCATACTCTAGTGTAACTTGAGTTGTAGAATTATCATCAATGTTTACCCAAGCAGTAATCAACACTGGGATTGAAGTCAAGTCATCTTGTTTACCAACATATCTCCATCTCAAAACCCCCAAAGCTTGGTCATTGGATGGAAAAGTTTTTGATTTATCCTTGACGGTTAATATACTTTCATTTTGAAACAAGTTTCGATCAACATTTGGATGCGTCTTGTATTGCTTCTTGTCGGCTTTATCACTAATCTTCAACAAAATCTTGGCATTGGCTAATGATTGATCATTAATTCTCAATTGTAAATCACCTTTAACTTCAGATGAAATTACTGATCCTTCACGAGACAAACGCGCATTAACTTTCTCATTTACAGTAACAAGGATACCATTATTGGGTACTTTGGGGGCCAGTGGGCCAGGTGAGGCTGTTTTGGATACTGGTGCTGGTGATTGTTGGTATTGTGGAGTTGCTGAAGTGGAAGGTTTGTTGAAGGCGGGCTGATTGCTCAATAATGGTTCATTCCCTGGTGCAGTTGGCTTATGGGTTTTTTTACCCAATTGTAGTCCACCACCTCTTGGTCTTGAACTGAATGCAGATTTCGATTCTTTTTCAGTTTCTATAGGCAATGGAGGTTGATAAACTGGTTGTGTAATAGGTTGACTCAAGTTGGAGTAAGAAGAAGCACCACCACCACCACCAATACCACCAGAGCCTCCAAACCTTTGACCAAAATCGTCATTGTTTCTATTTGCCAATTCTCTTCTTTGAATCTCTTTGGCTCTTCTTTTCCTCTCTTCAGCAGCTTCAAATTCCTTATTTCTTTCAATGATCTCTTGAATTTTCTCCTCGTGTGAATGCATCTCCAAAAATGTTTGAACTTGACTAATGGTTAAATTCTCTTTATATCCCATATTGATAATCTCATCAAACGCATCAATGATATCAAATGCACAATCGAAAATTTCTCGTTCATCGATGTTACGCAACAAGTTGGAAACAGCTGATGCAAAAAGATGCAAAGTATCAATATCTTGCAAAATGTTTGACGTTTTGTTTGAAATTAAAACAATGTAAAATTCTTCTAATGGTTGATATACATATCTCACATTTTCATCTTCAACGGTTGTATGTTGACTTGAGGAATTGGAAATTAAACTTGGGAAATTGGCCAAGAGGGCAGTGATTCTGTCTTTGGAAATGTCTCTGAATTGTCTTGATAGCAATGGTTTACCGCCACGGGTACAAATTGATGCGGCCAAGACTACCATTGAGTGGGGGAGTTAGATGTATGAGTTGTGAAGGGCTGTTGTTGGGTTCGTTGTTGGAAAAAAGAAAACGACGTGTTTTGAAATCGACAGAAAAAAAAAAGTAGGAAAAGGTCGTGTACATTGATGAGTTTCTAAAAAGTAGAATTTGAGACACGACACAGGGAATCATTTTGCAGCTAAAACGTGATCCAGTTGAAAGTCCGATTTGCTAATGTCGTAGTTTGTTAGGTTCGTGCTTTTCATGATAATTGAGCTGGATTCGAGATGTTTGTCAAGAACGGGGAAACTTTACAAATTCAAACTTTCGATTCAATTTCTTGCTTATTTCTTCATACAGACAGATTTTACTAACATATAGAAATGTGGTAAATACCCACAATTTGTTATCTACACACAGTTCAATTCCCTAAACCAAAACACGTCTAACAGATTTCTTCCAGGAATGTAAAATCAAGCTTACACTAAATACAAAGTTAGTATCACGCAATAGCCACACATCCTCTCAATCACATACCAATAACTCAGGAGTTACCAACTCTTTGAACTTTTTCAACTTTTCATCTACACTACTGGAAATGAACGCCTCTAGTGATGTCCTCTGCAAAATCTCCTGTGCTTGGAAATATGTCAATCCACATTCACACAATAACCCATATTGTTGATTATCCAAATCTACTGGTTCATCAACGAATTGCGGTGGTTCCAGTTCAATGATTTCCAATAGCCAGAGTAGAGCGTCTTCATTGGACACAAAGAGTAGTTTAATATTCAAGCCAAGACATATCAATTGTAATGTTTGCAATTTGATTCCGGCATTTGCAACAAATGACGCGGTATTGACGACCGCAACAATGTACAATTTATGAAAATGTTGTTTCATGGTCAAAACTTCTTTGAGAATTAGGAAATTAGTTGATTTCCCATCTCCTTGGATGAGCAAGTCTGCTGCGGTTATGTATATTGCTGAAGTAGTATTAATGACGATATCGACGGCATGGCTAAACTTGACTTCAAGAACACTTATTTTCTCACTCAAACTTTTAGCTAACGTGTAATCCTTGTTCCAAAATGATTGTGATAATGCAATATATTGTTTAGGTGGAAATTGGTACTCTTTCGTTGACTCGTTGAAAGAAGAGTCGAAAAAGACACTATATTGAGGGATTTTAGACTCTGTAGATGTGTTTTCGGGAGCTTTTTCTTTATCTTCCTCCTTTCGGGCTTCCTTTTTAGGGTGTAAGAACAGAAGCAAGGCTAGTTCTTGTGGTATGTCAACCTCTTTTGTATTCAACTTGCGTTTCTTTGTCGCCACCAAATGCACCAATGCTTCAGTATCATCGTGGTACGTTGCTAAATTAGTAGCTCCATTGTCAACGTCGGGTCGAGCCGTTGTTGTTGTTTGTTCTTGCAATTGAGGGTAGTCCAAAACAAATGTGTTTTCAACAACAAATGGGTTCAACTTGATGTCATGAGCGGTGGTGATCGGCTCAATCAGTGGATCGATTTTAGCATCCAAAACCTCTTCAAGAAATTGACTTTGCAAAGTTTTGATATCGGCAGTTATCGGTTTCCATTCCATTTCCACAATGAGTTGATATTTGTTCAAATGCCATGACTTGTTGTTAAAACGTTTATCCAAATATAGTTGAAGAAAATATTCGGCTGGTTTGTCTTGTTTTGGATTTGCCGTTGCTGTCGGTTGTACCATATACTTTCTGCTACGAGTGATTTCCCGTTCAAATAAAAACATATTTAAATCATGAGTATTGAAATGATGGGTCAAGCTTGGAGCACCCCAGTTGGCCAATTGAAATTGAAATATTTGGTCGTCGCTCTTGTTTGGGAAAATCGTCGCACAATCAATTCCAATGGAGTACCGGTTAACCAAGTTGAGTTGATGTGGTAGGAGTGTGCCGAAATCACGTTCTAGGGGAGGTAATTTGGAATCTATCCTTTGCTCAATTATGTCAAACAAACTAATTTTGTCATTGGTGTCCCATACTTTTATAGTAGGCTCTTTAGGAACTTGTGGTAGTTGTAAAATCACTGGTGTTGGAACAAATATTGAATTCAAAGTGGGGTTAAGTTGTATAGGTTTAGTTGCATGTAGAGGCTCCACAGCGCACTCCAGTATAGGCTCTTCCAAGAAGGCAAACTCTCTATGAGGCATACGTTGCAAGTTGAATGGTGGTGGTTTTATCGGTTGACAAACTTGACCTGATGCAATATAATCCAAGTACGAATTCCACAGCTTTGCCGCTTTAACTGTTTTGTAATTGGCATTGACAAAATACTTTTCAGAAACAATGACAGATGCAAACTTGGGATGAAGACCTATCTCAATTGATGTGGTTTTCAACTGATGAACGAGAATTTGTGACACTTGTTTGCTGACTGTGATAACTTCATAGTTGAATTTAGGTATGGTGTTGTCAACTTGTGGTAGTGGCCATTCAGTGGTATTGATTGGCTCTGATACAAGATCAATGAACTTGGCAGGTGGTTGAAACATCTCCGGTGTGGGTATAGCTTAACGTTTTTGAAAAAACTTTGCAACCAAAAATTGGGAACCCTCTTGATGAAGTCCCCTAGGGCAAATAATATTCTAATGGCATGAAGGATTATCAGTCCAGCCTGTTTCGGGAAAAAGTACAGCTACGATAACGTAGCAGTTGTTTTCACAGGGCCTAGTAGATAAGCAAGCATGATGCGCCTCTCACAAGGTAATTCAATGCATACATAGTCCACTGCATGGTTGTGTCACATTCCTGCACTTGACGAATATTGACGACGCGTGTAAAAAGACTCAAATGCTCAACAGATCGACAAATAGACTATTGGCAGAAGAAATAGAGGAACCGAAGTTGAGCTAGTTTGTAGATCGTCAAACTATAGAGTTGTTGGAAAACTCGTGAATCATAAAATTCCACCTCGAAACAAAAAGAGAGAAAAACAAGCATTGTCATGAACAATGTGAAAGAGAAGTAAAATTGGAGATGACAATACCTGCCAAGAATACGGGTACGAAGAAGAGCAACTTTATTTTCAGGGGAGGTGGGTTAAGAGTAGATGAATTAGGAAGAGTGTGGTTGTGTATGGTTATTTTGCAAAAGGTGTTGTTGTTTCTACAAATTAGGCTAAAACATAAACAAGTAACAATTTGTGTGGTTTTGTGGATATGATTTTGTAACTGTACACACGACTAAATATACAGTGAAACAACGTTAAATAGTGTTTAGTACTGTACGAATTAATATTCTTTAATGAAACCCTGTAAATCTTTGAAAACAAGACAATTTAGAGAATGATATATTACTCTAGGGTATACGAGTGGAGTAAGTTGTTTTCACCAGGACGTTGTTTGTCAGATATAACTTTCTATGTAATCAAATGCAATGGTTTTGAAGAAGGTAGTGTACAAGATTACAAAATAGAGCGTTTCCTTCATAATAAGTTATGTACAGGTTCTTCTATGTCTTTGTTCTGTGTACCTGAATACAACGCATCAAATACACAAAAGCCAATACACACAAAATTCGATGATGTAATGGATTTATGCAAATGCAAATGCACATACCCATGTGAAAAAACATTCCATGCTTTGAATGAAAGGAGAGCACATCTATACCGGTCAAAGGAGGTGACTACGTCCACAATACCGAGAATACAATCTTTCACCAAGGAGCAGGCTGACTTTAATTACCTTTCTTTATAGATCTACCTTGTTTCGTATACAGGGAATGTATCACGCTAAATTTCCTCGGCTTTACACTCATCACTTAAGTATGACAATAGAAAGTGTCGTGTAGAGTGAAAGTGTGGTCCTTTGTTTGTTTGTTTGTTTGTTTACAGTACTATTATACTTGTGGGGGGAGTTGTTCAATAAAGAAACAATACGGCACGAAAATTGTAAGTTCTCAGGAACAATAAGGGTTATAAAAAAAAAAAAAGAAAAGTTTTTTGATTGGGTTTCAGGGGGACATTTTTTTAATAAACGCCAAAAAAAAAAAAATGCATCAACACTTGAAAATATTCAAGGGAACAATAAAAAAAAGTTCATGCTACATCATTAATCTTGTTCCTTTTCTTTCATTTAAATTGACAGGATTTTCCCCCTGAATTTCATTAATTAACTTCAAAAACTACTATCATTAACTTCTATTTGAAGACATTATTTTCTTATTAGTTACAACTGGGGATATTTATCGCTCATTGTTGACTATCATTGAATATACAATTAACACCACCCTCACCCACATTCTTTTACTTTACCCCCAAAACAGCCTTGGCTTACATTTCGTTCCCTAATAAACTCCCCTTTCACCATGCCCACCACCTCATTACCATCCAGCATTATATTTGACAAATCAGCCACAACTGATGTATCTACAGTAACACCATCATTATCCAATCTACGTTTGGCCACAGAAGTATACAACTATGCCAACAGTGGTGGTGGATCAGTCCAAACAGTTGGATTATCATCATCATCTGCTGCATCTTCATCACCAGACTCGTCTGATTCTAAATCTTCATCACAAGTCACTGGATTAGTTTACGCTAGTGAATCGTCTGATTTGGAACATGCTACTGGATCTTTTGCTGCTAGTTCCGATGTCAAGACTTTGAGCATATCATCATCATCAGATGCAGCAGCAAGTACCAGTAGTGGATCAAAATCAAGTAGTGGTGGCTCACTTGACTCGTCAGAAAACGGTGCCAGTGAAGTTGTTGGATCAACAAAAGGCGCCAAGTATTTGCTTGTGTTTTCGTTGTTTACTGTTGCTTCAATGGCTGTTTCACTATAAATGAATGAAGCGGAGTTGTAAAGAAACTTTTTTTTTCAAAATGCAACATTGTTTATGATTTTCAGTTCCTTTGGTTTAATGATTTTAGATACCCTCACTTTTTCAAACCATTTAGAGATTAATAAAACGTTCAATTGATATTAAAAATGATTTCGTAGATGAGCGATATGTTGCTCTGTAGATGGAGCAGCTAGGTCCATTATTGAATAATTGGTTAGCTTTAACTTCATCGAAACCTTACCCTTACGACCGTCGGGACTAGTATGCTTATAAACAGGGCACGTTTCAATGATATTCTCCAGACTTTCTTGAACATGTGCCACAAAAAAGCTATACTACGGCTTTAGCCTATCAGATTGACAAGTATCGCCCAACATTACTACAGTATTGGTTGTGTACACCATGTAAACACGGCTGGTGTTACTAATCTTTTCTGTTTGGTTTTATAGTGGCTGCAACGTCTAAGTTATAGAACGCCTTTTGATGAAACAAAACCCAAGAAAAGCGCGGAATTGCTATCCGAGGCGTGCATAATGCGCAAATAATTACCTAGTTGGAGAAGCTTCAAAAAAAAAAAGGTAGTTTCTAACTACGCATGTTGGGGGTGTAACCTCTTATGTGCTATATCCAGCTTCGTTGTTTTATAAAGAGTCTCACTTGGAAAGGAGTGTTTTCTCCCTTTCGGGGTTGTAGCTCCTATACCGGAGTTATTTCGGGGAATGAGGACAAAAGACGCAAACAATGCATTAAGAATAGGAAAAAGTTTTTTCCCGCTTTCAAAACTGAATTTAGTATTAGCCGCAGAAGAATAGCACAAATGAATCATAAAAAAAGGCTATAAGCAATGGGACTTTATATAGTTCTTTTCTTTTTTTTTTTTTTTTCAAGCTCTTCTCACCCACAGTTTGTTTTCATTAGTAATTAGGAACCAAGTGATTCATACAATACCAAGAAGGTTTTAAGGTTATTACTTTACTCGCTAATTTAATCATAATAAAACGTTTTAATTTATACGCCGCACTGGTTTTTTTTACTCCGCTTTACGCTTCAAAATGACAACTACTACATCAGATGACAGCCTGTCAAAACATAGTGTTGTTGACTCAATGGACGCCCATGATACAATACAGCCATACGAAATCCATGCGATTCAGTCACGAGTTTCACAAATTTCCCAAAATTCAGAACAAACATCACGTTTGACAAGGTATCGAACAGGACATTCTGAACTATCGCGTATAATAAGTGGTATACGAGATGATCAACACTTGGATGAACAAGACGATAAGAGGTATAGGGAACGTGGTGATGCCGAATACATTATTGCACAGGAATTGGATCGAGGGATTAGTCGAAATGTGAGTCGTCCTCAGAGTCCTGATTCAGAGAGAGAACAATTTGAACCAGGGAGTATACTAGAGGAAGGCAAGTTGGAAGCTGGTGATGGAGTGGTTGATGATTACCCTACCGATGGGACTTTTGCATGGATAATGTCCATTTGCGCAATGTTGGCCTCGTTCTCCACATGGGGAGCCAATGCCGGGTACGGGGTGTTTTTAAACTACTACCTAAACTCAAACACATTTCCTGAAGCTACCGAGTACGACTTTGCCTTGATTGGTGGTATTGTTGTGTTTGCTGCCAATTTTTTGTCGCCGTATAGCGCCATCTTGAACAAGGTGCTCGGTTTAAAATGGGTATTTGCATTGGGACTCGTGTTTCAAACGCTTGGGTGGATAGCCGCTTCATTTGCCACCAAAGTATGGCATCTATACTTGTCACAGGGTGTTTCTGTAGGTATTTCATTTTCACTTATATTTATTCCATCAACATTGGCACTCCCCACTTGGTTTGTTGAAAAAAAAGCGACATCAATGGGGATTTGTGTTGCTGGTGCTGGATTAGGTGGGTTGATCTTTTCACTCAGTGTAAACAAGGTTATTCAAGATACTGGTGATCAAAGGTGGGCATTACGAATGGTTGGATTTGTCACTTTATTCGCGGTTGTTGTTGTAATTGTATTGATGAGACCTAGACGGTCATTGCAACCACAACCACCGATGAAACAAAGATTGACCCGTACTTATATCAAGGAGAGCTTTAAAGTTATATTTGATTTCCGAGTGGTTAGAAATTATGGATTGCAAATTGTTTCGTTATGGTTTGCCATTGCATTACTTGGATATACATTGATGTTGTTTTCAATATCGTCGTACTCCTCTTCAATTGGATTAACTCATCAGCAAGGTTCTTCCTTAACGGCAATTATGAATGCGGCTCAAGTTGTTGGTAGACCAGCCATGGGTTTAATTGCTGATCGAATTGGTCGATCAAATTTCACTGCCATGATATGTCTACTCATTTCAATACTCTTGTATGCATTTTGGATTAATGCAAAGACATACGGAGCAATGATTGCATTTTCGGTCATTATTGGGTTGATTGTAGGTATTGGATCTTCTTTGGCACAACCGCTAGCTGCTGATGTGTTGGAGGGTCATTTGGAACAATTACCAGCTGGCTGGTCAGCCATAAACATCTTTGTCTCATTCTTTTGTCTTGTTGCTGAAGTCATTGCTTTGGCTTTGGTGGTTGATGGGGCTTCCAATCCTTATTTGCATACACAAATCTTTGCTGGTACATGTTTCTTTGCTTGCTTTTTGGTGATGTTAGTGTTGCGAGAACATTTGGTTAGCAAGATTTTGAAATCACGATATGAGATGGCAAAGACCAAATTGGAGCAAATCAATGATAATGTTACCAAAAATGGGTATTTAAAGGAGGTAAATGTGGAGGAAGGTGAGGAAGAAATTCTACTTGAAAGAGTAGAAAGGTATGAACATTTGTTGAGGAGGTCGGTTTTTGCATTCCTCGGTAGAATTGTATATCCCATAAAAGTATAGAGTATCTCCATTTACATCTTTCTTTAAACTAAGCTGTGTATTATATTCTTTGCTTATACATTAGACCGGTTTCAGTAATGAAAAATACACGATAATCTTGAAAACCTCTAATATACAATAAAATGTTTTTTGAAAACCACTGAAAATAGTGGTCCATGTGTTCCCCCCATCTTCGTATCCCCTCCAAATTGCATCCACCTTAACGGTTAGATTTAGCAACTCTTTCCAATTCATCCTTCTTCTTGATGGCATAAGAAGTAGAAGAACCTTTAGCAGCATTAATCAATTCTTCAGCCAAACATTCAGCAATGGTCTTGATGTTTCTAAATGAAGCTTCTCTAGCACCAATAGTGATCAAAGCAATAGCTTGGTTGACTCTTCTCAATGGAGAAACATCAACAGCTTGTCTTCTGACAGCACCTGAGGAACCGATTCTAGTTGAGTCTTCTCTAGCACCAGAGTTGATAATGGCGTCAACAACAACTTGGATTGGATTTTGTTCAGTCAAAACGTGAATGATCTCCAAAGCATGTTGAACGATTCTAACTGCCTTCAATTTCTTACCATTGTTTCTACCATTCATCATCAATGAGTTGGTTAATCTTTCAACAATTGGACATTGAGCCTTTCTAAATCTCTTGGTGGCGTATTTTCCAGCAGTGTGTGGAACAAAAACTGGTTGGCCAACTTGGATGTAGTCAACTAATGAAATGTCTTTAACTTCAACATCTTGGAATGACCATTTGTTGAATAATTTAACTTCACGTTGAGCTTCTTGAACATCAAGTGGGATTGGGGTGGCCAAGTTGACAATAGTTAATTCTTCTTGGACAACTGGTTGTTGTTCTTCAACTTCAAATTGTTCTTCGACGTCAGACATGATTGTAAACTCTTGTTGGTTGATGAGAAGTCGTAGAAGGGAGAAATTTCAGTAGGTATTCGTTTTGATTTTCCACTTTGGTTAGAGCGATTTTTTTTTTTTTTGAGTCGAGTTGGGAGAAGTTACAAAAAGAAAAAAGTGTGTGCGAAGACAGTAAAAAATTTGATGTGTGGGAGTATCATGTGCGAGAAAGAACTCTTAGGGTATTAGCCCCAAGTGGTTTCAGTGGTAGCGCACATATATATGACCAACAAAGTGTTGAGAAACAGTGACTGTTTTAATCCGAACTAGGACGAAAGAATCCCATTTAAAAGATGTATTTTGGTGCACGTGGCCACTTTCTCAATGACGGCAACTATATCTCCAGAAGCAGTAGTTGATTGCAGTTTACTGCATCGCATCGATCAATTCAGTAAAAAAATGGGTCCATGAGCGCCTGAATACGGGGTGATTGAAAACTATGGAAAGAGGTTCACTTAGATCTCTTATCGACAGCGGATCTACAGATTGCGATGGCATGGACAGTATAATCAACATCCTCTTCGTCGGCGTGTCCTATCTCCATGAGAATTTTTTGGATTGTTGGATTTGATGATGAGAGCGAAATTAATTGATTAGTCCCAATCACACTGTACTCGTGATTCCAGTTCTCGCCCTGTCAAAAATTCTTATTCTTTTGTATCTCTCACATATCTTTTCATGCAGAGGCCATTGGGGGGGGATACGAAACAATTTTCAACCAATTTTGCTGCTTCGATTCATCACCATCAACCTTCATCGTCTCTTTCTCCGTTATGTGTATATTATTGTGAGGTATTGGCAACTTCAAATTCATTTGCTGCAGACCAATCGTTCTTCTGGCATTGGCATGCCCCCTCCTTTCAGCATTGACACCCCCTAAAGATTTGTCTATAAAAGTCTTATCATTGTATCTAACATTAATTGATTTTAATAATTCCCTGCTTGGGTTTGACGAATTGGGTGAACCGCCATCAGGGCACAGTAGAGGATATTTCATCCATGTTTTTTCAAACCGAGATTTGCAGAACCCCACTGCTTCTCGAGGAACGGTAACTTAGACTAGTTCAGGTATTTCGGTAAGGGTTATGTCCTCAAAGTAATAGAATCGCGTTTTCATTGTTCCATTGAAAAATAAGACACAAACCCGAGAATTTTAACCCTCATAAGAAACGATTTGAAGCCACTTGTAACATTATTTATAGTAAGCTGAGGGGCCACGTAAAGCTATAGTTGTATAGATATTACATTGTGGAATAGCTTCAAGCTGGTTAACGTAGCAAGAAGAGCATTGATCAGATATTTTCAAAATTGACCGTCAATTTTGCGAGCATAAAAGAAATTACTAAATACCTCAGGAAATAAACTTCTTAAGCCTCCAGAACCACTTCTGGTGTGGTTGATATAAGTAGGCTAACATCATGTTCGAAAGCTGAAAAGCTGACTCAACACGATATTCAAATTTTGGCCGCAAAGGTTTCTCCAAAATTTGGCCTAATTATAACGCAAATATGATCATGATTTATATAGACATCTTTACTTCTCAAAGTTCAACTGAATCAAAATGCGATGGATAGATTTTCCATTCAAGTAGCTTCTTTCAAAATCGTTATATAACTAGAAGAGCTCTTGACTCGATCTATCGAAATTCGTTTTAAGAGTTCTTATTAAAAACAATACCATATATGTCCGTTTGGATACTTAAACTCTGTTTAAACATTGAAAAAAGAAGGGTGGCGAGTCACAAATGTTTGAAGATGGGTATCTAGTTTTCAATTCCATTGTGAAAGTGAACTCACCGAAAGAGTGCTTCATGAATACTCGTATTTTCAGCCAGAACCACGAGAATCCAAAACCAATTCTGCAAAATACTACAGGACTTGGGATGAAAAAAGTGAAAAATTTCAAGTTTCTCTCGTACTCAGCACTGACATCGAGCGTCTGAACTTTTGGATTAAGCTTTGCAATTACTGAAATCACCCAAAATTATTTAATCAATTACATATTCATAGCAACTCTCATTGGCTCTCTCTATCTATCACAAGCTATTTGGGAATACCAGAAGAGAACTGCGGGTTTGCTGTTTAGTTGGGAATGGACAATATCCACCTCAGCGACTATAAAGAGTTAGGGATACTTCTTAGTCTAAGAAAGCCAGTAGTTCAGTTTCTGCAGCAAGTGATATTTCTTGGTAGCTCGATCAAACAAGGTTGTCGAGCCGTGCGTTTTGAATTAAAAACACGACTTTCTCGAGACTTTCCTTGGAAGAACAAAGACGACTCAATAGTTCTCCGGTACCGGAGGAGCCTTAAACACATTTTGAAATACTTTGTTGAAAGCTCACGAAATCACGCAACCTTAGTTTCTACAAACTAGCTTCCAAGCTATACATTATTCTTCAGAAAGGCTTTTCCTGAATGATTTCATGCTTACAGTTGTGACATCCAATAACCACCCCTCACCACCCACGAGTGCCTCATATTGCGTAGCTATGCAAGGTTTTTTACCGTTCAAAAAAAAAAAATATATATATATGTATATATCCCTTTGACCAAAATAACTTTCTCTGTAGAAAAAGTTTGTCTTCGAACATGTATAGTGAGTAGGGCTCCCTTGGCGGATTTTCAAACTCCGAAAGTAGTCGTTTAAAAAGATGGAAGTATTTGGAATCGAATGTTTCCACTTTTTGTTGTAGTCTAGCGTCCGGGCCCAGTGTGACTAATTTTCCCCACCACACAAATTCCCTTAACCGGAGAATTAACAAATTATTCGTACACAAAATCTTATAATCGCCAAGCAGCTCTATATTGCTTGACATAACCCGCAAAAATATTTCAGATTCGTCAAACGTATTTAAATACTTCTTGAAAATCCCTTCATAAATGTCAAAGGTTTTTGGAAACTATTCACCAAAATAACCACCACTTCATAGTATGACCGAAGCCGAAAAAAGCATCGAGACATTAAAGGACCCAGAATTAGTAGGCTCTGAAGAGTCAATCTTGAATGAGTCACAGTCCCACATTTCCGAAGTCGATGCTGATGCCGAAACAGCAAAATTGGCAGCCGAATTAGGTATAAATCACAAGAAACTCATGTGGAAGATCGATGTCTGTGTTGTTCCGCCATTCTGTCTCTTATACTTCTTCTCATTCTTAGATAGAGTTAATATCTCTAATGCTAATGTTTATGGGTTGAGTGAAGAGTTGAAACTAACAGGCAACCAATACAACACTGCCTTAACCTTATTCTTTGTCCCATACATATTCTTTGAAGTGCTTGGAAACTATTGCATCAAGTTCGTTAAGCCACACATATGGTTATCAGGATCAGTGTTTCTATTTGGAGCCATTACTGTTGGTATGGGATTCGCTAAAAACTTTGGAGCATTAGCAGCAACTAGATTCCTTTTGGGAATGGTGGAGTCGGTGTTATTCTGTGGTATCTTCTACTTGTTATCAACTTATTATTCAAAGCCCGAAGCACAAAGGCGGTTCTCGGCATTCTTTTCGTGCACGGCCTTATCAGGTGCGGCATCAGGTGCAATCGCTTACCGAGTCGACGAATTAGACGGATTGCATGGAATAAGCTCATGGAGATGGATTTTCATTTTGGAAGGCTGTGCCACTGTCATTGGGAGTTTTGTGTTGTATTTTATTATTGCCGATTTCCCGGAAGAGTCTAGGTTTTTAAATGAAAAGGAACGTGGATTCATTAAACAGAAATTGGAATGGTATTCAGGAACAAGCTCAGCATTTGAAATCAAAAATACATGGAGAGATGTTATCAAATGTCTCAAAGACTGGTTGATATGGTTGCCTTCATTGTCGTATTTTGGCTTAATCATTCCGTCGTATGGTTATGCTTATTTCGCCGCTACAATTATTAATCAGATGGGATACACTGCTGTTTCAGCCCAGCAGCATTCGGTATACCCTTGGGTTTGTGCATTCGGGGTCATAAATGTTGTCGCATTTGTTTCTGATTACTTTAAAAGAAGATTGCCATTTATTATTGGCGCTATGATTGTTGCCATTGTTGGGTTGGCTATGATTCTAGGAGCTACTGATAATCCACAAGTGAGATATGGTGGATGTTTTTTGGCAGCCAGTGGAATGTACACCGCCATGCCTTTGATTGTTTGTTGGGCAGCATTGAACAATGGATCACACCTTCGCAAATCTGTCGGCACGGCCTGGCAGATTGGTTTTGGAAATATTGGTGGAATAATTGCCACTTTCATTTTCTTAGCCAAAGACTCTCCTGTTTATAAGCCAGGATTGAGCACCTGCCTTGCTGCCGTGTGTTTTGCGATGGTAACAGCAATTGCCTACTATTTCTATTGTCTACACATGAACAAGATTAAACAAACTGATGCTTATAAACAAAAGTTTAATGAATTACCTGAGCGTGAACAAGTTAACCTTGGTGATAGAAACCCAAAGTTTGTTTACTTATATTAATCTGTTGGTTATTTACGTTTGGTTGTATGTATAGTTTCGTAAAAGTAATTTTGGAATGATTGTTGTAGATACGAGTTTTCTAGATCGGCCCCAGTCCCGAGCCTCGCGCCAATTCGCCCGGCGGTGTAATTAGACTGGGTCGACGCGTAGTGCGACAAATTTATTCGTGTGCATAATAAATTTTTTTTCATCGAATGTTTTCGTCAAGACTTTGAATGTCATTGGCTTCACTGGGTATCAAAGGTATTTATCTCAACATGTAGCTTTATTAACTCTCCAAACGCCGGATCAAAAAGTTTGCAAGCTTTGAAAATATCATATTTTAGTATTTTATATAGTGGAAGAGGCTTATTAAGGATGGTCACGAGTATCCACCGGGTAGCGTCGGTAACTATCATAGCCTCTGTTGCAAATAGACGTTTTGATAGAGATTCCATCAAAACGTTCGGCCAAGAAAATGAATGTGAAACAATTTCAACGATGAGGCGCTGCTATGACGAAGATCAAGGACACGGAAATGGGAGGTGCTCGCGTGTGATCAGATCATTTTTACTCGATACTCTCATCTGTTTCGGCGATTAAACTTTTGTGTAAAGACCGGGACAATGATACGCAACTTTAAAGTCTCTGGGGTCATTCAAATCATCGCGACCGATGCGAGGCACAGAATTGAAAGGCACAGATTAAGTATCGAAACCCCAGCAGATAAAACAACACGGTCTTAAATTCAAGCATTTCAACCCCAGCAGGTCATCATACTTTATATTTTTTGTTTGTCTTTCAATAAAATCCTTGGCTTTTGAAACAAAAGAGGAACAAAAAAATAATAAAAAACATCTAGAGAAATCGTTTTGTTTGTATCATCATCAATTAGGGACTAGTCATCGATAACCAGACAATGTCAAAGAACGAGTACTATAACCCACCTCAAGGCCCACCACCTACTTTCAGCCAAAGTGAAGGAGTTTCTGGTGGAGGCGCTGGTGGAAGCTACGTTCCACAATCACAACCACAGTACAATGCCGACACCCAGGATAGAGCTTTTGGGTATCACCATCAACAAGGATACGGACAAGGGCCACCACAAAATGCATACTACCAACAACAACCTGGCTACGGGGGAGGATATCCACAACAAGGCGGTTACTACCCACAACAACAGCCAATGTATGTACAACAACAAAGATCTAGTAACAATCAGGATTGTTTGATGGCGTGTTTAGCGGCAATGTGTATTTGTTGTACATTGGATGCTATCTTTTAGGCTCAAAGTCATTTAGAAGTTTCTGCTTACGTCATTTTGGTTCTTATAGATTAGCTTTACAGTTAATACACAGAAGTTGAGTCCACAGAAGTTGAGTCTACTCTATATTTTGATCTACCCTCTGTTTAAGCAAAATGTCGTGATCGATATGGAGAAAGTTGATTGCGAGTACGACATCTGCAAAGAGAACACATGCACCATTGATGATGAATCCGTATCTCAATTTGCTGTGCTCTGCTAGTTTACCAGTAAATATAGGACCGACGCATCTAGCAAATGTCTTGCCAATATTGACAATGCCCATGACTTTTGTAATCTCCTCTTTGGGCATGATCGATGTTAGTAAAACCTGTCGAGGTACAACATCCATGGTTGAGGTAAGGTAGTAAAGCAACAACAATGCAGCTACAATGGGATACAGTTGAGTGACAGCAACAAGACTAAAGAATATAGCTGATGGGGCTTGAGTGAATAGAATTGCCTTCACCGGTCCAAAGAACTTGGCAAAGTGTGCGGAAGGCAATGAGGATACAGCGTCAACCAGATTAGTGACAAAGAACAATATCCCCAATGCTTTTGCAGTCAATTCAAATGTGAACTTGAGATAATAAACCACCCACGCCGATGGCATAAATCCGTATCCCAAAGAATCGAGCATGAAAATGATTAATAGTCTGGGCAAGTAGTGTCTCGTAGTGTTGGACAATCCTGTGCTCTTATCTGAATCTTCTTCCTCTGACTCCAATAATGTTGACTGCTCAGTGACTTCAGTGAAATTCTCCACATGCACTTCACACTTTTCCGATAAAAGCAGCATTAAGATAAACTTCAAAACAGCAATTCCTGAATACAAGATGAATATACTTTGATAGCTTCTCTTTAAGCTCCAGTTTAGTTCCAAATTCATATAATCAACCAAGAACCCACAAATCAACGATCCTGCGGCTGCACCAGCTGTGGAAAACAATCCATAAAATGCAAATACTTCTGGACGGTGATTATGTGGAGTTAAATGTGCCATTGATGCTTCTTCAACTGATTTGAATGGACCTGTTTCATCTCCGGAAGGCGATATGACACCAATTATAGCAGCTGCCAATAGGATGTAGAAATTGGTCGAGTAAGTGAATACAATGCCTGAAGCAAGCATCATGATGGACCCAATGAGCATCACCTTACGACGGCCTATTCGGTCTGCATTCCATGTTAAAAAGTAGGAAATAACAGTGTCTCCAACAAGAGTTAGTGTCATGAATAGTCCAATTTCAAATTCTGATATTTTAATCTTTTTAAGATAAAGGGCAAGTATTTGATTTGTGAGACCATAACTAGCCATTCTGAGGAACACCGAGGCCCATAGTATCCGGATGTCCAAGTTGGTTTGTTTCAATGTTTTGAACAAGTGCATTTCATGAGGCAGGGTGAGGGGAGGTGAGGGGAAGCAGTTTTCACACAAGAATGCCCCTGGTTTTCATGGAATTTTTCGCGTTTGAGAAGGGAAGACCTACACGCATCAAATCAAGAGAAATTATATTATACTAGACTTTGGGCTATACTTTAACTTGGCTTGTTCCAAATGTTGAGCAAAAATGTCATTTTGTTTAGATGGTGTCACTTTTGCATCAGTGAAATCACCTTTGATACACTGATTAGTGACCACAGGTGAAGTAGAACTTCCAGTAGAGATTCTAGCAGCTGATAAAGACGCATCATTCAATACCATCTTCCAGATTTGATTTGACAGTTGGTCGAGTGCTGGTGGTGGTTTGCGAGACATGGGATCGGGTGATTGTTGCTGATTCAGCTGAGGGGACAAAGTATGAGGTGCATCTTTCATTGCGTCCATGTTGTCACTACCTTTGGAGATCACGTTGGAGAATGATCTAACAAGTCTAGAAAATCTGTGGCTTCTTTTCATTTCAGTTTCATCAGATTGTGGCGTTGGGTAGACCAAGTGGGATGGAATCACATATTGCATACCAGAATCCAGTTGAAAATTGGACTCGTTATCACTCTGAGTCAACTCGATATTTCTATCTGGGTTAGTCAGGCTTCCCACATTCATGTCCAAGCTGAATGTTTCCAAATACTCAGGAGCAACATGATCCATGACTGGTTCTGACAATATCCTCCTTGAAGTTCTTTCACTTGAGCATTGGTCAAAGCAAGCATCAAAAGAGGGGAACAAATCAATGTCTGTTGTTCGAATCCATTCTTCAGGTATATTCTCTTTATCCTCATCGTCATCAAGTGCTATTGACGCTTCCCCAGGGGTGTCTACTGGCATCGCGTTGCAGTATTCAAAAGTCCTCAAAGAAGTGAATGGTTGATTTGGCACCCTTGCTCGTAAGACTCGTGGGTTTTGGTTCAAACTGTAGTATTTCCTTTTGTAGTCGACAATAAAGTGATCAAAATTGAATCTGACATCGTGGTAAGCTTCTTTGAAGTATCCCATGCTGGCTAAATAAAAGAAGACAGTGACTTATTTTGAGGGGGGGGGGACTTCCTTTTTCTGAATGCTTTATTTTGCAGCATTTCAAACATTTACAAAAAAAGAAAAATAACCCTCTCAATGTCGTATTTATCGTCTATTTACAAACTTATATATGCTCTTTGTTGAGTTGCTTGTTTATGCATTTGTGCCTTCTTGTCATACCCAGACGACTTTCCTTCGTATGCATTTATCAACTCTTCGGCCAACCTCACGGCAAAATCATTAGACTTTCTATTCTTTGAAGCTTCCAATATCCAAGTTATAGCATACCTATTTCTTTGTCTTTCATTCAATGGAATTGGTACGATTCTTCTCTTTGCAACACCTGTGGATATAGACTTTGTTGTCACCAATGGACCCAACTTATCCAAAGTATCCTTCAACACTTGAATTGGATCTTTACGCAATTTCATTTGCACAATATAAAAGGCCCGACTGACAATCTTTTGCGCCCTGGCTTTACGGCCATGTCTCATAACCAAGTTGATAAAATTGTCAACAGTTGGGTCGGATTTCAAAGGAACTTGTTTGTTGGAGTAGGAATAAGTTTCTTCAATTTGCTCCAACGTTGGTTCAAACTTGTTCGTGATAAATTGTTCTGGTTGTGCAAGTTGTCCAAGGTAGATTTCTTCAGGAGTTTCGTGAGTCTTTTTACCCTTACGTAATTGTTTCAAAGCATCTATCCATTTGTCAACATCTTGTTCGGTTATCTTGTCTTTGTCAACGGGGTATATTTGGGCGAAGAGGGATTTTTGGATGGTGGATTTGGAGTCAGATGCTGGAGACGTTGTGATAGAGCTGTTGAATCTAACACAAGAAAGATGAATCCTAGGAATTAACACCCGCCTACTGTTGAGGCATGTTCGAAGTAATGACATTGGTTGGTGATATTACCTCCTTGATGAAAAAATTTTTTGTCACCAAATTCTTTCTTGTCAACAATTGCGAAAAAACTACAACGAGTAACCACTTCATCTTTTATTCACACATCGAGTGTCTACATAATACAAAACTACCTTTCCACTTCCTTAGAATCTAGTAGGTGACCTTGAACGTGAACGCGATCTTGATCTATACCTAGCACTTCCTGGGACATATGAATCAGTTCCTTTAGGCTCGTCAAATCTTGATCGTCCAGGTACGTACGAGTCTGTTCTCTTTGGCGGACCTCCCCTCCTATGGTACGAGTCACGACTATCACGGTACCTATCGTAACCTCTTGGTGGTCCTCCGTATCGTCTTCCACCACGTCTTGGAGGAACATAACGAGGGATATATTCTCCATTCAACAACGTATGAGAAGCAACCAACTCGTCATTTCTATTGACAAATTCCAACTTCCATTTCCCATCATATGGTCCTTTGTCTTCTTCAAAAGTCCATTGGTTGATAGCTTTCACTGGGATATATTCCACATACAATGGAATTCTTTCAGTAACAAACTCTCTTGGCTCACGAGGTGGCTTCAAATCATCCCTTTCTTCATCACTCTCTCTCTCCTTGATCCCCTCAAATCGTTTGGTCTCCTCTTCAAATCTTTCAATCTCACGATTCTCAAACTCTTCCTTCAATCTTGCATCTTCTTCCTCATCTGGATATATAGCTCCATTCAATTGAGATCTCAAATATTCAGCCCCTTCCTCATTGCTTACCAAGACAATTGCGTGGGTTCTCAATCTCGTTAACCAAGCCCTGTCGATACGCATGTGAAGATCCTTGTTATCATTGGCCAACTTTCTTAAAAATTGTTGAAAGTGACCAGCATTGATTGGGCGGCGCAAGTTTCCAATAAATAACGCCCTTGTAACATGATATTGTGGTTCTTCAGTGACCTCATATCTTATATCTCCTTCATCGTCCTTCATGTCGTCCGCATTAGAAACACTCGGTAAGTCTAAACCAACTAAATCGATTTTTCTCAGCGCGATAGCAGGTTCAGGCGTTGCATACTGTGGGTAAGGCTTTGGCCCGTCCTTTTCTGCGTCGTTCTCGTACTCAACATCGCTCATGATTCACGATTGATTCGACCGGCAGAATAATGTTACCCATAGTTGAATATTTCTCAATTTTCTATCCAGACATTAGAAAAAAAAAAGAAAAAGGAAAAGGTTGGACGTGTTTTTGGAATAGAGATAGATGATTGCACTTAGTACAAATGATTGTTTCTATTTACATAAGATGCAACTCTTTTCTCTATTTAGGCAGCCCAGATACTCCTTATCAATTCAAATAGTCCATTGTTGGCTGTTTCCAAGACGTAGATTCCATACATGGACACACAAGTACCCAAGGTCAACAATTTACAAGCAACTCCATACCATACCCCATAGACTCTTTTCGGTATGTAATCTATGATACAACTTTTGAAACCTGCATGGCAATGGATCAACAACAACGTAGAGAAAGTAGCGTCAATAACCGGGTAATCCACCCCAGCGACAAAGGGTGTCATCACCAACGGAATCATTGCTGTGGTTATGATCCTATCATAGATCCAATGATTTGAACCCTCGTAAGCATTTGGTGCTGGTGGTTTATATGCTTCGTTGACAGTTTCAACGATAAATCCTGCTGGTTGTTCTATTGGTTTGAATTTGGACCAATTTGGCATCAAACGTAGCGGCCTTGCTATCTTCAATGTACTTGGTTTTAGCATCGGCCTGTAGGCTCTTGACGTGAGGGAGAACATATTGAGTCGTTAGTGAAAGATGTGTGAAGTTTATAGGTGAGATTTTTTTTTTGTTTCAGTTCGATGGAGAAGATGGCTTTATACTAGATAAGCAGAGCAAAGAGGTAAGTACAATTAACAAGTAGAGGTTTATCATCGCATGTGTTACAGTAGCTCAAACTGATGATCAGTCGTGCTACTCATTGGTGCTTCTCATTGGTGCTTCTCATTCGCGCTTCTCATTTGAGCTTCTCATACGAGTCTCTTCCAAGGTCATTATAAATTCATTAAATCCAATCTATATACAAGAACTACATAGTTCTCTGAAAGATCACCACGAAGCAACTTTCACACCAGGAATCTGTCCTGCTCTAGCTCTATCTCTAAAGGCAGTTCTATTCAATTTGAAATCACGAATCAAAGATTTAGAGTTTCCTGTAGCAACGCATCTGTCTCTAATTTGCACATAAGAAGTGTACTTTGGCATACTAGCCAACTGTAATTGAGCTTCAACTCTGGCCCTCGAGGGTAAATCCTCGTTTCTGGCAATATATTTCAATGCATTTCTTGTAACCTCATGTTCGGCAAATTGTAGCCTTTTGAACTGATCCCTTAAAACACGAGCATTTATGTGAGTATGTTTGGGAATCTCAAACTTTACTGGGAATCTAAAAGGCATGTCTTGGTTGATGTTGTACTATTGGTACTGTTTGATGGTCTCTCTTATCACAATCCAGAACTGCTTTGAATGTTGAGAAATAGAAAAATTTTCTGTGAGTCTATTCTGTGAGTCTTTTCTTTGTGACATTCCCATACCCGCAAATCAGAAAGAAAGCCGAGCTTCAATATTGATAACAATGAGTGATGAGAATGACCAATCCGAAAAAATGAAAGGTTATGTTTTTAGAGATGAATGAAGTGGCTCTATTGCTTTAGCCTGTCCGCTACTTTCGGATTTTCCAATGGACCACTACTTTGTGCTTTGAGGCTTGGATCATTTTCAAAATTACAATTTTCTCCAAAACTTCCTTTGCACATCCACCACACATTTTACCTCCACACAACATGTTCACAGGTCTTATTGAAACTATCGGAACAGTGGCTGAGTATGTTGAGCAAGATAGCTCCTCCACAGGTGGCAATGGTGTTTCGATTACCATCACTGATTGTTCACCCATATTGGAAGATGTTCATCTTGGCGATTCCATCTCCACTAACGGGGTTTGCTTAACAGTCACAGACTTCGATGCCTCCAAGACCCATTTCAAAGTAGGTGTAGCTCCTGAAACTTTGCGCAAGACCAATATGGGCTCCTTAAGTAAAGGCTCAAAGGTGAATCTAGAAAGAGCCGTGACGAGTGATGTTAGATTAGGTGGTCATGTTGTACAAGGTCATGTTGATACGGTTGCCACGGTTGTTGGCAAGAAACCAGACGGGAATGCAATTACATTTACATTTGAGCTTAGAGACAAGGAGTTTATCAATTACATTGTACATAAGGGATTTATTGCCATTGACGGGACTTCGTTGACTGTTACTTCCGTCAATGACTCAAAAGCCCAATTCTCGATAATGTTGATAAGTTATAGTCAGGAGAAAGTTATTCTAGCAAAGAAGGAGATTGGTGATACTGTGAATATCGAAGTGGACCTAACCGGTAAGCTCATTGAAAAGCAAGTGGAGCTTAATTTGAAATCACAGATTAATAAGGAAGACAGTGCCTTGAATGCATTGATCGCATCAATTGTGGAGAAAAAGGTCAAGGAGTTAATCAAGTAGGATAAGTTGTTGTGTATATCTAGTGTATAGAAAATGTTGACCTTTGTTTTGCGCCAAAAGAAAATCCGAGAGGCAAAAAAAAAAAATCAATCCTCCACCACCACACTCCCTGCTTCACTTTAAGGCAAACATGGATATCATATTAGGGATAAGAGTATCAGATGCGACATTGATTGCCACTTCGAAAGCGGCAACTAGAGGTATATCCATCTTGAAAGACAACGATGACAAAACCAGACATCTCAATGCCCACAATTTGATTGCATTCACTGGAGAGGCGGGTGATACCATACAATTTGCCGAATACGTTCAAGCTAATATTCAATTATATTCAATGCGTGAGGATGACGTTGAAATGTCACCAAAGGCCACTGCATCGTATGTTAGAAACCAATTGGCCACTTCGATAAGATCACGTAAACCTTACCAAGTGAATTGTTTAATTGCTGGATACGACACCAAAACAGATAAGCCATCGTTGAACTACATCGACTATTTGGGGACGCAGGTGGAGTTGCCATATGGAGCTCATGGATATGCTGCTTTTTACACAATGTCATTGTTGGATAAACACTACAGAAAGGATATGAATGTCGATGATGGGTTGAGGTTGATGGATATGTGTATAAAGGAGTTACAAACAAGAATGCCTATTGACTTCAAAGGTGTATATATAAAAGTGGTGGACAAGAATGGTATCAAGAAAATAGAATAAATTCAATCTATTATTATTTTATACTCTACAGTTTGAGATATCCAAGACTAAAATATCACTAGCACCGGCTTTCTTCAAATCATCCATAACATTACCGATTTTCTTTTTCGAAACCATTGATGATATAGCCACCCAGTCTTCCTCATCTGGCGAATGTTTGTCTAAAGTGGACACGGTGGCGGCTCTTTTACCTGGAGTGATTTTCAAACACTCAGCCATAATGGATTTTGGCGCATTGTAGTTGCACAATACAAACTCTTGTGCTGCCAAAACACCTTCCAATCTTTCTTTTATAGTATTTACAAGTTCTGGGTACCTTGGTGTTCTCGATGAAAACAAGTGGGCTGATGTAGTCAATATCGTTCCAATGGCCTTTAGCCCAGCTGCTTTCATTGTTTCTCCACTCTCAACCAAGTCAACTATGGCATCAGCAACGCCCAAAGCGCAAGATGCCTCGACCGATCCACCCACGTATCTCACATTCGTATTAACATCACTTTTGGCATTAACTTTTAAATCCTCGAAATAGTCAGTTGCCAATTTTGTAAAACTTGAAACAATTTTTTTACCAATTAGATCTTTCGGTTGGTTATATTCTCCTTTTTCTGGTACTTGTACTTGAAGTTTACACGTGCCAAATTTCAAATCCAATAAATCTTCAATATTTTCAAATTGGTCCGACTCCATCACCTGATCCATTCCAGTTATACCCAAATCACAATTACCTTCTCCAACGAAGACTGGGATGTCTGCTGCTGGTAGGAAAATCAAGGCAATTGGCAAATTGGTTGAAAGTGCAATATCTAATCTTGGTGATCTTCTAAATTGAATATCAGCCCCACCTAGAAGCTGGCAACATTTTTCATATAATCTCCCTTTTTTTGGGACTGCAAACAACAAGCGGTCAGTTAAGTGATTGACTAAATCCATGTTAAGGGGAGGGTGGGGATGAATATATATATGTGGTGTTATGAAAGGTGCAAAATTTTGAGTTGGAAGAAGAAGAAAAAAATATTCATTGATGACTCAGTGAGGACACGTGATGTAATAAAAAAATGGACATTAGAGGAACTACACCATTGTAAATATCTTTGAAGGTCTATTACTGTGCTATTTTTGTATTTACTTTAGCATCGGCGTCATCCTCCGACGTCATGGTTTCCTCTTCGGTTCCTAATTGACTACTTACGTCTGTATCCTCCTCCTCTTCATCATCGTCAAGCTCACTTCTTCTCTCAAATCCAACATGAGGAGTCAGATTAAACAACTCCAAGTCAGTGTCGCTTTCTAGATCCCTCAATGTCCTTGGATTCAATCCAGATCCGCTAGAATTGCCATACCAGTATTTATTGAAACCCCAATTAACTAATATCTTTAGCATATCCCATGGTTTGAACTCGGGCCACAACTTTTCAACAAACACAATAGCACAATCTGGTGAAACGCACTGCCATAATAAAAAATCGGATAATCTATATGTGCCAGAAGTTCTTACTAAAAGATCCAAAGGCGGCAGATTCCCCGTGTAAAGATGGCGCGCTAAAGTGTCTTCGTTTATAATTACCCGCTCTTTAGTGCTTTCACTGACGATACTCTTTACGGCATGTGTCATTTCGTCTCTAGATGTGTATGGAAAACAAACATTCAACACCGCCCTGGTGTTGTTTTTAGTAATTTCCTCCGTTTCACGTAAAATCTCCAATACATCAGCGGGCAATAGTTTTAGGTTTCCAATCAATTTTATTCGCACACCATACTCTTCACAAAGTAATCCGTTTTGATTGATTTGAGCAAATTTCGACTTGGCCAAGTCCATCAACCATTTAATTTCGTAACTGGTTCTATTAAAATTTTCAATTGAAAATGCATATACTGTAGCCACTTTGACCCCACACTCGTAAAGCAACTCTAGAATATTAGCCATAGTATTGAACCCCAAACTGTGTCCTTCTTTAATCTCGATTTTATGAGTTCGAGCGTATCGTCTGTTTCCATCCATTATGATACCTACATGCTGTGGCACCGGTCCCGTTTGTATTACCCTTCCGAAAAACTTTTTGCCTGAAGATAGAGCCTGCTTGTATCCAGGAAACGTCGAAACCCAATCAGACATGCTTGTGTAAGTGTGAGAATCCGTTGGTTAGCTTAGAGCAAATGACTAGTATACAAAGAACTGGCTCAGGGGCTATTGGGAAATGTGTTTTAGTGGCTGCTTGATAGTTGTGAGATTAGCTGTGCTGTGATGGCTCCAACTTGAGTCTGTAAAAGGGGGCGTATAGACGTATGCTGCCAAGTAGATGTGAAATCTCTTATGGATGATTTCTTTTCCAACTTCTCTGTTGAAAACTAAGAGCACACGTAAATGCGCAATGTCTATTCAACTTTTTTTTTTTGGTTCTTCAGACCGAGGCACAAAGCTACCAGCTACTGAAAAACAGTACGTAAACCAAGATGAAACTATCAAGATAAGGATAGTTGTAAAGGACAGATTTTGTACTGAGCCTGTGTGCTATATGTAGCCAGTATAGGTGCCCCTTGTTTGGTTTGGTTGTATTGGTGCTTTAGACACCAGTTCTGCTTGTAATCGAACGCCCAAAAGAGAGCTCCCTTCAACTTCTTCAAAGCAGTACAAAATTTCGAAGATGTCACTTTGACTAAAGTGGACCATTGAACTCTATGAAAGTCAGTCTATTAGTTACACGGTTATGGCTATGCTGTGCAAGGGAAGTCTAGTAAAATGAGGGTGCCACTGAAATAGATTTTGTGTAAACTCATCTCTTCTCTTTTGAAAAATGAATTAGTAAGATACGCAAACCCAGTTTACTGCTTCTTTCATCTCAACAACAATGTCAGCACAAGAAAGTCACAACACACTGGAGGCTCACCAAGTTGAAGATGCTCAATCCAATGAAGAGGAATTCATTGACGTGAATGAAGTTGGTGAGGAAGTTTACGACGACGATGGTGCAGCTCAGCCGCCACCAGATGATGATGATAATGATGCCGACGAGATGGAAATAAATGATGAAGAAGATGAACACGAACACGAGACATTGGAGATTGACATGTCGAATAACTCATGGTCCTATTTTGATAAACATCAGGATAGCGTTTTTACTATAGTTGCTCATCCTAGATTGCCTATGGTTTTAACAGGTGGTGGTGATAACGTTGCTTACCTTTGGACCACCCACTCTCAACCACCGAAATTTGTAGGTGAAATACAAGGTCATACCGAAAGTGTCATATCAGCAGGTTTCACAAACGATGGGAAATATCTAATAACCGCAGATATGAATGGTCTTGTACAAGTATTTAAAACCAGTAAAGGAGGGGAAAAATGGAACAAATTTGGCGAATTGAACGAGGTTGGGGAAGTTTTATTTGTCACTGCGCATCCTGAATTGAATTATTTTGCGTTTGGAGCAAATGATGGGTCCATATGGGTTTATCAAATTGATGAGGAGAGTAAACTGTTGGTTCAGATAATGTCAGGGTTCAGTCATACATTGGAATGTAATGGTGCTGTTTTCATTCCTGGTAAAGATGAGAATGATTTGACCTTGGTTTCTATATCAGAAGATGGAACTGTGGTGAATTGGAATTGTTTCACTGGTGCCGTCAACTACAAGTTACAACCACACGATGACTTCAAGGGTGTGGAGAGCCCTTGGGTCACAATCAAGCATTATGGTCATGTGATTGCAGTTGGTGGAAGAGATGGGCAGCTATCAATTATTAATAATGACACTGGGAAAATATTGACGTCGGTAAAGACCTTGGACAATGTAGAGGATGTTGCTGAATTATCAATTGAAGCATTGTGCTGGTGCAACAACAAAAATATCAATTTGCTAGCAGTTGGTCTTGTATCAGGTGATGTATTATTGTTTGATACACAACAATGGAGATTGAGAAAGAATTTGAAAGTTGATGATGCAATTACTAAACTAGAGTTTATCAATGATACACCCTTCCTTGTTGGATCTTCAATGAACGGGAAAATTTACAAGTGGGATGCCCGTACTGGTGAAGAGTTGTTTGTTGGTGTTGGCCATAATATGGGTATCTTGGATTTTGCAATCTTGGAAAATGGTAAAAAAGTGGCCACTGCTGGTGACGAAGGTGTTTCATTATTGTTTGTAACTGAATAGATCTTAGAGGGTATCGATTAAGACTTCGAAATAGGGAGACCGACTTGTATGTTAATATGTTAACTCTGTCGCTCTAACCAAAATTTGTGTAGCGAAACGCGTCTACTAATTTTTTTTTTTTTTTTATTATTTCGTTATCAAAACCTCTGCGCCAACACACCTTCCTCTATATCTTCCAACATTAGCTATGACCCCCGCACCGATACCATCAGGCGGCATTGCCTCGACTGAGAATGACACCAAATCCAAACATACGACTGCCCCTAGCGAAGTAGACATGGAATTTTATTACCAACGCTTGTTACCTTTTAAACACATCTTCACTTGGACCAGTCATTCACCAAAACCAACAAAGGACTTTACAATGAGAGAATTTGCATATGAATATAGGAGTACTGCGTATAAGCGTTACAATTCATACAGTGACTTGGAAGAATTCAAAAAGGCCGTGATTTCTGCCAACCCTACGCGTTTCGAAATTGGGGCTGTTTACAAAGTGGCCCCCAAAGAGAGATACAATCTACCCAAACAAGCATTAAAGCCGGTGAGTAAGGAATTGGTGTTTGATATTGATTTGACAGATTACGATGAGATCAGAACTTGTTGCCAAGGGACAGATATTTGTTGCAAATGTTGGAAGTTTATTCAAGTTGGGTCAACGATTATTGAGGATTGTTTGAGACAAGACTTTGGTTTCCAACACTTGGTTTGGGTGTTCTCGGGACGTAGGGGTGCCCATTGTTGGGTCAGTGATAAGAGAGCAAGGGAATTGGATGAGAATAGTAGGAGATCCATTGTGGAGTATCTTGACGTTTTAGGCGGTAAGCATGCCAAAGGGTCTAAGGGGCTACATGTAAGGAAACCATTCCATCCTCATGTTGAAAGAAGTTTTGAAAGTATGAAAAGGAGATTTATTGAAATCATTTTAGAAGACCAAGATCCGTGGTATACTGATCCAAATACTGAGCTGGATTCAAAAAATTGGAAACAGGTAGAAGAACTTTTAAGTTTTATGCCAAATAAGGAGTTGCAAGCAGAGTTGAGAAAAAAATGGCAAGGAGAACGCAAAGTATCTACATCCAAAGACAAATGGGAGGATTTGAACACCATTGCAGCAAAACTTTTCAAGACAAATATACAAGTAGCCTTATTGCTGGATGCAAAGAAGGAAGTTATTATCTACTACCTTTACCCAAGGTTGGATATTGAGGTCTCTAGACAAATCATCCATTTGTTGAAATCTCCCTTTTGTGTGCATCCTGGTACAGGAAATGTGTGTGTACCATTTGATCCAAAAAAGAACATTTCGGGTGTTGCTCTGGATGATGCATACGGATTCAATCCAACAACTGCACCAAACTTGAAGCAATTACTTACTGAACTCGATGACTATGAGAGAAATGGAAGCGGTGATATCGATGATGTGAATGTACCTGCTTGGGACAAGACCAGTCTCAAACCATACGTAGACTTGTTCAAGAAGCATGTGAAGAATTTGGTAACGGCAGAAATGAAGACAGAGAAAAGAGAGTTGGATTCTGATCCTTATGAATTCTAACTTTAAAATAAATATCTACTCTAACTTATGGTACATCCCAATTTTCTATCTTCAATAGTTTTAGCATCCTCCAAAGAGCCACTGTTATTTTTGATAATAATAGTTTCGGTGGAAGTTTTTTCATTAGTTGTCGACTCCTCCTTGATGTTCAATGATGGATCATTGCAATGATACCACTCGATATATTGCAACTCCTCGTTGTATTTGATATACCCAGACGTCAAGAAAACATCTCCATAGTCTAAAAATGGGAAATGCCATTTGGGCACAAAAATGATTGTGGGGGTATTTTCAACCCTTGGATCTGATTTGTCAACAACAATCTGAAGTGACAACTTTACAGCTTTAACATCAAACTCGGTCGCAACCATGGTGCCCAAGGATGCCATCATATATGGTCTAATGACTGCGCCGGCGGCTCTAACTCCATCTGGCGAAGGATAACACTTTCCGTATTGCCGACGATATATGTTTGAACTTGTTGATGAAATGACAGATGACAGTGAGGTTGAATCGGATTCCATATCGGTGTAACCATCGGTTGATGATCCTGATGTTGCTGAAGTGGTTGACGCTGTGCTATCAACCGAACCAGAGCGGCCCATTTTAGCTGCCCTTTTGAGTTTTCTATTTGCTTTCCTAATGGCTCTTGCTGTCTTGACTCGATTGCGTTCACTTTCAGTTTCATTCCTAATCTCAGGCGTTTCACATTCATCTTCAAATGTCAAGTTTCGATCATCGGAAGACCAAAAGGAGAAATCTTCATTATTCCAGTTGTCTCCATACTTGTGGTTGTTGCAACTATCATAACACCAGAATGTATGTGACATATTGGCACTTTCCAAAGCGTTACATAACGCATCCAATGCAGCGGTTTGCGAAATGTATTTCCCATTTCTATATGATCGTTTATCATCCATATCAAAGGGCATTCCGGTCTCTGACATAAGAATGGGCAATTTCCCCAAATACTCGTTACACTCTCGCCTCATTTCACAAAATTGCTTTTGAAAGCAATTGCGGATAGCTCTTCCGCCAAAGACGATACCAAGTACGGGATTCAAATATGCACCTCTCATGATACCCAATGTATCAACGTTAAATTTGAAATTCCAGCTTTTGTGCATTAAGGATAAACCATCGTAGTAATGTGGACAGTAGATGATTCTGTCGTCAATAACGTTTCTCTTGTCGTTTTTTAAATGCGGAGGCTCTTCTAAAACTGGGGTCAGAAGCATGACAAATGCGTCTGATCGGTATTTACGAATTAGCTTTTTGAATTTAACAATATGATCAACGAAATGAAGATTAACAAATGTATGAGTGTCCACTTTGGTTACATCCAGTTCGTACTTGTGTTGTGGCAACGATTTACTGAAAAAGTGTGGTTCCAATACTTTGCACTTTGAGCTGATATCTAGTCTCTGCTCTTGGGTCATTGTTGCCATGTCTCTAGCCACCAGTGGCCAGCTCCATATACCTTGGGTGGCAAATATGCAAGTCCCCAATTCCCATTTCTCGCCCCTTTCGAATCCATAATTTTTATCAATGTCCTTCGCATCTTCTGGCGTCAACCATGCTCTAGTACCTTTTGGATCAACAATTTTTGTACCATACTTTCTAGGTCCGGTAACCGTTATCCTATACTCATCAACCTCGCATGCAAACCCCATTCCAAGTCTCATTGATTGGAAAGCTGTGGGGGTGGTTCCTACTCGCAATTGTTGAAAATCAGGCAATTGACTAATATCTGGATATCCAATCAAGCCGCAGTTTGGTTCGTTCATAGATTCAAAGCCCAACACGGTTCCATTATTGATTAATTCGGGCACACCTTCGCATACTTGTTTCCATATGAATTCAACGGCCCCCAAAAAGTGATTTTGCAAAAAATCTTGAATGTTTTCGCCATTCATGATTAAATTTGGAAAATAGTATTTACCAGCAAAGAACATGGTAAACATGACCAACGGAGCCAAACGTTTGTAGTTTGATGTCCACAACATCTTATGGTATGTGTCTGTTCCATCCCTAAACCTTGGCTCGTTATGAATTATCGCTGAGTCGGCAAGTGTAAATTTCTTGGGGTCGAGTCCAGCTGCATAAAACGTCCACATCGGTGCTCCACTACCTCCTGAAAATCTAGACCACACGTCTTGATGAAACTCAAGAAAAACATACAATCCACCAACTTGTCCAATAATCTTCAACATCTCCAATGTGTAGTCAGCAAATTTTTGATCATATTTCCCTGGTCCTTCGTGTTCGACTGCTTCCCATGTTAACAAGTACCGAATTGTGTTGTAGCCCCAACTCTTGATTCTTTCAAAATGCAGTCTTGCTTCCTCCAATGGGAAAGGTCTTCCTACAAACGACACTGTATCTCCTTCGAAAAAGATGTCGTCCGGATTGGTTGAGTCACCTTTATACGACGGCATGTACGGCTCAGTCGGTAATTTCATCTGCGCGTCCACATTTATACCCTTTAGAACCACTATTCGTCCAGTTGATGGGTCGTAAAAATTACCCTTCTTATCAGTCTCCAAGGGCACGCATTCAAGTATAGAACTCCCGCTGTTTGCAGCATCCTGAATTGGTTCTGAAATTGAGTAACTCCTTCGAAGAGGTTTGACACCAACGGGAGAAATACTAGACGCTGTCAGGTATAATCTAATCTTTTCATTCACCGCATCCTGTGCATACCTTGCCGACTTTAAAGCATCCAGAATGAACATTATACTAAGGTGTTGTGCTGTGAGTATATGTTTATAGCGTGATAATAATATGTCAGATTGGAAAAAAGGAAAAAAAAGGTTTTGTTTCTTGAGAGATCTCCACTTTTTTCTTAGCGAAAAATTAGAGCGAGCGCAATAACTACCGAAAAAGAGTAAAACATGTGAAATTCGGTTGTTCCACGGGGTGGCTCTCTTACGACACGCTCACAACGTTGATAGTCTACTTATATGTTGCGCTACTCTACGGAATCACTCGTAGGGTGATACGTGTTGAACCCTTTGACATAAATTTTTTTTCGGATATAAAGTTTCGCACGTGATACATTTCAAAAAAGGAAGATATTTTGCACCTTATCGCCGGTAAAGTATTACAATTATTTCTTCTTTCCTGGTCTCCATCCCAATGGTTTTTTCTGATTACGATTACCAAATGATGCCAATGGTACAATCTTTTGCTTCTTTTTGGCCTGGCTGTAGGGATCAGCTAATTTGAAATACTTTGGAGCGTATTGGCAAAGCCACTCAGGATCAATGACAGTGACACAATGCATGTACTCACGAGAGGTCATGACTATTGCATGGTATAATAGATACTCGGGGTTCTTGCCAAACTGACTTGAGGAGGGATGTAGGTAAACAGTTTCATTCTTGGATAACGTTTTATACCCTTCTCCGGAATCACGTTTGGCTACATTTTTGAAATAACCACAACATAAAGTCTTTCTGATCGCATCCAAATCATTGCCACAGGAATTTACCGGGTACTTGTGTTTTGTCATTATTGTCTGTAATTGTCTCCGAACCTCCTTTGCATGTCGCATACTCCTTTCCTGGATGAAATTATCTCGACACCAATCCTTACTATACTTGCTTGCACACCAACGGTTGTACACGTTGAGCAAAGTCAAATGGTCACCTTTGGTTGAATGAAATCTCGCCTTCCGTTGGTCGGCAAGGTTTTGTTTCTCCTTTGGTCGATGGAAAACGGTTTGTACTGAGAGCATAGCGACAATGGTTAAAATCTCTTCGGTACAGTTTAAATCAACCGATTGGATGAGTGTTTTTGCAAGCGCTGGTTCCATGGGGAAATCAGCCATTTTTCGACCCAAAAGAGTGAGCTCTCCATCATCGTCCAACGCTTCCAACATGTAAAGGTCCTCCAACGAGGTCATCATTGAATTCTTTGAGGGGGGATCCATAAACTCAAAATGAAGTACATCATCAATCCCAATGGCTTTCAACATGAGAATTGTATGCGATAAATTTTGTCGTTGAATCTCGGGAACTGTATTTGGAAGCATTTCCTTGATATATGACTGCTCAGTGTACAAGCGATAACATTTTCCTGGTCCGGTTCTACCTGCTCTACCACTTCGCTGATTGGCTTGTGCTTTGCTAATAGGGGTAATCTTTAACGTGTCCATCCCCAGTTTTGGGTCGTACCCGTTCAACTTGACATATCCAGGGTCAACAACGTAGTATATACCATCTATTGTGATTGAAGTTTCAGCAATATTGGTTGCCAATATAACTTTGCGTGATCCAGGAGGAGTGGGTTCAAATATTCTGGCTTGCATTTCTGCGGGTAATGCTGAGTACACTGGTAGGATAATGAGCTCAGGGGCAGAGTCACCCAACACTTTCGCTCGCTCGGCAAGCACTTCACAGCTAGTGTCAATTTCCTCTTGTCCTGTAAGAAATACCAATATATCTCCATTAGGTTCAGAAATGTGTATCTGAATAACCGTGTCCAACGCAGCCGACAAGTAATCCATCTCTGGCTCTTTCGTGCAGAGAACCTCCACAGGGTAGGTTCTACCAGGTATAGTTAATATCGGGCAATTATTAAAGAATTTGGAAAATTTCTCAGAATCCAAAGTAGCAGAAGTGACAATTATTTTCAAATTGGGGTTTGCAAGCGCAGCTTTTTTCAACAAAGCAAATAACACATCGGTGGCAATCGTTCTTTCGTGCGCCTCGTCCAACATAATAATTGCATACTTGCTCATTTCTGGATCTGTGAGAGCCTCTCTTTCCAACATACCGTCAGTCATGTACTTTATCATTGTCTTGGAGGTAGTTTTATCATCAAATCGAACATTGTACCCAACTTCATCTCCAAGAGTACAACCAACTTCCTCAGATACTCTTTTCGCAACTGATGTGGCCGCCACACGTCTCGGTTGGGTACAGCCGATTATTCTTGACTCTCCTTGAACCACATTTAGTCCTTCTTCATAAATGTATTGCACAATTTGAGTCGTCTTTCCTGAACCGGTCTCACCCACAATTACAACGAATTGGTTATCTCTAATCATTTGAATGAGATTCGCTCGCATGTCGTATACTGGGAGCGACTTTTTCTGCTCCTCAATGGTGAGTTTGGTCGGCTTTTGAAAAGAAGTGAGCTTGTGAGATTTTTTCCACTCTGAAATCACTTGTTCAGTTTTTTCCTTATTCGCAAGAGGATCTATCTGTTGGTGACTGGCTTTATTCTTTTCCTTTTCTTTCTGGAGCTTTTCCTCTCTAAATTTTCTTGCAAAATCGGATCCATTTTCAGCAGCTTTGGTCATTACACCGTCCATACTGAGGACCTTGTTCATAGAGGGGGTCTCAGTAAACCCCTTGTTTTTCAAAAATGATGGTCTGGCATCATTCAATTCAATTTCGGTGTCAATTTCCAATTCATGGTGTAGTCTGTCGGAAGGAGTGGTTGAGTGTGTCTCCGAGGGTCTTGATGTCCATTCCTCACTGACACTGCTCCTTTCTTGTGATTCATCAATTCCGGTGTTTTGGTTGATCCCCCTCATGGAGAGTGAAATTCTTCCCCCGTTGTCATGCCCTTCGTTAATAACCTTGACATATACTTTTTGATTTGGTTGCATATCAACCAGTGTGGTTCTAGACCCGTCATAAGAAACCTGAGATATATGGCAAAGGCCCGATGTATTGTTGAAACGAATGAATGCTCCATAAGGGCGAATGGAGATGACCTTACCCTCAAAGACCTGACCAAGAAACGTCTCAGGGGTTGAACGTACATGAAAAGCACCGTCGTTTCTACCTTCTAATTGGCTCTGCCCTAGCGAGCTATAAATCTCTCTCAAAAATGTGGCATCAAAATCCTCACCTCCATTTTGTTTGACTCTCTCATGGAATGCTTGAAATGATGAGGATGATTTACTATGTAGTTCTGCGAGAAAGTTCAAAGTTAATTTAATGCTTTCGTCGTCATGTAAATGTAGGTGTTTTTTGATTATATCCCGTTGTAAGTTCACCCTCGCCTCACCATTCTGGATAGTTGTCATTGATGGGTTATACCGATGTCGCTATATTATATTCGTGAAAACTGCACGACTTGACGCAAAAAAGTTTCACCAAATTCATTTTTCTTTTTTTACACACCTTTTTGTATTGCCACCCAATAATAAAAAAAAGCTATCACCAAGTTATCTTATTACAACCAACCGTATCATGTCAAGAGAAGATCCGATTAAGGCGGAGAAAGACTTTTCCGCCACTCTAGATGAGCAATTCCCACTTATTGAAAAGATACCTGACTACAAACAACAGTTGGACAAGTATTTGGTGTTGGAGAAGCAAACACGTCAGTCTTCTGATTTAGCCTCATCAAAAAGAGTATTGAGCAAAATTGTGTCGACTTTGGTGTATAACAACGACTGGGATTATTTAAACGATTTGATTGTCATTTTGTCCAAAAAACATGGTCAATTGAAGTCTTCAATTCAAGCATTTATTCAAGATGTGATTGCCAATTTGTCGAAATTGGACGAATCAAAGGAAAAAGAGTTGGAAACCAAAATGAAGGTGATTGAAACAATAAGAACCGTTACCGATAAAAAGATTTTTGTTGAAGTTGAGAGAGCGATTGTGTCGAAACAGTTGGCGGAAATTTATCTCAACAAGAAGCATGATTTAGACAAGGCAGTGGAGATTTTGTGTGATTTGCAAGTTGAAACGTACTCGATGATGCCATTTAGCGACAAGATTGAATACATTTTGGAGCAAATTAGACTAACATTGCAAAAGGGCGACTACAATCAAGCAAAAATTTTGAGTAGGAAGATATTGTTGAAAACGTTGAAAGGATTTGACAAGGCAGATGAGTTCAAAACGACATACTTGAAATATTTGATTGATATAAACACGTTTGATTATGACTATATATCAATTGTGAAGAATTTGTTGTTGTTGATTGAAATCCCATTAATTCAGGAGTCGGAGAGTTATAAAGATTATCTCGTGCAGATTATTTACTACATCATCCTTTCCACGTCTGATCCTCATCAAATTGACTTGATCAATAGAATTCAGAAGAACCCAGTTTTCAAAAAGAATGTTGTAACAAAGATTTTCAAATTGTTGGAGATATTCTCTACCGATGAATTGATTCACTGGACAAATATTGAATCTATTTACAAAGACGAATTTGCAGAGTCATTCATCTTTAAAGATGAAAAGAATTACCAAAACTTACAAAAGAGAATAATTGAGCACAACTTGCGCGTTATCAACAAGTTTTACCAATGTATTCAATTGGAGAGGTTGGCTTACCTTTTGCAATTGTCTACTGATGAGTCAGAGAAATATGTTAGCGAATTGGTGAATGATGGAATGATTGTAGCCAAGATCAACCGACCAAAGGGTATTGTAAAATTTGACAAGACCAAACGTGTTGAAGGTAGTGATCCACGTGTAAGTGACAACCATATAAATGATTTGCTAAATGACTGGTGCTTTGATGTGGATAAGTTGTTGGAAGAGGTTGACTCTATTGGTCATTTGATCAATAAGGAGGAAATGATGCATGGAATAAAGCAAAAAGTATAGATGTATAATAAATGGTGAACTTTGGATGACAGAATCATCTTAAACAGGTTGTAGATAGGGTGTTTTATGTTCTCTAGCGCAGTCTATCTTGGTGATTCCTCTTCCGTCTTCTATGACTAATTTTTCAACGCTTATTGGTCTCTCGCACAAAGGGGCCTGAACCGCTCCGATAAACAAAGGAACTTTTATTTTTTTTTTTGTTCTTCTTTAAAACTGATCTATTTTTTTTTTTTTTCACTTTTTAACCCCACCCATAACTGACTCATTCAGGATCAATACCAAGCATGAGTTTCAGGTGTTCATCACAGAGATGCATACGAAGCCTCTCTTCTAGTGCTACTAGATGCGAAAAGAAACTAAACAAATATTCATCTATTGTCACTGGCGATCCATCGCAGGGGGCTTCTCAAGCGATGCTTTATGCCACTGGATTCAGTGATGAGGATTTCAATAGGGCTCAAATTGGTGTTGGGTCGGTTTGGTGGTCAGGTAATCCGTGTAATATGCATTTAATGGATTTGAACAATGCGTGTGCTGATTCAGTTAACAAGGCCGGGTTGAAAGCCATGCAGTTTAATTCGATCGGGGTATCTGACGGTATTACCAATGGTACTGAAGGTATGAAGTATTCTTTACAATCGAGGGAAATTATTGCTGATTCGTTTGAAACAATGACTATGGCACAATTGTATGATGGTAATATTGCCATCCCCAGTTGTGACAAGAATATGCCCGGGGTGTTGATGGCCATGGGAAGACACAATAGACCATCTATAATGGTTTATGGTGGTACTATCTTGCCAGGGTCTCCCACATGTGGCGGAAGCAAGAGTAATCCTGCTATTGCTGACAAGATTGATATCATTAGTGCATTCCAAAGTTATGGACAATACTTGTCAAAGCAAATCACGTTGGAAGAGAAGCAAGATATCGTTCAACATGCATGTCCTGGACCTGGTGCTTGTGGTGGTATGTACACTGCAAATACCATGGCATCGGCTGCTGAGGTTTTAGGTTTAACTTTACCATATTCGTCATCATCACCGGCTGTGTCCAAGGAAAAAGCCAACGAATGTGCATCAGTTGGTGAAGCTATGAAGAACTTATTGATTAAAGATTTGAAACCAAGGGATATCATCACCAAGAAATCGTTTGAAAACGCCATCACGTACATTATCATCACTGGTGGTTCAACCAATGCCGTATTGCATTTGATTGCCATTGCCTCGTCATTTGATATTGAGCTTACTGTTGATGATTTCCAAAGAATTAGTGACTCTACTCCATTGCTCGCTGATTTCAAACCATCGGGTAAGTACGTTATGGCTGACTTGCAAGCTAAAGGAGGTACACCAGCAGTTATGAAGTACTTGGTTGAAGAAGGATTACTTGATGGATCACAATTGACGGTAACTGGAAAGACGATTTCGGAGAACTTGGCTGACTTGCCAGGATTACCAGCTGATCAAGATATTATCCACTCTATTTCCAACCCATTGAAACCAAGTGGTCATTTACAAATCTTGAAAGGTACGTTAGCCCCAGGATCTGCTGTGGCCAAAATCACTGGTAAAGAAGGAACTTATTTCAAAGGTAAAGCCAGAGTATTCAATGAAGAGTATGCCTTCATTAGAGCTTTGGAAGCAGGTGAGATTAAAAAGGGGGAAAAGACTGTTTGTGTTATTAGATACGAAGGACCAAAAGGTGGACCAGGTATGCCGGAAATGTTGAAACCATCTAGTGCATTGATGGGTTATGGGTTGGGACAAGATGTTGCTTTGATTACCGATGGTAGATTTTCTGGTGGATCGCATGGGTTTTTGATTGGCCATGTTGTTCCTGAAGCTGCTGAAGGTGGGCCCATTGGTCTTGTTGAGGATGGCGATGAGATTGTTATTGATGCTGAGAATAATATTATTGATTTATTGGTTTCGGAAGAAGTTTTGGCCAAGAGAAGAGAGCAATGGACTCCACCGGAACCAAGGTACAAGAGGGGAACCTTGTTTAAGTATGCCAAATTGGTTAGCGATGCTTCCAAAGGGTGTGTTACTGATGTTTAAAAGCGTTGTGTAGAGTGGTAAAGAGGTGGTGATGAAGGTGATTATGATGAGGTGATTACGTTGGCGGCGGCTGTGCAATGATGTGCTATATTTATTGTCTATATGAAAGACATTGTTTAATTCCCAAAATAGTATATACGTTTAAATATCCAAGAATGGATTAAAGATTCTTTTTACAATTATGAAAACGGGGTGGAGGCAAAGCGTGGTGGCTTATCTTGTTCTAACAATATAGTCTTCACCTGATTTTGTAATGTACCTGACCCACGGGTACGATTGATATTGTAATTTAGGTTCATTGATGCGCAAATACCTCACTTGAATCCCACTAGTGGTGAAATAGGGAATGGAAAAATTAACCTTGATGGGTTTCTTGCTCAATATCGATTCAGAATCAGTTACTGCAGGCAACCCTAATTCAGCACGCATTTGAAACTGTTTACCACCAGGGAAAGTCTTTAGTTTCCAAACAAGGCATGATTTCTCAGGGATCCATTTAACTGAGCCATACTCAGCTTCAGTCTTGGGAGTATCGGCATCATCAGGAATGGGTATAATCACTTCAACATTGTTTGCCGTTGATTTTTTCTTGATTTGTGCCTTGATGGTACAATTGATTTCAATACGTGAATGTTTATGAATTTTTGTTTTACAATTGACCAACATTAATGGTTTGGTTAGGAATTGAGCTGAAGATAAACGATATGACATTAGGGTGAATTCGCCATCTGGGGGGATAAATGTGATTAATTTTTCATTTTCAAACTTGGATAATCGAACACATTGATGGAATTTGATATCTTCCATTTCGACATTTTTGCCCTCAGTGGAAGCAGTGGACTCACCTTCACCGTTGTTGTTACCGGTGAACAAACCTTTGTCATTGAGTCCTAATCGTAAATTGGGCATCCCACTTAAATGCGACTTGATATTTATTTGTCCCAATATTTCACTATTGAGGACTTTACCTTGGGGTGAAATCAACATATTGATACTTTCAACCACATCCAAAAACGCTTCATTCTTCTTGTATGTTATGCCGTCTTTTCTCCAACTAACGGCATTGGTTACTGCATTGGGTGGAGCAACAAGATGTGATGGTGTAGTCTTGATTAAGGAATAATAGTCCTGAGTAATGTATTCTTTTAAAATCTTGGTATCGGTAGTTTGAGGAATACCGAAATCCATCATTTCATCAAGCAATTCGTATATAATGACGAAATTGTCCCTTATACTTTCTTCTTCCAATGACTTGAAGTATTGAGTCAAGACTTCAACCAATTTCGATAGGAAAATGACAATTGTCATTATATTTTCATTTTTCCTCGTCAATGCACAAATGTACAAGTTGTTATGATTGATAAAGATATAGTTTATACCGTCATGGTTTATAAACGGTTTGTAATCACCATCATCAATGGTGTTTTCCAATTCTAATAATAAAAGGGGAAATTTTTCAATTGTTGTTGATGGAATGTCGCCTTTGTAGTCTCGGGATAGCAATGGTTTACCCTTGATGTCTAAGAAATGTATTTGTGAAGCCATTGTATGGGGGTGGGGTGAGGGGGCGATGTGTGATGTGTGATGTGTGATGTGTGACGTGTGATGTGTGATGTGTGATGTGTGAGAAGATGTAAGGAGTTACGGGTGTGAAAATAGGTGGGGGGGAGGAACGGAAGTTATGAGTTTTGTAGTATTGGCTATGATTTCGAAACGGTGGTTTTGTCGTTGAAAAGAGGAAAAAAAAAAAAAAAAAAATGGGATTTAAAAAAAAAACACACCGCATTTTGTTTTTAAAAGATGCTTTGGTAGCGCAAAACCTGATACGCCTGAGGATTATTTGCAAAGGACCTAAACCAATAAATGGGGTTAGCAATTGAAGAATATGGTGTATGTGCGTTGGTATCTTAGCTGATATGTTGCAAGTGGTCAAATTTAACAAAATTCCCTTAAAGGCAACTGTTTTGCATTTGCCTTGAGTATCAACAAGATAATGAGTTATCTCTGAATAAATAGACAAGATATGTTGATTAATTTTTTGCCAACTATAGGAATGGGTTGTGTTTTAGTAGGTGATTCCCAGCGTATGAGAGTCATTTGTTTAATGTTTTAGATTCATTCAGCAATGAGTACCATACACACAAGTCGGTCAGTGGATGATGTTGCTTCTCTTCTAAGTTATTTGCTGTGTCAGTGTGTGTTTTTTTTTTTTGAAATTTTTAGCAACAAAATGGGTTGCAAAAAATTGTTACAAATTAAATAGACATTGACTTATAGATAATTGTAAATACACAACAACCATTATTTGAACTAAAACAATGAACAAAATAGTAGGCATTATGACATAAATAAACCTAGTAACAGATATAACAAGATGAAGATGTTGTAATAGATGGAGTATTGATGCAAAAAGACAAATGGGTAGTACTACTGAGGTCACGTGTAAAAATAACAATAACAATAATATGTATCCTCAAATCAAATTACCCTCCCTACCCAATGACTTTTGTTAAAAGAACAAAAAAAAAAAAAAAAAAAAAAATGAAACAAAAGTCGCGTTGTGTGTACGCTGTTGTTGTGTTTTGTTGTCGTGTTGTCGTGTTGTTGTCGTGTCGTCTCTTTTTCTTTTTTTTTTCTTTGTTTATTTGTTATTTGTTAAGAGTTAGTTTTTATTCTCTATTGTTGTTGTTATTATTATTATTATGTTTACGAAGGAATAGACAAAAAGAAAACAAGAGAAACAAAAAACACGAGAGAGATAGAAAGAAAAGACAATTACAACACTAGAGGATGGATGGATGACAAACGGCGTTCTTAACCATAATCAAAAGCCCAATTGTTTGTAATAACTACGTCTTTCTGCTTCACATTTCTAATCATTTGATCTATGGAGTAGTTAAATAGTATTATATAGCACCCTTGAGCAGTAGTATGATTACACAAGAAAGAGATTGTGTTAGTGTGTGTTAGTGTGTGTTAGTGTGTGTGTGTCAAAACCTTTTCTTCTTCTTCTTTCTACATTTGCGCAAATCTTGCCACTCATTCTCTTTCGAAGCGAAAGCGAAAACAAAAAAGAAAAAGAAAAAGAAAAAAAGGAAAACAATGTGTAACAATAACACCACTCCACTTTCACTTTGAAAACCAAAACAAAAATAGAAAATTTTCTACACCCAATATATTATATACAACAAGAGACTAGACTAGACTACACTACACTAGACTATACTAGACTAGATTGCACGACAACCCAACTTATTTACACTCGTTACACCTCGCTGCTTACTACTACTTACTACTACTTACTACTACTTACTACTACTACTTACTACTACTATAACTGTCGCTTTTCCAATGTTGTTTAAATCATTACTTACCTATATTTCCCTTGTTTCCACTGTTTTGGCTATTCCTGCTATTGAAGTACAAGGTAATGCATTTTGGAACACTGAAACTGGTAAACGTTTCTATATTAGAGGAGTTGATTACCAACCAGGTGGATCATCAGAATTAGAAGATCCATTGGCAGATACCAAAGTATGTGAACGTGATATCCCTTATTTCCAAGAATTGGGTATCAATACTATCAGAGTTTATTCAGTTGACAATACCAAAGATCATGACGAATGTATGGATAAATTGGCTGAAGCGGGAATCTATGTTATATTGGATGTCAATACTCCACATTCTTCCATAACTAGGTCCAACAGTGAATGTTCATACAATTCAGACTATTTACAAGAAGTATTTGCATCAGCACAAATGTTTGCTCAATACAATAACACATTGGGATTCTTTGCTGGTAATGAAGTTATTAATGATGGTGCTTCATTGGATTCTGCTCCTTATGTTAAAGCTGTTGTTCGTGACTTGAAAACTTTTATCAAGAATAGAGGTTTTAGAACTATTCCTGTCGGTTATTCAGCTGCCAGTGTTGATGAATATAGATTAGCTTCAGGTTTGTATTTCAATTGTGGTGATGATGAAATGGCAAGAATCGACATGTATGGAATCAATGATTATTCATGGTGTGGAGATGCTAGTATGACAACATCACAATATTCCCAACAAATGAAGGATTTCAAAAATTTTACAGTCCCCTTGTTTTTTTCAGAGTTTGGATGCAATGCTAAAAAGCCAAGACCATTTACTGAAATCGAAGCCATTTATTCAACCGATATGTCTAGTGTATTTTCAGGTGGATTGGTTTACGAATACTCAGAAGAAGACAATGAATATGGCTTGGTTAAATTGGGAGACGATGATGACGATGACGATGTTACACCAAACCAAGATTTTAAAAATTTGAAAAATGAATTCAACAAGACTGAAAACCCCAGTGGTGATGGTGGAGCTTCCAAAGACTTGACTGGTGGTAACAATTGTCCTTCGAAATCCTCACTTTGGAATGTGACTGAAGAAATCCCAGATACTCCAGGGGGAGCTATCAAGTATTTAAAAGGTGTGGCTGAACCAACAGGTCATGGATTTGACGCTTATGTCCAGGGTAATTGCCATGGTAACAATGACGTTGATGACTCAGGAAACTATACTAGTTCTGTTGGTGCATCAACTCGTGATGCCAGTGCTACTTCGTCGTCAGCTCAACTGTCTAGTGGATCGTCATCCTCATCATCAGGTAGTACATCTTCAGGATCAAAAGAGAATCAAGGTGTTGTTGCTGCTACTACTTCTGTTACTGGTGTTGTTGGGTTATTGGCTTTGATTGCTGGATTCGTTGTTGTTTAGTTGGCTTTATGTTGTGTACGTTTTCTTTATACTACTTTTTGATAATTTGAAATTGGGTATTAAAAGAGTTGTAGTTGAATATTTGCAAAATGAGCTTGAGCTTTTTTGTTGATCCTCGGTTAATTGTTGATTTTGTGTGATGATTCTCAAGCATAATGTAATAAAAAATATTTTGGGAAAACTCAACGGTTTCTTGTTTTTTCCTTTCTCCGAAACTCAACAGAATCTTTCTAGAAGTAGCTAGACAATAGAAAGATGGGGATCGTTTTATCTGTTGGGGTGTGGTCCTATTTATGATGAACTTGTATTGAGTTTAATAGAATAAAAATCCTTTTCTTCATTAACCGAGGTGTTACTTTTACAATACATGCTACCAGTTTCTTCTCTTTCTCTCTCTCTCTCAGTTGTATCTTCCCCTCCTCCCCGCATTTTTTTTTCCCTGTGCTACTTAGAGTCAGTGTTTTTTTTTTTCGGCTTCAACATCAACAACGGAGTTTTTGCGTCGTAAAGAGAAAAAAAAAAAAAAAAAGAAAAAATGAGATGAATGACTATATATATATCACATGCAATATCATAAACAACAACAAAGTATAAATAGAATACAAAATACAACATTAACAACTGCTACTACTACTGCTACTACTACTGCTACTACTACTACTACATCATCATCATTATTTAAACGTACTTAAAGCATAACTGATCCTGTTCATATAAATATTTATTCACATACTACCACTATATATTCTCCCTCCCTCACCCCACAATGTCCGCTGAAAAACGTTTAATTAAGGAATACAGTTTATACAAGAAACAACCACCACACACCAACAACCATCAAATAATACAACTCTCCCCCACCACAGACGACTCATTACTCCATTGGCAAGCAACAATAGCCAAACCAACAATTCAAGACTCTCCATACTACCATGGCGGCATATGGAAACTAAACATTGATGTTCCCACCACATATCCACAACAACCACCCACAATCAAGTTTCAAACCCCCATTATTCACCCAAATATCAACTCAACCACGGGGGAAATATGTCTTGATGTATTGAAATCACAATGGAGTCCCGCTTGGAACTTGGAGAGTTTGGTGGTTGCTATTGTTCAGCTTTTGGATAACCCTGAGCCCGATTCGCCATTAAATATCGATGCTGCTAATTTGTACAGGTTTGATAAAGTTGCGTTTGAGAGTCTTGTGCAGTTTGAAATTTGGAAAGTTGGTAATTTTTATCAGTTGAATTTGAGCACGTTGTGTGAAATGGATAAAAAGACGAGGTCGTTGGTTAGAGATGTTTCTGGAGTCAAGTGTGTTTAGGATATGCAGTAACAAAAGCGAAATTTTATAGAGTGTTGAATGAGTTTTATGAAAAAGAGTACTATTTTGAAGATTGTGTAGAAAGTGGTTACCAACAAATGTTTTGTCTTTGAAAATAGGTTGTTGAGATGAACCTCAGATATACTCTGTAATCTCGATTACTCTATAATCGACTTTTTATATTCTATAATTACTCCCTTTTAGTCTATAAAATCCGTGGTCTACTCTTGTGACACAAACACTGTGGGAATATTGGTATCCTTGGTGTTACCATTATTATTGCTTCTACCATTGGCTTCACCATTGGCTTCACCATTGGCTTCACCATTGGAGCTTTGATGGCTTCTTGCGCTATGATCATCCAAACTAAACATTGGAACATTGGCACCACCAGAAACATCTGATGATTGTAATCCGTTTACAGCGGCATGAGCAACCGGCACTCTATTTGGTTCAATTATAAATGAATTCAAACTATCTGATGATGGTTTGTGGACTCCTAATCCTGGAAATGATGGAGACGAAGATGTGGATGAGCTAGAGTTGCTCCTTTGTTGCTGTTGCTGCTGTTGCTGCTGTTGCTGTTGCGTCTTTTCTTGCTCTTCAAGGTGTACTTGTTGATCATGGATATTTTGCAATTTCTGTTGAATAAGCTCGATATTCTGCTGTTCTTGAGATTTGAGACTTGATATGGCTGATTCTTGTTGCACCAATGCTTGTTGCAATTTCAAATACTCTTCATGTTGATTTTGTTGTTCAGTGGCTGAAAAAGTTGCATGGATTGGCGAAGCTACTGCTGATCCTGCTGCTGATCCTGCTGCTGATGCTGTTCCTGCTGATGCTCCTTTTGGTGTCATTTGTGGTGATGTACTCAAACTCTTGTTACCATAATGTGATTGGTGTTGTGGTTGCCCTTGTTGTTGTTGGCCCTGTGGCAAAGCCGTGATTCCCTCAAATGGGTTCACTTCCTCCTTATGAGAAGGTGATTCATTAGGAGTCTTGATCTTGGGGGTAAACATACCTGATAACGCCGGGTTGGATGCATTACCCAAATCCAAAGTCAATCCAGCAGGATTACTGCTATGCTTCTTTGATTTACGAGTCGTTGGTGTTCCTGCCCCTGCTGCTGCTGCTGCTTGATTAGCTTTCCTTTCAATAAAAGCAAATCTTGCATAATGATCATTACCAAATTTTAACAACTCTGACAAATCTTCAACCCAGGAATTGTAATCATCGACAGTGGCGCATTTGAAAGTCTTTTTCGACTTGTTTGAAGTCTTGGTTAAAGTGAATTTAAACGATGATTCATCCTTGATGGCAATTTGATAATCATTTAAATTGTACGATTTCACTGGTTCATCTTCGTAACCAATAAACCCACCAATTTTATCCTTCGATTTCTTCATTTGTTGATTGATTTCCTCATTGAATTTGAATTCATGAAGGTAATTACATGAAAGAACATAGTAGTGGCGAGTATAATTTTTCATGAGTTTTTGCTTCTTGTACATCAGTCCAAATCGAAGACATTTGTTTTGAATCGAGTTGGCATAGGGTAAAGTCACCAGTTTTATGGTTCGATTCTCTCTTTTTGGGTTGACGTCGGTGGCATAGTAGGTATTGACAAAACAATTGTTGTGGGTGATGAAATATTCCCAATCAGCAGTGGATGAACTACTGATTTTGGTCTTTAGAAACTGATAAAATTCCGAATTGAAATCCAATTTGCCAAATTTATCAACCACCCAATTCAATTCTTTCAACAAGTATGTAAACAAATCTTTACTAATGTTTTGCAAATTGACATAGGATGCAATCATGTAATTTTCAAAAATCAATTGCGTTTTCAAACGGGAATCTACATCCAACTTCACCAATAATGGGTCATCCAAAGCTGCAAACTCTTCATCGTCACCACCACCTCCACCGGCGCCATCGTAATCACGCAAGTACCCCTTAACAACAGGTTTGGATCCACAATAAGTCTCAACAGCAGCAGTGTACCTGCTTAATATTTGACCCGTCTTGGAAATCTCCTTCAGTAACTCAGCATTAGCAAATGCATCATTCTTGAGTGATGTCTTGATCTCTTTAATCTTGTGGGACACTTGTTTCAACAATACTTCCAACCGAGGTATCATCTTTGTGTTGAGATCTTTGCGGAGTTTAAAACTATTGTTGAATGCAACATGATGTGAACTGAGCAATACTGCTGGTAAGTTTGTGTAAAGTGAATTGTCGGGGAAGAAGGTAGGTGGAATTCGAACATCATTGGTGTTGAGAGTTTCAGTGCTTGTGGGTAATGGTGGTGTTGAAGCGCCACCAGTAGGCTGAAACTGTGGCGATGCTGGCGCATACTGTTGTTGGTTCTGTTGGTTCTGTTGTTGTTGTTGCAGCAGGGATCCACCTAATTGCTTCACGGCTCCAAACGACAGATTTCTCTTGTGTAAATTGCTTGCCGCATTCTTCAAGAATGATTGGTTGGAATTGGATTTCTGTTTGAATAATCCTGGACGTTGCTTATCAGCAAGCGAAGTTGAACTTTTCGAAAGCGTTGGATTATGATGATGATGAAGATGCTGATTATTCATTGATGATCCAGAAGTGGGGATATTCGCACTCGATGCAGAAATTGCACCCGATGGAATGCTCCCCTGTGTTACTCCTCCAGACCCTGGATTAAATGACGAAGCACTACTCACATTGGTACTCATTGATGATAAACTTGAACTAGACAAGTTTCGTTTCACTTCTTTGGTAGGCGTATGGTTGTTCTTGGGCAGCAATGTCCCTGCACCACCATTATTCATTAACCCCGGTGTGTTTAGTTTTATATCATGAAGAATTTTGTTTGGTAAATCTTTACAACCAGGAAATTGCACAGCACTTATCAATTGGTAATTCAAATTGGCTTCCAATTCTTTAACGAGGAGAATTTCTTTGAAATAGTAGATTATTGACTTGATGAAGTATTTCCATAATTTGAAAAATTCCACCAAATTGTCAATGGGTTTGGAATCGTATGGTGGCAAGTTGTAGTAGAAAGGCGATTGGGGGTTTGAAGATGGAAGGACTTTTTCCTTCTCGAATTTAAACGACGATTGAGGAATCATGAGGGGCGAACGCGAGGAGGATCGATTGAAGTCAGCAACGTGGTAAATGGAACAAGTGAATGTTCTCGTCGTGGGACCTAGTCGACGTTGTAGCGTTCTTTTTATTTTTTTTTTCGTTTGACGGGATCAATGGGTTATTTTATACAACATTAAACGCCGAAAGGAGAGATAGAACTCGTAAACAGTAGACAAGAAAAAAAGAATAATAGCACCGAAAAAAAGAAAAGAAATTTAAAGATTAAGACATTTGACAGGAAAACCTGAAGACGTCCGAAGAGAAATGTGTAAAGAGGTGGGGTGGGTGATGTTGGTAAAAAGTCACCATAGGTTATGAGTCGATGTGTACTGCACACTCCTTAGACAGCAAGCACGAAATATATTTCTAACTTGCTTTGATGTAAGCCACGAAAAATAAACTAAAGCAATTAAAACGCCAATGCGTGGTTTAGGTCTAGACTTTGTAGGTACCACACAAGGCTCTCGCGGCAAAGTAGCTCCCACGAGGAATCTTCCATCCAGAATTCCCCATTGAAAAACGCTTAGGAGGAGACTGTTCCATGCGGAACGAATGGGAACATGATAGAAAAAAAAATAGGGGTGGAGGGGAGAGGAGGCGAGATGTGGCCCGTTGTAAACGAATCCACAAAATCAAAGAAATTGAACCGGAAGAACTGTTTCGAAAACTGCAAATGAGAATCTTGATTTTGTGATACATTGAGGCTCGTTTTGGCACGGGAGGAAATTTCGTCTGATCTAGACTCGGCTAAAGGCGCAGGACCAGGTTGCTACTTGGCAAAGATTGTAACCGTTGCTAATGCGTGGGGTGTAGATTGCATGGGTGAGCGTATGTGTGTGTAGTTAAATTTAGAAACATTTCAAGGTACATAAAAACAAACACAAGGTGCTCCTTTCTTGACCTAAAAGCGTACTTTGTCGTGGGCACTTTCGCGCAACAAGGTTTCACCTTTACCAAAGTTACTCCTTTAATCTCTTGTGCCACAGCTTCTGGAAGTGTTGCTTTTTTGTCTGATCAAGTTATGTTGTGTCTTGGCACGTAATGACGCAGTTCCTTTGAGCCAGTCTTGTGATACTTGCCTTGTGATTTTGTGAGCCATGCCTAATAAAGTGTGTGGAGATATATTGCGAAGACAATTATATTGACTACTAACACAATATATACTAGGCACCTTGTGGTTAACTACTGCTTTACAATTCTTTATCTACGTGGCACATTGATTAACTACTTACCATCCTCCATCTTATTATCTTTTTGTGCATCACCATTTATCTGAGCAATCTGTTGCTTCAACATCCCAATTTCAACTAATAAACTCGACTTGTTACTCAAACTCACCATCTTTACCAACTCATCATTTTCTGTCTGCAATTGATTCATCTTGTAAAGCAATTTGTGACTCAATTCTTCCACATCGTATCCAACAGCGGTATTGTTGCTGATGTGATTGGCAACTAAAACAATTTCCATTCTTTGATTGACGTCATCCAATTCTTGACATTTTTCTTGCAACGTTTTCGACAAGTCCTGAAACAATTGGTAATGGTTTTGCGGCATTTTAAACACTGGTGAACGGGCATCACTTGCGTCTTCCTTCACTTCATTGTATGCTTTGGAATTCTTGTTTTTGATCATGATGCCAATTTGGTCGGTCAAGTTTTTAATCATTTGATTCTTTAAAATCAACTCATTCTTTAACTTTTGCACCTCCTCTTTCAAGTCAGTTCCATTTTCATCATCAATAGCTGCCTTGTTTATAGTGGAGTTTGGTGTAGCTGGGTATCTGGCTCCATACGGAACATAACTTGGCGCATTGAGCATACTGTTTTTCATGTACTTGTTGGTATTGTATTGAGTGGTGGATCTCTTGTCATTTGTCTTGGAGTCAAAAAATTCGCCATCACCATTGTCTTGGTCCCTTGCCAATGGCTGAAATGGGTTTGTCTTATTTTGCCAATTCTGGTTGGAATAGGTTGACTGATTCCAAAGCTTCATTGGTGTATATTCCGATTGATAGGGGTAGCTTTGCATGGCGTTTTGAGGCAATGAATATTGTTGTGTCGAGGGACCATTGTGGAGCTGCTGCTGCTGCTGCTGTTGCTTCTGCTGTTGTTGATGATGTTGTGCCTGTTGCCAATTGACACTCTGATACTCGTTACTACTCATGTAACTAGTATTGACAGTTTGATTCGAATCGATGGTGTTGTCGCATGATTGAGGTGGGTTGCTTTGATGTGTCAGGCTTGACTCCATGGGGAAGCTCATCAGGTTGAAAGACTAGAGTAGATGTGTCAGCATTGATACGTGTAATATTGATGAAATTTTATACATACTTTTACCAAAGATGATTCATTCATGGTGAAGAGGTAAGCGTGGGGTATCGATGTGATTATAGTGGCTCCTTACGAGTATATCAGTTGCTATGATTGCCTATGTGTGATGTGGTGGTGAAAAAGAGTGGTGGGTAAAAGTGCTGCAAAAATAGAAATCCATGACTTGAATCCCACGACTTAGATCCCCACGATCTAGAAAAACTGTCCAGCACCACCAATCATTTGTTGCAACATTCGACCAGCAGGCGTTTCTAAAACAACCTCTGGCAAATTCAATATCCTATCATCCAACTTCTTGTCACATAAAAACTCCAAAAATGTATTTGTAAAATGATTACAGTTATTGGTAAACAAGTCGTACTTAGCTGCTTCATACTTCATATCTTCCCTACCTCTGAGATCATTTATGAAGGCATCAATTGTCTCATCGTCAATAAAAGTCTCCCCTACTTCAATCACTTCTATTGGGGACCCATACTTGAGATGGTGCGATTGAGCTCTAACTATTTGAATCCCGCGATCGAGGTAATACTCTTTGCCTCTCACTACAACTGATGTGTGGTAAATCGCCTCAATCTCGGTGCCCAAAAACATACGACTGTAGTTTCTTGCAAGGCCCCTTGATAAATCATATACGTATACTTGAACTGGTGTCGCTACTTCCTCCATTGATGAAAACGTGGTGGCGAAAAGAAAGAGAAAAAATCCGCCACTCTTCATACGAATTTAAAAACAGTAACTTTTAGGATGGCGGATGCAAATCGGCTAATCTTTGACACCTCATGGGCTAAAAGCTTTGTAGTTTATGGGATAAGCCTATGAGATCTGATCGTATGGGTACCTTATCTGAGAGATATTAGTTTGCAAAAGATTGGGCTCATTGCAAGTGCCTACGACAACTTGAACGGAATTGAGATACCATTTAACGAATTGGTCTACTGCCAACGCGCTTCCTGGACTCTATACGATCGTAGATACGCGTCTCCAAGGTCCCTGCCTCATCTTGCATACAGAAAAGTGGTGTGCCTATGAGTGTGTCAAAAAAAAATCATATGTTTGACAGACTAGAAAAATTTCTCTCCTATTTAAGGGCAACACGTTCCTTTCTTTGTCCGATGCTGAGCTCTTACTACACCAACAATGGCCTCTTCAATCAAACATAGATCTTCAGAACAGACATTCACGTTTGTAACCCCACCAGCAGATGCTTCTATAGAAGTGTTGAACGATTTCTACTGGACCAATGAAGCTGAACCACATGCGCTTCGAAGGAAATTGATTCTTGCAAAGCATCCAGAAGTCAGAAAACTCACTGGGTATGAACCAAAAACGAAATGGTATGTCATGTTGGTGGTTCTTTTACAGTTGTCGGTGGCTCTCTACCTTCGAAACACGCCCGTTTTGTCATGGAAGTTTGTCGGTTTGGCATATGTTATTGGCGCTACTGCAAATCAAGCCATCTTTTTGGCGATACACGAGTTGAGTCACAATCTATTGTTCAAAAAGCCATTGCATAATAAGTTGTTTGCCATTTTTACCAATATCCCAATCGGAATCCCCTATTCAGCTTCGTTTCAGCCATATCACCAATTGCACCATAAATTCCAAGGAGATGAATATTTGGACACTGATTTGCCAACTAGATTTGAGGCTATAATATTGTCCAATTTATTGGGAAAGGTGTTTTTTGCAACTTGTCAAATCTTTTTCTACGCTTTGAGGCCAATGTTTATTACCCAGATTAAATTCACCTATATCCATTTGTTGAATGTTGTGCACCAACTTGTATTTGATTATTTCTGGGTAAAATATTTTGGATGGAAAAGCTTTGCTTATTTTATTATGAGCTCCTTTTTGGCGGGCTCATTGCACCCATGTGCTGGTCATTTCATTGCTGAGCATTATGTGTTGAATGAAAACAACAAACCAAGGGGGAAAGATATACCCGTTCCTGCAGAGACATACTCCTACTATGGATCCCTCAATTTAGTCACTTGGAATGTTGGTTACCATAACGAACATCATGATTTTCCATACGTTGCTTGGACAAAGTTGCCTGAACTTCGACGCATTGCTGCCGACTTTTATGATCCATTACCGAAAGTTGAAAGTTGGTGTGGAGTCATTTGGTGGTTTATATTCAACGATGTAAACACGCTATGGAACAGGGTCAAGAGAAAGGGAAAAGAAAAACATGGACACAAAATAGATAATCTAGATGACAATTAAGGGAAACTATAAATTTTTAAAAGATTCTGTGACAGCATCAACTTGTAGTTTTGACTTTACAAATGAAACCATCTCATCAACCGGAATAACATCACCTTCATTTTCTTCACCTTGACCCAATTTCTTGACTCTGATTTTTCCCTCTGGGTACTCTTCTTTACCTAATATGACTGCGAGTTGAGCACCTGATTTTTCTGCACCATCAAATTGTTTCCGAGTGTTGGCTTTGGCTTTGTACAAAAATTCGGCATTGACACCGGCTTTCCACAATTGGTTGGCAACATGCATTCTCTCCTTTAAAAACCCATTCCATCCTTCACCGCCACCAAAGGCCATGACATAGACATCAGTGTGTTGCGACTTGAGCTTTGACATGTCGGTTCTTTGTTTTATGATGGAGAATAATCTCTCGACACCAAAGGAGATACCAACACATGGAATAGACTTGTTGTTTGAAAACATTCCCACCAAGTTGTCATAACGGCCACCAGCAGCAATTGACCCGACACCAACATATTCAGATGCATCTTCATCTTTACTCTTGGCTTTTAATTCATTTGCGTTTTTTGGTGGTGCACTAGCAGCAGTAACCGCTTCATAAATGAGGCCGGTGTAGTAATCCAAACCTCTAGCCAATGACAAATCAAACTTGAGCTTATCTTGGATGTTGAACGCTTCAACGTAATCAGCCAACACTTCCATCTCTTGGATACCTTGTTTCGCAGTTGCATTGTCAATTCTACTTTGTTTCAAAATGTCAATAACTTCACGAATTGATCCACTGTGTTGAACAAATGTCCATATCTTGTCAGCAATTTCCTCACTTTGACCCTTTTCCAAAATCTCCTTCTTAACTGCTTCCCATGGTGATTTATCCAACTTGTCAATTGCTGATGACACTTTACGAATATCTTGTTCTGGAACCCCACAAGCTTCAAAAATACCATCCAATATCTTTCTGTGGTTTAATTTCACTTTATAATCATTGATTTGTAAGTCATCCAACCCTTCACAAAGAATGTTTAAAATCTCTGAATCTGGAACCATTAAATCGTATGTACCAGCAATATCGAAGTCACATTGGTAAAACTCTCTCATTCTTCCTTTTGTCATTGCTGGTTGGTCTCTTCGGTAAACCTTGGCGATGTGGTACCGTTTAATTGCAGTAAGGTTGTTTGTAGCGACAAATCTAGCAAATGGCACAGTCAAGTCGTATCTTAACGAAGTCAATTCACCTCCTTGGTCTTCCAAATTATAGATAAGTTTACTATCTTCACCATATTTACCAGTGAGGATTTCCCTCAATTCGAAAACTGGTGTATCGATAGTGACACCACCATGTTTTTTGAAAATATTCGTCAACAGTGTAAACAAATTCTCCCTGATAATCATATCGCTTCCTCCCCAATCTTTGGTTCCTTTCGGGGTCTTGAGGAGGAAGTTGGAGTTCTTGGATTTTGACATGGTGGTTAATGCTTTGGTGAATAGTCTACTCATACAGTCTGAAAAAAAAAAAAATTTTCTTACATTTTTTTCCTACTTAGTCCTCGTTTATACCATTCGATTTGGAATACTTTAAACGTAACATGCCATCTGTGAGGATACGTTTACCCCAACTACCTGCAGCGGCACTACCTGTTTCATCTCTACATTGCTTCAAAAATGGAAGGAGAGAGGTACCTCCTGTTCCTTTCTCTTCTTTCTTTTCCCTGGCCAAACCTGATCTCAATGTGGATCCTGAACCCATCTTGTTGACTTTTTTTGCTTGAAGAACAACGTATCTGGTGACAATTTGTATATGTTTGTCTCTAAACGATTTCAACATTGCCAAACATGCATCATAAGCCAATGTCAATTCTTCGTTGTTCTGTGACTTGACAAAATCTCTAATGGTGAATGTATGTGGCTCTAAATCTTGAAGAAACTCACGGTGCTTTTTTGGCATGTATTCTCTCATTTCCGTTAAAAACGAACTGTCAGCAGTGAGATCACCAGTGGCGTGATGAGAAACACCTAAAAGGATATCCATAAATTGAATCAATGATGATTGAGCATTTGAGCCTCCTGCATAGCTCCTGGGTGTCGTTTCATCTCCGTAGTAAACTCCCTTTTCTAGTCCCACACTGGCCATATTCTTCCAACCGGCCAAGAATGGCCTTATTCGGAAATAAAAAACGTGAGGGTCACACATTTCCTCCATCCGCATCAATACCGATCCCAACATATCAATCGATTCTGCAAACTGTTGCAAGTTTTCAATAAGCAGGTGAGTGTTCCCCGTTTCAGCACTGTTTAAAGCATCCAACCCCACCTTTACAGAAAAAGCTCCTTCTTTTTCAAAGCAGACCAGCACAAGGTAGAACCACGATTCATCAACAGAACCGGTAAAGGTGTTGATGGTGGTGAGATTGTCCAAAGTAAATTCCCCAGATTCATCAATCTTTTTGAAATTCCATAAGCAAACCGCGGCATAAGTGGCAATAGGTGGGAGTCCTAAGGCCTTGGATACAGCTATCCATGGATCACTTATTTGTGCAGGAAGTCTATCAACTGGTTCGCCACTCCATATATAAGCGTGCCCTAAAAAGGACAACACTAGATAAGCCCTCCTCATTTCTCTTTCATTTGCCAACTTGTCAATACTCAAGTGAGGAAGTTTGTTGTTAACCTGCTTCCTTACTGTACGATGAAGAATGTATGCATTTAAATTATCTAAAAACTTTTCCCATGGATTGTAGTACGGGTTTGTTAATCTTTCCAACGGCAACTCTGTGAGAAACCCAAACTCTGTACTGATATCGTATTGTTCAAGCTCCAACATGTATAATGCTATAGTGAATAGTGATTTGGAAAAATGATCAGTTGATAAAAATGGAGATTTTCTTCCCGTGAAATATCTCGGCTTTCTTTTTCTTGAAAATGTCGCGCTGAGGCAAGCGAATGTCGTAGTTCTAAAAGTATGGTCAAAAACAACTGTAACTGTACACAATTTGGGAGGGTTAGGTACTAATATCAAACATTCAACCAGACATGGTGTCACCAAATCTCTTCAAACTTGGGTAGATAGAGGTGGAGGTGTCCGCTAATGGCTGTAAACTACCTTTTAAGTGCCATTTGTGAGTGGATCCGTTGAAATTGCAATTTTTGTAGGCAGGTGTTTTATTGCTCAAGACAATACCACATTACACCTCCATTAAGCTGGTTGGAAACTTGATGTGGGACCCACTGGGTACTCATCCATTCACAGACCTCCTACAGCGGCGTTCCGTGTGTCCAGTGACAAAATTTCAACGGTGGTTCACCAACCTTCTACTTTAAATGTCGCCAAAATAGGAAATCGCAACCTACTCTCACTCAAATTGATGTCACGCACTCCGAAAGTCGTTCAACGATCTCTAAAAGTGTAAACAGAGGCTAGCTCAAGCAGCTCCACAAGCAATCAATAAATCAATCATCCTCCCCCTGAAGCCATGTCTTTCAAAGGATTTAAAAAGGCAATAGTTAGAACCCCCCAGAACTTTCGTGAAAAGTTGCACATGGGAGGGGATGTCACCCATGACGCTGTTTATGAAGATGCTGAGCGGAGATTCAAGGAAATCGAGATCGAGACAAAGAAGTTGAATGATGAGTCAAAAAAGTACTTCAAAGCCATTAGTGGAATGTTGGATGATCAAATTGAATTCTCAAAAGCCATTGAAGAGATCTACAAGCCAATTAGTGGTAAAGTGTCTGACCCTAATGCCGCTGTTCCTGAAGATAACCCCGCTGGTATTGAAGCAGCAGAGCAATACAGAGGTTTGGTGTCGGCATTGAAAGACGAGTTGAAGCCTGATTTAGATTTAATTGAAAAGAGGGTTGTGGAGCCGGCCCAGGAATTGCTAAAAGTCATTGAAGGAGTGCGCAAGCTTGCAACAAAGAGAGAGCACAAAAGGGTTGATCTTGATCGTCACGCAAGATCTTATACCAAGTTACAGGAGAAGAAAGAGAAAACTGCCAAGGATGAAGAGAAAATGTACAAAGCGGAATCCGAGCTTGAAATTGCGCAGGCATCCTTTGATGAGTACAATGACCTCTTAAAAAATGAGTTGCCTGTATTGTTTCAAATGCAGAGTGATTTTATTAAACCTCTCTTTACCTCTTTCTACTATATGCAGCTCAATATCTTCTACACCTTATATAGTAAAACTCAGGAGATGAAAATTCCATATTTTGATTTGGATGGTGATCTTTTAGATGGTTACAATGCTAAGAAAGGTGACATTGAGGAACAAACGGATGCAATTGGTATCACTCACTTCAAGGTTGGTTATGCAAAGTCAAAAGTTGGAAGACTTCATGCCGCAAGGGCTCAAACTGGTTCCCCTGGTTCTCCTGCTTCGCCAAGTGCTGGTCTGTTCCCATCCAGCTACAGCTCAGATTACAAAGCTCCCTACCAATCCCCGCAATCCACTCAACCTCAAGCTGCTTATGGCCAACATGCTGGTTTTGGTCAACAGACTTCCACTTATGGTGCTGCTACTTCTCCACCACCACCACCTGCTTATGCCAACACACCACCTGCCACTGCCCCTGAAGTCTGTATTGCCCTTTATGACTACACTGCTCAAGCTCAAGGTGACCTTTCATTTCCAGCTGGTGCAACCATTGAAATCATCAACAAGGATGATCCTGGATGGTGGATGGGCAAATACAATGGAGTTACAGGTGTGTTTCCCTCCAACTATATAAAGATGTAGGTTTCTATAGCTCGTTTGCTTAATCTTATATACTGTTTCTTTTAACTTTTTAAATTGTCCTTCAACCTTCTAAATTGCCTTTTAACTTTCCCCGATTCAAAAGTTGCAAACCGCTTAGCGCCAAATTTCAAACTCAAAATAATGAAAAAGTTGAAAAAAAAAAAAAAAAAGCCAAATCCTTCCCCAGTGATTCACAGCTTACCGATGTTCCAAATGTTGATGGTCCTATTATTACCACATCCCGGATCCTTCTCAAAGCTATGCACCAAGAATCAAGAACTATATTAGACTTGTACCCACATGATATACTACTGATTATCATCTCAAATTCAGGCGCTAACAACCTCACCAAACTTATGTCATGTCAGTCATTCATGCAACAAAATCGGAATTTCAAACGAGCCCTCGATAATGTCCTAATCAACTCAAAGTACATCTTTTACAACTACACTACGAGACCGGAGCTTACGGTTGGATGGGATGATGACATGAATGAACTCGAGCCATCTGATTTTGACAGTCGCGAGAGTTTTGAATTGTTTGATGATTATTGTGCTACTGAGGGCATTGAGACGCAAATACGCATAACCTATGGCATCTATGACATTTTTGACTTGGTCGAGCTTGAAGAGTTGCTTTCGCGCTTGAGGCCATGTAGTGATGCAATGTTACAATTACATTTGGAGTTGTCAACGTGTCGTCTACTATTGTTAGATTTGACGCGATTGCTCAAAATTGTCACCCGTTTGAGAAAACGCATTGCAGGATTGACACTCGAAGGGGAATTTGCGACTGAAATAAAGGGCGTGATCAATTTGGACTATTTCACAAATATAAAAGTTTTGAATATCGGTGGCTTGTCATTCTGTGGGTCACCCAGAAACTGCAATAGCCTAACAGAGCTCACATATCTATCAACACGCTTTCCGATGCGTCTCCTCGATGTGGGGGAGCTACCACCATCCTTAAAGCGATTTGCTTGTGATGTAGGCAGTTTCGGTCTTGACTCAACCTTACCTGATACTGGCGAATATCCACGTCTTGAAAGCATTCATTTTCGTCGCTGTAAAAGTGCCGCTCCTGAGGTTATCAAGGACATATTATGGAATATGACTTGTCCTAGAACCTCCAGCATAAAGTTTGATAGATGGTTTGGTCAGAGTGTCGATGAATTTGTGCAATTACTTAGTGATGTTTCAAGAGGAAATGGTTTCAAATTGGAATCTTTATCGTTAGAAGGATCACTCGCATTTCCTTTAAACATATACCCATTGATGCCTACTTTAGAAAAACTTGAGTTACGAGTGGCGAATGGCCTCAGGCTTGATGGTATTCTAAGCAAGATTCCGGTAGGGTTGGTCAAGTTGCACTTGTCTAACTGTGATGCTATGAGAGAAGTTGACGTGGACTTTTCCAAACTAAGATGCTTAAAGCATCTCAAGTTACATCATTGCAATATAAATGACTCGATATTTCACCTCATGCAATTTCCCGAGTCACTCGAAGTTTTGGACTTGGCTTGTAACAACATAGAGTCGCTTGAAGGAGTACTGTTCCCCACGAGATTAGTTAATTTGAGCTTGGATCTGAACCGCTTACGTCACATTGATGATTGTAGTTTTCCAGAGTCCCTAAGAAAACTTAATGCTTCTGGAAATCGATTAGAAAGCGTTTGTTTGCTGAAAAGCAAAGGTGGTAAAGAGCTTAGCATTGAAAGTTTATTTTTGGAGTCGCATCCTGAAATCTCAACCCATTGGGAGTTGCCAAAAGTCCGAACTTTATACTTGTCTCAATTCAAACCATATGTTGGTCAGTATTTGGGAGAGAATTTAGTGAACTTGGTGTTGATGGATTGCGGTGACCTCTGTTTCAACAGCATAGATTTTGGAAACAAGCCGAGGATACAATATCTATTTGTCCATGATTGCTCCTTGGACGGCTTTGATATGAGTTCACTTCCAGAGTTGGAGGAAGTAAAGTTATCTTTTATGGCCAAAGTGCCGAAAGGCTTGGGCCATTTGAGAAGGTTGCGATATCTTAACATTACCCAAAGCTCGATTAAGAAAGTGTCTCTTGAGTTCCATTCTAGATCCCTAGAGGTTCTAGATCTTTCATCGAACCTTATTGAAAAAGTCCAATTGACGTTTCCAGTTGGTAAAACTAAACTAAAAAGACTCAGCTTGAGTGAAAATGAATTAAGGGATATTTCATTGGAGGATATTGGACACAAGGGTTTGAGCAGGCATGAAAGTTTGTGTGAGTTGGGGCTATCTAGAAATGAAGCTTTGTCTGGGGCCCCAATTTTGAAATTAATTGACCAGTTATCACTAGCGACACAAAGCCTGTGGGTGAACGAAACTGCCAAAACCCTGTACAACTGTTATGATAATAATCATTTGATGAGGAATGTGGTAGAGGGTAATGCTAGTTAGAGAAATGGGTCGGCTATGAGATGCCTATTGCGCTGTAGAGAGTGCATCCAGTGTAGCTAGTTTTTAACTATGAGAAATGAAGAGCCTATTGTTCTAATGGAGATCATATTGAGCAATTATTCCACAAGATTTAATGACTTGGTGACAAAACTGCAGGTTTTGTGCGTTTCGTTTTGAGTGCCGCTGAGTTTGGTTGCCTCCTATGTGGAGTGAAAGTATTACTTACACTTTCGTCAAAAGTGATAGTGAGCTTTGCATTACTTTAATTTAGACGAAATATTCAGGTTTATTTTCATCTATAAAAAAAGTTTTTTGCCTTTGTCATCCCAGAAAGACTTTTGGAAAATGGATGTCAATCTTCCCTGACAAAGCACTTTCAGGTGCCGTCCACGTTGGGAGTCAGCAAAAGTGAAACAATCAGCTCCCTAAAACACAAGTGGAAAGGTGAAGCCGAATCCAAAAAGTATGCTTCAATCACAAATGATCTTCTGTTTACTGATGCTTCGATAAGCTATGCAATCAGCGCAAGAGTCATTGGTTGTGCCGGTAACTGCAAACAACTTTTGGGTGGTAATCACCGTAATCAGCTTCTTGGCTCGGACGAGTATGTTGTTGTAAACGAAGACTACGTGTACATAAGGGTGATACCCATCACAAAGCCAATACTTTCCCTCAATCGAGCAATGATTAATCAGGAGGCTAAATTGTTGTACAGTGGGTTGGTTGAAGATATCATGCAAAAGATGGCAATTGGAAAAGAGATGACTCGCAAGGGCATGGATTGGTGCCGTTTTCAAGTAATGGAAGTGAGCAGGAAACAAATCTACATACAACATCAAGCTCTGTCGAGCTCTCGAAAATGCGACAAACCTTTAAATGCAAATACAGCAAAGGTATCCACCTACTACCAACTCTCACAGTGACAAATTGGAGATGTCTGTACACCGCATTGATCCGAGTATCAAGAGTAAGAGATAATTTGTAGATTAACGTATCACAAGTTATGCCAATTGAAATTGCAAAACATAAAGGCTTCATCAGGATTTATTAAGCAAAGAGATGACAGCAAGTACCATAAAAAGCAGCTTGGGTCTCGACATAAGTGATGTGTTGTCAGTCATTGTTTTCCAAGTTGCGAGTCAATGTGTTGCCATCGTTCATCATGTCATTTCCACAACTGTAGCATGTCAAAAGCGCAATTGTTCACACCATGATCGAATCAGAGCAAGCTTATTACATTAGAAAACTACTCAGTTGCTTGTTTAGTAGAGGTCGTTAAGGGTTCAAGTGTTGGCACTGTCTCCTGCTTGTGTCACAAACGTAGACATATAAAAGGGAAGAAAGAAGTTGGCTAAATAGATTTTATAGACCTTTCCTGTCTTCTTCTTTTTTGCCTAGAATATAATGGATTAAGATATAAAACAAGATTCAAGATCCTAGTCTACAATCCAAACAATCAAACATAATCGCATATTCACTTTAAATAACGCATAATATCAATACATCAAGCAAGCCTACTGCGTCATAATGGGTGATCCTTATCAGCACAACCTCCACATTATCGTACTTTATTAACTACAACCACTACAGTGTACAGTCACTACTACACAAGATTGGTACACTTGCAAGACCTTCAACTCCAAAATCTGCACATCCTCCCGATGAAAGGTTTACAAAGTTGAAGGTCGTAGTAACAATGATTAGCATCCTGAGGCTCCGGAACGTACTCAATGACTAGCCCCCTTTCATGCTGACGAATAGTATCCGTATGTATGGAGCGAGATTTACAAATCAATACAGGTATATTCTGTACCCGTAATATGGCTCCTAACAAATTTGTATGGAAAACTGAAAAAATGCCCGCTATATGGCTGCAAATCTTGCTATTTGGCCCCACGAATTAGTTGACACAAATTGAAGATTTGTTATTTTGTGATCGCTTTTATGATTTTTATGCCCGCGATATTGCAAGGCTACACTCCTGTGTTTTCAAGTACACCATTCAAGTCAAGTAGAGTGTGTGATTTGTAAAGAAACCAAGACAGTGTGCTTCTTACTAGAAAGCATTGCAACTATAATCTAATGGTATTAATAGTTAGTATCTATGTTCTATCGAATAAATGACAGATTGTTCGTTCTTACATATTTTGTAATGAAATAAGGAGAAATGCCTCCAACCTCAAAACTAACTGCACACACAATCAACTAAAAATAAAGATGATGACAGGGTATGACATTGTAAAACAGAGGTAAGACAATGGATACACCAACTAGGTCATCGTGGTGTGTCTAAGTGTAGTGAGATGGGGTATCTGAACTGAGGTCCGGATGTTGATTATACTGAGGTCCGGATGTTGATTATACTGAGGTCCGGATGTTGATTATACTGAGGTCCGGATGTTGATTATACTGAGGTCCGGATGTTGATTATACTGAGGTCCGGATGTTGATTATACTGAGGTCCGGATGTTGATTATACTGAGGTCCGGATGTTGATTATACTGAGGTCCGGATGTTGATTATACTGAGGTCCGGATGTTGATTATACTGAGGTCCGGATGTTGATTATACTGAGGTCCGGATGTTGATTATACTGAGGTCCGGATGTTGATTATACTGAGGTCCGGATGTTGATTATACTGAGGTCCGGATGTTGATTATACTGAGGTCCGGATGTTGATTATACTGAGGTCCGGATGTTG